CCCCTCGCACCACTGAAAAAGGAGACGACAGAGCAGAGGAGAGCCAAGACCACCCCTTTCCAGCCAACTTTCAAAAGCCGTCAAGCTGCACTAAGATTGCTGATCCGAAGAGCGCAGGCTCCGATTCCGAAGATGTCGCCATGTGGTGCAACCCTCCAGACATAGACATACCATACACCCGCTCACAATCCCAGATCGGAGCGGCAGAGAGTACGGAACGGAAATGACATCAGAGACATCACGTGTCTCGTGCCTGACCGCTGTGCCTAGTAGTTGCTTTCGAGACTCTTCGCTCTCACTGAATCGATCTCCCCCTCGATCAGTACCACTCCTGCAAATTGCCATCCTGACCAAGACCCGCAGCCGCGTCTGCTTCGCGTCCTATCGATGATTCTTCCCATGGGCCACAAAAAAGCTCACCCGCACCAAGCCGGTGCGAAGCTATCTCCCGCAGGGTACTATTCTCCAGAGCACCGTTAGCTACGGCCGCATCCAAAAGCAGATCCACCATCAAGAGACTGATTTCGAGAGCATCGTCTGACCCAGCCACCCTTTCGGAAGTGTTGCTCCTCAAAGACTCAAGCAGTACACCAACGCCAACTACGGAGCTAGCCCACGACCCGCATCTGGCTTACCCAATCAAGATCGAAGGCACAATTCCCGCTCCTACAATGTCAGAGCTTAGCCCGAACCTCTCGGCGGCGATCGAAGTCGTGACTTGTGGTGTGGAGGATACAAGCAATGAGGCTACTACCATGTCAGCTCGTTCCTACATCTTGCTGGAGAGATTCTGCTCTGTCCTCGATCTCTACCTCGCCGCTCACCCAGAGAAGCTTTGCATCACCGACGAGAGCCTGAAGCTCCCGAATGCCACAACTAGAATTGTGGTTGGCCCTGACACAGGTGAAGAAGGGTCTAATGCAGAATACTGTGACCATATCTTGTTCCTGGTGCAGTATCTGCTACAGCTTGGACAAGATGCGTACAGGTGGCAGGAGTCGGGGACGATGCAAGTTGGCGTCCGGCTCACGGGGGAATTCAAAGCTTTGCTGCCAACGGCTCTAGACAAGCCGATAAGAATTTCCTCAGGCCATGACATTAGGACTTCGCACCTAAACAGACTTGCGGACAAGCTGGGTCCAGCTGCGAGGATTGTAGATGCCAATTTCTACGTATCTCGTGGAGATCGAGTTATTGCGACGATAGAATCGAACCCAGAGTGCGATGCTCGCGCAGTGGGCATCATCACCCGCGACCGCACAGATCCTTTTCGGCTGTCAGAGGTTGGGAGCGCGAAGATGGACGGCTGGGACACTAAGCTTTTACTGCAGTTGGCATCGCAGTGTGCAGTGACTGGCCTCAAGATGGGCTTGCTCGTCGCTGACTGGGGCCGCATCCTCTTGCCCTACGAGGTGATAAGAGAGCCCACTGGACCCGACCCAGGCACAGAAGCACCCACCCTGAGCAGAGCACGCATCGTGTTTAGCTCGACGCCCTGCTACGATGACGTGCTTGGGGGGCCACACGCTCTCCTCAATGCGAAAAGAACTATCTCTGAACGACTTCAGGATCTGTCTTCGCGATTGCAACTGAGGAGCCTGCCTAATGCCGTCTTTTACCTTCTCGCCTGGGTGCTTCAAGCTGTGGAAGAGGCCAACGTCAAGACGGAGATCGCGGAGCGAGAGGGCAAGGCTACGCGGGGTAGCGCTCCGGACGGGCCCTCCGATCGAGAAGCCGGGCCATCGTCAAAGCGTGGGCCTCCAGATGGCGATCGAGAGGAAGGAAGCGCCACGAAATCTCGAGGAAGTCGTGCGTCTGGCAGCAGTCGTGCAGGTCAGAAGGATCCTGGATCGAGCACGGGAGAAAGCAACAAGGGTAAAGGCAAGGGCAAGGGCAGAGCCGTGGTCAAGACCCAGAGCGAAGGTGAGAATAAGAGCTCTGAGATTCGCCGCGATTACAATGATCTCATCAGGCGTTGCCGCCTCGTCACAACGTACCTGTCGAGCTACACACCTGTCAATTCTGGAACCTTTGCAACAGTGCATTCGTGTCTAGTGCAAACGGCTGAGCTTCGAGACGGAGACGGTGACCGACACCAATCGGATCACCTAGGAGGCCAACCGAACCCCAAGATATCGCGGCCCCCTAGCTCAGACGAAGTTGAGGCCTTGCTCAAGATCCAGAGGGTACCGCTGGTGAGACACGGGCTTTGGACCAGAATCGATCCGCGCGTTGAGAGTCCGTACGATGATCCGCCCACGAAAGAAGAAGATATGATTGACATACAGCATCGCACAATGCGGGAGCTGCGTGTCTACCTGCAGTGTCAAGACCTACAGGGTTTGGTGATACCACAATTGTACGGTGTGGTAGCGCCTCGTAACTTCCCCTTCTCAAGCGCACACAAGCTCATGATCCAGTCTCTAGAAGGGGAACCCATTGCCCACCTACACCGCAAATTCTTCTCCCTGTGGCGTAAAGAGATCATCGACAGTGCTATACACGCGATATCGTCTTTGCATTCTCGGTCGGTCTGGCATGGCGACCTCAGCAACAGCAACGTCAGGGTCGAGTGGCGCCAATTCGACTCTCTTGTAGAGCAACCTTCGATCTACAAGTTCATACATGCTTCGAAAGTGCTAGCGGCGATAGAACAGGCTCAACGCAGCATGGGGATCAGTGACAAAGAATTTGACGCCGCAGCAGACAAGCTGAGCACTGCCGCAGATGCGGAGGATTCAGCCATCGTGCTGACTTCAACGTCATCCCCACTCGAGAACCTCAAAATGACCATACGCCCTCACATCTGGCTTATCGACTTTGCTGAGTCCAAAGTAGTCAATGTAGAGGAAGAGCACGGGCTCCTCGCTGCCGAAGTACGGAACATGAAAGTCATTCTGGGAAGCGTCGAGTACGCGAGTCTGTAAGACTCTGGAACTTCGGACAGCTTTCAAGAGCTTGCCGGGAAAATACGAAAGTCCGTCTCTGCTTGGCAAGGCAAGATCGAAGCAGCTGGCCAAGACTTCGACAACAGCGAAGGTATGACCTGCGTCTTGCCGCTCGCCGATTCGATAGCCGTCACACGAACTCAAGCCCCGGGTCAGTCAAGTACTCCATGCGGGGTCATGCGATTTACCGACATTCAAGCAAAGAAGCAGCAACAACGGCTTGAATGACTAGGGGTCTCTATGTCAAAAGTCCAGACTTACCCAGCAGCGCAAGATCGCGTTGGAGACTGCTGCCAGCACTCGGCCTGTCGTGTCTAAATCTTGTCATTACCCTCCCTCGATACTTCATGCTGCCCTCTTCCCGGTGTCTTCCTTTAGGCTCACAATCCTGTTCAGGATCAACTTCGTCCCTTGTACATAGTCACTTCCTTTGCGATCTCCACCTTTCAGCCATTCCTCCAATGCCGCTCCTACGGTCTCCTTGTCCAGAGCGAAGTACGCCACTCTCATCGCTTGAAAGCGGACACACTCGTATCCAATGAGCTGCTCCACTGTTCCTTCCGGGGCGCCTTTGCCAGTGTCTGCGGTATTGAGCGGTGTGCACCCGGACGGCATGCGGATGACGTCTTTGCCACCCCGCTCGCTCATCTTGACTCGCTCATCTCTGCTCTTCTTGGTCCTCTCTTCAGCCTCTTTCCTCGCTTGAAGCAGAGAATTCTTGGCAACGTCCCAGATGCCAGTCTCGATCATTGCGCCCTTGTGGACCTCGAGCGACTCCGGATCGACGTGCTTGAGGAAGTCATCCTGGCCCGCAGGGTTATCGACTTTGAACAGAGGATGGAAAATCCTAGCCTCTTCGATGCGGACGGGAGAAGATCCATTCTGAGCATCCTCGCCGATCCACTGAATGTAAGAGATCTTTTTCAGCTGAGCCTTCTCCAGCTTGTTGCCGCCCATGGATGGGTCTTCGTACCGAGCCTTCACACTAGTGACCCTTCCAGATCTCTCGTCGACTTCGTAGCCAGTGCATGTAATCGGGAACGGTGCCTGGAACAGGCCCACGCTCTTTCCAGGTGCAAGTCTGAAATAGTCGGGGTCGTCATGAATTCGGAAGTCGCTTGCGTCAATGTATAGCTTACGAGAGAAGGGGACCTTGTTCGTGCCGAGAGCTGGTACCTTGGGATGCAGCGGCTTCTCGATGAAGGTAAGGTGGTCCTCGGGTACATTCTCCAGAATGACTGGCACGGGGTCAAGGAGCATCATCAAACGAGGCGTGCTTGTCTCCAAATATTGTCGAATGCTCTGATCCAGGCGTGAAGAGTAGATTTGCGACACGCTCGTAGAGACGCCGAGCTGGTTGACGAAGGACAAGATGGCTCCAGGCGGGACACCTCGCCGCCGAATGGCAATGACAGTGAAGAGTCTTGGGTCATCCCAGTCTTTGACGTACTTGCCTTCGACCAGAGCTCGGATCTTTCGCTTCGAAGTGATGGTCCCTTCGAGGTTCAAGCGACCGAATTCGTACTGACGTGGCTTGTACACCTGAACGGCATCGCAAAGCCATTCGTATGACTCGCGAGACAAAATGAACTCGGTAGTGCAGAGAGAGTGGGATATGTTTTCGAAAGAATCGACCAGGCAGTGCGTGAAGTCGTACGTTGGGTAGATTTTCCATGTGCTTCCCGTTCGATGGTGGGGAGTATCCAATACTCTATAGGCAATGAGATCCCACATCTGCGGGTTGCCAGAATTCAGGAGGTCCTGCTTCATCCTGAGGGTGACTGTGCCTTTCTTGTACTTGCCATTCTTCATGTCTTCGAATTCTTTCAGAGACTCCTCGATGGGGCGATCACGATAGCGGCTTGCCTTGCGGGGACCTCGTTCTTCCCCACCGCGCTCTTGACGGATCTCTTCAGCAGTCGAGTGGTCCACATAGGCCTTGCCAGCTTGAATGAGCTTGACTGCGAGCTCGTACAGCTGCTGGAAGTAGTCGCTCGAGTAAGTGATCTTCCACGGCTCGTACCCTAGCCACCTGACCGTTTCCAGGATGCTGTCGAAGTAGACGCCCTCCTCAGCTTCGGGGTTTGTGTCATCGAAGCGCAGGTAGCAGAGGCCGTCGTGATACCGAGCATAGCCAAAGTCAATGGCGATTGCCTTTGTGTGACCAATGTGTAGGAATCCGTTGGGCTCAGGCGGGAAGCGGGTGAAGACGCGGGACTTTGTGGACTCCAGGTGTTGGTCCTTGAGCGCAGGATCTACTTGTGGGTTGCCTCCAGGGGCGTGCAGCCTGGAGAGGAAGCCCTCCTTGAACATCGCATCAGGGTCGATATCGGCAGACGATTCCTAAAAGAAGTCGATTTAGAAGTCGAGTGTGATGCGTCAGTACGGTTGGGCAATGGGTCAGCGTGCTAGGGCTCTACCAGCCTGCGTGAGGACAGGGACTGTTGCTCACCTTTGCGGGCTTGGCTGGCTTGGATGAGGAGGAAGAAGAGGCGGTAGCGTTGGCTGCAACATCCTGCTGATATTGACTCTTGGGCCATATCCGCTCGATCTCTTCCTCTGCAGACGTCTTGACATCGGCGGTATTGGCCCATCTCAATTCCTTGACGCCCCGCAGGCTGCCGAGTACGGGTCCCACGAGGGGGCGGCCCTTGGCTGCGAGCTTGTCCTTGTTGCTGACGAGGTACTGTCGCACCACCTCTTCGACCTGCTCCCGCGTGACTGTCACTCCCACTCCGCATTCCTGATCAAAGGTACCTTCCTCCACTGGTTGATCTCCGAGTGTTCCCAGGTACTTGACGGCTGCCTTTACTCGATCGTCGGTGTCGAGTGCGCCTGAGAGAGCTCTGCTGACGGCATAGTCCTTCTTGTCATCGGGTATATTGCTGCTGGCGATGGTGACTACAAATGCTCCTTGCTTTGCATCGAGGTTCTTGTGGGCGAGTGCATTTCTGTTAATCAGTGCTGCGATGGCGTCTGCTTGCTTTCGGTTCTTGAGTGTCTCGGTCGCCTTTGAACCTGTGATGGAAACGGTGGCAAAGGTGTCTAGTAGCTCCTTGATGGCAGGATCGTTGAGGTCCACCTTTGGAGGCATGGTGAGGCCGCAGGGAGCGAGTAAGGGGTGAGCTGGAATGTGATAGCAGTAGCAGTGCCAGGCAGAAGGACCGTCTCGGGTACACTCTCCCAAAAAGTGTTAAGGGCGGAGAGCGGAGAGGGAGAGGCACATCGGAACGGAAGATTGCGCGGCACAGAAGCCCGTGCGAGAGGCGGCTGTCCGTCGCGGGGGGCAGCGTCCAGCCTAGTCTACCCAAAGCTACCACCACCTACCAGCATCCTCTGCATCATCACCACCTTCCTCGCAACACAGCAGCCCCATCGAACGGTATCAGTCGCGCTGATACGAGTCTGATCATCTCTCAGCGCAAGACCCTCTGCTTCCTCTAGCCCCAAGCTCTGTGGTCGTTCCACTAGAGCCGCCTCAGGTCCACCGCATCCAAGAACAACTCCTCGCCGAACGTCATGGTGAGTCTGAACCCAGCATCCCGGTCCGCAAGAAGGATGCCGCATACTGACATCGCCTCTTCCATCGTACCAGTCGAACACTCTGCGGCCGTACCTCTCATGTGTGAGATCGTCGCTCACAGCAGCCATGACTCTGGAGAATTTCGGATCGCAGGTGGTGGAAAGGCATAACAGTAAGTGGACAGACAGCGAGCCCCCTCCAATGCGACGGGTTGATGAGAGGCTCACTCACATCCCAACCCACCGCATTGCCCGTACTGTCTAATTGCGCCCTCACAGAGCCTGAAGTGGAAGTGGGCGGATCCGTCGAGGTCATGCTGGCGCCTCTGATGATCTCCAGGAACGAGAACGAGAGGGTGCTCATCGAGGTAAGTCACTCTATACCAAACAGGGCGTGGCCACTGAGACAGACCGTTGCGCGAGGGATGCTCACCTTGCGCTCATGCTTCTGTCTCTTCTGCTAGGCCTCTGTCAACTCGCTGCGCCTCTCCATCAAGATCAAGCAGTCGGACGAAATCGAGCGCGTACTCTGCCACAAGTTTGCACGCTTCATGATGCAGCGAGCCGAGTCCTTCATCATCCTGCGCAGGAAACCAGTGCCGGGCTACGACATCAGCTTCCTCATCACAAACGCCCACTCCGAGACTATGCTCAAGCACAAGCTCGTGGACTTCATCATCCACTTCATGGAAGAGGTGGACAAGGAGATTAGCGAAATGAAGTTGAGCTTGAATGCAAGGGCGAGAATCGTAGCAGAGAGCTATCTGGGGACAGTGAGTCACATAGCAGCCTGTTCCAGTCCTCACTACAAGGACAATGCTGACACGATCAGCACTTCCGTCCCTCCCACAATCGAAGTTCGCATAACGAAGAGGATTCACTCATCACATGGTCAGGCAGCATCGTCTCTGAAAGGCATGTAGATAGAAGTGATAGTCGTCCCACAGCAGGGCAATTGAATGTACACGATACTCGCCGCGCCGGTTTGCTCAAGCTGTCCTTTTCCGGCCCTTGGGTCGATTCTTGCCGTCGCCAGAGGGGTCAACAGCAGCATCCGTTGCCTCGCTTCCCGCAATGGAAGCGTCCATAGACACCTTTCGCTTCCGAGATGCACTCGTCCCCGCAACGCTGCCGTTGCCATTCGTATCCCCCGTGGCAGGCCCATGCGGCAGAGTCTCATGGGCCGCAGACGCCTCGGCAGAGTCGACACCTTCGCGCTCTGCTCCCTGGCCGCTGCCATTGCGTTGCTGATGTTGGTCTTTCACAAATCGAGTGACTCTCTGGTTAGCAGCCTTGAGATCCCTCTTCTCCTTGTTCTCCCTCGCCCTCTTCTCTCTGTCCCGTCGCAGGTAGTCCTCCATAGTCCGGACGGGTCCATCGGGCAGACCGACGAGCTGAGCAAAGGACTGATAGCTTCCAGAGGTGGCGCTCTGGCGGTGACTTTCCGTCTCGGCGCCCACCTCCTCGACGCCGTCAGTGTCCAGAGGATACTTTGCCCTGAAAGCAGCTGCCGGGAGCAGATACTTGCCCTCTCTGACGTCGTCAGCTAGGAAAGTATGGTGCCGTTCGCTCAGCATACTCCTCCATCCCTCGGCATCGTCGTCCCCTGCACTGGTTCGCGGGTATCCCTCACGAATGTTTTGCACGGCCTGGTAGTCTTGATCTGGGCAGATGGGAACACTGATGCTTCGGCGGGGGGCGAAGTGCTGCAGGGATATGGACGCAGTATTGTCTAGCGGCAGCAGAGTCAACGGGCTCATTGTGTGTAGCTGAGGAGGCGCTACACCAGCCGCTGTCGATGTCGTAGAAGAGGCAGAGCGAGACTGCAGTCCTGAGTTGGCATGGCTGGTACCGGCATCCAGAGGATCAGCCCATCCCCATGAGTTGTCCGGCGCAGGCAGATTGACTTGACTAGGGGCAGCCAAGACATAATCGCTCGCCGCATTCCTGCTGAGAGGGCTGAAAGGGGACAGCTTGAGCAGCATCCGTGCCTGCTGTCTGCTATCGCTGTCATAACCGAAAGCCCATTCTCCAGTACCAATGTACGGCTGGAAAGCTTGAGTGCAGATCGGCAGCAGATCATCGGGTAGCTCTTCCATGACATAAGCAACTACATCGTACAGCATTGTGGCCGTTCGTACATCCCCGTCATCTTGCGGAGGGACGCTCAGCATAGAGAAGAGCGAAGCGAGTACTTCCCCGACACCTTGCCTCACAGTCGGTATGGTCCAGAAGGAGCTCGATAAGAGCAGCGCCTGCAGGACTGATACTTCGTGAGCCAAAGACGCATATCCGGAGGGGGCCACAGTGATCAGCCTCGATCGGAGTAATACAAAGAGCTTACTCGTGGAGTCTGATTGCGTAGGTGGAAGTCGCTGCCCCTCGCACTGGCTAGCGAGGCGGAAGATTGCCTGCAGAACAGCCGAAGCTTGACTCGCATCCCCAGCCTCCTCAGCAGAGAGCAAGACTCTCCATGCAGTCTCCACCGTTGCCGTTCGGTAAGCCTTTCCCCCAATCGCCCATAGCCTCGACCCATCGTCGTCTTCTTGGAGGAACAGCCGCGAAAAGAGCACTTGGCTGCACTTGGTCACTTTGGCATCTGCTCTTCCCTGCTGACCGCCCTCAACTACTGCAAGCTGCTCGAAGATGAAGGCCAGCTCTTCGATCAAAGCGGCTTGCCGCCAAGGGTCGATCAAGGGAAGCAACTGGGATACGTCGAGATCCAGTGGTGAGTCCAATCTAGCGATGAGCAGTCCAGCATAGTCTAGAGAGCCGTACAGTAGACAGAGCACGGCCCACGGGTCCGCCCAGGTGCACCTCAAGCCGATGCGGGCAGCGTCCGACATGACTCTGGGGCGAGCAGTGACAGCGTCGCTTACGTGTGGTAGTCCGAGGATGTCGCGTACGACCGCGCGCCCAATCTTTGAGATCTCAGCTGTCACAGTCGGGACTGTCATCAAAGACGCCAGCACTGCAGCAAATTGAAGCAGGTCTTGCGAAGGGACCTTTGCAACTAACGCCCGTCTCCGGAGATCCTGTCGAGGCGCATCGGCAGCATCCAACGCGAGCGCCCGCCAAAGCTGCAGCATTGGCAACAGTGTATTGACGTTGGGTTCTTGAGAGCGAAAGGCTGCAGCATGGAGCATTGGAAGCAAGAGTGAGGTGAGGATCTTTGCAAGGGACAAAGCCCCAGTATGGCACAGTGTGATGATGTTCTTGCTCTTGTCACTGTCGAGCCAATCGATCGATATGCCAGCCTGTCGCCCGGGAAGGAAGGGAGCTGAAGAATCGATCATTCCAGAGTGCACCAGATCCGCCAGAACTGGGTCAAGATCATCGACCACTCTACCACCGTTCGAGAATATCCTCCCGCTCGATTGCGTGGGCGTTAGTGGAGCGAGTGCTTTCTGTTCCGTGACAGAGATGAGCGCATCAAAGGCACCCAGCTCGCCGGCAGCAAACAGACTTGCCGCAATCTTCGCATCATCCTCGGCCAAGACTTTGAGACAGAGACTCTTGAAGATCGGCTGCAGGGTTGTGAAGATGTCCAGTGCAACCCACTTGTCCCGGTGTACGACAAAGATATCGCTCACGAGAGACAGTGCATCTTTTGTCGTGATGTCGTCTGCAGTGTCTACTATTCGAGCGAGCTGCCAGCGCATCATCTGCAAAAGGTACAATAGGTTCATCAGCATTGAAACAGCAAGGATAGCAGCGGTACTTTACTCACCTCGGCTATGGCCTTCCAATCAGCAGCAGCTTCCATAATCAAGACGACTTCGGCGAATCTCTCGACTGTATAGGCACCGCCTGTGTTGCCTCTAACCCACTGGATGGCCGAAGGAAGTAAGTGTCCAGCGACGAGCTGACGCTTTACATACAGACTTCCACTTCGTAAGTGTGGTATTGCCATGAAAGCACCTTCCCATACTGTGCGATTATGGGAGGCCTCATCGGGTATGGTCAGGAACGATGCCGCTTCTTTCAGCTCTCGCAGGCCTCGCCTGTATGCCGCCTCCTCCCGAGTCTCCTTTGACCGCGAACCATACAGGGCTAGACGCCTTTGATGCAAGAGAGCTGGATTGGTTGCATCCTGTGGGATTGGCAATGAGCGTAGCAAACGAAATTGCACCGAGTTGGTTCCGACGGAAGAAGACGAGGTGGGATTCCGGGAATCTCCTTCGACATACGTCCAGCCTCTTGCGGTGAGACGATGTAAGAAGCGGGTGTAGGAGAAAGTACCGTTGCGGGTCAGCTCCGCAAACAGAAGAACGAGGCGGTCGAAGTCAACAGTATCCTGAGCCGTTTCCAGACTTTCGAGCCACTGTGATAGCACATGGTTGAGGTCCACGCTTAGCCAACTTGATCTTGAGGCAGCCGACGATGTAGACGAACGACTGCCTTTGCCCATCCACATTTTCTTCGTTCCTCCCAGCTGCTGCATCACCCTGGCAGCGAGAAGCGGGCGCCACAACTGATGTGAGGGTCGATGCGCCGTCGCAGCCCACTGCGCGAGTAAGGAACATGCTGGTGAAGGCCCTCGTGAAGCTAGCATCGATACTACATCGTCTGTCCGTTGCAATGCGAACTCGTCTAGTAATGCAATGATGGTTCTGCACAGGTCGTCGCTTCGGAGAGGCGGCACTCTCGATGAGCCATGTCTGAAGGTCAAGAGTGCGCTACTTCTGCTCTTGATGAGGTCAATTTCCCTTGTCAGTTCCTCAGACGTCGACGACATCGCCTTGATCGTGTGTACAATATCCTTCGCGTATACGCCTTGCCACAATCTTGGAGAAACAAGAGAGACTGGAGATTCAGACCATATGGCCTGTACAATGGATCTGAGCTGGTGCAACAAGCCAGCCGCAAATTCGTCGCTCGTCTCTGGAAGCCGGTCTTGGATCCTGCTGCGTATTTCCAATGCAGCAAGGGCTACGCGCTTTGTCAACTGGTCGTTCGCGAGGATGTCCTCGAGAGCATCTTGCGTGAGAGCCAGGACGAAAGGCATTTGTGTGAGAGTGGCCTCCTTGAGCAGATTCACGACGAATACGGCCCAAGTTCGCTTGTCGAGGAGAGACTGTGATTGCAGAGCATCCATCAGAAGAAGGGAGTAGCGCCACTTGGCAGCCCATTTCTGGACATCACTAGAAGAGCCGATCGTGGACTCTGTCGAGCTGATGGGTATGTCGCCCAGTTGCTTCCGAAGCCAAGCTGTGCAAGTGGACGTGAAGTCAGCGGTGTAAGTCTTCGCTGAGACGGCAGTGGCACTCCGAGATCGCATGGCCTGGAGAGAAGGTAGAGAGTGCAGGACCTCACAGCATGTCAGTCAAGCGCACGACCCTGCTGAAAATCGACTTGTCTCTGTTTGGAAGAAGCTCACAAGATCACTGGCCCCTACTGTGCGGATGAACCAAAGAGCTCGAGAGATCTCCACGCCTGGGCTGCTAGATGTTGAGGAAGGAGAAGCACCCGAACCGCTAGCCCCAGTGTTGCTTGACGAGGATAGTGTATGTGACATCTTGACTGCCCCAGATGCTGGCAAAGAAGCGGTAACGGTCGGATTGGTGCCTTGCCATAACATCTCCAGCATCCTTTCTCCCCTGAAGCCGTGGGGGATACTCTTAGCCAGGCGTGACAGGGGTACCGCTGGGTCGGCCAAATCACGGACGTACGCAGAGAGCTTGACATCGTTCAGGGTGACTCTAGGGGGCAACTTGTTGGTATGAGGCCGTACGTGCGAAGTAGAGGATCCAATGGACAGTCCGGATCGTCGCTCAAGAGCTTCCTGGAAGAGTGAATTCAGCGTGGACACAAGCTGAGGTAGGATGGAAAGGATTAAGCCATGGGCACTGGGCGGGCCAGAGGAGAAGCGATCGTATGGAAGACGTAAATGAGACTTTGCATCCTCCCGTACTGGCTCGTAGCGCAGCCTACTTACGAGAAAGACTCATTCATCACTGCCTGCTTCGCTGTCATGCCCTGGCGGACATGCGCCTCGCTCATATCATCCTCTGGCTGCAGCGATCCCCTCTCGGGATCGCGGTCGCTCGACTTGCCCGTTTTGGATGGATAGAAGTCTGGATAGGATACCTCCTCGGATCCAGGATGTAGCAGAGGTCGCCATGCTGGAGGACGAGGAGAGTACGCTACAGCTGGATCCGCAGGTGGGCCGCTGCCATTGTTGGCAGAGGGTGAAGTGGGATAGGAAGATGAGGCTGTCTGACCCACCTGTGGCGACGGCGGGTAGCCGTGGCTGCTCATCCTTGGCGGATATAAGTGGTGTGCTTGTATGCTAGAATTCCATGTATGCTCTGACCGGGTGTGAGGAGACGACGAAAGGAGCAAGGGGAGCGAGGCAATGGTATCTGTCCGGGTGCAGTGGTGGATCCTCACGGAACGAGACGAGGCGCTCGGGCCACGATGTTCCGCACAGCCGTATCCACTCCGCCAAGCTCTATGATAGGTCACGTGTAAAGCAAGCGATCAGGGACAATGCTGCTGAGTATTACACCACCACACGACAACAGGTAACAGGACATCCGTATAATTCGACTCAATTGTACATTCGAAAAGAACAGTCAAGAGACAGTCTAGGGACCACTAGCATTCGCCACGCGGGCATCATCTTCCCTCCGCCTCCAACTCTAGTCTGACGGCCTTCTCGACCTTGTCCGCTAATCCTTCTAGCTCCTGAATCATCGCACTACGATCCCAGTCAGCCCTCCTCTTCCAGACCCCGTCGAAGCAAGCAGCTCGCAGCTGCAGCAGCTGATCGATGTTGAACATCTTCGAGGCCGCCAAGAGGTGGTTGCGCAGATGATCCAGCTCCAGAGGTGGACACACAAAGGGCGGGTGTGCTTGCAAGGCAAGGGGCTCAGAGGGCACCGAAAGAGATGCTGCGTCTTGAGTCCCAAGTGGCTCTGCGCCAGCGGCTACACTTTCGCCGTTCGTATGGGCCACTGTGCTTGTTTGAGAGGGAACCACGACCGGACCAAGTCCAGATACCGCTTCGACCACATCCTCAGTGGGCTGGCCTAGCGGGTCTGCAGCGTTGCCGTTTGTTGTTTGACTCTCAGTCACTTTGTCTGCCGCATCACCGGCGTTGCCGAGCTGTCCTTGCGCGACCATCTGGTCTACTTCGTTCATCAGAGCGCTGCGGGCTCGCTTGCGCTCACTTCCCTCAATGCCACTGTTGCGCGCGGACGACGTCCTTGATCTCTTGCCAGAGTTTCTTTCGATGGCGCTGACATCGACAGGATGACGGTGCTCAGGCTGCTGACCTTGGACCCTGGCGCTGAACCTTTCCCCGGATGGCCTTCGCGGCGGCTCAGGATTCTTGCCAGCGGCTCGAGCTTCCTCGACACTCTTCTTGGCAGCCTCTTCAGCCTCTCGCTTCTCCTTTTCTCGGGCCAGTTGACGTCCGGCCATGCCTTCACATTCGACTCTGAAGTTGATGTCGATGTACTGCTCCAGCAAAACCACGGCTAGATTCCTCATCTGATGAGCTCGGACCATCCGCTCCATGTCGACTTCCTGAGCCTGTTCGGCATTGGCAACGATCTTGTCCAGATCATCAAGGAAGTTGCCGATAGTGAGGTAGCCATTGTGGTACAAGCGGCGCTGCATGCGCTCCAGGTTCATGGTCCAGATGGGCATGTCTCTGTAGTCGTATTCCCGGTCGCTGCTGTCGCCTGCTGCGTCTGCACCGCTAGCTTGGCCATCTGCGTTGTCGCCATTCGTAGTTGTGCCATTCAGTTCCGTGTGCTGGCTTTCATGTACGAGCACGGCGGGGACGCTCTGTTGTGAAGGAGCCGACGTTGGCTCTGGACCATCGAGACCTGTAGATGCTTCTGCCATGTGCACATCGGCAGTCCCGTCGTTCTGATTGGCAGTTGAGCTACCGTTGACTTCTGCAAAGGTCACCACACCGTTTGGCTTCTCGATAGTTGCTTCCTGGCTCTGCCGCTGAGAGGAAGAAGTCAAGCCATCGCCTCCGCTGATCAGGAAGCCCTCATCGACAGATGAATGTCTCCTGCGCCTGAAGCCCTTGGTGTATCTGAGTCTGACTACTACCTTGCCATTCTCCTTGTGCCATTCGTAGGTGTCTGTCAGATTATGCAGATTGTACTCGTCCCAGACGTCTCTTGTGAACTTCTTGAACTTCTTCCTCAGCTCCCCTAGGACAGGACCGAGGCGATACTTCAAATGCTCGAGAGTTCTTTGGTCATCGTACACCTGCTGTTGCAGTTCAGCGGCGGTAGCTTGACGAGGTGGCCTTGGCGGTGCCTTTGGCAGCTCCTCAAGGACTCGACGCCGGCGCGGGACAGCGTCTGGGAAATCTGTCGGCGGCTTGGAGACATGACCTAGGAGGTCCTCAAAGAAACGCTGTCGCTGCAGGTCGCTTGGTCTTCCGGCTTCAATCTTGGTGTTGTCTAGGTAGCCAAACCATCTGGCGACATCGGAGGGCAGCTCGCTCAAAGGCGCTTCGGCAATGGCAAGTAGCAGAATCGGGTCTGAGGCAGCCAATTCGTCCAAAAGTGCCTTTGTGGTGGCTCGCACTGTGTCCGATACAGAGTGGGCCCAATGGACCAGTCCCGGAATGTAGATGACGGAAGGCTTGTGTCGTTTGGCCTCGACAAACAACTGTACGACAGCCGCCTCGGGCGTCCTGGCACTATCACCCATTAGAGCGCCGACATCGAGAGACTGCACGTGATATCCCTCGAGATGGTGCAGGAGTGCGCCTCCAACGAAAGACTGACCCATGCCCTCCGCTCCGTAGATGACCAAACGAGGTCTAAAGATTCGCAGCGACTCAAACGTCTGCAACATCATCTCCCGACCGAATCCATTGTCTTCAGAGCCGAAAGTTGCCGCCGTCGGCTCGTCTTCCCACAGGGCCTCTTCTAGAGGGTTGCGCTTAGTAGCCGGCGGGAGCACCTTTTGCAGCGCCTGTGTTGCATTCTCGACCGTGTCGCCCAGAATGGGCTTCAGATGCTCTGCTAGCGGCGCGGCAGCTGACGATGCTGAGCGAGCCGAAGATGGGACGAGCTTGTTGACCGACATCATGAAATCCTTAGCCTCCACTTTGATCGTCTCCGGCTGCAGGAGCAGGCGCTCAGTAGTCTGATAGATCTGGGGATAGCGTCGTTGAATGGCGTTGAGAGCTGCCTCAGTGCACAGAGCCCGAAGGTCGGCTCCACCGTAGCCCTTCGTGACCTCGGAGAGCTTGTCCTTGAAGTCATCTGTGAGGGGCGGCTCCCAGCCTTTGGTGTGGATGTTGATAATGCTGAGTCGTGCTTCTCGTGACGGTAGAGGGAAGTAGAACTCTCGATCGAATCGACCAGGACGTCGAAGTGCTGGGTCGACGGAGTCAGGTCTGTTCGTAGCGCCAATGACAACGACTTGGCCCCTGCCATCCATGCCATCCATGAGCGCCAAGAGTGTGCTGACGATGGATGCGTGGATTTGATCTTGCTTGCTACTTCGCACTGGCGCCAAGCCATCGATCTCATCAAAGAAGATGATAGAGGGCTGCGAGGCGCGTGCTTCGTCGAAGAGCATTCTCAGCTGACGCTCAGCTTCACCAACCCACTTCGACAGGCAGTCGGCTCCTTTTCGCATAAAGAAGCTAATCTGCTGACCGGTCGTGCTACAACTGGCGGCAAGGGCTCGAGCCACCAAGGTCTTTCCGGTACCCGGCGGACCATGGAAGAGAACGCCCCGAGGAGGGGTGACTTTGAAGCGAGTGAAGACCTCTGGGTAGAGAAGAGGCAACGACACCATCTCCTTGAGCTGTTGAATGTGGCCGTCTAGACCACCGACCGAGTCGAAGTCTACTTGCATGTTGACGCCCAGAGGATCCACATCAGCCAGAGCATCTCCGCCTTTCTTGATTCTACCCAGAGCGTCGCGAGCAGAGCCGTCATTGCCAGCACCAGCACCTCCGCCTCCGCCTGCTCCTCCGAGAGGAGTTGGCCCGCTGCCTAAAAGACCGGCACTGCCACCGCCGCCGTACAGAGAAGGCGGAGGAGCCTTGCGCGAAGCTGGAATATCGTCATCAGAGCTGTCCTGCTCATCGCCGAATGCTTTCGCGTAGTCTTTTCCGGTCATAGACAGAGGCAATGCATCCCAGCCAGTCTTGCCTTTCCTGCCGCCGCCAGCGCCTCCCACGTGGGGTAGGCCGAGATCTGCAGCTCGCCTGGCATCCAATTCAAAAGCTCCACCCAGTGTGTCGGCATTGGCGCCGCTTCGGTTGCTGCTCTTGCGCTTGACGATGCGGCCCATGCCGTCGCGTAGAGGTTCCGGAGGCGGAGCGGCAAGCGAATAGTCGACCTTCTTCGTACGCTCGCGGAGACGGTAGCCCGGCTGGTCTTCATCGCCAGTAATCAGATCGTCGTCATCCTCTTCGCTTTGCAGATTGCTATAACGACCACTTCGTCTCCTGCTTGCGCCTCCTTTGTTGGTAGCGCTATTTCGAGCTCTGGCAGCTGCGAGAGCCTGAACACGCGACTGGCTTCCTCGCAGTAGACGACCGCCAGACTTCCGGCGCGATTTGCCGTACTCGCGATCCGACTCTTCGTTTGACTCGTCTTCGACGACAAACTGAGAGCGCAATGATGAATGTGAAAGAAGTGCGTCAGTCTCGCTGTGTGAGGTTGGTAATGGAATGTGTGGCCGGTCATTGCCAACAGCAGAGCACTCACTCCTTCCAGACTTTTATTCTTCCTCTTCTGTGAGCCACCCCCTCGGCTTCTAGATGATCCAATGTGGTCTCCGTCCTCATCGGATTCAGATTCACTGTCTCCGTCCTTGTCATCATATTCATCTTCGTCAGCCTCTGCATAGTTGGCACTTCTGGTCGGCCTGCCACTCCGAGTAGTACGTGCAGCACTCGGTGGTCGCGATGATGCGGCGGCTCTACTGGCTCGTGTGGGACGTTGTGGTAGCTCTTCGTCCTCGTCGTCTTCCCCCACTGCATCTTCATCGCTCTGGTTGTCCGAAAGCGCACGAGCGTCGTTGGGGGGTATCTCAGCGCCGAGCGGATCCTGTAAGAGGCAAAAGGAAGCGTGTGCTATGTCAGTGATTCGTTCATGCAAGTTTGGAGCCGCATCTGAAGTGGCGCGTTCCCAAGAACAAGCCGGCATGTATCTTGCAGCCTCCGCAAATATTGAGTTTCGTCCCTGAAGACCCGAAGGATAGAGAAGAGATTGAGAAGGAATTCGAAGAGCAGATGCAGAAGATGAAGAAATGCAGATGAAGTTGAAAGGCGTCGCCGTCTTACCGGGCTGCTAGTAGGATCGACGCAAACGCCGTCAAAGACGTTCTCCCGGACGTGGAGTTGTCTCGAAAAGCAGCTTGCTTTGATTAAGCTCGGGCTCGGCTCGAGGTCGCTGAGACTCTCAGTCAGCGAGGACATCGATTCGTTGTCCGATGCAATTCCTGGCTTTGAACACGAAAGGGAGGCTGATTCTGCCGTCTCCAGCTGTGCAAGAGACGCTGCTCCCTGTCGTACACGTTGGGCGCGGACCGTGTCGATCGCAATCTCTATCAAAGAGGATGGCCGCGCTGACAAAGGTGGTGTCACCAGTCCCTCGTGTACCGTGTTGGGTTGGTCTAGGAACACTCGTAAGCGCCGTTTTGGTCGCTCCTTGCTGGTTTGAGTCTCCTCCAGAGGCTCCTCATTTTCCTCTGGAATGGCTTGCGCAGGTTGTGCTGCTCCAGTGGTGAGCGTCACTTGCTCCGAGTGTTTTCCTCTCTTGTTCTTGGATCTGTTGTTGCTCTCCTTCGGGTGTTCTTCCTGATTGGCTACTTGATGGTCTGTCCCTCGCGTCCGCATTGTTCTTGTGCCTTGGCCCATGTCTGTTTTGCGGGCACTAGCAGCCATACCGCGCTTGCCTGTCTTCAAGATACTCACATCAGATTCATGCCCTCCATTCTCATGTACGCCCTGACCAGCTCTGCGTGCACTGTGCCTGGTAGAGCGAGAGCCGCTGCCGCTTGCTCTCCTCCCTTCGGCTACGCCAGTCCCATTGGGTTGATCATCGTCCTCGACGGGCGCTTCGGAGTAGCTCGAAGCAGGTCGTGCTCCTCTTGTAGACACCATAGCGTTCCGATCTTGAGCGTTCAACTCGATTGTATTGTACGACTGGGGCTTGGGCTTGAGGACGATCTTAAGTCTCTTGACGCCAGAGCGTGCTGTATGGTATGAGGGGGGGGACAGCATATACGGTGAGATTGGTCTGTCTGCGGGTGCTCGTCAACGACTTGACTCACGCTTCTCTGGGCTCTGTTGTTCTAGTCGTCGATCTTGTACCAGGTCGTCGTCTTGATCGTCCTCACTCTCGCTCTCGCTTCTCTTTCCGTTCTCGTCCTCGTCCTCGTCCGAAGAAAAGGCGGGAGGAAGAAGGTGTGTCCTCGTTCTTGCCGAAGCAGCGACAATCGGCTCTTCTTCTGGGTCGTCTTCTTGTTCGGACCCCTCCTGCTTGTTTAGAGCCTCGTGCCTGTCAATTCCGCGGTGGTGAGCACTCTGAGCGGAGTAAGACCCTACCGAAGTGGGGAACGGATCCTGGAAATCTGGATCTAAGCCCGGTGGGAGACCGTGATCGTCTGCGTCCGGATCTGGAAGTTGTTGCTCAGTGGGATGGAAAGGATAGGGATTGTGATTGTATGATGAGATGTAGTTGCTGCTTTGGTGTTGATGGGTGGTGAAGGAGGGTTCACCAGCATCCATCAAGGGTGTTGGTCTGAAGACTCGGAAGCAGAGCTGCGCGAGTAGGACGTCGTCTGATCTGAGACTGGCGGGGCTTACGTCATTCGAGACTGAGGGTAAGCTGACGATGGGAGAAGCTCAATCTGCATACAGTTGAGGGCGAGGATACACTTCTACGCTCTCACACCGTGACGTCTGCGTCTCCAGAAAGGGCAGCTGAGAAGGAAGGGTATGCGGATGAAGGTGCAGGTCGTGGTGAGCGGGTGTATGCAGTCTTGGCCTGTCAGTCAGTCAGTCAGTCAGCTCCCGCTCTGATTCCGACGCGTGGGCCAAGCGCGCAATCAGCCCCACTCCTTCCGCCCGGAACGGCAGCAAGGACAGATAGAGATACAAGCAGCGTCCTGGACAGGATACGACTACGAGGTGTGATGGCCCAGACCAATGAGAAAATGTAGCGTCACGGGCATTGGAGAACAAATGTTAGCAGATGGGTCGGTTGACGAATCCAAAGTATGTGAATGATTTATATCTGTAGCTGCAGTGCCCAAGCTCGTACAGGGTCTTGTGCCCCTCGTCCGCCTGCCCATGGTTATTGCATCGAAGAATGTCATAGGCGATGTACGCCTAGCCGTGACCTTGCAAGCTCTGCTGTCTTTCTCTCCTACTATGACCCATGCCTTTCCATCGCGTGTGCAGCGCATCAGGTCTTTGAGCCCTTGCCGTCCTCCCTGAGTCCACCCTCGTGAGAGCCGCCTGAAAGGTGCAGGTGGAAGGGAGATGTGGAGTCAGCTACGAGCAACGCTGTGTAGTAGCACCGAGTGTGTTACTCACCATCAAGAACAGGGTTCCTTTTGCCCTCTGTCAGTGAGGATGGAATTGAATGGACAGCAAGAAAGGGAAAGTTAGATCTCAAGGATTCTCGCGAGGTAATCATACACATCGCAGAGACTACGCACCATACTCGTTGAACTGTGGTTGAAGGGTGAGATTTACAGAAGAGAATCTCAGCGGAATTGTCCCTGCGAGTGTTACTTCGCCTCTTCACTTGATGATTGCTGTACTCACCTCTGGAGTTCTTGAGTTGGGTCCCCACACCTTTTGGGTCCTCTCAGTAGGTGTAATGGCATCAGAACCGCCGCTACAATGGTAGAAATGGATCAGTGGACGTCAGTAGCAGCACAGAGGGAGAGCAGGGGCCTGATATTACGTAGAGCTTTCTGACTCACACGTCTGACTCTGCGCCCTTGGCCATGGCCTCAACATCAGGATGGGCAGGGCCGGTCTTGGTCGAGGCCTTGCGCACTTGCCTGTGAGGAGCATTTGGACGGGGTGAGAGAGTGTTCAATGATCAGCTCTGCGAATCGGTCTATCTAGTATCCTTCATGCACTTGACTTACGAGTGGGGCTGCGATCCAGCTGGTGCCTCACCAAGCTCAGCAGGGTGATCGCTCGTGGGGTCTACATTCTCACTGATGTATCCAGGATGTTGCCTCTCTCCTTCTCCCTTGACGGGCGTCTTTCCCGGCGAGGTGCGCGACTTGGCCGTGGGACCAGGCGCAGAGGCGTAGCGCGAGACGGCGGAAGCTGAGAAGGAGCGCGATACGCCTGTAGAAGAGCGCAGCGCTGAGCGCACAGAAGGGAAGAGAGCTGACATGGTTGTGAGAGATCGAGACAATGATGGGATGATATGAGTCTGAATAATAATGATACGGAAGGTGATGGTGTGAAATCAAGGCGCCATGGCCTCGTCGGCCAAGTCGAGGTCCCGCCTCCACACCCGCTTCGATCGATTGAATCTCCGCCTTGCTGCGACGACGGAAGTGGCTTCCTCGCCTCGATGCTGTCCGAGATGATTCCATATTGACGGTGGATCGGCAAGGTGTATCAATCAAACAAAGTAGATGCTATGACTACCTTCTACCGCTGGCTGAATGCGATGCTGTCCAGAAGATCAATGCCGCACTACTAGCGCTTCACCCCCTATAGCCTCAACCCACGTTCCAGCGATGATGCTGTCCAGGCTCCTGGCGCTCCTCAGCCTCACGCAAGTCGTCCGGAGCCACCAGAGTCCCTTCGCGCTTGCAACGGAACCGTCACCGGCATCGAAGAATGACTCTTACCTTGGTCAAGAGATCGATCTGTCGTGGCCAGAAGGAGGCATATGGTCTCTATGCAGTGGTGCCTCTCATCAGCTTCCCCTGCCGCTACGCTGGACACGAGCTGACGAGGATCTGCACAAGGATCGTGCGTCCATCAGTGCGTCTGCTGATGAGCTGCAGTGGTGGCTCACAAGCTACAATGGATCCATCTCCGTGCCTGCCTTGTTCCCATCGCAGGCACACCTCGATGTTCTGAGTGCAGGTATCATTGCAGAGCCCTCCATCGGACTCAACGAAGGCACGTCCAGGTGGATCATCGATGACACATGGAGCTATACTGCGTCTTTGGAGCCCTTACTGCCTCATCTTGCAGGCTGGGATACATTTCTCCTCTACTTTCAGGGCCTCGATACAATTTGCGATGTCAAGCTGGGTGATACTCTTCTCGCTCGCACAGACAATCAGTTCAGGGAGTGGCTCTTCGATGCAGAAGTCATCCGCACAGCACTTGCCGCAAAGGTGTCACCCAACATCACCCTAACCTTTCACCCCGCAACCGCATACGCTCTAAACGAATCTCTGCGAGAGCCTCACTATCCTGACCAGCTCGAGAATCCGGACGGCCCAGCCTCGAGCGTGTACGAGTACCCCGCCAGGAACTTCGTTAGAAAGACTCAGAGCGACTTTGGCTGGGACTGGGGACCAGCATATGCTCCCGTGGGTCCTCATAAGCCTGCATATCTCATTGGTTTCCGAGATTCCTCAGATTCACAGGTAGACTCACGTACTCGTGCGAGCGGCAAGACATCACAAGTCTTCGTCAGGTCCACCTCGCTAGAGGTGTACAAAACCGGCTCACGCAGCAATCTGCCGCCAAATCAAGGGGCAGATTGGACTCTGAATGTCACGCTTGATCTCTACTCCACACTGAGTATCGACGAAGCCTACTTGGACGTCGAGGTCCTCGATACGCCTCACAAGGCCAGACTGCGACTGCCCAGCCTCAAGGCCGGCAACAACGACGGCCTCTCGGTTGCCTTCGAGGTTCAATCTCACGGCGAGGATGCGCCAGAGCTCTGGTGGCCTGCCAAATTCGGTAAGCCCAGACTGTACGATGTACGTTTCACGCTCGCTACGCCGTCCAACAGTAGAGACTTGGCCATCTGGTCCAAGAAGACCGGCTTCCGGACTGTGGTCCTCAACCAAGAGCCCGTCACCCCCGCAGACGTTGACTCCGGCTGGGCTCCTGGGGCTTACTTCCACGTCGAGATCAACGGACAGAGAATCTACGTGCAGGGCTCCAATCTCATACCACTCGACACATTCTATCCACGGGTCTCCCTCGACATCATCTCTTGGCACGTTCGATCTGCCTTGCTCTCTGGGCAGAACCTCCTCAGAGTCTGGGGTGGAGGTCTCTACCAGTCTGACGCCTTCTACGACCTATGCGACAAGCTCGGCATACTCGTCTGGAGCGAAACCATCTTTGCCGTCTCGATGTACCCAACGTACGACGAGTTCATAGACAATGTGCGAGTCGAGGTGCAGGAGAATGTGAGGAGATTGAACCACCATCCTAGTCAGACGCACTGGGCGGGCAACAACGAGGGCGAGCAGGGGATGCTGGCCACCAACAGCTCACTTGCAAACGGAACTGTCTACCAGCGTCAGTACGAGTACCTCTTTGATCAAGTCATCCGTCAAACAGTCCTAGACAATTCGCGCGGAATGAGCTACATCCCCTCCTCTACTACGCATGGCTACCTATCATTGGATCCTTACGTCCCTCGCTATCTCAGCAAGAAGGAAGGCGAGGTGTACGGAGACGGCGAGTACTACGGCTACAGCGTTCCGCACTTCTTCAATACCTCCACCTACTCCTACGAGACGGAGTACCGTCTGATCAACGAGTACGGGATGCACTCAATGTCTTCCATTTATGGACTGCGTCGGGTTCTAGAGAAGGAAGAAGACTATGCCTTCAACTCCACCGTCGTGCGCGCTCACAACAAGCACTCACCGGCTGGAAGTCTAGAGTATCCCTTTCCAGCCGACGATGGGCAGGGTCAGATGTGGCAAGGAATCAAGACGTATCTCCCGGTCCCGAATGTCACAGACAACGAGTTCGACATAGAAGAGCAAGTTACAGGCTCTGCTGCTGGCATCTCAAAGCGCGAGTCGCTCCTATCTCACCTCGCCTACCTCACACAGGTCCTCCAGGCAGTCTACATTTCCACGCAGACCTATCACTACCGCTATCGCGCCTCTCTTCCCTCTCGCAATCTCGGCGACGTCTACTGGCAGCTCAATGACGTCTGGCCCGGCAGTACTTCCTGGTCTTCAATGGAGTGGGGTGGCAGGTGGAAACTTCTGCATTACGCTATGAGCAGGGCGCAAGGTCGAATTGCAGCCTATCCAATGTGGAATGCAGATGAGGAAAGTCTGAGTCTAGTGGTTCTGAGCGATGTATTAGGTGTGGAAGGCAATGTACAGGGTGTGCTGAAGGCAACATGGTACGACTGGAGTGGGAAGATGATCAACAGCACCTCCTATCCCTGGTCAAGCACCGGCATAGGAGCTTCAGTGGTCTCGCCATCTTTGCCTCTTTCCGAATACCTTCCGGAAGGGGTTGAGCCAAGAGACGCATGGCTCCACTTGGTCTTGACCGGTTCTGTCAGCGGCAATAGCACCCTGCTGCACTCCGCCAGATACCAAAACGAAGAGTTCTGGTCAATCCCGACCTCACTGCGGGATGTGCCCTTGCTCGACCCCGGGCTCACCATGCGGCATTTGGGAAACGATCGGTTCATCGTCTCCATGGACGAGACCTCTACAGTTGCTCCCTTTGTATGGTTGGAACATCCCGAGGGCGTCTTGGGCTACTTTGCGCAGGACAACGACGAGCAATTGCCGTCTAATGGCTTCTGGTTGAGAGGAGGGGAGAGCAGGATCGTCAGATTCGTCCGGGCGTTCGACGATGGGAGCACTACTAACGATGACTTCGTGGTCCGGAGCATCCGCGGCTGATGTACAGCATTCGTCTCAGGAATGTTCGTCTCAGGATATCAATTGTATGAAGTCCCGTTTCTTGTAATCTTTCGTCGACTATCGGGGTCGTCGTTCCTCTTGCTTCACCCCCGCACTCTTCCTCATCTTGCCCCCCCCCGGGTCCACTCACAGCCTCACGTCTCTCACACCGCTCTATGGTGTGGCACAGCCGACGTTCGCATTGTACAGATCAAGAGACGATTCTCGACAGGAGATAACCAACAGCAACCTCTCCAGATCGGAAAAAGTCTCAACGAGAAAGAACACCTCGCATCCTCGCCCTAGATACGCCTGGCAGTGACTATCTGGCTCCTCGGCATCGGTCGAGAGCGCTGGCCCTGTCGGCCGTCCCTTATAGCAGTCGTGTCATTCTCGTCAGGTGCCGCACTGTAGCCATCGCCCGCAACGACTGGTCCAGCTGATTGAGTAGACAGCAGGTGAGCCTCCGTCAGCCGTCTCGCGACTTTGGGACGTCCAGCCGGTCGCTTTTTCTGCGAGGAGGGAGCAGTCGCATCAGCGTTGTCCATCATGGAGCAGGCACCCTGAACCTCTGCCATCTGGGCCAGATGACGGGCTCGGCTGGGCGTATCTGCCGGCCAAGGGTCGCTGTTTGACACGGCTTGAGTGAGCAGCAATGCCGCTAGTGGCAGGCGTCTTGGCGTCTTGGTCCGAGTGGGGCTCAATACAGAAGTCGCAGCAACCTGTGTAGCAGGAGGCACTTCTGGCTTGTGCTGCTGTTGTTTGCCATCGTCATTCATCCATTCCTCTTGACTAATGACGCGCATATTGTGAGGTGAGCTCAGTCGGGATTGACGGTCCGGTGAGGTCACGGATTGGTATACGCCTGGGCAGTAGGGGGAAATCTCAAGCATCAGCGACAAGCACAGTATAGTCTTGGCAGTCTCAACCGTCTCATGCACTCACTTCTGCGCCGCACAGGGCTATTGACCACAAAGGCCCTGGTGCCACTAGCCGGTCGAGAGCTCAGCTTCTCAAAATGTCGCACCTTGCTCTTGACACTCGCATCCAGCTGGATGGAAGAAGAAGACGCATTTCGCGGGCTGGGAGTAGCCTGACTGACCTTGGCAATGATGGTCCTGCAGGTCAAATCAGCGGCATCAAACTCGCAAGATGCGTGGGAAGTTCCAGCTCGCTCTTTGATAGACTCAGGGTGAAAAGCCATTCCGCCTACATTGGAGAACTCCTCTGCGATGCTTCCATCTGGACGGTCATCGAACACCTCTTGTGGGCAGTCAACCCAGTCGTCTGCCGGCAAAGATGTTTGCGCGTGTGCTTCAAGCAGTCTTGCCAGCTCTTCATGCATCTGCGATGTATCACCCAGTTCAGGTCGACCATTGACGATCATCCAAGGGCTAGAAGGGAACAGTGCTGCCTCATCGCCATTCTTGTTCGGCGTTCGAGCGAGACTACCAGCAACAGCCAGCTGCTGAGGACGTACGCCGGGTGGGACACTACCACTGACTGCGCTCGTGGCTCTGGACCTCATCTCTGACATCGAGAAGGATGTTGCGCGATAGCGAGGCTGCAGATTCGAGCTCTTCGGGTTTGTGTTTACTTTCGCAGCTGTATTGGCCACCACGCTCAGCCTCCTTGCTCCTTTCTTTGCCATGCCAGGCAGTGAAGAGACTGAAGTGTGCCTTGCACTCAGCCTGGAGAAGCCAGATGAACGTCTCACTGGAGATCGCTGAGGACTCGCTCGGTGCTCTGCCGTGGACGAGCTACTTGCGGCTTTCGCGTCACCCCCCGAATCTATGCCGAGCTTCGAGCGCATTGGTAGTGAAACAGCGTGCTTCTTACGCTTTACCTGAAGGGAAGGAGTCACCGGCGCATTTGTATCGAGAGCCTCCTGCTGCTGCGCTCCCATGGCAGGCAGGGGTGGAACTGCAGGTGTGGAATGGTCCCAGAAGTCACCTCGCAGACCGATAGCTCTTCGCGGAGTGACTGCCGAGAGACTGAGGTTCGACAAGACCCGCTGACGAGCTGCGGGTGATGCTGCGCTATGAGAAGGGATAGCAAGCAGTTGGGCCAGACTGACGCTGCGCTCATGCTGGATCACTTCCGCCCAACCAAACGACCGAACGCTACCCACAGGGCTGAGCGGATTAGCTCCCCAGAGCCCACTCCTGCGTTGACTAGCTGGCGAGCCAAGCAGTGATGCCGAAAGTATTGATGCCTTCCCTTCGCTCAAGAAGCTATCTCTGTTCCGTCTTTGGTAGATTTGATGCAGTGTCCTGTTGAGCTCTTCCCAGTCGTTGCTCATGCGCCCTCTTTGAGCAATACTGGCGTGACATTGTGACTGGGAAGCACTGGCGTACTCTTCGCTCATTTCGGTAAGGGGTGGGAGCGGCCCAGTAGACCAGCGGTGAAAGTGCTGCGCTACAACATTGAGGTTGCTGATGTCGAAAGGCTCAAGCTCTGGCGAATCAATGATTTCGTCATTTCGGTCATTGAGGTTGTCTGCACCTTTTAACGGTGAGGCAGATGCCAACAGCGCAGCGTCCGCCTGTACTGGCCTTTGAGACGAAGTTGCTGAGTTCGGAGTGTCTCGAATGTCTACAGTCCCGTCTGGTGAGATGACGAGCTCTGTGTTCAGCGAGCTGTCCGAGAAAGCCAGGGTGTCGCTAGTCATCCGCTTAGCACCAGCAGCTCGATCCGCTTCGAGTGCTGCCGCCTCTGCGTCATTAGCTCGTTCGACGGCCTCTCGCACCCTCTCCGCAAGACCAAAGTCGGACCCAAGACTTCGCCGCGTTGAGTCGGAAACCGGTCGAGATGGACCGACAAATGTCGTAGTCGCAGTGCCTGTCGAGCTGCCTCTTCTACTAGCGAGCTTAGGAGGTGCCAAAGTGGAAGGCATGCCAAGGCCAAGATCGTGTTGCAGGCGAGAGCCTTCGTGACGGCTGGAGAGCTCATCTTCGAACTGCCCCAAGCCCAATGAGCTGCCAAGCGACTTGCGGCCTTCGGTCAATGCTGGCGATGGCAGAGGTCGCGGAGCACTCAGAGGTTGCTTACTGGAGTGAGAAGTTCTTAGCGGCTCGACATGGTGGGCTAGTTCTAATCGCGGCCCCTCGTAGTTGTCGGCTGTCGAGATCACGCTCTGCGCCCAACGCTGCAAGAAAGGTGAGCATGGTTCCTGAGAGGCATCATGAGACGCGATGCGATCCTTCGTCAGAGGCTTACTTTCTGAGAGGCTACAACTGCCTTGCGGATCTAGCTGCCGCTCTTCAGCAAATGCCTGCTTGTCGGGAGCTGCAGGCGGTGACATTCGGCAGGCCTCCGTAAGCTCGTACTCCTCAGCCAATTCGATGGTATCACCCATACCGGACACCGGGGTTTGATGAAAGCTACCACTGATCCGACTCCTTCTTGGGAGCAGGTTCGAGGCAGTCGAGCGATCCGCACCATCGAAGCTCCTGCCGAGGGAGATGGAAGTGCTGCGAGCCATCGAGCGGGAAATAGACCGAGGGTCAGGAGTATGGGTAAGTGCAGCTGGATCTCCCGCACATGTGGCGGATGATGTTGAAAGAGCATTGTCTTTGGTTCTTCTTCGTCGATGAGGTGTTCCAGTGTGCTTGACGTTCCCGCTATAGGATGTGCCGCTACTCGGAGAGGGTGCTCTGGAGGGACAGAGGTCAGACATTTCGTGCACATCGACGTCTGCTTTGTCTGAGGTGTTCGCTCGCACCAGACTCGCAAGAACCGCACTGGCTGCTCCGCTATGACTTCTACCGTGCCCTCGAGGCGAGACCGACAATTCAGGGCAGTCGAATGGTAGCGACATACCCAGTCCCCTCATCTCCCTATCCTCCTTGAAGCTCCACCAGCTGCCTTTGACTGCATCTGACCCACCCTCCTCGACTCTTCTAGTGTAGTCCGCATACTCCTCACATCGCTTGCGCTCAATGTCTAGGGACCGATGAGAGACAGGGGTCTGATGGCCGATGTGGATACCAGGTACGACATGAGGTAGAATGAGAGCCGACAGCCCGTCCAGATGAAACTCAGTGGTCGTAGGGCTCGAGATGGGCTTGCTTACCTGCTCCCCAGAAACCATGAACGATCCAGCGGTAGGCGTTATCTGAGAGGCCGACGTCGACGCCTGCCTGGAGTCTGGAGTTCCGTGAGGCAACGACGGTGACGACATCCAGCCACCCGGCAAATGAGGGGTCATGCTGTAGCTCTTATAGTGTTGCGAAGCATTGGCGTGGCGAGCTTGCCCTGGTGTAGATAGATCAGGGTCGTGCTGGCTTGGCGCAGCTGCACTGCGTGGAGTGTCAATCTCTGATACGGCGCTGTAGCTGCGTGCACCTTCCTCCGCCATCTGTAAGTCGACTACACCTTGCCTAGCTTTGTAGGGTGTCCAATTCCGGCCTCCAGGTGGCAGGACGTCAAGCTTTGGCTTCGGATCGAATGCAATGCTCATACCGCGTCGGAACGCCGCTCTACTCTCCACTACTCGGTCCTTCTGAACCTTGCCAGCGGTCCAGTGAGCCTTGACATAGGGCACCGAGCCTACGCATGTCTTTGTTGACGATGAAAATGAAGCCGACGTTGATGGCCGTGGAGTAGAGCCTGGCGAGTCCCTACTGAGGATATGTAAAGAGAAAGACTTTGAGGGTCGTGAAAGAGCCGACCGATTGGTCACTTCAGGGGTTGCGTGCGTTCCGAAGACTTGCTCTGATTTCCTCACATGTCTGATTGCGTCAGAGCTAACCGGTGCGCCGTCGCTCGTCAGCCAAATCTGAGCTGCCAACAATGGAGCGTTCAGCACAACGCCAGCGACCATCAAGATGAGCAGTGCGGAGCTGTCATTTCTTGCCGGCAACAGCTGCTGCACAAGAAAGGGCAGAGCACAGCAGATCTGCACCCACGCTCCGAGTAAAGCAGACATTGCCCGATATGTAAACGTCCACCTGAGAGCTCGGCGCTGCTGATCGATGGGGCTGAGCATCTGATGAGGCGTCGCGAGGGTTGAGCCTAGTTGGTGGAAAGCAGTCTCCCTGCTCGTACTGGAGGACTCGGGATGACTCATCGACCACGTGTGCATGTCGCTGTGCCTCTTTGGCGTCGACCGGTATTCCAGGGCTGTCTTACGAAGAGCTCCAGCAGCTGCGCCTGAGATGCCGTCTTGATGGCTAACAGGAATACCAGCGCCCTCGTTCTTGATGTCGTTCTTGTCTGCTACAAAGGCACTGTCACGAGCGTCCTTGAGCATAGCGTCAAAGGCGCGTTCAGGCGAGACGATAGCGTACGCTCGCACCTGGTCAGCGGTAAGATCTCCAATGGTGGGAGTATGGCTCTGAGTGATGGAATTGCGAGGGGCAGGGAATTTGAAGCCGCCTGGCCTCGCCAATCTCGGAGTGACGTTGCCAACCAATGTGTGATGCTTAGAGCGTCCGCCAGGAGAGCCAGGGTCGAAGTCTGTTTCCATCTCGGTATCTACCCTGATGGAAAGAGGAAGGGCAAGCCTCCTCAATGAGACGTCCTTTGGAGTTGTTGATGGCACTTGCGGCTTCCATGCAGATGTCAGAAGCAGTGCGACAGCTGCTGTGAGCTCCACGACGAGCAAGACCTGCATTAGTATCAGAAAGAGGGGACCTCGCTCATGTGACAAAGATGGGCGGCGAAGAGCATACGAGGTAGAGATGACGAGGACCATAAAGATGGAGTAGATCAAGAGTAGGAGCGGCCAAGTCCTGCCGGATGTGGCGTGTGGTGTGGAAACTCTGCTTGTGCGTCGATGGACTTGCAGCGCCGTGCTGCTAGTACTGATGCAAAGGATGGATAGTCGAGAGCAGAGACAGAAGGCCAATGTTGCCAGACTGGTAGAACTCATTGCTTTGGCTCCTCGAGTGCCCTCCATGCGACTCGCTTTAGTGATTAGGAAGAGCCACACTGCCAAGCAAGCTGCTGTCACGATGTCGTGCGCTGCGAGCAGGCTGTCCACGCCTGGTGAAGCTGAGAAGCTTTGTGTCCAACTGCTCGAGGAGCGTTGAATCTCTTTCTCCGTAAGAGTCGCATTAGGCATTGTGGAAGCTCTGCGGTGGTCCAGGCTGGCGCCGGCTGGGCAACGAGAAGGAAAGGTCTCGCCCGAAGCGCTGCGCAGAGGTGGGCTCATGGGAGTCGTAGGGGGCAGAGCACATTGGACATCTCGGGGCTGAGGGTCAAGAGCAGGTAAGACAGCGCTTGTGAAGTCTGCTTTTGCCTTTGTAGGCTTGCAGCTCTGGTACAGGGGCTGCAGCGCCCTTGCGATGGAAGCATGATGGAGCCTTACGAGGGTGCAGATGCTGATCAGCACACTGAGCAGGATGAGGATGACAAGCAGGACGTGTGAGGTTGGGCCTTCCACTCCAAAAACCCGCATGGTGAATGGCAAGAGTCAGCAACAGGCTTGTCAGGTCGGCAGTAGGAGGTGGGGAGGAGTAAGGTGTTATGCTGATACTTGGGTATGGCTCGGATGAGATGCACCTCGTGCTTGCCACCACTGCCTCGCTGTGACCATGGAAGCTTCAACATCCACGGGTCTCCCTCCCCTGAGCGCCTCCTTGCTTGTAAAGTGCTTGTTGATGTTGCTCTCTGATATCTGCAACCATCACAAGCCCCCTGGCTCACGCGTACGCGCAACCGCCAATTAGGGCATCAGGCACCAATCGGACCACATGGCCAGGGCTCGGCAGCCGGGCCTGGGTCTTGGAGGGTGACCTCGCTGAGTGGCCGCTACCCAGACAGTTGCACTCAATGGTCTGCACACCCACGCCGCCTTCTTTGTCGAAGCATTGCGATGCTGGGAGGACGCTCGTGGTTGTAAGTGTGAGTGACCTCTTTGCGTGACCGAGTGAAGGTACGAGTAGAATGAATGGGTGGAGCAACTTCTCTCCGCCCCCGCCCTGCAGCCAGATTTCACAGTCCGCCTTCCGTCTTTCCTTTCCGGCGTGGCAGCATTCGCACAGAAAAATTTCATGGCCCTCGTTCCGCCCGGGGGAAGGAGTCTACCAGTACCATCACCACTTGGTCTCACCCGTTCCCCTCTTCATCCCTTCACTGCATCGACATGGGCCGCAAGACACAGCTGCCGCCCTCGCGAGGCATCAAGAAGAAGCAGGACACAGGTCCAGCAGCCTTCTTCAAGCATCGCAAGCAGGCACAGCAGCAGCAAGCCGCCGCCGGCGTATCCCCCACTTCGCAAGCTTCGTCGTCCAATGGCGCTGCCAGCCCGAGCGCCAAGGGCAAGGCAAAGGAGACCAACGGCGGTAGTGCTCACAATGACATACTTCTCTCCATGACCTCTTCCTCGGCGGACATGCTCGATGATGACGGAGCCGACGCTTCCACCTCGTCACTGCCCTTCTCCCCCTACTCGCACCTCACCCACTCCAACATCCACGGCACAAACAAAGACTCGTCCTTGCGAGCCTATGCGCACCACTTGCGATCTCTCGTGACTCAGTCCGATGTACTGATACAGGTCCTCGATGCAAGAGACCCCATGGGCTCCCGCTCCAGCCATACCGAGAATCTCCTCGCCAGCCACCCAGACAAGAAGCTCCTCCTCATCCTCACAAAGATAGACCTGGTGCCAAAGGAGGTGCTGCAAAAGTGGCTCGTGTACTTGCGACAGTCCTACCCTACTTTGGCATTCAAGAGCACATCGACCCTCTCCTCTTCTGGCAGAGCTTCCAGGAAAATCCAGACGACGGCTGCCTCGTCCTCCTCTCTTGAAGCCTCCTCCTCTGCCACGCTGCTGCAGCTGCTGAAGAATTACGCCCGCTCCCAGCCAAAAGGCATGTCCCTCACAGTGGGCATTTACGGTCCTCCCAACGTGGGCAAGAGCTCTCTCATCAATTCCCTGGTCAAGAGCAGAGCATGCTCCGTAGCCCCTCGTCCAGGAGAGACAAAAAACCTGCAGACGGTCCTGCTGGACAGGAAAGTGCGGCTGATTGACTCCCCCGGTGTGGCGATGAGCAGCGGTAGGGGAGCAGTGGACGGAATTGAGGACGTGCTGAGGGGTACAGTCAAAATTGAGCTGGTCGAGGATCCTGCTAAACCCGTGGCGGAGATTCTCAAGCGGGCAGACCCGGTCAAGGTTACGAAGCTGTACAAGCTGCCACCGCTCTACGGAGAGGAAGAGGAGGAAGAGGAGCCTCAACCCGTTGCAGCCCCTCCCGTTGCTGCTGGACCGAGTGCTATTCCACAGGACAATTCCCCTGCCAAAGCTGGCACTCACGAGCCAGTGGACTTTGCATCGATGAGGCGCAGCGGCATGGACGAAGACGAGCAAGAAGACGACAGCGATGGCGAGGAGGATGATGACGACTTCCACCGTCCCACCTTTGACGAGGAGGACGAGGAAACCATCGAAGCTCACGGTGGCGCCAACGGCTCTACTGCGCCAACTGCCGCTAAAGCCTCCAAGCGACCCCCACCCATCGGATACGACGCCGAGGACGTGACTGACTTTCTGCTGCGTCTTGCCTTTACAAAGGGCAAGATGATGCGTGGTGGGAAGCCCGACATCGACGGAGCGGCCCGGATGGTCATCAATGATTGGAACCTCGGGAGGATCGCTTGGTACAAGTCCCCGCCAGCCAGCGTGAACATCAGTAGCAGCACCGTACCCAAGGCCGCTACTGCGCACGAAGGAGGCGAGGGAGACGAGCAGATGGAATCTGCTTCCGCTGCACCTGTAGAGCACAATGAGGTCATGACCTCCTTCTCCGAAGCCTTTGATCTGGAGGGTCTCTTTGCCCAGGCAGATGCACAGCTCTTTGGTGGTGGCAAGGTTCCCGCTGCGCCTGCCGCGCCTGTCGCTGCGAAAACTGCCTCACCAGCTACTGGCCCACGCCGGTCAGCGGCTCATGACAAGGTCCTCTCTGCAGCAGACGTCACTTCTTCCTCCCTCGGAAAGCGCGCGAGGGGAGACGAAGCAGAAGACGATAGTGACGATGATGATGCAGCAAGCGATGCCGGAGACCTCTCCAGCGCAGACGAAGATGATTCGGATGGCGAAGCAGGAGGACGCAATAGGCGTCTGAGCGGCTTCGCCTCTACCTTCGACAAGGCCAGTACAGCGGGCGACGCTGATGGCGATGTCGACGAGGCCATGTCCACTTCTTTCCGCCCTGTCAATGGACAGGGGCATAGTAAGAGCAAGAGCAAAAACGATCGCGACGACGACGCTCTCTCCAGCTTGGCGGCCTCTTCCGGCAAGAGCAAGACCAAGAGCAAATCGAAGATTCCTGCTCATCTCCTCCAGCAGCAGCAGCAGCAGCAAGCCGCCGCCTCCATGTCTGATTCCTCCTCTCCCACCCAACCAGGCAAGCGCGGGCATCGCTCCGCCGTCAAGAAGGCCCGTCCGCACAAGAGCGATCCTCCTGCCTACCTGGAGCGACTGGAGCACAAGGCCTCCCTCCCCACAAATGCAAAGAAGTTACGCAGAGAGGGATTATTGGAAGATATGGAGTCTGCTGGTGGGAAAAAAGGTGGGGAGAGGAAGAGGTTGAAGAAGATGCAGAAGAGGGAGAGTGGAAAGGGTGCTGGTGGGGTAGGGGGAGTTTGGAAGGAGATGGAGGAGGTGACACTCGATTGAAGAGAGGAGAAGAGGGAGCTGAGCTTTGGCACATGGGAAAGGCAAGCCCTCGTTACTCTCATTCCGCCATATCGATTTCACAAACATCATAAGCTCCCACACGGCTACAGCTCTGATCAATTCCTGGATCCAGACTGCTTGCTCGAATGGCAAAGGCGAGATCGACAGGAATATGAAATGAATCCCGCTGGTCCAGATCCCCAATTTCGCCGTCTCCACATCACATCATGCGTCGCCCTTGAGAATCCCCTTTGCCTCGAGCTGAACGACCAACACAAGAGGATTCTTCGATCAGCATACCTACGATCATCTCTCCCTCCCTCTGTTTCTCACGGCCCTCACCTCCTGTACTCACCTGCTCCTTTGTAGGTCGACTAGCAATCTCCTTGTCAAGCTGATCCTCCAATTGTGCTTTCCTGAGTTCCTCCTGCTTCGCCTGCAAGCCAGGGGCAATATTCCCCGGCTTGAGTATACCGAGTCGCTCGAGCTGGGTGTGTGTGGAGGTGAAGGTGAGGGCGAGGAGGCACGAGCGTGTGTATGAGTGAATGACCCCCTTCCCCGCCTCCCCCCTCTGGGAACTCACCTCCTCCCTCTGTCTCCTAGCCTGCAATTCCTTCTCGAGCGAATCCTCCAATTGCGCCTTTCTCAACTCCTCCTGTCTCGCCTGCAATCCCGGTGCAACCTTCCCATCTTTCAAGATCCCCACTCGCTCTAATTCTTCTCGATCAGGGCGGGATTCAAGCTTGGACTCAAGCTTGTTGCCCAATTGAGCTTTTTGGAGTTGGGCAGTTGCGGATTGGAGCGAAGGGGCCAGGGAGGTGCTTTTGAGGATGTTCTTATCCTGACCGTGAACGTGAGCGGGACAGCAGCGGTGGAATAAGGGAGAGGGGAGTGGTCTGTCAGCATCTCTCTGTCTCGACTGCAATTGCGAACGCGAGTGTGCTGTGCTGCGCTCCCCCTGGTCCTCACCTGGAGTTCCCTCTGATCTGGTCGATTCTGGAGGAGTGCCTCTAGTCTGAGCCTCTCCTGCTCGTGAGGGCTAATGGTCGCAGAGACTGGATCAGTGACGGGTGCTGGTTCAGACATGGCGGTAGGAGCGTAGCAGTGTGCAAGTGGGTGGGCGGATGTGTGATGGTGGGAGTGTGAGTAGCGTGAGTATGCGTGTGTGCATCCCCCGCCTGGGCCAAGTGTTGGTGTGGAGCCGCCGCCCTCCCCGGTGCCACGTGGGGCCTGATGCGATGCGCCTCTACGCCTACGCCCCGCCGCCGCCGTTCCGTTTGCTGTGTGTTTTTTGCTTTGCGGTGCGTCGGGATGCCTCGGCTCCCGGATGTGCGAGGGTCCGTGCAGAGAGAGGCGCTGCATGAGAAATAGGGCTGGCGTGAGTCAATTGGCGTTGGAGCCGAGATGTCCCTCTTTTGCGTCGGATTCCTCAGCAGCAGCAGGGGAGTGACAAGGGGGGCATTGATGGCACTGCAAGACTCTGTCTTAGAGGGTGTTGTTCCCACGGTGCTATTCACTGTCTAACAGGTCAAGAAGAACAAGGAGGGGAGGAGGAGGAGGACATCGCCGACAAGCAACGTCGTGCACCGGCAGGACTCGCCTCGCTTCCAGGAGCCGCCGGGAGTTATAAACGAGATGGAGGGCGTACATTGCCAAGCCATTCATGCCCACAAGCAATACTAGTCATACCATTCACACCTTGACAACTATCCTACCTCTACTACTCGCTGCTCACACATGCCACTCGTACTGTCCAGCGGCGCCCTTGCGGCTACTTCCACAATGGCCTGCCCTTCCACCAGGGTAGGTCTCTTGGCTGCCGGCAGAGGTGCATACCGATCCGCCAGCATCCACACACTAGGAGGTGGCCCCTCGCGCTCCTATGCTCTACCGGCCCCTCGCAGAGTACCTGGCCTTGGAGCTCCGGTCTGTCTGTTATCAGCTCCACTGCTCACGCCATCGACACGAGAGTATGCCACTATCAGTCAGGACAGCCAGAAACAGGGTCAGGCTCCCACTCCCCCACCGGCTACTTCTCCAACAGAGACTCACTCCCCTCTGCAAATGTCTCAGCTGGAGATTGAAAGAGTCAAAGACTCGTACGTCATGGACCACCACATCTACGAAAAAGATCGTGAGTAGTCGAGCCAATCGAAGCTCATCAGTTCATACTGACTCGCGCTGACATTTGCCCTCTTCCCCTCTTGTCCCCGCCTACAGACCTCGATGGCGTGACAGTCCTGCACCACAAGCCTCAAGGCATCTCCGATCGTATAGCCTGGACCTTGGTCAAAACGATGAGGACCACCTTCGACGTTGCCACGCGCTACCCTTCTTCCAATACCCGCTTCCCCGCAATTGCAAAGGAGAGACAGGAAGAAGTGGTGGAGAGCAAACAAGAGGGGGAGAAGGCAATGCCTCTCAAAGAGATGAGGGAGAAGGGCTTGTGCTTTGGTCCAGATCAATGGTTGACCAGGTGAGTAAGAGTAGCGGCAGCAGAGTCACTCACCACTTGACGCTGACCACTCCTTCACCATCCACTGCACACCACAGGTTCATCTTCCTCGAGTCAGTCGCTGGAGTACCCGGCATGGTAGCCGGTACAGCTCGCCACCTCCACTCGCTTCGACTACTGCGACGCGACCGCGGCTGGATTGCCACCTGTCTCGAAGACGCTGAGAATGAGCGCATGCACCTCCTCACCTTCCTCGCCATCCGCCAACCCGGCGCAGTGATGCGAGCTCTACTGCTTGGCACTCAGGGACTCTTTTACAATTTCCTCTTCCTCTTCTACCTCGCCACGCCCAAGACGGTTCATCGCTTTGTAGGCATCCTGGAGGAAGAGGCAGTGTACACCTATACCCGCGTCATCGAGGATATTGAAGCTGGAAGACTGCCCGAGTGGGAGAACTTCCCTGCGCCGGAGATTGGAAAGGAGTACTGGAAGCTGGGAGAGGATGCCAAGATGCTGGACCTGCTCAAGGTTATCAGAGCCGATGAAGGTGAGTCAAGACGAGAGAGAGAGGCGGCCTCAAAGCGAGTCTGCATGCTGACCTTCCCTTCACTCCTCCTCCTTTCCTCAGCTGGCCACCGCTTCATCCACCACACTCTAGCCAACCTAGACCAAAAGCAGGACATTAACCCCTTTTCCATTGCCACGCCCTCGCCAGGCATGATCGGCACCAAGCTCAACCTCTCCCGCGAAGAGTCATTGCGCTTTATTGAGCAGGCAAAACAGATGGGCCCGACAAAGGCAGAGGTGGTACAGGCGGAGGACGTGGTGCAGAGGGGCAAGCAGGAGGGAAGCGCTTGAGTCGGCAGACACGGGTGGGGAATATAATAGGGCAGGGAGGACTCTCTTAATGGAAGTGTAACATTACTCTTTACCACCTCTCTCGGATCTCGCATCTCGCACAAATTCTATACCAAGTCATTCTTTCTCGCCGCCTGTCAGCCTTTGAGTCACGGCTAATTCGAGATTGTGGCTTTTTTGGAGTGGCTTTCGGCAACGACGGCGGCGCAGAGCAACAGACGCCGCTGAGCCCCTTCCCGTCGTGCGTCCTCCCCTCGGCGCTAGACCATCGTTACCAACACCTTCCTCCCTTTGGGGCTCCTCCGCTACGAAGCCTCAGCTCAGCTCAGCCTCCCATTGCACCACACAATGGCAGATCCCACATCAAGCGCCAGCGCCCCAATCGCGGGTCCCTCCCGCCCATCCCCACCCCGTTCTAAAGCACACGCAGCGCCCGCGCAGCGCATTCGCACCAGCTGTATCCCCTGTCGTAAGCGCAAGACGAAATGCGATGGTGATAAACCTTGCTCATCTTGCGCTATGAGGGGCGCAGGGGGGAGCTGCGCTTACCCTGATGAGATGGAGGGGGAGGGGTCTAGAGAGGGGGGCAGGCCGGGGATGGGAGTGGGAGAGACACAACCTGGGGCTGGGGCTGGAGCTGGATCGCAAGGGAGCTACCCAGTCGTGAATGGTAGTGGGAGAGCAAGACGCAGGAGAAGCAGCAGTAGAGATTCTCTCCCCGGTCCTTCCTCCCTCTCTGCCTCTGCCTCCAAGCGCAAGCGGCCTACCGAGGGCAGCGAGCAGCGACATCTCTCCCGTGTTCCCCTAGACGGGCCCTCCTCGCGTGAGGATCTAGCAAGACTCGTGACTGGGTTGCAGGAAAGTGTAGAGGACCTACAGAGGGCGGTAGGATCGCATCGCTGTGAGCCTTTGGAGCGACAGACAGTCAGGCCGCACCCAAATCCACTGCCGGGACGATGCTCGGGGGTGTTGCTGGAGAGGATGGTGGCGGCTCTGCCTCCGCAGGTGGATTGTGAGGTTATGCTGGAATACTTGCTGCAAGAGGTGAGAAGTGGAACGAGATGGGGGCAGTCGCTGCGAAAGGTCGCGGGGAATGCTGACCCACTCTTTGTCTCACCCTCTCCTCCAACCCTCCCAGCCCGATTGGTTCGTCGTCTCAGTGACAGCTCCCTACCTCCTCCCCATCTGGTCCCGCTTCATCTATGGAGCTCATCTGCGCGATGTCGAAGTCATCGTCCTCGCTGCCGCCATTTCCGTAGCAGCTGTTCTACTAGACGAGTATCCACACAACTACTACCCCACTACTGTCCCACCAGGACGATGCGTCTCAGACTTGATGGAGCTAGTCTTTTCTCACTGCAGGACTATTGTACGAGAAGAAAGACCACTGGCGGTAGAGAGGGTAGATCTGGTGGACGAGATGATCGTCTCTGGATTGTTCTTTGACTACTTGCGCTTCTCGAGGAAATCATCGGACGCTTGGCCTTGGCATCGGGAGCACCTCTTGCGGTACGTGCATATGTTCCAGCTCATGCCTGATGAGAGCTCACAAGCTTGGCAGAGCTTCGATGGACTGGAGAGGGACTTGATCAGGAGAGTCTTGTGGCACACCATCATCTGTCTAAGGTGAGTACTGACCGACATGGGCCTCGGTGCGCTTCTTCTCTGCTTATACTTGTACCCTCACGTCTTCAGAGTTTCGAATCTCTACAATGATGGGTTTGATGTTCTCGAAATTCGAGAAGAGAATCTCAAGATCAGACTCCCCGGCTTCCAACCCTCGGAAGACGCCGATGCTCCGCTGATCTTCACTGCTTCACCGGCAGGACTGGACGAGACGAGCAAGATCACCCTCAAGGCACCGTCCAGATCGATTGTCAGGCTACATCGAGGGAAATCATCGGAAGAAGTTGCGGACTCGGCCTTCTCCTTCAAGAGAGCAGTCTCATTGACTGCAAAGATCCCCAGCATCAGAGACTACGTCAATGCATTCAAGAGCTGGCAAGTGAGGAGACTGAAGCAGTTGCGGTTCGAACTTCGCAAAGGCTCTCCTGCACCAAGCCTGGATCATCATCGCGAAGCACTGTTGCATCAAGCTCTGGCCCTCACGCGCGATTTGAAATTCTGGAGGGATCAGTGGGTCAATACACGGTGGCCACCTGTCACCTACCTAGAGGACACTAGTGACTTTATGCTCCTTCGTCAAGCGAACAAGGCGTCCATCATACACATCGCTATCGCTCAGTGTCTGAGCGCTATTCTTATCCCATGGCTCACGGAAGACGTCAGCAATAGGGATGGCGGACCTGAATCGCCTTTGCTGCTAGAGGTACAACGCGAGGCATACGAGAGTGTCAGAGAGATTGTCCAATCCATCGATGCCACACGCGCACTGGTTACCAGCGGCCTAGTCACCTACTTTGGAAGCTTCGCCGCCTACGCCTTCTTCTACGCCGCTACTGCCCTCGCTGTTCCCCTGGTGGGAGCATGGACGTTGCGCCAAGAGCCCAAAAATGCAATGGGCAGGTATGGCAAGATTCAGCTGCACGATCGATATACTGAGCTGAAGCTTCAGCAGAAGAAGCCTAATGCCGGAGTTGGAACCGAGAGGGCGTTTGAGGACGATGATGACCAGGATGGAATCTCGCTCATGGCTCCCTCGACCTCTCTGGTCTTTACCGCAGAGGAGCTACGGAGTATGGCAGCAGACCTGATTCGTATCCTCGACATCCTCCCTGCCTTTAGGGCAAGTCCACTCAGCAGAGAAGCACGACAGCGGCTCAGCTACCTGGTGGAGACGTTTGGCATCCAGCGCAGGGCAGAGGGAATGACTGGACCTCCCCCTCCTCCTTCCCTCGATGGGCAAGGACTCGGAACCTCGGACGTACCCACTCCCTTCACATTCGATGCCTTTGGCCGTTCTCTACTAGGGGACAATCCATTCGCCGTACCCGGACCAGGGGCAGGAGCGCCCCCTTTATCCTCTTCCACCACCACTGGCTCCAGCTCTACTCCTGCCTGGACACCAGACAATTCCACCACGACACCTGCAGCAATGTCCACCACGACGGGAAATGCGGCGTATGCTCCTCCTGCGCCTGTTGCGGCTACGGGAGGAGAGATGTTGGATGCGCTCATGCAGTTTGATAATCAGTGGTGGGAGAAGATGCTGGGTACGGCGGGGAATCCGGATCAACAGCAGCAGCAGCAGCAGGGGGCGCAGGGAAGGGCGGGGTGATTGGAGCGGGGAATTGTAGAGTTCTGTAGATCTGCCAATGTCACCACTTTGGTAGCTTCACTCTGTCTCTATACTATCGTGACATACTGCGACATTTGTGCTCAACGGAGAGCTGAGCAATGTCGTTCTTGAGGAGCTGAGCAACCGCACTCCTATTCGGGCTAGGCGCTGAGTACAGCTATGGCCAGTCATTGAGAGATGCGCACAAGGTAGCCGCACTCACTATGATAGTCCAGAGCAACAGACGGGAGCTAGTAATCGCTCTACCAGACTCTGTATTGTACTGAGAGCTGCACCATCATAGCGCTGTGTCCCGACTGGGTAGACTATCTCAGCGTGACCGACGAACGTTCGCTTTCGCAACGCTGTGAAGATCGAGGAGGAGCTCAGCTCAGCGTCTAGCTTACCCTCCTCTGATCCGCGGAAGCAGGAGTGAGGCAAGCGACCGCGGGGCCCCACTCCCGCGGAAAGGCGCTAGACTAGTCTATCTGGACGCGCCACGAGACTAGATTAGCGAGCTGAGCATCCTTGCCAACTTGACTGGCTGGGTGCGCTCCCTTGCTGGCTCAGTACGGTACACCGTCATCGTTGTGCGCCTGGGCTGGGCGAAACCTGATACTCACAATCTGCGCTCCCCTCTTTTCTTGGGCTCAGTCAATCATGTCTGTCGCTTCGCCCCGCTTATGCAACCGACTAAGCCACGTCCAATATTCTTTCCCCACGCACTCAGGCGCGTCCTGAATCTAGATCGTGGCCCCACTTGACCACCTAGATCATCATCATCATCATCACTCCGCGGAGCCTGGAGTTTGTGAGATTCAGGGAAAGGGAAGGAAGGGCGGCCCGCGGCGGCCGCTTGCCAAGGGATGATTTCAGGCAGATGGCGGCCCTGCAATCCCGCCAGAGGGGAGTCTAGTCTAGCTTACGCCAAAGGGATTGGGGAGAAAGTCAGACGCACAGACTATCCCGCGTGTTATATATAGCCGGCGGGGGAAATGCTGCAGGAACGAGGAGGAGAAGAAGCCACGAACAAACAGAATCATTGCCGCCACTTCTCCTTGCCAGCCTTTCTTGACCGCCGTCTTCACACTCTCGGTCCCAAGTCAAGTCGACCATGACGAGTCCATCATCTGAAAAGGTGGTGCTGGACAAGGTGCCCGAGACACCCTCTACAGGAGACTTCACCTGGACAGACATCGTCTATGACATTCCCCTGCCAAAGAAGCAGCGCAAGGCGGCCATCGCTGGTGCCCACGATGTCGAGCAAGGTGACACAACAGAGCGACGCCAGATTCGCGAGGCGGCCAAGCCGGGCGATCGGCGCATCCTCTCTGGTGTATCAGGAGGCGTGAAGAGAGGGCAGACCATGGCCATCCTAGGCGCGTCGGGCGCGGGCAAGACGACGCTGCTCAATGTCCTCTCGGCGCGTCTGGACTCCCTTGGTACCCTCTCGGGAAAGGTCCTCTTCATGGGTCGACCGCGAGACAAGACTACTTGGAAGCGGACAGTTGCCTTTGTTGAGCAAGATGACATCATGCTAGGCTATCTCACAGTGGAAGAGCAGCTTCTATACAGCGCCAAGATCCGTTTGCCCTCTAAACTTTACGACAACAAGACAAAGTTACAAAGAGTTGAGGATACCATTTCGATGCTGCGTCTAGAGAAGTGTCGAGACACCCGCATTGGAGACGCTCAGACAAGAGGTGTGAGCGGGGGTGAGCGCAAGAGGACAGCAATCGGCGTCGAGCTCGTGACCAATTCTCAATTACTGCTGCTAGACGAGCCCACCTCCGGTCTAGACGCCTTTGCAGCGCATTCCGTCATCGAGAATGTGCGCAATGCTGCTCGAGAAAGAGATTTAGCATGTGTCATGACCATTCATCAGCCCTCGTGGGCATTGCTCAACCTCTTTGACGTCGTTCAACTCTTGGCACAGGGAAAAGTCTACTACGATGGTACTCCAGAGGACACAATTGCTTGGTTTGCCAGCATCGGCTACGAGGTGCCAAAGGGCGCTAATCCCGTCGACTACTTTATCACCATTGCGGAGAATCCTGGAAAGACGGAAGAGGGAGAGAAGAGGATTCAGGATCTCATTGCTTCGTGGGCTACCAGGCCTCAGGCTCAGAGAGCTAGCAATGCTAGCGAGGATGCAGTTGCTAAAAGTGGAACTCAGACACCTGCACACAAGGGCCCCACGGTTGGAGAAGATCATCAAGATGACTCGGTCAATCGAGAGTGGCCGGCACCCTGGCTGGCTGAGCTAAGGGTCTTGACAGTGCGCAACTATCTATCCGTGGTGAGTAGCTGCCTGAGTGATCTACCGGCACAGGAGTCAGCCGCATCTGATACATCTGGACTTTGCCATATTCATCCCAGGTCCGCGACTTGCTACCACTCTATGCATCGATAGGACAGAACATCGTCCTATTGATCATCATCGGCTTCGCCTTCTTCAGGCTAGGTCGGTCACAATCTGCTGTACTAGCGCGCATCGGCGTCCTCTATTATGTGAGCATCACATCACGGTGATGACTATGTCCGTTGACGTCCCCGGAGTGCGATTTACTGACATCATAAACTCTTCTGCATCCAGCTTGCCATCAACACCGCCTTCACAGTCCTCTTCCCTGTCCTCACCCCACTAGCCCTCCAGCGAGCCCTAATGAAGCGCGAGCGCTCCTCGGGGGCCTATCGCATGTCGAGTTTCATCGTCGCAAAGATCCTCGTTGATGTTCCCAGCAACGTCCTGAGGATCTTGCCCTTTTTTGTCATCCTCTACTGGATGATTGGATTGAGGGCAAATGCCGCGGCGTACTTCTTGTTCATTGCCATCAATTCCATGCAGGTGGTCATGGCTGTATGTGAGTAAATAGCCGGGTCCAAAAGCGTACATCATTTCATCCTTCTTACTGACATCGAATCTCTCATCTCCTACGTCCTCCACAGGCATGGGTCTCCTCATCGGCTGTCTCTCCCCCACCATCGAGGTGGGTCAGATCATTGCTCCCCTAATAAACGTCATCTTCCTCCTCTTCGGTGGGAACCTCCTCCCCGCTCCACCTCCCTGGTTCATCTGGCTCCGATACACCTCTCCCATCACCTACGTCTACGCTGCCCTTTCCCAAAACGAGTATCGTGGTCAAACTTTTGACTGTGATGTAAAGGATGCAGCGCAACAGTGTTACACTACGGGAGAGCAGGTGTTGGAGCAGTACAACCTGCAAGACTTTTCCATTGCGGCAAATGTGGGATTTGTGGCTGCACTCGCAGTCGTTTGTGCACTTTTGGCGTATGTGGCGCTGCGGGTGGTCGCGAGGCCGCGATTTCGATTCATCTAGAAATCGATGGGATGGAGGACGATGGGACTGCCTTTGTCATCTCCTGTGCCTTTTTTTGCAAAGCCTCCTACCGTTGCAGCAAGACTTGTACAGTACTTATCGCCATCGGCCACACTGTCGCAGGAGCAATAGAAGAAGATTCATATCTGTAGTGTCTATACCATACACTTAGAATTTTCGATTGCCCGAACTACCCAGCACCATTCCCTGTGAATTATGATCCACCCTTCCTGGCCCTCCTCCTCCTCCTTCTTCCTTTCCCTCCCCTTCTTCTTGATCAGGCAGTCCCTTCTGCTCCTCAAAAGCCCTCACGCTCTCCTCCATACTGAGCTCACGCCAAGAGAAGCGTTCCCCTCCTCCGAGAACTAGTGTCCGCACCTCGTGAATTGCCAATGCCTCGATTTCCACGCGGGAGAGTGGGAGGGAGGAAGGCTCGGCGAGAAACCCTTCGAGGTCGCTTTGCGAGTAGTGTGGGACCTCCCTGAGCTTATCTGCAAAGTGGGAAGTTTGGTATACTCTTTTAGCAAGGGAGACACGTTGCGCTTCTTGGAGCGGCGCTGGGGAGGAGGAGGAGGAGGAGGAGGAGGAGGAGGAGGAGCTGCCGGTGAAGGATGTGGGTAGGAGGGAGTAGAGGAGGAGAAGATCGAGGTATTGCGATGGATGGGAGAGCTTACTGCTCAGTGTAGGCATCGTTGAGTCTCCAGATCCAGATCCAGATCCAGATCCGGAGGGAGAGGAGGTCCAGAATGTCTGGAACAGGGGAGGAGGGGATGAAGAAGAGGAAGAAGAAGAGGAAGAGGCGAGAGCGTAGACGTCTGTGTACCAACACTTCTCACCCAAACATCATCGTGCGGATAGATCAGCTCCTCAGCTCCTCTCCTTTCTACGCTCTCATCTGCCTCTCCCTCTCCACTCTCCACTCGCTCACTCCTTCCAACTCACCTTTGCATTCCCCCAATCTCCCTCCAATCGATGCAACAAGCCATGTCCCCAATCCAACTCTCTCCTCCCTCCCTGTCCCTTTCTTACAAGGAAATGCGCACTGTAGAGATCCCCATTGGCCAAGTGGAGAGCAGCTTCGAGTGCTGGGTGGAAGGAGGAGGAGGCGATTGGGGAGGTGAGTTCAGGGAAGGTGGGCTTGGAGTGGGAGAAGTGGGGAAGAGGGTAGATTGGGATTGGAGAGGGGGAGGAGGAGAAAAGGGGAGAGAGGAAGGAGGGTGGGGATGACATTTTCCCGATCGGGAGCGAGGGAGGGGGGAAAGCTAGCAGACGAGGAGTGGTCCTTAAATGCTACGGATCAGATACGTGCGTTGAAAGGTGAATGGTAGTATTACAAAGGAAGATGTTGGTATGATCTTCTGCTTCTTCAGATGAGCTGACGGCAGCACCACCAGCACCAATGATGGAGTAGGGTAAGCGCAAGATCCTCGACCAGGACCCGCTTCTTCTCCGCTCCGCACGAGCCTCCACATCTCCTTCCGCTCTCACCGCCTTGGCCTGGGTACAGTACGAAGAGCGACCTTTGGTCCACCCCGCCACGGGCAAGCTCCTAGAGCTCACTCGCTCACTTCCTCACTTCCTCACTCACTCTTCGTCCTCCCCAGCCAGACTCATCTCCATTGCTCTCCTCAGCTCCTCCCTCTCCTCCTGTGTCAGCCCATCCATCCCTTCCACCTCTCCTCCACCCTGCGCTGCCGCTTCTTCTTCTTCGTCGCGCTGTAGAGCCCTTTCGGCTGGCTGCAGCTCTCTACGGGGAGAGAGTGGGCCACCCTCACCAGCAGTGCCATTGGTGTCTTCAGAAGGCAAAAGGGCGTCTAGATCTTCGTCGTCGCCCTCCAGATCAGCTCTTTGACGATGGATCGATTGCGCTTGAGCATGCAGTCGAGCGGCCGCATCAGGGTGCTTCTCTGACGCTTCTGCTCCATTTTCCCTGCGCGCTCCATTCGCTGTACTACTGCCACCCGTAGGCGCCTCTAGCAGTGCCAATTCCTCCTCATTGAGCTCAAAGCCCTCATCGGAAAGATCGCCAAACTCGTCAGGCGGTGGCGCGGGGGGACGCGGCTCAGACTGGGCCTCTTGATTCTTGTCTGCAGAACGAGCCAAGAATCCACCGGGTCCATCATCGCCGCCTAGACCGTCGAGAGCTTCTTGAGCGTCCAGATCTTCGTTCTCTGCCGCTGTGAGAGAAGCGTCGCCTCTTCCACCTTCCTCCTCTAGGCGGGCAGCTTTGCGCTCCCTGTAAGTGCGTCTTTCGTCTGTCCGAAATCTGAGAGATTGAGAGAGGGAGGAAGGGCAGGGGTGAGTTACAGCACTGGAAGCTATGGGAGGATCGTCGCGAGACTCACGGAGTGGTGAAGGCTTCCCTCAGACGCTTGATCTTGATTTCTCCCATGCCAGGGATGTCTGACAAATCATCTGCGGTGGCTTGGGAGATGTTCCGAATTGACTACAAGGGATGGATTGGCGGCGGCAGGAACAAAACTTAGTATGCAGAGCTCGCAGAAGACTGTGGTCATACGGCCTGTGTCCACTCACCCCGAATTTTGCCATGAGAGCGGTAGCATCCGCCTTGTTGACCCCTGTAGGCTGAGTGAGGACATCGCTCATCCTCTCCCTCTGCGTCTCCTTTGGCCTTCCCCTAATCAATTCTGCTCCTTTAAACTCGCACATCTTGTATTTTTCAAGCCATTGCGCTGCCTCTTGCGGTGTCCACGCGAGCAACAGAGTGAGATTATTAACGATTGAGATTTTTGTCAATTCGCGAATCGCAGGCTCGGAGCTGGAGGCATCTACGTCGTGCTGCAGGATGAGCAGACGATGCGAGTACATTCCGCTGATGGCCTTTATACGCTGATGGATGTACTCGGGATGTAAGCGGTGGTATTTCAATTGGAGGAAGAGGGCGCAGGTGGACTGGGCGATGTGGTAGTCTGGCGCAATCTCGGCGTGCTCCCAGCGTTGGTGGGTGAGCTCCTTGAGCAGAGGGTTGCCCTTTTGCTGTGGGTGGGCGAGGATGGAGGAGCCCGAGCCTACTGACGAGACGATCTTGGGTGCGAGGGGCCGTGAAGAGGGTCCAGCAGCGGCGCTATTATTATTGTTGTTGTTGTTGTTGCTGGTAGACGCGGAAGTGGTGGGCTGAACGCTGTTCTGTATTGCTGGACCCTGAGCTGGAGGGGCGACTGCAGTGGGAGCGACCGCGGTGGTTGGAGGAGCAGCCTTGTTGGTGGGCTTTGGCTGTACCACTTTTGGGCGAGGGACTCGGACAGCCGCAGCTCCATTGTTGTCCGCCATTGTCTGCACCGCACTCCAGGGGTCCTGCTGAGGAGGAGGAGGACGAGGGTAGCGGGAAGAATTGGTGTGGAGTGGTGAGAATGAGCGGGAGTGTGGGGAGTGAGCGGCGTGGATCGGAACGGAAAGGGCTCGGATGTGTCGCGCGACCGGGAGATTGCGAGAAAGAGCCGGTGGGGCATCGCCTTTGGGTCTCACGCTCTGCCTCGGCGGAAGCCACTCGGCCCTGGTGAATTCCAAATGCTCATGGACGCCTTGACCTCGTGACCATCCATCCTCGTCCACGATACCCTCCAGAACATCATCATACTCTCCCTCACCATGGCGGCATGGTCACATCGCCGCCCCAGGGCATCCTCATCGTCGTACTCGACGCAGCGCAAGGCAGCTCTCCTAGCAGGACTCTTTTGCCTTGCCCGTATCTGCGTCGCTTCGCCTCTAACTGAACACCAGCAGCAGCAGCAGCAGCAGCAGCAGCAGCAGCAAGTCGCCTTCGATGCCCACCTTAACCAGGCGACAAGTGCAGAATATAGCGATGGCGTAGCCTGCATAGGTCATGACTTCAGCACCTGCAGATTTGCCTCCTCTCCCTCCTCTTCCTCCTCCTCCTCCTCGAGCTCGTCTGCGTCGAGCTCATCACTCAATCTTCATCGCATGTGCATCCCCTCCTCACAGTCCTCGCAATGGGCCACCTCGGTCCTTCCGGCCTTTGAGGCGCTCGCAATCAGAGAAAGAGATCTTCCCCTGGACATATGGAAGTATCCATACAGGATGCACCTGGTCTACCCCGATAACGGCGAGCCTGAGGAGGAGGACAAAGAATGCATCGTCTTTACCTATCCTAGCTCCGATCTGGCCGAGGCTCACCTCGATGACCTCGTAAGCAATCTGCCTGTCAGCTCAGTGCTGAGCTGGCAGCTTCTGGCCGACAACGAAGAGCTGGCGAGAAGAGTGGAGGAACAGAAGCGCCAAAGTCTACCAAAGGAAGACACATCAACGTCCGAAGAGGAGCAAGAGGAGGGGGAAGAAGAGGATGATGTAGCCATTGCAGGGCGTAAGGCGAGGAAGAGTAAAGGGAGGAAAACCAAAGGCGGGCGCAAAGACAAGCAGACAAAGATTGTGGATGACCATTTCCACAATGGCTACCACGCGCTGGAAAAGTGAGTTCGCAACTCCTGCTACGGGATAGAAGGCAGACACATGCGTATAGCGAGAGATACTGAGCCCCTAGCCCCTGTCCCGCTTCCAGTATCACTGCTTTCCTATCATATCAAGCCTCTCAAAGACCACAGGTCATCGAGCTCGTGGATATGGGCCTGACGTACGAGAACAGGACCATCCAGGCTGTGAGGCTGGGCAAGAAGCATGGACGTCATGGCCAGCCAAAGAAGGAGATTGTCATTACTGCTGGGAGTCATGGACGAGAGGTGAGTTCGTGGCAGAGCAACGACTTCGTGTTGACCTGCGGCTGATGCGATCCCCCTTACCTCCTCCTTCTCTTCCCTCTCAGTGGGTGACTACCTCCACCTCCCTCTACCTCCTCTCTGCGCTGCTCGAGCCCTCTTCTGCCCCTCTCCTCGAGACTTTCTCAGTGCTCATCATCCCCACGCTCAACCCAGACGGCTACGCCTACACCTGGACCACGGATCGTTTCTTCCGCAAGAACCGCCAACTGGTCTCGGAGCACCGCGATTGGCTGGGCCGCAAGTGCTACGGAATGGACATTGCTCGCTCTTTTCCCACGAATTTCAAGCCGGCTCTTCCCGGCTCATGCGGACCCACATACGCAGGTACCACCCCGCTCCAGTCAGCGGAGAGTCAAGCGCTAGCCTCATACCTCCGCAACGAGACAAACGAGGTCATTGCGTACGTGGACCTACATTCCTACGGGCAGCTCCTCCTCTACCCCTGGATGTCCTGCCGTCCTTCCTCCGGCGACGGACCAGACATGCCCGACGAAGAAGACCTATCCGAGCTCGCCCTCGGCGCTGCACGCGAGGGACGCTACGCCCACAACAAAGCCTACCGTGCAGGCCGTGGCTGTCAGACAATGTACAATCAAGACGGCTCTTCGGTTGATTTCGCTCACGAAGAGGCACGCATCAAGTGGAGTTTTGAGCTGGAATTGAGAGATGAAGGGAGCTATGGATTCACACTGCCGCCGGAGATGATTAGGCCGACAGGAGAGGAGAGCTGGAGGATGATCAAGTACCTGATGCGCTTTGTACAGGAAAAGGAAAAGCTCTAGGCTGTGGCCGGGGCTGTGGCTGGGGGACCAACACATCTTGGAAAATGAGCGACAAGAAGGGAGGCGGAGGGAATACGTTGGAGAGAGGGAGGCGTCAAGAGCGCTTTGCTTATCCATGTCACTGCTATATTCGTAGTCACCACGGTCTTTTCACGTAGGCGCTTCTAATTGGATTCGTTTGCTCATCACTGATGTGTCATTTGCGTTCGTCTAGGGACAAAGTCTACCAGTGATTGTCAACGTGGTGACAGCGGCATTTCACTCAACCCACACATGCTGACACCTCGCGAGAAATATGCCAGTGTATGCTCTCTTCCTGCCCCCTTTACCTCAACACTCAGGAGCTCCTTGGATGCTCAGTGCTCAGTGCTCAGTGCTCAATATCCTCCCAAGATCTTCCCACCGTCTTTTTCAAGTCTTCTTCCGTTACAGGTCCCGCTTTACCACTATAATAACCCATTGCAATCTTGGCTTGAATCTCAACTTGACTATCCGTTGGAATCAATTCGGCAGGAATCTCGTAGCGACGGCCGACTCGGATGCCGGAAGAGATGATGGCGTCGTACTTCATGTCGCTCATGGAGATGAGATTGTCGATCTGTGAGGGGGATGGGGGGATGGGCAAGAACAGTAAGTGAGACGTTGTTGAGCGTGCCTAGTGCAAGGGGACTGTCAGCCCACCCTCCAGCTCGAACTCACCTTTGTGATGCCCAACCAGTTGAGCACATCAGGCATCAACGCCTGGAATCGTGCATCCTTCAAGCCCGCTACTCCCTCTGTTCGCTTGAAGTAGGTGCTGGCACTATCGATTCCTCGCTTTCGGGCATTGTAAACGAGGTACTTTGTTACTTCGCCTAGAGCGCGACCTTCCTTGCGGAAGTAGACGATGCAGCCTACACCGCCTCGCTGAGCGCACTTGATTCCCTCGAGGATGCCGTACACCAAGTAGGGACGGCAGGTGCTGTGAATAGTGAATAGATGGGGTGGGAGGCAGACAAATAGAAGAAAGGTCAGCGAAGCGCTGCTAGACGTCTGTATGCTGACATGGCGACTTACCAGATGTCACTTCCGAACGTGTCGGAGCCGCTATTGACGGGGAAAAAAGCAGAATTCAATCAGCACCAGCACCGCTTCGCTCTCGCCCCCATTGCATGACCTCATCTACTCACTTGCACTCATCGTGCACTCTGACAGTGACCTCCTTCGTAGGGTCTCGAAGATACTCTGGCGGACCAAAGATGTAGACGGTCAGACCATTGATGGGTGGTAGGAATACCTTGAGGTCGTGACGGGTGAGGAGCTCAGGGTACGATCCGCCCGAGTCCTCGAAGAGGGCTCGACGGAGCAGACCTTCTGGGACGCCGAGGCGTTCCGCTACACCTGGGAGGTACCTGGAGCAAGTGGAAGCCGAGGGACAGGCTGGTCAGTGGCCGTCAACAAGCACCTCTACCAGTGTTCTCTGCTCTGATGCTCACCAGACGGGCTCAACAGCGGCCTTGGAAGTGTTGATCTCCACTCCGGGATCGGTGCTGGGATCCTGTCCCGGCAGATGCGTCGACGGTACCACAATCTTCCCGTCCACATGCAAATTACCAACCATAATCGCCTGATCCAGTTCAGGCATCTTGATATGTGCCCGAGTCATAGCAATCGTCGGCCTCACATCCACACCAGCGTCAAATTCGCTCTTGAAGAGCTGGGGAGCAAGATGACCCCACGGGTCGAGGGAGACGATCTTTCCCTTGTCAAACCAGGTTGGATTGGGTGGAATGTCAAAAGAGGGTTCCGTGTTGGTGAAGTCGGGACGATGATTGGGATCAAGTTGACCCATGGCGGTTGCGAGGGCGCGGTAGATGGAGTAAGATCCACCGTACGCACCGAGGGCGTTGCGGATCTTGATACTGTGAAGCAGAAAGTGATGCAGAGTGAGATCGATTGCGTCACACAGCCCAGCTCTTCGTGCTGTATCGCTCACCTGTTGGGGTGTCTAGAAGCCACCACGGGTCCTCTGGACTTCCAGTCCTTTGCGGCCCACTCCATTGGCAGTGGTCGAATACCCGGCTGACCAGGGTGAGTGGTAAGAATGACCCTCTGAGGGTAGATAGAGGCCACAATCGGATTCGGAGTGACCGTACCTGCAGCTGATGGCGGGATCTCACCGGAAATGGGTGGGATGCTGCTGCTCAGTGCGAGCCCTAGTCGAGGTGAGGTGGGCTCGAGGGCATTGGGAGAGGTGACTGGGGTGAGGCCAGAGGAAGAGTATCTTCGGCTGTGCGAAGACGATGAAGCAGTCAAGTTGTCGAGCTGTACCGAGAAGGAGACAAGGCGTGGTCTCGTATCAGATGTGGCCATCCGTTGTGACATGTGAGCGTATCAGTGCGCCTATCTCTCTCCCTCACCTTTGCTTCCAGCTGGTCATTCTTGAGACGGAGTGCTTGTAGCTCACGAAGGATGCCTTCGAGGACGTTCGTGTCGCCATTGAGTGTCATGGTGATGGTGGAAAGACGTTTGTGTCTCAGCAGAGTATCAGAAGGTGATGGCAGTGGGAATGGTAGATGGTAGTGTTTGGGGAACAAGACGTGCGTGGTGCGGATGCGATGTTTAGCTTCGGGAGATTAGCGGCACGCACGGCCCTCGCTCGGCTACACACGGACCCACGGCATCCCGGCCCGGAGCGGCGCACGTGGAGCGCCAAGCAGCAAGACTTCTCCGACGCTCCCGACGCTGCCGCCTGTCTGTCGGACCGCATCTTGCCCTCCTCGACAAGGGACATCGATAACCACCAAGGCTGAACCTCGGGTCCGCCCAAGTCCAAGCAGTCACAAGATATGGCTCCTCCATTGCAAGTCGTCTTCCATTCCCATGCCCACGCATGATTCCTTCCATCTGAGCATGAGTAACGAGCGTTGTTGTTATACGCCGATGGCCAGCCGCCCGAGGAACCTTCACCAGCAACTTCAGGTCAGGGGACATCAGCTGCCTTGTTCTTGTCCGTGTCCTTGATGAATCAGCGTAAGCTCAAGCGAAGAATCTCCTCGTTTGTCGTTCTATCTCCGTGCTTGCATGTCTAATCCGCCCAGGGAAGCGAGGGTGGCTGACTCGAGACGCGCCCTAGGACGCTGTGCCTCATATGTGCCCCTTTACGCGCGAACGCGTCGCGTGTGAAAAAATTCCATTTGCAGGACGCGACCATCGGCCTGGCCCTTGCCCTTTTCGCTTGGCCAGGTCCCGCTTCCGTCGGATGAAGGTGAGTGGTGGTGCCGATCCTATCGCTGCACCCCTTCCCACCGCTTTCCTTGTTCCCGCGTTCCCATCCTTTGTTTCCCCACGTTTGCTGCAATACTCCTTCCGATCGACTTGGGGTCCTTGCCAGAGCTACCACCTCACCCATCTCTCCCCACAACCGACCCAGCAAGGGCACTGGGACCAGAGCCTCTTATCAGGGTCTCCTCTTTCCTTTCCTTTCTCTTCATCCCCATCACCTCTTCTATTTCTCCATCGTACGGCCCGAAAGACACAAGCCCGCATCTTCGCCCCTCTCTACCTCACCTACTACTGCCGCCACCCAATCAACCCCCATGGCGCTCAACTTTTTGCCAGTGGGCAAGCCCTCCTACGGCATGGCCACCCCACCCACTTCAAAGCCCTCACGGCCGCTCGCTCCCATCAACACCACTACCACAACCAAGTGCACTACGCCTCGCAAAGCTTACTCGCCGCCACTCACCCCAGTCGAGAAGCCGGCCAATCGACCCTTTGCAGAGACTGGCGGGATGCCCTGGGCACCTGAGAGGAGGGAGAAGGTCAGACAGAGTGGTATTTCGCGGCGTCAACAGGATGTCAGCGACTTGAAGTCACCTCTGGACCGACGTGGGTCCAAGACGTCACAGGGTCCGCTCATGGAGTGGTTCGCCTGCCGGGAGGAGGAGAGCGATGATGACGACGAGGTCAGCAGGATGGACGGGCCTATGCCTGCCAGAAGATTATTCTTCACTCCGGCTGCTCAAGGTACTTCGGGCAACTTGAAGCTCAAGGAGAGGCGGTCTGGAGGAGTGGAAGACAAGATCTCAGAAGTCCACCAGCCACGACTGCTGCCTTCTCTGATGCTCAGCCCTTCGCAATCGTCTCGGAGGGCAGACACTCGACGCAGCCAGGTCCCCCAGTCAGCACAGATGAGCAGAGCCTCCTCTGCATCGTCTCGCATGATGGATCCTCCCACTCAGGTCTCGTCGTCAAGCTCAACATCTGCTGCGACTTCCACAAGTATCCCTCCTCCCTCATCCGTCGGTGCTTCGTCTTCGGCAGTCTCGTCGCTCTTGTCGCGCAGAAGGTCCACCCGCCAGGGCAGCCAGACTACCTCTTCCTCGCCCATGACCCGTGTTCGATCGAGCTCCAACGCCCTCGCCCTCTGCACCGACGTCCCGCCTTCTCTCAGCTGCTGCTCCGCCGGCGCAGCGATCGGTACATCGACTTCGGGCAGTCTGATGTCCTCCTACCCCTCTTCGCCTCTCTCCACCTCCATGGGTCGCTCTCGCTCCAACTCATCCGCGAGCTCACAGATGGACTATCCGCTACCGCACCCGCACACTGCGGGTCCTTCGCCCATGCTCACACGTCTGCAGTCCTCGAAACTCCCCCGCGGACGGTCCCGCTCCTCTTCCCTGTCCCTTTCCACCACGCCTGGCAGCGTCACCTCCCGCAGGGGAAGGACGATGACTCCTGATTATTTTGGGGCGTGGGAGGCGAGCGTGCCTCTGGCGCAACGGAGGGGGAAGCGGGTGGAGATTCTGCGACAGAGGGAAAGGGAGAGGGAGAGGGAGATGCAGTTGGAGAGAGAGGCAATGGAGTTGGAGAGAAAGAGGAGGAGAGTACTCAGAGATAGTAGGAGGGGCGTTTGAGTAGGTGGGTGGGCGAGCGAGCAGGATGGCGATCCATACGCCAACCGCCCCGCCCCACGTCATCCCGCTTCGGTCCGTTGCCCTTCGTGCGCGATGTTATAGACTTCCAATTATATACCGTAACTGTGTCCACCACCATCTCTTGTGATACCTGTCTGCTTCGTCGTCTCCGTAGGTGCGATGCTTGGTAGAATCGCGTGGCAGAGGTGGAGGCGGACGGATGACTTGATACGGAAGCACAGAATTCTATCCGCTCCGATGAATGCAGCCTTCCTTACTTCCTTCCACCGTCTCCTAATAGCCAGTACTAGCACTCCCTCCCAATCCCAATCCAATCCCATCGAACTCCGGCAGACATGGGCGGCGCAGCATCCAAGGCCACTCGCTCCCTACCCAAGACGACTTCGTCCGCCGGCAGCAGCAGCAGCAGCGCTACCGGTACCGCCTCTGCCTCTCTCGCTCGCGCAGCTACCGGTGCCTCCCGCCCCGCTCAAGCAAGCGCCGGCACCAGCACTTCAGGTCCAACTCCCTCTGCCGACTCGAGATCTCAGACTTCCCCGCTCGATGTGGCTGGGCAATTGGGCCAGACGGGTAGAGATGCGGGTCCTTTGAGGAATACGGGGAGAGGGGGGGATCCTAGACAGGTGGGACCGGTTGTGGAGAGGAATGAGCCGGGCAGGGAGGAGAAGGATGATGGTGAGTGGTCTGGCTAGGACGAGCGCATGGTAGAGTACACCAAGGCCTGGCTGTACTCATGAGCTCATCGACTCTTCTCGTACTCTCGTCCACAGTGATCCGCCGCGACGCCTTCGATCCAGACTTCATCTCTCAGCTCCACACCCTCGGACCCGTCAGCGTGGATCGTCCACCCTGGTCAGGTCCCTCTGCCTCGGAATCTCGTGCAGCCTCGACTCGTGAACAACCGCAGAATATCACTGGTGGTCCTGCAGGAACGTCGGCGACTGGCAAGACGACGAGGGGTCAATCTCAGATGTTGCGTATATTGCAAGCAAGGCAGGAGAGGGAGGATTCGCTTGCGTTGGAGCACGAGAGGAGCATGGAGGCCAGCGGCAGCCGCACTGGAAGCTCAGCTTCTGGTGCTTCTCCTTCGACCCGCACACTAGACGCACCTACCCTCAGTATGCTCCTCGATGAGCTCAAGTCCGCCCGCAGCCCAAGCGATGTGCAAACCCTCTGCCATTCGTACGATTTTGATGCTCAAACCCTCGCAATGCTCACTAGGCGGTTTAACTCGCCGTCGATTGGTGGAAAGGTGGAGTCGGAAGAGGAGGAGAGAAAGTGGAGTGAAGAGAGGGACGCAGATAGGCCACCGAGGATGTATGCTGTTTGGAGGGAGGGCAAGATTGGGCTGGAGAGGGCAGCTGCGGGGAAAAGTACATGAAAGTAGAGATAGGGAGAGTTGATAAGATTTCTTTTTGCGAGAGGGAAAGCTATGAACACATAAGGGTGATGCCTTTGTAGTCTACAGTGTATCCACGCATTGCCTACTTCTACCGCAACCCAAAAGCAACATCAAATCCGCTCGAGTCACCAACGCCATTCGCCTCGCCTCCAGCATCCTCGCCCCTCCGCATCAGCCAACCAAAGAGCACGCCAACCTTCTCCCTTGCAATCTCCTCCGAGGGGTATCGCGGGAGGAAGAGAGTCTCTGTACATGTAGAGGCAAAAGGCAGTGGCCAACTGGCGGCAGCAGCAGCAGGAGACACACCGTCGTGCTTGCTTGCTCCTGCTTGCACGTGGCTAGGAGGTGGGTCTAGCAAACAGATACGGAAGGGTCTTGCAAGGTTTGCGGCTGGTGGTGGAGGAGGGGTGTGCCGATAGGTCACTCCTGGAGCACTTGTGGCTGGAGCAGATTCTTCTATCACTGCCAGCGGCAGAGTGGACGACGAGGTGACGTAGCGGAGGAGACTTCTCGCCACTCCCAGTTTCTGACGTGAGACCGAGATAGCAGTCTCGCTACCGCTTGTGTACCCCTCGAGCTCCTCCAACTCTGCCACGGCCGCCCAGAACCAGCGGAGCATCTCGTCGTCCTCTGCTCGGCCCAACTCGCTGCTCCTCCGCCCAGAGACTTCGACATACTTCCTGAGATGGGCCACACGCAGCGGGCTCGCGTCGCCCTGAATGACCTCGCCCAGCTCAGATGGGTGCCACTGCGCGAGGTAGGCTCGTCCATCGTCCTCGCTCCCTGTCGCTGGCCAGATACGGGCAAAGCCTCGACGGAGAGCGAGGAGCTGTGGGCGGATGACGCCGTAGAGGTGGAAGTCGGTGAGGGCGCGGACATAGGAGATCCTGTTGGCTGGAGTAACGGGACGATGCTGACCACCTCGTACAAGAGGGAGCGTTTCCGCCATCTGCTCGTCGCCGGTAGAGGGAATTGTGACGGTCCAATTGAGAGAGTATGTCGACTCGAACAAACGTCGGGCAGTATCGTCATCGATGGGAGAGTCTGCTTGGGACAATGGAGCGGCCCATGCGAGCAGCTCGTCGAGGGATCGAACAAGTCCCGGCCTGTACTGAGCCAGATGGAGCAGGTTCTGGCCGACGATCTCTCGTAGTCGAGTCTCGTCCTCAGGAACCTCTTCATTATACGTGCCGCTGAGGCCGGGGAGCTTCGACTGATTGGTCGTGGCCATCACATTCATGACGTAGTCAGGCAAACGGATGCCGAGAGGGACACCATGGTATAAGCTGAGCCCAAGCATGATTCCCAGCGCCTCAGCATGCTCATCGTCGGCCCGGGGACTGATCAGCACAAAGCGTGTCCCACGATCGACCTCTTCTACATCTGTGGCGTCTTGCCCTTCCTCGAGCTCGGCAGGCACGATCGTCTTGCATCGCAGAAGACCAGTGACGACTTCTTGGAACCACTCTTTCCTCAGGCCACCCAGGAGCGAGTCGACGCCTTCTTCACCCTCGAAATGGATGCGTAGCTCGTGCTGCAGAGCATGCGAAGGAGAATGGCTAGACGCAGATTCCGCGTGGCTGTCAAGCTCAGCAAATGCGTCCAAAGTATCTGCGAGAAGACTCTCCCGCCCAATGTTGATCGTAAGCAGCATGCTGTTTGACACGTTGCCCTCTTGTCCCGGCTGAGAGAATGCCGTCTTTCTACGCTCCTGATTAGTTCTCTTCTGTCTCTCTGGAGCATAAAAGGACGACCAGAGAGCTTCTTTCCGAGCTCGTTCCTTGCTCTCGTCGATGCGGCTCCGGAGGAGTCGCAGCTTGTGCCCTATCGGATGCAAGAGAGCGTACTCAGGCCGTCGAAGGATATGGCAGAGGTGCTCATCGCCAAGCAAAATATCTCTATGTGCAGCTATGCCGATTACGGTGTACGCAGCTGGACTGACACGCAGCTTGCGATCTCGTCTTTGTACTGCGTCTGCAGTAGCGTGAATGAGTCTGAGTAGCTCAGCGGTGGTGTCTATGCGGTTGCGCAAGGCCTCATCACCCGATGCCAAACGACATTGCTCGAGGAAGCTGCTCAGACGTCTTGCAATGGCTTTGATGAGGATTGTTTCTCTGCCTTGGGCGCAGAAAGCTCTGAACGCTGCCTCAAGGGCATAACGACGATCTGCTTCTTTGAAGAGGGTGGCAAGTAGCGTAGAGACTCTAAGAAAAGCACCTTGTCTATCCCTGTTCTCCCCCAGTACCAGACATATATGCAAGAGTCTCAGCAAAGCCGCTGCCACTCGAATGCAAGGAGATTCCACCAGCTCCGTACGCCAGAACCGGGCAGTCCGCGCAGCTTGTTCTCCCCGACTGCAGAAGAGAACAATCTTCCGGGAAATGACCTGACTCGCCTCCACATCCTGCACCGAGTCCAAAGCTGCCAACCTCTCCTTGATGCTCTGCTCCGACGGTATTGTGGGGTCTAGCCAATCCGCCGAGAGTACCGAGGCAGGTGATAGCAGATCACTGGAGAGCTTCTCGTAGAGGGGGAACATGGCATCCGGAAGTGGCCGAGGAATAGGATCTCTGAGGTAGTTGGTCTGGATTTGCCTCAAGCTGGCGTAGTAGGCTCGCATGTTGCGGTCGCAGTCGGCGATAACATCTCTGATCGATCTTGTGCCAGTGGGACTCTCCTCCAGATAGAACGCGGCATAGGGAGACTCTCCTCCGTCGCTGTCCTCGTAGGGTGGAGGGGACAATGGTCTTGAAGAGGGCCCAGTGCTGGGTGACTCCAATCCCTCGTCGCCGGCGAGACCCTCTCTACGAGCTCTACCCTTCTGTACCCACGGCGTGTTGTGTCTGCCATAGATCTGTGGTCCACCGCCAGCCGAGAAGTCCTGTCCTTTTGCCTTGTTCTTGCCCTTTGAGGTAGCCCCGGGCTGACTAAGATCCTTGACAATGACTCTACTGAGGCCATACATCTGCGTCTGCCCTCCACTATCGTTACCCACCTCGACGTCAGAGTCGTCGGAAGTACGCTCCAGGTCTTTCATGCCAAAGGTGCCCTTTTTGCGGGAGCTACCCTGATCCAGCTGGCGAGAGAGGACGCGCTCCTCGAGCTCCTGCAGGCGAGTGCGATTGGGGTTCCAGGCTGGACCGCGGAGGGCATTGTGCCATGGTGAATGGCGTGAGCGCTTCGACGCAGCAGACGATGATGACGCAGAGAGTGCTGGGAAGGCGGAAGAGGAGGCGGAAGGAGATGGCGAGGCTGAGGAGGAGGAGGAAGAAGAGGTGGAGGCTGGATTGCCTTGCGGGAGCCATGGGCTGGTGGCGGATTTGCCCCAAACAGACCGCGCAGTGGTGGGTGCTACCGCAGGAGATGCTGTTGATGGTTTCTGCCTTATGTCATGGTCTTCATCGTTGCGCACATCGTCCATGCTTGGCCAGCATATAGTCAAGCCCAGCCTTGTGATGGTCGCCAAAGGATGATGACTTGGGCAGGCTGGACGTCGAGGAGCGGGAAAACGCGTGCATTTCTCCCCTTCCGTCGTGGGTCCGTGCTCAGAACAGCGACGGCAGAGTAGACTCGTTGGGCCTCATCGAGAGAAGTGTTGTGTGTATGCGTGTGTGTCGTTGTACGAGCGAGACAAGGCAGCAACGAGGGCTGCTTCTCCTGGACTCATGCTTGTCTCCCATACGTCTCCTACCACCTCGAGCTCAAGCATGTTCCTCATTACGGCGAGGTGCGCGGAGGCCGGACCGGAGCTCCACGCGGGGTTTCCCTTTCCGTAAGAACGTCTGTGCTCAACGACGGCACTAGATTGAGGGGCCCCTCAGTGTGCGTTGAGGTGTTTGTCGTGCAGATATGAGAGGGCAGCGACCTCTTCCGCTTCCTACTGTACATGCCATCTTCTCTACCTTTCTACAACCTTAACACACTCGTCGAAGCAGACCCGACCTGAGAACCTGCATTCCTGCTAATAGTGCGCCCGGTGGATTGTCAACACTATGGGCAAACGTAAACGTGATAAAGTCTCTTCATCTTCCGGTCGAGCTCTGGGATTTCATTGTACGATGGGCATGTCAGGGCTCCGGTCCTCGTGGGCTTGCAGATATTAACTTCAAGATGGCTTGCAGCCTAGCCTTGGTCTCCAAGAGATTGTACAGCCTCATGATCCCGCTCATTTACACTCACGTGAGACTGACGAAGCCATCTGACTTGCTGCTCTATGCTCAGACCGTCTCGAGCAGACCCTGTCTATCTCAACACACAAGAAGCCTCTGGATTGGACCCGACGAAGACCACGTGGAATCTCGAAATTGCTGGCCTCTCAATGAATATCGCACAGCCATGATATCGTCAATTACCGATCCTTTGGAGCTGCCCATACGGCTTGACGCCGGTACCTGCTACTCTTTTGAGGCTGGTCAGCCTCTCTCCTCTGAGGGATGGCTCTTCGAAGCTGCTAGAGTTGTCATCCGCGAAGCAAGTCGGACTGTAGGTGATCCTCAATACGGAAGGGGCGTCAGCCTGCGCTGCGGAGGGACCGTGTCTTTTGACGGAAAAAAGCTTGGGCTCAATGAAGGGCAGATCAGAGTGTATCAAGTTCAACAAGTCTTAGATTGTTTTCTTCAAAGCCTGCGCAAGAGGCAACAGTTGCGGTCTGCGCCAGGACCTGCCTTGCGAGAAAGCAGTACGATCTGTTCTCTTCGAACGCACCCTGCTTCTGATCGATTCGATCATCCGCTTGTGTACGCTCGGACCGGCACAGATTCCAAGTGGCCTACATGCGATTGGGCACTTCTCAAGAAAGCGATGGTGGACGAAGAAGAAGATATCAAGGCTGAGGTACAGCGCAGTATCCTCCACACCTCCACTGAGTATAGCGGAGAGTGTTGTGTGGATTTAGAAGAGGCTATTTGCGGAGAGGTGCGAGCGGCTGTGCCGAGTGTGGTGGCCCTCGTCCTACTTTCTCGGGTGGTCTTGGCACAATCCCCAAATTTAGTCGGCCTGGCGCTCAAGGGCTATCTGCAACAGGCTGTGACAGGGACAAAGAATGATCAAAGATTCGAGAGGCTTCACTTGCTGGCATTGGGACCACCGGGGCGACATCCCGAAGCTCATCTCCGTCTTTCGCACGCCGGCTTGGCCAGTGTCAAGAAGCTGAGACTGTGGGGTAAGAATTGGATAGACTCGGTTTCGGAGAGGCCTCCCGTAGCTCATACTGTGTTGCCTTTCTGTACTTAGGTGGCGAACCGAGCCCAGAGGCCGCTCGAGCCATAGATGGGCCTAATGCTCTGCCTGCACTCGAAAGCATGCACTGCACATGGTCCGGACCCTGGGTCAATCCTTGGGACGAGCATCATCACGACATGATTTGCCTGAATCTCGGTGAGCGTCGAACGCGGAGAGGTCCCTCATGCATTTGTGGCCTTTCGACATTCATGCCTGCCATCGTACTCCTCAGTACTGTCCGCTCCATCATCATCTTGATGGGCTGTGCAAACAGGCAAGCCGGCGTTCGCCGCAAGAGACCCGCCCAATTGACGATCATGACTCACCGTCGCAGAGTACGAGAGTTCTACGAGAAGGTACCAGCGACACTCAGAGACCATCCACGTCTCGAGATGAAGCGCTTACCTCTTGGGCTCGAGGAGAGGGAGAACCACGATCGTCGTTCGCGCGTGCGAGCTCTTGCATACACTCGACAGCAATGGGAGGAAGAGATCAGGGATATATTGGACACGGTATGAAAGCGGCGTGGACGAACGAAGTGTTGAGATCGGTTGAAAGAGATTTTCGACGGCAGGCAAGGAGGTAGCGGAAGCGGGCAAGTTTGAGACGGCAACTCTGTAGTGTGCCAGAAATCGCGTTGAGCAGTGACTTCGAATGTAGCTTGAAATCACACCAGACTCGTCGGTACGAGTCAATGAGACGGAAGACATTTTTGAACACTGCATGCTGTCAGGGCTTCATCACTGACGCTCTCGATGCCTCCTCCTGCTGGTTCCGACTTCACGTTCCCCCTGTCCATGCTCGCTGTGGGTCCGTGCTCAGGACCGGCATTTGATTGAGGCCACGGCTACTTAGTGTCCTGCGGACAGAGCTCAGCAGCAATGTCCTCAACCTCCTATTCCAGTGTTCCATTCCATAGCTCCACAAACTCGTCATCCCGCCCATACTACTGTTTTGCAATACCGCTCATCTGAGGATCCGCTGTCGTACTCACTTGATCCCTTCGCACTACTGTACGTACTAGTCGCCACCTTTGTCGCCACAATGGTGAAGCGCAAACGCCGTCAAACACTCCTGACCACAAGTCCCCCTGTCATACGGCCGGCTGCTCTGCCAGACGAGCTTCTGAACATCATCGTCCTCATTGCATGCCAGTGTTCAGACGATGAGTTCTACTCGTCGGCCTTCGACGTCAAAACGATACACAGCTTCGCATTGGTCTCAAAGTCGCTGTACAATCTCGTGAACCCTTTTCTCTACGCACACGTCCGGCTCACCAAGCCGTCTGACCTTCTTTTATATGCCCGAACGGTCTCGACCCAGCCGTCACTTGCAACGTACACCAAGACTCTCTGGATGGGGCCCGATGAAGCTCACGCGGAGGTCCAAGATTGCTGGCCTCTGAACAAGGACTGCACGGCGATCAAGTCCTCCATTACCGAGCCCATGAGACTGCCTCATGGTGTTCAAGTCGGCACGTGGTGGTTCTTCGCGGCCGAAGGCCCAGAGGCCACCTCGGGATTGGCTGCAGAGACCAGAGTCATCATACAAGAAGCGTGCAGATCTGTAGGATTATTCGTCTTGAATGGAAGAGTAAGCCTCGAAGGCGGAGGAGAGCCTTCTTTCGACGGGACACAGCAGGTGCAAATTGAAGCGCGCTTGAAGATCTACAAAGTACAACAGCGCCTTGACGCATTTCTGTACGAAGGGCGCCAGGTGGAGGGTGCGTGTCAGCTCCTCGAGTACAGGACAAGCACTCCTCTGCGGAAGTACGATGCCTTCGATAGGTTTGACCATCCCATGGTGTACGACCGCAGTAAGGATGTCCCTTGGAATGACTTTGACCCATGGAGATGCTTCCAGCGCGGAGTGGCCTTCGAGGATGATGACTTCGGCATTAAGATAACCGACGTCAACAACGAACCTGAGGCGTCGGAACAGCCCCATCAGAGCGAGCAAATTGAATACTCACACTGTTCCTTTGAAAGCGATGAAGAACAGTATACGAGCGACAAAAGCGATGATGACCAGTATTCGAACGACTCACATGACAGCGAACAAGATGAGTATTTGGATGGCTCACTTGAGAGCGCCCGAGATGAGTACTCGAAGTATTCTCGACTCTGCCTTTACTCAAACCACTGCGGACCCTTCTCCTTCGATCTCAGCAAGGTGATCGGCGATCAAGTGACCACTGGCGAGCCGACTTTAGGATTTTTAATAGTCATATCTCGCGTGATCTTGGCGAGATCACGCAATCTGCTTTCCCTGGCAGTGACGAGTTACCTGCAGATGGCCGTTTGCGGCTCAGACGTAGGCCCATGTCTCGATCGGCTATACTCACTGACGGTGGGGCCTCCTGCACGACAGTACCAGATGCCTCTCAATCTCACTCACGACGGTCTGAATAGTGTCAGGAGGCTGCGCTTATGGGGTGAGGATCAGCGAAAGTAGAATCAAGGAGATCTGCCGCAATTGACGCCTTGCCACCTTCTCACAAACAGAAACTGCACCGAGCGGAGCAATCCCCAGACTACTGGAGAGTTCGGAAGCTTTGCCTGCTTTGGAACGATTGGAGTGCACTTGGAGTGCGCCATGGGAGAATCTTTTCGAAATCGAGGACATGATCGAGTTCGAGACTGAGTGAGTCCTCACGGCAACTTTTGACATCTGAATGTCTACCAAGCTGACACTGCGGATCCGTGCTTCCCAGTGCCGCCTCCGCCAGTCTAACCTTGTTGCAGTCTTCAGACTTTCGATGGCCGCCTCGGAGAAAGGCTCTTCAGCTGAATGTCTGGGCTCATCGTTCCAGAATGGAAGCGTCCGATTCATCTGATCTCGAAGTCATCATGGACGAACCGCGTCTCGAGCTCAAGGCCCTCCCTTGGGAAGTAATGGAATTTCAAGGCTATCAGCAGCGTCAGCGGCCACGAGCTCTCGCGCGTGTGCGTAAGCAATGGGAGAAAGAGTGTCAGGAAATCTTGGCATTGCATCCAGAAGAACTTCGCTCGTCTGAGTCCGTGCTTGACTGAAGCACCCTGTGGCCATCTCTGTCAGTACTTTCGCTGCCATCGAGAGGCTACTGGGCTTTGGTATCGGATTTCGTTGCAAGAAGATTTCCAAGCTGACGGTTCGGGCACACTGAGGGAGAGTCCCCGTCAAATCTACCTCGAAGCACTCCACGATGTCAAGAATGATTCGCGCCTCCAGATCGAGCGCTTGCCTGCTGAACTTGAGGAGGGTGCGCGCTGCGAACATCGATCACGCTCGCTGGCTCTGGCACGGATTCGAAACGCTACAGTACCAGGCAGAAATGAGAGAAATCGTAGGGCCAATTGAGAGGACGACAGCACAAGCGCTGGCATCCTTGGGCGGATATGTGGCCTCGACGGACAACGTTCGAGAAGGAACATGCGTCAAGGCTCCGTGAACGCAACGTCCGACTCCCGTCGGCCCACTGTGTCGGGAACCATTGTTCCGGCATTTGTCAGGCTGCGAGACTCGAATGTGTTTCTGATCGTAGAGCAATATAGACATCTGGCGCCCAAGAGTGAAGGCCGGCCTACTTCATGGCTGTACGGTAGAAGATCTGAAGTGCTATGAGACGTGAGAGCGTGCGTGAGGTGTCACTGTATGCTATGCCATGACCAGGCGCAGATCCGAGCTGCTGGCAATTGCTGGAGAGAGAATTTACTTCTACCTTACCGCCTTCTACGGCCCCACCTACTATGCTCACTCTTGCCCAGAGATCGTATACACAGAGTTCCATTGTACCTTGCTTAGTATTCATCGGCCTTTCTTTCGCTACGCGTCTACATTGCATCTACCATGCGCTTCGTTCCGTCAGGGGGTCCGTGCTGAGGCACGGCACTATATTGAGGAGCGTCGAGATGCTCTCCGCACAGGATCCAGCAGCAATTGCATTCCTCGCCTTCCTGTCTCCCATCGTTCAGCCCGTAAAGATGCCCTGACATTGCCGAGCTCTGAATATTGCCATTCCTACACAACTGACCACTTCGCAATCCGGTCTCGTCAGTACAATCATGAAGCGTAAACGTTCTCAGACACATCCAATCACTCTGCCTTCGGAGGCATCCACATACAGTCTGCATTCCGAGGGACCTTCAATGACTCTGCCGGACGAGCTTCTAGACATCATCGTTCGCCTCGCGTGCAAGAGATCAGGCGATGATCCAGCGTCCCCAGAAACGGACATCAAGACGATGCACAGCTTCGCACTGGTATCGAAGGCGTTCTACAATCTCGTCATACCGTTTTTGTACATACATGTCAGGCTCACTAAGCCTTCCGACCTCCTACTGTATGCCCGGACCGTCTCGATCCAACCCTCACTTGCTTCTTACACAAAGACTTTGTGGATCGGGCCTGACGCGACTCATGTCGAAGGCGAAGACTGCTGGCCATTAAACGACGAGTGCACTGCGATAAAGTCATCTATCACCAAGCCGATGGACCTGCCTCATGGCGTTGAAGTCGGCTTCTGGTGGTTCTTTGCCGCAGAAGACTCTGAGGACGAAGTGTGGATCGAAGGGGCTGCTAGAGACATCGTACGGAAAGCTTGCAAGACTGAAGGAGATTCCAAGCTTCGGTACGGAGTAAGTCTGGAAAGCGGAGGAAAGCGCTCTCATAATGACAAGAAGCTTGAGCCAATCGAAGGACATCTGAGGGTCTACCAGGTCCAACAGCTCTTAGATGCCTTTCTCCTCGGCGTGCGCAAGAAGCAGGACTCGTGTCACTCTCTCCAACGCAGCTCTAGCACACCCCTCAGATTGTACAGCCTCTACGATAGGTTCGATCATCCTGTCATCTACGATCGCAGTCAATCTGCGCCTACCCGTGCGAGAAAGGATTGGGAGAGCCTCCAGCGCGCGGTAGCTTTTGATGATTTGGACTACGACGTCTTGATAATCGACGGCAGTGACAACACTGATGCGTGGGAAGTGTCATCCGATAGCGAGCAAGATGAATGGCTGGATGACTCTGTGCTCAACATCTATGCAAACAACGGCGCAGAATTCGATCTCAATCTGGCCAAGATAGTCTGCGGAGAAGTAGCCTCAGGAAAGCCAACTTTGGGTGGCCTGATCCTGCTAGCCCGGATCATCTTCGCAAGGTCGGACAATCTGCTCTGCCTTGCGCTAACAAGCTATCTACAGATGGCGGTCTATGGGCACGACTTTGGCCCGAGGCTGGACCACTTGCACTTGCTCATGGTAGGGCCTCCTGCACGGCGGTATCAAGTGCCCATCAATCTGAACCATCAAGACTTAGGCAGTGTCAGACAATTGCGACTATGGGGTAAGGTCGAATTGTGAAGCAGAAAGGTACTGTTACTGATTGCATGTTCCCTTCTGCCCGTCAGAATCAGCACCAAGTGAAGCGGTCTTTCAGACCGTGGAGTCCCGGCAAGCTTTGCCCGCCCTTGAAAATTTGGAATGCACTTGGAGTGCTCCATGGGACAATTCATTCGATCAAGAGTGGGACCAGATGAGCACTTCGGAGTCCGAGTGAGTGCTGACAGAGCCTTTGTCATTTTATTGCTCTGCTAGGCTGACACAGCGGTTCTGTGCTCTCCAGTGCTGCCTCTGCCAGCTTGACCTTGTTAGCGTGTTCTGATATTCGAAAGTCGGCACAACCCTTGAAGACTATAAAGCTGAGCGTCTCGGCTCACCATTCTAGGATGGACGAGTCCGATGCATGGGATTTAGCACAAGTCACCTTTGAACCGAGCATCGAGCTCAAGACTCTACCTTGGGACGTGGCAGAGTTCGAGGGTTGCGAGCATACTCAGCGGCCGAAAGCTCTGGCCCGTATCCGGAAGCAATGGGAGAGGGAGTGTCAAGAAGTTCTGTCTTTACCTGAAGAAAAGCTTGTGGTCAAGAGGGTTGCCACCCAAAAGAAGTGTCGCGAGTCCAGCGTAGAGTTCTACGAAGCGTTGAGGGTAATCGAGGAAGGAGATTCTGATGGCCCATTTTGAGACGTTCGGGCTACTGCCCCGTATAGCGTGGACAGTAAAGCTCGCTGGCGCTCTGCTCTTGAGTACGGCGACCCTTCAGGGCAACGATGATGGCTCCACCTCTTTGTGTATCTTCTCCGTCACTCTGTACAGCCATAGCCAATTTCACTGCTTTGTCAGCATCAGCTTCGACGGTGGGCGCGTCAGCGGAAATGGAGAAAGGGAGAGGTCCGTGCTGAGCTCCGGCGCGTTTTCTGGGTTGCTCCTACTTAGTCTATCCTTTTCCGCCTGTGCCTTGCTTCTAGGTGGATGTATGCTTCCCTCAGCACAGCATGACACATTTCGCTCCTTCCCTCTGCCTCTATCTTCATCTTTATCAGCGCTCTCGACTGGTCCCTCGGCGTCGCATCGAGTGGGTCGGCCTGTCCCTCACATAGAGCCCTCGGCCACGATGAAACAGCAGCTGATTGATGGCCGTGGCCAGACCGGCTGCGAGCCCTTCCCTCGACTGCCACTCGAGCTTGTCCACCTCATCTGTGCATTTGCCTGCAAGACCACTTCCTCCTCGTCATTCCCACACATAGACTTCAGGACTACTCGTACCATTGCGCTTGTGTCCAAGCGCCTGCAGCAAATTGCGATCCCGATCCTCTACGGCGATGTCACGCTGAGTAAACCTTCCGACCTCTGGCTCTATGCTCGCACTGTGAACGAGAACTTTACCCTCGCCCTGGAGACACACACCTTATGGGCCGGAGCGACCAGCGAAACTCTCCCACCCATATCTTGGTGGCCGCTCACCTACGAACCCTGCACTATGATTAGGTCCTCCATCGCCGATCCAGCTCGACTGCCCCGCGACGTGCCCGTAGGCCGATTTTGGCCAGTGTCCCACAGTACCAGCGGGCAATGGGCGGAAGAGGCAGTCATCAACATCCTTCAAGAAGCCTGTAAGTCAGTCGGAGGTATCACAGACAAACCGGGGGTGGACCTCAATCGTCACGCATTCCTCACTCTGGATGGACAGCAGCTCACCCGAGATGAGTGGGTGGTCAGAGTCTTCGAGGTGCAAGAAGCACTCGACGATTATCTGCTAGATCTACGCAACAGGCAGGATACCACGAGGTCGTCCAAGAACGGTGCTAAGACGACTGTGCCCGGCACCGGTACCTACACAACAGCCTCCGCCTATGTCCAGTCGGACGCTGATAAGAGGATCACCAAGCTGAGGGCTCGCCGCGAATTCGACTGCTTCGAGCACCCCCTGATGTATGCACGCTCGGGGTCAGGATTCTTCATTTGGGATGCGGTTCCGCCGCCAATACCTTTCACCGAGGTCCCCGCCCACGAGGACGGCGCTTTCGCCAATGAGGCCCGACCACTCGATCCCGTCTATCTCTTGACCACACTGGAGAGGCATGAGGTGCCTCGTACTGAGGAAATCGCAGAGTTTCTGGCCGCTAAGCCATCGATCGCCACCTTATTGATGGCGTTAGAAGATGTCCTGTATACTTCGATTAGCATTACGTCACTAGCTCTCACAGGCTGCCTTGAGACTTTGGTCACTTCTCGCAAGGCTTCCAGAGCACTGCCAGAAGTTCGTCTTTTGTCGCTGGGACCGTCGCCACCTCAGTGGGATCCCAGAATCTTCTTCCGATATCCAGAGCTCTCCAAGCTCGAAGAGCTTCACATTACAGGTGAGGTGATGCGTGAACAGATTGGACACACTGAGTGCAAACTCTGAACCCTGCCTTCCTGCTGACCTTGTCGCAGGCCGCAACTTGCACATGAACGAGAGAAGGCAACTCTTGACACGGATGCTACCATTGGAGAATCTGAAAAAGGTTGAATGGAATTGGTGGCCTCTACAGCGACTCAACATGCCAGAGTTGTGGACGGACAGCATTGGCATTGCTGTTGGCCTCCACAGAGAAGAGTGAGTCACATCGCATCTCCCACACAGATAGAAACCTGCAATTGAACCTAGTCTCTCCGCGCAGCCCGATCGCGACCCTGTGGTGGCTCGTGTGCGGTCCTGAGCTCTGGATCAAGCCGGATCGAGGGTACGCAGCAACATTCCATTTGACCGTGCGAGCCCACCACGAAGACGTGGCGGATTTCCGTAGAGGGGCTCACCCGGAGCTGCTCAACCACCCTCGACTGACGATGGTAGCAGCAAACACTCCACCAGCGCGTAATCAACCAGCAGCTGGGTCACCAGCAGACGGGCTCGGCAATGTTTTCGAGGAGATCGCTGCCTTGAACATCGATGACGACGACGATTCGCGAGCTAGGCGCAGGGAAGCAGAGGAAGTCGATCCAAAAAGTCATGTCGCGCGTGTCTTGGCCTTCGAACAGGTACGAGCCCGATGGGAGGAGAGCATCCGAGCTTCCCCACCTCCAAAAGGTCAATGTGAGAATAACTAGAGCATGCAGGCAGGAACGCTCGCTCTACAAGAATCAAGCCAGGAAAGCGAGGATCCTGGATAAGTTTTCGAGTCCAGTGTTCTTTTCCTTTACGATACCCAGAAGAGCTCTTCCGATATTCTCACAGATTAGATGAAGTAGTCACACGGCCAAGTAGCCTGTTCCTTCGTCCTTCAGAAAACGAAATACCTCTGTACATCTCATGAAATTGAAACGACTGATGCTCTCTTGTTGATTCATCGCTACATGCCCTTGCGAGCGATCGACTGGCCGCGATGAGGAGATTGCCGAGACCGATCTCAGGACCATCTATTGGGACCGTAGAGTCCGCCCATGCTTCAGAACGCCCTCGTCTCGCTCTCGCTCAGCAGTGCTCTACCGCGATCGCGATTCCCTCCGATCTCCCCCGCGTCCGATCTGCTCCGACTTGCAGAGTCGGTAAAGTACTCAGGAACCGTATCTCGCTGCCAAAGGCAAAGTCGGGAAATGCGCCGAGAGGAGGAGGAGGACTAGGGAGCGGATCGTGAGTGGTGGTGGCGTAGTGTCGTGGTAGCAAGAGGGGTGGAGTCTCTTGTTCAGGGCCAGGTCACACGCCTCTTGTTGCGGCTGCGATTCAGGAACAATGAGAGACTTGTGGTGTGAGTAATATGCGTGGGAAATGGGGACGCAATGCAAGTATCGCTGCAGCGACGATGACGTCCTTTTTCTCACACAATCTCGATGCTTCGGCAATACTCAACCGCAGATCATTCTTCTCGTCCTGCCACCTTCGTGTCTCGTACCACACAACCTCAGATCTCAGTCAGATAGCGCTAGAAAGTGGCAACGGATGAAGGCTGCTCCCTCGAGAACCGAACGACTCTCATTAGACTCGGTCACAGCGACATGACCTCCACGGCGGAGGTGCCTCTTCCTGCTGAGGCTGCAATGGGCCCAGACAATCATGGCACTGCCACTCCCCTTCGTCTGCCAGTAGAGCTTCTCGAGGTAATCATTCCTCTGGCTTGTGGTGTTAGCCCCTCTGCCACACCCCACCACGTCGACGCAAAGGCCGCAGCTCGCATTGCTCGCGTCTCAAAGCAACTGTATCGTTATGCTCTTCCACTGCTCTACACATGCGTCACGCTAGCGAAACCTTCTCAGGTCCTCTTGTTTGCTCGCACCATTGTGAAGAAACCCAAATTGGCCAAGATGACGAAAACAGTTTGGATAGGTCCGAACACTGATACCCTACTATCGCCATTCTGGTGGCCTCTCAACACCGAAAGAACTGCAATGAGATCGTCGCTTACGGACCCCGACAAGCTTCCCAAGGGTGTTGCGAGCGGAAAGTGGTGGCCGGTCCCGGCATTACGCGAATCAGGGGACAACGGCAGTGCCGAACGATCGGCTGAAGCCGCTGTAGCCAGATTGATCAAGGCTGTTTGGCGGAAGATGGGCGCTACCATGACAAAGCCTAACAGATGCAACAGATGCTCAAGCTATGGAAGACATCGAAGCTGTTATTACGAGGAGGAAGAGTGGCGCCTCAAAGCGTTCGAGGTCCAGCGCTTGCTCGACCAGTACTTGCAAGAATGGCGCCAGCGTCAAAATGCAGCTCTCTGGTCCAACGAAGAGTCAGTGGAGGACCCAGCTGTCCCGAAAGCAGCTGGCGAAGAGGACTGGCCCGATCCGAAGACTTGGTTTTCGGGTGTCGCTTGGGACGACATTATTTTCGGTCGTGGTCCATCTGACCTTTTTGATCACCCGAGGCTTTACAACCGTTCCGGGGTTGGTAAATTCTCAGAAGGAGCCAAAGAATACAAGTTCGCCTTTTCGAAAGAGGGGTGGAAGCGGTACATCGATGTCGCCGAATATTACACGCTGGATTCGATCGACAACCTTCGATCTCAAACAACTCCTACTGGACTGCTAGAGATCACAATTTTTGAGGTTCTCGAAGCCGCTAAAATCATACTGATCAAGTTGCCTCAACTCAGTGCCCTGGCACTAACAGGCTATGTGCGAGCTGTACTTTCTGGCAGTTTGCCTGCAGGTCCCCAGGGTACTCTTAAGTTGTTGTCGCTGGGACCATTGGCACAGCCGCCTAGGCGACCTCTCGCAGAACATCAACAACCTCTACAGAGTGTTGAAGTCATGCATGTCCAAAGTGAGTTCATCGCGCATTAGCCGTTGTAGGCAGCGAGTGCAGCCCGCTGAGATACTCGCTTGGTCTCTCATGTATCCAGATGACTGCCTTTCCTCAAGGGAGATCGAGCTGCTTGACACGTTGCTGCCCAAGCTGAAAAAGATTCGTTGGAATTTCTGGGCCCCTCCAGACTGTACCACAGAAGCTGAACCCTTAGAGTGAGTACATACCCGCGAACTTGTAGCGCTTGGCGGGGTCGTTGACATATAGTACTCTCTCAGCATCTCTTCCGCCATGACCGAATTGTTTAAGACGCCCAGAATGCGCACCCCTGATCCGGAGGCCTGGAAGCAACGACCCATCCGAGTTCTTGCAGATGCAAGGAATTATGCTTACTTCAACGCTCATCACGCTGCTTTACGAAACGATCGTCGTCTGGTAATGCGTCAAATGCAAGGTGACGTCGACCAAAAGCATTGGACATATCTCATTCCCGAATTCCTTTCACGAAAGGCATACCATTTTAGGGCCTTCAACCTAGTGCAGAAGCAATGGAACGAAGAGGTCGAGAAGATGCTGCGCAACGACACTCAGCTCTTCCCAGGACTTGTCTTCCCAGACAACGACACGAGCGGCCGATAAGCGTTATGCGTGTGGGGTGTAGTCCTCTCAGCTGCTTCGTGCGACCACATCGCCAGACAGGTCTTCTCGAACGGTGACTCCACGTCCTTCGTCTGTTACTGAATGTATCGCCCGGAACCTTTGCTGATGTGTCTCGTCATGAGTAAGCTGACGATGCCAAAAGAATGAAATAAAATTGAACTCAGCCTAGTGTGTGAAGCTCGATAATCGAGTCTGCTCATCGCTTACGACACCAGCTCTCTCCTTCTCTTGCTGTTGCGAGGAGCTTTCGTCTGTATATCAGTCTCCTTTCGCTCCGGCTAGTCAGTCTGCCTTCTTCAGCTCGCATTGATGGCGAAGAACGGACAAAGTATGTCTTGAGTGTTGCTGCATCCGGGCAGACTATAGACTGAGATATACAGTTGCTTCAGGCTCGAGTCATTGCTGCCTCCCAGCTGTTGCCCCTTTGCCTGTTGCCCTAGCATTCCCGCGCGCGCGACTTCTGTAGCGAGAAGGTTGTCTGAGTATGCCGACACGTTCCACGATTCCTACCAGACGATTCAATGCCACCAAGCTTCAGTTGCGCTCGACCTCACTACCTCGATTCACGCAACAAGGGGATTTGCGACTCTGTAGAGCTGCAAACATGAGAGAGGATGGGGATATGGCCACGATCGATCCATCCAGAACAGAACACGGCGGCTTGACTCTTCCACAGGAGCTCATCGAGAAGATTGTGTACTTTGCCTGCAGGCACCCAGCAGGCACTTCTCCGGCTCCCCACATCGATTACCGAGCTGTCCTTGCCATCAGTCTGGTCTCAAAGAGGTTGAACGAGTATGCTGCCTCATGCCTCTATACCCACGTCAGACTCCACAAGCCCTCCGACTTGCTCCTCTATGCCCAAACGATGTCCTCACGACCTGCTTTGGGCAGGCTGACAGAATCACTGTGGATAGGAGAATGCCCTGAAACATCGGTTGCAACGTCATGGTGGCCTCTCAACGAGCAAAGGAAGGGATTCAGGTCGTCTATCACGAAGCTCAGTGAGCTACCTCGCGGTATGTCGGCGGGTATGTTTTGGCCATTAAAGCAATCCGACGATGACGCTCTTTGGCTGAACAACGATGTTGCAAAAGTCGTTCAGCAAGCATGTCAAAGCGTTGGTCCACCGGGTCCAGCTGTAGGCATCGACTTGAGCAGTCGAAGCTATAAGTCCTTTGGGGGGCTGATTCTTTCCCCCGACGAGTGGTATCTCCGCCTCTTGGAGGTGCAGCAGACGCTGGACGATCACTTCAGGCAGCAGCGTATGAACGAAGACTGCACCACGCTGATGCAAGTCGACCAAGACTTGGAGATTATTCCTGACAGCATGGGCCCTCTTGGTCGTAGGCTTCGAACTGTGAGCAGAAATTCAGGTTCGGCGGGCAGCAGACACCGTAGTCTTCGAGAGGACGAAGCTTTCGATGATTTTGATCACCCGATGATCTACTTTCGGTCTGGAGCTGCCAAGCTACTGACCATCGACGGCCCGCTGTTCACCCATGCACGTCTGCTAACGGACATCACTATCGAAGGCGGCGGTCACACGGACTCTCTAGACGTCTTCTCGACCCGCGAAAGACATGCAAGAGTATGTAACGCCAGCTTCGAAGATACGCAAGCAGCTGACCCTACGATCGGTAGCTTGCTCGCGACAACGAGAGCAGTTCTTGCTTCGACGCCTTATCTCACATCGCTCGGGGTCACAAGCTATCTGGAGAGAGCGGTTGTTGGCCAAAGACCCACAGCCGCGCCGGACTGCCTTCGCATTCTGTCACTGGGTCCGCCGACGTGCTACTGGAATAAGGTCTCGTGTTTCAGTGTGGCAGGCGAATTTAGGGCTCTGGAAACATTGCATGTCTCAGGTGAAGTCTCGTCAGAGAGAACTCTGTGCAATGTGCCAAGCTGATGTCGATCTTGCCGCCTTCGTTTCCGGACAGGAAGTACGCTCTACTTAGGCGAAGCCAGGAGCATTGCTGGCTGGCGTGGCGAGCTACCTTCTTTGAGGAGAGTGGAGTGGAGGCCGTGGTCTCCTGACACGTATTGGATACCAGACGACGATTACGCCGAGGTGGCTGAGACGATGGATTTGAGCGAGTGAGTGCAGCAAGTTTTGCTGCTCAAGCAAGCTTATGCACTCTTTTGACCTCATCGCTTCTTTTGCACAGCATCGTTGATATCGTAGAGACACTGCTGGACCCACCGTCATGCGTAGGAGCCACAAAGCGTGCTCGTCCCCTCCAACTCACTGTCATCGCATCTGATCTAGATGTGGACCTACTTCAGGGAGAGCTGCCACAGGACCTACTCCAGTCTCGTCGATTCAGACTTGTCAGACGGTCCCTGAGTGATATGTCTTCGGGGCAATCTTCCCCTGCTGGGTCCATCGCTAGAGAGACAAGAGCTCCTGACTGGGCCTTTCCAGGGGGCATGGAGTCCCCACAGCGCCGTCTTCTGCGCCGTCAGGCAGTTGAAGCGATGCGGGCTCGCTGGGAAGAAGAGACTCTTGCAAGTCCGAGCCCGGGTCACAGATTTTATCGCGATGAGTGGCTCAGATTTGATGACGAGATCTGATCAAAGATGAGCAATGCTCTGGCGTCGGTCTCTAATTCAAGACAGGTTGAGGTACTGGCTCACAAAGTAGGCTACCTGTCTGCCGAGAGTGACAATACCGCTAGGGCTGCATTCTCTGTACTTGGCCCGGCTGTCACATTTCCAACGCAAGGGTGAAGAGCAGCTGTGCCGAAGGAAGGTATGCTGTAAGCGAGACGGTAATGCATGGCATGTGACACAGCATCTCGCGGTACATCTACCAGGAGCAGGCCGAGTGCCGTCTGCATCTCCCGCCCGGCCCCGCACTTCTGGTCTAATCTCGGCGTGTTCGGCGTGGCATTCTGCATCAACGCTTGCTGTGCCGAAGGCGCATGGAAGCCGGCAGGACGGGGCTTCGGCGGATGTTCCCGAGAGTGGGGAAGTGCCCTGAGCTGTCAGTGATCGTGGCTTGGGCCTCTGACGTCGGAGAGCAATACCGGCAAAGGGACGCGTTGGTGTGGCACCGCGACAGAGGTCCCACCTTCCCTTTTGTGTTGATGTTGATCTTTTTTCGAACCACGCCTTGTTCCCATATCTAGACGGTCGGATGCCCCTTCCCTCTATCCCCTTTTCTTTTCTTGTTCCCACTTTGACCAGCTCCTCCTTTGTTCGTTCCTCTCTCCATCTTGAGATCCGTGTTGCACCTTTGCTTGTCAGCCAAAGTACACAATCCCTTCCGTCCTCGACATAAACGCTTTGATAGCGTTGTACACCTCTCCTATCTACCTCCATTCTCCCAATCACCATGCCTAGAAGTTCTACTCTACCCCTACTCCTGACGGCCTTTGCCGCCACTGGCGTGATCGCCTCGTCACCCGGTGCCCACGGTGCTCCCAAGGCAGCCCGCCGACATGGACCTGATCGCGTGCACACGCTGGCCGCTCGTGCAACGCAGACAGTCAAGGATCCCGAGAGCATCCACTGGCAGACGATCAACGGCGTCAAGTACCCCAAGGAGCTCGGTCCTGACGCACCCATGCCTGTCATTACCGACAATTGGTGGCTGGACGAGGTCCAGACGAATGACACTACGATTCACAAGTTCAGCTACTCTGACCTGCCCGACACTAGCGAGACGGGTCAGACGGGTACGAACCGTTGCTCTGGTGCGAACTCTGACACGTCCATGTGTCAGACGCTCCTCCTCAACTCTGCAGAGGACTTCTGTCTTTGGGGACCTCCTACCGCAGGTCAAGAAGTGTCGGTGACTGAGGAGGTCGAAGTAGCCTGGTGCACCAAGGACCACGGTGCTCGTCAGATTCCCGATGGAGCGCTTCACTCTGTACACTTTGTCAGTACACCCGCCTACCTGCAGGTCACAGGTACGGGAGATCTGACCAAGCTCAACATCAAGAAGGGTGACGAGGGTGGTGAGCTGGATCCTCACGGTGCAACGGGCAACGGAAACCCTATCGGTGGTCTGGTCTACACTACTGCTTGGAGTACCAAGGGTGCACACGAGCAAATCAACGAGTGGATGATGGAAATCTCTGCCACTTCCTACTGTTTCCGTGGATGCAAAGGTACAGATTACATTTCTCAAATGCTCTGTACTCACATTTACGATGAGATGGGATGCGATTTCATCATGCCTGCTTCGTACGAGAAGGACGTCTTTGAGAGCTGCGAAGGCGATGTCGCCATCGCACCTGGAATCATCTCCACCTGGACCTTCACAGAGGGAGACCCTGTCACGCCCTCTGCCCGTAGCAAGCCATCGTCGTCCAACTGTGCTACCGTGAGCTCACCAGTGAGCGGAAGTGCATCCAAGGTCTCGGCAACGGGAAGCAGTGCAAGCTCCAAAAAGTCAAAGTCGGGATCCTCTTCATCGACAGCAAAGAGTTCAGCATCGACGAAGCTTACCACTAGCACCTCGTCGGCTGCCTCTGCTGCTACATCGTCCTCATCCACCACGGCGGCAGCTGCAGCCGCCGCCGTCGTTGCTGCCAGCTCCTCTACTTCATCTAGCGCAAGCAGTAGTACAGGAGGAGCCGCAGTGGTCAAGGCTGCTACCTCGGGCGCCTCGGGCCTCTCCGCTTCATGGCTGACGGGTGCCGCCGTTGCCGGATCGGCACTGCTGATGGGCGCGTTTGTCCTCTAAGAGAAGAGAGAAGTTGTAGTAGTAGTGACAGTAGTAGTAGTAGTGTTGGACACTTGGTGTGGTAATACCCCCGCTTGCACCTTTCTTCTTTCTTCTTCCCCTTGAACCCCCCTTCTCCGCCTCCTTCTCCCTTTCCCATTTCCTTGCCGTTCCCTCTTATCTATCCAATCACTTGTATATAGTCCCCTCTATTCTTCTTCTTATTTATCTACTTGTTTGGACAATCAGTCGTCTGCTTTTTCACACACACACACACACGCACACCTACAAGTCTCGCACTTTTGTTGTGATTGTGATGCCGAGCAAAGGGAAGGGGATACTAGCGTACACTGAGAATGCCTGTCTTTCCTCTACTCAAGGCTCCTGCTACCCGCTACCCGCTAACCTCCCCCCTGCTTTCCTCACAAACACTCCAATATTGGGCATGACTAATTGACTAATTGACCATTGACTCTTCAACGTCGACTTCAACTTCGACTTCGACTTCGACTTCGACTTCATTCTATATACAAGATTCGAAAAGCAAGAAAAGAAAGCGGGTGGGTAGGTAGGTAGGTGGGTGGGTGGATGGGATGGCTATCTACAAGAAGAAACAGTGAAGAAGAAAGGGAAGGCGGCAAGGCGGGAGGGGGGTGGGGTTTGGGGGCGGTATGTACGTGTGTGTGTATATAAAAGGGGAGGGGGAAGGAGAGGAGGGAGGAGTACTGTATAAGGAGCGTCGTATGATAGAGGTGGGTGGGGGATGGAAAGCTTATGAACAAGCAAGAAGAATAAGGACGAAAAAGTAGTGGCGAAGCTGTCGAAGAGCGCGCTCGCTCGCTCGCTCGCGTCTAGAGGTTCGTCCCCCTCTTGACCAACCTCCACGCCTCGGCCGGTGGTTCTCCACCAGCCGGATCAGCCAGCGTAGCTGTCCGCTGCGGTGCGCCATTAGGCGTTGCCTCCTGTGGTCTCCACGCTCCCGCCACGCCCGCGATGCTCAGTCCAGGCATGAGGACACCGAAGCGGGATGCTTGACTACCCCATGAGGTCTGAACGCTCCCAGATGCCCCATGCGAGGGAGAGGAGGAAGAAGGACCAATGTGTCGCTTTTCACTCTGCTCTGCCTCGCGCTGTGCCTGTACCTGCCGCCTTAAACGCATCAAGTCCTGCTGCTCACGCATCGTCTGCATCGGATGTTTCCATCCACTCTTGAGCATTCCAAACCTCTTTCCCCTCATTCCCCCAGAACGAGCAAAAGGGTAAAGGTCCAATTCTTCTGCCAGTCCCTCGAGCTTGGGCTCAGTCCAGTGTTGACCGCGCAACTTCTCCTGAGCATCTTTAAAGTCAGGACCATTGTAGATGGCTGCGTGCGGATCGGGCATAAGACCGAGGTTGATGAGTTTACGGTCGATGTAGGGTGTAGGAAGGAGCTTGATGAGTGCTGCGAGGGGCATGCTGATCGCACCGGCGACAATGGAGATGGCCCAGTAAGTTCCGGGGAGACGGGTGACTGAAAAGGCCGCACCGCCAACGAACATGATCAGGACTTGAGCGCCGACTTCGATGGCTAGGATACCGATGAACCAGGCATTCTTGAAGAAGCCTTCAAAGACGTTGAGACCACGGTCCAGACGACGGGCATTGATCTGATTGAACAACTGACACCAGACGTAGGTGTTGAAGCACAGTGCAGATACTCGTACTTGAGCGACATTCGGTAGCTCGTCCTCCAAACCGAGAATGCTAGTGCCGGCAAAGTTGAGGACAAGGACGACGATCATCTGGTAAATGGCTTGACCGACGATGTTCAGCCACATCTGCGTCGAGATCAAGGCGCTATTGGGCCGCTCTGGAGCCCGGTGCAGGAGAGCAGGCGTAGCAGGATCCGTAGCCAGGGCAAGGGCAGCGAGAGTGTCCATGATCAGGTTGATCCACAGCAGCTGGACAGCTCCCAGCGCAGAGTGACCATCCGTGCTGGCAACGGCAGTGATAAAGGTAATTGCCACAGCTCCGACATTGACACTGAGCTGGAACTGCAGGAACTTCCTGACCGCATCTCGGACACATCGTCCCCACATCAAAGCAGTGACGATACTGGAGAATCGATCATCGAGGAGGATGATGTCCGAAGCTTCCTTGGCAATTTCAGTACCGGTGATGCCCATAGAGAATCCAACATTGGCAGCCTTGAGAGCAGCAGCGTCATTGGCACCATCTCCAGTGACAGCGACAATGTCGCCCATGCCCTTGAGGGTGTTAACCAGCTTCTGCTTGTCAGTCGGCGAGCATCGCGCGAGGACAGCCAGATGAGGGACAACGGTGCGTAGATCTTCATCGTTGAGCTTGCGGAAGACAGGACCTTCCATGATCACCTGAGCAGGGAGGATAGCGGGGTCGTAGATTCCACATTGGATGGCGATACTCTTGGCAGTCAGACTGTTATCACCAGTGACCATGATGGTCCGCAGACCAGCAGTAGCAGCGTCGGATACCGCCTGCCTGACATGAGGCCTCAGAGGGTCTTCAATGGCGACGATAGAAAGCAGATTGAGCTCCTTGGCAATGGAAAAGTAGTCGACCTCTTGGGCACCATCGTTATCATCGCCCTGTTGCGTGACAAAAGTGGCGCCAGCGGGTGGCCACTGCTCAAAGTCCTTGTAGGCCAGACTGAGGGTCCTGAGAGACTGCGAAGCGTAGAACATAATGGTCCTCTCGATGTTGTCTCTGTCCTCTGAGGTGATTTGGCTGATCTCGATCTCGGACACAGGTCCATCGTGGCTTGCAACGGGCATGTTGACCACATTAGTGCAGAGGGCAGAGATGACTTCCGAGGCTCCCTTGACGTAGATCCGAGCACCGCCATTGGGCTTCTTGACGACTACGGCCATGGCCTTTCTCTCGGAGCTGAATGGGTAGCTCTCAATCGTCTCAACGATCCTGCGTCGAGCTCGGTAGTCTTCCCACCCAAGGTCCTTGGCAAATTGCAGCAGAGCAGTCTCGGTTTTGGAACCGACAAAGGCAGTCAAGGGCTTTCCGGCAGCACCAGTCTTGACATGAGCCTTCTTGACCTTGATTCCCAAAGAAGCTTTGATCTTTGCCATTGTAGAGCCGGCCTTACCCTTTGCTGCCTCTTCGTCCTCCTTGCGTTCTTCGAAAGCAGTCGAGCTGATTGCAATGCTATCGTTCCAGAGCTCCCGGAGAGGCCCCTGCACTCGCTCGCCAAGTGTCATCTGGTCAATGGAGTAGTCCTTTCCAGTCGAAGCAGCAGCCTGTTCATCCTTGCCAGACATGACTCGATGCTCATGCTCCTGAAGATCGGCAACGAACTTGCAATGGATTCCGGCAGACCCAGCGACGACGCTCATAGAGTTGAGAGTGAGGGTACCAGTCTTATCGGTGCAGATGACCTGGCAGGCTCCCATGGTCTCACAACTCCCGAGCAGTCGAACGAGCAAGTTTTGCTTGGCCATTCTCTTGGTGGCGAAAGCCAGTGCGAGTGTGACGGCCAAGGGCAGACCTTCCGGCACAGCGACGACGATGACGGTGACGGCTAAGATGAGGACGGAGATGAACCTCTGACCCTTCTCATCGGGGGTGAGCCGTGAGTTCGGGAGCTGCGCGAGGAATCGGATGAAGAGAACGACAAAGAGGGTGAATCCGGCAGTGGTGGCAAGCTTGGCAATGACTCCAGCGAGATGGTTGAGCTTGGCCTGCAACGGTGTGTCCTCGGCTTCGCCGTGAAGTGACATCATGAGTTTACCGTTGAAGGAGGTGACACCGACAGAAGTGACGAGGTACTCTCCTACACCCTCCTGCACCCGAGAACCAGAGATGAGGAATGGGTCTCGCTTGGGCGACTTGGCGGGTGCACCGGACTGTCCAGCGGCATCGAGGGACTTCTGATTGGCTTCCCAGTCTGCCAAGCACTCCTCGTAGGTGGCCTTTCGGATCAAGTCACTTTCGCCAGTAGCGCCAGACTCGTCGCACTTGACATTGTGGCCTCGCAAGAAGATACCATCGGCGGGAATGATTTCTCCAGGCTCAATCTGCAGCACATCACCGACCTGGACATCGTGAACGCTCATCAGAGCAGGAGAGCCTCGTCGAATGACACGGACATCTCGCTCATTCTTCTGGGCATTGAGCTTCTGCATTTGCCTTTCCTTGCCATAATCGTTGATGGAGCCGACACTGACGACGACGGCAACGGCAATGAGAATGGCCAGACCCTCGACCCAATCGACGGGGGCGGCCTTGCACCCATCGCGCCCTGGCTCAGGATTTGCACATGGTGTGTATTCTGGAGGGGCTCCAAAGTCGGTGTAGAACCCTAGGGCTAGAGATACGACGGCGGCAATGAGCAGGATGATGAGGATCTTGTCGGCGAGGGCGTGCCACATCATTAGCCAGAGCGGCTTAGCCTTCTTGACTGGCAGCACATTACGACCATAGACGCGCTCGCGCTCATCCCTGGGCGCAATGACGGGAGCGGGAACATCAGATGGCGTGCCAGCATAGACGTAGTAATCGGGCGAGGAGTCTCCAGTGCCAGATTCAATGTCATGCACCTTGCTACCAGAGGATGCATCGACCTTGGTAGGTAGGTCCAGTCCCTTTTCGGGATGTGTGCCCAGACCAGAGATGATAGCGTGGACTCCTCCCATCTTCTTTAGCTGCTCTACCGACTTTGGATCCACCAGTTCCCCCAAGTTGTAGGGTCTATACCGGAAGGGAGCCGGATCGGCATTGGCCTGTCGTTCAATCTCCTGTTCGCGAGCCTTTGTGGCAGCATCCACTCGAGCAGCTCGACCGCCACCGCCAAACTTGAATTTGGACCAGAAGGAGGGCTTTTCAGCGTTTGCTTCCGAGGGGTGCTTGGTAGCGGCAGAAGAAGAAGAAGCAGTGTGATCCCGCTTCTGGTTGCTTGCAGCAGAGGAGGAAGGTGCGGCGGATACAGATGCATCGAGGTGATTCACGGGTGTTGCCTCGGTAGAGGGAGCGTACCGCCTTGCCTGCTGCTGCTCTGCATTATGTCCAGAGGCGGAAGAGGTGGATGCGATTGGACTGTGAGGATCCGCCTGATCGACCTGTGTGTCGCTGAGGGGCGGAGCAGCGCTCAGTGGAGCAAGGGCTGCGTTGGATGCCATTGCCTTTGCGGCGGGCGGTGAGGTGCGGATGTCGTGCGAGTCGTCGTCGTCGTCGTGGCTGAGTATTGTGGTTGATCAGTGGCGATGTAGGGAAGAGGAGGTACTTGCTGACCACTCCTGTCCTTTCACGGTAACAGGGGCGAAAGAGGGGGGGAGGGGCAGCGTAATGTAACAGGCACCGAGATAGGCACGGGCCGGAAGGAAATCAAGTCGAGAAAGGACGTCGTCGTCGAGGATGTTGGCTTTGCACCTTTGGTTATAAGGAAGGAATGGAGGATTCAGCCGCAAAGACAAGAGGAAGTCTAGAAGGGCAAGGCAGGGCAAATGTGCGCCAAGTGCAACGAAGCCCTTTGATCACACAGCCTCCATACCGTCGCACCAAGGAGCAACGGCAAAGGGCGTGAGCGTGAGCGTGGGTGGGTCAGGTCAGGCCTTGCCTCTGTGCCCTGCCGTTGTGCCCAAAATTACAAGCCGCTCAGACGCATCTCGCGTCCCGCCCAGCCCAGCCACGCCTCCCCGTCCCTCTGTCCCTTCACACAGCCTGGACGCATAGGCAAGGCGCAACCAAACGTGCGCGCGGCACAGGAGCAAAGGCACACGCCTAGTCTAGTCTTCCCTCAGCCAACCCCCTGTTACCAAAATACACCCAAAGTCTAGCTAGAAGGAAAACGCCAAGCACAACGCCATTATCCTTCTCGAGTCTCTCTTCTCAAGGATGACCTCACGTCAGACGTAGAAACAGCCCGGTCTAGCAGCTGAGGACGGGGCAAGGGCACCAGAAGACCCTCAAGACCTCCCTCCGGTACAGGGTGCAAAGGCAAAGGCAAAGCAAAGCAGAGCACAGCTTACAACTCCGATGCGCGCGATCGAGGCTTGGCAATTTCTCTTGGCCCTTTGGCTGTGCGGTATAGGTGTGGGTGCAGGGTGCGGGGGGGGCGCTGGCTCCTCTCCCCCAATCCTCACCCCGCTAGAACCTCATAAGAGAAGGTGCAAGGAGAAGGAGGAAGGGAAAAGGGAGGTGGAGCACCGCCATGAAAGATGAGCGGTGGGCGAATGCTGGGGCCTTGAAAGCTCGTATGAAAGGGGGAGAAGGAGCGAACGTGCCTTTAGATACGCAAGTAGTTCTTACCGCGGGTATATGCTTGTAGGGAAGGGGGGCCAAGCCTTGTTCTCGCCAAGCAATTCTGGAAATGCTGATACTGAATGCAATGCTGATGCTGATGAACAATCAAACGAAACGGGGCAAAACTTGACAAGGATGATCAGTGAAATGCTCAAAGCTCGAGGGATCACTCGAGGCGATGAATCATCGGGGAAAGCTGTTCACTGCCGTCTCTGTTGCTAGGATCAGAGGCCAGAGAGGTAGACAACAAAGAATACGTACTCTGGCAAGCGAGTGGAAATGCATTGCATGTAGTGTATCAAAGGAGCTCTACCACTGCAATCAGACGCAATTTTGTGGGCGATTAACCGGACTGGAGGATAAGTCTATAGTAACAAGACGTGTCAATCCCTCCCTCCCTCTACTTCTGCTCTTCTAACCCTCAGACCAGTCCAGCAGCCTCGAGGAGCAGTACACATCCGTGTGTAGCCTCAGCCACAGTCACCTTGCTCAGGTCGAAAGTAGCATCGGCATCCGTAGGCTCCTCGTACTTGTCGCTGACACCGGTAAAGTTCTGAATCTCTCCCGCACGAGCCTTCTTGTACACACCCTTTCGGTCATGCTTCTCACACACCTCGAGAGGAGTAGAGATGTGAACCAGGAAGAAGTTTCCGGAGCCACCAGTGGAGTTGATGAGTTGCCTGGCGGCAGCTCGCGAGGCGGCATAAGGGGCAATGGGAGCTACGAGGGTAGCTGCGCCAGCTCGGGTGAGCTCAGCGGCAACAAAGGCGATTCGCTGAATGTTCTTGTGACGGTCCTCGGGCGAGAAGCCAAGCTCGGCAGAGAGCTCAGATCGGACAGTCTCACCGAGAAGCAGAGAGACGGAGCGTCCACCCTGCTCGTTCAGGCGAGTCTGCAGAGCCTTGGCCACATCGTCCTTGCCAGAACCGTAGAGACCGGTGAAGAAGATGGTGAAGCCCTGCGAGGCCTTGGGAGGATACGACTCTCGCAGCGTCTTGACAACCGACTCGTATGAGAACCAGTCGGGGATAGGAGCACCGCTCTTCAGCCTCCTTCGCAGCTCAGTACCGCTAATGTCCAGAGTCTGTGTGCCGGGGGTGACCTCGTCGGCGGGCTGGTACTCGTCGGTGGAAGGCAGGTATGTCATCTGCTGGAAGGGAACCATCTCGATACCCAGCTCGGCAGTGTACTTTGTCACGAGCTCCTGAGCATCGTAGGGACCGTAGAAGTCCTTTCCTTGCGAGTTCTTTCCAGGTCCAGCGTGGTCACGACCGACGATGAAGTGGGTGACACCAAAGTTCTTCCTGATGATGGCGTGCCAGACGGCCTCCTTGGGACCACCCATCCTCATGGCGAGAGGAAGCAGAGCCAGGTGGGCCATACCGTTGGGATACCGAGGCATGAGGGAAGCGTAGACGCGGACACGGGTGTAGTGGTCAACGTCTCCCGGCTTGGTCATACCAACGACGGGGTGGATGAGAACATTGGCTTGCCTCTGGCGGGCAGCTCGAACAGTGAGCTCACGGTGAGCCCTGTGCATGGGGTTCCTGGTCTGGAAAGCGACAACCTTGCGCCATGCGACCTTGGCAAAGTGCTGCCTGAGCTCGGCGGGGGTGAATCGTAGGGCGACGTAGTCGTAGTACTGAGGCTTGGAGATGGCCTGAATGTTACCACCGACGTAGAAGTCCTTGACGTTCTTGATCAGGTAGGTGACGGAAGGGTGGGCAGGGTCGTTGGCTCCAAAGACGTGCTCTGCCTCAAAGGCCTTGTCGACGGGGAAGATATCGGACACGGTCAGGATGGCGAGGGCGTTGTCGTCACGAGGGTCTCGGAGGACGACACGGGCGCCAGACTGGAGACCGAGCTGCTGTACCTGCTCCTTGGAGACATCGAGGGTGATGGGCATGGGCCAGAGAGCACCGCCGTTGGCCAGACGCATGTCTGTGCAGACACTGGAACGCAGAAGAGAAGTGAGACATCACAGGGTGAGCAACTTCTGTGCGAGAGCCGACTTTTGCAGATGTGCTTTCCACGCTCCCTGCTCACCTTCTGTAGTCGGCCTCACCCAAGAAACCCTCCAGAGGTGAGAAGCCACCATTCTGGATCAGCTCCAAGTCACATAGCTGTCGCTCGGTGAGGACAATGTCTGGCAAGGTGCTGGCCTCTGCGAGGAGCTGTGCGGCAATGGGGGCATCGCGGACATTGAGGTCCTTGAGGACACCACCGTGAGGAGAGTTTGCCATGATGTGGTAGTTGTGAAGGTGACGGGGGGAGGTGATGGGATAGGAAGAAGTGAGAGGGTGTTGAGTAGCGCGAAAAAGACGGCATGTCGGCTGGAGCGGGAACTTCTGCTGCACCCCGAATTCGATCCACCGCCCTCCACCGGGAAGAAGTGGCTGATGGCGTGCTCTGCTCTGCTTCGGGGTCTTGACCCGGACGGAACGGGAGAGAGTTGGCCCGCGGCATTGCCTCCTCCCCCTTCGTGCGCCGGACTGACATTTTGAGAATTTGGCTCTGCCGCCAAAAGCTTCTTCGCAGTGAGGCGACGAGGAGCAGCAGAAGCAGAAGCAGCACCATCATACCACCAGCATCACCAAGCCTTCATCGCAGTCAGCATCTCAGTGACAGAAGACAGTCACTCAGTGACGATGCCAGAGGCATCTTATACACCCTCGTCTGCCGTGGCAGGACCATCGCGGCCCAAGACGGCAGCAGGAGGAGGAGCAGCTCCTGCGCCGCCCATCAAGAGGACTGCATACGATGCCCTCTCCACCATCGAGCCCTTCTTCACCGGGTCTGGCCCCACTGCCATCACCTCCGATGGGCGCTTCCTATTTACGGCCATCGATGACGAGGTCTTGTGTACAGACTTGTCGCAGGGTACAGGTGTAGTAGTGGAGCGGATACAGCCAGTAAGTGGCTAAGAGCATCTGATTGTGCCATTGCTCTTGACGGCCAAGGCTGACATTAGACCTCCCCTGTCTATCTCTCTCCCTTCAGGACGGCGAAGACATCTCTTCCATCTGCATCACTCCTTCTTCATCCCACCTCTGCGTCACAACGCGGGCAGCAACAAGCACCCTCTTCACCTACCTCATCCAATCTTTCAGCCCTACCTTCAAGGCAGACCTTGTCCGCTCCACGCCTCGGTCCCACGATGCACCGGTAGCCATCTCCACCACCGACTCTACTGGCACACTTCTAGCCACAGGTAGTGCAGATGGTGTCGTCAAGATCTGGGACATTCAGGGGGGGTTCGTAACCCACGTCCTCCGGGGTCACGGAGGCATCGTCAGCGCCATCGCATTCGACTTGGATCTTGGTGGGGGAGCAGGAAAGGTCAGGTCCAACCTCATGACCTCGTCCGTCGATGGCAGGGTGAGAGTATGGGACCTCAACGATCGGCCAAAGCAGGGCGCACAGAAGCCATTGGCTACTCTCGCAGGCCATGTTAGCGTAGTGAGAGGACTCGACGTCAATCGCGAGGGAACAAGAATGATCAGCGGAGCTCGAGACAAGACCGTCTGCCTATGGGAAGCGATCAGGTCGCGGGACAGCAAGAAGAGCAAAGACCGCACAAGCTCTCCCCCACAGTGGACACTAAGAGAGACCCTCTCCGTAGGCGAAGGAGTGGAGGCCTGTGGCTTCTTGGACGATGCCGGAGACGCCTTCTACACTGGTGGAACCTCATCAGAACTTCGCATCTGGTCCTTCACTTCTGGCAGCGTACAATCTGTGCAGCCTCGCGGACGATGGGCTAAGGACTCTTACAAGGGCGATCAGGATGCGGGAGACGAAGAAGACCTGCAAGGCGTTGTGGGTGTTCATCACCTACAACGTCAGACCAGCGGGGCTGAGCCGAGATTGATCTCCTTGCACGCGGATTCTCGAATCGTATTTAGGACTGCTGGCTTCGAGGCTGAGAGACCTGCGCTTTCGCGAGTGAGGCAGATCATTGGCTTCAACGATGAAGCTGTTGATCTTGCAATCCTCGGCAACACTGAGCACCAGACTCAGATGGCTGTTGCCACGAACTCATCTGCAATTCGTATCTACCCTCTTCCTCGGCTTGCAAGGGGCGCGACAGGAAGTGAGGCAGCAGGGAGCACACTGCCAGCCGGCAGCGTAGACCTCCTCCCTGCTGAAAACTCTGAGCCGGGTCATACAGACGTTGTCCTCTGCATTGACTCGTCCCCTAACGGTGATCTCCTAGCCAGTGGTTCCAAGGATCGTACCGCTCGAGTCTGGGCGTACTCGGTCAGTGAGCAAGAGTGGAAGTGTGTAGCCGTTGCTGAGGGACATGCAGAGAGCGTCGGAGCCATCTGCTTCTCCAAGAAGAGCAGTCGTGAGGGGGGAGCTGGGGCGAACTTCATGGTGACGGCAAGTCAAGATCGTACAGTCAAGGTCTGGGACCTCTCCACACTATCTACAACGCCAGACGCCTCTTCGGGAAGCCCGGTGCGCCTGCGCAGCTTGGTCACACTGAAAGTGCACGAAAAGGCTATCAATGCAATCCAAGTAGCACCAAACGACTCGATGCTTGTCACTGCATCGCAAGACCGCACTTCGAAGCTCTTCACACTCTCCTTTTCACCTCCCTCCAAGGCCAATAACCAGACGGCAGTCGCAAAGCTGACACCACTCGCCACGCTCAAGGGTCACAAGCGCGGTGTGTGGTCCGTCGGCTTCTCGCCTGTAGACGCAGCACTCTTCACCACCTCGGGAGACCGGACCGTGAAACTGTGGTCGCTCAAGGACCTCAGCTGTGTCAAGACCTACGAGGGACACTCGCACTCGGTCCTCAAGGGTGCCTTCCTGCGTGGGTCTAGAGGCACCCAGCTCCTTACCTGTGGAGCCGATGGATTGGTCAAGTTGTGGAGTGTCCGCGACGAGGAGTGTCTTGCCACGCTGGAGGGCTCGCCGGATGCCCCAGCAGGAGAAGAGCAACGTCTCTGGTCTGTCGCCTCCTTTGCCAATGGCGAGGGCATCGCCACTGTCGGTGGTGATGGATGTGTGCGATTCTGGCGCGACGTGACTGCGGAGCGAGAGCAGGAGAAGCAGGTGGAGCGAGAGGTAGGCGTGCAACGTGAGCAGCGCTTCGAGAACTTGGTTCTCGCCGAAGACTACAGGGAGGCTATCCTCCTGTGTCTCGCCGAGGGACAGCCCAAGAGATTGCTCGGTCTCTTCGGTGTCGTGGCTCGCAATAGGGACGCACGCAAGAGCCGCGGCGTCGGTGGGGAAGACAGCACGACTCGTCTCCTCTCCCTCGCTCTATCCAACGGTACTCTCCCCGCTTCGTCCAGCACAAGCGCAGTCATCGACGCCGACGCCGAATCGATCACCGGCCTAGCCTCGGTGGATCAAGTCCTGGCTACCCTGCCTCTGCCGCTTCTGCGCACTCTACTCTTCTACATTCGTACCTGGAATGCATCTTCCCGCTCTAGCGCACTGGCTCAGGCGCTACTGCACGTGGTGCTGCGCAGCTATACCTCAAAGCAGATCATCCAAGCATTCGAGGCACAACCTTCCTCTGCTCTCCTCGAGGGTCTTCAAGGCGCAGGCACAGCTTCCGGTGCTGGAAAGAAGAAGAATGGCAGTAGAGCGAGCGTGGGAAGCACCACACTGCCTCAGCTTTTGGAAGGATTGATTCCTTATAGCGAGCGACACTATGCGCGTGCGGAGCGAACATTGGTCGAAGCTAGTATCCTCGAGTACACTGTCAGGCTTATGGGAGACGCCCTTGCTGATGCTGATCAGGGTGGAGATGCGGTCAAGGGGGAAATGGAAGAGCAGGACGCTCTGATGAATGGCGAGGCGGACGACAGTGGGAGTGAGAGTGACAGTGAGAGCGAGAGTGACAGTGAGATGGGCTCCGAAGAAAGTTTAGAAGCTCCTGGCGGGGAGGATCTAGAGGATTCAGAAGGAGAAGCGGAGATGGATGACGGGATGAGCGTTGATAGTGGACGTAGCTTACGGAGCGATGATGAGGAGTAAAGGCATCCGATGATGGCCGGATGGACACCGGACACAGAGGCGAAGTTTCGCCCGAGTCATTGTCATCTGCTAGTCAATTCAACCCAACTTTAAATTCTACGCCCGTCTGGCGCTACATTACACTACACTGTCCATCTGACCTGTATGGATCTGGCACTATACACCTTCCGCCTCGAAAGACTCTTCGCCTCACTCATTGTCCCCTCCCCTGCTTAAGCGCCATGACTTTATCCAAATGCAAGGCCATCCTCTCTACAAGCTCAGCCTTTTTACCACTCTTGGGCAGTCGATAATAGTCCAAGGCAATCTTGAGCCATTCGAGCGTCTTCTTGTCCAATTGACCTTTAGCGTGCAGGTTCAATGCTTCTTCCTCGGCACTCGCGTCATACACTGGTGCACGCTTCTTGTCGCTTAGCTCAATACCCCCGGCCGAGGCAGAGGCGGTGAGTCGCTGATCTTTGGTGCAGAGCTCATCCCATGCATCTACGAGTGGTCCAGCACGCTTCGCAATACCCTCATAATCCGGCAGTGTCCTGTCCACGGGTTGCTTAATGTCCACTCCAAATGCTACTGCCTTGAGCGCCTCGTGGTGGTGTGTCAGGGCGGGATTGGGGAAAAAGTCTGGATTGAAGGCAGCATTTCGGGTGTAACTCTTGACGATCCTAGCTGCTGCTTCCACTTGCTCTGTACTGGCCTGTAGATTGGAGGAATATTCATCGGGCATCTCACGGATGTCGTCTGCAAAGGGTAAAGGGATGAGGTACATCCCCGGTGGCTCGACTTGCATGCCTTCTTCATTGCGCTCCTCTGCCTGTGGTAGGATTGCGACAAATTCTGGAATGGAATTGTCTCGAGGCATAAAGACTCCAATGGCCATCTTGTCCTTTGAGATCATAGCTTTGAGCAAGGCGGCAAAGGCGCGTTGAGAACCGAGGTACTCTGCTTCAGTCGGGAAGATGAAGATGGCATGTTTGACATTCTCCCAGAATCTAAGGACGGAACGATCCTTGAATCCTAGAACTTTGAGGCCAGGCTTCAAGCCGGACGTTTTCAGGTCGTTGATCTCCTCGGGTGAGAAGCGAACCACGTTGCGGGGCGTAGTGTCGAAGCCGAGACTGAAGGCATGGTACACTTGCGTTGCTGGGTTGAGCAGTGCCCCGGTCTCTCTACACTGTAGATGGCTCTCTGCTATGACCTCACGCCAGATCGAGTCCTCGTCCTCTCGGTAAACCTTGACAGGATTGCCTTTTGTGAGCTTGCTAACAGTGTTGTAGCCTGCCACGCCGATGGTGAGACCGTCCGCCAGCTCCATTCCCACACGGAAGACGACGCGCTTGGGCATCTCCTTTGACCCTGCATCCTTCTCCAGGTCGTCAAACTTCTCAAATGCATTCCAGTTGGACTTGCGCACGGTAGAGGCATCGTTGCCCCCCGTCAAGCTCTGGTCGGACCTCATCATCTCTGTCTGATCGTCATAGGCCTGGAAGAGGTCAGCATAGAAGAGATCTGTCGAGAAAGGCTTGCCGGGCGTGCTGATGAGGAAGGCCTCGAATTCGATGCCCCGCCTCCTCATCTCCTTGATCTTCTCTAGTGCATTCTTCTGCAACTTTCCCTTTGCGCTTCGTCCTCGATATGGGTCGTCGTTGTTGGTGACAAAGAAGATGCGGCGAGACCCAGTCTTGCCCGCCGAATTGAGCATGCTCTCTGCATTGCCGAGGGCGTAGTGTATACGCACTTGGCCTTGGTCGATGGGGTAGCGTTCCTTCCAGTAGGTCGACGTACCATCGCGTATAGCGTCTGCGATGTCATCACGCAGGTTGACCACGGGTGGCACGCCTACTTGCTCAATAGGAGCAATGGCGTAGCAGCCATGGTATGTCATCTTCTTTCCCTCTACGGGCACCTGTGTGTCGCGCTGAGAGGGGCGGAGGGCAGATTTGGTCGTTCAGCTAACTCTATACTCAGTCATGCTATCATCACAGTAGGGCTGTACTCACCGTATTGAATAGCAGTATACCTATGCGATCATGTGGACTCTTGATGAGCTTGTGCTCCATCATTGCACACGCCACTTCGATGGCGCGGTGTACGTAGCTCTTGCCGCTGTCTGGGTCGATTTCGTGCATCGACTCGCCATTGTCTATGAGCCACAAGCACGTATCCTTGTAGTTGGGAGCCTGAAGTAATTTGAGCAGAGAGACGGGCATACTGTGAGTATCGCGTGGAGGAGGGGCGATGCTGTGCTGCTACCACTCTTCTACTCCACTCACCTCCCAGGACATGAGGTCCTCCTCGTCATCGTCCTGATTGCCCTCATTGCCCCTGTACCCGCCGTTGCCCTTTTCTGCCATTGCGGTGTGACTTGTGATCAGCTTGTGAGTGCTTTTATGCTCTCAAGCCATGGCATCCACAGTATGCGCATACATCCACCTCGTAAACTTGGTACTGGGGTCACAGGGAGGAGAGGCGAGGTGGAAGCGGAAGCGGAAGCGGAAGTGGCCTCGCGGTGTTGCGTCGAGATTCGACTCAGACGCGATTCGACATAAGTCACTGCCGCCGAACCATGACCATCACCTTCCTGTTTCATATCATTTACCACTCGTAGCCCAGACAACGTCACTGCATCTGCTTCGTCTCACTTAGCCATACTCTAGCAGTAGACCACCTCGGTCACCACGACTTGACACACGGCCATCGCCCGGCCCCATCACCAGCCATGTTCGCACCGCGATCTCGCTTCGACGAGAATGCACTCGTGAGCCAGACGCCAGGTCCTTCGATGAACAGACCTCGCGCCAGCCCCATCAAGCAAGGCGGTCTCACCACCGCTGGCAAGCAGCGCATGAAGGGACAATACGAAGATGGCGAGCAAGGATTGGGTGAGTAGTCCGTCGATCACACACGGGGCTAAGGGTTTCACATGAGACTAAAGCGCCATCGTACGATCCGCTCCCCCTATCACGTACACAGGAAGCCCAAAGAAGCTATTCAAGAATGTCGGAGGAGCATCGCCCATGAAAGGAGGAGGAGCAACTCCAGGTCCATCCTCCAAGAGACCAATGGCAATGGCACCCAAGACGCCAGGCGCGGGTCTAGGCGGCCTCCGGTCGGCGCTGGGAGACAAGACGAACAACAACAAGATGGCGTCGACCAATCCCTTTGCTCCTCGCCAACAGCCGGGTGATGGAGGACAACAGGGTGGGAAGAGCCCGAAGAAGAAAGGCTTGCCGGGAACAAGTCCACTCAAGTCGGGTCAGAAGCCAGCTGTACCTCAAACGCCAGCTGCTTCTACATCAATCGGCGCGAGGACTGAAATTCCCTCGATAGGCAGCGCACGAGGACCTCAGCCATTCGAGACGCCGGCTGCAAATGTGGGAAGAAAGGGCATGATGAAACAGAAGATGGGAGAAATTCTAGATGCGCAACGGTTTGCCTCTGCCGGAGTCGAGCCACCTGAGCAGCTGCAGGAGGAAATGGTAGAGCAGCACTGGACCGATGGTCTGACCGAGGAGGAGATGTACCCAGAAATCGAGTACATGCCGCCCTCTATGGGCTCGAGCGCTCTACCTGAAGAGAGACCAGAGGCTCTGGAAGGACTCATGCAGGCGGCGGAACTTGGAGCTATGATGAAGGACAGCAATTTTCTTGGGGTGAGAAGGTCTCCTTCGCCTCGACTTGCAGCAGAGCTGCCCCCTACACCCCCCGAAGAGATCCAGGCTGCTACTCTGAAAGGCGTTCTGGCAGATACTCGCCATGACAAGGACGAAGAGAGCACAGATGAAGACGAGCCTTTCCCCGATCAGAAGATTCTGGTCCCCGTTGCAGGTCCAAAGGCTGTCGCACAGGGATCTCGAATGGGGTCAAGCATGGCCACATCTTCAACCGCTCGTCTGGGATCTCCTAGCGCTACCCGTCCGCAGAATAGCGGTACTCGCCCTACCGTCGGTGTCACAAACCGCTCCGGTTCTCAGCTCTCGGGCGCAATCAGGTCATCTGTCCAGCCTCGGTCAGCTGCCGTTAGGTCGAGCTCCACGGCCGCTACCAAGCCAACGTCGCGTCTTGCGCAAGGCGAGAACGGCCGGCCTGTTCCCGTATCTCGAGCCAGCAGCGGCAAGCCGGCCACGTCTCGGTCAGGAAGCACAGCCTCCCCTTCGCTTGCACCTCGAGCACGTCCAGGCGTCCCGCCTCCCGCACGACCGCTCGGCGTCAAGCCTCAAGGTCTATCCAGCACTGCAAGCACCTCGAAGCTCCCTTCTTCCGTCCCTGCAAAGATGAAGGTCAAGCGCCAGCCACACCCCGCGCTGCTCGATCTGGAGAACGATGAGGTCTCTAGAATGGTCAAGGAGCAGATCAAGCGGGACGAGGAAGAGCAGTTGAGGGAATTGGGGATGCAGGGAGTGGGGTTGGACTTGTTTGACGATGATGAGATGTTGTTGGATGTGCAGGAGGAGGTGGGCATTTGAGAGAAGGAAGTGGGAGTGGGAGACAAGAAAGAGAAACTTTATACCCGGGTTAAGTCGAGTGCAGGGGCTCTGTCTACACCAGTCGATACCAGCACCTTCACTTTATTGGTCGTATCCAATCTGTTCAATCTGCTCGATATACTATAATGGCCATCAGCATCGCCCCTTGGCTCATGCCTTGATCGCCCTCCACTCGCCCAGCAGACGGAAGTGGGAAAAATCACCGAGACCGACATCGAGACGGAAGCGGCCCACTTTGTGTCTACGATCCTTCTTCCATCCTAGGGTTGAAATAAAGCTCCTTTCAACGCCCTCGCTCCCTCCCTCGGTCTCTCATTGACGTTGACGTCGGGAGAGACATGTTCGTCCTTTTAGCCAGCTCGTCGGGGGCTATGCTGAGGCAAGTCGCCAGGCGTGGCGGGAGCGCTAGGGCAGGAGGGGTAGCAGCAGGGGGAGCTGTCGCAGAGCCGGCTCGGGCATCGCGATGCTCCTCGCAGCCAAGAGGAGGAGCAGGAGCGGCAATGCTCAGCGGCCATGGTCGCTCTGCTTCATATACGAGGAAATCTGGTGAATTTGCGGAGGGACATATTAGCGGTAGCTCGAGAAGGAGCTGGAGGAGCGAGGCTACACCTCTATGCAACCTCCCCCTGCCCTCGCACCAGCGGCGGATACACCTCCCCACCTCTCCACCTGCTGCTTCATTACTCTACAGACTCTTCTCTTCCTCTTGCTGCGTCCGTGCTAGCTCTAGCTCTTCCCTTTACTCAATGCACAAGCTCAATTCCCACCCCGGCTCGGCTCCCGACGGCGAAAGCGAAAGTGAAAGCGAAGAGCCCCGCTCGCAGCAAGTCCGGCGTGCCTGGTCCCAAGCCCTTGCATCGCGACGTGCTCAGTGGAGTCAACCCTCTGCCAAAGGAGGCGGAACGGGTGGAGGCGGAAGCTCGAGGAGTGCTTTGCCAAAGGAGATCTTCGATGTGAGCTTCAGTAGGAGTCAGGGGCCGGGGGGACAAAACGTCAATAAAGGTGCGTTGGGCTGAGGGGCCAGCTGCTGCTGCTGCTGGCGTTAAGCGAGTCGTCAAGATCAGCAGATCAGAGTAGAATTGAGCTGATCAGCGGATACGCCTCTTTCTTCCTCTTCTCTCCTCCTCTTCCTCGTTCTCGGCACGTCATGACACACACATACTAGTCAATACAAAGGCCAATGTGCGTCTGCTCCTAGCGGCAGCCTCCTCACCCAGCATCTTCGACTCGGGCAAATCCCCTCTGCCTGTACCGATCCCACGCGAGGTGGTGAGCAGGCTGGTGGAGAAGTCGGTGAGTGAGGTGCGAGGGGATCTTCCAAAGCGGTTTCTTCGGAGGGGATCCCAAGGCAAAACAGAGGGAGCAGGGCTGACAGCCGTGTTTTGTACTGATCGGTCGGGGCAATGACGCAGACGTACTATACCCAGGCGAGCCACAGTCTCCTCGTCTCTAGCGAGTCTCTGCGGACACAAGAAGGGAACCTGAGCGATGCCATCGAGAAGGTAAGCGAGGGGCCCCAGAGAAGGGACTTGTGGTCTTGCCTCCCGTTCTAATGAAGCTCTTCTCTATCCCCTTGTACACTTGCCCCATGGCTTTCGGCAGCTTCTGGACCACCTTCACCAGCACGCAACGGCCGATCTGATCAACCCTACCCCTCTGCTCCAGAAAGAGAAGGTGCAGCGGTTAATTGCTCGGGAGAAGGGCAAGCTGAAGAAGGTCAAGTCGCAGAGGAGCGCTGTGAAGAGTGGTAGGAGGGACAAGGGGTTCTGACCTGCAGACGAGATCGAGGAAACTGTTTGACGGTGGTCCGTGGTTTGTTTTGTCATTGTAATCGTATAGAATTTTGAAAGCGCTATTGAGATGTGCTGGACAACCAAGGAGGTGAGGGAAGAGTCAGCGAGGACTGGTTCCATACCAAAGTACCATGTATGTGCTCACTTGTGATCTATCAGCCTCACCAATTAAGGTCCTCATGCTCTACACCTCTGACTTCGTGCCTCCCTCTCAACTAGCCAAATGCTCCTTCAAGCTCGTACTCCACTCATCCTCCCTATCATCATCATCCCAATTATCCTCCCAAAGATGATCCCCCGTTCCAGCATTCTTTTGATCTTTCCCATCAACTCCACTTCCAAAACCGCCTGAGCCACCACCAGCCATTGTTAGAGCATTTGTAGAGTTACTGGTACTGCTGGACTTGCTGGCTGCGGAGGAGAGGGTGTGGGCGTCGTCCCAGTCTAGTGAGGAGTGAGGAGTGAGAGGGGACGGGGAGACGGGAGAGGCGGAGCAGAGGAAACGAAGGAGTCAGTATGGTGTCCTCACTCAGGAAGAAGAGCTTGGCAGCACCAATCCTCCCCATCGTCCCCTCGATGCTGACCCCCGTCTACTCACCTTGGACCTCAAACTCCTCAAACTCGTCATCCTCATCCAATGCTCCCAAGGAGGGAAGATCCTTACTGGTGACCTGCTGGGCGCTCGTCTGCTGCTGCTGCTGTTGTTGCTGTTGCTGAGTGGGTCCTGCGGCCGTGGAACCTTTGCTTGAGTCTGCCATACTGGGCTGGACGATCAGATGCGATGCGATGTAATGTGAGACGATGCGATGCGATGGGTCCAAGGGCAGGAGTGAGCAGTGGTAAGATCCTCGAATATGGTGTGCGTGTCTCCACCAGGCGCTCGCTGAGATGGAGGCAGGCACACACGGAAAGAGTGGCGCGGGCGGAGGCGAGGCGTCGTCAGTGTCGACGCGGCCTCCGTTCCGACTTTCCTCCTGCCTCCTTGATTCAACGCCAATTGCTGCTAGCTTCTTAACTAACTTGTCACCTTATTCCACTCTGCTTACTTCCAGCTGCTTCACGGCCTGTAGTCACTCGTTTCAACGACTCAATTCCATCGCCCACTGTGCATTCGGCTCCGATGTCAACTGTCAGTGTCAGTGTCGGCCTGTCGTTGTGCGTGTGTGTGATCGGGGGGCGGGGAAGTATAGTCCGAGCCGAGCCGAGCCGAGGCAGGACGCTATCTCACACAGGTAAAGAGCAGACGACTGTTCGTAAATTCTGTTCATCCATGGCTGTCGAGATATTTACATTCCATTCACACTGAATCAGAAGATTGATCATCACCGATACTGTCCTGGTGTCACGATGACGGTAAATAAGGTATCCGAGTGGCTCTAGCACGAGTCCTTGATCTTGCTCTCCTTCTATGCTTTATTTACAACTGCACTCTCCGTCGGCTTCCCCTGCTAGTAACTTAGCTAGGTAGAAGCGACTTCCACATCCTTGGTGTTACGCTTCTGATGCCACTCCTGCAGCTTCTGCCTGACAGTGTCCGTGGGTGTGCTCTGGGCAAGGAGCTTCGAAGGCCAGATGAAAATGTAGATGCTCGTACCCAAGAGCAGCGGCAGTGCATCCAACAGGAAAGAGTAAATCTCAGTAGAGTTGAGTGTTCCAGTCCAGCCTTCAGCATTCTCTACTGTTCGGTAGGTCAATCGAATGATGATGAAGATCGAGGTAAAGTAGAGGATCAAGAAGAGGCGTGCAGTAGATGTCGCAGGATCGTCGGCATGCTCGCCCTTGAAGCAGAATGCTCGACGGAGAGAGTAGGAACGGTCCATTCGGAGCAGCTTGATGTGACATTCGATGACCAAGGCACAGAAGAAGAGATAGGAGCCGACCTGAAGGGCAACTCCTATCAGGAAGATACTGACTCCGAGGTCGACATGATCGGCACCAGAAGCCTGAATCCCTCCGCCAGCAGCCTGACAGAATGATCGGGAAAGAGGAGGATAAAGGGAGGAAGAGAAGGCGAAGCGAAGAGTCAGTAGGTAGCGCTGAGGGCTGTCGAATCTGGTGACTCTACTCTACTTACCTGAACCAAGACGGTGAAGATGTCAGAAAAGACAAAGATGAGAGTGTACAGTCTAGGCGGCAAGATCGACAGCGGGCTCCTCTGAGACATCTTTGGCTTTGTCCTAGTGACTTCCTCTGATCCGTACTTTTCCGAGGTTCTTGCCCCAGCGCCCATGCCAGTCACGACGACTACCATACGTCCAAAGGTGATGTAGCCCATGGCCAGGATGCAAGCAGGAGAGGCGACGACGCTCATGAGGTACATGACGATATACAGGCCTAAGCTGGATTGGTTGGTCCTCTCTTTGATACGAATACCATAGGCGATGGCCGCCAAAGCTAGACCAAAAGGTAAGCATAGAGCCCACCAGGCACGAGTACGGAAGACGTGGAAGAAGATGAGGATCGACCAAACCGCCCAGAAGCCAGCAATGATGGCATTACCAGCCAGACTGGGCACATAATGCAAGATCGAATCGCTTTGCAGAGTTTCGGCGGCGACAAGGAGACTTGAAGAAGATAGGAGAGATATCAGAATGAAGGCACGGGCTAGCGCCTGACGAGAACTGGAGAGCATGATGTTCAGTTGCGTGATAGAGAGCGTGGACGAGTTGGAAAGAGTGCCTGAGAGAAGACTTGTGGAATGTGGACGAAAGAGTGTAGATGACTTGAAGTGATATATGCGAAAAGGCCTGTCAGAGCAGGAAGCAGCAAGGCGGTGCAAAGCTGAGCAAGGAGCAAGGACGTGCGGGTCGGTGCGGGTCACACAAAATAGTCCGTACCGACGGGCCCGTGATGGCTGAGCCTTTTGTATGCTGAGCGCACGCCAAGACCCGGAGACAATGCCGAAATAGCAGAAAAGCAGCAAAAGTGGGGGGATCGAGATGGAAGGGGAGAAAGATAAGGAGAAGGCGCTGACAGCAGAGGGGATATCCGTGTTTTCATCTTTGCATTGATGCCTCTGTAGGCGGGAAGCATGTTGCTTTATCCTCCTCAACGCCTCCCGGCGGCGTAGTTCCGGCGCGGATCTAATCTTAAGAAGGTGCGCCTTGTGTGATTGGCGGGAGGCGCAAGCGGAAGCGGAAGTGGCAACGTGGCGGCGTGGGCGTACGTACGCAGGTGGTCGCACGCAAGCAGCGCATCGTATCCCGGGACAAGCAGCACAGAAACGTGTATAGATGCTTTCTGTATTGACACTTCTTCGGAACGTTCCTGGATCACATGGCACATCGACTTCCGTCAGATCCTTGACCTCTGTCTTCTATTCTATGCCTGAGCTGTTTCAGGGGCTTTCGCTGCCGTGGCAGCCCTGACTGTGTTGAGTATGCCCACAATTGCAGGCTGCCACCTTTCCAACACCCAGCCGAGCAGCCTGTGAAGCAGCAACTGTAGCTGTAGCATCGTTTCTGCATAATCGACCTTGCCGGCCCAGATCTCGACCAAATGTATCCCTGGCCTTAAAGTGAGAGCTGCAGTGGGGCTCATTGAAGTTGGAAATTCTTCTGTGGACAGATCGAATGCTACAAAGACCTCGTACAGAGAGCCTACTGAACAAATGACGACTACGGGCAGGCGGGGAGAGGCTTGGGCACCTCCGACTCTACGATGAATGTCATCAAGGGTCTTCATCATTGCGAGGGCCTTAACGGCACCATGTGCGGCTTGATTTTCGGCTGCCACCATATTCCCACAGTCTGTCTTGGCCTCGAAAATGAGGAACGGAAAAGCGATGTCTGGACGAGCGGGCGACGAGAAAGGCTGAAGGCCGTAAAAATCGTTGAGCTCTACGAGAGGTACTAGCGATAGAGAAGGCGCATGGATCTGAGGGATGGCGAGACCGAAAGTTAGGTCTGGTTTGGGAGCTGAGAGGTGCAGATGGGAGCCGCTGCCGAGAGAAACTCGTACGTCGAAATTGCGGCTCTGGCAGCTATAGAGGAGTGGGCGGTTAAAAACGCTGAACACGCGTCTGGCAAAGTCCATCCATTCTGCCTTCTCTTTCAAGCGACACTGCTTCCCTTCGTTGGCAAGGGCAGCGGCCGTGCTTCTCAAGGAAGTATTGGTGGAGACAGCATCGAGTGGAGCCAAAGACGGAGAAGGGTCATTGCCGAGGGTACTGACTGTTGTAGGGGAGAGCAAGCCGTCGACGAAAGTCCGAATTCGAAGGGGGCAGTCCTCTCTATCTAATTCGTTAATAAAGATCATCGCGGAGGAGAGGGCGTAGGTGCGGTAGGTCACTGGTCGTATGTCCTCGCTCGACCGAGAAGACGATCGGGACCCAAGACTGTCGACATCGCTGGGAGAGCGGCTGAGACCGTCACTGTATGCACCGCTGGCAGGTCTGCTACCGCTGCGGCCAGAGTTTGACCCTAGAGCTGACATGGCGAGGGACAAAATTGTTGCTCATTGTGGAGTTGGTGTGAAACGGGATGGAGAAGAGTCAAGAATCACCAGTCGGAAGTAGCCATGCGACGCGAGAGCCATGCGCCTGTGTTTGGCAAGGACACTGCTCTGGTGCCTGACCTTCGCGCGAGGCTCTGCCCTGAGCGGCCGGCATGGCGGTGACTTGATTTGCCCCTGCAGCAAAGGCGAGGAACAGAATTTGGTGAGGAGCAATCGGCGAGGCGTAGGCAGACGACGCAGAAATAGAAGGGGGGCCCACACACTCACTCCTCGCAATTACCATCCGCCCTCTTCTTCTTCTTCCTCTTCCTCTCCATTCACCGCACTCGTCACATTCTCCCCTCCCTCGTAGACGCAGTTGCGGATTACTTGGACAAGGCTACAAGTTCGCGCTGCTTGTCTTTGTCTTTACAGCATTTTCTCTAGCAGCAGAGTGGAGCGCTTGCAGAGCTTCCTGCTTTCTATACCAACTCCCACCTCGCGGCCTAGTGCAGCATATAGCAGCATTCTGCACACAATCTCACTTTCATTGCTGGTGGACACCCAAGCTGAGTGCCTCGTCTCCCGTCAAGATATTCTCTCGACGCTGCATTGCCGTCTCGCAGCCGTGTAGAGGTAGTCGACCTTTCATGCAGCAGCCTCCTTCTCTAGCGTCAGCAGCCTATTCTTCTTTGCAACGACCGTCAGCAGGCAACGACGCGACAGGACGTCGTCAATACCTCTCACCGTCCAACTTCAACGATCAACACACCAGAGGACTTGGTGAGGTCTCGCTCGGAAGTCACCGCATTTCAGGTCTGCCCAAGAAGAGGCAGGCCACCACTTCTCGTTCTAATCCTACGACTCCTGAAGTTGGTCATAGCTCTTCCTCGTCCAACCTCTGGGGATCGCAACAACAGCCACCTAGTGCAGGACACGCCTTTTCAACAAGTAGCAAAAGCAGCTCCAACCTCATGGCGGACTCCACTGGCAATTGGAGGTCAGGAGGGAGTGGTGCAGGGTCCGTGAGCAGCGGACCCACCGCAGGGTCGAGAGGCAGTAGAGGCGGGTCCAGTGGATCCAGCAGGGGCAGAGGTGGTAGAGGCGGAAGGGGCGGAGCGTCTTCAAAGTACGTACGAACAGTGGCTCAAGGCTCGGCGATGTCCTTCTGACCATCACCTCACCCATCTCCATTCTCACAGACGATCGAAGCACTCTGCGACAGCAGCCGCCGCTGCAGCTGCCAATTTGCCTATCCTCCCCGCTCCAGGCCACACTATGGACTACCTCCGCCACGTGTTGTACCCGAAGCTGATCGCATCCGGGACTGTCAAGGCGCAGTGGCTCGAAAACCCCAAGAATCCGCTGACCGTCTATATCAATCATCAGACTGGTCAGCCTCCAAAGTTCGAGATGTCGCAGGGACGTATAGAGGACGGCCCTCCTGAGCTGGTTTACCGCGCTACCATCGTCGCCGATGTGGTTCGCAACATCTCCGGCTATGGAGACGGCAAGAACGTGAAGGACGCAGAAAAGGGTGCGGCCTTCGATGCTGCCATGAGGCTAGCCGAGCACGGCCTTCTCGGAGCCAAACCCTCGGCCATCAACCCCGGCTCGTCAGGGCAAGCTCTCTCAAAAGGAGCAACTCCGGCTGACAATGGGCCGAAATTGACCACTGGTGCAACCCTCACTGCCGAACGAGCGCGAGAGTTCATGGAGTATTATTGTGCCCAGTTCAAGTTTGGCAAGCCGGCCATAGAGCTATCACAGGAGACCACCAGGAAGGGATCGCGGCAAATTGCAGGTCTCTGGAAAGCAGAGATGATCGTCGGTGGGTCGTCGGTCGGTACGGGTGTTGCTTCCAACAAGAAGAATGCCACCGCGAATTGCTACTTGGATACTGTGACTTACCTGGAGAACATGGACCCCGACCTCTTTGCAAGCTTCGAGGCGACGCACCGACCGGGGTCTACAATCGCATCAGCTGCTCACGTATACTTCAAGATAACCGACGATCTGCACGACGAGATCAGAGACATCTCGCGCCGTACAAAAGGCAGTCTGTTGTACTCCAAACGCCCGCGACCTGCTGGCAAGCTCGGGCATGGTGAGAAGGCAGAAGACCCTGTCAATAAGCCTACTGCTCGTCGCTTCGAGCCCTTCAATCTGCCACATGAGAGCTACATGCAGGAGAAGTCAGATACGCTGCTAGACTCGTTGCAGAGGTATCAGGTAGACGAGCGGGTGGCCAAGATGCGCGCCCAACGAGCTCATCTGCCTGTTCAGCAGAATATCACCGACGTCTTGACTAAAGTCGCTATGAATCAGGTGGCTATCTGTATGGCGGCTACTGGATCAGGAAAATCTACGCAGGTACCGCAGATTCTCCTCGACGATGCCATTCTGGAGGGCAAGGGAGCTTACTGTAACATCATCTGCACCCAGCCACGACGTATCGCAGCCATCTCTCTGGCTCAACGTGTAGCAGCAGAGCGCGGTGAGACCGTAGGACAGACCGTCGGATACCAAGTGCGATTTGAGCAAAAGCCTCCGCAGCCCCACGGTAGCATCACGTACTGCACCACGGGAGTTTTCATGAGGAGGCTGCAGAATGCTCTTGGCGACACGAGTGGTGCGACGAGCTGGCTGGACACTATCACCCACGTCGTCATTGATGAGGTGCACGAGCGAGATGTGCAGACCGACTTGCTCCTCGTCGTGCTCAAGAAGATCCTCGCAGAGCGCAAGTCAGCACAGAAGCCGGACATCAAGGTCATCCTGATGTCAGCTACAGTCGATCCCAAGCTCTTCCAGAATTATTTCCCCGACCAACAGGGTAGACCTGCTCCTGTCGTCGAGATTCCTGGGAGAGCCTTCCCAGTCGAGAAGCACTTCATGGAGGAGACCATTCCTCGCCTTCGCGCTCTCAACCTGCCCTTTGGCGCCGGTGGTTGGGTCTGGCAGCAGAAGAATGTACAAGATTATCTTCATCGCGAGCTTCAGATGCGCGGTGGTATGAGAGGTGGCGAGGAAGGGGCCGATGTCATCGATGACCTCGAGATCCCCTACCCTCTCGTATCTCTCTTCATTGCCGATGCCATTGCAAGGAGCGACGACGGACACATTCTGGTCTTCTTGCCCGGTTGGGACGAGATCAAGGTGATCAATGGCCATCTGCAAAGCCCTCGAGAATTCCCTCTTCTCGGCCTCGACTTCAACGATCGTGAACGCTTCGAGATCCACATCCTCCACTCGTCCATCCCCGTAGCAGACCAACAAGCCGTCTTCCAGCCTCCAGCTCACCCAGGCATTCGAAGAATCATACTTTCCACCAACATCGCCGAGACCTCCGTCACAATCCCTGACGTCACCGTCGTCATCGATACGGGTAGGGTCAAGGAGAGCCGGTACGACCCTGCACGTCACTTGTCTAGTCTTGTCTCTGCCTGGGTCGGTACTTCCAATCTGAACCAGCGTGCTGGACGTGCTGGTCGTCACCGAGCCGGAGAGTACTACGGTGTCTTGTCCAAGGCCCGCTACGATCAGCTCGCCATCAACCAGACCGTTGAGATGCAACGTGCCGATCTGACCGACGTCGTACTGCACATCAAGGCACTCGATATCGCTGGCATGGAGCCCGAAGACGTCTTGGCTGCTGCTATTGAGCCGCCTAGCCCCGATAGAGTGTCTGCTGCAATGCAGCAGCTGTACATGATCGGAGCACTCGACACGAACAAGGCCCTCACTTCTCTGGGTGCTGTCCTACTGCAGCTCCCCGTCGATGCCGCCATGGGCAAGATGGTCTTGTATGGTCTCTTCTTCCGCTGTGTGCAGCCCACAGTCAATCTGGCTGCTATCCTCACCAACCGAGACCCCTTCTTGGCTCCCATCGACCTGAAGGCTCAGGCTGCTGCTATCAAAGAGTCTTGGTCCCCCAACGACTATCGATCAGACGCCTTGGCGATTCTGAGGGCCTACCAAGCTTGGTCTGAGCTGCAGAATCGTGGCGACTTCCAAGCTGCGAACAGGTTCTGTCATGACAACTTCCTCAGCAAGCCTACGATGCTGCAGATCCAGCAGGTCTCTACGCACATCGTCCAGAGCATGGGCAGCATGATCGAAACCATCTTGGGCTCGGCATCTGCACAGAATGATGACTATGGAGGACGCTACCGCCGCCCGCGCCACAGCGAGTCTGCTCCTGAGCTCAATGTCAACTCGGAATGCATCCCTCTGCTCTCGGCTCTCATCGCAATGGCCTCTACGCCCAACTTTGCCATCCGCAAGTCTGAGAAGAACTATCAGACCAGTCAGGACAAGACGTGCTTCATTCACCCGAGCTCTGTATGCCACTTGAAACACACCAAGGGCAAGGAGGACGAGATCCAAGTCGGTGAGAGGGAGATTTTCGCCTTTGCTGACAAGACGCGGAACGTGTCCAACCTCGGCGGACCAGGAGGTGGCGGTGGCGGTGTTCCGCCAGCCATGTTGAAGACGGTTACCCGTCTAGATCCATTGACGTACATGATCTTCGGAACAAACTCGATCAAGCCTGTCAACGAAGGAATCATCTGCGATGATTGGCTGCCGGTACGAGGATACTTTGAGGCGTTAGACGACGTCGAGATCCTCAAGCACGTGATGGACGCCTCTATGTTGCGCATCTTCGAAGGTATCGGCAAGACTCGCCAGGGAGGACGCTCTCGGCAAAGGGCGGCTCCCGCCCAGCCTTCTCGCAGCGCGCCGGCTCCCATGGACGACTGGGATGCAGTGGAGACTGCCCACAATGAGGATGGGCCTGATGAGTACTCGTACAGAGATGGCAATGCCGACACTGCTGCCACAGGGGCCTATGGCATGCCCACCGAGTTCGGCAACCGATCAGACCTCTCTCTTTCTCCGAGGGAAATTGCAGAATTCGAACACCTCACCACGGGCATTGTCAGAGCTCTCGATCACTACGCCAGCGACCGTGGGCAGGCGCTTTCCAATGCCGGATCCAGGAACGTCACCAGACCTGCCTCTCCTAATGGCGTCGGGCTGAATCTCAACGGACACAACAACTATGGTGGTGGCGGCGGTGGGTATGGAGGTGGTGGAGGAGGAGGCGGCTACTCCAAGAATTTCAGTGCCATGCGGGGCGGCGCTAGTGGGATGGGCGGTGGAGCCAACTACCACAATGGGCCCGCCTACCCTACAGGACCTCGCGGTGGAGGCGGCTACAGTGGTCCAGCGCCCACTGGACCTACAGGCTGGGGAGGAAATGGTTACAGCAACGGCAACGGCCACAGCAATGGTTACGGCAATGGCAATGGCGGTGGTGGTGGAGGATACGGCGATGGAGGCAACTGGAGGCGTGGCTAGATGGCGGCTCTTGATTCGAAGGGCACAATGAAGTCAAACACATAGATGTCGCTACTCCCTCTAGCTTCTGACCCTCTTGTCACCTCGTCACGTCAGGCTCAGCGTGGCATCCATTCGCCTCGTCTCGCAATTTGTACTCGCGACTCTTGTTCTACCACACTTTACATCGCACTCGCACCTTGACAGACTTCACTCAAAATAGATAGACTGTACTTTCGTCTCGTCTTTCACACCTCTTCTCTTGCTCTGTATTGTGTGTGCTGCCTGTACTGCGTTTAGCTAGACTAGCTCTCAGTAAGCGCTCATCTGAAATGTGCCGTAAGGAGCGCAGTCTGTGCTCCACCCCCGGGCTGCCGGCCCACCGGCACGGCACAGAGCTCCGGGCGGCCTTTGCGGAAGGCGCGTGGATCCGGTGAGGAGAATGCGGGGAAAGCAAGCTCAGCCTTCTTTCTCCCCACTTCTCGTCCCTTTAACACCTCCTCATCCTTATTCTCATCCTTATCATCCTTTCCCGAATCCCCAAACCCCACATCCGATCATGCCTTCCCCTTCTTCCTCCTCTTCTGCGGGTTCTAGCAACTCAACTGCCTCCCCAGTCTCCTCCGTCGAAGCTCGCATCTCTCAATTGCGATCCCACCTTTCTCACAAGCCTCGCTCCGGTCGTCTAGCCGGTCAAGTCTGTATCGTCACTGGTGTCGGTTCACTTACCGGTATAGGTCGTGCCTCTGTCCTCCTCTTTGCTCACGAAGGAGCTCGAGCCATTTATGCCCTCGATCATGATGATTCTAATCTACCTTCATTGAAAGAGGCAGTAAAGGAAAAGTATGGTGATGAGGTTAGAGTGGAGACACACGCTTGTGATTGTGCGGATGAAGAGGAGATTAAGAAGGTGGTGGAGAGAGTGGTCAAGGAAGAGGGAAGGCTGGATGTCTTCTTTGCGAATGCGGGAGTGCCGGGGACAATGGGACCATTGGGTACGTTGGAAGCAGAGGATCTTGCAGAGACGATGAGGGTCAATGTCGCCAGGTGAGTAGGGATGCCAGGATGGTGACAGCCATCGAGGAGTGGTGAGTCTGAGCAGCACAGCGGCACAAGGGGCTGACTCGCTATCTCCCTACGCTTCTCCACCTCCTCTCAGCGGTTTCCTAGCAATCAAGTACGGCTCTGAAGCCATGAAGCTCTCCCACCCCTCCAAACTCACTCCTGGCGGTTCCCTAATCCTAACAGCCAGTGTAGCCGGTCTCCGATCCGGTGCTGGTGGCATCGACTATTCCGCAAGTAAAGCCGCCGTCGTCTCTCTAGCATCTTCAGCAGCTTGGAATCTAGCTCAAACTGGGATTAGAGTGAATGCAGTTTGTCCTGGTCTAGTAGAGACGGGAATGACAAAGCCGCTCTTTGATGGAGCGAGACAGAGGGGGACAGTAGGTAAAGTGGGACAGTTGAATCCATTGGGAAGGTATGCTGTTGCTGAAGAGGTGAGTGCGCGAGTGAGCAAGAGCGAGGCCTATAGCTAGCGTCCCGGTAGCAAGTCTGACCCCTTCATACCTACCTTACCCCTCCTGCTCCACCTACTCTACAGATTGCAAATGCCGTCCTCTTCCTCGCATCAGATGACGCATCGTACGTCAATGGCATCGCTCTGCCCGTGTGCGGTGGATTGAGCGCTTCGCATCCTTTTGCACCGGCTGCCAGGTGGAATTGAGATGAGATGAATTGAGAAAGGAGAGGAAGGGGAGGAAGGGAGGAAGGGAGGAGGAAGGAGAGGGATGATGGTGGTCATGAGGAGTGACTGGCAATGTTACGGGAGAGAGTGCAAAGGGACGGTGGTGACAGGCGTGTGGGGCTTACTTGCAGACAGACGGACGACTTGTACTCGAGGAAAATTATCATCATTCATTTCACTACTGCCAGCGAGGTATCTTTCCATCGCAAAATCTTCATATCATCTGCCATCTTGACCTTCCTTCTCGCACACCTTCTACTGCAGAGCCTTGAGGATACCCTGGAAGATGGCGACTACACCCTCCGCTCCAGGGTCGGGGACCTGGTACATCTCCTTGTTGTCCGAGCCCTGGTAAGTGGCCCTACCCAGCCTAGGCACCAGCTTCTTCGTTCCCTCGCATCCCTTCTCAGCCTCCTTGGTCGCATCCGAGAGAGACTTGCCCGAGCCTAGAGCATCGCACGCTGGGATGAGAGAGTCCATGAGCGTTCGGTGGCCCTCTCGGGCAGGAGTGTACGTCTTGAGGTTCTCAAGAGCAGCCTTGGCGGCGTGGCTCCACTCCTTCTCGCCTGCAGGCTGGCCAGGCTTTCCTGGTCCACCGACGAGACCTTGCACGAGACCAGCAAAGTAGAGAGCGTAGATGGCTCCTGATGTACCACCCATGTGCGACTCGATGACGTTTCCAAGGGTCAAACAGGTACCGGCGGCGTTGTTCAAATCGACCTCTCCCTTCTTGACGGCTGCCTGGACAGCCTTGGCCACTTGAGCAAGAGTCTCACCGGCGTCACCGTCTCCCACGATAGTGTCATGGCGGGTCATCGAAGGCTCAGCAGCAATCGCAGCCTCGGCAGCCGAGAGAAGGACCTTCTTGACAACTTCGGGATCAGCGTTGATCGGTCCTTCTTGCTTCTCCTTGGCGTCCTCGTCCAAACCAGAAACACTGCCTCCCTGGGCGCGCCGGGCAGCCAATCGGTCAGAAGCCTCCTTAGCCTCAGCATCGCGGTCTCGAGGCTGTCCGCTTGGGTTGCCCCAGCCGGACTTGACACCAGTCCAAGCGTAAGCATCAGTGGGGGCATCGAGGAGCTCCAAGAGGTCGACCTTGGTCTCGCGGGTGACAGCCTTGTGCTTGACGAGGGTGATACCGAAACCTGGAGCGTTGAGCGAAGTCATGTAGGCATTGGCGTAGACGCGGGCGGGGTGAAGTCCGTAGGTCTTGTCCAGCTGCTCGACAGTCTCATCGACGAGGGCAAAGAGCTCGAGCTGGGAGACACCACCGAGATTGTTGATGAAGACAATGGGAGCGTCATCCTTCTCGAAGTCAATGAAGTGTCGATCGTCGTCATTGGCATCGAGCATGTACTTGAGCATCTCAGCAACGAGCTTTTCGGGAGCAGGAGTCTGGTCCAGTCGCTTGAAACCGGGCTCGTTGTGGATACCCATACCGATCTCGCAAGCCTCATCAGGCAGTCCTCCCCACTCTTCCTTCTTCTTGGGACGACCTGGAACGTGGCAGTGGTCGAGAGAGGTACCGATGGTGACGGAATTAGCGATGAGAGTGTCTCCGAGGCTCTTGATCTCCTTGACGCTCAGGCCACGTTCGGATGCAGCACCGAGGACCTTGCAGGAGAAGGGGTTCATGCCCAGTCCACGTCGGCCAACGAGACCGCCCTTGGCTCGTCCGACTGCGACATCATCGGCAACGGTGACGGACTCGACACCTCCGCTGGTCTTGTTTCCAGAGATTGCGAGGGCAGCTCGAGCCTTCTCGGCGGCGAGACCAAAGTGGAGCTGGTCACCGGTGTAGTTGTTGATCTGTGCGTGTGGAGGTGGTAGAGGGAGATATGGAAGATGTGTTGGAAGAAGAGGTAGCGATGGGAGAGTGGGGGGATGGATGGTGAGGAGGTGGTAATGAGGGCAAGACGGACAGGGAGAGGCGGTGAGCTACTGATCATGACCTCCAGCACATACGCTTTCCCTTCCTCCTTCCACTCACAATGAAGACGACTCCCTTGTCAGTGTTAGCCAAATCGAGTCCAGAGCAAATTTGAGCTGCCGAAGGGCTAGCAAAGATGTCACCGCTGATGGCAGCAGTGAGCATTCCCCTTCCTACAAGTCCTGCCTGTCCTGGCTCGTGACCGGCTCCTCCACCGGCGATGATGGCGACTTTGCTGTTGGAGTGGGTGCAGTCGTAGATGACCTTGTGGGGGCGGTAGCTGTTGAGAGTGAGGGACAGGGGAGGGAGGAGTTGGTGTCAGGCGATGCAATTGAGGATGTGCGACTAACAACGATCGTAAGTGCAGCTCCAGCTACACTACGTTACCCTGCTACTCACAGCCTGAGTGCGGGGTTGACGGCTACTGCTCCCCTGAGTGTCTTGTCTACGAGTCCATCGGGGCTGTCAAAGAAGTGCTTAGTGGCCATGATGAGTGTACTTGGTGGTGGTGTGTGTATGGGGTATGTGGGATGATCAGAACTGACGACGGGGTGATGGGTAGCGTCAGGTGATTGATTGATGGAAGAGGAAGACGTCAGGATAAGACGCAAGAAGGACGAAGAAGGGCTGCCTCCAGTCGGTCAGTCCACTCCAAGACACACGCAGCGCACGGTCAGCACTGTCCTTGGTCCGCCTGTGCGTCGTCGTCCATCATCGTTCGTCGTCCGTCGTCTGCTGCTGGCTGGCTGGCTGGCCGGCCCCGTGTGCGAAGAAGCGATGTGGAGTGGAGGCGGGCCACTTGACCGGGGACTGCACGCGGGGGGCAGCGGGGGCCAGGCAGGGCAGACAGACAGAGCGGCGGACAGGCGACGCCCCCCGATGGGTCCTCTAATCTCGGCGTTCATGAAAGCCAAACGGCCACCAGCCCACCCAGACTTGCTTCCGTTCCGATGATAAAGGAATGTTGCATTCTTCCCTCCGCCCTCCGAGCCCGCACCCATACCAAGACTGGCAGTGCCGTGTGAGGCCCTCTGCTGCGTCATGGTCCGCTTCAAGGTGAGTGTGAAGGTACTGAAAGACGTTTGGGGATCACTGCCGACTTCTCGACTGACATTCTAGCTCCCTCCTCTCTCTACCTGACAGAATCGCTGGCTCCTCCTCTCCCTCGACTTCCCTTCTCCCCCCTCCTCCTCCCCCTCCTCTTCCTCCTCTCCTCCCCCCGCCCTAACTTCCCATCTCCTAACCTCTCTCCTCCGCAAAACCCTCACTTCTCACTTCGGTCTCGCAGCCACAGGTGCCCTCGGTGGTCCCTTGTCGGTCAAGTACTACTCTCCAAAGACCCACTTGGCCATTGTCCGCTGTGCACGAGTGGGAGAAGAGACGATTAGAGGACTTTGTTGCTTGCTTCCATTGAGCTTTCCTGCTGCTTCCCCTTCTACTTCTACTTCTGCTCTTGCCAGTAGTGGGAGTGAAGGAGGGGTTGTGAGGGGGAGATGTAGAGTCATTGCGGTTAGTGGGACGATCAAGAAGTTGCAGCAGAGGGTGATCCGGGGGGATCGAAGAGTGATTCAGCTCGAGGGAACAAAGGCCAAGAAGAGGGCAAAGAGGGGAAAAACCAAACAGACTCTCAAAAACAAAGAGAAAGTAAAGGGCAATGAGGGACAGGATAGGTCTGAGCAAGAGCGACAAGAAGAGCTAGAGTAGTTCTTCAAGAGGTACCACCCGAACCTACCATACTCTAGGCAGCGCAGTACCCAACCTTGGGGCATTTCACATCTGCCCGGAAACCCTTTTCGCATCTTCACAGCGTAAGAACAAGAGCGAACCCTCCTCGTTAGGTCGCCCTCTCAGGTCCTGTTCAACACCATGGCACAATCGCCCCTTTTCTCCTGCCAAACAATTCTGTACATTCCATAGCAATCGATATACCCCCCCTGTTCTCTTCTCATCTCTTCTCGCATCCGCACCACATTTCAAACAGTCCTGCAGTCTGATCGTCAGTCTCATTCCTCTCCTATCCTCTCCTATCACACAGCGTAGGCGCGGTAAACGTGTGGTCAAGTCAAATGGGTGTTGATGTTGGATCGCGTGATGCAGAGAGAGTAGAAAAAAGAGATGAAGTACAATGGGGCGGCAGAGAGCCAAGCGAGGATCGATATGAGTGACACAGGTGGTGGGGTCGAAGCGAGGCGAGGGCAGGCGCTGCATCAATTGAGCATCGAGGACCTGAACCAGAAACTCTGCCTTCCCGTGCTCGATCGTACACCTCGGTGCGCACGTTTACGAACGGGGCTTCTCCTTGAGGCCTCGGAAGAGGGCCAGCAGACCGACACCAGAAACCTTGACTACCTTGAACCTCACACCGGGGATATCTCCCTTTGCCTTTCCCTTTCGACCGAAACCGCTGATGAGCACCTCGTCGTTTTCATCGACAAAGTTCAAGCAACCGTCATTGGGCACAAAGGCGGCCACCTTCTTTCCGTTCTTGATCAGCTGAACTCGCACAGCCTTTCGGATGGCAGAGTTGGGCTGCTTGGCCTCGACACCGATCTTCTCGAGGACGATACCCTTGGCCTGAGAGGATCCACCAGTGGGCGACGACTTGTAGAAGTTACCAAGCATACGCTTGTTGTAGTGAGCGTCGGCCTGGCAGAAGGAATGGGGTAAGTGTGAGAGTCAGTAAGGCGGTCGTGATAGTACCTTCGATGCTTTGCCCTCTTGTGCGGGCGGCCACAGCCTCTATGAACCGACTTCAGGTCTAGGAGACTGCAGCCACTCTCGAAGTCTTCCCACCGAAGTACACCAAAGTCTTGCTCTGCGCTACTCACCCATTTGTTGTCCCTCCTGATGGTGCGGAGCTTGCGAGCGGTGTTGAGTCCACGAGGCTTTCCCATTTTGACTGACAGAAGGGAGGAGAGAGGACGGAAGGTCAGTGGCAAGTTCGTGGGCCGAGCGGGAGGTACGCAGACAGTAAACAGCAACGACGACGACGATTGAGGTTGATGGAACGCTGATGGGAGCATTAGCAGCAGCAGTAGAGATAGAGATTGCGTCCTGATGCTGACTTTGCTCGAGTCCAGCAGAAGGGACGCTGGGGCTTCGAGGTGAGTTTGGGTCCGCTCAGATGACTGTCAATTTGACGAGTCTTGGGCCATCCTACAGACGATTTGTAGACAGGCCATGTTCATGGACAGTGTAGACGACTGAGCTCAAGCCCAAAGCAGAGGCCCGCAAATGCAGAACTGCCGCATTCCACCCTATTGTGGGAGTAGCCTGCACTACTCTGGCCACTTTACGCCTCAGGCCGTACAACCCAATCCCAGGTTGTCTGTCGAGCCTGACGAGCACCTCAACTCCCTTCCTTGCCCCTTTGCTGTTCACAAGAGCCGTCTCTGCTGCCAGTCGAGTAGAAGAAGAAGCCTCTTCTCATGCGACCTGCCGAGGCCGTCTCCCAAATTCTTCTGCTGCTGCTGCTGCTGCTGCTGCTGCTGCTGCTGCTGTTTCCACTGAGGTCCTTGTGTGTCGTCGTGATCGTCGTCGTCGTGGTGTGTGCTGATGCATGCGTGCTGATGTGTGGTTGGAGTGTGATGCTTACCTTGTGTAGGGTGGGTGTTGTAGGAGGAGGATGTACGAGGGTGATGGTGAGGAGGAAGCTACGAAGTCGAGAATGTCCCTTCTGCCTCGCTGCCCGCCCGCTGCGACTGGCCGCCCCTTGGAAATCCTCTCTGGCGGGCGAGCGCACTGCAACGCCCTGCCAGGCGCCGCCTCTACGCAGCCTGCGCCCGCCCGCCCGCCCGCACCTGGCCAGAGTTTTTCTGCACGTGGACTGCGGGCCGCGGTCGAAGCACCAGGCAGCCCCCGCCCAGGAAGATTTCAAGCTCAGCTCCCGCTCCCTCCTCGCACACACAGCGGCCAGACAGACTTCGCAGCCCCCGCGCCAAAATCCTACCCTCGGCACGCAGGCAGGCAGGCAGGCAGGCCCACTTCGCTTTCTTCCTCGAAACGCACCATCCTCATCCTCATCCTCATCATCCTCAACCTCCCTACCACTACACACACTCACCTCAACCTCATCATCTAAATCATGGCTGACGCTGCACCTCGAGGACGTGGAGGATTCGGACGAGACCGCCGTGGACGTGGTGGACGACGTGGACCCCGACGTGGTGGGGACGAGAAGACCGAGTGGGGTGAGTATCCGTTGTAGGGATGAGAGCAGCGAGGGGAAGCTAGGAGGGCACCTACACTTGAGGGGGAATTAAGAAGCAATTGTCCCCAGAGTTTACATACGTAGTTTGGGTTCAGCAGAGGATTGAGAGAGCAGGAACTCTGGGAGGTTGGAAGTAGGGCTACTCGCAGGTCGGCCTGGTGGATCGACCTTGGACCGACCCTATGGTACACCACACGGAGCATCAGAGAGATTTTTAGGCGGCCAAAAGGCATCCTCCCAAAGCTGCCGTACTCGCAGGGACTAACACCCATACCACTCGCTCCCCTCCCTACCTCCTTCAGTCCCCGTCACTTCCGTTGGCCGACTGGTCAAGGACGGCAAGATCAAGTCGATCGAGGAGATCTACCTCTTCTCCCTTTCCATCAAGGAGTACCAGGTTGTTGACCTGCTCCTCCCCAAGCTCAAGGACGAGGTCATGAAGATCATGCCCGTCCAGAAGCAGACCCGTGCTGGTCAGCGTACCCGTTTCAAGGCCTTCGTTGCCGTTGGAGACTTCGACGGTCACCTGGGTCTGGGTGTCAAGTGCGCAAAGGAAGTCGCTACTGCCATCCGAGCCGCCATCATCCTCGCCAAGCTCGCCGTCATCCCCGTTCGACGTGGTTACTGGGGCTCTGCTCTCGGTGAGCCTCACACTGTCCCCATGAAGGTTTCTGGTAAGACTGCCTCGGTCATGTGCCGACTGGTCCCCGCTCCCCGTGGAACTGGTATCGTCGCTGCCCCCGCCTCGAAGCGAATGCTGCAATTGGCTGGTATCCAGGACTGCTACACTCAATCGTCGGGTCAGACTGCCACCATGGGTAACTTCATTGCCTCGACTTTCGTAGCCATCAGCAAGACCTACGCTTTCCTCACCCCCAACCTGTGGGCCGACATCCCAGCACCCAACACCCTCTTTGTTGAGCACGCTGCCCACCTGGCCCGCGCTGGAAAGAAGCAGATTGCTTAAGAATCTCTCTCTCTGTGCGAGCTCTTTCCCCCACTTCTCCTTACCTCTCACGTCGCGGCCCCCCCTCCCACACACATTCACATCCTTCTGTATCAGTTGTTTTCTACCATCAACCATTACCTTGGGCAATTGGATCCACTCTGTTGTTCAGCTACACCTACAGACTTGCGTGCCAGTTCCCGTCGGCGTCGTAGTGCGTGCAAATCTGCATGGGTCTACTGTGTGAGAAACCCAAGTAGATGGAAGTGAGTGCAGCCGCTATGGCGACGGAACCTCCCTTGTGTCTCCAGTCCCTACACTGGCTTGGTATGCCGCACGCACCTTCCCAATCTGACTTTTGACGAGTGAGACAGGACCTGGGACATCGGACATCTGATAGCTGACATGTGACATTTGACGAGGGAGAGGAAGAGCCTCTACGGCAGCTGGGTCAGACATCACGTCTACGCTTCAGAGATGGATGGAGATTCACTGGCTCCTGTCGATCCCGCTCAGATTGGTTGATGCTAGGAGGCACCTTTCACTTGTACTTTGACGGTGCTCTGCAGGAGACGTTGCAGCGAACGAGCGTGTGGGTGGTGATAGTGATGAACGCGTTGTAAGATGTTGTGTCGGACGTGACATTGCCTCTCGTCCTGGCCTGGGCTCTGCCAACGTCAAGTCTTGTAGACGCTCGTTATTTGGGTAGTATGACGAGGGGTGGAAGCGCTGTGTTCGGTGTTTTCCACATCAGATGCGCTGTAATGGACCGAAGTGTCGATGTCATACTGGACGTGTATCTGAAAGGGCTCGTGACACGCCCATCGCCGAGACCTTGGGGAAGGCCACCCAGGTTAAGACTGTGTATACAATAGTCGTGCCCGAGTGTGGCTTCGACTACCGATCGATGCGGGCCTACTGCCCCCTCCAGCTCCGGTGTAGCCATAGTCTGCTATGTTCATTGCCCTCACTTCCCGTCAACTGGTGATGTTAGCTTGCTTTTGCGCGCGAATGAGCACTGCTAGCTGGTGAACTTTGACGAATGCAGTAGAGAACGTGCTTCTGAGCATAGTATAAACATCGGCGCTCCGTGAGAATATCTCTCGCACCCTTGTTGTGTCAAGCATTGGGAGCGCGGAATACAGTCGAGGTTTACACGACCTCGACTGTGTTGACGCTGATACAATTATGGTAGCAGCAATCGAGAGGGAAGCGTGACTACAACACCTGGGATTACCTTGAGCCACTCTTGCAATGGCTTGCAACGCCGCCCACGAGACTCCTGCTTGGCCATTGCCTGACGACAAATGTATTCCTCAGATGCTTAGCGACGAGACCCCTGAGGGCGAGGGGGATTTTCGGCTCCGCGCGCCTCTCCGAGGGGCGACGATGCATTGTGGCTGCTGCCGCCTGGCTGCCGTGTTGTTGCCGCACAGCAAAGTGTTGATCTTCCCGAGCTTCCACCTCATCACTTGTAGTCCACGCCTTCTCCATTGCTACCACCTCAGGCCTCTGCTAACGTCCACATCGTACATCCTCAGGAGGCATTGTAGACTTTGAACATCTCACATCACAGCCAGATCGCCAGCAAGCAGACGTGCTGGACAAGTTGCCCTGTTATCCTTTCCGCCCACACTCCTCAGCTCACACGACCTTCGCTCAGCGTCTCCCTCTTCAGCCTCGAAGTCCAAGCATCAAGCGTTCTCGCATAGACTTCTCGTAGCCTCACACATCATCCTCGTATCGTCAGCCGATCTCAGACAAGATGGCGCAATTCCTTGAAATCGCAATGCGGATCCCAGATACGATCAAGGGTCTCCGTAAAGAGCGTCTCTCCTCTCTACGTCCCCTCAATGAATGCTTCGACTACCAGCGTATCTCCCGCCCGCAAGATCTCAATGAAGCAACACAGCGTATCACCTATAACACGCGCCACTTTTCGGCGAATTACGCAGTGCTGATGGCCATTCTCGCAATCTATGGTCTCATCACCTCACCGCTGCTCCTAGTAGCCATCGTCTTCCTCGTAGGTGGATTTGCAGCAATCAATCGCTTTGCACCAGAACCGATGCAAGTGGGGGAACACGTAGTCACGCAAAAGTCACTCTATACTGGACTCTTTGTCATTGGAATCCCGTTGCTGTGGATCGCAAGTCCGATTGCGTTGCTATTCTGGCTGATTGGAAGCTCGGCAATCCTCGTGCTTGGACATGCGGCCTTCATTGGTGAGTTCCGTGGAGGATCGTGGAGGATAGTAGAGCTTGAAAAGAGTCCTGGCCTCTCGGCTACTGCCAAACACAAGCGCATTGCTAACCCCGCTTCACGCTTCACGCTGCTCTCTGCACCTCTGTCCCCTGCAGAACCGCCCGTCAGCTCCGAGTACACCGGCGTCGAGGTGAGTACTCATACGGCGGCGCCCGCGATGAAATTCCTACACCTTTCGAGCCGCATACTGACCTAACGCCACAATGGCATTTTGCTTCTGCCTGTAGACGGTCTGAGCTCTCTTGCAACTAGACGTGTAGCGGGGTGGGACAGGAAAGCACGGTGGACCCGGAGGAGAGCGCTAGGCGGGAGAAAGAGATCAGCCTCTGACTGGCTGGCTGGCTGGCTGGCTGGGGAGAGGTCGGGCGGCATGCCTGATCCTTGGGGCTGAAAAAGGAGTAGAATGTCCAGCAAAGTCGTCCAGGTCATCTCGCAGAGACGCTCGGAGTGAGCTGGTTGGTAGAGCCAAGCGGCAGTGGACAGCAGGTCGAGGATCGCTTTCCCTCACTCGCTGTGGGCAGCAATCGAGCGGGGAGAGAGAGAGAGCAGAAGCGTCTCACCTCTACATCCCGTGAGAGGGAGAAGAAGAGGACGAAGAAGAAGAAGGAGAGGGAAGCAGCCTCGCCGTGCCTCGCGCCTCGTGTCTCGTCCTCCCCTCACATCCTTCCGCACCTAGCCCCCTAATCATACATAATCGTCACCGTAGACTAGACTAGACTGCGTCATCAGTCCCGAATCCTGTGCGACGACCACGACGACGTCCTCCAGCACCTTCCAATCCTTGCTCCCTGGATGCTAGTCGTAGTCGTAGTCGTAGTCGTCCCCTCTGTCTTGATCAGACGAGTTGCCCCTACATGCGAGAGCTGATACAGACACAGGAGCTCACACGCTCGACTCGAAGGAGCACAGTGACAATGACGAAATGTGATCCATCCATATCCATTGCAGGGACGACAGATATGAGAGGAGTGGGGAAATGAAAGAAGGGGGGGGGGGGGGGGAAAAAAGGGGGGTTTTTAGGGTTTTTTGGGGAGGGGGGGAAAAGGGAGGGGGGGGGGGGGGGGGGGGACATAATGTGCGCTTGTCAGGTCTTGCTGGAATGCGGGGGGTTCGAAATCATACGAGGGATGGGGGAGAACATGATATGAAGGGAGAGAATTCGTACGAGCTCCACCGCCCTGTCCGTCTCTATCGCCTCTCTTGAGGCCAAGGATGCACCTCACTACACCGCTAGAGATCTACTTCTGCCCGGCCTCTCAGCCTCCTCACCTGCGATCCCTCTCGCGCTCCCTCTCCCTCTCTCTCCACGAGTCGCGCTGCCTCTCATAAACATCGTACCTCTCCCTCTCCTCCCTGACACCATTGGGCGTAGCAGAGCCCGACGCGCCTCTGTAGCGCGCCTCGTCTGCTCCATTGCCACTGCCGCCGTGCGAAGCAGCAAGAGAGGCGCGGGCTTTCTTGGGAATCGGCTCTTCCTTGACACCGCCTCCGTGGCCATGCCCGTGTCCGTGACCACCACTGCCACCGTCGGACTTGCCATTGGCGCTAATCTTGCGCTTCAGAGACACACCGTTGTGCGCAGGAGAGGGCGAGTCGACGGCCGCTTGACCGGCTCTGAGACCCGAGAGAGAAGACGAAGAGTTCAATGGCGCAGGCGAGGAGCTCGAAGCGGCCCCAGCACCGCCGCTCTTGCTAATACCGCTTCCCGCTGCCCTGTCTTCATTTTGGATCCCGTGCATCTTCTCATAAATGCCCTTGATCTTGGCTCCTTTGACGCCGTCTTTGCTAGGCCAAAAGAAGGTGACAAAGTGCCACAGGTGACGATCGAGCCTGGCTTGTTGCTCCTTTGTCTTCCCCTCGCTCTCCTCATCCAGAATATCTCTGATGCGCGATCCGATGGAAGCTAGACACTCCTTGAGGACGGCGAGCTTGGCGGGACCCTTGAGATTCTCTGTATCATTCTTGAGCGTCTTGAGCTGCTTCTTGCAGGGACGCATGAGGTCCTTGCACTCGGCTTCGTCCATACTGTCCAGACCCTCATCGGATGATGAAGAAGAGTAGTCGATGGTAGGCCGCGGCTTCTTGACTTTCACCGACTTGCCACTGGCAGCTGCCCCCGGTCCGTTGACCGAAGGAGCCGGAGAGGCTAGACTGCCCTCCGAGGGCGACCTCTTTTTGATCTTCCTTACAGCCGGCAGCTTGGCGCTCGAAGACACCGCGGCAGAGGGTCCAGAACCTGAAGGGGCAGCATCTGCAGCGACTTGCTTCTTCTCTGGGTGCTTCAATTCGTCGATGCACGTCAAGAGGTAGTCTCCGCGTCTGACCAGGTGGATTGCATTTGGGATTGCCTTGCTAGACGCCTTGGTGCCATTGCCTTCGGCTTCGGGGCTGCCTTTGTCCTCCTTCTCTCCGGCCCCACCACCCGGGCCCTTGATGTTCTTGCCCTCTTCGAGGAAGAATTTGCCGTGCAGGCCGATTCTTGCATCTGCTTCAATCTCCTCCCATCCTCCAAGACCATAGAGGAAGATGCCAACGAGAAGCTTCGAGTCCTCTTCCGCTCCCCACTCGCACGACCAGCCCAGCGTGGGCTTTGTCTCGAAGGGGATCTTGTAGGTGAAGAGGTCATCTTCCTCCCGCAGCATCTCAGCCAGGTAGGGAAGGCAATAGTGGCGATGGAGAAGCGTCTCGGCGTTGATGTTCTTGACTCCTCTGAATGTAGCTAGAACAGCTTTCTGACGCAGACTGAGAATCTCCTCGCCCCTCTCGACTCGACCGCGAATGTAGTCCTTATGGTCCTGGACAGCCTTCTCGCACGTTGCAATCAGCTCGTCGGAGACCTGCAAGAGGACAGCGCGGTTCTTCTTGTCCAGTTTGCTTTCCTTGGCAATCTCATCGTAACGCTGGTGGACATTGCCCCATCGTTGGATACCACGGCATAGGACACGTAGATCGCGCTCATTGAGGGTAGCTGCCTTCTCCTGCACCGACTTGGTGCCAGACTTCTTGGTAGCTCTTCCGCCTCTACCTCTACCTTTGAAGCCAGCGGCAGAGTCGTCGCTGTCGTCATCGCCCTGACTACCTGCGTCGGCATCGTGGTGGGGCGAATCCACTTTGCGAGCAGCCACGACCGCTCCGTCACCCTTGTAGGCTCCCTCGCCAAGCTGAGCGGCTTTTCTCCGACTGGACGCAGCCTGGAGAGCCTCCATGACAGCCTGTTCCTGCGCTGCTGCCTCGTCCTGCTTGATACGTGCAATCTCCTCTGGCCCCATGATGTCGTCCCAGGACATTTCTCCTGCTTTGAAGTCTTGGACCTGAGCAAACTGCTTGAGGAAGTCCTCTCCTCCGGAAGCAGCACCACCACCATTGGCCTCGGTCTCGTGCGCTTCGGCGTCAGCAAGAAGGGCGTCAATGTCCAGATTGTCCAGCTTCTTCTGCTGCTCGTCGCCGTCGCTGTTCTTGAACATGCTCTTGGCACCGAATTTGAGAGCAGCCTCCAGATCTTCCTTGGTAGGCCCGCCAGCCACAGCTGCCTTGTCCTTCGCTCCAATCTTGCCTGGAGCAAAGTTGGTACCGGATGTATCCAGCTGGTGGATGATAGCGTACTCGAGGACCATCTTCCTCTTGGCTCGTTCGATGACGTCCTCCTCCACTGTGTCCTTTGTCAACAGTCGGTAGACGTTGACATGCCTCTTGGAGTTGAGTCGGTGAGCTCGAGCCATCGCCTGCAAGTCATTCTGTGGGTTCCAGTCAGAGTCAAAGATGACAACGGTATCGGCCGTCTCGAGATTGATACCCAATCCACCGGCTCTCGTCGAGAGGAGGAAAGCAAAGTCGGGAGACCCCTCCGCATTGAACCGCTCAATTGCCTTTCTGCGATTGTCAGAAGAGACCATTCCGTCGAGCCTCTGATGGACATAGCCCCTCATCGTCATGTAGTCGGAGAGGATGTCCAGCATTCGGACCATCTGACTGAAGATTAGTACACGGTGGCCATCCTTCTTAAGACGGGCGAGGAGCTTGTCCAGCAGCACCATCTTACCACTGTTCATGATGAGACCTTTGAGGATTTCACCTCGCTCCGTCGAAGGCGTTTCAGAGCCGTCGAAGAGGTACGGGTGATTAGAGACCTTTTTCAGCTCAATGGCAATGTTGAGTAGACTGACTTGAGCAGCTCCGGCGGCACTCAAGATCTGGTAGTTGCGGCTGAGGATTGCCTTGTACATCTTCTGTTGCATGGCGGACATCTCCACTCGCAGAATCTTCTCCGTCTTTCCCGGCAGCTCTTTGATCACGTCCTTCTTCAATCGACGGATCATGACATTGTCAAGCTTCTTGTGAAGAGCGGCAACAGCCTCCGGGTCGGCGGTGGTCACATCGAAGTCTACGTCGAGGGAGAACTGATCGGGACGTAGGAAGTGCATGAGAGCCATGAGCTCCTTGACATTGTTCTGCAGTGGCGTACCCGTGATCATGAGCTTGCCTGCAACATTGAAGGCCTTCAGGACTTCGTAGAGCTGAGCCTGAGAGTTCTTCAGTCGATGGGCCTCGTCGATTGCTAGAAATTGCCACTTGATGGCCTGCAACTCATTCGCGTCCTTGAGGATGTACTCATAAGTCGTCACGAGCACATTGAACCTAAGCTTCTTCGGTGGTCCGAATTCATACTCGCGAATCTTGCCACGAGCCTCGCTGTTGCCGATGTAGGCAATGACGTTCAGATCGGTGGCCCAGTTGTCGAATTGTTCGATCCAAGCCGGGAGGGTAGACAACGGTACAACGACCAGGAATGGTCCGTACTGATGCATCGTGTGAGCGAGGTAAGACATGAATGCAACAGACTGAACAGTCTTGCCCAGTCCCATTTCGTCGGCCAAGATCCCGCTTTCGCCTTGGCTCCAGAGGAAAGCAAGCCAATTGAGACCGGTCAATTGGAACTCCTTGAGTTGTCCACCTGCTGTGAGATAGCTCGGCTGTTCCGTCATTCGGATGTACTTGGGTCGACTAGAGCCGTAGTTCTCGCTACGCGCAGGGACCATACCTGAGCTCGCACGAGCAATGTATGCATCGATGGCCGGTTTGGCAATCTTCCTAATCTCGTCATCCGCCTCCCAGGTACACTCGGCATAGCTGAGACCTTTCCACTTGCAGAGGTAGGCCAGGTGAGAAAAGGGCCGCTCCTTGGTTGGCGGGTTGTCCCTCTGCGCGACGATGCGCTCGACGATCTTGTAGCTCTCGAAGGCCTCCTTGATCCTTTCTTCGTCGACTCGGATTGCCTCGATGTCCTCTCTCGAGGCACCGCCCTCGTGCATTCTCTTGTACGCAGGCTGCCAGATGTTGCGAATGTAATTCTCCACCCTCTTGAAGCCTCGACATCCCTTGAGGAAAGAGAAGAGCTCAGAGGTGTTGTGCAGATGGGAGAAGCCCTTCCACTTGACAATGAAGCGCAGATTGACCTTCGGATCTTCTTCGGCGTCTTCAGGCACATCGTCGTCTTTCTCGTGACCGCAGATCTGCTCGATGGTCATATCATCCTCATCTGCCTCTGCAGCGGCAGCTCGCTGCTTGTTTGCCCTCGCTGCACGATCCTCAAAGGGATCATCATCGTCGGACAGCTCCAGATTAGCATAGTCTTCCTTGTACGTTACTCGCTTGCCTGTCCTGCCCGAGATCCGGAATGCATCATCGTCAGGAGTAGGGCGATGGGAAGAATTGGAGGTAGCCTTACTTCCTCCACCGCCTCGATGCTTTTTGCCCTTCTTGGCTGCCGCAATCTTGGCACGCTTGCGTGAAGCTTGTGCCGCCTTCTTGTCCTTGGCATTTGTCGCAAAGTCTTCGTCTGCCTCATCGTCTTCCTCGTCGTCGGGATCATCGGCATCATCGCTGTCGTCCGAGGCGCTCGATAGACCCGAGGTGAGAGGGGTACTAGCAGCTGACCGACCTCGGGAAATAGCAGAGACTAGGTCCGAGCAGGGGCAGTAGCAACGGAGGAAGATCAGCTTCTAGGTCGGAGTCTGAATCACTGGGCTCAAATCAGTCGCGTCCTCACCTCTACCTTTGCCTTTGCCCTTGGCAGTGCTCCTGCTGTGGCCAACAGGAGCTTCTTCCTCCTCGCTGCTCTCATCATTTGTATCGACGTACTGTGTGTAGTTTCAAATGGAAGGGGATGTGGTGTCAGAGGTGCAATGGTGATTCGGAGATTAGCCTGGGAGCCACCAGATCCGCGTTGCCGTGCCAAGGCGGAAATTCCATCTCGACGGAAAGGCGAACTTGGCTGCTGCCTCGGCCCGCCAAACGCCTCGGGCTGCCGCTGCCCGCCGCCTACAGCCACATCTGCCAATACTCACGGCCTTCTTCGGCGCTCGGCCCTGTGATAGTAAGAATGGTGGTCGGACACGGATGAATGAACGGACGAAGGATCAGTGACTAAGACTATGTCGATTTCGAAGCTTGAAAAGTATCACTGTACTCACCGATCTTCTCAGACCATACAGGTCAGGATTAGCTTCCGCCTCTTCCAGTCCCTTCTTTTGCCTGTGTACATGCTTCAGCGAGCTTCCCGTTGAGGCTTCCTTGCGGCGGTGTGAAGGTGCAGAAGAGCCTGCGTTGCCTGCATCGTCTGTGCCACTGTCCTCATCTGTCAGGCGCGAAGAGGAAGGCACAGGGGAGGCATTGACCGAGTCGTACTGAGCTGCTAGGGCTCCCTTGGCTGCTCCGTTGAGAGGTCGCTGAGAGGATGAGGGCCCTTGGCTAGCATCGGATGCCTCGTCGTCGTCCTCTCCAGCACTCGATGAGTCCATGGCTTCACCAGCTTTAGCAGGTGCAAAGTGAGGCGGCGGAAGGGCTACGGGAGAAGAGCCGGCTGCCCTGGAAAAGGCCAGGTTGCTGCTTTGAGCTGCTGCTTGCGGCACGGCCACATCGGCCGAGGTGGAAGTAGTGGCAGAGACATTTGTAGGAGGGGCAGCCTGGATACCAGAGCTGCTCGTTGAAGAAGGTAGGACTGCCGTAGGAGGAGAGGCACCCTGACCAGGAGGAGGGTAGGCCTCCGGAGCACCCTGCATCACGGCTCACTCTGGCGAAATGAAGCCGCTGCAGCTGGCGATGATGGTGAATGTCTCCGTATGAGTCCGAGAAGTGATTCAAGTAGACGATAGTCGCAATTGATCCGCCTTTCAGTGTCCAGACGCGAGGTGGGTGAGCTCAGGTGAGGTGGGGCTGGTGTCCCCCCCTTCCGCCGATGCGCTGCGCCAAAGAAAGCTTCCGATGAGGGGAGTGATGGCGAGTGTCGAGGAAAGGTAGACGAGTGGTGAGCAATGCCTATGTGAGGGGTAAAGAGTAAGCTGATGGGTGTCGTAGGATGGGTATGGAGAAGGAGGATGGCGAGGATGCAGGTTCTGCTCGTCGTCGTCGTCGCCGCTTCTGTGCCCCGGGGCTGCTGCTCGTCGTCGACGACGTCGCGCGAAAGCAGACGTCCCCGGCGGCATTCTGCCTCACGTTTTCTCCCTCAGGCAGGATTACTCATAGCCGGATCGGGACCTCGGAATCAAATCTGAGCATGACGAGACGTAATGGCATTGATAGCAAGCAAAAAGGTGACGAAGAGACTGGATTACAGGGTATACATGATCGCGAGGGGGGTAGTGATCGTGCAAGAGTGATGCATGACAGAGTGGGGACTGCAATGTCAGGTGGGTCTCTCGGCTGTCCCGAAGGTGCCCTTCGAGTGCTACGCTTCCGACATGGAGCATCACAGCAACGAGAGTGCGACAAGAGGACTAGTATGACTCCTTGAATTCAGATGATGGCCGCACCTGCGAGGTGCGCACAAGCTGATCACATGGGCGATACTGGCCACTTGTCTCACGGTGCGTTGAGTATGATTCTCACTTCTCCATGGCTTCACTTTGTCGCAGTCTCTAGCTCTTTCTGACGCAAGAGTGCCTGGACGACTGCAAAGTGTTACCCATACGACAGCGGGCGAGCCCACTTCGCAGCGGTCGGGGTGGACGATGAGCATCCAGCACGATAGCACGCAAGCCGTGACGGTGAAGACGAAGAGGGTGACAATCAAGAGGAGGAGACCACGCCATTGACACTGTGCACCGTGGCGATGTGCAGGAGAACAGTGGATGGCATGGTGTGGGTGGAAGGGGATGGAGGTGCGGTAAGTGTGGTGTGGGAGGAGAGTGGGGAAGAGGGAGGGAGAAGAGGAGCCGGGCAGCGCACCTGAGGCACTCCGGGCTTTCGGGCCCATCTCGCGTGGCTCCGCCCTCGGCGCGGTCGGGCAGGCAGGCAGGCAGGCAGCAGCAGCGCGGCGCAGAAGTACGACCCCGCCCTCGAGGGTACAGATGATCGATGAGGTATACAATTACATTACAGCTAGAGAGACTACAGCCAAGAGGACCAACCAACATACATCCTCGACAGATTATAGTTGCTCGCCGCTTCTCTCGTCAATGTATCCACGAGATTGTTGTTGCCCAGAGGGGCTGTCCACTGGTCCACCCTGATATCCCCCTTTCTCATGGTCCCGTCTAATTTTCTAGCAATCGGATCCAGACTCTTCCTTGCCTCTATGAGTCTCGGATCCTGCTTGGGCGCCCCATTTGCAGCTTCTCTGGCAGCCTTGGAGCGCCCACCTCCGCCTCCCGTGTCCGCCACCGCCCACTCTACTAAGGGATCGTGAACCATTGCCTCCAGCACTGACATCAACGAGTCCTTGTTGCTCCTCAGAATACCCATGGTCAATTCTGCCGCTCTCCTGAACACTCCTTCATAGCCTGTGACGCCCATTGCATCGATCATGTTCCTCGTGAGCCTGAAGGGCACCTGCTCTGGAATCTCAAATGTGTATCCCTTCTCGAAGAGACAATTTAGATCGACGTGGACCGTGTCTCCAGACACCGAGTCGAAGAGAATGTTCTCGCCGTGGCGATCTCCGAGTCCAAGGACGAAGCCTACCATGGACATGACGGCGCATGTTCGAGCATAGCTCAACCGTGCCTTGAGCCACGCTGCCGGTTCGGGAAAGGTGTTGAGGAACCACTCGTGGAAGACAGGAGGGTAGTTGACTAGGACCTTCTTTTCAAAGAGCTCACCAGCTCTGCGCGGGTCCTTCCTGCATTCGTCCATGACCACTCTGATATCGTTGGAATAGAGGTGAATCCCTTTCGAGGAGTACAGCTTGTGCAGAATATGTCTCAGACCGACCGTGTTGGGAACCCATTCAATGAGACCACATTCTTCATTGAGCGTCACCACGGCATACGTCCTGATCAGTAGATGCCTTTTACGAGATTCTGAATTGCTTTGGAGGAGCTTGTTGATCATCGAGTCGAATTCCATCAGCCGTGCATCTTTGCGCAAATCGTCTTTGGGCTTGCAGAGGAAAGGGTAGTGTTTGCCGTCGCTACCGATGATGACAATCTTGCGAGGCTTTTGAAGGGAGTTCATGATCTCGATTGTTGACTCGAAACCCTGAATCAAGGGCAGATTCGGTGGGAAGGGATAGTGGTCTGCCTTGACTTCGTTGTTGGCCGGGAGACTGACGGTGACCGACGACTGCAGAGGCAGAATCAGTCCACAGCCGGCCAGGGAGGCAAGGGCAGGGAAAGCAGTCTCCATTTTGAGCGTGGTCTCGCTCTTTTGCACAGGATAGTCACACAGGACCAGCAGCTCATGAGCGAGTTTCTGGGACATCTGTATGATCTTGACGGCCTCCTTGGAGCCCTGTCGTGAGCTCTTCATCATGTCGACGATGGCGTTCGCTCGACGCTTACGATGACTGTCAGTAGAATTAAAGCCTGCGACCATTCCCCACATGGCCTGGTGTGGGTACTTCTCAATGACGACGGCAATGATTGTCTGCAAGATGGCCCAGACGGCCTCATTCTTGTGCACGATACGCGAAACGAGCTGTGGGAAGACTGCCAGCCATTGGTACGGTTGCAACTTGAGCACACTACGGTTGATCATGTCGTTGATCTTGCTGAATGTCTCGATGCGATCACTTGCATCGGCATTCTTGTTCTTGTCCGAACTTGCCTTGTACCTTCCATTCTGATGGTCAAGAATCAGCTGCTCTTCCCCGGCATCGAGCCAGATTGTCAGAAGTCTTGGCAGAGTACGGTAGAAGAACTTTGTACCAAGCGATGCGGACTTGCAGAAGTACCGGCACACACTGTAGTGCTGTGTCATCATGTTGGCCACGGTCGCACCTCCCAACGTATCATAGTATCGACCAAGACAGTACCACGCCTTCTCGAGGCTCTTGCAGATCTTTGCACTCTCCTTGTACTGCTCGATGACATCGTTTGGCATGAAGCGTCCAGTAGCTTCAAACAAGCGAGCTTTGAGCAAGACTGCTTTTCCGTACATGGCTTGGTCGACCTCGCTGGGATGGGAAGCACCGGTGAGGTCAATGACGCCCGAGTCGATTGCAGACCCAGCCGTCGCAGCTCTCATCGAAGCAGTCATGGTCTGTAACGCGTTCGTAAGCTCTTGCATGGCAGCATGCGGCTGCTCTGCATCGGCCAACAGCTTGGCTCGCTGCACGAAGGCAAAGGGCGCTTGGTTCACCATTGCTTGCAAGACTGCACTATACGCTGTTTGCGTGTGACCTGCTTTGCGCGCAATTTTGCACGTCGATACCCAAGCCGCTGCAATCTGCTCCTTGTAAGCTGGTTCAGTGCTTCCTGGCTCCACATAGGTGCTAAAGGCCGATCTCCGAAGGCTGAGAAGGGGCTCTCGGATGCGGAAGGATGGTAGTGTTGCATCTAGCCGGGCTTGTAGACTGCGTAGGAGTCCATCGAGCTTCTTGCCACCTCGATCAGTCGTTTGCGCTAGCTCCTCGATGAGAGATGCCTCATGAAGGACGTGAAGCTGCAGCACCGAGTCGTAGATTTGAGGATAAGAGCCGCGTCCGGCAGCCAAAATGGGTTTGCCAAGCTGCCGACGAGCAGTCTGGAGGACGTCCGAAATGGCTTCGTTGCCTCTTCCAGCCATTGCAAGCAAGACACGAGCCATTGCATGTTCTGGAGACTGTTGCTCTCCGGGCCGGCTCAAGATCTGCTCTGCTTCATCCCAGTCGCCCAGAATGCAGGCGCCTTCGATGGCAAAGGGAGCCAAAATCTCCTCCCATTGCGGGTGAACGCTCAGGGCACCTCGAACGTGGGTCCTCATGGTATCATAATGTCCCAGATTGCGGAGACATCTCAACAGACCAACGTGGTTGGAAGCGTCATCTGGCTTCGACTGGATCTCGACCTCCCAACAACTCTGCGCGGAAGTCCATCTACCTGTGCTTTCGTGCTCCCGGATCTGGTGCTCTAGCGAAGGAGAGATGATGCAAGTCGAGATCCCTTCCATACCATCCGGCTCGTCCAGACTGGCATAGATCGTATGAAGATTCTCATAGTATGTCTGCAATTCACCATCTGGCTTGCCACTCGAGCGAAACGTTCTTAGTCGCTGCTCAAAGTTGAGCAAAGATCGTGCGTATGCTCGACAATAAAGTGCAGCCCGCGCCATGAGCTCTTGAGAGATACTTGCGATGACAGACTCGATGTTCGTGAGCGAGTCCTCTCCACCGGCCATACCTATCGGATCTCGACGCTGGCGGGGCTGTCTGGACCGCTCCATCCTCTTCAATCTGAGCCAGGCACTCATATGGTCCATGAGGCCGAAGACTGTTTGTGCACACAGCAATCGTCGATCAGGCGAAAAGCCCATGGTAGGATCGACTTGGTCAAGCAGCACTGCTACAAATTCTGCTCTCAGCTCCTCCCTCTGCTGATCTGTACCTGAGATAAGATTGTGCAACACAGCATGTGGGAGAATATGCTGCGTGATATCGAGGTCGTGATGCCGTATGAGTACTCGGAAGATGCCAAACACCGTTTCGGCATCTTGACCTTTGGCACCTTGCATGAGGTGATTTGCCCAGATCTCGATCCATTCTCGGTACGAATTGGAATGCTGGTAAAAGGGCTTGTCGTGGCTAGTGGCAGGACCGTGCGTGATGGAATACTTTGAGTCGAGCAAAGGAGCAACCGTGTCGATGATTGCAGGAGGCAGGTCATTCCACCTTTGCTTCACCTTCAGGGAGGAGATTCTTCCATTGGGTCGAAGGAGAGCCGACGTGAAGCCGCAGAAACGCAGAAGTTCCTGTATGGCGTAGGCGAGCGCAGATTGGTGCTTGGTGTCAGAAGTAGCCCGGAAGGCGCTGACCAGGATGTCTCGAATGAGGTGGACTGCAAAGTCGATGGTCTCGTCTCGATCTTCGAAGTTCTGCAGGAGCTTATGAGGGCTGTCCTCAGCTGGCAGCTCCAGACGATCCGGGTCAACGGCTCCGAGCATGCCCAGACACTCCAGACAAAGGTCCCTCATTTCAAGCTGCGTGTCGTCCGATCGACGCAGCGTTCCCAGAAGAGCAGTGATGATAGTGCCAACAATGGGAGCGAAAGCTGTGCCTGACGCTTGAGTTTGAATGTATCGACGATGATTTTGCAAGAAGCCTTTGAGTTCATGCAGCGATCTCAAATTGATGCTGGCATTCTCGTCTGCAACGCGCTCCAAGATTTGCTGGAGCTGCTGCTCGGCCGACCAGTCCTGTCTCGAAGATCGTAGCTTGCGACATACATCGGGCAGCTCTGTGGCGAGATCTTCCATGTCTGGGATCTCGGCACTGAACTTTCTCATCTCCTGAGCGTTTTCCACGACGAGGTAATTGAGGATCTTGCCGGCCACCTTGCGCTCTACATTGCTGAAGTGTGACCATTCGGACAGCAGAGCAGCGGTGGTCTGTCCAATGAATGGACCGACATCGTCAAACCGCAGCGTAGTCATGAACGTCTGCCAACTTTGAAGAGTCGCCGTCCTTAGTTCGGGAACCTGCAAAGTGCTGCTCAAAGTCGCCATGATCTGTGGTGCTACCATGCTGATAGACGATCCCACCACCTCGATGAAGACTCCAATGGACCTAGCAACCATGGCCTTGTAGGTCGGCGAGCGCTTGCCATTGACGCTCATCAAGTCGTCGTTGAGCCAAGCTAGAATGCCCAGAATCTCTTCTCGTAGAAAGGCCGAAAGGTCACCACCTCCTGACATGGCCGCCTTTGCTTTGCTCTTCTCATTGCGCTCAACAGTCAGAGTATGCTGTATGTGGCGCAGCCCATCCAGAGCAAGGGGTCGTCGATCCTCGTCACCCAAGCACGCAACAAGGTGGCCGAGGATCTCACCGATGTAGCTCCGATACAGACCTTTGAGAGGCACCTCTTGATCCGATGCTCTCCGAATAGTGTCCAGATACAGCTGTATATTCTTATCACGCTTCTGTGGCTGTAGGAGAAGATACTGCTTCAGAATAGCAGGCGCCTGCTCTAGACAGAGTTTTGGGATCGTCGTGCCCAGAGCGCTGACCATGAGGTCGAGTGCCTTGGTGTTGCGGGCGGCAATGACTCGAGGGAGCGTCCAGTCGAGCGTCACCTGCAGGAACTTTGCCTGATTCTGATTCGTCAACTTCAGCACTTCCAGGAACAGACTTGGAGCCGACGTCATCCTCTCCACAATCGGCGGACTGATGACAGCAAAATACGGTGAGAGAAGGGCATAGGTACTACATCGGTGATGCGCGGCCAATTGAGTGATCTGCAGGTAGGCACAAGACTGCAGTAATACGGTGCTGTTGAGCTGAAGCACGAGTTGCAACAAGACGTTCTCAAGGATCTCTTCCTTGTTGATGCGTCCTAGGTTGCCCAGACTGATGATGAGCGTTTCTTTGACCTTGGGCGTGCTGACGGCAAGGAGACTTTCGTGAATGTCATGCAATGGCGCCAGACGCCTTCGTAAGCTCGCCAGATCTCCGTCGCCGTTGGTGCTAATGTGCTTCGCTGCTATCGCGAATGCCAATCGGCCAGCGGCCAAGCGAATCTCTCGATGCGCATGTGTCAGGCCCTGTCTGACGAGTGCTTCTAGTGAGCCTGCATCTATGATCTCCAGAAATCGTTCAACGGGATAGTGAGCCGTCTGTCTTGCTATCGTGTTCAGAGCGCCGACAAATAATGTCTCCTTGATGTTCTGATCTCCGTAAAGAGTAGACACCAAGCGGACATGGTCTGCTCTTACAATTTCCACTTCTTGCTCTGCAGCGGAAGGTCCTGGGTAGTCTCCGTTGTCACAGAGACTGCATCGAAGCAGTGACAGTCGCTGCCGTTGCGCGACAGAGGCTTGTCTTTCGCTGACACAGTCCGCCTGAGCGCAAATGAAGAGCTCATTACGGAGAACCTCGTCGAGACCCGAGGCATGTACGACGTCCTCTTCTGGCGCTGATACATGCACGTCTTCTCTCAGTCCTCCGGCTTTGAGCAGCTGTGCAAGACTCACAGCTTTGGGAGAGGTCGAGTCATCCTCCGCCCATGGTCTCTTTGTCCTCCTCTCCTTCCCGTTCTGGCTTGCTGCACGGCTGCGAACGAGGTGACCGATGACTCTACGCGCTTCCCTTGCTTCCTCAAGCGGCAGCCAAGGGTGGGTGGATGCCGCCTGCTCCTCTTCGTCTTCTTCAGTAATCGCAGTACCGTCAAAGTCCTCCCCGCAGAGGAGCTGAGTGGCTTCTTTCTCCTGAAGGGACGTCAACGGATTCGGTAGAGCCGACAGCTGGATGATGCTTAGCAGGCCCTCGTAGGCGCATAACTTCCGAGCGAGCTCTTCGGATGGATTATCCTTTGTCTCGCCCATCGCAGACCCAGTTTGACCGTCGTTCATGTCTTCTTCATCGAATGCTTCTGAGATATCTGGCAATGGTTCTGCAAGATTGGACAGGAATGTCCCTGCCAGACGCCGTAATGAATTCCAGGCAGCAACTGGCAGCCTTTTCCTTGATGTACGCATCATACGCCAAATGTCTCTGAGCCTGATGGAAAGCTCTGTGCGCTGATTTGACGTACCCCAAGTCTCTGTACCCTCTGCAAAATGCCGCGCAGTCTGAGCTGCGAGCAAGCCAAAGAATTCTCGCTCGGAGAATGTGCTGCTCTCGCCGCCATTCTGGAGGCGATGCTGCACGATCTCGTACCTCTGACCTACGATCTTCGGAGGCAAGATCCTAGCCTTGAGATCAGAGCGGCGGAAATTGAGGTCGTGCTGCCAATTGATGAACAGCGACTTTGAAGCTGCTTGGCCGATGTCATCTAGGTAAGCCGGGAACTCTGCAGCAAGAGAGATAATGACATCTACTGAGCAGAACAAGAGCGTGCGAGAGAGGCAATGCTGGACCTGAGCAGTCAGATCCTTGACTGGGAGATTGAGCTCGAAGCTGGTCTGGTCTTCAGGCATCCATAAGCGAGCGATGCCTTCCCCCGGAGGCCGTTGACCGGGTTTGGGAGGAGTGAGATGTGTATTGTGGGGATGCCTCGAGGTGAAGAAAGATGTGAAGCTGAGGGAGGCGCTGTCTTCCGTTGTTGTGGATCGACTCAGACTTGCCGAACGCTTCGAGAAGTCTGTCCGGAATGGAAGAGCCTGTGAGAGAGGGTCGTCCACTTGTACTAGGGCTTGGTGGCATGCCACAAGGAATTCCCAAAGGATAGCTCTGACAGTTTCGAGATGTTGTGCTTTCAACAAAGCGCAGCGTAGCATACTCTTGATTCGATCGAGTAGCAGTCTACGAAGGTGGTCCGCTTCAGCGGCTGCAACAGTGACACCTGGTTCATCGGCGCCTTTTGTTGAGGTAGCTCGGAGAACGCCACTAGCCCTCAAAGAGAGGACAGCAGCCGCCACGAGCATTCTGGGACAGAACCACAAGTCGAGGGTGGTGGAGGAGTACATGTCATATCCTCCTGTGTTGCCTCCAGGCTTGCTCTGAAAGACGTCTTCGAGAGTACCAGGCTGTTCTTGGATCATCGACTCGAGCGTCTCGAGTGCCTGAAGGACTGTGATGCCATGCCTCTCGGTGTTTCCTGAGCGATATTGGCGCGGGTGAGAATTAGACGGCGAGACTTCGATCATACTGCGCCTGCCTCGGAAACTCACCTGGTATCCCCGCATCGTCTATTCTCATCAAGGGAACAACAAAGCAGAGGCCAAGGACTCGTAAGAGCAAGTGGGCTGTCCTCTCTGCATGAGCTACTTCGCCTCCAGCTTCGAGCTTGGATGTAGAGGCGACAGGTTCCGCCGATGCCGCACTCTCGGTGGAAGGCCAGACTGCGACATCTTCGAGGCTCCTACCACTTTCTTTGAGAGCCTTGTACCTTGCTCTGCGCTCCCTGGCGTTTTCCCCAATCAAACGGCCTAGCACGGTACTGGTTGAAGGCGGCTCTCCTCCGCGAGACATGATGAATAGGAGGTACCGAACGTCGGCGAGCGAGCTGCCTCGCTTGGTCTGGTCGTCTTGGAGAGCGGTCTTGCCGAGCGGTCCGTCACGTGGGCAGAATGTACAGCATACGAGGATGTCTCAAGTAAGTGCAGATTGTAAGACGGGAGTTCAGCGATGACGCTCAGGAGGCGGCAGGGAGGAACTGCAGCTTCTGAAGTGTTGCAGTACGGAACGTCGAGCAAGCGGAAAGAGGGGGCGCGTCGAGCGGAGCCAGTCACGGAACGGAGAGAGAGGCTGAAGGCGTGGGTAGCCCCAGTGTGCAAAGTAGTTGCAGTCAGTCCTTCACATCACCCAAAGGTCACGAGGAGCAAAAGAGTATTCAGAGACGAGTCCATGGACTGACACTACAAGGATGAGTCATACGATGATGCTGATTGTGATTTCAGGAAGGCTGATATGCCGACGTTCGTAGTGACATTATGCGAACAGCCTGCTGCCCAGTCTTCTTGGCTTCGCCAGAGGAGAAAGATGACCTCCCCCTTGCTGACGACTCTACCTTCTCAACCCCAGTCGCTGTCTACCGCGACACATGATCCCTCTGTGCCTTCGTGGAGTGGTTGAAAGTCTCAAGGGAGACATAAGTGTTGAGTGACACGAGAGATTCAAGGGGTATGGAAGGAAGAGGAGAAGAAGAAGATGGACGCTGCCCGTTTTGTCCTGCCTGTCTGCTGCTGCTGCCCGCCCGTGTGATTAGTCATTGCCACGAGGCACTCGGCGAGACCGGCGGACGGCGCCTCCCCACGCTGCAGCATTCCCAAGGGCACACGACACCGCGAGTTGCGGAGAGGCGGAGCAGGCCTAGAGTCTTGGTAAGAAGGGCCAGGTTCAGCATGCGAAGAGGACTCATGCCCGTGAGAGGTTTGGTACAAAGTTTATGACTGCCGCACCTCATGGTGGTCTCCTCGATCGAGTCTCACTCAGGCCTGTTGGCTCGGTAGCTGCGTCGGCGACTTTTCCCTCCACTGCAATTCATCATCGCCAGTGGCCTGCATGGCGTGGCTCACCCTGCCCTCCAAGCGATACAACTTCATGAGTGAAGGAACATTCTGCCGTCCATGCTGCTGTCGCTATTTCCGCTCTCCTTGCCATGCGTTGCTATAGGCAGAGCGGATGGGAGGCGAGGAAAAGGCCGGCGGCCAAGGTGCTCGCCAGGCACCTCACCCTTACGCGTTTAGTCTCAGCCTGATTGAGCGGGGCTTGAATCCACCCCCCTTCCAGCCTACCGGATCGGCGCTCGGCCTACGATCTGCTCCCGCCTGGGATCTGCTCCCGCTTGCCTGCCTCATTCTCTCTTTGACAAGCATCCGCACGACGTCCCATCCATCTTCTGCTGCTATCCTATCCTTGCCTCAACTACAACATCCATCGACCCTGACTGCCCAACGCAACGTGCGACCCGCCTCTGCCTTCCTTCTTCATCCTCTCGTCAGCGCTGTACCTTATCCTGCCGAAACGTGCGGTGCCCTGCCGCGCCGGCTCTCTTGCCGTCGGCAGCGAACTGCTCCACAGCTCGCGGTGCCTCTGACCTTACCGGTGGGCCAGTCTCACTACAACAATACATGACCTGCAACGGCATCTCGCCGACGTCCAGAAATAGTCAGTGGTCGCAAGACGAGCATCACGAACGACTTCGCCACGCGTCCGCCTCGTCGTCCTCGTCGTCGTCCTCGACTCTGTCGTCGCAGTCGCCGCGCCATTTGCTCTCAGCAACTGCCTTGGCATCATCACCATCATCATCATCATCATCGACAGCATCTTCATCTGCGTGCCTGAGTTACGGCAGTAGCAATCATCATCCGCCCGCCTCGAGGATGCCCGTCGGTAATTCAGCGCCGGGTTTCAATGGCCATCGCAATGCAACCCGTGGACCCTGGCGCATCGAGACCGCCCCGATAGCAGTCTCGTCCGCTCCCGGTCAGGATGCTGTGGACAACGGTCAACCATCGTACTCATCGCCGCCTTCTCCACAGCCCTCGCCCCCACTCACACCACCGGACTCTACCGAGCGAGCTACCGGTACAAACCTGGACAAGCTGCTCTCGCAACAGCAAGGGCCACATCCGACGCAGCTGCTAAAGGACCTGCTTCCAATCATGCCTCCAAGTAGCACCCTGCCTCTCTCACCTACCACGCCGTCCGCATCCTCTTCACCCGGACTGCATCGCACCGCGACGCTCAAGTCTCGCAACGACATCTTCGGCTCTGCTCCGAGTACGCCCCGCAGGCCGCCCCCATCTTCCGTTGCCATGTCTCGCTTCTCTACGTGCAACGACGCGGCATCGCCCTCGGTCTCGCCTGCCAACAGCACAAAGAACAGTCTCTTCTTCGACACGCCGACTTCCTCACCCAGCTTCGCTGTTCGTAGAGACTGGTCATCAGGTCAAGACGCAGTGCGAGGAGGACGCGCAGGACACGCCATCCAAGACAGCCATGCGATGGATGCAGAGGCCTTCCCGTCGGAAGCCGCTGATGACCTGAGGCGGCGGCAGTCTTTGGGTAGGTCTAACACAGAAGAGCGGGAACGTGAGAGACTACGGATTCGACAGTCCAAGGAAGTCGACTTTCGTCTCGCGCCCTCGAGAGAGTTCCTGCTTGGAGAGGGCAGACACTGTGATGTGTTTCTGGGCGCATACAGACGCCGGTACGGCTCCTTGAGAAATGCTGCGCCTCCGTCTGACTGGCAGCTCTGTGCAGTCAAGCGTCTGCATCCGGATCGGCAATCTCAATTGCTTGGCCTGGACGAGGCCTTTGCTTTGAGGAGACTGGGGCCTAATGCAGGAATTGTGAAATTGATTGACATCCGAGACGAAGTCTTGGCCGTCACTTCACCGATGCCGACACCTGCATTGGACAAAACGTCGCTCGACAGCTCGGTGTCCAGTAACAGCACCATCGATTCCAACTCAACTTTGCAGTCGCCGTCACTGATGCAGGGTCGAACATCATCTGATGCCTGGCAGGACTCTGAGCCCGCCCATTTACGGAATGGGCATGGCACAGACAAAGCTCAAGCTCCTCGAGCGAGTAATGAGGGCAGCGAAGACGATTTGCCTCCATCAGCCGCGGCTCTCCAGGCTGCTGGATACCCGCGCGTTGACCTCCATCGTTCTGCTACAGAGCATTCCCTTGGCAGCCTGGCCGCTCCAGCGGGCTCCTCCTCCACGGATCCACCACGACTCTTGATCCTACTGGAGCTGCTGCCTCTCAGCCTTGCTACCTATTCGCAAAGGCATTCCAGCAGAATTGACGTCTTCTTCTGGCTGCACTGGGCCTGCGAGCTTGCCGCAACGCTGGAATGGATGCATGGCAAAGGTTGCGTGCATTGCGACATCAAGCCGGAGAATATCCTGCTCGATCACAATCTCCGGACCAAGCTCTGCGACTTCAATTCGGCATTCTTCCCCAATGCCTCTACGAGTCCTCTGACAGATGGCCTTGGCTTGGGAACGCCTGCGTACGGAGCTCCAGAGCTGACTAAGCGAGGCAAGAGTGGCGATGTAGTCAGCTTCCCAGTGGATATTTTCAGTCTCGGTGCGCTGCTGTACTCGTTGGCGACGGGAGTCGAACCCATGGCCCGAGCTAAGAGCATGATTGAGATGCTGCACCGCAAGGAGCGCTTCTTCCTTACGGAAGAAAATGACCGTATCGCACGTATCTCGGTCGCCGAAGGATGGGGCGACTCGAGCTCAAACGCGGGCAGTACAAATGCTAGCAGGCATACCAGTCTGAGGAGGAAGAGCAAGGACGGATCGGCCACGAAGCGGTCGTCCAGGAGGAGGGACTCAAGTGCGGACAGCATCGAGTCCACTGCCTCTAGCATCACCACCAAGAGCGGAAAGACTCCATCTCTAGCTGCTATTCAGCTACTCCTCGAACCAAGCTCGCTGGCTGGTGTGTTGGTGCCCCCTGATCCGCAAAGACGTTCAGCTGGCGCAGGTGATGCAAGAGAGGCCGGTCATCACCGCGCTCTATCTCTTCACAAGAACTACGCACCTCACGGGAAGTCTCCATCGGAAGTCGCTGCGGAGAACCCAGGATCGGCGGCGATCACACGAAATGGTGCTCAGAAGACTGGTGTTGTACCCAAACCTTCTGTCTTGCGTCGGACGATTTCGTACGGAGGTGCCAAGGAGCCCGAAGCCGAAGAAGGCGAAGGTACGAATACCGAGGATTCGACTGACCTCGATCTCTCATTGGCTCTGACTGCTTCCTTTGCAGAAGTCAGTCGAGAAAAGTATCGCCTCGAAGAAGAGTATCTGCACGGTGCAGGAAGCAATCCGCAGAATGGTAGCAGCCCCATCCGACCTCGTGTCTCCGCCCACGCTCGTGGTGCTAGTCTAGAAGCTACGGGCACGCCGCTGAAGTGGCCCGCGTCGGGCTTTCACCACAAGACTTCGTCCCTCCCATCGCACAGTCGGCCCATTGGAAGCACTGGGCGAGAGGACGAAGACGAAGACGAACGAGAGGAGGAAGAGGACCGATCGCCTTATCGCGATGGCTCACCGGCTTTGCTCCTTCCTGGCGGGGGCAAGCTGCCCCAGTCTGCTCTTGATCTCCTCGAGCACATGCTGCTTGCCAATCCGCTGCGTCGTCCCAAGGCCAGCGAGGTAAGGAGGAGACTGGAAGCAATCCGCGAGGAGACTTTGAGAGCTTTGAAATGATCGAGGGGATGACCGAACGATTTTGCCCCGAGAGGGGGAACATAGCCCTCATCGACACTCGCGTTTCTCAGCCTCGGCGGCACATCTATCGATGCTCTTCTCCTTCAGCTTCCACTTTCTCTCAAGGTCTCACCGGACCATCCTTCCCCACCCGTCCACTCGTAATCCCCTTTACATCTCATGAACTCATCACGACGTCACTACTACATGTTCGACTCCATAGCATGCCCTGTACTTTTAGTTTGTACCTTTTCTTACCATGCCTTTGTATGGCCCTTGTAATCGTTGCCAATGTATGGATCACCTCGTTCGTCTTCCTACGTGACTTGGTCGTAGACTCAATTTGTTTTGCGCCGATGGATCATCTTTCGGCGATTCCCCGCACTTTGCCGACGCTGCCTTTCCGAGATGGAGTGTGGGAGTCAGAGCTTCTCGGGTGGCTCCCGCATCCTGCATCCCGGTTCAACGCAGTACTGTCCACCATCAACATCATCAGCATCATCATGACTTTCGCTTCGTCTTCTTCTGCCGCTGCATCGCTTACAAGGACTGCAGCCTCTCGTGCACAAGCTACAGTCCTACGCCGGCGCGGCTTTGGCACGTACCCCGGCCAGCCTTCCGGACCTAATGTCCTCACCTCTTCCGTCCCCGGTCCCAAGTCAAAGGCAGTCCTCGATGACCTTAACCAGGTGGGAGATTTTAGGACTGCCATCGTAGCTCTACAGTACCCGAAGTGCAAGGGAAACTATGTAGTCGATGCGGACGATAATACCCATCTCGACATGTTTGGACAGATTGCCTCCATTAGTGTAGGCTACCGCAATGAAGAGCTGGAAAAGGTCGCCCGCACCGAAGAGTTTGCCATGGCAGCCATGAATCGTCCTGCGCTGGGCGTATTTCCTCCAGTGGATTGGAGGGCCACACTCGATGCCGGTCTGCGAAAGGACTCGGTGCGGCCGCGTGGTCTAAGTCAGATCTTCACGGCCAATTGTGGCTCCACGGCAAACGAATCGGCCTACAAGGCGTGCTTTATGGCGTATATGCATCGCAAGCGAGGCCACTCTGACTTTGATCAAAAGACCATGGCTTCAAGTATGGACAATGCTGCGCCGGGCGCGCCCACGTTGAGTATGCTTAGCTTCAAGACTGGTTTTCACGGCAGGCTCTTTGGATCCCTATCTACGACGCGGTCTAAGCCGATCCACAAGCTGGATATTCCGGCTTTTGACTGGCCAGCGGTGGACTGGCCAGCTCTCAAGTACCCACTGGAGGAGCACGAGGCGGAGAACCGCAAGGAAGAGGAAAGGGTGATTGCTCTCGTCGAGGAGACAATTGAGCAATGGGAGACCAAGGCGCCCGTCGCTGCCGTCGTCGTAGAGCCCATTCAGTCCGAAGGGGGCGACAACCACGCCTCTCCGCACTTCTTTCGCAGACTGAGAGAAGTGACAATACAAAAGGGAGTGTACATGATCGTGGACGAGGTGCAGACTGGTGTGGGCGCTACGGGAACCTTTTGGGCACACGAGAAGTGGGATCTGCCAACACCGCCAGACGCTGTGTCCTTTAGCAAGAAGATGCAGGCTGCTGGGTACTACCATACTGAAGAGCTCAGACCGTCGGCCGGGTACCGCAACTTCAACGTGAGTATGGGAAGAGCAGAGTGAGACCTATGTACGTTCATCAGTCTAATTTCCCAATAATACTGACGCTGTTCTTGCCCTCTTGATGCCCTTCTTGCTTGCTTTGTGTCTCAGACATGGATGGGCGACCCAGCACGAGCAATACAAGCGCGCGAAATCATCCGATACATCGAGGCCCACTCTCTCGTCTCTCATACCGCCAGCATGGGTACTCAACTGCACTCGATCCTCGCATCCCTCTCCTCCCGCTACCCGACCCTAGTGCAGAACCTGCGAGGCAAGACCGAAGGCACTTTCCAGGCCTTTGATTGTGAAACGGGCAAAGAGAGGGATGCACTTGTGGCTGGTATGAGGAAGAGAGGTGTGTTGGTTGGAGGCAGTGGAGAGAGGGCAGTCAGACTGCGGCCCCTGCTGATCTTTGGAGAAAAGGAGCTGGAAATCTTTGCGGAGACGCTGGAGGCGACGCTGAAGGAGATGGCCTAACGGGGCATGATCTCGACTTCGTTTCGTCACCAAGAGGTCATAATCACGTCACCTGCTCTCACGACCGTACAATGCCCACAGGTCTTGCGAAAGTGAGAGCCCTGCTCATGCACCTCCGCCCTGCAGTGGCCAGTCCAGCTTAGTGCCAATGTTCCAGTGCACGCTCTTCACCTCGGTCCATTCCTTGATAGCATCCACCCCGAGCTCGCGACCCATCCCGCTCTGCTTATAGCCTCCAAAAGGTACCGCGTTTGACAGGAGGGCATAATTATTGACCCAAACTGAAGGAGGGGAGGAGATGCGCAGGCGTCAGCTTGAAGCATGGAGCAGTGTGGGTGATTGACTTCTCCACTCACTCGTGCCAGCTTTCAGGGCAGCCAGAACTCGCATGCACCGCGAAGCACCCGTAGAGAAGATTCCAGCAGCGAGTCCATACTCGGTGTCATTGGCCATCTCAATTGCCTCTTCCTCGGTGTCAAAGGGAATGACGGCCAGCACCGGCCCGAAGATCTCGTCGTCAACGATGCGCATGCCCTTTTGGCAGCCAGTGAAGATCGTCGGTTCCACCCAGTATCCACCCGCGAGGTCTCCCTTTGCGGCCGCCTCTGCTCTTCCTCCACCATAGGCGACCTTGGCACCGCCCTTTTTGCCGTACTCGATGTAGCTCATAATCTTTTCGTACTGCTCTTTACTGACTTGCGGGCCATGGGAAGAGGTATCGTCGAACGGATCACCGATCTTGTGCGCCTTGAATGCCTCGATGAGCTTGGCAATAAAGGCATCGTGGATGCCACGCTGAACAAAGAGGCGGGACCCTGCACAACAGTCCTGACCCATGTTGAACAGAATGGCGAGGGCGACCCAGGGAACGGCTTCTTCGATGTCAACGTCGTCGAAGACTAGGACGGGTGACTTGCCGCCGAGTTCGAGCGTAACCTGAAGTCACAGGTTCGCAAAGACGGGCGTCAGTCGCTGATCTAGTGCACTCCGGATCTCGCTTCCGGTGCTTACCTTTTTCAAGTTGCTGTGAGCTGAAGAAGCCATGATCTTCCTCCCCGTGACCGTACTTCCGGTAAAGGCGACCTTTCTGATCCTGGGATGCTCCGAAATAGCCGCACCTACATCCTTGCCGTATCCATTGATGACGGCGAGTACACCGGGAGGGTAACCGGCTTCCGCTGCTAGCTCTGCCAGCTTTAGAGCTGACAGGGGTGTCTGTTCTGCTGGCTTCAAGATGAGGCAGTTGCCCGCTGCAAGGGCAGGCCCGAGCTTCCAGGCAGCCATCTGCACGCAGCAGGCAAAGAGAGAAGACGTATATCAGGGTGCTGATGAAAGAGCCATATAGGCACAAGTACTCCGTACTGACCTGAATGGGATAGTTCCACGGGATGATGGCACCGGTGACGCCAATCGGCTCGACTCGAGTAAAGGCAAAGTTGTCCCCGTCCTTCATCTCAATAGTCTTGCCCGAAACCTTGTCAGCCAGACCAGCATAGTAGCGCAGGCATGCTATCGAGTCGGCAATATCAAAGTCCTTTGCCATCCAACGAGGTTTACCATTGTCCATTGCTTCCAGTTCTGCAAGCTCCGAGGCGTTTTGCTCGATCAGATCCGCCCACTTGTAGAGCAGCGCGCCCCTTTCTGCTGGAGTGCTCTTGAGGCCCCAGGAAGTCTTGAGCGCCTCTTCAGCAGCTTCGACGGCAGCATCGACGTCTTCCTTTCCTCCAGCTGTCACTTTGCAAAGCTCCTGCCCAGTCGCAGGATTGAAGACTGTGATCTTGCCATCTTGCCCAGCTTGTGAGGCGTGGAATTCATTGCCAATGAAGATGCCATCGCGAAAGGTGAGCCTGGTGCCTCGCGGCGAGGTCAAGGTGATTGAAGCTGGAGACGTCATATCGGGCGGTTAGAATGTGAATCAGATGTTGCGGTTGATAGTGTTGAGATACTTCCAATCAGTATGCCTTGCCCTTGAGCTTGTTTCGAATGCTATCTCTGAGCTCTATTCTTGATCGCTATCTTCCCCTTTCGACATCCGCTTCTCGGCTATCCCTTCCCACCGTTGCTGGCCCCTGCGAGCTGCCGACCCCTTTCCGCTTCAACCGGCGGAGAGCGCCGAGGCGTGGGAAGCAGGGAGCGTGACCCGAGTGGCCCGGAACGGAAGGCGGCCTTTCCCCGCATTCCGGCTCTCCACAACCAATCGCCGAACATCTCCGGTTGTCCCTGACCGCTCGCCCGCCTGCTACACATTGGCAACTCTGACATCGTCTCTTCTCTGGATCTTCTGTATGTACTCGACTTCCGTAATGGCTTCATCTCTTTCGATCTCAATGTCTCGCAATGTCGCAAGGACGGCGCGCAAGTCGGCCTTGGCTCACTCTCTCCGAGGAAGCATTGCTGGAATCGCGACATTGAGCCACAGCTGGAAGGGGATTCGACAGCAGGGAGAAACGCTACCCAACTACTGCAATGGAAAGTTCGTCGAGAGTTCTGCCTCGAAGCTCAGCCCTGTACATGATCCAGTGAGTACCCATGCGTGCCCTGCTCTTTGGCATCGTACCTGCATATCTCCGCGGGCTGAAGCCCACCCTTTTCACCTCACGCACAGACGAACCAAGATGTCCTCTGCCAGGCCCCCGACACCACTGCCGAGGAGTTCGAGGCGATTGTATCAGCGGCTCAGGAAGCCTTTCCAGCATGGAGGGCTACTTCTCTGCTGGGTCGACAACAGATCATGTTCAAGTTTGCCGCTCTCCTTCGCGAGCATCAGCAGGAGATTGCCCGCGTCATCACTTCCGAGCAAGGGAAGACCTTTGGCGATGCTATGGGTGACGTGCTGCGTGGTCTGCAAGTCGTCGAGTTCGCTACAGGCGCTCCTTCTCTTCTGCTAGACAAGCGATTGGAAGTCTCGAGCAATATGGACACGTTTGTGCGCACCGAGCCTCTTGGCGTGACTGCCTCGATCAACCCCTTCAATTTCCCAGCTATGTGCCCCCTCTGGTCCATTCCTGTCGCTCTAGTCACAGGCAACACTCACATCGTCAAGCCTTCAGAGAGAGTGCCGGGTGCCTCGCAGATCATCGTCGAATTGGCAGAAAAGGCAGGTGTACCTCCTGGTGTGCTAAGCGTTGTGCATGGCACCCACGATACGGTCAACCGGATCTGCGATGATCCTCGCATCAAGGCCATCAGCTTTGTCGGTAGTGACCGTGGAGGAGCTCACGTTTACCACAGAGGTACCAAGAATGGCAAGAGGGTGCAGTCCAACCTGGGCGCAAAGAACCACGCCGTCCTCATGCCCGATGCCGACAGGGACGCCGCCCTAGACGCCATTGCCGGAGCTGCCTTTGGTGCTGCTGGTCAGCGTTGCATGGCCCTCTCCGTCGTCGTCACGGTCGGGGACGCAGGCGAGTGGATCGAAGACGGTATCATGCAGAGGGCAAAGGCGCTCAAGGTTGGCAACGGCATCGAGTCGGACGTGGACCTTGGTCCGCTCATCTCGCCCGCCGCTCGCAAGAGGGTCATTGAGCTAATTGGCTCCTGCGAAAAGGAAGGTGGCAAGATCCTACTGGACGGTAGGAAGTTCATGGCAGACTCACTCCCTGATGGTAACTGGGTGGGTCCAAGTATTTTGGAAGCCAAGCCCGGCATGAGTTGCTACGACCAGGAAATCTTTGGACCTGCGCTCGTTGTGATCCGTGCAAAGACCATCGATGAGGCGCTTGCAATTGTGAATGAGAACCCCTACGGCAATGGAGCGGCCGTCTTTACGACTTCGGGCAATGTGGCTCGGAGATTCGAGATGGAGTGCAATGCCGGACAAATCGGAGTGAACGTGGCCGTCCCGGTGCCATTGGTGAGTTGCCGAGCTATTCTCTCTACCAATGAGTCACCATCAGCTAATCTCTCCTTTCTTATTATGCTCCTTTCTCACGTCCCACCTTGCAGCCCATGTTCAGCTGGAGCGGTGGCAAGGCCTCTGTACTTGGAGGTCACGGCTTCTACGGAACGGCGGGTGTGGAGTTCTACACAAAGAGGAAGACGATCACCAGCTTGTGGAAGCCAATCATGCCCCCTTCGGCTACCGGGTCCCATTCAGGCAAGGCATCGGTGAATATGCCAACCATGTCGTGAGCGGAGAGGGGGTTAGGTCGAAAGCCTCCAGTGGAACAATTGAATCACATCACAGCATGTCTGAACCCTGTCCAATTCACATTCACATTGTGATGCTCATCGAGTCTGCCTCTTCAGCGTTGGCCGTGTGGTGTGTGGCCCTCTTCCTGGCGCGTCTGCCTGTGCTGTGCGGGGGCGGAGAAATCGCGTGGCGTGGAAATGGTTCCACTTCCGCGACGAGGCGGCTGTTGTTCTCTCACCGCCATGGCAGCCTACCATTCTCATTCGTCTGTCTTATCATCTTCCCCGAAAGCAGTGAGAGACTCAGACGTCGTCCTCGAGAGCTTCTAGTGCTCCACAGCTGCAGTTCATCTCTACCAAAGGGTCTTGCGTTCCTTGCACCCAATCCTCCCAACATGCCCGCGTCCTTTACGCGCCTCGACCTCCCCTCATCCACCCACCTCTCCCACTCCCTCAACACCATCCTTTCCCACGCCCAATCCCTCCTACACGCTCAGTTAGAACGCGATGGTCTTTCTGGTTCGCAAGAAGAAGAGGTTTGTCGGAAGTTACTTCAGGCTTGGTTGGAGGAAGGGGAGAGGAGATTGGTAGAGGGAAATGTTACATTTGATGGGATGAAGGTTAGAAAGGATTGGAAGGAGAGACAGGGTGGGGGAAAGAGTGCTGGTGAGTTGATCAGAGGAGAGGGGAGTGAATGGAGAGGGGTAATGGAGAGAGCTTGCGATTGGACAAGAATTAGGACGCTCATCTCTCTCTCCCACATCCCCTCCCAGTCGCGCCCTTCGACGAGCAACTCAACAAGCGCATCGACAATCTCCAGCAAACGGCAGACGACCTCACAGAGACGGCTGTAGAGTACCGTCGAGAGTTGCCAGAGCGATGGGCTCAGGCATTGAGGGATCGTGAAGAAGTGCTGGATGAGATTCGGAGCAGAGAGGAACAGAGGAGGGCGCTGATTCGCAAAAAGGGATGGGGAGAGAAGGAGGGTGAGTTGACGGGTCGAGAACAGAGAGGGCATGGGATGAATATGAGGCGCGTCGCTGACAGAAGCTGTTGTCCTTTCCCTCTCGCTTTGGTAGTGCCGGCTAGCGAACTTCCAATCGAGCGCTTGGAGCAAGTGGCCAAGACACTTAGTACCGCTCTCAGCCAGGCAGAGATGCTCGCAGAGGTAGGTCAAAGCACACAAGAGAACTGTCGCCCCTTTCATGTCCCCTTTGCTGACTTCATTTGTACCGCTGACCTGACAGGACCTACCGGCTCAAGTGCAAGCGACGCAAGATCAACGCGAGCTAGTCGAACAGCTGAGACAGATGCCACCCTGAGGGACAGGATGCATCATTTCTATCTGCGGGCCAGCGACAGCTTTCATCGCTTGCTACCTTCGCCCGTGGTTCCCCTTCGCTCGCTGGTATACCTCTTGCTTTGTACAATCACAAACACCTGCTGTTCATTTCGACTGGCTCTTTCTTTTCTGCTCAAATGTACAAATATAATTTCCCTCCATTCAGCCTCCTCATGCCATCATTCCATGCGACCACTCAGACGTCTTCGACTTCGAATTTGACACACAAGCTTCCCTTTGTCTTTTCACCCCTCAAATTGAACAGCCTCAAGAAGACCCACTGTCCCGTCTGGAGTGCCGCGACCCTCACCGCCGCTACGGCAAAGACTGGGTTGCGTGCAAATGCATCATCACTTTTGAGCAAGATGCGCAAAAAGACGAGATCATCCTTTGGGTAGGTCCAAGTGAGTGTCTCTGGATGATGCCAAAAGGGGGAGTGACCAGGGGGAGAATCGTGAGTGTGCAATGCAGCGAGCTTGTGCCCACGATAGGCGCTCGTCTTGCGCTTTGGCTTGCGCTTCTCGTCCTCTTCTGTAGCCTCTCCTCCCAAGAGCAGAGGATGATAGAGACTGCAGGTAACATAAGGCTTCACCTCGTCTGCTTTGCGTCCACTGGGTAGAACCAAGTCTGATGCACCAGCGACGGTCATGGAGAGTTTAGTCTGACCCGTCGGGCGGGGTGCGGGCGGTTGGCCATTCTCCATACGGAGATAGGCGGGCTTGAGGACGAAGCCGTCGGTGCCGTCGAAGCAGGCCTCGTTGAGCTGCATAGCTGCATCGAAGGTCTGAGCATTGAGAGCCACGACGTGAGAGCCTACGCCCCAGAAGGGGGGAGGGAGAAGATTCTTGGACGTGATCCTCGTACCAGCTGGGTAGACACGCTGCAGGGCCTTGCTGTTGTGCCTGATCACGTCATGGGCGTGACCTTTTTCGATTGCTTCCAGCAGCGGGCCCTCGCCAATGTTCAGTAGCGGGTTCGAAGGATCCTTTGTCTCTTCCTTGAGCCAATCGCTACCCGAAGGTTTGATACTGTTCGCATACACTCCCAACGAGGCGAGCTCGGGGACAATCTTGACGTTTGCCTTGGCCTTCTTGTCATCCTTGCCAATGCCTCCCTGGTCACCAGCAGACTTGGGATCGTCCGTCTCTCCACTGGCATAGTGCTCGACCATGCAACAGATTCTTCCCTCGAGCTGCTCTAGCCTGGGCTGCTTTCCATCCGGGTCCAGAGGCTCCACCACGAGCTTCTCTCCAAAGTTCTCCCTCATGATCGTAGCCAGTCGTACCTGTCCAGCTGGGCTGCAGTGATTCTCGACGGAGATGAAGATGGGTAGAGGAGTTGCAGTGCCGGCCTGCTTAGCAGCGGCAAGCTCTTTGTCCATGGCAGCATTAATGGCCTCGACGACGGCGCGGAAAGGGATGTGGCCAGTCAGAGTCAAACCGTGCGTCACCTTGGGCTCCTCTGAATCATCCTCATTATCCCAACAATCAATCTCTACACAGCGCATGCCGGAGTTGAGGATCTGCGTGTACCTGTGTGCAGAGGCCTTACCTCGTAGCTGCGAGCTATTGGCAATGTAGGAATTGTGGCTGGAGGACATGAGATAGCTGCTCAGTGGGTGGGTACGGTCATTGACATAGGCAGGTGGGATAGCAGGCTGTCTGACCAGGATCTCTTGCAAGGCTTGACCAGTAGGAGAAAAGCCATCCTGATCAGCCTCGCCAGCCAAGTCGCTCTCCTGGAGCTCGCCTTGCTCTACAAGGAAGCGCTGCAGAGCATGACTGATGCGGAACTGCTTGCGCTCTTCGATGTCGCCAGTAGCCGTACCCCTTCCACCTCCGGCCACACTGTCCTCGGTGAGGTCCTGTCCCTGGTCCTCATCGCCGGTGTGTTCTGGTGCTTCCTCCTCCTCTTCTCCAGCTCCTTCCTCCCTAACCTTGTCCTTGTCCTTGTTCTTCTTGAATGGGTTCAGCGAGGCAAACTTGTCTGTGAGAGATGGCTTGGAGCCATCAGATGGAGTAGAAGTGCTTGACATGTTGGTGGTGATCAGAGGTAGCTGGTGATGCTTGCGATAAGGAGTAGAGCAAAGGCGTTACTTCCCTTATGAGGACAGCCATGATCGCGGGGAATTGGGCTTCTTGGCTGTGCGGCCTCCACATGGCTCACCCCCGCTTCGGCACCAGCTCGGCATCTCCTGAAAGGCGGCGCAGCTCTGATCGTACGCAGAGAGCGAAGTCGCGACGATGACAAGGGTGACATGAATGGTATTGGTACATACAAGGTGGGACGAACAACGACAAATCGGCTCAGACGTCGAGACTCTTCCTCGCCTCTTCCATGGCCTCTTCAATCTCTTGCCTCAACCTCGGAGCCTTGGGCGCACCTGCGAAGCCTTGATCCACGGCGTCGTCTTCGAACATCATCGCCAGCTTCGACTGCCTCACCCAGCCAAAGGACCTCTGCTCATCAAAGAAGCGCACCAGATGTAGGGGCGACGTTTCAGTCGACGACGACGACGCCTTTGCCTTTTGACGCTCGCCTTCCTTGACTACAGGGGCAGGCACAGACTCGTCTGCTTCGTCCACGATGGCCGCTGGGTAGTATGGATAGGACATCACCTTGGCCCAGACGAGAGTCAAGTGAGGAAACGCCGTCGATGGCGATGTCGTGACCGGCTCGCCCTTCTTGGAGGACCGAGGGGTAGGCGTCGCCTTTCCACGCTCCATTGATTGGGTGACCGGCGTTTTGCTAGCACCCACTGGTTCCACGCCGCTGCTGCGACGAGGTCGCTTGGGGGTAGAGGTGACCTCCGAGTCGAGCAGACTTGCTCTGTTTCGCTTCTTGTTCGCTTTGACAGCATCGCTTACAGGGTTCGCAGGTCTCGCAGGTCTCGCAGTCTCCTGCGCGGAAGGGCGGCGACGAGCTGCCTTGCTTGTGGGCAGAGGGCTCGAATCGATGGGTCTCGTCGATGCCTTCTTGGCTGACTGCTTCGGAGTCTCAGCCATCTGAGATCCCACATCGGAAAGCTCGCTTGAGCCAGCCGGCGAGTCGAGCTGTCTGTTCGATCCCGACTTTGACTTTGACTTCGAGGTGGAAGGGGCTGTAGCAGAGGCTGAGCTCGTCTCTGCTCCCATGCTCTTCCTCGCGCGGTGTGTCCCTGCAGGCAAGATCCAACCAGCCTCGAATCTAGTAAAGGTGTCGTGCTCATTCAATTTCCTGACCGTCAGTCCTCTTGGCGATTGCTGACCAGTTTCGGCACCAGATGACGCGACGTCGGAACGACGCCTACGCAAGTATGTTTGAGGCGTCGGCCCGTTGCCATTGCCATGTCTCAAAGAGGTCGATCGCCGAAGGGAGCTGCCGCCGGCAGACATGGACTCGTCATCGTTGCCTCGAGCTGAGCGAGATGATCGCCGTCTCTCGCCGGTATCCGTTTCCTGCAGAGCTCCCAGTCTGCTGCCGGAGGCCCGACCGCTATTGGTCAAGCCAGCAGCAGCGGCCGCCTCCTTTTCCGCCTTTCTCCTCTTGCGGTACTCTGCAGCGGCCGCGTTCATCTTCAGCCGATTTTGTTCCCTTTGCGCTGCTGCCGCTTCTCGACGCAGGCGTCGTTCCTCTTCTTCGGGCGTCTCCACGTGTGGAGGAGGCCGTTCGACTGTGTGGTACTGCCTGATCAAGTCTTCGACGAGGTTCCGGGGTGCTTGCGCTACGTCTTCGCCATCTTCAATGGTTCTTTCACGTCGTTCTTGATCATACTCGTCCAGAGCTTGCAGCAACGAGCGAGAAGGCTCCAGCTGAAGCTCTCCAGGATCGTGTAGAGCCTCGATCTCGTTGAGACCGGCTTCCGCTGCATCCGTGCGGTGAAGCTCTCGAATGCTGTGGAGATCCGCCAACAGAGGCTGAGCAGCCGCCTTGATTTTCAAGGCTGTCCGGTGAAAAGAAGTGTCTGCCTTGTTGTATAGAATTGCGTTATTGCAGACGAGATTGACGTCGTCGGCAAATTCCTCCGCAGTTGCGTATTGATGGTCGTCGACCTTTCCCAGAATCTTGGCCCAGTCCATCGGACTCTTGATGACGTCGTAGTAATCAGGAACCTCTGAGCGAGAGACTGGGTTCATGAAGAGACCGCTGCGATCGAGGGCGATAATCTTCTCCAGAGCTGCTCGTAGATCGCCATGGAAGGGGAACAGTACGCCCTCGACCAAAGTGGTCCGGATGAGATTCATCTGGCGGAGCTTCTGCTGCTCCCTCTTTCTGGCAAGCTCGGCGAGCATGCGAAGTCTTTCCAAGTCTTCACGAAGCAGGAGCATGAATTGGAGCTTCTGTACGCGATCGGCCTCGGTCTCCTCACGAGTCGAAGACGTGGCAGCGGTCCAAGGCTCGAGGTGCAGCCTTTTGAGAAGAGGAGCCCCACGTCTTGCCTCTCTCTTGAGACTCCAAAATTTGGCCACCTGAATGATAAAGAGGTCCTTTTTGCGCAGCGTGAGTTTCTTGACGTACGCAAGAACTCTTTCGATCACGTAAGAAGGGACAAGAGGCGGGCCGGCTCGATAGGACTTCTTGTAGGCCCGAGCAGACTTGGCGGTACCAGCAGGTGCAGCGGGGACTGCTGAGATGGCCCCATTGGCTCCTCTACGAATGGTAATCTTGCGGGTAGAGGGTTTCTTAGCCTGCAGGCCAGGAGTACTGGCTCGTGTGCTGCTGTCGTCATCATCAGCGGGCAGCTTGCCCAAGCTTCCAGCCGCTGGACGGAGATGTCGCGGAAGGTGCTTGTGACACATTGCACGCAGCGGCTCTCCTTCGTCTTCTGAATCGCTATTGCCATGGTCATGTGTAGTCCTTTGACGCTGAGTCTTGATCAGGAGACTGGCTTTGCGAGCACAGGTGACGTGAAAGGCTGTAAAGCAAGTCTTGTTGTCACACTGGATACAAGCTCCATGTCGCGATCGACATAGGTAGCATTGCAACTTCCACCTGGCCTTGGGAATCTTCTCTACCGAGTCAATTGGCTCCATGTAGACTTGATTGCTCACGCTCGTCTCTGGGATCCATAGTCCGCACAGAAGATGAGCCCACTTTCCTTGCGTGGTCTGCTTGAAAGCCCCGCCCTCACTCGGGCAGAGTATGCAGGAGACGGCTCGGTCGGGGGACACGGTACACTTGCGACAGAGCCATTGACCTTCTGGGATATAGGGAATACCATAGCAGTCCTGATGCACAGCAAGGTTGCAGCCGTCGCAAAAGACGATGGCATTGGAGTTTTCACATTCGCCATCGTCGCAAATGGCGCACTGAGTGTCTTCGTTCCCCGTCAGCGGCTCGCCGTCTGGTCCAATGGCTGCTGGCTGGGGTTTGGCGGGCACGCGCCTCATGAGGTCGAACCATTCCTTTTCCAGCCGATCAATGATCACTTCGAAAGCCTCGTAGGAAATGGTATCCAGCTGATCCTTGCGCCGGTCGGCATTGAAGGCATCCAGCCATTCCTTGTCCTGCTCGTCCATGTCATACTCCACCTGCTTCTTGAGATCGGCCTCGATGGGCTCGACGAAGCGCATGTAATGCTCCGGCTTCTCAAAGGGTGAGCCGTCATTGAAGCCATAATTGACGTTTTGCTGGTCATTAACGCCAGAAGGAAGTAGCAGTACTTGGGCCTCTTGTTCAGGGATCTTTCGGAAAGACACCTTGGGCAGCGATGAAGCGAGAGGGAGATTGGAGCCGAGGGGTTGAGGGACCGTCGAGGGCATTGTGCTGCTACACGGCCAAGCGCGAGGCGAGCCGGGCTCCCATGTGACTCTTCACCAGCTCCCGGGCGTAGAGGAGAGAGGAGCGCGCGGTATTGCAGTACGTACAGGGGTCGTCAGATGAGGTCAGAGGACTTCGAGCGCGATGGTGAGCTTGATGAGGAGATACGGCTGGGCAATGGAGGGCAATGCTTCCGCGGTGGGAAGGAAGGCTGCCTCGCTCAGCTCGACGACGCGCCTTGGGAGCAACGGTCGTGCGTACGCCCCTTCTCCGCTTCCGTCGCCATTTGATCTCCGACGCATGCCATTTTCCTCTTCCTCCGCCTTTACGATTGCCCTCGAGAACATCCTACCACCGCCACTACCACCATCGCCATTGCCCTCTGACAGAGTTCCCGCAGGCGTGACATCCCTCCTCTTCCCCCTCCTCGCAATTGGTGGTCACCATGTCCAATCCCCTCCTGGCATTGCTCAACAAGGCGGGCTCACAGCTCTCGCCATCAGCATCAGCAAAGGCTACAGAGCATGCTCCCTCTCCCTCACCTTCACCGTTGCCACCATCGCCACCTTCTGCCCCTTCCTCATTAGCCTCGCCCTCCTCTCCAGCTACCGCCGTCAAGAATGGTCCTCGTAGTCCCACGGACTTGTCAAGTCTGCTCTCACCCGGCCTGGCTTCTCCTCCCACTTCCTTTGCTCCCCATGCCTCGCTCTTGAGCTTGCTTAGCACAGCGACCCCTCCTGCCGCTCCTGCCAGAGGCGCAGAGAGCTCATCAGTGTCTGCAGATGCAACGAGTGCTACTGCTGGGCCATCAAATGCTCCTTCGACGGGCTCGAGGTCGCGCAGAGCTCTCGGTAGCAGAGTCACCGAAGATCCACTTCCATCGAGCCCTTCCTCTGACATTGCCAAGGCTCGACTGCTGGGACTCTTGACCGGACCCGCCACCAGCTTTGAACTAGTGCAAGAGGAGCGCAAGACGAGTGAGTCGCCCTCGACAACCCAAAAGTGATCATGGAGCGCTGGCCACTGACGTCAGCTTTACCGCCTTTCCGTAGCACCAGCGCCCCAGGCAGCAGCAGAGCAATCTCACTCACCTGAGCCTCAGCAAACTCGGCCACCTGTTCCATCTTCGCAGACGTCCTATGCACATGCAGCTGCCCAGCCTAGCAAGTTTGACTTTCAGAGCTCTTTTGATCAATTTCTCCCTGGTGAAGTAAAGCCCACGCAACCCGCAAAGACATTGGACACCGGGCTTGTTCGAAGACCTGCGGAGCCACAGCTCAAGGAAGAAGATGGTGTATCCAGCACAAAATCGGCGTCTGCTAGCAGTGTTGCACCACAATCTATACCCGGTCCTCCACCCTTCCAAAAGATTAGCCTAAAGAAAGATGTGCGAGCATCCTCGGATCGCATCGAGCTGAAGCCAGCGGAAGAATTCCTCGCCTCAAAGTATGTCGCGGCTTTGCATCGCGAACACTCATTTGCTGAGGAATCCACCTCTGGTCTTTCGAACACTCAGCAATCTCCGATGACCACGACCATCGATCTGGACCTTGTGGCCCCTCAGCCTGCAGGTGTCAACAGCCTGCACCCTGCCAAGCTCGAGATTTCTCAAATCGCACTCGTGGATTCGTCATTCGAGCACCACGCTTCGGACATTTACGCAGAAGGAATCAAGGAGTCCCAATTGTTGTCTCAACTCCATACCTCCAAGATTACGAATCTGGGTGAGGACGTCGTCGCGTACGCCATGAACAAGGGCAGAATCCGTCTCCTCCATCTGCGCACTGGCGAGCGAGCCATGTTGCAGGTCCCGCACAAACGTACGATCCTCACCATCAGGGCCTTTGCTGCGAGTGATGAAAGCGATTGGCGTGTGCTGGCCGTGTTCGATGGATCCGAGGACGGCAAGGCAGAAGGCACCTTTGTATGGAAAGTAACCCTTGACGGCAGCTTCCAGAGCGAAGCCCTGGCTACGATCAGCTCCCAATTGTCCAACTACAGGCTTCTCGCTTGCCAGCAAGGCAGCAAGTACTCGTATGATGCGCATCTATGCGCACTAATTGACGCCCAGCCGGGGGGATCAGTCAAGGCAGCAATGGCGCACCTCTTTTCGGATCTCGGCCAATTGTCGCAATCGACGCAAGCTCAAGCGAGCGTGTCTCACGAACACCAGGTGGTGGCAGCTGCGATTGCGTCGCAGCGTTCAGCCTATGCTGCAATTGAAGTGGGCAGCGAAGTACAAGTCGTAGTCAGGTCCTCGGCTGCAGGAGGTCTTGCCAGGGTCAATCTGCCACCCTTGGGCGACATTGACGAGCCCCTACCACCCGTGAGCTTCATCGCGCCTGTCCATCCTCAGGAAAGCGCAAAGGAAGAGGGTCGGACTGCTATCCTCGTAGGGTTCGCTCGCAACACGATCATCGGCCTCTTCGATGTCCAGAATGGCTGGCGATACATTTGGCGCTTCCAGAACATGCCGGGAGATCACTTCAACTTGGCCCACTTCAATGAAGAAGCGTCGACACTCTTCCTCGCCAACAGCGCTCGTTCCTCCATCTTTACTCTGCAGCTACTCGTGTCATCCGGTGGTCCGAAGCACCAGTGGTCCCTTCACAGCCCTCAGCGACTGATTGAGTATGCCCTGCCCGAGCCATGCACCTCTTTCAGCATCACCAGAAAGCAAAGCAATGATGCAGTCGATGGCTTCAAAATCTTTGCCGTCCATCCTGGAGGGGTGCACTCGTTTGAAATTCCGCTGCCATCACCGGTTTCTGACCCAGATGACGACCAGCCGTCGACAGCCCGGGCCCTAGCCGATGACTCAAAGCAATATGAGGACGCAAAAGTGGAGCAGACTGCTGACGTGCCCCATGAAGTCACGGGCCGAGACACAGCAGAGGGCGGCGAGGTCAAGTCCGTCGCCGAGCAGCCTGTAGCAGCAGACGATGCCACACACGATCAAGCCCGCTCATCGCTCGAGCGAGGAGAGGCGACGATGCAATTTTCGGAGCTGCCGACCGCCGATATGCTACCTTCCTCGCACCAGTCGCAAACCACAGCACCCGTCTCTAGCGCCACGGCGGCCCAACCAGGCTCCATCAGTATGGCCGAGCAGGGCCGTACGCACTCGAGGCGGGGAACGCGAGGCGGCAGCAAAACCAAAAAAGCCGTGGCCAATGAAGACGGCACGCACTCGAGGACTGCGTCGTCGACGACCAATGCTGATACGGTCACGAATGGCGCTTCTACACATGCCAAGGCTGACCTCAAGAGCCGATCTGCAAACGACGCTGAGCCAAAGGAAGTCGGCTTCGACGACGCCGCACTCCAGAAGCACCTCCAATCGATGGAGACTCGTTTGACGGACAAGCTTGGCAAAATGATCTCGTCTTCTGCCAAAACCACCCATGCTTCTCCGGCCGTCGAGCTACCACCCTCCTCATTGTCGACCATTGCGGGTGAGGTTGCCAAGATTCTCTCTGCAGAGATCAACGCCGCCATTGTCCCTCAAGTCCTGGCATCTTTGCGAAGTGTCACTCAGACCGAGATGCGTGGTGGCTTTAGCGAAGCAGTGCAGCAACATTTGCCTGCAGAGCTCTCGAGGTTGATCGACCGACCAGATGTTCACACTAACATCACTCGAGCAGTCTCCGCTGGCGTAGTGCCCGTGGCTCAGAGGACGGCCGTCGAGGTAGTCACCCAGGTACTTGCGCCTCACTTTGAGCAGACGATGCTCGGTGTAGCACAGAGAGTAGAGGCGGTGATCGGCAGTGGCCTTACCGACGTGCGCAAGTCCATCGTCGCCGAACAAGGCACAGCCTTGAAGGCGACGGAAAAGTCCATTGCCGAAATGAGCAGCGCTTTGACGTTGATGAGCAAACAAGTGACAGATCTCTCGACTCAGAATGAAGCACTGTCCAAGACTCTTGAGGAACTGAAGCGCAGCGGCATCCATCGCGAGGTACCTCCGGCACCCTCTTCGGCTGCTAATTTGGCACGACAAATTTCTCCTGGACATCCACAGAGTCCGTGGGTTCCAATTGAGCCATTCCAGTCTCCCTTTGCCCAGCCAAGCTCCTTTGGCCCAGGAGGTCCTCCATACCCCTCTCATCCTCCGATTGGCGGACCACCGAACGCCTATGCCCCTTGGCCACCTGGCCCCACGTCCTATCAGGCCGCTCGTGGACCGCAGAACGACACGTACCATAACAACGTATACCGAGGTACACCAGCCCCGCAGCGTCCCATTGGCGGCGAGGAAGTTGTAGAAGACGCTCTTCTCTCAGCCTTGTCCTCTTCGAATCCAGAGACGGCCATCTTGCCTGTTCTGCAAAGGCTCAAGGTACAGCATGGACGAGCAGAGGCTGCTTTGCTGCAACGCGATGCAGTGAGTGGCGTGGAGAAGCTGACGGTCTCACAGCCGGTCCTGCTGGCTCTGCTCAATGCCCTCTCCAACATTGCAAAGGCGGCCGCGACCTACAATACGGCCAGTGGCAGTGGGCCAGAAGTCTTTGTGCCTTGGGCCGAAGCTTGTGCGATGAGACTCGATGTTGCTGATGACTCCATCAAGGCTGCGTATTCTCGCGTTCAAGAGAGGATCCGAAGGGGTTTCGAAGAGGGATGGGCCGAGCACCACGTCAAGGTCGACTCGATGTGGTGGAGCCGAGGTCGACTAGACGCATACCTGCTGAGATTCCTGCCCGTCGCCTGAATGGCAACATGGCATTAAGATGGGCGCACTGTAACGCTCCGATACCACTTTGCCTTTGTCATCCTCCGTCACCGCTTGTCAGTGTGGTCCTGTCGTCGTGTTGTCATCATACCTTGTGTTTCATCAATTCAGTCTGTTGACATTTCAGTTTGTGGCTTGCCCTGTGACACATGCACCGTAATCGGTTCCTGGGTCGCAGCCGGTGGCGGTCGGAACGGGAGCAGAAGTCCGTCGCGTGGCGAGTCGCGGCTTGTGCAAGTGAGACGGCCAGAGGGAAGCGAGAAGCGCGCCTGCCTTTCCGAGGCGCAACGCCTAGAGTGTCAGATTGAGCATCCGCCGGTCCGCCCCCCTTCTCCCCCCCCTTCCTCACCATCACCACCTGGGCATCCTCTTTCCACCGTCAGATTACAAGGAATCGTCGTAGCTGTTCTGACCTCTTGACGTCCCTCTATACCCCCTACTGCAACGTCTCACCACTTTCCCAACGGCTACACTCCAGACCATCTTCCCACCCTCCATTCTCAACCTTACCCCACCCACGCAACACTAGCTTTCACAACAAGGACGCGTCTCGCCCTTTCACATCGTTTACTCTCGTCACGCTCCCTTCACAAACGCAACACAACGACATAGGCGGCAATACGAAAGTAGCGCCACGCTGAGCATCTAGCGAATCTGCCCTCGTGGCTACTCGCGCCGTTGCGGCCTTGCTCTCCGTATTGAATATACATCGCGTGCGCTGAAGCGCGAGGATGATGACGACGTCCATTCCTGCGTCTTCGCCGTCTCTCTCTCCTCACTCTCGTCATCCAACAAAGGTCAAATCGGCATGCTACTCGCCTATGCAGACCCCTAGAGCCTCTCTTTCTCCTTCACCGCAAAAGCCTCTACCCGGGCCCTCCAACCCCGCTCTGCCTAGCGCACAAAGGCGGCGTCAGCAGCAGGAGCAACAGGACCATAGTCTGCCATCTTTGCGGCAACCGCTCAAGGACGCCACTATGCTCAGCAATCAGCAGCCTCACCAACGCACCGGCGGCGCGACGGCTAGACAAAGATCCGGTGGCCAGACGGGGCGCAAGGTCAGCGGCTATGCGGCTTCAGGAGCAGAGTCTGCTGCTTGGACTCGTCGGACGCGTCAACAGACGGAGCATAGCAGTGCCGACGAGGAGGAAGAGGTGGCGCCACCGCTCGAGAGTCCCAACTCTGACAATGGGAGCGAAGTGACCGAAAATCCCCTCGATGCCCCCCGGGAGGCGAGTGTTTCTCGGCAGCAGACCAGGGCAGCCCAAATGACGAGCTCGGTACCCCAGAAGCGGACGTCCCAGACTGGGTCAGCCAGTGCAAGTACCAGCGGCGGCCCCGAGTCCAAGACTGCTTTGCACAGCGCTGCTCGTCCCAGGCTCTCTATGCATCCGGCGGCGCACAGCAGCAAGGGCCCTTCGACTGCTGCCGATGATGACTTGGAAGACCACTTTGCGCAAGTCAGCATGACTCCACCAGTCACTCTGGCCAAGACGGCTGCTGCTGACTTGCGCTTCGGGGCCGTCACGTCTAGGACGGCCGCGGAGGACGATCATGCCGCTCCCTACCCAAGCTCGATGAACAAGATGACTAGGACCTCTGCCTTTGGCCCCTTTTCGCCTCTTTCAGACCAGAGTGAGAAGCCTAGGGAGCAAGAACAGCCAGAGGCAAGCGAGGGAGGATTTGGGACTGGCCTGAAGAGGACATTCAGGCTGCATGGCAGCAGCCTTGCACCACCTCCTCTGCGTGTGACCAGAAAGCATGAGAGCATCAACGAGGGAGACTCTGAGAGCAGCGAGACCTCTGCAGATGAGCGAAGCTTCGAGGGCCAATCCCCGAGCGTGCATGCTGCAAAGCAGAGACATGGTCAGCGGCATGTGCGGTCTAAGACGATTGAGTCGACGCAGGATGTATCTAGCGTAGCACAGAGGAGAGGGAGGACGCCGACGTTCTTGTCGGCCAGCAGAAGACCCGGCGAGGCGGAGGTCCCCAATCGGATGGGAACACCCTCCATGGAGCTAGACTCGGACACGGACATTGGAGCCCCCCCTAGCCCCACGCCCATGGGCAGCAGCGATGGAAGTCTTGGCTCGCACTTGAAAGCGGACTTTTCCATGCCAATGGCTGCCTCCAATGGTTTCCTGCAGCCTGGCCCTTTAAGTTGGAAAGTTGCGCTGCAAAGACGAGGTTCGGCCGGTGGGAGTGAACCCATCCAGCGCGGGTCGAAGACGTCCTCGTCTTCCCCTGGCCTGTCTGCCTCTTCGTCTGCCGGCCAGCCACTAAGTCGTCAGGATGCCTCACCCGCGGTGATGATTACTCGCCCCTCACGACATGGCGCCAGCCTCTCCACTTCTTCAGCTTCCTCTTCGTCAAGTCACAGCTTCAACCTCCCATCTATGAAGCTGGGAAAGTCCACAATCTCCTCTTCTTCCTCGCCTCACAAGGCCAAGAGGCGGCTCACAGCAGCTGACAAGGGGACTCGAATGCGAGCTAGCGTCTCCCACGAGGAGCAGCTGGATGGGAATTCTCAGGCCGTCAATCAGTCCTTTCGCTTCCCGAGCGAGTCGTCTTCTCCGGGCGGTATACCGAGAGAGCCTCACACTTCCGGTAGACGCTCCTCGACTTCCCATCGGGGAGGCAGAATGGATAGATTGATTGCAGCTCGTGCGCTGACCTCTTCGGACGCTTCTGGTACTCCATCAAAGGCTGGCAACTCCCTGCATGACGACTCTGGATTGGGCCTCAGCTTCACTTCGACGGAGGATCAGGCAGACACTCCCTTTAGGCCGGGCGGCAAGTTCTTGACGGCAGGCTTCGATGACACCCCAGAAAAGGGCCTGCTCGGAGGCAACATGGGAGGGACTGGCTCTCTGGTCTTCGGCAACAGTCCAGCCCGAACCCGCAAGTCGACTTCTTGCGACAGCCTCTCCGGTACCCCTGCCCGACCCAAGCCGGCCAGCATGAATCACCGCGGCCCTTTTAATCCCTTTGGCCCTATTCAGCGTTCTTCTCTGGCTAATCAGGCCACTTTCACTCCCGGTGGCGTGGAGAGCGGGCCTTCTTCACCCGATTGCGGTGCAAGTCAGAGGACCATCAGTGTCCCCGAGGGGCTTGCATCGATGGAAGCAGGCGAGCCGTATTCGACTCCGCAGAACTTCAAGAACATCAAGCCATTGCAGACGGCATTCATGTCTACTGGTCTCGTCTCTAAGCGAACGCGCGGAGTAGCAACGGCCGACGGCGAATTGTTGCCGCTACCGCCTCGACCGAACTTTGGAGCCAATGTTGCAGTCGCCGCTGCTTCTGCTGCGACGTCGACTATGCCTCCACCAAGCATGGCAGCTGCGATGGGTCTGAAAGAAGTCGTCGCCGCTGCAGTCCGTCGTGCAAGCTTGGGTGGAATGACGGTGGGCGCAGGTGGACAGCAGGGTCCCTCGGTAATGCCAGATACTCCCATGAAGAAGCTCCCCGCGGGTGGACTCGCACAGCAATTCAAGGGCGGAGCCATTGGCGGCAGCAGCTCCATCGCAGGGCCAGCCAATCGTCAGCCACCCCCTTCAGTCTTGCGACCCACTGCCTCCAGTCGACCCTTCTTTGGCAACTTTTCCATGGCGCCTCCTCCGTCTTCCTTGAGCGCCTCTTCGTCCCTCACAGTGCCATCGCTCTCACCAGGTCGAGATTCGGTCAGTAGCGGAGGCGAGTCTCCCGTGCTCGGAGACACGTGCGATAGCCCAACGATGAATCTGGTTTCGGTCAGCGGAAGTGGAAGCGATCTCAAGAGTGGTCAAGACTGGCCTCGCTTCAGCTCCTTGCCTCGGCAAGACGAAGACCGTTCTCCCGACTTTGTTCCTACGCCAAGTCTGTCCATCTCGCCGTCGACAAAGGTGTTTGTCACGTCATTGCCTGCGGGGCCAAGCGATAACAATTACCTCTCGGTCAGCAAGAACACCGCCCAGGCTCCTGCCCTGGTGAGCTCCCGCCATCCTATGAGGCGGACACGAACCAATGCTATCCTCCCTGCATCTACCACATTGCATTCAAAGGCGGATGCCAGCAACACCGTCGGCAAGCCTGGTGATCGACCGGCCATTGCGCGTTCATTTTCTGAACAGGTAGGCGGGCCTCGTCCTCGCTCCCGTCTGGGCATGCTGCAAGGAAGCGATGTCAGCGAAGGCGAAGAGGCGAATGGCGGCGGATCCCTATCGGTACGTCCCCCCTTCTCACGCAACCGCTCTAGGCCTGGACTCGGTCTGCAGCGCAAGGCGTCTTTTGGCGTCGGTGGTGACGGGACCTTTCCCATGAATACGCCCACTACGGGCCTGTTCCCTATTCCAAGTACTCCTACTCGGGCAGGAGGGCCCATCAAGTGGTTCGAGGCTGCACGGCTGGGCACCACTCCTTCACCGCCTCGTCGGCAAGCAAAGGACTCTCAGCGGTACACTGCGGGAGGCAGCAAGAGCAAGGGCAGGAGCGGTACCTCTGGCCTGCCCAAGGACACATCGCTCGTCGCAACTCCGACTGCACCAAAGCACAGTGGAATCGGGCGGTTCCAGGCTCACTTTACACAGCTGGCCGTTCTGGGCTCGGGAGAATTCAGCGAAGCTGTCAAGGTAGAAGACAAGTCTAGTGGCGAGGTGACTGCTGTAAAGAGGATGAAGCGACGCTTCGTCGGACCGCGTGATCGTCTGCGTCACTTGGAGGAAGTGGACATTCTCCGACACCTCGGAGGGCATGCCAATGTCATCTCCCTCGTCGACGCCTGGGAGGAGGACAGCCACCTCTTCATCCAAACCGAGCTGTGTCCCCTCGGAACGCTCTCCTTTTTCCTCGAAGGCTATGGGTACCTCGTGGGAACGCTCGATGAGCCTCGTCTATGGAAGGTCCTTGCTGAGCTCTCGTCGGGCCTGCAGCACATTCACTCTCACGGCGTTCTGCACTTGGACCTCAAGCCGGCCAACATCTTTGTCACCGAAATCGGAAGCCTCAAGATTGGAGACTTTGGCCTTGCATCGAGGTGGCCAACCGTCGAGCCTGCGGTGATCCTCTCTGGCGCTCAAGTCGGCCCAACGGATCCCATTGCTGCTGGTCTGCCGCCTCCTGCTGCATCCAGTGCTACGAATTCGCTGGACCCCAATGCTACAAGAAAGGCAAGATGGGGTAGCAAAGCCTGCAACCTCGAACGCGAAGGCGATCGAGAATATTTGGCTCCCGAGATTATCTCCCAAGCCCAGTACAGCAAAGCGGCCGACATCTTTAGTCTGGGTCTGATCATGGTCGAGGCGGTGGGCAATGTGGTGATGCCCGACAATGGCGAGCCATGGCAAAAGCTGCGCAACGACGACTTGTCCGACGTAGACTTTTCGATGATCTCCGTCTCCCTCTTCCGGCTGATCCGGTCAATGCTGTCTTCGCATCCTCACAAGCGACCCTCGGTCGAGGAGATTCTTCAACACCCTGTCCTGGCTGCTGTGCAGGAGAAGATGAGGGAAGGCTTGAGGGCTAGCGAGCTGGACCAGTTGCCCGATTTTGATCTGCCTCGCACTCGATCAGGTCTGTCTACGATTCACTCTTCGTCCTCCCTTGGCAGCGCCATCGATGCCCTGGAGGAGGCGAGCGGTGATGGCAACGGCGGCAACGATCTAGCCGACAGGAGCTCCTCTTCCATTGCTGCCCAGGTCGCACCGGACACGCCTGCTCTGTCGATTCGCGGTGCGCTGATCCAAGAGGACGACTTGTTCCTCTGCACCGTTCTTGCCCACGATCCAGACCCGGAAGCCCGAGAATTTGCCGCGAATGAATGGACTGGCGACTCGAGTGGGGAAATGCTGGAGAATTGGCAAGAAGATGAAGGGCATGGTGAAGCCCATGGCCATGGCCATGGTGGGAGGTATGGATACGGTATCATGGGCGGTGCGGGAACAGGAGCAGACGAGAGTGCCGTTCTCGGACTGCACTTTGCCGACGAGACTCTGGCCGAAGAGGACGAGGGGGAGTATGACGAGCACTATGGCTCGAGGAGAGGAGGAGAAGAAGACTTTTCCATGGACCTGGATGAGGATGAAGATGCAGACGCCTTCTCGTAGAAGCACAGTCTAGGGACATGAGTATGCCATTGGAATACGTCGTCTCTCCTCCTTTGCACGCTCGCACGCACGCACGCACGCACGCACTTGTCAAATAGCACTTGTAGTTTCTGTCCCGATCCCTTCTCTTTCCCTTGCTAGCCCTCTCTCTATTCACTTGTGCTCCATTCACGCATGTCTTCAGTCAGTCATTACCACCTCCACCACGCATGTACAGACATTGGTCACGGAACTCCCCTCTTGAGTAATATCATTGCAGGCACGCCGTCTAGAGCTATTGCTCCTCGTGAGTCTACATTCGTCGTCTGGCGTGCGTGTACGGTATTGCGGTGTGGCGGTAGAAGATGTCCGACGGTCGTCGAATCTGGGCTGCTCCACATGAGCGGATTTGCCACGTGGGAATCTCCGGAAAAGTCCCTCTTTCCGCTTCCTCGTACGAAATGGCGAGACCAGAGTGCACTTCTACCTCGTCCATCTTACCACGTATCCGCACACTCGACGAATCTCTTCTATACACTTACCACCTCTACAACTACCAAAGATGGCCAACAACGCCAACATGGATGCCCTCCTCAAGTGGTCGATGCAGCAGCAGTCTTCCGACCCACAAGCCCCCACGCCCTCGCAGCTAGCCGAAGACATCAAAGCCGGCAAGAGGCCAGATCTGGACCCAAAGGTTCTCGAGGCAATGATGGGCAAGAGTGAGGCGACGATGATGCAAGAGGAACTTAGGGCCGCTGTGGACTTCCAGAGGAGTGAGGATGATAGAGAGGTCGCGTTGGACAATTTTGAGATGGTGAGTCGAGCACAGGAGAGGCGAGGAGCAGTTTCAAAGGGGAGCGATCACATGCTGACACGTCGTGCCACCACTCGTTCCCAACACCTCCCACCCACAGCTAATCGAATCCATCGACAACGCCAATTTGATCACCTCAATGAAGATGTGGTCTCCCCTTCTCGCCCTCCTCTCCTCTACCTCCTCCTCTCCCCGCCTGCAAGTCGCCACCCTCTGGATTCTTGGTACAGCTTGTCAGAACAATCCTTCTGCGCAAGATGCACTCCTGCACGCCCATTCCACACCCGAAGGTGCAGGTGGGGAACAGGCTCTGGACCTTATCCTAGCCATTCTGAGGGATAGTCAAGACATGGCAGTGAGAGCAAAGGCAATGTATGCCCTTTCAGCCCTGCTGGGCCACCATCCCCGTGCCGTCAAAGCCTTTGGCGAAAAGGGAGGCTACGAGGTTCTCAAGGGAGCGCTCAGAGACCCAAGTATCAACATTCGCCGCAAGACTGCATTTCTCATCAATTCGCTTCTGTTGCAGGACGACTCGGCAGCACACGCTGCAGCCTCTGCGCCACTCCTGCTAGGTGCTCCCCCCGCTTCGGGTTCGGGTTCGGGCTCGACTTCGACTTCGACTGCTGCTTCGGACGATCTGCCCACCATAAGTACACCAGGTGCAGCAGCAGCAGCAGCCGCGACGGCGAGTAGCGCCACTTCGTCGCGAGCAACAGGCGTGACTCTCCCTCCCGGCTCAACACCCGATCGACCCGTCTCGAATCCTGCTCCGTTGGAGAAGCCTCCCGTGACATCGACGGCGGCTTCGGGCATCGTGCACCCGAGTGTACCTGCTGCGCTTCTCGCGTCGAATTTGCTCGTGACGCTGGCGTATTCGCTGCTCCCGAGCAGCTTATCCAGTAGCAGTAGTAGCAGCAGCGGTAGCGGTAGCGCCAGCGCCAGCGGCAGTGGCAGTAAAAGCCAAAGTGCAGGTGCGGAAGAGGAGGACTACGCCGACGCTCGAGTCCCCTCGCTTGGCCTGGACGGTGACGGGGAAGAGGCGCGCACCGATGAAGACTATGCGGAGAAGGCTTTGCGTGCTCTCCTCACCTTTACGACTCGATTGGAAGAGGACAAGCAGCTTAGCGCAAAGACGCGATTGAGCGAGGTGGCTAGGAGGGGTTTAAGGGAGGTCAAGAGCAGGATGAGTGAGAGTGGTAGTGGTAGTGGGGTGGAAGGTGAAGGGGAGTGGGATTGGAAGAAGTTGGGGTTGGAGCAAGTGGATTGGACTGAATTCGAACGTGCTGTTGAGAGGATAGCGGGACAGTAGAGTGGGTAGGATGGACCAAGAGCGACAGCGCAACCTCCCCTAGCTTCGCTTGCATTCACTCACCTCATGAAATGATAGAAATCCATTAGAGGAGCAGAGCATAGCATAGCAAATCAGACAGTTCAATTTTCATCTCATCCCATTCCACACTCTATCCGCTCAACTTGTGTTTATTCCCTCTCCCCTCTCCTCTACCCCTCCCCCACTTTCACTCAAACCCACTCCCCAACGTCACCCCAACCTTTCCCGCCACGATCATCCAAGCAGCAAACGCTCCCAGTACACTCAGATCCACTCCCAATAATGTGATCCCAGCCAGCATGTAACGCGGTGCCCAAATCTTGAAGAGCATGAGGTGACGACGGAAAAGGGTGGCAAAGAGGGCTGAAGACAGGGTGAGGAGAGAGGTGCTGAGTAGGAGGGTTAGGGAGGAGAGGAGGAGGGAGAGAGGGGTGCGCATGCGCTGGGATGGTGCTTGAGGAGGCGCAGATAAAGGCTGTCCGGCTTGACCTTGTGCTGAGCTTGAGGCCGATGGCGATGCCGATGCCGAGGTAGGTGGAGGGGGAGGTGCAGCTCTTGGCAATGGTGCCAAGTTCCAGCTAACGAGGAGGGGCAGCGCCAGTCCCGATCCCAGCAACACCATCGGAGCAAACGAATTGAGCACCACCAGCAGCGGTGACCAGGGGTAAGTGACGATTTCCCAACCAATGAAGGCGGAGCGCCATTGGATGGAGAGGAAAGTGGCTTGGTGGCCCGTGGAGAAGAAGATGAGGTGGGAGAAGAGATGAAGGGTGACAATTTCGAGGGTGCTGGGTGTGCGGGTCGAAAGACTGCTTCGATTGTTGGCGCTCGCGCTGCCGGTTGCGGTAGCTGCGGGACCGATGAGTCGCTCCAGGGCTAGGAGATCGCGCTCTGCATCTCCCACTTCGGCGAGGAGGATGAGAATGAGAAACGTCGCGCCGAGCGTCAGCTGGCCTGCAGGAGGGGTGACAATCCAGCAGAGTGCCAGCGCGAGGGAGAGGAAGAGGAGGTAGTTGCTGCCAAAGGCATTGGAGAAGCCCAACAGGTGCACTTTGCGCTGCGCGGGAGCTTGATCTGCCGTAGTAGCGGGGGGAGAGGGTAGAGGTGCTGAAGTGGTAGAAGAAGAAGTAGGGCGAGGGACAGCGCTCGGCTCTTCTTCTTTGACCTCGAGGCAGAGGGGAGCAAAGAACCAAATGGCCATTCCGATGAGCACGACCAGTGCAAAGTCGACTCGAGCGATGAGGTTCTTGCCCCACTGGAGGATTGCTCCTTTGCCGGCCTGCGCAGGAATTGCTCCTCCGTTTGCTACTCCTGCCGCAGATGCTGCTCCTCCTCCGACATTGCTCACTAGTCCCTCACCGATCCAATCAATGATCCACCACCCGCTTCCGAGCATCAAGCTAGTCCTGAAGATCCACTCGCACCAGAACTTGACGAGGCCGGTATCGCTCTTGCTCTGTGCTAGACTGCTTCTGAGGATCAGAGGTAGAAAGTACGAAGAGAGGACATAGGTCATGGCCAGAATCGACAGAGGTGCGACGCAGGACAGAGTGGAAGTCGCAGGGTCTAGGAGGACCGAGAGGGGTCGTAGGTGGAAGGTCGACGAGGTGCACAAAGGCGCTTGCTCTTCTCTGCAGACATGGATCAGCTTCACCAGTCGGACGAGGAGGACAGCTCCGCCCATGAAGTATGGGATTCGCTGTCGCGAGCGTGTAGCGATGGCTCTCGGGCTGGTTGCTCCCGCCGCTGCCGATCCCGCCGACTTGCCTTGCTTTTCACTCAGCTCAAGGAGCCAAGAACCTTTACTGTAGCCAGCCCAGGCTCGATAGAGGAGTACAGAGACCAAGAGGGCGTGTACAATCGAGTCTTCCCATACGACGAGGCTGTTGGAGGCGAATATGAGTGAGTGAGCCAAGACTGGTGAGAAGGCGAGGAGATCCTTGGCCCAGCTGAAGCCAGTGTGAGGAGTGGTAGTGGCTACCGCTCGCTCGCCCGCTCCGCTCTTTTTTGCTGCAACGCTTCGAGCAGAAGCAAAGCTTCGAGCAGAAGAGGCTGACTGGTAGGCCTGCTTGACCTCCTCTGCCGTCTCCTGGGTTGGCGGGCCCTCCCCCTCGCCCAGGCCTGTGAAGCGGGAGAAGATGACCGCGACCTGCCCTCCGAAGATGGTCGCAGAGGTAATCGTGTGGAGGAGACTTAGCCCCTCCGTCGGCAATACGGGAATGGTGACAACCGAGCCCAGCCCTCGAAGCAAGGCGGAAGCGATGCCCAGGGTGACACCTCCCACGCCAAAGTGCTTACCCACGCGACGAGCCAGATCGTACGTCTTGACACCGTTCCTCCTCGCCAGTAAGATGAACTTGAGCACCATTGCAATCGAAGCAATGAGGAGAATCAGACCCAGCACGATCTTGACATCACTGAAGACGGCCCAAACACTTCGAGCGCGATGCAGCGCCAATCGGTTGTACGTCTGATAAGCCACTAGGGCCCTCCTCCTCGTCTGGTAGTACTCGTCTGACTTCTTTGCCGGCTTCGACAATCCCATCGCCGCTGCATCCAGCTTCAGCGCCTTGAGGTACGTCGCTTCGAGTTCGGCAGAAAAGGCTTGCAAGTCTGGACCGGACGACTTGAGGTAGCGTCGAATCTGCCTTGCATTGATGCGCAGAGCTCGCAGCAAGCGCGAGGGGTCCTCTCCTCCCGAAGGGGTTGAGGACGGGGGAAAGAGCTCGGGTGTGACGCTTCCCAGATTGCCAAAGGGTGGGGGTGTGCCGAGGAGGAGAGAGAGCGAGGGGACAAGGTCGACTTGTGGAATGGAGCGATGCTTAAGAAGCGACCCGAGGGGGGGAAAGAATCGTTTGGCGGGGGGACCTTGATGTTCGGAAGTCTCCGAAGCTGCGCTCAATGCCTGCACATCGCGAGTGAATTCATCAAGCTCGGTGGTAGTGGCAGAAGAGGCGCTGAAGCCAGTGGAGCGCTTTGAATAGATCCAGAGACCCGAGCCGACTTCGAGCTCGCCTTCTCCCCCATGGTCGCCCTGGGCGTCCATTCCATGATCTCCAGCGAGGATGAAGAGGGCATCTTCAGGCAGTCCGGCGAGTATCTCCTTTACGAAGGTGTCCATCTGGCGCAGCTTGGCCGTCATGAGTGGGTGAGCAGGCGTGTGGCGATGTCCAACGTGGTCCAACCCAAGCGTATGGGCGACGAGCAGCCTCCAATTCGCCAGGTCTGCACGCGAGGAATCGAAAAAGGGGAGGAGCTTCTCCCTAACCCCATTGTCCACCGTATGCAGGTCTTCGACGTTGAAGGAGTCGTAGAAGTGCGTCCAGTCACGATCAAAGAGCTGCGGGTAGACTTTCAACCAGGTATCATCTCCCATGAATCCCAAGTGAGCAGGCCCAGTAGCATTGGTCGATCCGTACGCCTGTTGGAGGGCGAGGGAGCGGAATTGCTTGAGCCAATTGTCTTCTCCGATGGCCTCGCCGCCAAAATTGGAGCCGGCGTCAATGAATGTGGGTAAGGTACCGGTGGTGAGACCTTTGAGGCGCTGGAGGGTGGTAGTAGGAGCATCGGAGAGGAAGTGTGCAAGGAAGCTGCCCGAGGGGGAGCCGGACGAGGAGGCGGTCCGGGCTTGTGTGTCGAGCTCAGAGGGGGTGAGAAAGTGAGAGTGGTAGTGCGGAGAGGGAGACCAGGCAGGGACGTCCGCAGACCCCTCTACGCTGCCACTCGGCGTTTCGATGGGAGCGATAAAGTCGTACCTGAGCGCATCGATGATGAGCACCACTGCCCGATCAAAGGCGGCGGGTAGAGTGCACTCGCCCTGTTCCTCAATGGCAGCGTCCCACGCCCAGAGATCGGCCTCGTCCGAGCTCCTCGGCGGCGCTGGTAGCGAGCGCGGGCTGGCAGTATCGCATGTGGCTACACCCGTGACCTCGTCTCTTCTCAGCAAGAAGCCAGATGTGAAGAGGTGGAGCCCTGCGAGGTGAGAGAGGGCGACGAGTGCGAGAATGGCAATGGCGCTCCATGCTGGGCGCGTGATGGCGTGCGCCTCCTCTTCTTGAGCGGAAGAGCCGAATGCCTCTTGCCTCTTGCGGGCTATCACCGAGGAGTGAGAGGAGTGGGAGGAGTGAGACGAGCCGGAAGAGGAGTGAGAGTGGGAAGTGGAAGAAGAGGGTTGTCGGTTGAGGGGAGGGAGGGTGGGTGCGGGTGCCAGCTTGGACTGCCGCGGGGGAGGCTGAGCCGCAGACATGGCCGGTGGAGAGGAGGAGGAGGGGGAGGGAGGGTGTGCAAGAGTAGACTGCTGTGTCTCACTCCTCTGACGTCTTCTGTGTGCGATGGGGCGAGTGTGAGTGTATGCCGTCGTTGGGGAAGACTGGCTGTGGGAAGAAGAGAAGACAGCTTCCACTTCTTCTCACGCGGACCAGTGTCCGTGCACGCGCCAGAAGAAGCAAAGAAGATGAGGCCGATGACTCTTGCGAGGCAAAGGCGATACCATAGACTACCACACCTCACCTCACCTCACCACACGATTCCTCCTCTATCGCTCTCCAAACGAGATGCTCTCACGCCTCTCCTTTGCGGGGGGACTGCGGTCGCCAGCTCTCACCACCATGCGTCACTCTTCTACATCCACAAAGGCGCAGCGCTTCGTTCACCCAATCGACCCTTCCACCATCCCGCACGGCTTCACCACATCGGCCACCTACTCGGGCATCAAAGCAGCCATCTCACCCAAACCAGCAGCGTCCTCTTCGTCTCCCTCCTCTCCACCACCGAAACCAGATTTAGCCCTCATCCACTCCACTACTGCCAAAGCTCCAGCGGCGGCGGGCACTTTCACAAAAAATGCATTCAAGGCGGCACCGGTAGTCCTCTCCTCTAAGCTACTCGTGCAGCAGGGAAGGAGAGCTCGGAGTATTCTCATCAACTCTGGGTGCGCTAATGCGGTGACGGGAAAGAGGGGCATGGCAGACGCGGAGAAGTGTGTTGCCCAGGTGGGAGGATTGCTGCAGGAAGGGGGAGTGGATCAAGGGGAGGCCTCGACTCTGCTCCTCTCTACGGGAGTCATCGGTGTACCACTTCCCATGGACACGATCAGCAAGCACATCCCAGGTCTCGTCACCGACGTTCAATCACCCTCCTCTTCTGCCTCCGCAGCGGAAAAGTGGCACGAAACAGCCCGAGCTTTCATGACGACCGATACCTTTCCCAAGTTGCGCACTCGCACATTTACCCTCGGCTCGAGTTCAACTACCTACCGGATGCTAGGCATCGACAAGGGTGCAGGTATGATCCACCCTTCCATGAGTGGGCCCAAGTCCTCGGGAGCGCTGCATGCTACGCTACTGGGCTTCATCGCGACTGACGCGCCTATTGCTCCGGCTGCACTGCAGTCTGCACTGGAATACGCCGTGGAGCGATCCTTCAACTGTATCAGCGTGGATGGAGATATGAGCACGAATGATACCATCCTTGCGCTAGCCAATGGCGCTGCAGCGGAGGGCTTAAAAGAGATTGAAGAGGGAAGTGAAGAGTATACTGCCTTTGCAGAAGAGCTGAGGAGCTTCTGTGAAGAATTGGCAAAGCTCATTGTTAGGGATGGAGAAGGAGCAGAGAAGTTTGTCGAAATCACAGTCAAGGTGGGCAGAGGCCGAAATGGTGAGCTCAACTTTCTGACGCAAGCTGACACCCATACTTGTCCTCCTTCTCTCCCCCCTCTCCACTTCTACAGAACGCCCCCACCCGTCAACACGCGCACAGTATCGCTTCTTCCATCAGCACGTCCGCCCTGGTCAAGTGCGCACTACACGGCAGCGACGCCAACTGGGGTCGAATCCTCTGCGCCGTAGGCTATGCCCCACTTCCGACCAATACAGACGGGGCGAATGAGGCTCAAGGCTGGTCGATTGATCCACAGAAGGTGACGGTCAAGTTCCTGCCCGCCAAAGGTGCTTCGCAGGGAGAGGAGCTAGTCGTACTCCTGGACGGCGCACCTCAAAAAGTCGATGAAGAAGCCGCGGGGAGACTTCTCCAACAAGAGGACATCTGTATTTCCGTCGATTTACAGGGTGGTCAGTGGTCTGGTGGTGGTGCTGCTGCTTCGGCAAAGCAGGCCACGGAAGAAGCGACGTATTGGACGTGTGACTTTTCAAAGGAGTATGTGGCTATCAATGGTGATTACCGGACGTGAGAAGGGGCAAGAGTGAAGAGAGGGGGAAATTGCAGAAGGAGCAGAGGATAGACGGTATTGTTGTTGTATTAGGCGCAGCCAATGGACGATGAAAAGACGGTCCTTCGACCCTGTCAATGAGAAAGAGCCTAGGGTCGAGGGCCGAAGCTCGCCTTGGCTTGCTGTGGTAGAATATAGAAGTACTGAATTATACACCCGCGAGAACATCAGCTCTGGTATCGATCCACTCCACTCCACTCCACTCCATGAGCTTGGTATCACTTGCCACTCCCGCTTTTACTACTGAAGAAACGTAACCTCTGCCCTGGACTACTATCAGCACTGTCACCCGTCCCACCACCACCACCACCACCGGACCCCGAGAGAGCACGACGCAGCTTCTGACTTCCGCTCCTGAAGAGGCCTGGAGACTTTCCGCTCGCTCGGAACTTGCTGGCACTGCCACTACCACTGCCACTGCCACTGCTTCCAACGGGTGTCGGTGTCAATGTAGTACTGGAGGTAGGGGTCCCAGTGGTGCGTCCAGGTGTGAGCTGACCCCCGGCCGAAGAGGTAGAGGCCTGAGTATGGACATTGAAAGAGCCATATCCCCTCCTGCGCTTGGGCGTCTCGTCCACCCTCGAGTCTCGCGCCGGTAGACCTTCCCAAACTCGATCTTCCTCTGCTTCCCGAAGTGCAGCTTCAGCTTCAGCTACATCTGCATCTGCGTTCTCATTCTCCAACCCATGCTCCTCTTCCGGATCTATCGGGAAGCGCCTAGGCGAAAATCCACTTCCACCTCCCGATCCAGAGCCTGAGCCTGAGCCTGAGCCTGAGCCTGAGCCAGAAGCGGACCGAATGCTGGAGCGCCGTGTATCGCTATCTGCCATGGCCATTGCGAGGCGGAAACGGGATGCATCGCGAGAGAGGGAGGTGGGGAGTGGGGGAATGTCGATGATCTCGTCCGGATCTGGTGCATCATCGTCATCGTCGTCGTCGTCGTTCTCATCGATATTAAAGTCTTCGTCTTCCTCGTTGCCGTCCTCTTCTGTCTCTCCAGAGCCAAAGATGTGCTCCTCCCCCTCCAGGTCTTCTGCTGCGCTTGATCTCCGTGAGATTCGAGCAGCATCGCTCTTTGAGCTCCCTGCACCACTCGACTGCGCCTCAAGGATATTCGATGCGTCAAATGTTTCGTTTCGTTGCGGAGAAGAAGACGAGGCGGGCTTGAAGGATGCCATTGCCGGCTCTGGTAGCGCTAGAGGTTCAGCAAACTCAGTCGCTCCATAGCTCCTGCTCTTCAGAGGCGAGACGGGCGAGTGTAGGAGCTTGTGACTGGCAGAGGCATCAGAGGTCCCCCTTTGTCTTCTGGAGGGACCAATGATCGTCGATGCTCTTTGCCCCTCTGCAACGCTCGTGTCCTCTTCGGGAGCAGCATAGAAGTCCTGTCCTCCTCCAGCCGCTCCTGCACTCGCATTGGCGTGTTGCTCACGTATTCCACGCTTCCAGCGTCGCATGTCTTCCATTCTACCCCTTGTGATGCCCGTGGGTGGTACTCTGATGCCCACGACGAGGACGTAGAGAACGTACTCGAGGACTGTGAAGAGGAGGGAGGTGGTGTTGAGGATGGCCAGGGAGGGGGCGCTGGGCAGTGGGAAGTGCAGGTGAGAGGGAAGCTCTTGCTGGTGCAAAGGCATTGATGCTGACCAGGGGCGTGATTCGAAGAGTTGGCCTGACTGAAAGAGGAGGTTGAAGATGGAGATGATCACGAGGGTGGAGAGCTGACAGGGAGCAAAGGGGCGACGGTTGATCAATGTCTCTCCTCTGAGGTCACGCAGCACACCTCACCCCTGCTACTCACTGCGCAGACGGTCGCAATGACCAGTCCCAGCTGATCCGTCTTGTTCGCAATGCCCACGATTGCAATGACCATGCTCCTCATCACAGCCATTCCCATGAGGGCAAAGACGAGCGCAGCTTGCTTGTCTTCCATCCATTCCTCCCCAGAGCCCTTGTGATCTCCCGAAGGGTGAGGAGACGACTCGTACTGTTGCTGGACATGCTCGAGGATACGCCAGCCTAATACTCCTTCGACGAGCATGTCGAGGAGAGCAACGAGTGGTAGTAAAGCCCAGAACCTCGGCCGATTCCTGCTGGTGCGAATCGGTGTCAGTCCACGAGCAGCAGCGGAGCGGGACGAGGTAGTCCTGCTTCTTCTCAGCGCTGAGCGAGTCGGGTGGCCAGGTGTGCTAGGCTCATCTGCCGATCTACGGGGAAAGGGAGCGCTGCTCTTACTGATGAGTAGATATGGCGAGTCCGGCGGGGCAATGGGCCGTGACTTGGGAGAGCGTAGCTGCTCATCTAGCGGTAGCTGCTGCTGCGAAAAGGAGTCCCTCCTTCCAGCCTCCCCTGCTGCGATAGAGCCCGGCCGAGCAGCATGAGAGTCGGCCTGCCACTTCCTGATCTCGTCTGCTTCCTCTTCCAGCGGTAAAGGGGCGGAGGTGAGCTCGCTGCGAGCTTCAGCGCTCATGTCCGTAGGGAGGTGGGGCAGACAGGGGAGCGATGGGACGAGGTGGAGGCGCGAACGGGCGCTGGTACAGTGCAGGCGCGAACGATGACGCGCGGGTGCAAGAGGTGCTGTGGTGATGTCTTCGACTGACTAGCGATGACTAGCGAGCATTGGGAAGCAGCAATGCTCCCTGCTGGTCGATCATGGGTAGAGAGAGATGGTAGTTTCGCTCAGGGTTCGATGGTCTCACGTCACGCGGGGTTCTCAAGCGGAGGGACGTGCGAGGCTGCAAATCGCCCAATCAATCAGTCTGCAGTCAAGGGTCGCATCTTTACGAAGGTGACAACGAGCTTACAGAACACTCATACCAAGCTCTGCCTCTCAGGAATGCTGATCGGTGGTCGTAGAGTTACAGGCAATTCTACGGGCACGCATCAAGCATCGCAACAAGTGTGAACATCACATTCGACGGCGGACACGGGCATCTCCTCCGGCAGGCAACATGGCTTCCTTCGCTCCTGTGCCTGCCCAATCTCTCCGCGGGTGATCCCTCCGGACTTCACCATTGCCCTTTGCTCAGTAACATTACTTCTTCCGTGTTCAATGGATCCACCCCGCTCAGTGTGGCCCTGAATGCTGTGCGCGGTCGCCTTCGCGCATCACCTTCGCCCTCGACTGGCATATATAAAGCCGCCTCGGACGCCCCTACTGAATTTCTTTTCTCTCCTCTCCTCAGAGCACTACCACTCCACATCTCATCTCCTCATCTTCCTCTTCATTTGACAGCTACACCCAAGCAAGGCTCAACGCCTTCGCTTGCCTACCATATCTTCGACCTCGATCCACCATCGACCTACTCCCACCTCTTGCCCCCAAGGTGCGGTCACGTCCATGGACTCGTCTAGCATGGAGCTTATCCATCTGCTACCTTATCAGGGTGAGTCCCCACCTTAGTTGCTTACACTTACCTCACCTCGACCCTCACCAAAGATCTAACCTCTCCACTTCCCCCTCTACTGCAGCATCAGGCCTACCCTTACGCTTACCACCCCTGTCCTTGACCAAGTAATGCGACACGAGCTTCGACAACGTTCTTTCGAGTGAGTGACACACCATCAGCCATCAATACACATGCAGAAGCTTATCGAACGCAGCATACACCACCTCATCCTCATCAGGCACCCTCCAATACCTATGCTGCAATGAGCCTAATATAACTGCGGTCCCTCTCTCGGAACCCCTGGTCCACCTTACCCTACTGGCAAAGCCGTAGAAGACATGGGCTTTCAACCAGAGCTACAAGGTAAGTTGAAGACGATAGCGAGGTGAGATAGTCACAGTACCTCACTCAGCATGTCCCTACGCCTTCTTCCCTCTACAGTAATAGCCGTCAATCTAGCGTCGATAGCTACTTTCGAAGCGTCGTGATCATTCCAAACCCTCAAGAGCCGGTTGTCTGCCTTACGCTCACGGATAACGATGTAGAAGGATCGCCTACAGAGGTCAGTACAAGGGTACTGGTAACGCGATAAAGTGGAAGCATTGAGACGATGCCTAACCAGCCCTGCTTGTATACGCTCTTGTTTCTACCTATCAGCCGCAAAGACGCTATCGACGACGACACGCAGCAAGGACACCTCAGCTCTAACCTCGCGGCAACACCAAGCCTACCGGTCAGCACTCTCATCGCCGCTCTCTGGCACAGAGCCCTTTGCAGAAGAAGAAGACGTACGTGTAGTCCGAAGAGTTGGAGACCAAGAGGACGAAGAAGAGGACAAAGCCTTCCAAAGGGAGCTACAAGGTGAGTAGTACTTGGTTGGAAGGGGATGAGATCACAGCACCTGACCACTACCACCACTGTCTACCAGCTGCCCTCCTGGCCTCTCGGAACGATGCACGGACATTTCTCGACTGCCTCTACCCGCCCGGAAATGCGGTGGCTGGTCCTTCTGGTTGCCCTCGTGAGCAGTCATACACGCCTCCTGCCGCCCTGCTTGGCCCCGCCGCCTCCGACGCGTCCCCTGCCGTCATCGGTCCATCGTCCTCTTCATCTGCTCTCGTCACCGGCGTCCCCTCAACTTCATCAACTCCCACCTTTCCCAGCGCGGCTCCATCGACATCGCCCTTGACTCTCGGTGGTGCTCCTGCTGCTGCTGCCTCGCCACGACAAGCTACCCCTGTAACTCCCCACGCAAGACAAGGTGCGCCTGCCGCTCCTGTCTACGGCTCAGCTGGCTGTCAGCGAGCCCGGAGACTGGAGCAATACCACCAGAGGGCTGAGGAGGCTCACGCAATCAAGGCAGAAGGCAGACAGGCACTTCGGACCGACCACGGTCTGCCTGCTTCAGCAGCAATCCTCCCCGTCACCGACGGTGCCTCCTTGTGCCGAGTGATTGAGGAAGAATGGGCGGAGCAGGCCCTTCCACCTCTGGCCAACCCAAGACACCTCATCGATTGCTACCCACTCCTCTTCAGGACTCTCGCTCGAGGCGGCGCGCTCGGACCCCTCATCCAGCGAGGCATCTTCGTCCAATCGACGTGGGATACCTCCGAGGAAGGCAAAGCCGTGGCACGTCAGCGCAAGCCAATGGCCACCAACACCTCCGGCCACCACGTCAATTCCTTCTACGTAAGGGAATGGGTGCCACCTGCCGGCGTCGACGTTGCTGACACCATGGCAACATTCGGGCAAGATTTCCCTCTCCAACGGGACTATGTGCAGAGCACTCAAGCGCACTCTCAAATTGTCCGCTACGTCGGCCTCTGCGTTGATGGGGAGCCAATGAGGCGAGTCGCAGAGGACGGTAGCGCGACTAGCGTTCACCAAACTCGCCTCGTCGAGTTCATGACAACACGAGCTCCCACTGAGCAGTGGAGGACATTCGAGATCCCCATGCTCGCGATGGAAGTGCCTTTGAGCACGATGCCGCTCTCCGACCTCTTGGGCAAGTTCCCCGAATTGACCCGCGACACCGCCCCGCTCGCTCTGAGGATCACTCGAGCAATGATTCTCAAGACGAACAATGGCCTAGCAGCAGCCATCGAGTCAGCTCTCATCCACGGCTGTCATCGTGGCTCGATCTGCATCAACTCGGCATCATACGGGGGTCTGGACACTCTCCCGCCCCTCCGCATCCCTCCTCAACTCCACGACCTCCGAGCTCAGGTGCAGAGGGCTTGCGGCGATGTCCCCTTTGCTCCGACTTCCCACTCTCGTGTTGACCCTATTCTATTCGGTCAGATGCACGGCTTCTATACCTCTGCCTCAAATGCAACCCAGAGCACGGCCTCTCCTCAGATCCTGGCCTCCAACGCACTATACGCTGCCATTCCAAGCCGCTGGCTTCACGTGTTGAAGGATGTCACGCTGGAGGACCTCAACGGAGAGGCGACCAGATTCGGCAACTTCGCTGGCCCTGGATTGTCATCATTCCGCAATGCATTGAGCTGGGCCCTTGGAGACCCTGTCTCTGCGAGTGGAACTGCTCGAGCCCGAGAGGACCTCGCACACCTGAAGACCATCGGAGCAAGTGTTGACCTCTGGCCGATGAGCAGGCAGCAAAGGGCGCGAGACGTAACAGCCTACGCCAATCTCATCGTCGACGTGCTCTCTACTCGAAGGCGTGCAGGTCTGCTCAACTTCGTCGCCATCCACTCGGCGCAGATGTTCCAGCTGCTGGTACAAGAAGAAGGTCTTGCTGATGGATCTCCTTTACGCCAGACTGCTCCGAGTCGTGTGACATCCACACGCAACTACTTGGAGTTCGCTGGCACGCTGCATATCGTGCATGTCGCAGGGTTCGCGGTCCCTGCCATCGCTTTCTTCCACTTCGGCTTCATCAAGTACGATGGAGACGCCGTCTTGTGAGCAGAATTGCACACGCTCACGCATCTGTGCACGAGCAAAGCGGACGCCAGTGAACTCTCGGCTGCGGACGTCATTGCTCGCACCAAGACGATGGCAAGGCAGATCGGGCTCGAACAAGTACTGTTGACTGTACGGACTCGAGTGCTCTCATACGTCTGGGCTCATAAGAGTCTGCAAGCCCTTCCCTCCCTCTTGCAGCACGCGCAAGCTGCTCCAGAGGCATTCGAGGCCAAAGAGGCCTGTTACCAGCGGCGAGGTACAGGACTTGTCAAGGCACGGAGCCGCAAGAATGCTCTGTATGCAGAGGCGGACCGCGAGGCTCAAATCGACACTTTGCTCGCCGCCAGCGCTGCCGCCGCAGGCATCACCACTGACATCAACGCAGTCAGTGCAGCAGTCCTGCTCGCAAGCCTGCCCGTCCCCGCCCACATCACGGACATCAGCGCGCAAGGTTCGATCGAGGCATGGAAGATCTGGATGAGGAAGAGGAGGACGGGGAGCAACGTCACGCAGGCCGCATATGCCACCCGGTCTGTAAAGGGTGAGCAGAAGCGGCCTAACCGCCACAAGCGTGACCTTGTGACGCCGAGGATTCGGAAGTTGGAGAGGGGCCCGAACAAGTTCTGGGGGCAGATCACTGTGCAGAAGGCGAGGGATACCGTGGCCTCGGGGCGGCTCACGCGCTTCGGTTACAATGAGCCGACGACGCTCTACCGTTGCCGTCGCTGCTCATACACCGGCATTGTCAATGCCCACATTCCCTCCTTTCTGCACCTCTGCTCGGAAGGCGAGGTCATCGAGGACGCCCATGATGAGCGCTTCAGGAAGCGCCGAGTGGAGTCCGCGGACCATGTAGACAGACTTGTAGCGGAGTACGGTTTGCAGTAGAGAATGGAACGCACCGATGAGCAATGAAGAAGTCATAGTGACCAGCCGCCTAAGCTGACAACTACCGTGTTGCGTTCAGAGAAGCCTTACTTAGTCAATTTAGATCCAATTCACATTGCGTTGCTGAGATCGTACTTGTGTCTTGCAGTCGTTTGAAATACAGCAGCACGAAGGTGTGCGGTGGCGTGTTGTCTACGGCTCGACTGACGGCTGCAAGACTTTGCGTCGAATCACTTGCTTCCCACCATGAGCGTAACCTCCGAAATGCGCATTCGACGTGACTGACCACCGGCTCTCAGCAGTCATCTCAAAGGCTTTCGATCTCCATTCCTCACTGCCTCTACTCTCGTCTCTACCGGTGCTATTGTTACTCGTCTTCATCTTTGGCGACGACTTGTTCTCTTGGCGTGCGTGTCGCAAGGCGGAGTGACTGCCAGGATGCGGAAGTGGGGCTTGGTGCCGTGCGCCTGGAGGGAGACGGAGACACGCGCTGGATCAGTCGTCTGCACTCCACCACCACACCACACCACACACCACCACCCCTCTCCTCCTCCTCCTCTTCCTACCTTCATCTACCCCCTCCCCACTCCCACTCCTCGTCCACCCTCAGAGGGACCATCATCGTCCCCCGTCGAAGAAATGTCGCTTTACCGTAGTGGTTACCGGGAGCCCCTGCTATTCTTCCGCAATAGCACTCTTATGAGATCAGGGTTTGTGCTTTGCACGCGCACCCCTTGCTCGACTTGGTTTGACTTGGCTTGACTTGGTTTGATGTGTTGATGTGTTGGGCTGAGTGGCTCGCAACGAGGTAGGGACGGGAATTGTGGAAGAAGGCGTTGCTGCTTTCCGGCTTATTGTCTTTCTGTCCAAGTGGAAAGGTGATGAGGGTGGGGAGGGGTGAAGTGGGTGGGGCAATCCCGAGGAGGTGGAGGTGTCGCTACACAGTCTGTGGTACATACTGGTAGAAGATCGTGCAATCTGTTGGTGCTTCCATTGCCATAGGCGAAACGTCGCTGTGTGCTGTTTCATTTGGGTAGAGACTCTCTCGCCTGTTGAGATATTGTCCCATGTCAACACCATACTGCATGCCAGACCTCGCCAGACCGCCGTCAGACGAGAGAGGATGGAGATGCCGAAACCCCCATGTCCACTCTTCACCTTTCCACAGAACAGCGCTTCACAGCAGACACAAATGCACACACATGCGCCAAATCGAGTTGAATATGTGTCGTTTTTGCCGGTAAAGTGTAGCACGGCAGGAGCTGTAATGCTGAGAGAAAAGGGAGGGTAGAGAAAGTACATGAAACAAGAACAAGAAAGGGGAGGGTGACCAGACGAGTACGTAGCCTTCGATTGAATCGAGAGACGGCTACTTCGTGATCCCCCCTTTTTGCGAAGGGTGGAATGACAGGGACGCGCAGCTCGGCGTCAGCAGTGACAGAGTCCGACCGCTCTCCCCCACGCCCTCCGGTCCACCAGATACACCATCAGAACGCAGCCTTTGCGCTTAGAAGCGCAGAGGAGTGAACAGGTAGCGGTTCTTGCCCGACAGGTATCGCTCCTCGAACAGCTTCTTGACGACCTTCTTGGCCTCTTCCCTCTGCGATGGCTCCTTGAAGGTGTCGGTGGAGACGGTACCCTTGAGACCCTCGAGCTCGAGAGCGTAACGAGTGGGCATCAGGTGGTTGTAGTTGATGACCTGAGTAGAGGAGGTGAGGAAAGGTGCACATCGTGTGAGCATGACGTTCTGGATGTGTAAGGTGTACGCAGCAGTCCCCACAGGCATCCTCCATGCAGTGTCATGCGGCAAAGGCCTCCCTTGCCACGCAGCATACTCGGTGACAGCCGAGCGTTACGTCTCTCCCATCTGGTCTTTACCCGATCCAACCTCTGCTAGTGCCCCACCAGCGTCCAGGCATCATCTGTTCCTAGCTTCGTTGATCGCATCCCTCGTCATCCCCTTTGCCACATCTCCATTCGTGCCACTGTGACTGCGTCTGCTCACCTTGATGAAAGGCTTGACCTTTGATCGCTTGGCCAGCTTCTTTGCTCCCATCGACTTTGTCACCTTCAGTGGGTATCGCTCGATACCGGCAACGACGACGTGGCCGTATGGGCGCTCCTTGGTTCCCTCATCGTATTGCTTGATGACGATGACCTAGTCAGTGTAAAGAGGGGATTGGTAGAAGGACAGTGAGTCAGCATGATGTGGTTGGTGGAATGTGGCGTTGTGCGTATATGCCCTCAACCATTTCCCTGCTAGTGTCCATCGTGTAATCATGCCCTGCCCAGCCAAGGAGATGAAGCCGACCTTCCATGCTCGCAGAAGCTCATTGCTTTGAATCTGCTACCTTGTTTGGAGGCAGGCCATCCAGCGGAGATATCACCACCTTCACGCAGCCTACATCTCTTCAACGCTTTATGCTGCATGCAGGCTTCTCTCGTGCCTCCCTGGTGCCCTGACTAGACCTTGGCCAAGAGCTCCCTTGCTCATCTCCTGCCCTCGATCTCTGCATCCCCCGTCATAGCCAGAAGAGGATACTGACCTTCTTTCCTGCTTGCCTTCCACCGAGAACAACGGCGACACGTCCGGGCTTGTAGATCTGGAAGGAAGATCCGAAGAAAGAGGTCAAGGTCAGTCTCAACTGTCCTCGTCTGACGATACCGCTTCTTCCAGCAGAAGTTTCAAAACGTCTGTATGACTGTTTTGTCAAACAGCAAGGAGATGCTCACCCTCATTGTGACTTGAGTGTGTAAAGGGGAAGATGTAGAAGAGGGGGTATTCGTACGAGGAGAGTAGGAAAGTGGAAGTGCGAAAGGGCAAGCAGTCAGGGCCAGGCAAAAGCAAGTTGCACTGTCGCCGCGCCCAAAAACTCGACGCAGGCAGAGGCGCAGGGCTTTGCGAAGCGCCAGGCGGGCAGGGCCACAGAAGCCAGAGGCCAGGCGCAGGCGCAGGCGCACCAGGCAGGCAGGCAGGCGGGCGGAGAAGGGGCCTTGGGCTGGGAGCCGCACCCGCAGCGCGCGGCTCAACACTGCGTTCCGTTCCGATGCAACGGACGCAGAGGCTGCACTTCCGAGAGACACACTGGACGGCACGGTACAGGGCTTGCCCAGGCATACCTTTACAGCATCACATCAGACGCAATGCTAGCATGAACACAGAATGTCTATAGATTGTATGTAAAGAGCACGTGTAAAGATGATACGACCAGTGGGAAATGTATGCACAGCGAAAGCGAATATGGGCCGAGGCAGCAGATGGGCCCTTGTCTGCCATCTGCCTAGTCCAGGGTATGTGACATGGCTGCGACGCCATGCATATGCTCGACTGGGTCTCTATTGGGTATAAGTGATGAGATATCTCTCACTCTCTCTCCGGTTCTACGCTCAAGCGGCTCCTGCGCCTGGCCCCAGACTCGACCTCTTCGCCGGCAATTGGCCTGCCCCAGCCCCAGCCCCACCACCACCTCCTCCTCCCCCTCCTCCTGTCCAACCAACCACCTTTCTCTTGGCAACTTTATCAATCTCCTCTCTCCACAGCTTCCTCTCCTTGGCAGCATTCTTCCTCGAGCAAGCAGCCGAGGCCATATCCGAAATGGACGTGCGTGGGGTTCCCTCGCCGACCAAGCCAGTGCCACTGAGGGCCGTTGCGGTACGTGAGAGAGGCAGGCCGGTAGGGCCAAAGTCGAGCGAAGGTGGACGTGTGCCGTGCATATTGTATGCCGATTGAGAGTTGGAAAAGGCTAGAGCTTGCCGGCGGACATCCATGCTACCGCGAGGGGATGCACTCGGTGTAGCCGACTCTGTCTTGTTGCTTCTTCGTGGCTTGTTGTCCTCTTCGAGGAGAAAGGCAGGCGAGGGGCGGGTGAGCACAGGTGCTGTGTCGGACATGGTTACGGCCCGATTCTGGACCTTTGCCAGAGGCGGGGCGTGGTCATGTCCCGAGATCGGTCCTGTCCGACGTTGTTGTTGCTGCTGTTGCCGTTCGATGAGCAGGGATGGTTCCCCGCTCGTGAGGACATTGGGCTCAGACCGAGGAGCATACCGAGGTGGGGCGGACCGACGCTTTGCTGCCTTGTGCCCACTGTCGCTCTCTAGAGGGGTAAGTGCAAGTTCCCCGTCCAGTCCGTGGCAAGCCTCCGTCTCTCCATCATCGTCATCCACGTGATTCAGCAGTCCCTCTCCAGCCTTCTCGGCAGCCTCTGTAGCGCGCCTCCTCCTCCTCTCTACATCCATTTGCTGCCTGAACCTCTTGTCCGGTCTGTAGCGCACGGGGAGGATCCCTTTGCTCTCTCCAGCTCCAGCCGATGGGCGACTATAAAAGGCCGAAGGAGAATCGAGGTTCAGGAGGGGAGCGACGTGGAGGTTGTAGAAGTTGTTGAGGAGGGAAGAGAGGTGCCATGCTAGCGAGGAGATGAGAGAGGAGAGCCGTGCGAGTGGGGAAGCGTGAGATGCAGGGCGGGAGGAGACGCACCCCATGGGGGGCTAACGGTATTGCAGAGGCGAAGGTGAATAGGGGTATTCCGAGGAAAGCTAGGCGAAGATGAGGTACGGAAGCAGAGGCAGTGAGCAGAGAATGGGATGGGAGAATGGTACGTAGGGATGGGAGCAGAGAGACGAAGATGCTGATGATAGTGATGCTGGTGATGAGGATGGAGTATCACAAAGTTTCCTGACAATATTGAATCGAAGTCTCTCTCTTGCCCCCCCTCCCCTTCTTGAGTGTGATCAAACACATTCAGAGTCCCGCGTCGAGCATCTACATCGACGCCCGGCGGGATGGCGCCCCCCCTATTTTCCATTTCCGCTCAAACTCCAGGCCCCGGGCGCGGGGCGAGGTGACGTGCGTGGTGTGGCGCTCGCATGGAAGCTGCTGCAGCCAACAAACGCCGCCACTGCCTCGGCAAGCATCACTGGACAGAGACAGTCGATCAAACCACGCTAGACTCAACTATGATACGATTTGAATTGATGGTGACAGCGAATGATCCCAAGAGTCTGAAAAGCCAAGGAGGCAAAGAAGATCACAAGCGCTTTACACATATTAGAAGCGAGGCAGGAAAGACGGAATGTCAACTAGAGGAACCTGATGAGAACGACGAGAAAGAGTGACCTGGAATCCAGAACAGCTCGACTTGTAGAGGTCATGGTCTCCTCTCACAATGGGTATACTGTTTCCGTAGATGTGCGTATCTGTGCAAACCAGCCTTACATGACGTGGCCAGAGAACTTGCCGCTGCCACTAGCGGGGCTTTCACTCTTTCCATCTTCAATCTCTGCACCTTCCTCCCTCGCCTCACCTGAGATGCCCTCCAGCTGGTCCTTTTCGGCCTGCTTCTCCCCGCAGGTCCCGCTTTCGGGCTTGAGATGGCGATGCAAGGCATCCAATCTGGCAAATTGACGGCTACACCACTCGCAATTGTGCTTCTTGACGCTCAAGTGTAGAGTCTCGTGGTGCCGTTTGGCATCGTGCGCACGGGCGAATGCCTTGTCACAGTCTGGACACTTGAACGGCCTCTCGTCCGCGTGGGACCTCAGGTGGGACCTCAAATTGAACTGACGAGTAAAGTGAGAGCCGCAGCCTGGCACGGGGCACACAAAGTGGGCGTCATTCTTGCGGCGAGAGGCAGAGGCAGCTTGTGTGGCAGAGGTCGTCACTGTCTGCACCGGCGGGTTGACCAGAGAAGGCGAGAGATTGACATTCGAACCCGAGCTGGAGTTAGATCCAGCACCGGCATTGCCTCCACGACTTCGTCGGGGTGGCGCGAGGGCGCCATACGTCGGAAGCGCCGTCTGTGAATACGCCGAGGGAGAGCCGCCGCTTCCAGGTGAACCAGCCGTTGCTCCGTTCGAAGAGATGCCAGGAGAAGTGCCGGGAGATGGTTGCAGGCCAGACGGCTGACCTTGCATATCACTAGAGCTCCGTCCTTGGAACATGGCAGGGGAAAAGCCCTGGCCTTGCTGAATCTGCTGTTGAGCGCCTCCCGCGCGAGGGTGCGGAGGAGGCTGCATCGAACCCCCATGACCCGTTGCAGGCAAGTCCGACAGTGACGAAGCAAAAGAGCCATAATCGCTTTCACCCTCGCTTGAGCCAAAGGAGTGATGTCGATCGTGACTGGTCTGGTATATTTGTCGAGGCTGTGAACCTGGAAGACCTCCGTGAAAGCCGGAGCTGGCAGCGTGTAGCGACTGGCCCAAAGAGCCCATCGTTGCTCCAGGAGGCGCCAAGGAGCCATCAGGAGCAGTGATGTAGCGCAGGAATTGGGTGGGATCCCGCGCGTGAGCAGCGCCTGTCAGGTCTTCGCTTTGGACGATGCGATGGTGGTGATTTTGGCGCTGATTGGAGCGGCTACGGCTGCGCTGCATCGAGGCAGAAGCAGCGTCCTGAGGGACTGCGCCGCCACTGGCAGCGCCCTGATTGCCATTAGGGAAACTCCAGCCTGCTGCGCCTCGACTGGGACCGCCAGTTGCGCTACCCTGTTGAACGATGGAAGCTCTCCTTGCCGATGCAGAGGCATAGGGCGTGCCAGCGCCTGCTGTCGAAGCGTATGCCGCGCTGCGAATCGGCCCTACACCTCCATTCGCATTACTCTCGCCCCAACTGACGCTACTGCTCCTACTACTCGAGCCTCCGCCACTGGCTGCACTCGGATGCAGGTCCCGGTGTCCGTCGGCCTGATGTGCCCACTGCTGGATGTTTTGGCCGAAAGTAGGCACTGGCTGATGCTGCATAGCCATCACCGTCGTCGACCCATCCACAGTCAATTGCTCTCCGGATTTGCCGTCGACTCCATTGAAGTCCAGGCCCAGCTTGGCTCCGAGTTGAGCAAAGTCCTCTCCTTCCAATCCAGTCCCATTGCCTCCACTACCGCGACCCTTGACGGTCACTGCCGAGGCCATGGGTCCGGCATCGGAAGCGCTCCTCTTGCGCATGATCGAAGTTGTGGGACTGTCGTTCATAGGACCAGCGTAAGCCATGTTGACATCCAGCTTGAGGTACTTTTTCAATTTGTCAAAGGAGTCTTCGCGAGTGGGGTTCCGAAGTGGGGCATCAGGTCGAGGGATGTTTGTCGAAGGGTTGGGCTGGGCTTGCAGAGCTTCGGGGCTCCGATAGGAAGAGCCCGCTGCCGATCCCTGCTGCAAGGAGTCTGAGCCCCCACTGGATTCTGCCGAAGCTGAAGAAGGTGGCCAGGGTGATGTACTCGAGAAGTTGGGCACCGAGCGGTTAGGATGTTGCAAGAGGGGAGCAACGGGCTGGCTATCGTTGCCGCTCCTCATCTGCTCGAGAACTTGCTCGAATGTAAGCATGTTGACCGAGGGATCGAACTTGTCATTTATAGCTGTACCTTCGCCCATGGATAGGTCGTTGACGGCAAAGGACGAGAAGCCGTCTGACTGCTGCTGAGCGAATTGCTGTTCAGCAATGAGCTGCTCAAGGGATCCTTCTGGAGCAGAAGTGGCATCGTGGTATCCAGAGTGATGGCTCAGCTGACTGTGAAGCGACGAGGTGGATGATGCTGCCTCGGAGGGGTAGCCATAGACGTTGCCGTTGAGCTGCTGATCTGATGTCTGACCCACAAAGGGAGAGCCCTCGCTAAGTCTCATGTTCTGCAAGCCTTGCAGACCTCCCAAGCTCTCCCGCTGCTGCATCCACGCTGCACCTGGTTGCTGCTGCTGTGGCTGCCCATCGTGAAAGCTCTGCTGAGAGAGAGTGGTGAAGAGACTTGGAGGTGGGCTGCCAAAGTCAGAGCCAAAGGAGCTCGTCCGGTGGTGAGCAGACATTGCAGGACTAGCAAAGGGGCTAGGTTGGGCATTGTTGATGTTTGGCGCAAAGGGGTCTCGCAGTCCACTGTAAGAGGACGCTGGGTTGCCGCTTGCCTGGTGATTCTGATTCGCGGCGATGCTTTGCGCGGCGAAGCTGCGAGTGGAAGGAGGAGCATATGATGCGGCTGCCATCATGGAAGGACCGCCAGAATAGGATGGGTTGGCGGTCAAGAATGCTTGTGCGGCCGAATAGCGATCTGCGCCTTCGGGATCTGGATCGGGAAGGGAGAGAAGGGGCGGGAGGTAGAGTCGTCAGCATGGGGATGGGGAGTCGCCAGAGGAGAAGCGCCCCTCTGAGAGCTCTGGCCTTCTGGCGCTCCTTTGGCCGTGCTGAGCCTGCTGCAACCGATCCTGAGACTCACCATACCAGGTCTCCCCCATGTCTCCGCCTCCAAAGACCCCTTGTTGGCCGAAGTGATGCGACCCATAGTTGCCTTCCGTCGAGAATGGCTGTGTGGTACTGGCAGAGTTTGTCGAGACTCCCCCTTGTCCGCTCATGTCCGTTGCTTCAAATTGCTTGGCGGCGACCTCTTCGTAGGTATTGCCTAGCGAGGTGGAAGGCGAGCTGCGATGCGGACTGGGAGACGTCGTGGATGGATACGCCTCGGAAGCTGGAGACTCGGATGCTTAGGGGCACAAGGTGATCGAGGATTGGGAAAGGGAGGAGGTCGAGTCAGCACAAGAGGCGAATATGAGAGTAGGAATGCCTTGACGGACGGGGAGGGACGTGGGAGCAATCAGGCACGCCAAGACTGAGCCTCTCGTACTCGCGACCCGGTATTCCGGCCCGGTTTAGCCGAAGAGAGACAGTAGAGACCTTATCTGCCTCGGTAAAGGCAAAGCAAAGCAAAGCCAGTGCCGATGTGGATAACATCGCGATTGCTAGTAGGTATGACTCGCTCGCCCGCCCGCATCGTGATCTTCCTCTCTTCTCGCATCACTCACCTGCTCCCCAGTTCTGAGCTGAAGCCAGCATGCCTCCGTTGGCTGCGCCTCTGCTCTGGTTACGGGTGTAAGAGAATCCTCCTCCGAACGGAGAGGATTGCGAGGAAGCAGAGGACGTCGAAGACGTCGAGGGTGAACGGACGTCACCGTCGGCGGTAGATGCAGAGCTTTGTGTGTGGTTGTCGAGGAATACTGGATGAAAGGAGGAGAAGGACATGGAGGAGTGGAGGCGCAGAGACACTACACTCGTCTATGGCCAGATTCTCCGGCAAGCAGCAGGAAGATTGGGTGATCTGAGCGTGCACGGAGGGGGTTGGATCGAGGTATCACGAAGATGGGTATGGTGAGGTATTGAGATGGCTGATGCAACTGCAAAGGGTAGGCAGACAGGGAGGCCTAATTTGGCGGATCTCAGAAGAGGCCCCTGCTGATGTGCCTCTTTCCGTAAAGGGCGTGCGTGGGTGCGTGCAGCTCGAGCTGATGCTGCGACGTAGAGATGGTGCGGGACTCGTCTGAGCTGGGGGCAAGCTAGAGGGATTCGATGATGGTCGTCGTCGAATGAGTTATGGATGTCGGTGAGGGCGAGGATCGTGGTGGCAAGTATAAAGAGCAAGGTTAGGAAGTGGACCCACGGGAGCAGCGAGCCCAGATGTGTCACATACGCCCCGCTGCCGCCTCGGCTCCCTCATTCGGCCGCATAGTGGGTCCCTCAGACACTTTCTGCCGACGCCCCCCGCCCGCGGGCCGGGGTAACGCGGACACAGGCAGGCGGGGCACACGCTCGCCCTGCCTCTGTCCTTTTTTCGGTGACGAAGGAGGCCCATCAACGTGCAGCAAGCAAATGCTGCAACACTAACAGCTTCAGCACCCAGCGCTGCACGTACACCAGCAGCAGCCTCGCTTTATTCCATCTCGCTTGCAAAAGGCTCAGCCAGGATGATGATGATGATGGTGGTGGTGATGATCTCGGCCTTGGGCTGCTGCGCTGATTGCGGGGTCTCACCCGCGGGCGTCATCTCGGCGGTGGAGCAGAGGCTCGGACAGGGGCCCACCCATCCAAGCGATCGAGAAAATAGATTGGACCAGGCGGGCAGGCGGGCCGCCGGGCTCCCCGTGGTCCTCCCCGGCGTTGCAACCGAGATTGCGCCGTCTCGGAGAGCAACGAGACAGCAGGCATATGTGAGACATCCATCGAAGCAGGTACACAATACGTGAGGGCGGGCAAGCGGGCGGGCGGTGAAGGGAAAGGGATCAGGGAGGGAGGGAAGGGGCACGCCCGAAGATGGTCGAGCGACAGCAATCCCAAAGAGCGCTTAGCGAGAGATCCCTAAGGAGGGTCTAGCAGCAAATCTGTCTCTTCACTCTCTTTCGAATCCCTCTCTCAAGGAGATTAGTGTGCTTGCCTACGCCCACGTCCGTGCTCGTGCCGACGGTTCACGGAGGAAGGTGCGAGGACAGAAGCGAGGAGAGGATCCGAAAGTCCGGGAACCTTCTAGCCTCGATCAGAGGGGCCAGTTGCAGAGATAGATTGCGCCCACCCTTTGCCCGTGAGGCGCACAGCCATTCGCCATAGCCCCTGTGAGCGCGTCAAGAAGCCACAGAGGGCTTAACATCCGACGATCGCTAAGCAGGGAGACTCTGAAGTCGACGAACTGCTTCGACGGAGCTTCGATCTGCGTTTACGAATCTAGCTACGATATCAGAGCATCTGTTTCGAAGAGTCAAATCGAGGGAATCATCAAGGACAGAGGTCTCGTGGGGAAGGAAGTAGTGGTCTACAACCATGCTGAGATAGCGTAAGTCCCACCTATCAACGTTCTGCTCATCAAGTTTGATTGACCGCAAGTACGGTCTGGTCAATTGGAGGAACTGCTCGCTTCCCTCGACAGCGACTCTCTACACGATGAGATGGTACACCACGAAGCTAGCTTCTCCTTGCACTTCCTTGCTAACACTTCCTCTCGTCTGTTATGCTGAGACAAGCGGGTTGAGGCCGTAGCTCAGCAGAGACGCAAGAGCAACTTAAGAAGGTACTGCGAGGGCAAGATTTCAGCTTTGGCTCTCTCCCTCCCTCTTTCGGCTTTCTCCATCCCTGACTCTCCACCCGGAGATCTCTTGCCATACTTGCTCTGTTTCAGACGATTGAGCTTGTTCGCTTATGACTGACGCTCGTCGCTGTGATGCACTGGTGCAACGATGGTCAAGATCAGTAGGAGCTGAGGAGCCTCCGTGACAGCGTTCAGTCTACGGATAACAAGGCAAGATGGATGTGTGAGGTGTTCGGCTAGAGTAAAGTGCCGAGGTACACCTGAAGCAGATTGAGGGTCATCGCTCACAGAGAGCGAGAGCTGTGAGGGAGATCGAGGAAGAGAGGATGACGAGCCCGAAAGTCCGGGCCAGGATCGTCGCTGTGCCTGTATCGGCTAACCCTAGCCAAGCCAACGCCGAGCAATTGGCTTCCCTCCCCCTCACCGCCGTCTTCCCCGCGCCTTGGACTTCCGACGAGCCGATTCCATTGCCAAGAATACGGGCTGAGCACCGGAGGTTTAATGTTCGGCAGTCGGCAGTCGCAAGGCGCAGATCAGACGCGATGTACTTTTGGACTGTAGCGAACTATACTCAAAGCGAGCGTCATATTCAGAGACTGTATCAGTAGGCGAGCGGATTTGAGACTGCAATAGCACGAAGACATGATGGCGGTTGCAACAGTATGAGTAGGCATCGCGGGAACTGCAGCGCCCATTGAGGCTGCAGCGGACCTGCAGCCTTGCAGCCTCAATGTTAAGCGAACCACACATGCTGCAGTTGCTGCGAGGAGCTAAGAAAAAGTCCTTGACTGGCTAGAATGGCCCAGCATCAGATCTTCAGAGCTAGTATCTCGAGGACAAAAAGCTCAATTCAGATCCTCCAGGACACAAAACAATACGTCGCCTGCAGGATTCGAACCTGCGCGTGCAAAGCACAAACCCTGATCTCATAAGAGTGCTATTGCGGAAGAATAGCAGGGGCTCCCGGTAACCACTACGGTAAAGCGACATCGACGGGGGACGATGATGGTCCCTCGGAGGGTGGACGAGGAGTGGGAGTGGGAAGAGGGGTACATGAAGGTAGGAAGAGGAGGAGGAGAGGGGTGGTGGTGTGTGGTGTGTGGTGTGCAGACGACTGATCCAGCGCGTGTCTCCGTCTCCCGCCAGGCGCACTGCAGCAAGCGTCGCCTCTTCTGCCTTTCCGACGAGGCAGTCCTCTTTCTTATGCGCTTCAAGAGTGGAACAAGCCTTGGAGAGCAGAATCGTTGTTGACGCTGCGTTGATTGACGGTGGCTGCCTCGCTTCACAACAGAGGTGACTAGGTGACTTGCAGATAGACTCGATGCCAGCCTGCTGCTCCGATTCGGTTCGATCTGATCCAGCATCGTCCAGACAGACACGCACCAGCATCGCTCTACTTTTCAGGCTGGGCGAGCCCATGTGCATCACCGCTACAGAAGAGAACAGCACTTCTTACCCTCTCTTTCGATTCTGACAAGTCGTGAAGCTCCAACTGACACCTCCAGACATTCTCCTTGTGTAGGTCTTGCTCTGACGATGCGCCAATGCTCAAGGACCCGACGAGGTGCAAGGCCAAGCGGTGTCGGCAATGGCCCAAGTGTTGGTTGCAACTTTTTAACGCTTTTCGAGGCGCGAAGGGCGAAATCAACACTTGCATCGCACTGCACACCACCCGCTTCCGTTGACCTCAATTCCCATCCACTCCACCACAATTCCTCCGATGGTACGCTCAGATCCTTGACAGCCTAGATAGACAGCGGCTGCTCCTCACTCGTGATGGCATCCTCGACGGTCCCTGGCACACTGCCACCACGAACGCCAGAGCAGCAGCAACAGCAGCAGCAGCCGTACCTGCAACCGCATCGGCAATGGTCGCCTCACACTACCACTGCCGCCGTGCCTCCTTCGCCCCACACCATCGACTCTCTAGCACGACAACTCTATCGCACACAGCTCGAGGCAGCTCCCTCGCCCACAGCAGCCACCTCCACGGCCATATCACATGGCTCTGCCCCTCAGACACCTAGCTCCCCTGGCAACGACAAGCCGCTGCCTGCCTTACCACCCGCCCGGACGCCCTCGCAGCTCAGCCATCAGAGACAGAACCAGTATCCCTATAGTCCAAGCAGTCGGATGCGCGTAGCTTCTACTCCCCTCATGAGCATACCTGCTGCTAACGTCGCTGGACCGTCCAGACTACCAGATCATGGCCAAGCGGGCAGCTGCTGGGATGCTCGACAGGTCTCGCACCCGCACTTCTGGCTACCGAATATTTCCCCCCCTCCTCAGCCTAGGCCAAGACCTAGCGCACCGTCTCCTTCTCAAAGCTCCCGTGAGAGGCTACCTCACATGCCCACTCTGGCCAGCTCTCATGACGTACGAGCGCCGCCGAGGAGACCACTTCCTGCGCCTCCCGTCAGACCAGCTGACGGCCCTACTCAGACTTCGATGGGCAGCTCGACGCACCTGGGTGAGAAAGCACAATTGATGGCCCAGCAGCGGCAGCAGACGCCCATCGTCCGGCAGCCTTTGCCACCCTCGTATGAGACATTGTTCGGGGACTCACTACCTCCCACTTCGGAAACAGCGGCTCGCCCTATCAGACCGGGCGTCAGCACTGCTGCACCACCGACTACCCCTGCCCCTGCCTTGATACGACCTCCGGTACCTCGTTCTGTCAGTACGCCTGTTGCTCGGAAGACGCCCGCTCCAGCCACACCCTCAAAGCGGAAACCTGTGCCATCGCTTGGCACGCCAACAACGTCTGCGAGCCCAGCTGCTGCAAAGAAGGGGTTCACTACCTCTGCAGAAGTACCACCGGCTAGTGGACAATGCTGGGGTATCAAGCGGGATGGAGGCAGGTGTACTCGAGCAGTGGGACAGAGCAGCCGACCAGCCAAGAGCCCTGGACCGGGCAGAACTCGACATAGCTCTGTCAGTCCTACAAAGAGCCCTCCGGCTGCGACCAGGCAGCAACAGCAACGGCAGAGGCAGAGACAGAAAAGCGCCCCTCCTGGAGCAACCTCACGCTCCTCGTCCGCTAGGCAGGATCAGCGCAGGGCACAGGGTAGAAAAAGTCGACCGATCGTCGTGGACGACGACTCTGATCCCGAATTCGAGATTACTACAAGCAGCGATGACAGTAGTACTCGTGTCGCTTCGTGGTCAGGGGAGGGAGACACTCTAGACGACGACGACGAAGCTCTTCCCCTCTACTGTCATCAGCATGCCAAGGAGATCAACAAGACACAAGGCTTCCACACTGCTTCTAGCCCAGCTCGTTACATCCCCTTTTCGGAGTATATCCCTGCGACAATCTCTGACCTCACCGCCGCACGCATGCGCACAGCGATGGTCGAGCCCCTCTCAGAGGCAGATCTAGCAGAAGAGGGATACATCTACATCTATGAGATCCTCGAGAAGCAAGGTCTTGGTAGTACAGCTAGCGGTCTCTCTTCTACTGCTGCCTCTTCCGCTTCACCCTCTCGAGCTGGGAGTAGTACCTGGCTCAAAGTAGGTCGCAGCGTGAATCCAATGGCCCGAATGGCACAATGGCGCTCGCAGTGCTCCTCTCGGGAAGCCCACCTGCGCGCTCTCCTACCCTTGCTAGACTCTGCCATGAGTCAGAGCATGAGCACTTCAATTGGCGGTGGAGCAGGAGTGGGAGCAGGAGTGGGAGCGGGAGTAGGGAGCGGTTCCGGGAGACAGGGCCTCCTCGTCGGTGCGGATCGAGTCCTAACGCGTGGCATCGTAGGCAGCCATCGTTGGGAAAAGCTTGTGCACCTCGAGCTCAGGGAAAAGTGCTCCTCACCCTCCTCCTCCTCCTCCTCTTCCTCTGCTCTCGTAGCAGCTGGAGAGGTTGCCGACAAGTGCAGGGACTGTGGTAAGAGACATCGTGAGATCTTTGCTGTGCCTGGCGAGATTGGATTTGAAGGCGTCAAGGAAGTGGTGCTGAGGTGGGAGCGGTTTGTCAGGGAGGTGCAGTGAATTGGAGTAGAAGCAGAATGTCAATCGAGGGGTGGAGAGGAGAAGTGCCAGTCTAGAGTCACAGCATAGTCATACCTTTGTACATAGTCACAATAGAACAGTCGTATCCTTGCATTCCCAAAACTTTAATCAGGCCCATTCGCACCCCTTCGCCTCTTTGGTGCTTGTGACGATGCATTCTATTTCTATGATGATGCTGATGCTTGTGAAGCGGGTATGGTAAGCCTGGCAGCAAACCAGTTTCGCCCTCTCTCTCTACCTCTCCCTTCTCTATTGTCTTTTCGCACAATCTCTTCACTTCTCAACCTTTGCATCTCCCTCTCCCTCTGCCTCCCCATCTCCACTGTCATGCCCATGCCCATTATGTCCATTCCCATTGCCATGTCCATGAGGGTGATGCTTATGCGGATGCACCCAAGTCTGCACAGTCTCATAAACGAGAAAACTGGTGCCGATACTGGGTGCTACTTTCAGCAAGTTGGGCCAGAGACCCCTATAGAGGCCTAGGAACCCGTCGGCGCGGAGAATGTTGCGGATGGCGTCAATCGCACCTGGTTAGCAAAGGGGAGAAGGAGGACGTGAGCTGGTGTGAGCGTGGGGAAAACAATCTACCTTCGAGAGGAGCAGTGCGCTACTCACTCTTATCGCTATATCCAAGCTTCGAGTCTTTCATCCCTGCAACTTGCATTCGCCGCCTCAATACGTCCAGCGGGAACGTCACTGACTGACTGATACTCCCCGCCAGCGCACCACATAGGAGCTTCCCACCGGTGCCAATCTCACCATCACGTCCCTCGGAGAGCGACGACTCGACGACGTACTTCCGCATCGCTTCGTACGCTGCAAAGTTGATAGCCACGTACGGGGCTACTCCCGCTGCTGTGGGGATACAGCCACGATACAGACCGCGGATTCCACCTTCTTCGCGGTACACCTTGGCGGTCATGGCCCAAATCCCCGGTACGCGCTTTTGCCGTTCGGCGATGACCGCTCGCATCTCTGATCTCGAGAGCTTCGGAGGAGCAGCGGGAGGTGGAGGGGCAGCGGCAGCGGCAGAGGATTTGCCGCCGGCATCGGGCCCACTGGCATTGTTGTTGTTCAGCACCTCGGCCTTGGCATCTGCGTAGAGGGATGCGCTGGCGATACTGATTCGTGCCCTGACCAAGTCCAGCGGGAAAGTGGCCACACAACTCGCAGTCCCTGCCATGGCTCCCGCGAGGAGTCGCTTGGCCGTCGTCATCTCCCCTTCTCCACCATGGCTAAGCTTGTCCTTTGCGATTTCGTACGTGCAGAATTGGACGGCGGAATAGGGGACGATGCGGAGGCAGTTGATGCCGTTGCCCCGCATGTACCCGGCAAAACCTTCTTCTTGCCACATCTTCACGAGACCGGAGATGACGCCATTGTACGCTGCTTTGCCTTTCCCCGCAGACGAAGGCTGCACTTGCATAATGACTGGAGGGGGGACGGGAGAGGACAGAGGTCAGCGATCAACGGTCGCCCACTGACTGCTCGGCCGCACCCCCACACTCACTCTTGAGTCTCTCCAGCGGTGAGACAACAGTCCTACTGGCAGCTCCCGCAGCTCCACCAGCGACAAAGTACGATATCAGGTATGCTCCGCTCACAGCCGACTCTTCCGGCTCGTCGTCTTCTCCGTCTTCGTGGCCATCACCTCCCGACTCCTCCACTCTAGCTTGTTTGACTCTCTGTTCTATATCGGACCGCTCTCTTAGGGAGGAGTCAATTGCCTCTTTTCCATCAAAGTCTGTAGTCCCTCGCTGAATATCCAATGCTCTGGCGAGGGCAGAGTTCTTGTCTGTTGCTGAAGATGGGAGGGACGTGTGGGCGGCAAAGGAGGGAAAGTGGGGAGACGAGGTCCCTGCGTGGTCATCGTCCTCTTCATTGGGCGAGTGAATGGATATTGAGCGTCCGCGGTGGTAGAAGCGAGTTCGCCGAAGTGGGGAGAGGGAAGAAGAGGAGGCCGGAGGGGTGAGAGTGGTGATCGCTCTTGCGAGGGGATGAGTGCTCGCGGCAGACGTGCTAGCTGTTGAACCGTCGTCCTCTCTGACCTCGCCCGCATGGTTCGAGAGCCGCGATTGCTGCGACCATATGAGACCGTGTCGATGCGATCGCGCTAGTGGGCGACGTTGGGGCGGAAGAATGGGTACCTCGGAGGAAGACGGGTGGGGTTGCGAGACTTGTTCCTGTACCTCAGCCCGACGCTGGGAGTGGAAGAGGGACATCGCAGTCTTCACCCTTGTGATGCTCTCGGAAGTGAAGAGTGACAATGGTTGAGATGAGGGCAGTGCTGCTGGTGCTACCTCGTTGAGTGTGCTACCAATGAAGGGTGAATGGTGACTCTGGTGGTGCCATGCGCTCCTCGGCAAAAGGGTCACGGCCCGGCTGGTGCAGCGAATGCGGGGTGGAGCAAGCGGGCCCAGCCAAGCAGCAGCCCTTCTCACGCGAGGCAGGCGCACTCGGCCTCGTCCCTCATCGGAAGGAACAGGGTGCACCCGAGGGGCTGATATAGACGAGCACCTGGCACACAGAGCTAGCAGAGTCAGTCACATCGCTTCTCACAGCGAGATCTAGATGATCAGCTGCTGATGTGAGGTGAGAGCACCCTCCCGCAACGTATACGAGTCATGGCAGAGCCTGCAGACGCAGACGCGGACAGGAGCAAAGGTCTGTTGGTCAGGCTGCGCAGGTGTACGTCAGCCTGTTCTCGTCGATCACCTCACATCCCACTCTCTTCACCGAGTAATTTGGTAGCTTGTCAGTGTGTACCTTTGCATGATCTTCTACACACTGAACCCTGGCAGAAGAGGTGTGACCTCCAAGTGGGGGGCGTGTGGGTGGCCCGCGCTCGCGCCTCGCCTCGGCAAAGTGGCGTCCCGCAAAAGTGCCGGAGATGCCGGTGTGCGGGCGAGCTTACCACTCACTTGCTCTTGAGCATATCCATTGCTTCCCATTTGCTTTCTAGAGGTAGACTCCCACCTCATATCAGTCTCTCCTTTCTGATTCAATCACCATGTCTGGACCTTCGGAACCCTACATTGGCAGGGCAGTCCCCTCCACCACTACCTTCAAGGACAACATCTTTGCTGGCAAGGTCATCTTTGCGACCGGAGGAGGAAGCGGAATCGTCTACAAGATGGTCGAGGTGAGTGAGCGGGCGAGACGGGCACTTCCATCAGCCTCGTGCATCTGATACTACCCCCTCTTCCCTCCTTGCCAGGCTGTGATGCGCCACGGAGCCTCAGCAGGCATCATGGGCCGCAAAGTGGATCGTCTCACCTCTGCCGCCCAATCCCTCTCCGACACCACGCGTCAAAAATGCATCCCTACTCCCGGAGACGTACGCAATTACGAAGACGTCGTCAAGGCCATCGAAGCTACCGTCAAGCAGTTTGGTCGTCTAGACTTTGTCATTTGTGGCGCTGCTGGGAACTTTCTGGCGCCAATTGAGAACATCTCTCCAAAGGGGTTCAAGACGGTCATAGATATTGATTTGCTCGGCACTTATCACACGGTCAAGGCTAGCTTGGACCACCTCAAGAAGAGCCATGGAGCTTACTTGCATGTATCGGCCACTCTTCAATATACCGGTATACCATGGCAAGCCGCGCCTTCTTCCGCAAAAGCAGGGGTGGACGCTCTAAGTCAGTCCATCGCGGTTGAAATGGGACCCTTTGGAGTGCGCTCCAACGTCGTCGCACCTGGGATGATCGCAGGAACAGAGGGGGCTGATCGTCTCACACCCAAAGGAGGGGAGGACATCATCGCTACAAGGATCCCGCTGCAGAGAGTAGGCGAGAAAGACGACATCGCCAATATGGCAGTCTACCTCTTTAGCGATGCGGGAGCCTACTGCACTGGTACCAAATTTGTAGTAGACGGCGGGAGTATGCATTTTCCTGGGCCCTGGCTTCCCTATCCTGACTCTTCTCTCGATCAGCAAGGTATCAAGGACCTCGTCATGGGTAGCAAATTGTAAGGAGGAATTGGTACGGGACGCGTACGGGGTCCTGGACACTCTGGCATGCGACAGGCGATTGGGGCTCGGAATGGAACCTGACTTTCCCTGTGCTGTGGCACACTCGAAGCGACTCGGCATCTACCTCTCTTCTCGCCAGTCAGACAGGTCGGTACAGATGCACCTGGATGATGATACTTTATATGTATTGAATGGGCAAGAAGGGCAGGTAGGAGAGGCGAGGCGACAGTACGTGTATAGATGCAGTGGGCAGTGGACAGACCCAGGTGACGAGGCCAAGTGAGAGCTTGGGAGGGTGTCGGTAGGCTGTGGGCGTGGGTGTTGGAGGAGAAAGAATCTGAGCGAGGTGGGAGGAAGACGGGCTTGGTTATGTATCCACCGCTGGAGAACAAAAGGGTGCAAAGTTACAGCGCATCACACCCACCCGCTCGAGCAATATACGGCTTTCAATAAGGTCCCTACTCTGCTCGCCCTGTCGGATGTGAATGGTCAGGGCAGGTCGGCACAGTAATGGGCAGCAACCGCGGCGGCGCATGATTGACGATGATTTGGTCGCGCGGCTGGCGACGCAAGGAACGTTCAGGGCGGTACGGCAGACGAAGACGACAGAGCAAAGGGGCATATCCTCCGATATCGCCGGACCTTGATGCTGAACCTCTTGTCCCATCTGATCCACTGCATTGCCTCTCTGATCCGTACGCCCAGCCCTGCAGCCTCGACTAGTCATCCATTCTCTGGGGTCATCACCCTGTGCGCGGCACATCTATTCAGCGAGCTCACGATATGGGTGGCTATCTGGTGCGTAGGGATGCTCTGCATGCGCAGTGCCAATGCATGCCGGAGGATCAGCGACTGACGACGTCTCTTCCTTCCTTGCCATGTCGAACAGGGCCATACCAGTCCTTACACCAAGTGGCCAGAAGTCTGCGCCAATGCCACCATCTCCTGCCATGGCAACGTCCCCGATGAGGTCTTTCGTCAAGTCATTGGCCTCTCCTCCATCTTCAGCGGCGCCGCCTTTGTTGCTCCCATCTTCGCACTCGTCTTCTGGAAACTTTTTGCCAAGTGGCTATGGCGATCACGATGGAACAGGGAAGAAAAGGCGAGCAATACAAGACGCATGAGGTGGAATATGGAGGAAAAGAGGAGGACCTTGGCCATGGGCAAAAGAATGCCTTGGTCAGCCCTCAACAGTCCTGCTACACCAAGACAACAGGGCAACGATCGTTCCCCCGAGCGCGGAAGAGCGGGACCGAGCTCTACAGATGGTAACAGGACACAATACCCGCCTGCTCCTCCTGCTCGACGTGTCTCTCGATACGATTATCTGGGCTCCCACACCAGGAGTCGCTCTGGCTACGGTGTCCGGCAATCAGTCTACGCTCTGGCAGGTGGTATAACACCCTCGGCCTCTACACTCTCTCTGCTCGGCCCTGCTCCTCGCCCTCATCAGAACAGTGGACTTATCATGCACAGCCCTTTCCAAAACCCCCACTCTCCAGGTGCAGGGAATGAGACACAGCAACACCCTCTCCTGCCACAACCTCAGTACGGACGACCTGCTCACGTCAATTCACCCCTGGCGTCCAGCGGCAACTACCAAATGCCACGCGAAGACGGCTTCTATGATCCTGCTACGGAGATCAACCCCTCGATTGTAGCTCGCCAGAGACAGGGGTACATCGATAGGGAGATTCCGAATCCCTCGGCGCCCGTCAATAGAAGACGCTCTGGCATCAGGGGCCTCTACCGGAACAGCACCCAGATCAATGCGGCTCCTCAGACGGGCGATAACAACGAGCCTGGGCGAGCAGAGGGAGACTTCAACCCACCACTGCCCCTCAAGCGCGGTTCACCACCTGGCCAGGGACACGGCCGCCCAGACTACGAACGCACCTTCTCGGACGACTCTACCCACTCGCTGTCCCTCTCACACTCGCAGAGCCATCCACTTCGATCAGAAAACAGCTTCTACTCCCGTGACTCGGTACAGAGCCGTGTCAGTGTTCGCTCTACACGCCATCTCCTCGCTGATCCACCCCGCAGGCAGGGAACAGGTGGGTTGACACTGGATGATGTAGTTCGAGAAAGCGCGCAAGCGCCTGGCGGTCCAGGCTCAAATGTGCAAGGCTCAGGTCCGGGAGCAGTACAGCCCTACACGGACTCTGCCACGCCCACTGGCACCGGTAGTAGTCCTCTGCGTCACTCCGTGCACGGTATGGGCCTCACGCTCGCTCCATCTCCCCTCACGACACAAGCCAAGCAGCAAGAGCGAGGGGAAGAGGAACGTCGCTTAGCCAAGGAGCTGGCACATACTTTGCGCTACGTGAACCATTCGCCCTTTGCGGCCGATTGGGGATGGCAGTGGCGTGCTTCAAGTCGCAGCTCTGGGGCAAAGAAGAGGAAGAGCTTCTTGGGCCGCAAGACTCGAACTCAGCTTAACGATCGTTTTGGAGAAGGAGGCACGCCACTAGCAGGTCAAGGTGGAGCATGCAAGCGCATCGAGGCATCCCAAGGTCACTGGTCCTTCGACGATCGTGCCATCGGAGCCGATCTGCCTCTCTCCGTCTCCCATCCCGGCGAGCCTTACAGTGCGAGTCCTCCAAGTCCATATCCTGGCGACAGCAACAGTTCGAATGGACACTACTCGCGTGTGGGAGATGCAAGCGAAGCAGGTGCTCGGCTGAGGAGAGCGGTTGCTGAATTCCATGGAGTGGGTGAGTCGGGACCATTCTATCGCTAGACTCGCTGGAAGTGCGGAATTAGTAGAGAGCGAGAGCGCTAGGAGTCGCCTGTATATACGGTACCATACTCTTCCCTGGTTCGATTGTGTTGTGTGTCTTGATAGACTCTTTTGGTAGTACTACATCCTTTGTTCGTCTCTGTTGTGTGATCGGACATTTTCTGCTGCTCCTTCAAACTGCAAGCCTTACGGTCAGGCCAGGAAAGAGACAGGTAGAGGAGCTGGAACGACAAAGGTACATTGCAGGGCCTCAGCAAGTCAGCCGATGGACAAAGAAGACGAGGTCACATCGCATACATCGCGTCATGGGTATCATAAACGATGATGACGAGCGGGCGTTCTTGTCGCACTTTCCTCTAGCCCTCGCTGCCCAAGCAATCTATCACCTGCCATCACCATTCAACCGCGCAGCCCGAATAGCAGCTCGCGAAGCCGACGGCGGGGGTCGACTAACCGTCGATGCGCTCGAACCCGATCCAGCTCTCGCACGCCCTGCATTATATCCCTCTCTGTTGCCCAAAAAGGCAGAGAATGAGCCACTCTCCTTGGCGCGATAAAGTCCTCCTCTGCTGCTGCTGCTGGTGCTGGCGTCGGCCGAACTGTCCAGAAGTGAGTCACCTGTTGTTTCTTCCTCGTCCTCCTCTTCTTCCTCTTCTTCTTCTTCGTCGGCTGTGAGGTAGGCTGCGTCACCCATTGTGGCAGAGGAGATCTTGCGCTTGAGGGCACTGGAGGGAAAGGCCGAGACGACTGGGGAGCTGTGACTTTTGGAGGTGGCGGTGGAATGAGATCGCAGGCGCAGTGCTGAAGGAGATGACTTGGAAACAGCCTGTCTTGACTCGACGGGCCCGTCTGCGGGAGCTCCATCATCGAGGAGCCATGCTGCAACAAATTGAGTCTCCTTGTAAGTCGCTGACTGAGTGTCGTCCTCCTCTTGGTACGATGCGGACATCACGAGGCGGGGTTGAGAGGCAACGACACCGCGGGATAAAGTAGCAGTATTGTGAGTCTCGTTGATAGCACTGACCAATTGCTGGGTCATGCCGTGTGACGATTGAGAGGCAGCTGCGCCATTCGTCTGCCCATTGGCTTGGCTTGGTAGTCCCTGCCCTCTCAGGGCCACGGCCAGAGCTTGTGCTACCAGGCTCTGGCACGCTTCTACCGTAGAGCATGACTTCATTCCTTGTTCCAGCGCAGTGAGGACGGTGATGATCGTAGGAGCTGATGGAGCAACAGACTCAGAAGTGGAGGTTGACAGTCGGCGGTGTTGACTTGAGCCAGGTGCCGCTACTCTCGTCGAAGCTAAGCCGACGATTGGACTATCACCAACACTGAGCGCCTTGTAAGGACTGTCGGCTGACTGCCGTCGGTAGGGCCCCCAGAGCGTGCCATCTCTCGAGACACGTCGACCGTACGGTATTTTGCGGCTAGGGGGTCCTTCCGGTCGCGAATCATCGAGCTGCGCTGTAGTGAAGCGAGACTGCGTACTAGAAGACGACCGTGGCGTATTTTCCTCAGAAGGCGAGCCAGGCAGTGGCGATGCGACTCGGCCGCTATCCCTGTCTGTTTCCTGCTCACGTGCTTGTCTTGCGGCTACTGTCGAATTAGAAGATAGCTCATCGCTTACAGTAAGTCGAGGTGTGATCTGAGAGGCAGCGAACGATGGCGTCGAGCGATTCTTCTCTTGAGATTGCCTCGCTTCACCACCGCTGACCTGACCAGACGATTCCTGGTAGCTACCTCGAATGATTGTCGGAGATTCAGGATATGGAGAGCGTCTGGTCAAGCTTTGCGAACGAGCACGCGGTGTTTCCCCTGCGCTTATCTGTGAGGGGATAGTCATGGTGTCTGCCTCTCCCGTGAGGGACGCGCCACCACCAGTCAAAGATCTGGCTCGGTCGAAAGTGATGCTTGAACGGTCAGGGTATGCGGGGACGGTGCCATCAGGAGCGACGACGGCCAGAGGACTATTAGGCGGGAACATTGCCTTCACAGCCGGTCTCGGAGTGTGATGCTGCTCCGAGGACGTATGACCGCCGTCGCTTGAACGACTGCCGGCGGAACTTTCCGCGCGACCCTTCATGGGTGAAGACGGCACAGCGGGTGGTGTCCCATCAGGACCTCGATAGGAGCTGGGAGGATTGCTGATCCTTGAGCGTCGAGTAGTTGCAGGAAGTCCAAGTGTGCTCCTCTTGGCGGCGAGCTCTTCCATCGGTTCTCTCGGAGTAGCAGCCAACATGGGTGATGGCATGCGACTACCGTCAGCAGCGTTACTGCCTCGCAAGAGTGCCATGTTGAGCGTGCCAGGTCGGGGACGAGCTTTCTTGGCATCATCTTCGTTGGGTGATACTCCGATTGTGTGAAGACGATTTGGCGTGAGAGACACTCGCATTGTTTGACTAGACATTACGAGTGCCTCGAAGTCCTGTGCAGCGAAAGAGCAGGGATTGCAGTCAGCAGGATGGCGTCAAAAGTGGAGCTGCCAGCTGAACACTCACATCCGACGTGTCTCCAGGCTGAGAAGACGACCTCTCAGCCGTCGGTGCCTTACTGCTAGAGCGACCTTTGAAGGGAGTATCCTGGCTCACTTTGAGGCTCAATCTCTTCCTGCCTCCGAACAACGAGGTCAAGCCCTTGTCGACACTACCACGGCGGGCCATCTTCGTACGTGGCGGGGAGGTGAGAAGACCTTCTCCGGTGGAGATACTGGCATCGTTGACTGGAGAAAAGGTGCCGCGGTTACTATTAACATTCTCTCCCGTGTACTGGCTACTCGTTGAGGTGGCGTTCTCGACACCATGCCCACTAGCGCTTGAGCTGCTTCGTTCTGCCATGGGAATCGAGCTAATTGACTGAGCCGTATCCGGGCGCTTGCCTCGAGATCGCCGAAACGTACTCGAGCTACCGGCTGCTTGGTCTAGCTCATTTGCATCGGGCACCTTCCAAGGTCGACTGGTCCTCTTTGAGCCTCTATGAATGGCGAATTCCGCAACCATGCGTTTCTCGAGCTCAGTCTTGACCAGCATCTGTCGCCATACAGTCAAGAGAGACTCATCTTCTTCAATGGCGGCCTTGAGGTCCGCAAGGGATGCTTCATCTGAGTTGTCTCGCTCAATGACACGAGAGATGTTCTTGAGGATGTGCTCTCCCACGTACTCGAGTAGGGCAGTGACATAGATGCTGACGCCGGGGGTGATAGTTGCGATGGGTCGTCTCTCGTCAGACATGATGTGTTGATCACCCATGACATTGTCGTCTTCGCGATCGCCGAAAGTGGAGTAGAATTCGCATCGGGTGCGTAGCTGTGTCATGGATGTTCAGCCGTCGTTGTCAGTGAGCGATGACTTCTGCAAAGCGAGCAAGGGCTACTCACAGCTTCGTAGGCTCGAGACACGGGAAACGCCTCTGTGCCATCCCATCGGCTGGTAGCACTCAGACCTAGGGGCACTCTTCCACCTTCAGCCTTCCTGCCCTGCATGTAGGTGCGCAGCTCCAACTCTGCCTCGAGCACAGCCTCTTTGGCCAGTGAATTGTTGTTCAGGACCTTGAGCAGACCATCCGTCTTGATGCGGTCCGTTGCCAAGGATTTGGAAGAGGCGACAATGAAGAGCAATAGCTCGTCGAGGATCCGATTGAGAAAGGAGAGAGTCTCTGCTTGGATGCGTGTCGGTCTTGACTCGGAAATGACAGAGTTGGCCGACCGAGCTGTGATGTAGACTGGTACGTCCGATGCCAGCATGGCTCGAGACATCGAATGCAGCGTCGCTAAGGTCGACAATTGAGCCATGTATCGCATGTCACGAGGGGAAGGTGGTGCGTCCGTCGCAGAAGGTCGGCCGTTGAGTTCGTCATCAATGAGAAGCCCAGATTTGTCGTCGCCGAGATCATCGTCGTCGTCATCGAGGATGTAGGAGTTGCGACGAGGCGAAGGGGTACGTGGAAGAGTGAGGGAGGAGGTGCGGAGTTGTGGTACAAGATGAGAGGAGGGAGGGAGATCGGCAGACAGTCGCGTATCCAAAGGAGGAGCGCGAGGAGGGCGTTGGGTGGGGAGAGATGACCGTTTGCGTTGTTGTTCGTTGAGGTGGTGCAAGGTGCGGGCGACGGAAGAAGAGGTCATGCCGTGCAAGTAGACGGTTCATGCATCCGCAGGCAGCAAAGTGAGAGGGGAGAGAGAGTCAAGAAGGAGGAGGAGAAGGAGGACGAGGTCAGCTTGTGTTTTGCCCCTCTCTGTCTGCTTAACTCTGCGTAGCGTGGCGTGGTGGACTCAGGTACCAAATGCCGCAACGACGGCAGTCGAGTGCTGAGCTGGCCAGGCACGCGCCCCTCTGCTCCCGCTGCAGCCCCTGACCCGGCACATACGCCATCCACTCCACCCAATGCTTGTCTCACCCTCATACGCAGACCAAGATGGAATAGCGTGCAGGCCATGGTGCTGCCCCAATTGCTCCACAGCACCCACACCTGCTGTCGAAGTCGAGTCCCGCTGGGCACCAGTAAGAAGCTCCATCGACCGCTGTCTGTGAGCCTGCCTCCTCAAGCTCCGCCTCTCCTCGCCCTTTTGATCAGCTACATCCACATCATCAACATCCTCGTCGCTCCAGTCTGACTCAGCCGCAACATTCGGCTGCATCGGCGTGTCTGTGCTACCATCCGATTGATCAATTCCCAAGAGCAGGCGAGCCTTTGCTGGTGGTCGACGGTGTTCAGAGGGAGCAAGTTTTCCCGCTACCGCATGAACAGCAAGGAAGTGGACTCGAGGAGCGCTTGAGTGTCTCTTTTCCCCTGCACTGGCTCGAGAATTGACTTCGACTGACGGATCAAGCGGCGTGATTGTCTTTTCCGATGCAGTGGCAGACAAAGCAGACGATCGTAAAGAGGAGCTAGACGGATGTTCCGAAGTTCGTAAGCTGCTCTCGGGGCGAGGTGCAGCATCCCCACCGAGGGAAGACCTGCCTTGCCCCGTCTCTGCAGTAGGAGCAGCAGAAGATCTGTCGACTGCCATTGCTTCAAAGCTGACCGAGGCCCGTGCGAATGGTTGAGGCGACACGGTATCTTCGCTTGTGTGAGACATTGACTGCGTCAGGGGGACCGTCCCAGCTACAACGATCTCTGGCTTCCGCTCGCGAACTTCGTCGATCCTCTGTGAGGAGGAGGCCACATCGTCGATGGGAAGATCTGAGACGTCGAGAAGGACTGGGAAAGCACTGTCTAGAGAGCCATCGTCCGGCCCTTCTAGCGGAGGAGTGAAAAGGCCAAGCGCGGACGGAGGTCGATCAACACTGAATGGACGAGGGCTGACATCCTCCAAAGGTCGAGACAGCGACACCCGCCGCTTGCGACCGAAGAAGCCCCTTCGTGAGGTGCGCTCTGCCACCACGAGCGACCCCGCAGAGGCAGAGTGGCTCGCCGGAGTGGGCGCCGAGGTAGACATGCGACGAATTCGCAGCTGAAAACGCTTGCGTACTGTAGGTGCCTTTTGAGATGTGATGGACGGCGCTGCGAGTTGTTCCCACGAGGTTTCGTACCTCGATCCAGAGTCTGTAGAGTTCGGCATCATCATGGCATCAGCGTGGTCTGTGGATACCATCAGAGTGAGATGATCGTACTGTTCAGCTGAGACCAGGTTCGGTCGGCTGCTCGAGCTGTCCAAGTCCTCACGGGAGCTGCGCGGAGCAGCACCCGCAGACCCATTTGCTCACCCGCAGACCCATTTGCTTGCTGTGAGCTGAAAGGAACATCTCCCTTGGGTGAGACATCTCCTTCGCTCTCCTCTTCGATCGTCTCTGGCACCTCTGTCAAGCCACAGGGGCGCAAAGAGCCCAATTTTGGTAAAGGGAATGGCTGAGGGACTGGAAGCTGTCTGCTTGCCTTCCCACTGGGTTCAAAGAGGGACTGATCGCCAGTTGACGAAGAGGGATTGTTTGGTATAGCCAGATATTGCAGTCGACCTGCTGCGAGCGAGGCCATTGCCTCTCTGTAACGATCTCCAACTGAGCGGCCCGTCCCGTCTTCATCGGAGGAAGGATCTTCGGGGTCGGCATCGTACTCGTCAGAGCGGTCCACCTGTGAGGTGATGCTATTGTCGGATCCTGAGCTAGACCAGGAGCTCGAGGTGTATGACTGAGATTTACGACGGAGAGTTGGACGTGGGCCAGCGCCAAGCAGAAGTGTCCTTGAGGATCTTTCCTGAGAGGTAGCGAGCGTCATTTCGGGTTTTACCTCGGCAGAGAGGTAAAGGGGATCGTCTTCCAAGTGTACTGATGCTTCCATCGCAATAGAGGTGATTCAAGACGGCAAGGTGGGGTCACCCAGATTGGTCGCTTCCACAGTAGTGGGTGCGGTTGCTCCTCGACTTGGTGGCATGTGCTGTATTGTTTGTTGTCCCCGCACGGTCCCCTGCAGAGGCCGGATCAGGTCTTGAAAGCATAGGAATCTTCTGTCACATTGTCTCTGCGATCGCCCAGACCCCACAGCCAGGCCTTGCAGAAGCCTCATGAGACATTCACTTGAGCGTCCCGTGCATTCTGTCATCCTCCCCCTCTTTTCTCAGATTGGTTGATCCATACGGACTCATTTTGTACGCGACTCGGTCGGAAAGGCACTAAGACGAGGGCCGGAATACGAAACGCGCAGTACTCACCCATGATGTTTGGCCGCGAAAGACTCGCTTTCTAGCACTGTGTACCAGATAGCGGGTTCGAAGGTGCCAATCAGCACGAAAGAAAGCGAGATGACAGCAGTAGGAGGTGAAAAGGGAAGGATGGACAGAGCAGGGCGGTGTACCTTTTGCTCGTCCAGAAGGCGACCTGTATATTCCAGTAAGCACGCCCCGTCCACTTTAGCAAGATGGCGGGTCCTTAGAGTGATTGCTGATCGCTTGAGCGTGTCAGAAGCAAGAAGGGGCAGAGAGCTCTTGACACTGTACCGAGAGCCTGGGGCAAGTGACGTGAGACATTGCGTCCGAATGCTCAGACCTATCCGCTCGGTCCTCCGTCCTTCAGGAGCTGCATGGCCTGGCTGTGCCGAGGACAGCCGTGGAGCGAGCGGAAGCTACCACATTACTTCAACTTGCTGTACAGAGTCCATCATTTTGCGCCCCAATACATAGTACGGCTCCCATGTGTCGTGCGGGAAGCAGTGGGAAGAGCAAGAAGGTGCGGGAAGTATGGAGGAATCCGGGTCACTGAACGCTTGGACCCTGCAGGGCACGAAGCGGAAAGGCGCACGTGGAATTGCGGGAAAGTCGACGTCTGGTTCGAGTCAGAAGCCCGAATGTTTGGTCCGTGTCTGATAGGAGCAGAATGAAACATCTAAGGGGACTGATCGCATGTTGTGGCAAAGCCGGGGTAACGTCGTCTATAAGTTTACATGTTCTATCTTCTCACGGCTGTGAGCGCTGCTCGCATGCCTCTTCTACATCGAGTCGCCTCCCTCTTCTCTTGCCTCTTCCACTCCCAGCATACAAAGCACTCTCCTTCCCACCTTCAGCGCATCATCCTCCCTCTTTGCCCGCTTGGATGCCTCCTCCTTAATCTCCTCGGGCGCATTACCCATCTCCGTCTTTGCCTCGATCAACATCTCTACAATCTCCGTCGTAAATTCCGGATGACCCTGCACGGTGAGGATCTGTAGACCTCGAGGTGGCGAAGGGCCAGAAGAGGTTGGAGTGGAGTAGGTATCAAAGGCGATGAAGTCTGATGTGCCCGCTATTGATGGGATTGGAGGAGAGTCGGTGGCATACTTGAGGGCCAGGGAGTGGATCGAGCATTTGGGAGTTGAGGCTAGCTTGAGGAAGGCACTGCCATTGAAGTCGTCTGGCATCTCTACGACTGTGTCTTTGTGTACTTGTTGTAGCCGCTGATAGGGAGTGAGAATGGGTGCAGGACACAGCATTTGAGCGCTTGATGAGCTTCGACCAGCACCGTTAAGCCCGCTCAGTCTTGATGCCTGGGCTACTCACCACGCTCTTCGTCTCAGACTCTGCCTCTCCACTTTCTGACACTTCCTGCAGCTTTCCACCTGCAGACTCTTCCTCCAGATCCCACTTTGTAAAGCCAAAGACCTCTTCTCCATCCTCTGTAAGCTCGCAGTCATATACTCCCAGCTCCCATCCTTCAGGGTTCTCAATGACTTTGCCACCAAATGCTTGGGCGATGAGTTGATGGCCCCAACAGTAGCCACAAATGCGAACCAGGGGGTGTTGCTCTGCAAGGTCGACGATCCACTCGCTGAGCTTCTTGACCCAGGGCACGTCTCCATACACAGTCGATGCGGAGCCTGTGATCATGACGGCATCCCACAGACCATCCTTGAGCTGTCCATCGGAAGGATACTGACCCTTGATGACATCAAAGGGACGAATGTCTAGAGTAAACTTGTCTTGCCAATGGTGTCGCTTGATGGACTTGAGGGAGCGCTGCAGCCATGTGGTGTAGATTGCGAGGTAGTCGCCCTTTGACTCCAAGACTGGCTTGGCAGGTGTGTCTGCTATGAGCAATGCGATGGACAGTGTCCGACTGACTGGAGTGGGAGGCATGTTGGCTGAGATAGAGATTCAGAGAGTGGGTGGGTAGTGTATGGTAGACTGGACAGGCAGCGTATCGCCGAAGATACGGGAAGGCAACTTTTGTGCTTCGTTCTTCGGAAGTGGCTGGCTGATGCAGGGCGGGGCGGAGCTTGGACTGCTTGGCTCTGGTCTCACTCCACTCGCCCGGCGCGCGGAGCCTCGTCATCTCACACACGCACCCACACCGCACAGAGCCATACCGCCAGGCCCACTCCTTCGCAACATCATCCCAACACCAACTCCATCACCACCACCACCCTCCCCCACCCTCCATCATGCCCGACGTAGACATGAAGCCAGTTCAGTCTACAACGACTGCGGCTCCCGCTGCCAAGGCCGTCACACGCGCACCTCCCTCGACTGAAGAGCTCCTCTTGGCCCTATTGCGACACAATCTCGCACTCGTACAGCGGTCCGTATTACACCTAGAGGCACGCTTCTCCGTGCGCGCTCTGCGTAATCTACCCACGGCAAGGAGAAGGATTGCAGAGTATCCTGCTGTCCTGGCCCGAGTCATCGAGGAGGCCACAGAAGGTGACAGTGCCACGAGAAAGGAGCTCCTAGCTCTGCTACCCAAGGCATACGAGCCCATCAAGGTGACAGCCGAGGAGCCAGAGGCAAAGTCGGACGTGGCTGCCATGGATGTTGATGAGCAGAAGGAGGGAGGAGACAAGGATTTCAAGAGCGGTACAGAGAAGAAGGGCAAGGAGAATGGCGAGCAAAAGGCAGCTTCAGCACCCAAGGATCTGACTGCTAGACCTTCATCGGAAGCTCAAAATGAGATGGACGCATACTTGAAGCTGCTGACCGCAACATGGCTCATCGATGAGAAGAAGGTCAATGAAGTGAGTGAGAGGCGGTCAGACTGAATTGGAGTATGTCACTCGTGCTCTGGATCTCACTTCGCCCCCCTTTCTACCCTTTTCACTGCTTCAGTCTCTCTCGCTGGCTCGTTCATCGGTCGCAGCGATCATCGCTTCCAACCGACGTACTTCAGACCCCATTCTCGCCAAGACCGTCTTCTACCTCGCCCGAGCTGTCGAACTCTCGTCTGGGACCTCTGGTCTGGCCGCAGAGCGCTCGAATCTGCTTGCTCTTCACCTCACCTCCTCCCTTCGCCACGACTCTGAGACCACTGCTACGATCATCAACCTGCTCCTTCGCTCTTACATCGTCGAGGGCAGTCTTTACGACCAGGCTGACAAGCTCGTGGCACGCGCTCCCTTCCCGCGTGCTCAAGCAGGCAATTCAAACATTGCCCGATACGAGTACTGGGTCGGACGTATTCGCGCTGTCCAGCTCAACTACACAGAAGCCCATCAGCATCTTCAGCAAGCTATTCGCCGAGGGCCGCAACCATCCTCTGCTTCTGCAAAGGATGCCGTGGCTTCTGCAACTGCTCTCGAAGGTGAAGACAAGACCGCCGCCGCTGCTGCTGCTAAGGCCGAGACTCCAGCTGCTGTCGATGAGAAGAAGCAGGCTGCCGCCGGTTTCTTCCAGACTGCCTACAAGTTCCTCATTGTGGTGGAGCTGCTGATGGGTGATATCCCCGAACGGTCCATCTTCCGTCAAGAGGTTCTCAAGAAATCCCTCGCCCCATACCTGGAAATTGTCCAGTCCGTACGCGTGGGCGACTTGCAACACTTCCAACAGTGCCTTACCGACTATACGCCCCTCTTTCAGCGCGATGCGACCTACTCTCTCATCCTACGTCTGAGGCACAATGTCATCAAGACTGGCATCCGTATGATCTCCCTCTCCTACTCGAAGATTTCCCTCTTGGACATCACCCGCAAGCTAGGCTTGGAATCGGAAGAGGACGCAGAGTACATCGTAGCAAAGTCTATCCGCGATGGTGTCATTGATGCAAAAATCAACCACGAAAAGGGATGGATGATCAGTCAGGAGCGTCGTGACGTGTACAGCACCGAGGAGCCCAGGAAGATGTTCGAAGGGAGAATCGAGTGGTGTCTGGGCTTGAGGAATGAGAGCGTCAAAGCTATGAGGTATCCGCTCAATGGCGGTAAAGGAGATGAATTGGCTAATGCTGAGAAGGCTAGAGAGAGGCAGAGGGAGCTGGCGACGGAGATTGCTGATGGCGATTTGAGCGACGATGAAGATGGGGGCGACTGGATGTAGGTGTGCAACAGGGAGGCTGCATATAGTACTGTTACCATTGTCAAGAAAATGCGCAGTAGTAGCGGGGGTATATCGACGAAATGACACGACTAAGCACAAGTGCACTGCCTGTTCCCTTGTGACCCTCCTCGTTCGCTCACTTCTGCCGTTGCTTTTTGCCATTCTTGCCCTTCTGGTCTTCCAACTTGCGCTTCTTCTCCCCCGGACTCACAAAGCCCATGTCCTCTTCTGGGTCTGGATCCCTCGCGGTTCTGATCGTTGCTACACTTGCACCCGCGTCCGCGTTCCCTGCCGGTACCGCTACCGCTACCGCTGCCGTCGTCGCCGTCCCCATCGCCTTCTCCGGCTCCCCAACCGGATCCACAACCCTGGGCCACCCCACCACCCCTCTAAAGCTCCGTCTCGTCTCCGCTCTTAGCAATAAAGCTCTACATGTCTCAGTGAGAGCATCGCGTGCCAGCCCCTGACTGAATCCAAAGAGCTTGGCGAGATTGAGGATATCCCCCGGTCCTCTAAGTCCCAGAACAGAGGATGCACCAGAGGAGAGTAGTAGCCCGCGACCACCATTGGTTACGCGGAGTAAGTCGCGAGTATTGCTTATTAGATTGCGGAGACGATCTTCTGCTTTCAATTGGTGTCCTCCGGACGCGACGGATGGGAGGGGAGGTTGGTTCCCAAAGGGGAGAGCATCAGAGTAGCACACCTCGAAGACGGCTCCATTCTCAATTGCTTTTCCTACCGTACTCCTCTTGAGGAAGAAGGGCAGACGAGGTGTACTACTTAGGTCGAGGGAGATGATATCGAAGCTCACACCTGGCTTGAGCTCGGTATGTGTGAGACAGGCAGCGTTGAACGCATTTGCCGTGAGTGGTTTCACGGCTAGTAGATCGTAGGAGAGCAGAGCGGGCGTGGAGAGAGGCACCAGTCCGTTGCCTGATTTGGACTCGGAGGCAGCGTCCAGGACAAAAGTCAGACGGTGTAGTTGCCGTATGGGATTTTTCCCTTTTGCTAGAGAGGGGAAGATGGGAGAGGAGACTGGGGGCATGACTTGGTTGGGTGAGAGGGGAGAAGAGGTGGTGGAGGGAGGAGAGTGGAAGGGGTTCTTGTGAAGATTGTGGTCGAACTTGGACTCGACGATGTGGTTGAAGGCGATGGTCGAGTATCCCACTGCGGGTGTGGGAGAGAGGGGCATGGCTACAGCATGATTCCAGCAGCAGCGTTCTGTTCACGATCCTCTGTTGGATACTCACAGTCTCTCAAGTCCTTCACCCTTGCTTCCAGCTCATCTCTTTGAGCCTTGCTGAGCCTATTCAAGGGATCATCTCCGGTCGTACTACCACTACTGCTGCCCACTGCTGCTGCTCCTCCTGCCTGCTTCTGCTGCTGCTGCTGTTGGTTGGCCTGCTTGTTCTTCTTGTTCTTCTTTCCGCCCCCGTTTGGCCCAGCAGCTTGCGATGGGCCAGCAGAGGATGAGGAGGACCCCGAGGGATTAGCAAAGAGGGACGCAGGGAGACTGACGTTGAGGTCGTGATAGACCATGACAGATCGCAGAGGAGGCTATCTCAGACCTTGGGGGCGCTGCTTTGCGGGATCTTGAGGCGTCTGTATGGTTGTGTGAGCGGAGAAGTGGCCATCGTCGGAAAGAGGAAGAAGTGAAATCTGTTGCTGCAGCGTCGACCGTGCGCGAGTCGAGGCCACATGGTCCTCCTCCTCCTCCCCCTCCTCCTCCTCCTTCCAGCCAAGCAATCAAGCCAACACCTCCCACTGCTTCTCATTCCTCGACGTCAATGGCGGCTATTCCACCAGCGAGGGACGGCGCAACTGCCGCAGCAGATTCCATGGACCTCAGCAGTCTCCTCTCCTCGCTGCCCGCCTCCTCCACAGCCTCCACTCTGGCCTTCGATGGTCCCTCGCTCCTCTCCTCTCTCAACTCCTACGGACTAGCAACCGACCTCTCTCCCTCTGACCTCTCCCTCACCCTGCCCTCAACATCCTCCTCTCAGCTTCCCTCGTCCTCTTCCTCCTCCTCCAATTCGACGCTCTCCATCCTCCTCTCTCGCTTATCCCTCCTCCTCTCAGACCTCTCCCGCCTCCTCGAAGCCCAAATACGCGAATCCCTCCCTGCCCTCCTAGACGAGACGGCCAAAATCCAAGGCCTTCAGAAGGGAGTCTGGGACCTCAGAAAGGGAATCAGCGAAGTCGATGGTGCAATTGAAAAGGTCGGCGAAGGGACAAAGGTGGGGGTACAGAGGTTGAGGAGGGACCAGAGGAGGTTGAAGAGGTTGTTCGAAATTAGCGAACTACTGAGGTTGGCGAGTCGCTTTGTGCTGCTTGCTCGCAGATTGGAGGGAAGTCTCAGAGCGCTATTCGATGAGGGAGATGAGGATGGAGAGGACGGGGGAACGGCTGGAGAGGAGACCGAGGAGACGCAGCAGAGGAAACGACAACATCAACGCAACCGCGAAGAGGCTCTCGTCCGCTCTGCCAGGGGGATCACTGCGATACGGCATCTTCTCCAGGCTAACCCTTCGTTGGGCTCAATAGCCTTCGTCGTCTCCTATCAGCCCTCGATAGCATCAGCAAGATCACAGCTGCTGGACACGATGGAGCGCTTTATCGTCCTCGGACTGCGTGACCTCAGTCCCTCAATGTTGAGCTCCTCTTTGCTGACCGCAAGCATGCTGGGTGTGCTCAAAGACCTGGTCAAGGACCTCATGACGGATCTCACAGACGTCGTGCGCAAGCGGGTCGAAGCGGCCTTTGTCTCCAGTGCAAGTCTCGTAGCCGCAGAAGACGCAGGGTACCCGAGCTACAAGGCACGGCGACCTGGTCAGAGTGTAGCTGGAGGGGCAAGGAGCGGGACTACCCAGGGTCAACAGGAGCTTGTGGCAAGACTCGAGACGCTCTTCAGTCTCGAGATGACGGCAGTGTGCTCCAAAATCTACCTACTGCAGCGGGTACTGGGTCTGATGAGGAATACGGAGCCGGTTGGTGGAGAAGGCGAGGAGCAGCCAGAGGGACAGGCAGCAGGGGAGAGTACCGAGAGAGGCACTTTGCTCGACGAAGGGGTCAAAGTGAGTACCAGTACCACTACCGCTCTGGTCCAAAGACCATATCAAGCTCGTACTGACTCATCCCCTCCCCCCACCACCTTTGTACAGATCCTCGGTGACCCCCCAACCCTCCTCTTCTGGCGCTCCCTCTCCAGCGCCCTCTCCTCCTCTTCCTCCACCCTTCCACCTCACCTCGCCATCCCCGCTTCGCCCTTTTTGGCAAACGAGACGCGCAGGCTCGTAGATCTCTTCTTTGAAAAGACGAGCGTGTGGACGGGAATCGCAGTTGGGATTGAGAAGAAGGCGATGGTTGGCGCTGGTGCGGGAGGGGGAGGTGGTGCAGAAGGAGTGAATGGTCAAAACTCAGTGGCGAGTGCAAACAGTAGTGCTGAGAGGGTATTTGTATTGAGGAGTCTGGGGCTGTAGTTATGCGTTGGAAGAGCAGAGCTCTTTGATGTATAAGCAAGACGATACAATGAGATTGTGTACATAATGAGGATAAGGATATTGTAGTCGAGTAGTTGGGTACGACTGTTGTCTGTCACTCGTCCTTTGCCACTACACCGAGACAGCAAGAATCGATCATGGCGTCGATGTTTACCCAGGAATGGGTCAACACTTTAACGTGGAGCAGTGCAAAGAGGGGCAGACGAATTGTCAGTATCCCTTTCTTAGACTTCTCTTCCCTTTCTCGCATCGCCTCACTCACTAAATAACCTCGTCCCATCCCTCCCTGCTACACGCATCACCTCCTTCTCCCCACCAGGGTGAAACTCAAGGTAAGGCGTGAGGTTATAGACCATCCCATTGAAGACACTCCAGCAACTCTCGCGCGAAGTATGTCTCTTGACCTCACTCATAGGAATCCGCACCACTCCACCAACACCAAAGGGTGGTCGACCCTCTCTGAGTGCCGTAGAGGAGTTGGAGGATTTTAGACGAGCCCAGTCCAGCGGGGAACGACCGGGGGCGAGGATGACTTTTTTGCGGCCAGACGTCTCCCCTGGGATTAGTGTCTGCCCTGATGAGGAAGACGAGGAAGAAGGGGCAGAAAGAGAGGTTGTACCGCTTGCCCCGCCTACACCCGGAGGAGCAGTGAGGCGGGATGTGGATGGAGGGGGCATGAGAGACGAGGCTGAGGAGGAGGAGGAGGGAGGAGGCATGAGAGATGCTGATCCTGCTGCTGCTGATGATGATGAGGTGGAGCTAGTTGGAGCGAGGGAGCCTTTGTAAGATGCAGAGCTTGGGACTTTGCTTGTGTTGGGAGGCGAGTCCAAGACAGACCGTAGGGCTTGCACTTTACTGCTGCTATTGCTGCTGCTGCTGCTCTTGGACGTGGAAGCATTGGAGCTCGTAGTGTAGCCTGCAGATGCAGACGAAGATGTTGCAGGTCCCGAAGTATATGAAGATTTCCCTGTTGGCGCAGCTGATGACGTCGATGATGGACCCGATACGGTGAAAGTCATGGTGGGGTTCGATCTGGAAGAAGCGGCCCCGCCACCGGCAGCACTGGTAGGCGCCCGCTGTGCCGAATTGGGCAGAGGGAAGGACGGCGGGAGATCAGGATCCGAGGGTGAGGCCATTGTAGGGATAGTGGCTCGGACAAGGGCTTCAGTAGATGGTAGCAAGGTGAAGGTGATGTGCAAATGAGCTATGATGTGGAATAGTTTACAAAGGATGCTGGAGCAGCGGGAGACTTGCCCCCGCCTACGGGAAATCGAGATGTTGATCTCCACTTCCGCTGCAGACCAACGCAACTCAGCGCCTGGACTCGACAGCCGAGGATTGGAATACCACCACCACCCTCGATACTATCACCTTCTTCCCAAGATACCCAACATTCACCTTCACTCACCCCACCATGGCGGCCTCGTCGTCTTCATCGACACCGCTACCTGCGCCGCCAGCCGAGCTCAAAGCACTCGCGCCCTTTCTGCAGAGGGCCAATGAGCTGGCAAAGGCTGACACGGTCATGAGCTACTGGGCCCTCTACCACGCAGCTCAGCTAGGAGTGGCAGTGACCGCAAAGGCTCAGGACAAGGAGACGAGACCTTTCTTGTACAGTCTCATGGATAGATTGGAGGAGGTGAGGCTCCCGTACCGCCTCGGAAGTAGTCTCCACGCGTCTCACCTGCTCTTTCCCACCCCTTCCCACCCCTGCAGCTCAAGGCTACGCTGGCCAACAACGACGCAGCGACATCGGACGAGGCGGGCTCAGCCTACGTAGAGAACTTTGCACTCAAGGTCTTCGTGGGCGCAGACAATGAGGATAGGAGCGGCAAAGCAGACCGCAATACCGCCAGAAAGTTCTTGGCGGCCAGCAACTTCTTTGAACTGTTGACCATCTTTGGCTCCTTGAGCGAGGAGGTCAGTATAGGTGTGTCGCCGGAGAAGGCCATGCGCTCGGTACTGATAAGGAAACATCTCTCTTCTCTCCCCTTCCAGTCGTCGGAGAAGCGCACATATGCCAAGTGGAAGGCAGCAGAAATCTCGCGGGCCATCAAGGAAGGTCGCAAACCCGCGCCAGGCCCACCAGGCTGGGACCCAGAAGAGGAGAAGCGTCAAGCTGCTGCCGAGCTCTCTGCAGAAAGGGAGGCTGCTCAAGCCGTGGAAGAGGCCAAGGACGATGATGACTTGCTGGCGAGGGAGATTGCTAGGCTGACTGCTCTCAGTGGACCAGTGGGAGATGTGCAAGGAAGCAAGACTGATGGGGAAGAGCCAGACGACAGACGTAGCACTGTCGCAGAAGAGTCTGCAGACGAGGAGGCTCCGTACGGGCATGCCATCTCTCCTCCTCCCGGCGTCGACGAGTTCTCTGCGGCCGACCGCAGAGCCCCGGCTCGACTATCCTTCGATGCTGCTGCCGGCCTCAACAATCTCCCCTCTACTCCCGACAAGCAAACAGGAGGAGCAGCCGCCTCTCCACCCACCTCGAACCCAAGCCACAGTCCCAACTTTTCCCATCCTCTACGACCTCAATTCCAACGCGGCCTGTCTGGGAGCAGTCCAGGCGTAAGCGGGAGCAGCGCTGCCCCCTCGGCACCCTCTGCTCCTTCCTCGTACTTTCTCAATGCCCCTCCTGGCGGTGGCGGGCAGGGATCACCTTCACTCAATGCCACTCCTGGAGAAGTGACGGCTCCCGGAAGACCGCTACCACTGACTCCACAGCAGTTGCAAGAGCGAGCACAAGATCCCTTTGCGGCGGTCCAGCCACCCATGTCTCCTCCTCCTCAGCCCCAAGCGCACCAGCAACAGCAACAGCAACAGCCTTCAGCTCCTGCAGTCAGCAGCCAGACAGCCCCGCAACAGCCCTCGGCTCCACCACTGCCTTCTGCTCCATCCGCTGCTGCTGCTCCGCCAGCTCCAGTGGTAGCAATCCCACCTCCTACCTTCCCCGAGGTATTGAGCCCACAACTGACGAGCAAGGCTCAACGATTGGCCAAGTTCGCTATCAGTGCATTGGACTACGATGATGTAGAGACGGCGAGGAGGCAGCTCAGGGAGGCGTTGGATGTAGTTGAGGGAAGGATGACGAAGTAGATGGCTGCTAGAGGGGAGAGGAGGTCGTTAGGTGAAGATACAGGTACAGATGACGAAAATGGGCGTGACATGACATGGCATAAAGCAGTTACATTGCGATTCAGGATTACAAAGGGTAGAGACTTCACATGGCACCACATCTGGCCCTTAGGCCCCCCTCCCTTGTCCCCTCCAACATACCCCCTAATTACATCTTCTCACACTCCTTAGTCCTACTCTCTCTTCAACCTCTGCTCCTGCGCTTGTCCCGACCCTTGTCCTGGTCTATCCGTCGCCCCCGCCTCTCCCTCTTCGAGGAAAGCTGCGATGATGTACCCCACCAGTACGACATTGGCAGCGAGGGCGGCTAGTCCCCCTGCCCAGGCCGAGCCTAGTCGACCTACGGCGACGTAGTAGGTTGTGAGGGGTAGGATGAACATTAGGAGGGAGAAGACGGCTAGCTTGAGGTAGACGGTGCTGTGCGAATGAGATGAGGAAGGAGGGGGATGGGGAGGAGAGTGTGAGGAGTAGAATATGGGCGAGGCCTTGGCTGTGTCTCCCTCGACTTACAAGGGTGTGAGTGGAGCATTGGGCGCTGCATCGTGTGGCCTCAAATTCCTCACTGGCTTCGGGATAGGCGTCGAAGTCGGGCTCACAGTCGTCACCTCTGCCGTCTTGCCCTTCCCATCCTTCTTCGCCCTCTTCGAAAGGGGCGTAGTGAATACGCCCAGCAGCCCTACGATACCCAGCACGAGCAGGTACACTCCCACCGCTCCACCCACTGCTCCTGCCCAACCGGCATACCTCGCTCTTCCCTCGGCCCAGATCTTGGCCCGCTCCTGGTACTCGTCTAGCAGTACAGTGAACTCTTCCGCGCGCCCAGAGGAGACGCCCAACCTGCTCGCGAGGCCTTGAGCCGAGGTGAGGCGGAGCTTCTCTAGCAAGTCGGAGGATTTGAGTGAGGCGAGGTAGGTTTGGGATGATGAGGACGAGGAGGAGGAGGGGTGGAAGCCGAGGGAAGATGCAATCTCCGTCACGAGGGATTGAATGCCTTTACTGGCGGCTTGGAGGTTGCCGCCGGCGGCCCGAGAGGCGTCTGTCAGTCGTATGGCTAGAGAGGTGGAGGGAGGTGGTGGGCTGAGAAGTTAGCAGGGGACGGTGGAGGGAGAGGTCAGTAAAGTTCTCTTCAAGGTGAATACCCGCGATAACTCACGCAAAGATGGGCGAAAGAGTCAGGAAGAGGGTGGTGAAGCCGCCGACTAGACTCGATGTGAGGATGGGAATGAGGCGCTTCAGGTGTGGATCTTGCTGCCATGCTGCGAACTGCACAAGTGGAGGGACGAGAGAAGCAAGGGTCTAGGTGAGCTCGCCGAGGAAGCTGTCAGGGACTTCATCATTGCTTGAGAGGCTTACATTTGGCGGGCTGCCTCGCAACGGCAGGAGCATCAGTGTTGCAAAGAGGGTCACTGACAAGACGAGGAGAAGCAAGGACACCCCTGCGAGGATCCTGTGAGGCATAGCAGACAAAGAGACTCCAGGTCAGTCGTCTGCAGAAGCTGTACTCGACGACTGCATGGCTCTCTATCTCTCTTACCTTCCGAATCTTGCCTCTGACCTCCCGGCATCGAGTACATCACGCCAATGCAGTCCAGTCTGAAAGTACCAGCAGAGGGTTGCGCCAATGACGACGTACTTTGCCTGCTTGCGGAGATTGATCCACAGCCGGTCCTCTCCCGGTGAAGTCGCTGCCTGCGGTTGCAACGGCGGCGATGATGACGAGTCCACGATGGTCGCCATGTGAGGCTCGAAGGGCCGAGTGAGGATGATCGATGGTATTGACGAGCAAGGTAAAGAGAAGAGGGAGAGAGAGCACCTCGTTGCCTCGCCTTTGGTCCTTCCCACGCATCCGAGGCAATTTCCCTTTCCGCTTTCGATGACCGGTGCACCAACTCCACCTCTTGTCTTGGCTCACTTCTTCCTAGTACTGGACACCGTTCAGTCATATACTTCTGGCACCATACCCCCCTTAGCCCAGGCACAAGCGTCATGGCCGCTGCTGCGTCTTCCAGCAAACATGTTCTGGTCGTCGGAGGTGCTGGCTTCCTCGGTGAGTGACAGGAAGATGTCAGGGTGGTGCGGACGTGTAGCTGACGCAGCATTCCTACTTCCGCAATACCGTCGTTACCTCAGGATCTGCCATCACCAAGCGTCTGCTCGCTCAAGGTCATACTGTAACATCAATGTCACCCTCAGGGCGGGCCTTCCTCACTCCATCAGGACACAGACCAGCCTGGTCATCCTCTCCCTCGGTCAGGTGGGAGAAGGCTGATGCCTTCCAGCCCGAAACCTACAAGGGCTTCCTCACTGGCGAGACTCGGGCTTCCACCAGCAGTGAGAAGTTGCCGCCCGTTTCGGCTGTTGTCAGTACCATTGGAGTGCTACTAGAGGGCGATTACAAGGGCAAAGACTCGAGCATGAGTGGGACCTTCAGAGCTCTGGCGAGGGGTTGGGGGTTGGACAAGGGAAACCCCTTGGATGAGGCCAAGGAGGGGTTGTATGAGAAGATGAATCGGGACGCTGGTAAGTGTAGTTGAGCAGTCTCGAGGCTCTTTGTACAGTCTTGACTTACTTGCTCGGCAACTCTCGCCCCTGATCAGCCTTGAGCGTCGCACGGACATGGTCATCCATTCTTTCCTCTACTCCTTCAGAATCACCAACAGGACCTCCTTCCTTCATCTTCATCTCCGCCGAGGACATCTTCCGGCCCATAATAGACCCACGGTACATCAGCACAAAGCGAGAAGCAGAAAGGGGCCTGGAGGAGATGAGCTGGCATGCTGCTGCTGCTTCCAGCCCCGTTCGCCCAACCCCCTCGGACGCTGCCGATGTCGAGACGCCTGATGCAGATGGGGCTGGACTGACGGAAGAGATCAATGAAGGAGCACAACGACGAAGGGGGCGCTACAGTGCCGCACAAGGGGCCGACGCAACACGGATCTTTCGGCCGGTGTTTGTGCGACCTGGTGTGATGTACCACCCTCACACACGGCCCATCTCGACTATTCCGGCTGCCCTCTTGGATCTCTCATCCGCCATACACTCCTATTTCCCCTCAAAGGCTCCCACACCTGCCAATGTCCTTAACAGCGTGCTTGGACAGAGTCCGCTAGCAAGGCTGCTCACCCTGAGCCCGTTGCATATCGATACGGTGGCCAAGGCCGTGGGAGCAGCAGTGGACGACGAAGGTGTTTGGGGAGTGGTGAACACAAGGCGGATCAAGCGGCTGGCTGGTTTCAAGGAGTCTGATCTTGGCCACGAGGTGTACAGAGAGGATGAGAGAAGAGCAGAGGGGAGCGGCATGTATCGCTAGGCGAGGCCGAGGTTTTACGGAAGGGGGTCGGAAGCGAGGTGGTCCGTCCGCCGCTGCGAGTGAGGCCAGGATATGAGAAGCTAAGCTCCTGTCCCATCTTTATAATCTTCATTGTTTCGACGGTCACCTCTCATCCACTCGTCATTGCCAGCTATGGCGAGTACGTCTGCACTTCGACTCGACGTCTGTCTCGCTGCCCCGTCTTCCTCCTCTTCATCGGCAGCCGCGTCCACGTCGGCTCATCGTCTTCACCCTCGCATCCCGCCGCGGAGCGAATGGCCCCTCGACACCGATGGCATTGCAGACGATGATGACGGCTGGGGAGTCGGAAGCCAGGACGTTAGCTCTTCTGGGTGGATCACAGCCATTGGGTCTTGGCGTGAATCTCATCAGGTGGGGAGCGATCTAAGCCAAAGAGAAGCCCATCATCGGGATGCTTACCTCGCGCTAGGCATGGCAGATGGCACTACCTGGATCTTCAGCGAGAGAGGAGACGATGACTTCGAGACTGCTAGCAACTCAAATGCAATCAGACCTCAGCATGACGCATCAACCACTATCTCCACGCACTCGCACACGCCTCGGCCTCCCTCGCCCACCTCGTCTACTCACTCGCATGCCAGCCGCACACCCACCAGTCAAGGCCATGCTCATCCGCCATTCGCTGGCTTCAGTCATCATAGCGAAGCTTCAAGCGTGCTCAGCCCTACTCATACTACCTATGGTTTGTCAAGTGATACATTGTCCTCTGATGGCTGGACAGCGAGCGAGTCCAAGGACGAGGCTGTAGGGACCCATGCTCCCCCCAGTACCTCTGCAGGAATGGACGCCCTCGAGTCACGTCTAGAAGCTCAGTACCACAGCGGGAGCAACAAAGAGTCTGGCATCTCTCAAGTGATGGAGACTTTGGGACTGTCCCGTCACTCCCACTCGGCATCTCACCACTATCATTCGATGTCACCCTCCCCTTCTCGCCCGAAGAAGGGCAGCAGCAAGACGAGCCCAGCAGCGAGCGTTGGGAGCGCCAGTCCCGCGCTCACGCCTGTATCTCGACCTCCCTCTCCAGAGGTATCGCGAGGCACTTCCTCGAGTCTAGCAGCTCCTGTTGGCAGAAGACATGCGCACAGCAGAAGCTCAGCGCTGACTAGTGGTCTACCCGCTAGCTTCCCAGGATCAATCTCGACGAGTAGCGGGGCCGAAGGTCGGACGAGAGCCACTTCTGGAGTCAGCAGTCGCAGTAGCATCTATGCGGGTGCATCAACAGCCACTCTGGTTGCAGAAAACGAAGAGACCGAAGCGTCGCCCACTTCAAGACCGCCTCAAGACCTTCGCTCACTGAAGCCACTAATACGGATCACCTCAGCCGATCGCAGTGCAATCACCGCCATCAGATCGGTCGATCAGGGAGGATGTAGACTTCTTTTGGTTCTACATCGCAGTGGTATACTATCGACCTGGTCTCTCCGGGATGCGAGGCTCCTTTCTTCGATCGACCTAGCTTCTTCAATATCTTACCTTGCGGCCGCAGCCCCTGCACCGCCAGTTCCAGCTGCCGCCACTGGCCTTTCAGGAGGGCTTCCCGGACCCTTGGCCAACATTGCAGCTCTCAGATCCATCTCCAGCTCTCCTGCACCAGGGAAAGGAGGTTTCGCTTCCCGCCCCAGCTCGAGGCCGGCTTCGAGAGGCCCTGGAGGACCGGGGAGCCCCGCAGCAGCAGCAGCCCCGGCCTTTGGTGAGGTACCCTATAGCCATCATGGTCATTTTCAAGGTCTAGAGGTGAGACGAGATCAGGACGGAACCGTCTTGGCGGCCTGTTACGACTCGATCAAGAGTAGGGTAATCTTCGTCGAGGTTGCAGGGCTCAAGGCTTGTGACACTGCCTCTTTGAGCGTTGTTGGGACATTGGACACCCCAGAGGCTGTTGAGATTCCGTCTATTGTACTCTCAAAGGCTCCTCTGTCGGCTCAGGTAGCTTATCAGACGCAAGACCAAACAAAAGTTGTTTTCCACGACGTCACTTTTGCGGGACCCAAGAAGAAAGTCATGGCTGCTCCCAACAAGACGGTCAGCCTGCCTGTTCCCGAGGGCGAAGCTCTTCTGGACCTATCGCTGATATGGGACAGCGTACTACTTCTAGCGACCTCGCAACAGGTCGAGATATTGAAGAGACAGGAAGATCAGCTAGTGTCGCTTGCTTCGATCTCTTTGGCTGACGTAGACAGTGTCAAGCTTTTGCCTGCGCTGAGCAGTGGCACAAGTAGATGGGCCACAATTGACTGCCACGATAGCAGCCAACTGCTGGAGATAATTAGCAACCCTTCTCACGCCGAGGTCATCCTCGCATCGACTGATTTGGACAAGGGCGCTACCGCTACTCCGATGTCAGCTTTGCCTAAGGACGACATCAGTGACAGCACGCCTGATGTGGTCCAGGGGCAGATAATCCAGAGTGGCAGAGTGGTACTTGCCAGAGCCGGCTCAAATTCTCAATCCAAGACGCTGTATCAGTCCGCACAAGACAGCGATAGCTCGGTGGCACGACTCTTGCCCCTCAGCATGGAACGTATAGTTAGTGTGTCGCCAGCAGGGCACCTTGTATCGGTGCCTCTGTCTAAGCTACTGGCAACTACCCCGCTCGTTGATCCTAGCACTCAGAATTCTCCTCAGACCAAAGCTGCTCTTACACTCTTCACTACAATCTCCCACCCTCGAGCGCAGTCTCGAATCGTCATCGGAGGTTACGAGTCTGGCGACATTGCCTTTTGGGATTCAAGCAGTCTCGCATTGCTCGCACAATGGTCCCTCTTCACCACGCCCATTATCGACTTTTGCCAATTCGGCAAAGAGGACAACACTCTTCGCCTGCACGGCTGTGTCGCCATCGCAGCACAAGACGGCACTGTGGCAATCATTCTGCTGGACGGCTTCAAATTGCTGCATCTCATCCCTGGCCGAGGAGCCCCGTTGGAGCGTATCGCAGTCAGAGCCGATGAGATTCTGCTGCTCTATGGAGACGAGAGGGCAAGAGTGTGGGATATGGCTACCATGGAGCTGAGGAGATCAGTTGGCGTGGAGCAGGCGTTATCCCTCCTTGACGATGGGGCAGGCGCGTGGAGTCAGCATCAGTTCATGAGCCACGACGGGCCGTCCAGCTCATCGTCCACTGGTGTTCTGTCTACAGTCGTAAACGAGAGAGGCGGTCAGCCTACTCTGACCGCTGACCTTGGCAGAGCAATCGAAGCTGCTGCAAAGGCTGTTCGCGTCTCGATGGGCGCTGATACATCGCCAATAGATGCGAAGCGGGCCAATACCTCCGATGGTGAGGTTGCTCCCACCGCACTTCGACCTCAGCCTACCCGACCTGGAGCAACCGTCGCCGCCGGCGGAAAAAGAGCTCTTTCTATCTTGCGACCGCTGCTGGCCGCATTTTGGCCCAGACATAGGGAGACCCGCATGGACGACATTGTCGACGGTGTTCTCGGCGGCCTGCTCAAATCCTCGCGGTCCGCCTTCTTCGGCCTTCCGCGAGACAAGCAGGCGCACATCCTCTACTTGAGTAATCAACTTTTGCCTGCACCGGTCGAGACTTCACGAACGCTCGCCATCCTTGCCATGCTAGAGGTGCTGGCGCAGGACGAGGCTGTCGGAGCCAAATGCAAGGAGCTAGCAGACTGGGTTGTGGAGAGCACCACGAACATGTCGCCTTCATTGCTCGCTCTGCATCTTGTGGATCCGACCAGCGAAATCAAGGTTGCTGCCAATCGCTTGTTCAATGGTCATGTATCCGGCATGACTGGAGAGGAGATCGAGAAGCTCTGCGGGGGTTGGCGATCGGTACTGCCGCCGAAGCAAGTCTCATCGTCGGCTTCCGCCTCATCTCCAGTCGCGATGCCGCCCTCCGAGTCAGCTTCGGTGACTTCCCTCGCCCTGCTCGGTTTCATCGGTGTGTCTTGCTACAAGTCTCTCGATCCGGCGCTGCTCAAAGACATAGCTACCTCGATCCTCGCGAGTCTCTCCCTGGAGGGCCCGCCTCCTCTTCAGAACCTTGCGCTGGAGCTCTGCTTGTCTGGCTTCTCGACTTGGCAGCCTTACCTGGACGCAATGGATCTCCTTCGAAAGGTCTTCCGTCTGGCCATGTCGAACATCGGCGAGACGGGCAGTGCCAGTGGGGGAGCCAGCGCCCTTGCACAATCGCCCACTATCTCGACTGCGATCCGCAACCTTGCTCGTCGCACAACGCTTCACATTGCCGAGGAGAACACTCCGCTGTTCATGACTACCCTACACCTCGACATTCTCCAAGCAGCCACGGCTGCGCAGGCCAACGCAACGATGCACCTCGTAGCCTACATCATCCGTCGTCGTCCCCTCGTCCTATACGCCAATCTTCCCCGCTTGACAGAAGCCGTGGTCAAGTCCCTCGACCCTACCTCACCACTCCGGGAGTCTGTGCTGAGCTCAGCAACACTGATGATCTCTGAGCTGATCGGGGCCTACCCATGTATTGCCTTCCACAACCGACTGCAGCGCCTCGCCATTGGCACGCACGAAGGTGCCGTGGTGCTGTACGACCTCAAGACGGCTACTCGTCTTTTTATCCTCGAAGGTCACCAAAAGAGAGTAGACGCCGTCAGCTTCTCTCCTTCGGATGGGAGGAGACTGGTCAGTGTCAGTTTGGGAGAGGGGAAGGCCTTAGGGTGGAAAGTGGGGAGTTCACTAGCGGGATTCTTTGCGCCGGGGGTGATGCCTAAGCAGGGAGGGAGTGAAGGGACGGCGGGCGCTTATAAGGCGGTTCACTTTGAGGCGCAGAGGAGACGAGTTGGAGCCGGACATGGAGCAGTCGCAAAGGAAGGTGGTCAAAAGAGCGGTGCAAAGGCGAGTCTGGAGGAGAAGCACAACGGCAACGAGGTAGAAGAGCTACCTCGCGTCTCCTTTGACTGGAAGAATGACCGTGTAGGCATCTTTGAGATCGCAGGGGAGCCCACCACACGTATCCCTTTTGATGTCTCTTAAACAACAAACAACACGCTATATCCTGCGGACAAGAAATGCAAATCTATGGATTGCGGACATTGCATGACGAAGGGGTGGGTGTGGCCGGAGAGCCAGATAGATGGACTTCGCTTTTCTCTGATGACGATGCTTATCGCGACTGACCTCACTTCTTGCGCACAAGCGGTACGTCCGAGTCGCTATCGCTGCTATCATCCACCACTGCCGGTGCCTGCTTCTTCGGCGCGGGCTTCTCCTTCTTGCCCGTCTCAATGACCTTTTCAACAGACTTCTTGCTGGTGTTGGGCTTCGCAGTCCCCTTCTTCCCAGCCTTGGTCGCATCGTCCTTACGCGTCTCGGCTACCTCGTCCTGCAGCTCCTGCCTCCTAGCTGAGCTCATGTTGTCGCGGATCTTGGCAGTGGCTTCAGGTACGAACTCCCAAGTCGAAGGTAGACCGGGCTGTTGCGAGTCCGAGTAGTCGGCCCATTTGAACTTCTTCTGCATGGTCATGGGGAAGTACCCACCGATGGGCAGCTTCTGCAGTTGAAGATCGAGCTTGTCTGGCTCGCCTGCCTTCTCCTCTTTGACGGCGGGCTTCTTGCCCTTGACGCCCTTCTTGTCGTCTTCGTCCTCGTCCTTGACCTTGCCTTTGCCCTTCTTGGGGGCAGGCCCATCCTGAGCAACAAGGTAGGCATCCCACTTCTTCAGCCACGCTACAGTGATTCGAGGGTCAATGTAGTTGAGCTTCGATGTACCCAAAGACACGTCGCTCGTCTTGTTCTTGGAGTCCAAGTCCGCCTCGAATTTGCGAATCTGGTCGAACTTGCTCTTGATCTTCCTAGCACAGGAGTCTACCTTGATGGAGTCAGGATCGGCTGCCTTGCCCGTCTTCCTCTCCTTCTCAAGAGTCTTGAGCATGTCCTGCAGAGCCTTCTTCTCGGAGGCAACATCCTCTTCTGTCTTGATCTTGGCGACCTTAGGTTTGCCGTCCTCTTCCTCTTCGGGAGTCTCGGACCTCTGGCGCTGCTTCTTGCCACCCTTGCCCTTGAGCTTGACGTCGTCTGCCGGCTCTTCCTTCTTGATCAGACCAGCCTTGGCAAGGTCCATCTGGTAAAGTCGCTCAGCCTCTTGCCTCTCGAAAGCGCTTTCCAGCCTCGTAATCTTGTTGTTGACAAGTCTTTCCTCATGCTCTTTGATATCGTCCTCCGTCAGACCAAGGTCTTCCTCAAGGAATTTGGTCCAGTCGAACTCCTTGTAGTCCTTCTGTGGGTACTCCTTCTTGACCTCTTTAGCGGTCTTATGAACTGTCAAGATCTTCTGGCGCTCCTTATGAATGTCGTACTTCAGCGCGATCATCTTCTCGCTCGCACGCTGTGTTGCTCGTTCGGCGACCTGGGGGTTGATCGTCTTCTGATGGTTACACAGAATGGCAACAAGTCGATTGGCTTGCATATACTCGTCCTTGAGAGTCTGAGCGGTAGCCTCGATCGATCGCTCCTCCAGATTATCAGCAGTCTTGTTCAGTAGACCTTGGAAAGTCGTGGAAGCATTGTATGTTCTGAAGACTTTTGCGGAAAGACCAGCCATACCGCCTTTGCTGGGATCGCGCAAGAATTTGTTGACATCTGCAGTGTCCACTCGATCGAAGATGGCATCTGTTGCGCTCTTGGTCGTGAGAGCTCCCTTGGCATCCTTCGTACTGGTAGCGAACATCTTGATGTTCTTGAAGATCCGCTCAGGGACCTCCAGGGTCTCCTTGAACAGCATAGAGTCCTTTCCTAGGAACTCGAGCTGGACTTTCTTCTCTGCATCGACGAGCTCTTTGACATGCTCGACTAGCAGCGAGCAGACTCCATAGGTGGCGGCCTCGTCTTCACCCTTCTCATTACCAGCTCGCAAGCTGTAGTTGTCAATGAGCCACACAACTGTGCCCAGCTGTCGCTCCTGTCTAGACTTGCTGATGAGCATGTCATCGATCGTCTTCCTGAGCTTCTTGATACACTTGTCCAGCTTGCGAGCCTTCTCAAATTTGTCTCGATCCGAGTTGGACTTGAACGACGACGTGGAGTCGAGGTAGACGTACTTGTAGTTGCCATTGAAGTCGACCCAGTGAGCAAGCCAGGTGACGTCCTTGTACTCGACAACGGACTTCCACTTATGGCCGGCAGGCGGAGCGGGAGGCGGATGAGCGGGATCGTTGAGAGTGTGGTTGATCGTGATCTCCTCCGGCTGAACTCGAGGCTTGATCATACCCCGCTTGGGATGCTTTCCACGCCCCATGAACAGCGCCGGAGGCTCCACCAACACGTTGCCCACACGCTGCTTCTTCCCGTCGACCAGACAGCTCTTCATCTCTTCTTCGACGGCCTTCTTGTTCTCCATCTCCTTCTTGCGGGCCGAGGGAGCCAGCTTCTTCTTGCGCTCCTTCTCATCCTCTTTGATGCCCTTCTGATAGTCGTGCATCTGCTCAAAGTCAAGCTTGTCGAAGTCGGTAATCTTGGTTCCGTCCAGAGGTGGGTGGTCTTGCAGAACTTTCTTGAAATCTTTGAAGAAGTTGCTGTTGAACACAGGGTCCTGTACGTAGATCGTCTGCAGCTTCACAGCGTAGAAGAGTGCAGCCTCTTCAGCTTCCGGAGGGAGTTGTACAGCTTTGCCTGGTGGACGGTCAAAGCAAGAGCATAGAGTCAGTCCCGCTGAGATTGTGAACGCGTCAGTCTTCTTACTCACCATTGTACTTCAGCTTGACATCAGCAGGCAGAGGCTCGTAGGCAGGTGGGAACCGCGGCGTAGTGTGGTAAAGAGTACTCCACATCTGCCCGCCATCGCCGGTATGCTTGACGTTGCTTTTCTTGGCCCCCTCATTGCCCTCCCCGTCGTCATCGTCTTCTTCAGCGTCTTCGTCTTCCTCCTCGCCATCGTCATCCTCTTCCTCGTCCGATGAGGCTGACCTTGATTTGGCGGCCTTTGCTTTGGCAGGAGAGGCTGAACTCTTCCTGACACCATTGGAAAGCCTCTTCTTCTGCGCAGGAGCTGCCTTGGTGACGGCTGAGCGCTTCTTGCTGGCTCCCAGGGGCGCATCGTCGTCAGAATCAGAGTCGTCCGAGGGGTCTGCTTTGATTTTGCTAGAGCTGGCTCGCGGTCGGGAAGCAGCTGTGGATGCAGCTTTAGCCTTCTTCAAGGGGACATCCGAGTCCGAATCATCCGCGCTGCTGCTGGAAGCCTCTCGCTTGACTGCTGGTCTGGCCTTGCCGTTCGACGATGTAGGCTTGGACGAGCTCGCGTGACTTGAGCTTCCGTTCAAGGCAGTGTCGCGCTTAGGCTTTTTGGCCTGACATAGGAGATGAATTTGTGCGATCAGGGTGTCAGCTGAGAGCTCGACGAGCATACATGCGACCCCTATTGCGCTATACTCACGAGAGGCACGTCGTCCTCATCGCTGGATACGTCAATCTTCTTACGCGTGCCGTTGTGGGCAGGTCTATGTTGCCCGTTTCCGTTTGCGTTGCCGCTCTTGGAGAGGGGCGGCGAGGCTGCGGAAGTGCTGGACATTGTCGTGGTGGCGGTGTAGCCAGGCGTCGAGGAGAATGTGAGGTGAGGAAGGCAAGGTAACGTCGAGCGAGGGAAGGCAACAGCCTCCTTGGACCATTGCACGCACCTCGCCGCCCAGCCAGGCCACTTTACGCCTGTGTCCTGTCTGCCGTGCGCTTCTCTCTTCCCGTTCCTCTGTGCCTGTGTCCTTTTCCCGGCGCGCGTCGTCGGAACCGCGCTTGGACTGGCGGGGCGCGCGTGGCGGAGTGAGTGGTTGAGCCAGTGGCCACCCACTCCACCTCGGGAAATCGGAGAGGAAGGCGGCCAAGCGTCGTCAGCCACCTGCAGCCAAGGAACGCCTACTCCTCGTCTTCACCAACATTCTCATACCCATACACACAAGTACAGCCATCATGAAGCTCACAGTCAAGTCTCTACAAGGTGGCAACTTCAGTCTTGATGCCGAGCCGACGGACACTGTGAGTGAAGCCGATGGCATAGATATCTACATCGCAGAGCCAGTCTGACCCTCTCCTCTATCTTCCTTGGCTCAGATCGGTTCCATCAAGGCAAAGATCACAACAGAAAAGGGCCACCCCGCAGAGAACCAGAAGATCATCTACAGCGGAAAGATTCTCACCGATGACCAGACCGTGCAGGCATGCAATGTGACAGAAAAGGGATTCCTGGTATTGATGGTTTCAAAGGTGAGTACAAGTCTAGCAGTGCGCTTATTGGGCAGCGGACAGTCTGGCTGATCACTGCTTGCATATTCAATCATACAGCCCAAGGCCCCCAAGCCAGAAGCCCCCGCAGCTGCTCCCGCTGCCGTCCCAGCTGCATCTTCATCATCCACCAGCACCGAAGCACCAGCAGCAGCAGCAGCGCCATCAGAACCTGCCCCTGCAGCTTCTGCACCAGCTACAGAGAGCTCGACAACGCCAGCAGCACCAGCGTCAGCAGCTCCTGCCTCAACAACGTCTGCGCCAGGTGACCCCAGCTTCGTCACTGGCTCTCATCTGGAATCAGTCGTGCAGAACATGATGGAGATGGGCTTCGAGAGGGATCAGGTGCAACGGGCCCTGCGTGCAAGCTATAACAATCCTGATCGAGCGGTGGAGTACCTGATGAACGGCATCCCTGCCCACATTCAGCAACAGCAGCAGCAGCCCCAGCCCCAGCCGGCAAGTGGACAATCAGGCGCTGCAGCAGGAGCAGCAGCTCCCTCTGCCCCCTCTGGCGGAGCTACCGCCGCTCCCGCAACTGGTGGTGGTGCTGCAGCAGCTTCGCAACGTCCAGGAAACCTCTTTGAGGCCGCCGCCGCCGCCCAGCAAGGAGGAGCAGGAGGACGTGGTGGTGCTGCAGGTGGACCCGGAGCAGGAGCAGGAGACGACGACGAAGGCACTACCCTCGATCTAGGCAACCCCGCAATGATCGCTCAACTGCAGCAACTAGTACGGGAGAATCCTGCCGCTCTCCAGCCTCTGATTCAAGCCATTGCTCAGTCCAATCCGCAACTAGCCGCAGCGCTCCAGGCCGACCCACAAGGTGTGCTGGACCTCCTCAGCGGAGCTGCTGCCGGTGGTGGTCTCCCCGGAATGGAAGGAGAAGGCGAGGGAGAGGAGATGCAGCTGCCTACCATGGACCAGCTCGCACCTGAAGACAGGTCTGCCGTGGAGCAAATCGTCGCAATGGGCATTCCGGACGATAAGGCCATTGAGGCTTACCTCATGTGTGGAAGAAACGTGGAAATGGCCGTGCAGTACTACTTTGAGAACCCGCAAGACTTTGCTGATTAAGAAGGAAAGCGCAGAGGAGAATGGGAAAAAAGAAATCGTGGGACATGACAAGAGGACGAGGGGCCAACAACGAGTGGATTGGGACGGGACAGAGAGGCTGAGATAAGATTGTTTTGGACAGCCTAGTCTGCTCTTTTGGTAATATCATCATCTACCCTCATCTTCTTTCGAACCAATGCTACCTTTATCCAGTCATAGACCACCTTGATTAGGGCCTTCTCGTGGCTGTCAGACACTGCCAAAGATCATTTCAGATGGTACAAGGGCCCCTGAGTTGATTCTGACGCTGCTGAGAGGGCGGGCATCAGTCCTCCAGCGTCCGAACACCCTTGGAGCCGTTGGCATCCCTGGGTTCGTAACGCCAGCGCTTCAGACCGGAGTCGGACTCTGTTCCTGGGGTGCGGTTGCACCCCGCCAAGTCCTTCCTCGCCTTGGCCCCGAAGATCTTGTCCCATTGAGCGTCGTACCACGCGTGCCTGCCATGGAAGGCAGCGAAGTGGGCGATTAACGTCCCCTCTAGCAGCGAGTTGAAGGTGTTGGTGAGAGCCCACGCAGGGTATGAATGGAGCTTCTTGAGACTCTTGTCGTCGGCAAGAGTCTTGCATGTCCTTTTCAGATTGTTTGGGGTCGGCAGCCTAAGGAGCGTCTTCTCGTGTACCTGAGAAGCTGGGAAAGCTCTCTTGAGGCAGTACAGGGGACTTTCGTCGCCCTGTTCCTGGCTCTCTTGATGGCGCCCCAGCCTCTTGCTGATGCTGCTGTCCGACTTCCCTACGTAACACGTGAGAACGTCTTCCTCGGTCTCGATGACGTGGACGTACATCCCAGGCCCCTTGTACATCATACCAGAGAGCCGCTGGCCCTCTGGCTCTGCCAAGGTCGATCGGCCGCGCGTGAGTAGATAATTTGCCTCTGACTCGTCCATGAAGGACACGGCCAACTTTGCTAGCGTCTGAGGAGAAAAGTCTCCCCATACCTGCTTCACCGTTGGACAGTGTGTAATCTGCCTGACCTCACTGACAGAGACCATGAGAGTCTAAAGTAAGACCAAAGGCAGGAGAAACTTGATCTTGGGCAGAATCTCTAAGACGATAGGCTCTCAGGAGGCCGCGTCGAGGCCATTGTATATGTCTTTGTAGTCCAGCCGAGACAGCTGGTGCCTTCATGCCACTCTTTCGCCTCCTCCTGACCGCCTGCCTTGCTCTGCAGACGAGACACATATGCGTTGAAATTCATGTTCTGGAGGGAGAGAGCGACAGAGACATGTCAGGAGCTGCTATAGGTATCAAGGCGTTCTCTACACTGCGTAGCATCTCTAACAGACAGACCACTCTTTGGTTCGCGTAGCTAGGGCAAAGGGAGGTTCCAAGCTTTTCTATGCGCACATAGGCTCTTACCCCTCTTGGTGCCTTTGCGCCGGGCTTCGATCCATGCAACTACCCACATATGAGAGAACGAGAATACTCCTTTAGCCTCGTCAGCACCGAAGCAGATAAAAAGAGTAGACTTGGTTGTTGGCAGCGAATGTATGCGTTGATAGTTCCAGGCAAATGTGGGAGGGAGGGTGAAGCAGCGCCGATGAGGAGATGCTGAGGTGTGCGACATGTAGGGAGGCTTTAGAGTAGAGCTTGATGTGTGATGTAGAGTGCGCAGAAGAACAGTGCGGCGTGGAAAAAGGGCTAAGGTGTGAAGTAAGGTAGAGAGTAAGTTACGATGTTAGGACAAGAGCGAAAGGGACGAGAAGAACGTCCTAATGCAGATGGTCTTCCGTCTCTCTCCGAGGCAGTGAGGCGTTTGCTACCACTACTACCTGCCTCAGTCGAGTCCTGTGCCTTCGTCACCCGGACTCCTCCGACGCATGATCCATTGAAGCGCGGCGCACGCTTGCCGCCACGGTACTGGCAGCAAAGACGGATCTGTGCCTGGATGCTCACGTGAACCTCGAATTGTTGCGGACACAGCTGTTTCAACGACTCCCATTGCCTGCTAGACGTCCTTTCGATGGGTGCAATTCGCGCTTGCTACTCGCAGGAGCATTTCCGTCGATAGTGATAAGACACCTTGCTTAAGCTCGCTGCAGGAGTCGAGTCGGAGCTTGATCTGTGAGGCTAGATCTCAGGCTTAAGGTAGCACTCCAGCGACACCTTGCCTACCAAGAGCACTGAGAGCTCTCGCAAGACAGAAGACAGGATAGCGTAGAAGCAAAAGTACAGACGAGCCACAGGCAGGAGGGTGACGTGATTCATAGTTCGCGATGGACATTGCTTGTGAAGACTGGGACACATGCAGACACGACAATTCGAGAGTGTACATGGAGGGGTAAAACTTCGGAATCCTTGAGTCCTTCACAAGTCTGACTATTACAGAGGCCATCACTCGATGCCGCTGATGCTATCCCTGATTGCAATGACAATAACAGTCTAGACGACGAAGCGGAAGAAGGGACTGTCCTCGCCCTGTCGGCCCACCTCGATGGTCCTGCGCAACGCCTCGACTCTCTCCTCCTCGACATTCTTGTCCAGCACGACCTTGTCTTGCAGCTCGCTTGACCTGCTTGTGCCTGTCTGTCTTAACTCCGTCGTCGTTTCCCTATCTCCGACGCTACCCGTTGCGGGAGCCGTCGCGTCTCCGAGGTGCTCCGCCTCACGTCGGTACGCAGCTCGATCCCTGCGGTGATTGTTTACTACGAAGAACACTGCAGATACGAGGGTGATGGCTAGGCCGGCAGCGAGGATGCCGAGGGAGATCCACATGCCCTTCTTGTAGTAGGGCGCGCCCTCGACGAAGAGGCCCAGAGTACCTAGCAGGGGTCCGCATTGCGATACCACGCCGAGGATGGAAAGTCCCATACCTCTTGCTCGCGGCGAAGCGACGTTGGAAATAAGCCACGTATACGTGAGCGGGACACAGCTGAACAAACCGAATGTAACGAGGAAGACAGCTCCGTATCTTGTAGCGAAGTCTTGCTTCAAGGCGAGTAGCAGGTATCCGATGATGCCGATTACGAAGTCAACTGCAAGGAACGTGGCGCGATGCTGGAAACGGTCGCTCAGGTAGACTTGTGTAAGAGCTGAGGCCCATGCGACCAGATAGGGGCCACAAGTGTATCCTTGGGCTTTGAGAGCAGTCAAACCTGACTGGTTCAGAATCTTGGGAAGGTAGATGGGCACAGACGCGTAGCCCACATTGCAGCAGAACAGGAGCAGTGCAGTCAGCCAACCGACGGGATGAGTCAGACCGGCAATAGTCGACTTCTTGTCGAACTTGCTCTTGATGCCGTGCAGAATAGTGGCGCCCTTGCTCTGCTCTCCTACCGCTCCTTGGTGTGTGTCGACCGGCTTGAAGAGTCGCTCATCGGCGATACGCTTCTGGCGCTCATTGAGGAAGCGACAGTGCTTAGGGTTGTCCGGCAGGAAGAGGTAGACAAAAATGGACAGGATCATAGAGGGTGCGCCTTCCACGACGAAGAGGAGTCTCCAGCCGGCAATTGCCGAATTTGCTTGTACGAGGGCGTAGGCGAGCGCTCCTGCAATCGCGGAAGCTATAGCCGACGAAGTCACGAAGAACGCGAAGCGCAGACCGACCTCGCGACGTGGGAAGAAGAAGCCGAGATAGAGAGCGATTCCCGTTCCGAAGCCAGCCTCAGCCACTCCTGTGCAAAAGCGAGCGACTAATAGACCAGCAAGATTGGTCGCAGTGGCCTGGAGAGCGGACGAAAGCCCCCAGATGAAGACCATTGCTGCGACCCACTGGTGCGCCGGAACCACTAGGTAGAAGAGGAGCAGCGGTTGAAAGACGATGTACCCAACGTAGAAGATTGTGGTGACGATGCGATATTGATCAGCTGTGAGGCCGAGATCGGCACCCATTCCGGCCGTCTCTGCATTGCCGACGTCTGTAATTGGCACGCGGTCGTCAGTATCGCCGGCTTTTCAAACATTTCCGTTCTGATGTCTAACGAACTCACTAGATCGATCGATGAATGAGGCGCCATAGATGACAGCGACCAAAGGCAGAATATTCCAGTCCAAGAGTCTCCTCACTTTTGTCTCCTCCTCATCTGTCCACCACTTAATGGAGCGGACATCCTCCGTCCTGACCTGGTTCGAGTCCGTGTGCTCCTCGAGCTTGATGGAATCGGGAGATGCATAGGTCTGGGAGTAGGTAGTGGGGTTCTGCTTCTCAGAGGTGTGGCTTTCGCCTTGTGCTAGAGGTGACGAGTCCATATTGCCGTGTCTACAGTGCCGTGTCTACAGCTTCACTACTGCAGCAGCCTGGAGGAGAGATGGGCGATCAAGGGAAGGTGCAGTGGGGAAGGGGAAGAAGTACCCTCATTCCTTCTTATTTAGGGCAGCAGTAGCGGGGAGCTCGCATCCCCTTTTCTTTTCCTCCTCTTGACTCGCCCTGCGCATTGATCAGCACCGCGACCGCGTTCAGGAAGGAAGCGAGGTCTCGTGTCTTACCCCACACATATTGGAGACAGGCGGACCTCACAACAACAGCAGCTTATGGTCAGGGCGGGCTCGCATTGGGGGAATCTCAGTTGCAGACCAGTGCTGCGACTGTGCCGAATCGCAGAGTGGATTTGCCGAGAAACAGGAGCGTAGCAGAGCTCTGGAGGCAGGCAGGGAGCTGCGTTGTTCTCAGTGCAGGGCGGGACTCCTCAAAAATTCATGCAGGGGCGCGGCCTGAGCGGAGGGGGCCGAGGGACAGTGGCGAGATGCCTGGTGATCGGATCTGGGGAAGAAAACGGCGTTAAAGCCGAGGGCGCTCCGATCATAAAGCTGCCCGAAATGAGCTGTGCTTCACCCCGCTCCGCTGCTGCCGACGCCCTTCTCCGACCTACTTCTTGCGCTAGTCAATCGGTGAACCAGGAAGTCAGTCGCAGTAGCAGTCAGCTGCTAGACTGCTTCGACGCCCCCCGTCAAGCAGTCGAGATGATAATTCAGCCGGCAACACGTTCAGCGGGCCTTCCGAATCATTCGGAGATCTCTTCCTTTCCCCGTTTCCCCCCCCCCCCCCCCTTTCCCCGCACCGATCGAGGAATGGCACAACTTAGCTTGGCCTTCCGGAGACCGACACGGCAGGATTCTATGCCGAAGACTACTCCGTGACCCCACACTCGGCCTGCCGAACTCCGGATGAGCGACTGATTGACCGACCGACCGACTGACAGACCAACTGATCAAATCACTGCTCTCCCTGATTGGCTAGTCCAATACACCCGATAATGCACGGGTCGCCGGTAGAGTACGAATCGCCGCCAGAAACTCGAGCCTCAAGGTTCCCACTCCACCTCCTTACCCCTTCCCCTCCCGGACTGTCGGACGCCGTGATTGACTGACCGACTGACTGTCTACTGCAGCACACTACAGCAGCGTACCCACACGGCACATCACAGCGCAACAGAGTGAGTACACAGCGGACAATTCTCCCCCCTTCACTCGCTCGCTCGCTCGCACGCCCACTATGTCTGTCCACCAAACCACCTCACCTTCACCACTCCTAAATGTACGACAGGAAGGAGGAAAGAAAGGATGACATTTCAATTCATAAGATCAGATGAGATGAGATCAGAAGAAAGGAGAGTGGGAAGAGAACAATGATGTCCTCGGTCGCTTTGGACGGGACATCTTTCATGGGGGTATGGGCGTGGGATCTGAAACATGAAAAAAAGTGTGGAACAATCAAGTAAGGGAGGAGGTCGTCGCTCTGACGAGCGGAATGCATTCGCTCTCCCTCCCACTCTCCCCCTCCCTCTCTATCCAGCCTGACTGGCTACCTTGCCTACTATACCAACCACTCTGCTCACATCCACATCCACATCCGCATCGTCCCTCCCATCTCTCCTCCTGCCCTGACGCACTGTCCTATGGCGGCTGACTCTTCCCTCCTACACTTCCACCCTGCCGCGTCTAGAGCAACCCAGCGTCCTTGAGGTTATTTTGAATGACAATGTCATTGACTGCGCTGAGTACAAACTTGATCTGTTGTGTATCCGTTGCGCAGGTAAAGTGTGTATACACCGTCTTGTGCGGGCTCTGATTCAGACTGACAAATCTGCCCACGATGTACTCGCTGGCGGCATTGTACATGTCGTCTGGATGCTGAGGAGGCTGGAAATCGGAAAAGTAGTCGCTGAGGGGCGAGTAAGGGAGCTTCTCCTTGAAGAGGTCGATCTTGTTCAAGAAGAGGATGATGGAAGTGCGTGTGAACCACCGCGAGTTGCAGATCGAGTCAAAGAGGGTGAGCGCTTCTTGCATTCGATTGACGTTTTGATCCTCGTAGAGGAGCTGGTCATATTCTGAAATGGCTACGAGGAAGATGATGGCAGTGACGTTTTCGAAGCAGTGGATCCACTTTTTACGCTCCGAGCGCTGGCCTCCCACGTCAAAGACCTTGTAGTTGAGGTCGCCGATTTGGAAGTGCGTCTCTGTGATACCAGTGGTCTTGACTCGGGAACGCAGCACGTCTTGGTCCGTGGGGATGTAGCGAGGGTCGGCCATCCGTTGGATCGAGTCAAAGTAGCTGTGAGAAGGATCGGGGAGGGAGATGACAGAAGGCAAGTGTGAGTACACCGAGAGAATACCCTCCACTGTCTCTCACTTCTCGCGCTACTCACAATCTGGCGCTGTCGTTCAATTGATACTCCCTACTCCTGTCTACACAATGCCTCACCCCCCTATCTTGCCATAGTCCCCAGATGGCATCAGCCACGTCCTTTGGCAGGTAGTCTGCTTCAATCTGAGGCGGCAACCCCAGGATGATCTCTGCTCGAGAGGCATTGTTTCCGTCACTCAGAGGGATATCGAGGTTCTCCATGGCATCCAGCACGACCCTCATGCTCTGAAGGGTGTTGGAGAAGATAATCTCCTTGTACGACTCCCTCTCCTCGTTTGTGTAGGCTCCATTGTTGATGAGCTTGAGTTGCTTGAGGATAGTGGACTTGCCCGACTCTCCGGCTCCCAAGAGGAGCATCTTGATCTCATTCCTTTGGGCCAGACGATCTTTCTTGAGCTGGGTCTCAATCTCTTCGTTGCGAGCCACCTGCTCCTTGTCTACTTTTGAAGAACCACAGCCCATGTCGAGTGGTTAGTATAATGGTGGTATGGATGGATGAGGCGGAGAAGCGGGTATCGTAGAGAGGCTGGCCGTCTAGTTGAAGGGGAGGGGCGATTGTTTGTCCGAAAAGAGAGGGCTCGAGAGCAACGCCGAATAAGGGAACAAAGGAGCCGAGGTAGGAGCCACGGGGTGAGAGAGAGAGAGAGACGGAGGCTAGACCAAGGGGCGTGGAATACGATGGTAGTGCTGACAGGAGGGTGGTGTTGCACTGCAAGGGAGACTGGATGCTTGTTCAAGGGTATTGTTGGAGTGTGGCTACGGTGACGAATGGAAGAGAGGGGTGATTGCCTTTGGCCGTCACGCGCTAGTCAAGGGTGTAAATGGGCCGAGCCGAAGGTGGGCTGCAGAGTGCCGAGGTCGGGCAGTGAGGGTTGGGCCAAGATGCGTGCGATGCGAGATGCCTTCGAGGGGACGTATGCGAGGCGTGAGATGCGAGGTCGTGGGGGGATCTGTTGACGGCGACGTCGTTGATGTAGATTGTACGACGATGGGTGCGAGGCGTTTAAGGCGTCTTCCTGTTCAGGGAGCAACTCGTAGCTGCTGCATAGGGGCCCAGGAGCAGCCAAGGGCCAGGCAGCCAGCCAAGGCAGCCCAGCCACGCGGGGCAGCGCGCAAAGCCGTCGCTCCATTCACGCGGGGGCGGGGGGCTGGGCAGGCCAGGCTGTCGTCGGGACGGGCCACAGACCACCCAAGGCTCCCCTTCCGTCGCGGATTTTTCTGAGGCCCAGCAGGAAGAAGTGAGAGGCACTCACTCACTCCGCAAAAGGCCCAAGGTACCTTTGTCCTACGAGAAACGCACACACTACCGCTCCTCTCCACGCATCCCTCCATCCCTCAGCCCTGCACATGGTCAGACAGCCCAACCAGGGCGAGCTGCTCAAGCAGATCAGGGCCATACGCACATCGCAAGACGAGCAACAGTGAGGATACCAGACACGCCTAGACGCCAGACCGCTCCTGACCCTCCATCCCCCTCACCTTCCTCCCTTCTGCAGGCAATCGTCACTCCTCGAGTCTACCTTTGCAGAATGCCTTCGTAGATGTCAGAGCTCAGAATGTATGCGCCAGGACTTTGATGACCTGGGCCAATGGACACTTGCCGCAAAACACCTTGCAGCAACTACACAGAATACCTGCCTCGCCGCCCTCCTAGATCAGGACACCCAATCCCTCCTCACTCAGCTCTTCTGGGACAAGCTCGACCATGAGCGCTCCTCTGTGGCAAAGCGCTCCGAGAGTGTACTGCCGACGGTATTGCTGCTTCTGGACCAGATCGCCCTGGGCCGTCCCTCTCCAAGCAAGGTAGCTCAGTCCTCTGGCGGGCGAGCCCCCCTCTCCCACCTCGCTTCACTCCTCCTGGATCGAGCAAGTCAGGACATGGAGACTCGTACCGCGCTAGTCATCTACGACAATCTCCTCTCCCTCTATGACGCCGAAGAGGTTCTCAAGCGCACCCCTGACCTCTACTCGCAGCTCATAAACAAGTTCTCCGCTCAGGTGGACATTCCCACGCGCAGGTCGAGAGTCTGTATGAAGATTGTCCGCCGCAAGGGAGAGGCCATGGGGCTACGCTTCGACAGCACAGAAGAGGCTGTCGCGAGCAAGGCAACGACTTCTCAAGCTGCGATGTGGTCAGAGTGGGTCGAGTACACCACCCGCCCCATCATTGATGCTTTACAGTCTGAAGACAGCTACCGTAGGACATCGACCAGCGTCTACCACCTCGTCGAATTGTTCCAGCTCGCTCCAGCTTCCATCTCGGCCGTACTCGCAGGCCTTATGCAACAAGCTCCCGCACTGCCCAACCTCCCAGCCGTCCTTGCCACGCTACGAGCTGGCAAGGGATACGGACTATGCCGGGTGGGAGAGTCTGCAGAAACGAGCAATGAGACGCTCTTGGGCGAGGATCTCATTTCAGCTACTCGCACTGCAGCTCTGCACCCCAGCGACCAACTCTGCATTGTGATTCCCGCAGCACTGCTTGCTGCTTGCGGACAGTCCAGCGACGAGGAGCTGCAGGTCTCTGCCTTCTCACTCGTAGTGGAAACCAGGAGTGCCGTCTCACCACTGACAAAGGACGAGCTTGCCCTTTTGCAAGCGTTCCTCGAGGCGAGCTTTTCCAGCACGCACGCCAGCGGTAGAGGCTCGTTGCACTCCCTGTTCGGCAAGCTGCTTGCTAGAATCACTGCCGTAGGATACGCGGCTGAGCGTGAGATTGCAAAAATCAAGGACGACGCCGAACCAGAGAAGCTACGAGCCAGAGAGAATCACCAGCTCGCTCTTCAGTCGAGTCGCGACTTCCTACTCTCCGTCACCAATGTGATTTTGCGAACACTCCATCCCGGAGCACCCTACCACATCGTCATCGCATCCTTGACCTTCCTTGAGCTGATTCTCGCTGCAGGGGTCGACCCACAGTACGAGCGAAGTGGGGCGGGTGACACAGATCCTGGCCTCAAAGCTACATTTGGCACCTTTCGCAAGGAGTACTCGCTTGGCGTGCGGCTCATCGATGGCCGCATGGTCAAGATTCTGCTGTCTTGTGCAGACAGCACCTACCCTGACATCCAGGCAAGAGCCCTTGGTCTACTGCATCGCTTCCCTGCTCCTTTGCATGGACTGGAAGATCAAGTCGCTGCTGAGCGTGCGATTTTGTTGAAAGCGAGGCGGTTGCTCCTCAGCGGCAGGGATTCCGAAAGCTCTGCTGCTGGAGGACTACTCAGAGTGTATCAACAGGTCTACATTCGACGACTCGGCTGGACGCCAACACCCCTCCTCAAGCTAGAAGGAGGCAACCAGAGCACCCCGACCGTGTCGGCCTCTTCACGCGAGTTACTTCTGTTCTCCGATCTCTTGGCTTTCTTGGAGGCTCACATCAAGCTAGCAGAGACAGAAGGTCTGTTCGAAGCGGCAAAGAACAACCCACTACACGGCACCTTGATCACTCTGCAAAGAATGCTCGACGATGCCGTCTTCTGGTCCGCTATTGATGGCGATGTGGCCGGTCAGCAAGAGCTCCGCGCTGAGTTCGTCCGAGCTCAGGCTTTAATCGACAGGATCTGGGATGTCACGCGGCCGATCCTGTGCGCAGCTGCTCCCGAAGGTAATGATCACTCGGGAGCTGCAGATATTGGCGGCGGCGATGATGCCGTGGATGCAGCTGACACTGAGGTAGCAAGGGCATTGGCAGCTGCAGAGGGAGGAGCTCTCGATGATGCAATGACGGAGACTATCATCCGCAAGTCTCAAGTGATGCTCTCTTACTCCTGGAGAGGCATGAAGGAAGCTGCCGCGCTGCTTGGCAAGCTCGTCTCCTCTCCGCTCAAGCATGACGCGAACATCGCAAAGGCTGTCTGGACCGAAGACGAAATCCAACAAGCCGGTGATCGCTTCTCGTTATGGATGACAGCTGTCCGTCACCGCGGTGCTTTCAGTACCATTTACCCAGCCTACTCTAGTGCCGCTGCCGCAATAGTGAGAGGTGACTGGCTGGAGGTGAAGGAGCTGCCCAAGAAATGGCTGCAGAGTTTCATTTTCATGATCACCGACGCCAAGAGTAGCATCTCTACCACTCGACGCAGCGCAGGCATTGGCTATGCCGTTCTTGCCTTGGTCACAGCACTTCCTCTGCGACAAGACCGAGCGCCTCTTCAGTCGGCTATGAAGCGGCTCATCGACGCAGCCGACGAATGCTTTGGCTCAGAAGATCCAAAGAGCGTAGCAGCACATATCCACACCATCAATATCCTGCGTGTGCTCGTCCTCGATGCATCACTAGCCGAGCCTATGAGCCCCTTCACAGACACGCTTCTGTCTCTTGCTATTCGCAGATTCCAATCTCCCGTCTGGTACATCCGCAACGCAGGCTTGATGCTCTTCGCAGCTCTGTCGCCTCGGGCATTCCCTGCTCGCAAGACGAACGAGGACGCTCCTTCCTCTCAACTCCCAGCCAACCGCTTCTTCCAGCTGTACCCTACCCTCCACCCCGCCCTCAAGGATCACCTCGACAGTGCCCTGAAGGCAGGACTCCACAAGGCGAGCAATCGTGCAGACGCCGAGCAGGCGGGCTCGCTATATGCAGTGCTCTTCTTGCTGTCGAGAATGCAGGCCGTAGACCATCAAGAATCTGGTGCGGCGGACATTGAAGGGCTGAGAAAGCTAGTGGGCCAATGTCTTGAAAGCGTCGACTTCAAGATCCGCGAAATTGCCAGTCGAGCTTACAGCTCATTGACGACCAGAACCAATGCGGCAGCGACAGCTCTCGACTTGGTCAATACTTGCCACTTTACAAAGAGCGAAAACTCGCTCCATGGCTCCCTGCTGGCTGTAGCCAGACTAGGTCGAACGCACGGTGTCGGTACCGGTCACGCCAAAACCGCGCAGGCGCTCAAGGTGATGCCTGGTATTGATTCGTCGAGCTCTCCCGCTGTGCAAGAAGCGTACAAAAAGGCCGTTGCAATCTATGCTGATGCTCAGCAAACGACTGAGAGCGACAAGGTCAAGTACTCGGCCCAGGATCTGGTCTTGCGCCGACGACAGGTGCTATGGGGCTCTTCTCAATCGGTAACAACCAAGAGTCTGGGCTCCTCTCCGAACGCTCAGGCAGATGAGTCCTTCATTCAGCCAATCATCGATTCTCTGTTCTCACCTGGCCTTAACAACCCCACCCAGCGTATTATGAACCAGTGCTTCTACGGTCTCTTCGCGACCCTACTGTCACTTCTCATCGGTACAGGTGGGAATCCGCACGTCCTCTTCTTGAATGTGGTAGCAGTATGTCTCTGGGCTAGCGTCAATTGGTTCGTTGCGGAGCTGGCAAGAATGACTCCACCTCCAAGCTCCGATGACTTCACGGCTGGTACAGCCGATTTCCAGCTGCGAAGCGAAGCCGCTGATGAGCTTTACGAGGGTTATGATGAGGCCACCTACCTCTCAGGTCTCTCTACAGTAGGCACTACTCTTGAGGAAGAGTGGGATCGTCTGGCCTCTGTAGCGTTTGAGAGCGGTAGAGTCCCACTGAGGGAGTCTGCTCTGACGCTACTGGGCTGCCTCACCACCTCGCTTCTGCAAACGAGCAGCGATGCAGATTACAAGAAGAAAGCATTGGTCATGTACTCCAAGCTGGTCTGCCTGTGCGCGAAGGAGGACGAGCATGTGGAGTCGAGACTTGCTGCCATCCAGTCTCTGGCTCGCTGTGGCCGTTGGCTCTTCTCGCCTTCTCGATCGGACGACCAGCAGTTGGCGGAAGGGGCTGAACGAGCCTTGTTCAATGCCAGAGTGGCAGTGGTGGACCTGCTGCAAGACGATGAAGAGGAAGTGAGATACATTGCTGCCGAGCTCATCTCAAAGGCAATTTCTGCCTCTTCATCGGAAGAAGGTGCAGTCGCCAATGGCTCTCAGGGTACTGGACAGCTCGAAGCAGTTCTCCAGGCCGCGAGACAGAGCGTCGCTTCCAGCTCCATCAGTACCGCTCGTGCATGGGAGTGGATGGATGCACGCTACACAGCGCCTGATGGTAAAGACCTCTGGACGAGACACCTCTGCCGTACCGTGATGCTTCCCTCAGATCGTGGGCTGTCCTCCTCTCTCGAAGAAGCACTCCATCCTGCCGATGTCCTCTTTGCCGTAGAGCGGCCCAATCTCTACCGCGATGTGGAGATGGACGTACTTCAGGCTCTGGCCGTCCTCGAGTCGAGAAAGGCAACACCGTCCAGGAGGTACATCGAGGAGTGGTTCGGAGGTAGAGCTGATGCAGTGACGAAGATGGCCGGGCAGCTACTGGAGAAGGAGGAAAGCACGATCTCGGTGGTGGGAAGGGTGTTGGCGGTGAGACTGTACGCTGCAGCCATCTTGATGGGCAAGGGAAGAGACGACGTGGAGCGAGTGAGGAAGGAACTGGGCCAAAGACTGCGCTATACCCCTGCCTGAGAAGCTCGGGCTTACCTCAATTATCTCCAATCAAGTGTACTGGTATCCTACCCCATCCGCAATCTATCCATGGACTCCCGACTGCATTGCAACTCCGCGTCTGCGTCCATTCAAGTCTGCACCCAGATCTGCTGGGTGTGCGGCGAGGAGGGATGCCAATGGACGGACGGACGACTCTTTCGGCGATGGTCCGGCAATGATCTTCCGAAAAGCAGGCAGACATACGTCGCAGGATGGGCAGACGCAATTCGCTCCAGCTGAGCGTCTTGTTTATACCAAGCTCAGAAGAGGGGGACTACCTTGACCTCTTCACCATCCCTACCACTGGCGTTCCCACTCACTCGCACTCACACTTGCCCCTGCCCCACCCTTCCCCTGATTCACCTCTCACCCTGTCAGCCGTGGCCAGCTTGCTTCACCAGTCTATCTGTGTACCTTTTCTGATCTTACCGGCACACCACCAATACTTGTCCTTGGCCAAAGGTCTCCTCGTATCCTCTTCAAAGGTATCCTACATCTCACCGTCTCTACTCAGATAATTACCAATCACAAGCCGCTCAGGTACAGATCAGCTCCACATGGTTCCCTTGTCACTGGCTCAATCGGCCGATGCCCTCAATGGCTACTACACCAACCTCTACGGCTACTATGCCGCACTTCGCGCCCTCCCTTGGTACTCTCAGATCCTCATTACCGGTCTTCTCAGCATCATCAGCTCCATCGCTATTCCTCTGCTAGCATTCGTCCTCTACTACCCCTACTGGATCTACCTACGCCCTCGCTACTTCTCCCCCTTCCGTAATCTTCCAGGCCCACCTGTCTCAGAAGGCCACTGGTTCTGGGGTGAAGCCATCCAGCTCATCAACAAGGAGTACGGCACCTACCAGACTGAATGGAATCGTCGCTTCGGCGGGAAGCCCGGCCAGCCTGGGTTTATCAAGACGGTCGGACCTATAGGTCTGGAGCGCCTCATTGTCTTCAGTCCCACGGCACTTCGACAGATTATGAATGACTATCAATACACCAAGCCGCCTTTCGCCTCACGGATCCTCAGCCAGATTACAGGTCATGGACTGCTCACGGTGGAGTATGATGTACACAAGAAGATGAGGAGAGATCTCAACCCGGCTTTTGCTACAAAGTATCTGGCTATGCAGTATGAAGAGTGTGCACCGGCACTTGCTGCCATGTGCGATGAGTTCGATCGACTGATTGGGAACAAGGACGCAGAGGTGATCAATGCGTACGATGTCGTCACGAGGGCCCTGCTGGACATCATCTGCTTGACTGCCTTTGGCTACGAGGTAAGTTGTCGCAGCCGGGATCCCCTATGTCTCTTGACACTAGCTGACACTCACTGTCACTCCGCTTACAGGTCGACTCCATCCACAATTCTGACGAGCCACTCTCCAAGGCCTACCACACTCTCATCGGCCTGCAAGGCGGTGGCAATCTGGCTGCTCTCATCGTAATTCTCTCTCTGCCCTTTGGCGTCGGCACTGCCTTCATTGAAGGGCTTCTGCGTAAGAACGACTACTGGCTTCCTGTCCTCCACAAGATCGCCAGCGCCTCCTGGCTCTTCTACCCCGTCTCTGTCCTAGCTGAATACGTCGATTCCGTAGGGACTATTCAACGAATCGCCGAAAGACTTCTGGCCCAGAAGACGGCAGAGGCTAAGGCCTTGAAGCGACTGCAGACGCACGATGCATCTCAGCAAGGCAAGATCGATGTTCTCTCTCTCATCATCAAGGGCGCGCTGGATGCTGAGACTGAAGCTGAGAAGACTAATAATGGCAAGACGGCCCGCAAGATGGATGCTCGAGAGTGCAAAGCACATATCATGACATTTCTTGGAGCTGGGCACGAGACGACTTCTAGCGGCGTTTCGGTGAGTAATGATGAGTGCTGACGAGGACTTTGCTGGACCTGTATCCTGACCACGTGCCTTACTCCACTGCTTCGCAGTGGACCATCTGGCTTCTGGCCAACAATCTGGAGGTACAGCGCAAGCTCCGATCGGAATGTCTGGAGTTCCTCGCACAGTCGTCTTCTGGACATCCCTCCTATTACGAGCTCAGAGAACTGAAGTACCTCAATGCTGTCGTTGTCGAATCATTGCGTGTCCGTCCTAGCGTCCCCGGTACCTTTAGGAAGTCTACCAAGGATAGCTATCTTGACGGAGTCTGGTGTCCTAAGGGAACGGTGAGTTGAGCAGCCCATGGGCTCGTACCCGGAAGAGCTAACAGTTGACCTTGACACTCCCCAACGACTATGAACGCTTGACAGTACCTTGCCATCTCATCATTCGCCATCAACACTGACCCTCGAGTGTGGGGACCTGACGCTGCCGACTTTGTGCCTGAGCGCTGGCTTCCAGAGGAGACCCACGGCAATTCCTCCAGTACCTCCGACGCTTCCTCAAAAGGATCCGGCGGTGGTGCCACCAAGACTGAGACGGGCTCACTGCGCCCTCGAGGCGTGTCTGCTGAATGGGACCCAACCTACTCCTACATGAGCTTCATTGCCGGCAACCACCACTGCATTGGGAAGAATATGGCGCAAATCGAGATGAAGGCAGTCCTATTTCAGATGATCACCAAGTTTGCTTGGACAAAGGTTAGCGAGGATCAGACGATTCGGGGTGATACGGCTATTACGATGAAGCCTCGTGGTGGAGTGCCTGTCAGGCTCAGGAGATTGACTGAAGAGGACTACGCTGCGGCTTAGCCTGCCCGCCGTCCCTTCTGAGGGCCTCGCTCCAGGTGTCGTCTCGGATTGAGACACACTACCCTACTCCCAAGCACCTAGGAGCTCGGTATCTTCTCCGACACAGAATCCCCAGTCTCTCTCTCTTCCCAGCCTCACCCGATACGAAACTCTCCTTGGTCCACTTTGCATTGTATATCTATTCCACCCTTCAATCGAGGAGTGACCTCCCCTCCCCCCTCGCTTCCCCCTTCGATCTTGTCCTGCAGTCCTGCAGTCCTGCAGGCTACAAGTCACTTTCGTCTTCTTCTTTAGAATAGTCCGACCACTGCGTAGAATGTTACACTCCAGATTTCAATAATATGAGAAGTTCTTCATGTCATTATCCATTCTCTCGCCCTGCGCCTTGCTTCTGCTTGACACAACATCTTCACCTCACCCCCTCTCCTCTCCTCTCCTCTCCTCTCCTCTCCTCTCCTCTCCTCTCGTAGAGTACGTTGAGAGGCAAAGGATCACAAAGCCCACTCCTCTTCCTCCTGCATCTCCCTCGCCGCCAGTGGTCCTCCTCCTCCTCCAGCACCTCCTCCGCCTCCAACAAAGGGCTTGGCCAAATCGGCCAACGAGCCCTCGCAGAGTGGACAGCTGGCAGCGAGAATCGCATCCATCTCGTCACGGACACGCTCCACTGCCGCAAGCTCCTCGCGCTGTCGACGTGTGAGGAGGCGAGGGGCCACTGCTCCCGCTTCTTGGCCTCCGGTGGAAGCAGAGCCGGCTGCAGTGGCAGAAGCGCCTTCGGTGCCAGTGCCAGCAGCAGCGGCGGAGGGCACCACAGCACGGGGCTTGTATCCGAGGACAGGCTCGCTAAAGGGATCCAGTGGGGCGAGGACGCGACGTCCACCCGCGACAGACACGCTGACACCTGCAGTGAGAACACCGAGGAGCGTCTCGGGCAGTCGATCCAGCCCGAGAGGTCCGAGGGGGGCAAGACTCGACCCCATACCCATCCCCATACTCATGCCGAGACCGCCGCCTACGCCGCTGGCGCCCGAGGCGACGGCTGCTGCTACTGAGGCGCCTGCACGGCGCGTTAGGGAGAGACTGCCGTTGGCGGCGCTAGCGGCGGCAGCACCGTTGCCATTACCATTGGCGGCAGAGGATGTGGCTTGTGCTTCGAGGTAGGAAGGGGGAAGAGAAGGGATCAGGCCAGATGTGATGCGCGAGAGCTGTGATTGGAGCTCCAGCAGTCTTCGTAGTGAGCGAGGTGGAAGGCGGCGGGTCGTCTGTGTGGTATGGAATGTGCAGAGACGGGAGAGGATTGGTAAGCATGAACACTTCCCACCCTGATACTATCCACACGTAACCGCGCTACTTACCTCTGCAATGAGACAATCGGCATGGAAGGCGTGTCGACAAGGGAATACGTAGAACTGCCTCGTCAAGACCTCGGTATCGCACGCGCCGCACTTGTCGTCTTCCTCCACAGTGACAAAACGCCGGCTGAGCTGCTCGATGTCACCCCGGATATTCTTGGCACTCTCGGTAGCTGTCTCCATCTCGGCCTTGAGCTCCTCGATTCTGCTTGCGTATCCTTCGAGAGCGAGACAAATCTCGTCCTTGAAGGAGTCGATGACGGTAAAGTCGGGAAAGAAGGGCAGGATATCCTCGATGGTCAGCAGAGGAGTCAGTGACAGGAACTCGGTTGCTGCCTTGATATCCTTCCTCGTCTCGACGACGTGCTTGGCAGTCTTTAGCCAGAGCTTGCGACGGAGCGATTGGTCTTCTGCAAGCTCAGCGCAATAGCAAGCCAGATCCACATCGCCTTCGTCTAGGGCGAGATCGACTGCATTTTCAAAGAAGCCCATCTTGGCGTAGATGCGCACACTAGCCTCTTGACGCTTGTGCTCCGCACATGTCCGGAGGGCGAAGTCAAGATCGTAGTACGGATTCCCGGTGAGAGGATCGGTTGGGCTCGTTGCGATGAAGTGTTGTAGATTAGCATCAATCTCGCTAGCCTCTTGCCCTTCGTCTCCCCGTGCCAGTAGAGTGAAGAGGAAATTGTGAACAGCTGCGTCGGTGGAGCCACCCTCTGTGACGACATGTTGGACGTAGCGGACTGCTTCATTTTGCTCTCCGTTACGCGGGCGGTGCTGCAGCATTGCGGGTATCAATTTGCGTGGCTCTAGAGCTGGCTGGCGCAGCCAGCAATCCACAGTCGATGAAGGTGCATTGCGCATTAGTGCATTCGAAAAGCGGTAGTATAGCGAGAGATCGGACTGCATCGCGAGGTCGTAAGAGATGTAAGTGAGCAGCACCTAGCTATATTCACATGAGCATCGCGCCACTCACCTGTCTGTTGATGGTATCTATGGCCTTGTCCCAGTTCTTTTCCTCGATCCAATGTCTTGCAATCTTGTCATGCTCGCCAATAATAGCAGCGTAGTGGAGCATCGTCTCCGTCCTGCCATGCCTAGATATAAGGGCAAATGTCGTCCTCGAATCAAGATCCTCCTTGTAGGTCACCAGGAACTGCTGTAGCTCCTCGTCGATCAGACCTTGCTCCAAAACGTAATTCTCAACATCCTGACTCGCCGCATGTGCTGCCGCGACGTCCTCCAGCTGATCAAGCTTGCTCAGGTAGATCTCTACGAGCCAAGTTGCCAGCAGAGTCCTCTGCGTGACGTCACTCTTCTTGAGTCTCTCCAAGCGTGTGATGAGGTAATACCTCAATGCATCCTTCGCATTTGCATCCAGAAATTTGAGGACGACTTGCTCGAATGTGCGAGTAAAGGACTGTGAGTAGCACTGAGCTGCCTGGATATGCCGTCCTTCTTTGAAGAAACTATCTCCTTGGGCTGACAGTACGAGGTCTCGTTGCGATACAGTCTTGGCGTGCTTCAACGCGGCTTCATGCAGACCACGCTCGAGATATACCTTCCAGACATTCCGGTCTTCGTCCTTTACCACCACCTCGAAGATGTTGGCGTCGGTGTAGATCCAGTATGTCTTGCGCGTTGTATCCACAGTGGCGCCAATGATGCGCTCGTTTGATTTGACGGGCAGCTTCTCGTCAAAGACCACGTCATCGTTGAGAGAGCTGAGACTCATGACTCGATCCCGGTACAGAAGCATCAAGTGGAACTCGCTCAGCATGATTCCCAGGGGAATTGCAGACGTAGCATCGCTTCCGCCGGCCTCGCCGAATACATTGGCCGGATATGGCAGGAGATTGGCGCTCTCGATCACGCTACCTCCGGCCTCCTGAGCGGATGATGAGCTGAGAAGCCCATGATAAACTCCTGAGCCTGTCAGCCACGCAAGGGCCTTTGGTGAAGTCTTGCCTTCGCTCGAAACGAAGTAGCGTAACTCAGAGTACGGCACATTGCCGGGGAGCTCAGATTCTGGCAGGCGAGATAGGGAGGGTGAGTCCATGACCTTCAGCTGCTGACCCCTGTGCTTACTCACTGAGATTTGGAACCGAGCCCTTGTAAGCCTCGAAGAGCCGAGCATACATGCCCTCTCCTCCACTACTACCTTCGTTGTCATCTCCTCTTCTTGAGCCACCTCCAAGAGCGCCCAAGAATTCGTAGATCCTTGTGCTCGTAGTAGCGATGACGGCGGCACGAAGTCTGCTGCTGCTGCCGTTCGTATTGGACCCATTCTTCGACTTCTTTGCTGAGCTAATGGACGATGCTGAAGCTGTGAATGGTACTATCACAAGGCCGCTGATAGGCTGCCGTTCCGACAGAGAGTAGACCAAGCGAAGTGTCCGATCGATGTCCGGGCCCGAGCTGCCACCTCCTGCTGTTCTTCTGGCGATTCGGTCGATAAAGTCTCCTTCGTTGTCGTCTCCATCTATGGGTACAGTGAGGACTGCTTCGTAGATGTCTCCGTTCTTCGTACCGATGAGGGTCTCCTTTGTGGAGGCGTACTGGGCTGACGTACTTCGCCTTGAGGTAATTCCGACTGCGTCCTTGTTCCATGCGATGCTTTCGACGACCATGCCTTTCCATCTCGGGAGGGTCTTGGCTTTCTTCCAGCCGGACCTCCAGTAGTAATTGTCACCGCTCCTCATCGCCAATATGAGATGCTGGCCAGTAGGATCTGCGTACATCTTGTGAGGGCCTACAAGACTGGGATCGGTCGGCAAAGCAGCTCGATTGCGAGGAATGGGTGGCAATGGCACTTCTGCCTCTTCTGTACGTTCTGGCTCGTCGAGGTTGATCCTCACAAGCCGCGGAGGCGGAGGAAGATTTTGGGGTAGGATGCCGCTTTGAGGATACGCATAGAGGCACATGGTGAGGATATTGGAGGAGACGGTGAGCAGAGCCAACGGAGCTGGGAAGGCATACTGCACGCGGCCGAGCTGAAAGATAGGGCTAAGGGAAGCGTCCGAGTCTTCAGCCGAGTTGAAACCCGTCTCGAGCTGTCACGGGCGTCACACGAATGTCAGCAAGCTGCGGAATCAGGCTACATCCTCTCTGTACTCACTGCTGTCACTGCATCGAGTCCATCGCTGTGCCTCGAAGCTCCCCCTTGCTCAAAGCCGTTGCCTGTCTGGAGACCATTTGACCCACCTGCTCCTCGAGAAGGCCCAGCTACCGAGGGGAATCCATGAGCAGGCGTCCTGGCGGAAGTCTGGACGAACCTACAGACAGAAGGAGCGGGTGGCAACGGAGACCAGAGAGATCAGCAAGCTTTTCAGATTGTGCGGTCTCGGTTGTACTGCCGTACTCACTCGTCAAACATGGACACTCGAGCTGGAGAAGGGGCACCGATGCCACCAGCGAGTTGCGTGCTTGCACCGGTCTAGAGGCTGAAGGCAGCTGATTTTGTATGGCCTGGCCGGCTGCCGATCTTCTGTTCGCCCCGTCAGCAGCTTTGGTGGCTGGTGTATCGCAAGACGAGCCTTTCCGTAGTTGCCTGCCGGTGATGGCGGCGCAGAGCGTGAATGTCGATGATGGTTACTGAGAGCGACCATCGAGAAGGAAGCGGGAGTGGAGCCGTGCGCCGTGGGCGTGTGCGTGTGCGGGTGGGTGGATCGGAATCGGAAGGGGAGGTGGGACGCGGGGATTGGCGTGCACCTCGGGAATCCCATCGAGTCTTGTTCCTTGCGACCTGATGACGAGGATTCTGCCGCTTGAACAGGGCGAGATGATCCGCAAGCAATTAGGCACGAGGGACAGATAGCCATCGTGAGAAGCTCATCCGATGTAACACCCACTACCCATCCTCGCAGACTAGCACAGCACCCGTAGCCAGCCCAGCCCAGTCCCACCAAGCCCAGCTGCACGTCCACCCACTCTACCACCAGGCCATGCCCCTGTGCTCGGTGTGCAGACGAGGAAGGGGTAATGAAGGCAAACAAAGCTTCCAACACGGCAGACGAGGGAATATGTTGGGCTCTGCATAGTTTCAAGTTGCCCTTGGTACCGGCACAACAGCGAAGACGAAGAGCACGAGCTCTCTATGCCTCTCGTGCCCTCTGACCCTCTTCTACTTACATCTTTCGCCTTTTCCCCCCTTCACTGCTTCTTGCCTTCCTCTTCTCCCTCAGCTCTATGCAGCATTGATCGGCTCAGCTCCTTTTGTCACCTAAGGAAGATCTCATCGGCGTTGTAGAGGATCCCCGAGCGAAGCACATCGCTACTCCCCGTCATCTGCCCACTCCCTCGCTCGAGCCGCCTCCTCATCTTGAGCCATATACGCCGCGCACCACATTGGCTGCTGTGCCATAGTCTCTTTTGTATCAGTGAAGCCGGGAGGATCCGGCACGGCAGAACTGTGGGTCTGATCGCGCTATCCGTGCGGCTAGAAAGCCAGTCGGCGTCGTCGGGGGACCGTGAGTATTAAAGAGATCTGCCGAAGGCGTAGCACTCAGCAAGAAGATCTGACGCACGGGCGCGCTAAGCTTGCTCCTCTTTGCACTGTCAGTAGATCGCCTCCGCGGAGCTGCACAATATAGGGGCTTTGAGTCGGATCTTTTCTTCTTGCTCGTCTTGGTCGGTATATAGCAGTGGCATTCTAGCAGCCTTCGTCCTCTGTTGATCGTGCTACCGGTTCCCGAGACCCAGACGGTGTACCAGCTTCAAGGGCTTCCATCGCAAGCGGCGTATCCCAAGCAATGTCCGAGGCTCCTGACTCAGAGAAGTCTTCGACGTCTCAGATGGACGGGCAGAATCTATCCCTGGAGGATCGATTCCCCTTCCTCAAGGATGAAACGGGCAAGAAAAGAGTCCGAACGCTTCTGACGCAGGAGCAGGCCGAGGTACTTCAAAGTATCCTGGCTCAGACCCCTTTCCCCTCAACAAGCGTCAGAGAAGCTGCTGCGCGAGAGCTGGGCATCTCGCCGAGGAAAGTGCAAGTGAGTCGCATCTAAGTATGAGCACCTAGAATCACGGAAGTCTATTGACAGTGAGGACCATCCTACAAAATTGTCCTTTTGACTTGCGAACACAGGTGTGGTTTCAAAATGTGCGACAAAAGCACAGACGTCTTGGCGGCAACATACTTAAGTGCGCACGAAGATATCAATCCCTCCCCAGAGGCCAGCCGAGCATTGCCGCAAGGCCACAAGCCACAAGACAGCACTCGTCTCCCAGTACTGAGGATGTCCGACGTGACCTTCAAGGCACAGACGGACGTCGCCAGCAGCAGCAGCATCGATCAGCTGCAGGCTCAATCGACCGCAGATACGCATCCTTTGAAGAGCTGGAAGCTGGGATGCCCGATCAGCTGAACCTCACTCAAACGCTGCAAGACAAATTGGCATTGCAATCGCCACCCAGTACAATCATCGAACAACAGCGTAATGATGAGGACAAGAGACTTCCAGCACTGGACTTCCCTGCTCCTGCTCCATTGACACTCCATCGAGCTCAGTCTGGTGGGGCCCACATCGTGGTGCCGTCGGAACCTCTCAAAATGGTCTACGAGGGATCAAGGAGATTCGATCTCGGAAGACCTGTTCCGCCAGCCCTTCGTCCCTCTGCGTCGCACTTATCCGCCTTCAGCTTCCCACCTCCTAATGCTCAGCTCAGGAGAAGTCATGAAGCACCTCCCCACGATACATATCAAAGACTGGACGTGCCCTCTCCTACCCGTCCAAGAGCTGGTACTGTGGCCTACGGTGCCCTTCGAGGTCGTCGTGCTTTCGATCTGGTACGAATGGGCCTACCTTTGCAGCATCCTTCAGCATGCCCTCCCCTGCGCGTACAGAGGGGATCAGGCAGCGAATTGTCTGCACGTGGCTCCCGACCCACGCACGAAAGACAACAGCTCAGCGGACCGTATGAGATCAGACGATCAACTGTCTCATCCTCTCGACCCGCCCTACTGAAGAGTCTGAGCTCGTGCGGCTTACAGACTATGTCGAGCCGAAGGGATTTCAAGGAAGCCGCCTCAAGGGGATCAGGACAAATCGGTCGCTCCCATGGAAGTTTGTCGAGCCTCGGTGTGGCATGTTCTTCCCTCCCTTCCCTCCAAGGTCTTCAGAGCTCAACCAGACGAAGGAGTGATGTCAGCGAGGATTTTGTCCGCCCTACTTTCTTACCGATGCAGACATCAGACAGAGTCCAATCCACACACCTGCTACACAGCACTTCTCCCTTCTCGTCCTTGTCCATCCGAGAACGTCAATGTTCCGACAGCAGAAGATCTCACTACCGTGGAGAGAGTATATGCAGTGCCCTCTCCGTAGCCTCGCTACCTTCTGGGTTGCAGACGGTCGAGAGTAGTCTGGGTAGCTTCAGCGCTCCGACAGTCGAGAGTCCAGAAGAAGACCAAATCATGGACGAGGCGGCAGGCAAAGAAACTCTTGCGCAGCAAAGCTTGGACATGGGGCAACTTCAGCAAGCCCTCTCGGACGTTCCACAATTTATTGGAATCCAAGAGCAAGGACATGCACGCAAAGCTGCCGCCAGACAATACGGGCATCGTCATGTTTCATCGTCATACAGAAGCGCGGAAGGGGTCGAGGGCTTTCTGGGGTACACCCGATCGCCCTTTGGCAGCTTCTCCGGTATCCTCGAAGCTAACAAGATTCTCAGCAGTGCGAGCGGCCAGGCTGAGTCGCAAGATCACTCGCCATACAGCCTTCCTGCTCGATCGCCCAGCATGTCGCCACCTCACCAAACGGCGTCTGGTGCACGCTCGCGCTCGATGAGCCTTCTCTCCCTTGAGGAAGAGGACGCGCTGACGCTGCCGCCTATCTTGAGCTTGCTGGCCGGTGCCGACGAGGACGGATCAATGGAAGGGAAGCCGTGGAAGGAGTTTGCAGAGCAGAGGCCAGGAGAAGGAGAAGGGCATGCTGCGAAGGTGTGCAAGCTGCCAGGTATCGCTCACCTGACTAGTCCGAGGTCGCTTTAATCTGCTTCGCAACGGAATCGCTGCAGAAGACCGGACTGGCCCACACATAGAAGCCCAGTCCAGCCCAAAAGTTCCATGACTCAGAATCAGCCTCGTCTTCTTTGAACCTCCTTGATGGGGGTTCCCGCTCTTCTCTCTCTCTCTCTCTCTTCTCTTCTTTCAAAGTACCTCTCTGCGTCGTGTCCCTCCCGCATCATCAATTCTTCTTCCATCGCGAAGTTTTCCATCGTGTCTCCTCTTCCTGCTCCTCCTCCTCTTTCACCTTGTAAATCTTCTGATTCGCCTCAATCTCCTGCACACCTGCGTACTACATGGCTTCGTATGGAGACCCTTCCCTGAGCACGAGTGACTATCGTTGGTTGAATTGTATAACATTCCTGGCAGTAGGTGACACAATCGAAGCTTCACATAAGCTGGCCACCAGACAGGGTTTGGTGGGAACTGAACATTCGTGTCTGGCTGGCTATCCATGCGAGACCTTCTTATTGGCGATTCCCATCTTCTTCTTCTTCCTCTCCAGACGCTTTGCGCTCATCTATGGCAAATAGCAGAGGGGCAGCAAGTCAAATCGGAATTCAAATCGAATATCATCTCGCTCCTCCATGCTCGCTGCACTCACCTTTTCCGCCATCCTCTCCATCCTCTCCCTCTCCTCGACCTTTCTCCTCCTCTCTACCCTCTCCTCCCTCTTCCTCGTCTCTTCCTGCTCCTTTGCACCTTTAATCTCCCGCTCCTTTTCCTTCATTGCCGCATGCCTCTCCCGCTCGGCAGTGCGCCGTTCCCAGGAAGTCTTCTTGACTTTGCCTTGGATTTGAGTGGGGGGTGGGGGAGTGGGGAGAGAGGAGAGCTTGCTGCTTGAGGGGGTGGGGCTGTAGAGCCGGGAGGAAGAGGGGGAGGGAAGGAGTCAGGGGGTGCCCAGCTATGGCGTTACGCAACAGATCAATGTAGCTAGAACTCACTCTGTCATGACTGCAACCTTTCACTGCGAGCACGAATGATGTTAATGAAGGCACAAGAGTCAAGAAGGAAGGATTGACGTGATCTGATCAAGGATACGAGTGTCCTCCTCCCCGGGTGGCCTCCTTGCCTGCCAGAAACCTTGCAGAAATCCCCGCCTGCAACTCGACTCCGCCCAAATTTGACTTTCCCTTTCCGCTTCCTCTCGCTTTCGTCTGCGAGGCCGATCAGACCCTTCCACTCTGCTCGTAGACTTGGCTACCATCATCAGAATCACCAGAGTTGTCATTAGCTTACCATCTCTTGCTGCTATGGCAAAGAAGAATCTCAAGTCTGCTCTTGCATCGCACAATCTCAAAAAGGCTCAAAAGGCCCACGAGGAGAAGGTGCAAGCAGCTCAGGCGCGCAAGGCAGACAGTATCAAGGCCTCTGCCTCGGGAAATGCTGCCAAGAAGCGTCAGCAGGCAATCAAGAGGAGGAAGCTAGTAGGGGTAGTAGGAGAGGATACAGAGGGCTCTACGAAAGCTCTGGAGCTAGAGGGTCAGATCAAGAGGGTGGACAAGGGTAAAAAGAGGAGCGTGGAGCCTTTTGAAAAGGACGACACGATCCTGCTAGTGGGAGAAGGTAAGCAGGGGAAAACCTCTACTAGTGATGCGCCCGCTGCTTTAGCTAACTCTTCCCGCCAAATTTCACCCCGCTACTTTACACGACTAGGCGACTTCTCCTTTACCCTCTCCCTCCTCTCACCACCTCACTCTCACCCACCAAACCGCATCCTTTCGACGTCCTTCGATAGCGAGGCCTCCTGCTTGGCCAAGTATCCTCTCGCTGCCTCGCACCTGGCGCAAATACGCGCCCTTTGTCCAGCAGGCATAGACGACCTAGTCCGGTTCAACGTCGATGCCGGAGCTCTACAGAGCGACAAGTTCGTGCGCAAGTGGGCCGAGCGGGCAGGTGGGTTGAACAAGGTATGGTTTGGATTCCCACATGTAGGAATGGGACATAAAGACGAGAGGAGGAACATATTGGCCAATCAGCTGCTCCTGCTGCGCTTCCTCGTTTCAGTAGCCCCGCTACTTGCTACTGGAGAGAAGCCGAGGTATGCGTTGCTGAACGAGCAGGGAGGTGGAAAAAGCAAGAAGAGAAAAGGGGGTGAGGAGGATGAGGACGAAGATGAGGGAAATGGAGACGCAGCTGGAGAATACATAGAAGAAGGCATCGACGGGGCTCTCTCTCCTCTTGGACAGCTCGACGAAGAAGAGACCCTCATGGACGACGACCTAGCGGATGTTCCTCTCCCTCACGAGGCAGGTTCTGATCCTACTACCACGAGCGCCACCTCTGCAACAACGCCCTACCCACCACAATCAGCTCCCCGCGCAGGCTCAGTGATGGTGACACTGCGCGAATCGAAGCCCTACACCCTCTGGCAGCTTAACCACCTCGCTACCCGCCTTACCTCGATGCTCCCCCTGGTGGTGGCTAGTGCGCCTGCCCTGCCCAAGGGCATGAAAGCACCCACCATCGAGGATGTTCGCCAAAACTTCCCCGAGCAGGAAGGTAGTACAAAGGAGAGTCCAGCAGGCGGTAATGGTGGAGGCTTGGGAGGGCAGAAGAGAAAGGATAGAGGCTACGACGTTTGGCGTTCCTTCCAATTCCACCCTCGAGAGTGGAAGGGCTACCGACATGTGAGGACCGTAGGAGCAAAGGCGGGAGGCGGAGACCTACTGTCCATCAAGGAGGGTGAGGAAGAGGCGAGTTGCAGAACGTGGGAGCTGGGCCTCAGGACTTGAGGGCACAATGTACGTATTGACATTCTCTTTCGCCAAGTAGGAGCACGAAGTCATAGCTTTGCCTTTTCCCGGGACTGTCGCTCCTGCTCCGTCTGGCGGATCCCCTCCCTGATCCTGCCAGCGAGCTCGACTGCTTCATCGTCATCGAGCTCTTCGCGTCCATGGCCGAAAAGACTGAGTGCATTGGGTTTCCGTTGGCTTTGGCTTTGGGTCTTGCTAGAGCTTGTCATCTTTGAAGAAGTAGAGGAAGAAGCCGCGCCGGGTATAGGTGGAGCTGGTACTATGTGAAAGTGGACCTGATCGAGCAAGAAAGAAATTCATTAAGTTGGGCAGACGAAGAGGTAATCAGGCATTAGGGCAGCTCTTACATGCGGCACGATTTGTGCGTATCCCTGTGGGGGGTGAGCACGGTTGCCGGTAGTCAGGATCTGCTGCAGGCCACTGTGGAGTCAGGGTCTTCTGCCATCGACTGACCTGGTTGGTAATTGCCTGTAATCGATCGTCGCCCATCGCTGGCGGGCACAAGTGACAAGGTCTGTCAGCCTTCTGCCCGCGGTAGGAGCCCTCCTTGCCGCCTCGCCGGCCAGTCATAACTCACCCCTTCCCACCCCTCTTGTCACCTTGACCAGAGTCCTAGCAACGCTCTCAGCCGAGCCATCATCCATCTCCCCTAATGTCCCGATATGGCGCTTAGGCACCACCAGCGTATGTCCTTTGCGGATAGGCAGAATGTCCAAAAAGGCGAGCGTCTGTGCGTCCTCGTACACCGTGTGGGCGGGGATAGAGCCAGAGGCGATTTGACAAAAGGTACATTCTGATTGCTGCGCTTGAGACTGCTCCTCCAGAGTAGGGTTGCGGAAGGCACCGAGGGTGTGCGAGGTCATTGCTGGAAAGTTGCTTGGAAGGAGGAGTCGCTAGTATGGACAAGGTGTGGTTATGCTTCCAAGGGATCCGCTGACGGAAAGAGAAGCGGAAAGGAGCAAAGTGGAGACTGAAAGCACAGGAACAAAAGGAAGACAGCCAGACATTCCCCTTAGTCCACTCATCCAATCATCCCATCATCCCAGGCGTCTTTGATCACTGGTGCGAGTCGTAATGTCACTCCAGACCGATGGCCTGGACGATCGCGCTGGAAGGATCCTCGTCCTCTCCACAGGTGACCTGCCCCTAGCATCCCTCGAGCAGCTCGTCCACTCCATCACTGGGCGCTCTCACCGAGAAGGCACCGAAGGACAGGTCCGGCTCTCAGATGTGGTACACTACGACGAGGATGGTGACGAAGATGAAGATGGAGCCTCGTCCTTCGTGACGACGAGACCTGTGCCTCCACCTACAAGCTCAACAGACGCGGCCTCTACCTCTCAGATTCCTTGGACAATCGATAACACCTACTATACAGCAGACGTACACTTCCGGCTCGTCTCCCTACCTTCATCGTCATCTTCGTCTGCCCCGTCCAGAGGAGCAACTGCTCAGGCAAAGCGGCGTGAGAGGGAAGAAGAGCTCCAGACAATTCTCAAGGAGGAGACAAAGGACGTCACAGCCATTGTATTGGTCGTGCGGGGAGGTCAGACTCTGAAAGAGCACGAGAGAGTTCTTGATGCGCTACAGCAGTGTGCGACGGAGCAGCGGATATCTCAAGAAGACGCAGAGGATGCAAACCTATCGCAGTCGGCAGCGACTCCCAGCTTAGGGGCAGAGTCTTCCACAGCGCAAGCTGAGGCTGAGATGCCCATGGGCTTCGGCCTGGCCGTCTCTACCGTCATCTCCCTACCCTCGATCGTCGATGCTCACAACAGTAGGACTTTCCAAGGCAAGCCTGCCAGTCGAGACGGTCTACTCGACCTCTACGCCCAGAACGGATGGGAATACATTGATCTCGGAGCAGACACTGATTCTGGAGTGTCCGGAATGGGCACGACGTCGGCTTCGACTGCTTTGCTCGATGATTCGGCTAGCGAAGGAAGCGAGGAGAGAGCAGGAGACGCTCCCTCCCTCTCAGAGTCAGAAGACGATGAAGAAGCCGACGATGAGGCTGTAGGTCTAGAAAGGGTAAAAGAGGCGCTCGAGGCTAACATGTGGCCGGGTCTCGTCAGAAAAGATAGATCCGGGGGGACAGCAAGTCAGGCGAGAGCAGGGAACCTTGCCGACGGCTGGGCCTCCTCCTCCTCAATGACCACTTCAGCACTACCACAAGATCGTCTTGCTGCTCTATCGCAAATTTTAGACGCCAATGAAAGCATAGAGCAAGACGGCGCAGAGCTAGACGCAGGTCTCGATGCCGAGCTGGACTCCCTCTTTCGCCGTCTGGACCTCAATCTACCCAGCGGCTCCCTTCTCCCGCCCACTTCTCCCTCAGCAGGTCTAGACACCGGGCTAGGGCTAGGCGCCCACGCCGAGCCGACGGCGCAGGACGAGGAGCTGGCAAGACGTTTCCTCGCCAGTATTGCCGACTTTGAGAAGTACCAATTCGCCGAGGAGGTGGGGATTGGCGAGAAGCAAGAAGGAGAGCCTGGCGCCCGCAAGGGACTTCAAGGGGACCGCGAGGCCGGAGGAAAGACACTTCCGGAGAGCGAAGAAGAACGCAATCGAAACCAAGCTGAAGCCCTTCGCAAGCTAGAGGAGTGGCTGCAGAATGAAGATGGAGACTGGCTTGGCGCTAGCACTAGCACAAGCAAGCGCGGCTTAGACTTCGGAGACTCTGACCCTGATTTCGCTGGTCAAGCGGATACCCAGGGCAAGGACAATAAGGTCCGTCTACCGCCACGCGCTGCGGGCGATACCTTCGACGATGACTTTGACGAATTCATCAGCGCTAGTGCCAGTGCCAGTGCCAATGGTGGTGAGGGCGGTGGCGCCAATGCTGGGCCAGCCTCATTCGGCTTTGACGAGGAGCTCAGTCGCCATCCGCACTACAAGCCTGCGGTGGATGCCAGGACTCAAAGCGAGGGCAAAAGCCAGAGCAAGGATCACGGGCTGGGAGGAGTAGGTGGCGGGGATAGCGATAGTGACGTTGATGGTGATGGTCCTGCCTCTACCGCCTTCAATTGGCCTGAAGCTCAAGCTGGGGATCTGTCGCTAGGCGATCAGGGAAGGGAGATGGGGTCAGTTCCGACTGAAGAAGTCAGGGAAGACGCAGTCGAGCCGTCCTCCTTGTCCACGCAGGGTCCCTTCCACTCTTTCCCTGCCTCGGTAGAGTTTGGTGAGCGGATAGATGCAGATGCGGATGATCTCGTTGTTGAGCAGTGAGCCGACTCAAAAGGAGAAGGGAGGCAGAGGGGTGAATCGGAAGACATGTAGGCGAGTCAGAGGTGGGATAGACTGTGAGGTGCAAGATCCTGTGATGTGCACTGGTGACGCTGAATTGCTATACCCTATCATGACCTAAATGCTACTTACTTGCGCACTGTGACTTCGGCTGGACCCGAGAGCAACACTCGCTTAGGCAGAGCGTTTTGGAGTCAGGAACGGAGGGAAGCGCTGTACATTCTGATGTATACTCAAAATACTCATTTATGAAATGATGAGAGAAGAGGGGATACAACGACAGAGGGACACTACATTACAAACAATTCCTGACCAACTAACCCAACTTTATTTGAATACTAGGGTAGAGGGCCCGAGCATCTATAGGGCAGCAGCCTTAGCCTTTGCCTTGTTGGCGAGGGCGGTGACGGCCGATCCGGCATTGTCGTCCTGCCTCTCATCCTCGGTCTTGGGCTTGTTACCACCGGTCCAGTTGTGCGAACCAAGGAAGGTCATCTTGGTGAGATCAGTCTCGTAAGACTGGATACCATTCTCCTTTGCGAGGTGCTTGGCCAGATCAGCATCGACTTGGTGCCAGATGCTGATGGCGTTGGCCAAGACCTGCTTGTTAGTGCAGGTGGCCATGTGACCTGCTACACGCTGCTTGACACGCTCGCGCTGAGCAGAGTCCATGACTCGGCTGTAGAGGGCCTTGGCCTGGTCGAAGTCACCGTCGACGATGCCGGAAAGGTAGAGCCTCTCCTTGCCCTCGTGCTGAGCAATCTTCTCGACGTCGATGGACCTAGCGGCCAGCTGAGGTGGCTCAATCGAGCTCAGGTAGTTGGGGCGGCTACCCTGGTTGTAGAAGGCCATGGAGCCGTCACGCTGGAAGTTGTAGATGTTGCCGACCTTCTTGCTTGGCTGGTTGACCGGCAACTGCTGGTAGTTGGGACCGATACGGTGGCGGTGAGTGTCGGGGTAAGAGAACAGACGAGACTGCAGCACGGGGTCGGCCGAGGGCTCGAATCCGGGCACGAGGTGAGCAGGGTTGAAGGCAACCTGCTCAATCTCGGCAAAGTAGTTCTCGACGTTCTGGTTCAGCTCGATCTTGCCCAGCTCGTGGAGAGGGAACTTGTCACGAGGCCAGGTCTTGGTCAAGTCCAGGACGTTGACGTCTGTCTCCAGAGACTCCTGAGGAGTCATGATCTGGTAGTAGACAGTCCACGAGGGGAACTCTCCCTTCTCAATGGCGTTGAAGAGGTCGAGCTGGTGGGCATCGGGCGATGCGGCGTCGGCCTCAGCGTCGTCCTCGTAGTTCTGCACACCCTGGTCGGACAGGACGTGAATCTGGCAGTAGTGCCACGAGTCCTCAGTGGCGAACTTGAAGGTGTGGCCAGAGTAACCCTGCATGTGTCGCCACGACTTGGGGCGTCCACGGTCACCGAACATGTACAGCATCTGGTGGATGGACTCGGGGTCCTGACCGACGTAGTCCCAGAAGGCAGTCGAGTCGTCGGAGTGGGTGGCGTGGGTAGCGGGGTGGCGCTTCTGAGTGTGGATGAAGTGGGGGAACTTGGCTGCGTCACGCAGGAAGAAGATGGGGGTGTTGTTGTAAACCCAGTCCATGTTGCCCTCCTCGGTCCTGAACTTGATGGAGAAACCACGAGGGTCACGAGCGGTGTCGGGTGATCCACTCTCACCACCGACGGTAGAGAATCGAACGGTGACGGGGCACTCCTTCTTCTCGGAGAAGATGCCAGCGCGGGTGAGGTGGGGGATGGGGTGGGTGGTACGGTAAACACCGTGAGCTCCACCTCCCTTGGCGTGTACGACACGCTCTGGGATACGCTCTCGGTCGAAGTGAGAGAGGAGGTCTACCAGGTGGAAGTCACCCAGCAAGAGAGGGCCCTTTGAGCCGACTCGCTGCGACTCGTAAGGGTGGGTGACATTGACACCGTTGGAGGTGGTGTAAGTGCCACCAGATCCGTAGGTGTCCTCGTCGAAGGATCGGACGTTGAGAGGGACCTTCTTACATTGCGACATTGTGTATAGGGTATGGATAGTAGTTGGTTGGTGGCAAGAAAGGAAAGAGTAGTGCCAAGTGCGTGTGTCATATATATAACCTTCACTCTCCTCCATCCTTCGACGACCATCGACGGCGAGTGCCAGCCCCGAGGCGGGGCTTCGTATGTGCGGCTCCACTCTCCTCGTCGCTTCGAATCGCCGTCGGAGGCCGTCATCGTAGAGGATGTGGGCACTGGAGGAGTGTTGCGCACGGGCCGATGTGTCTACACCTTGGGTAATCGCCACGCGCGTCATCCTTGGTCGATCGCCGCCAAATCTCACTGCTGCCCTGCCTTGCCTTGCGCCTGACCCTGAGCGCGGCAAGCCGGCATACCGTGCCACGCACTCGCTCCCCGTGAGCAGAGCCCCATTGCTAATCACCTGCGCAGGGGACGAAGAAGGAAATGAGCTTAGGCTCGCTAAGTGACCACACTCGGCTCCGAGGTATCTCACTCCGCTCAGCACCATCTTATCGTCCGCCCTTGCATGAACATCCGGAACGGCAGTGGGAAAAAATAGATTCCTTCCGAGGGTCTGGCGCTCGGCACGTCATCCGTCCGCGTCGTCGTACCTCGACTCTTGTGATTGACAGACAGACAACCTCGGCATCCTACACCAGACTACGGACTCATCCCGTCTTACCGCCATGCCCCTCGCGGGCGGTCCTAACAGCCAGGACAACGGCTATCGGAGAGCATCCATCCTATCACTCTCGGCTGATCCCCTTCCCTCGTACGCTTACCTCCTCTTTGCCCATGCCATCGCACTCCTCCCCGCCCTGGCCTTCATTATCCTCTTTGTCTCCCTCTCCTTGCGCATACACTGCCATCTCCCTCACATCGGCTTGACCGAGCAGACTTCCAGTGAAGATGCCCAATATGGCTCTACCCGTTGCTCCAATCTCCTCGGCCCGCACTCGACCCTCAGCTGGTCCCTCTTTGCCCTGTCTGTAGCAGGCTACACAGCCGCTCACAAGCTGCGCAGTCTCATCTCTCACTTCTCAGCGCTCCTCTTTGATCTGCTGCAAAGCCTCGCAAAGGCGCTCCCCTTCTTTCAACTGGGAGAAGAAGATGTAGATCAAGATGAGAAGAGTCAGGTGATCGTGGCATGCATAGCAAAGGCGATCTTCTCCGAGCTTTTCAAGGCTTGTCTCATCGTCACTGCCTGCGCCGTCACTCTAGCAAAGGTCCACGTCGATGCAGTAGCAGCCGATCTTGCGGATGACATGACAGTCACCAGCGCAGCTCTACGTGCTCCTGAGGTCCCCATCTCCACGATGACCAGCAGCATCGATCTGCTAGATCAGATCCGGTGGTCCATGTTGGATCCTCAGGAAGCCTCCTTCAGAGTGGTAGTTTGGCTGGCTCTTGGCTGTGAGTTGCAGTCGTTATGAGAAAAGAAGCCATGATTGACTATGCTCACCTGACGCTAGCTCTCTTCTCGTCTCCACAGGGTCCATTGCCGATTTCATTCGCGGTACCATTCAGCTCTATCGTCATTTGGCAATGTATGCGCCAGTCTATCTACCCGAAGCGGGCCATGCAGACGAGGAAGAAGGACAATTGAGCTTTTGGGAATTGCAAGGGGCTCAAGGCGACAGTGCTGCTACCACCGCAAGTACCAAGAACATCGACTCGGCTCCTGATGGCAAGATGAAGAGCCGGACCGCAGATGGCTCTTCGAATGGATGGCCTCCCCTTACCCATCTATCCAAGAGTCCTCTGCCTCTGACTCTCCCCGAGTACCAGCGTTATGGGCGTCAAATGATCCTCCCTTCCTTTGGTCTCGAGGGACAGCTCAAGCTGCGCAAGGCTAAAGTACTCGTCGTGGGTGCAGGAGGGCTCGGCTGTCCGGCAGTACAGTACCTCGCTGCTGTCGGTGTCGGCCACATCTCAGTCATGGACCACGATTCCGTAGAGAGGTCGAATCTGGCGAGACAGATTTTGCATACAGAGGAACGTATCGGGATCAGCAAGGCAGAGAGTATTCAGGACGCTGTGAAAGACATCAATCCTCATGTCACAGTAGAACCACTTGTGGAGGCTTTGACGGCGTCCAATGCGCTCTCCTACGTTGGCTCTCATGACTTGACGCTAGATTGTACGGACAATCCCCTCACCCGCTACCTCATCAATGATGCGGCAGTCTTGGCTGACAAGATGGTGGTATCTGGCGCTGGACAGAGCTACGAAGGTCAAATCATGACTCTGCATCGCCATTTGTCACCAGAAGGAAGGGGCCCATGCTATCGCTGCGTTTTTCCATCCTCTCCCAAGCCGTCGGAGGTGACCAATTGCGAAGACTCTGGCGTGCTGGGCACCGTCACTGGGCTTGTTGGAACCTTGCAAGCCATGGAGACTATCAAGCTCATCGTCGGTCTGGGAGATGCAGAAGAGCGACCAACGATGCTTCTTGTCAGTCCCCTCAGCACTACTCCCTTCAGGACGGTCAAGATTCGGCCGAGAAGAGAGGATTGTGCCGTTTGTGGTGACAAGAGCAATGGCGGCGGGCGGATCACGTCGCTGGAAGATGAGGACTATGTCGCCTTTTGTGGGCTTGCGACCGCCGGTCAACAGCCACAGAAGGGTGAGCTAGGCAGAGAAGAGACAGCTAAGCAGCTTGCTCAGGCGAAGCGTGGACCGGACGTGCTCGTGGATGTTCGGACGGAGGAAGAGTTTAGTATCACCAAGCTGCAGGGCGCCACGAGTGAGTCGACCACATCTGCCTCACCAGACTAAGCGCCTGATCACTGACTCACATTCTACCGCCTCGCCGCTACTTCCTCTCCAGACGTCCCGTACTCTGACATCCGCAGAGATCCTTCGCAAGCCCTGTCTTCCATTGAGACCCTGTTACGTGCCTCTCCTTCCAGCAGCCGGCAACTCGTACACCTCGTCTGCACAAGAGGCAATGATTCTCGTCTGGCTTCCTCTCTCCTGACAGCAGAGAACCGCAAGAGGCAGGGTCGTCAGATCGACTTTGTCAATGTCAAGGGAGGACTCAGAGCATGGCAGCAAGAAGTCGACGAGGGCTTTCCCAATTATTGGGGTGGAAGTGGATTCAAGGGCCCTGTTGTCATCCCACAAGGCGAGACAAGACGGCGCAACCAGGTCGTCCCGACTTCTGTCCCAGCGGCAGAGCCCACTTTGATTGCCTCCAGCAGCGCCATCGCGCCTCATCTCAACGGCAAGACTCGGCGACTGTCCCTGTCCAACGGTGAACAGGCCTCCTCCTCCTCCTCCTCCTCCTCCTCCTCCTCTTCTATCTCATCGACGTCGTCGTCTGATGAATCGGAATTGAGTATGATTGCTCATCTGGAGGACCAGATTGATCGCCTGGTCGCCGCTCGTACGCGGGTGAAGCTGGAGCAGTCCTTGGGTGCGAGCTTGCCAGAGCTGCCCAGCGCGTTGGCTGCTTTGTGGAGACTAGGTGAGTGAGAATGCACTCCTTCCGTAGACTTTTCCGCACCTGCTGATAATGTCCACCTCGTGCGATCCTTGACAGATGCCGCACTGTGGACCATCGGCTCTTTGCTGCTCCTCTCCTCTTCGCTAGCACTAGCTCAAGGTCCTCTCTTCTCCCTCGGCCCACCACGAAGACACGATGGAGCTGCTGTCCTCTTTCCTGCCTTGGGCCAGCTTTGGGTGACCTACCTGTCTCTCTCTGCGCTGCACGCCACTTCGGATGCCATTTGGAAGCTGGCCTTGCCTACATTGGGATGGGCGACGGTGACGTATGGCAGTCTGCTGGTGGGTATTGGGATGATGGTCGTGGGGCTGGCGAGGTGGGGATGTGTGGTTTGAGTGGTGCGATGAGCTGGTAATCTCTGCATCGCATGTCACCTTGTACTCTACTATTCTTTCCTCGCTGCCCCGCCGTGCGAGGTCTATCAATCCCACCTGTACTTGTACGAAGTTTCCCGCTTCTGTCTGTCTCCTTCTGGCCCCGCCGCCCTGCGACACCTTGGGGCCGGCCTGGTCTCTCTTTCCGTTGGTGTTGGTGTCCTCCGTCCGTCCGTCACGCACGCACGCACACACCCGCCCTTTGCTTCCGCTCGCTTTCGCAGCCCAATTGCCATTTGCTACCCAGATCCTAGAGCACCGCTGCTGCTGCCCTGTGGCTCCCTGCTGCTCTGTTGTACCCTGTCCTCCTCTCCCTTTGCGTCCTACGACCATCTTCGAGCTCAAAGGATATCGCTCTGAGCTGGCTTGAGGCTCTTGCCTTACTCGCACACCAGGCCTTCAAGCGCGTCCACCCACCCAGGGGATCCCAGGCTTGCGCTCTACCACATCATCGCTCGCTCGCCCAGCATGTCCTACGAGTCCACCCTCCCCTCAGCCGCGAGCTTCTACGTCTCCACCATTCCCTCTCTCCAAAATTCCTCCTCTCTCCTCCTCTACGCTGGCAATCTTCCCGCTCGAGCTCCCGCAACCCTCCTCTCAAAAGAACCAGAGAATGATGCTCATCTCTACTTCCTTCTAGAGAAGGCAAGACACTTGGGTGGTGGACCTGACGGGAAGAGAAGACTGCTACTTTGGTTCAATGGTGGACCTGGTTGTTCGTCCTTTGATGGCGTCATGATGGAGATTGGATCTTTCCGGCCTTCACTCGCAGCCAAGGGATCACTGGAATGGACCACTCCAGGAGGAGCGTGGAATGAGTACACCGATGTCCTCTTCCTTGATCAGCCAGTCGGTACAGGATTCAGCTATGTCAATACAGATGGATACGCAAAGACGTTGGAACAGGCGGCGCAGGATGTGAATTACTTCTTGCATAGGTTTCTGGAGATCTTTCCGGAGTATAAGAAGGAGAGTGGGACGGAATTCTTCATTGCTGGGGAGAGCTTGTGAGTGCGATTGGGGTAAAGAGGATGGTAGCTTGAGAAGACAAGACAGGCTGACAATTGCCTTTGGCCTTCTTCCGGACCCCCTTCTCCACTCTTAGTGCTGGACAATAGTAAGTTGTCTTGAGCTGAGAGCTTGTATGACCCTCACCACTCACGCTGCATTGATGCCCTCTTTGCCCCAATAGTATTCCCTACACAGCCCACGCAATCCTCTCGGACCCACAATCTCGCCTGGACCTGCAGGGCATCGTGATAGGCAACGGCGCCATCGACCCGCTGTCCCAGGCAGGCTCAGAGCTGGACATGATGCTCGAAGCCGGCATCTGGAAAGCCGGCGATGCAAAGGCCACGAAGATCAAGCAGCGCAACGCTCTCTGCGAGGCGGAGAAGCGCAAGATCACAAAGGGCAAACACCCGCAGGACATACCGGTCTGCGAAAACTTGCTGAGGGACGTCATCAATGAGAGCTTAGACTCCGCCAGTGGAGAGACTCGCTGCATCAATATTTACGATGTACGGTTGACCGACAGCCACCCCGCCTGTGGTATGAATTGGCCACCGACCCTACAAGCAACGTACGACTATCTAGCTCGGAATGACGTACGCGATGCATTCCATGTGAACAAGGCAAAACATCCCCAGGCATGGATCGAATGCAATCATCGAGTCTCTTCTGGACTCAGGTCAGACAAGTCAGAAGCTAGTGTGGTGTTGTTGCCTGGAATTCTTGACAAGGGCGTAAAAGTGATGCTCTTTGCGGGTGATCAGGATCTGATATGTAATCACATCGGGATAGAGCGGCTGATTGACAATTTGAAGTGGAAGGGACAGACAGGTTGGGGTGTGAGTACACAATAGCGCTACTTGAGCCGCGTCGCGGTCTCACAAGTCTCACACTCCTCTCATTCCTTACCCACTGCAGTCGACACCCGCTCCCAAGCGCTCCTGGAGAGTGAACAATGCCCACGCCGGCTACTGGCAAGAAGCGCGAGGTCTCACCTACGTCAATGTAGCCAATGCGAGCCACATGGTAGGCTTTGACAAGCCCGTCGAGGCGCACGACATGATGTTACGCTTCATGGGTGTAGACCTAATGGGTGCTGCTGGCCCCTCTGCCCTGATACAGAGCTCCCTCGAGGGTGAGACGGATCGCAAACTCATCGTTGCACCTGCTGGGGCTGGGGCTGGGACTGGGACTGGGTCGAGTGGAGGCTTGCTAGGTGGCATCATTGGAGGTGCAACGGAGGATCATCGGCCGATGGTTGTGGGTGCTGATGGAAAGAGCGAGGAGGAAGTGGCAGAGCAGGCCAAATGGGCCGCATACTAGTGAGTCCGTCCCTCCGCAGCCCAACTTTGCTCGTTAGCGAAAGTAGACTTCTGATCACACCCTCCTCGCTCGCTCCCATTACCATTACCATCACCTCTCCTTTCTTCCTTTTGACCCCCCCTTTTAGCAACGCGGGCTCAGCAGCCCTAATCGTCATTCTCATCCTCGTAACCGTAGGCACCTGCATTCTACTCCGACTGCGTCGTCAAGCCCGTCGACACAATCGCTACCCACACTCTCCACACCTCTCCTCGCCACGACTCAACGGCGGGATGGGTGGTAGCGGTATCGGTGGAGGTGGAGGTGCGGGAGGAAAGTCGGATCAAGAGATGGAGTTGGAGAGACTTGTCGAGGAAGGAGAGGCGGCAGAGGACGAGGATGACGACTACTACTCCAATGACGACGATGACGACGACTATGACGACAAAGGGGCAAGTAGACGGAGGACGACGGGCAGTGGGAAGCACGTCACATTTGAAGATCGACGTCGTACAGGCAAGGGTAAAGGCAAGAGTCAACTCTCCTCTACCTCTGCAGGCATTACAAGTGGGACTGCCGCTGCTGGCAGTGGTGGTGCTTCGCCTTCTTATCGATATCGGAGTGGAGCAGAGCATGGAATAGGGGTGAGAGAAGGGGAAGGGGCAGGGGCAGGGGATGAGCAACTCTTTGATGTTGGAGAGGACGAGGAGGATGAGCCTTCTTCTGCTCGGAGGTAGAGGTAGACGTGGTGAGGTGGGAGGGCAAGAAGAGGGGGGAGGAGGCGGCTCTATGAAGAAATTCAAATCGTGCTAGACTTATACTGCACTGCACTGCACTGTATCCCACCCTCACTCGAGGGTCAATCGATTCACTTCCTTCTTCCACTCATACTTATGAATTTCTTCCATGCCATGTCTAGTAGATCACCCCTTCTTCCTCATTCCAACCTGACCTGAAGCATCAAACTCAAGCGTCTAGCGTCTCGTGTCTCGTGTCTCTCGCTACTTGTATCTCTGCCTGCTTGCCTGTCCGCTACCCCTATCTCTGCCTGTCCGCCTGTCCGCCTGTCCGCCTGTCAAGCAAGCAAGCACATACTCAAAGACGAAGCTAATGTGAAATGACATTGGACAAGCGACCTGGACTCCACTCAACAAGGGGGTTGGGTTTCCAGGAAAAAGGGGCAACACCCCCCTTTTTTTGTGTTGAGCAAGCCTGCCAGGACCCCGTCGCTCTGTCGCTCTCCAAGATGGAGGGAGCGAGGGAGCGGGGGAGCGAGGGAAAGATGTGTGTGAGGGTGAAGAAGGGTTGAGTGTACAAGAGGAACAGGCGAAAGAAAAGTTCTCACTTCACCTCCAACCAGGGGTTCAGAGGTGATGGAACTTCCGAGCCCACGTCGCAAGGAAAAAAGATTCGGGTCGGGGTGGTCATGAGAAGAGAAACATCGAATTCGAAAGAGAAGGAGATGGAAGGGTGTGAACAAAGTCCAAGTCCCCACCGGTTTGGTCCGTTCGCTCTTCTCTCCGTTTAGATGTTCAGCTTGGTTCGTCGCCAGTGACTATGGGGGAGAAAGAGGGAGCGGAGAGAGGACAATGAGTCAGTATCCAGAGAACAGTGACAATCTCACTGTGGGGGGGGACGAGTGCCTACTCACCGCCTGTTCTTGTTGTAGTGGATCTTGTTGTCGGTCTTCATTCGGAACCAACCGGGGATCGGGCTAGCGAGGGAGCAGAGCAAGAGGCAGTAGGTGTGAGTAACGCTGTACGACTGCAGTGCGAGTTGGAGTGTGCTGTCTGTATCACCGCCACCTTCAACGATAGCCAGTGGGGCACTGGGAGGGACCCGTCTGCTGGCTGCGCGGGTCAAAGGGTGAATGAACCCTTCGGACGAGGCCCAGATAGAGTCGAGGCCGCCTGAGCCCAACGGTCTGTCCCACGCAACCGCCCGGTGACATCCCTCTGGCGCAATTTCCATGCCTCCGTTGCTCATGCAGATTCGCCTTCGACAACTAGCCCTCTCACGCGCCCTGCCTGCTAAGACAGTCGCCATGCGAAGGGGGAACCCAGTAGGCAACATTGTCCGTCTGGCAGCAAGTGTCGTCGGCGATGCCATGGCCGAGGGACAAGGTGTAGAGGATGGCAAGACCAGCTGTGGTACGACTTGTGATGAAGCCGTTGCGGACATCTGGCAAGTGTTGCACAGACGAAAGCCAGACACCAGGATCTTGATACCCAAAGGTGTCCCAGCTACTGTACCTCGCCTGTGCCACGAGACTTCGCAAGGCCACAGTCTGTCCTGTCCAAGTACGGAGTGCGTACCAGTAGCCAGCTTTGCCATCATCCACCACTCCAGGCGATGAGGAGATGTATGGAAATCTTCCTCGTCGACTGGAAAGAGAGCCAGTCTGAAATGTCTCGCCGAAGAGACCACTGCCTTGTGACAGCTAATTTGTCTGCCTTCTGACGACCGTTCCTCCAACAGCTTCCCAGTCCTCTCATACCCCACTCCAGTCATCCTGCGCCCGCTCGTCCCTTCGTTCCATCCCACCCAGCCTTCCTCCTCCCCTCCTCGCATCTTCTTCCCCCTCCAACCTGCTTCTTCTCTTCTTCCAAGATGGATGGATGAAATGAAGTTTTGAAATACTCACCGGTTCTGCCTGTTGGCCTTGCAGAGCTTAACCTTGGTTCGGAATGACTTTTGAGATGGCATCGTGTAAGGAGGTGATGGGGTGGACGGTGGGTGATGAGTGGTAGTAAGAAGGAAATCGGCGCTGCTGGTGTTAGAAAGATTTCCAGTGAGGCTTGCGGGCGGGCGGGCGGGCAGGCAGGCAGGCGGACGGTGGGCAGGGCGAGGCGCTAGGCAGGGCAACAGCCACAGGCAGAGGCACAGGCGCGGGCGCAGGCAGGGGGAAGCCACTGGGTGAGGCAGCACAGGCGGGCGAGCGGACAGAGGGGGGAAACCGCAAGCGCGTGTGCGCGGTGTGGCCCCCCTTTAAACCGGAACGGAAGCGCGAATACATACGGAGAGCGGAACTGAACGGGCAGCAGCCATGCATGCTCAGAAGCTCACTCACTGCACATCACACCCATGGGCTCACTTACACGAACCTGGCTGGTAGCGGTAGCTGGAATGAATCGACGACAATGTCCAAACGGTATATAGTGCATAGACTGGAGCAGCATTGGCGAAGTGTAAAGGGAATATCACAAGCGTATAGGTATATCCTGCCAATGACCACCATGAGCCAATCGGTCGAGGGCTCTGCCGTATTCTCACTGTCAGCCGGCATCGCCAGTAGCGTTCCGCGCTGATCTAGCCAAGAAAAGCCCTCTTCCCCATTCCACTAGCTACTGTGGTAAGCATTCAGCACCTTCTGCCTAGACGAGAGGGGGATACTGTCCTTGTTGTGTCCATCATCATAGCTCCTCTGTCCATACCCGCCATTGACTGACCCATTACCTCCAACTGCTCCAGCAGCATTCCTGTTCTTCTTCCAAGGCATGGCAAATCGTCCCTTTTTGCCAGTCTCCATGTCCGATCCATACCCTCCAGCACCATACCCAGTCGAGGGGTAATCACCACTCTTGTCACTTCGCCAACCGCAGAAGACGGTGACCATGGAAAAGGCCAAGAGGGGAATGCAGACGAGGGTCATGTAGAAGCCGGCGCCGGGCATGACGTCCCGCGAGTCGGTCACATCGTGGATGCGGTGCAGGAAGTAGACGTAGAAGGCGACTGGTGAGGGGAAGGTGGTGACCGAGCAGAGGAGAAATAGAACGCATTAGGACAAAACACTGGTATCAACTTGTTGTTGCCGCCTCTCCTCTGTCGTGACTTACTCTGGATAACAAAGGCAATGAACGTAAGCAGCATCGCCAAAAAGAGGACAAATGCAGCAACCAATTGTACGATGAGGTGTGGGAAGAAAGAAAGTGCAAATCCCACGGCAGTGAAGACCATGGCTACTACGGCTACAACCAATCCTCGAGTCCACGAAGGACCAATAGAGACGGAGCCATAGTCGCTGGTGGTACTGTTCACCGATTCAAAGGTGACGTTCCACCTGGGTTGAGGAGCACGGATGGAGGGTGTGAGCTGTTCATAATCTTACCTTTGAAAAGTCCACTTTCTCCGCTCCAGACTCACTGGTGATTATTGTGTGAGCAGTACCCATAATTACTCTCCCCAACTCCCTTTGTGCAATATCCCCAAATCCCCGCCCTCACAGCCGACAAATCCCGATTTGGGTTCGGTCCATTTCCCGTACCGTCCGTAACAGTGCCATTCAAATCCTTGGCCTCGGCAATGTAAAAGGGAGAGGAGTCGTGTGTTGTTAGAGGAACAGAGATGGTTACGAGGATGAGGAGAACGAGGGCAATGAAGGTTGTTACGAGAGAGGGGATGCAGAACGTCTTGCGGGCGGGCATGTTGGGCCGGACGAGGGTGGGTGAGGGAGAAAGAAGAGGACGAAGTGAGAGAATGAGGAGAAGACGAGGATGAGGAGAAGGGAGGAGTAGTAGTAGTAGTAGTCACTAGTGATAGAATAGAATAGAAGAGGATCACAGTGGGATGCCAGGACTGGTACCCAAGACTTAACCTCGCATCGTTGAGCGGGGTGGGGCGTGGCTGTGCTCAAGTGCCTTCTACAACTCGAGCACGCACCACTCAAACAAAAGTCTCGGGTGTTGCTCTCTGGCGATGCCCTGCATGCAACATGCAGCGGAAGCAAGCGAGGCGGGGAAACAGCGACCGGCGGCGCGTGATCGACAGAAGAGCTCAATCGCACAAAATGAGAACGGTATCGTACAATGCTGATGCCTTTGAAACACACACACGATCATATCATTCGTATGTTTTCGTTGCTCGGAGGAGATGTATGTGTCAACAAGCACGTCTATGGAGAAAATCGTGAGAAGGTACGGTCCTGCTACAAGTTGGGTATTGCGGCAATGGTTGCCAGTTGCATCGAGGCGCACACTCTGCCTCGCCTCGCTATGCCTTGAGCTCGAGAGAGTCCGGGGAACCTAAGCGACTTCACTCCTTCTCTCCTCGGCTCTGGGTGCTGCTTCGCTTCCGCCTGCATTGACAGCTGTGCTGAAAGCTGTAGGAGCGACGCTTGCCTGGGGAGGGCTGGGGTCCATGCTCGTCTCTCCAGAAGCCGATGACTCCGAGTGCGGCGTCGTCTCTGGGAATGTCGACTGACCACCTCCTTCAGTCTCGTATGTACGCTCGCCCTCGGAGCTGCCTCGAGCCTTCTCCTGCATGTTGCCCTGAGGCTCAAGGTCCTCCCGCCTTTCTCCACGCCAGTGCTTGCCTCTGAGTTTGCTACGTCGGAAGGGCGAGATGAGGTCCATGACGACCAAGAAGATGAAGACGTAGATGACGGGAAGGCCAGTCACCACGACCATTACGAAGCCTACAATGACCCGTGGGATGTAGGTCAAGCCTGCACGGGTCGTCAGGGCAACACATACTGCCCAGCTGGCAATACGGAAGATGGCCAGGACGATGAAGACGGCGTCGCTCTTCTTGTCTCTGCCAACTCGGAAGACGCAGAGGACCAAGAAGAAGAGGACCTCCAGCACCAAGAGGCCTACAGATTGAGCGAAGCCATGGCCCTGGGCAAAGCCGATGAAGCAAGCCCGGGCCAGGCCCATGAACAGGAAAGCTAGGGCAAACCAGAAGAAGCGGGGACGATAAGGATGAGACATGTGCCCCCATCGCTTCGTCGCCCTGTTCGCAAGGACCGGTGGTGTACTCTCATAATAAAGAGACTTCGAAGAGGTGCGCCGGGCATTCTTGAACAATGGCACAAAGAAGACCGCAATCGCTACCAGGAGGAAGACCATGAAGATCGCCGCCAAGAAGTCCGGTACCCACGAGTCGCCATTGCGCCATTGGTAGAAGGCGAAGATGCAGAAGACAGGGAAGATGACAAGCAGAGCTCGACCCATGAACGCCGCCACGAGATATCCCACCTCGGAGGGCCTGGTAACACGCCTAGACCAATGCGCTGTAGTGTTCTCGCTGTTCTTTGTGAGCAGGCGGAAGAGAGCTACGAGGAGGAGGGTGACGCCGATGGCTGCCAGGATGATACCGATGAAGATCCACATCGACACCAGGAACGTCATAAACGCATTGTTGGAGGGGACGCCAGCTCGGCCTGTGAGAACTACGAGACCGCCAACAGCAGTATCACTGTTGTTGCTGATGAGCGGAAGGGTACCAGTGGTGGTTTGTGTCACTGTGTATCCTCCGGGACCGGTGTTGGGAGCATACAGAGCTGCAGCACGCTTCCAGTATCCCATGCCAGGATACGGAGACACAGCCTGGAAGTGAGACGTGTTAGCTGTCAGAACGGACAGCTCAGACTGGTCGACTGGTGTGAAGTCCGCGGAGGCCCCAACGAGGTTCATAGCCAAGCTGTTGATGAAGTCCAATGTAGAGCCGGAGGAAGAAGCCTGTGAGTCGAGCCAGACCGATGTGTCCCTTCCAAGTTGAGCGGTGAGAGCTGAACCCAGTACCGCTGTATCGCTTCCGCCGGTAGCTACCCGGGTCGAAGTCAACGAGGACTGAAGACCGCCGAGTTTGACGATACCGATTGACCAGGCGAAGTTCTCGGCAAAGCTGACAAAGGCTTGCGGGAAGCTCACGCTGACGAGAGCAGTGATGGCAACGTGCTGGATGGTCATGAAGACGTCGACCACCCTCCATTGGGCTGCGCCGACGGACTGAGCGATGATAGAGTGAAGCAGAGAGCTGATGAGAGCAAGGAAGGAAAGTCCTACCAGTGCCCACTTTGCAGGCTCTTGCTCCATTGTATTGCCGTTTGACAAAGTGATCTGGATACAGCCGACTGAGAAGAAGAAGAACAGCTGTCAGACGCCAACGATTCCCTCGCAGCCTTACTCATCGGCGCGTGCGGGCTCACCTTCTTCGCCCGTCGAGCTAGTCAACGTCAAGGTCGCAACTGCCTCTAGATCGGGCACAGCATATGCGATATCTGGCACCCCGCTCAAAATCGATGCAGGGAGGGGATATTCACCGCCCCCTGCAAGAAGACAACAGAAGAAGATGCACGGAAGCTTGTCAGCGGACAGACTCGTGGATGAGCAGCTTCGATGGTGCTCACCAGTGAATTGATATGTCGGCAGCGGGCACAGCAGACCCCCCGCGACTGAACAGAGATCGAGCGAGAAGCTGAGGAGGGACTTGCTGTACGCTATCACATCTACGCCAATGGTGACGTTGACGTCGCTCTCTACTGATCCAGCGGAGAGAGCAATCTCCAGTGTCGAATTATCCGGAAAGAGAGTCAGATTGACTGTGTTCACCAGAAGCACCTGAGGTGCGGAACAATACGATGCCGACGATGTGTCTAGTGGGGTGTAGGATCATTACGAACGTCAGTCAGTATTTGACTGGCAATCAGTGCCTTCTGCTCTGAGCAGTGTCTGTCGTTGCACTCACACAACATCCTTGTACGGTTCAAGGCATCTTCTGCCCGTACCTCGGGGAGGCTGAATGTGAACAAGCCGAGCAAAGTGAGCAACGCCAGGCTGAGCGGTTGCCGCTGTCGAGATGAAAAGAATCGCATCTTGCAAGATCGCTGAGGAAGGGTATGAGTGATCCGATAGGCGAGCAGAGATCAGAGGAAGGAGGAAGATTACGCAGAGTAAAGGAAGCTGGTAGGTCGAGGAGGAAGGAGGCAAGCTCGGGCGGACTCAACGCCTACCACAGAGCCTGAAACCGGATGATGACGAGGTTGCGATGATGATCGGGCAAGGCAGCTTCGAAAGAGGTTCCACCTGAGATGGGACGCCGCAGAAGGTATCCAGAAAGATGCGCCTGGAGAAGTAACTTCGGCAGCGTGACTGCGACGCTGCGAGGCCCAAGAGGTGGGAGGCCACACAAAGGCGATCCCTGCTTACCAGGACCAGAAGGAGGAGGACGGAGGATACAGAATACAGGACAGAGATCAAAGGTGAAGAAAGGGAAGATTACGGCACGGTATATTGAAGACGAAGGACGAAGGTAGCCAGAAGTGACGAGCGAGGGAAATGTGCAGGCTCAGAGACAAGGCGATCGGGAAGGATGCAAGGGACGTCCGCCACGCGAAACCTCCCACATCCGCATCCCCCAATCACATTGCAGATGCCTTTCCTTCTTTCACTCTTGAGCTCTGGTAAAGTGCACTGCACCCCTCCTGGCCATCGTCATCATCTCCACACTTCGTCACACTCTTGCCGTCAGCTTGTCCATGCGCTTGCACCTCAATCGCCGCCGCTCTTTGCCTGCCCGCCTGGCCATGGCCTCCTTGGTTCGGCTTGATCGACCCGGTGAAGCTGGGGCCAAAAGAAATTCCCGATGGTGGGCCTACTCTAGCACAGGAGCAGCCACGAGATGCAAAAACCAAGTCGCCGGGTCTGTAGCAACGAAGGCGGCGGAGCGGCGATCAGCCTGTGACCCAGGCACGCACACACACGTCACGGTGCGTCGGACTGGCCTTTCCTTTTTCCCCTCGGCACGGAAGAGAGGGAAGACCTGGGACGCGTGGGACGGGTGTAAGAAAGGATCGGCATCAAGGATAGGCAAAGGACATGAGATGGAGAGGGAGCACAAGAGCAAGCAGAGGTACCGATAAGCCTCGATGTAATCGCAGCACCATGCAAGAGATCAGTGGCCACCTTTACCATCCGAAGGACTCGCAATGCAGCGTCAGGTCACCCTTGGCTTCGCCGCGCCATACTGCAGAGGGATCGATCCAGTCTCGCACAGCGCTCCGCACAGTCAGCTGCAGCGATTCTGGACCAGACACTGTTGGAGAGAAGAGGGATAGAAGACATCAACCAATCCATCAGCCGTTGACATTGCTCTTTCGAAGCACTCGCGCGAGTCCTACTCACCTCCGATCCAGATTCGACCACCAGCACTCTCAACGGCGGAGCTCATCAGACCATACACATCTGGTCTTCCCTGGATGATCCAGGGCGCTCTCTGGCGACTGTTGCTCTTGCTACTCGAAGGAACCACTTCCTCCCAAGCACGCGGCGCATCCCGACTATGCGCAGTCTCCTGAGTGATATGGATCCTAATGTCTACTGTCACTTGAGCGATGTCGGTAGACAGTGCCTGTGTCAGCTCGGATTCGATCCAGTGCATGTGCTCCGAATTGGTCACGGACCAGATCCAGAAGATCTGACGAGTCATGCGATAATTCTTGCTCTGATTGCGGCACGCGTCGAGCAGCAAGGGCAATGTCCACGAGACGCCGGAGCCGCCGGCGAAGAAGACCAGTGTTTCGTAGCTCGAGAGGTAGGATACAGGTGGTGAGAGAGGACCGTAGACGAGAAGACGAGATGACTTGCCCATCTGAGCAGCCTCGTAGAGCTTCTTTGTGAAGCCTTTGCGCTTCTTGATGAGAAAGACCAGCTTCGATTGGCCACTCACCTCGGTGGAAGTGTCGGCCTCGGTGTCAGTTGAGAAGACACGGTTGTGCTTAGGAGACTCGGCCGGCAGCTGCTCTTCGTTGACCTCGCTCTGACGCAGTGATTGAAGCTCCATAGATCCGTTTGCGTACTTGCGAGACTTGTGACCGTACTTCCTCTTTTCTCCGCCAGTACTTCCGCTAGTGATCTGGTGTGCACTTCTTTCTTCTGACACGGAAGCTATCGTGAAGGGATGGGACTGCCAGAAGGGACTTACACCGAGGAAAGGGGGGCTGAATAAGTAGACGTGCGAACCGGGTAGCCACTTCTGCAGGCCCGGCTTGGTCATCTCAACGCGAAGCATACCCGGAGAAAGAATTGTCATCCTTGAAGTTGAGACATCTGCTGCCCTCGGTCGATAGAGGGCATTGAGGTAAATCAACTGCACCCAGCGCTGCAGCATATCGATGGCCCAGAGCGTCGCGCTTGCCAGAAGCAGAGGCTGCACGACATGTGCGAGGGGCGTATTGACAGTGTGTAGATAGGTGGAGACGAAGAGACCTGCCACTAGTGGTGCGTGCAGATGAACAAAGACCTGGTAGCACCACTGCATACCGTTGCGATGGCTTGTGACGAAGAGCGCCCCGGCAAAGATGAAGGCGCCGATGCCCCATCGTCTCCAGTCTTTGGCCATGCTCGTGGACGCTTTGAGCTTTATGACGGCATGCATCAGGATCAAGCTCAAGCTGATCCTGCTGCAGGCCCTGTGATAGATCTGTAGGCGTCTGTTGAGGCGAAAGAACGGAGGTGGTGTCGGTGAGGTGTCATTCATCTTCTTTCTGGCGCAACTCACTCGTATGGTATTCCAGTAAAAGTCGAGATGAGATTGTTCTTTGTCGCTAGTGCAATGATCCAAGGCAGAGTAGCCATAAAGACCATAGCGGAGCGATTACCTGTACCGAGGACGGTGCTGTTGGTAGGCGCGAAGAGGGGACTTCGGGAGACGTTGGTGAGGAGGACGAAGTAGAGGACCAGGAAGTAGAGGAAGACGAGGAGCATTTCGGGAGCAGTGTAGGTGAAGAAGGGAGTTGGAATGGTCACGTAAAGGATGTTCTAGATCAGGATGCAGGAAGGAGAATGCGTGAGCGTGACCTTCTTGCACCTTGTTGCTGCACATCTCTGAACCTACCTTTCGGATCCAGGCTCTGCTGGCTCGCAGTGCGCGGACATGCCAAAGTCCACCACCCCTGATGTTCTCTTGTGGTCCCCATCTGTGGGTCAGAAAGATTCCTGCCCTTCTTACCGCTGGAAAGGGCCCTCTAGGGATCAGAGAAGGCGCAGCACAGCAGCGTGGTCAGCTAGCCCTTACTCACCATGATACGCTATCAGAGAACCCAGCCACAGGCCAAGTATGATCTGCAGGTCAATGACTCGGAGCTTATTGTTGTGCTCAGCCTTTGCCTCCCATGCCACAAATTCTGCCGACGGGACAGAGTTAGGACCGACAGCAACTGCGCTGTTGTTCACAGCCCCGGTAAGTGAGATGTCGGGTTCAGGAGCGCTGATGGAATACGGCATGATGTTCAAAGGAGACGCTAGTAGTGTAGCAAAGACTCAGTAGGAAAAGGTACAAGGGTTCCAGAAAAGGATTCGCCCAGGAGGCGGCTGTAGAGCTGTGCTGTACAGTTGCGCCGTTTGCGGGTCGACATTGCTACGGGCACTGGTGATTGGTGCCTGACTCCCGACCCGACCACACACTGTCCTGCAGTCATTGAGGAGCACGCGCCTCATACTCTCCCAAGCAAGCTGCTCCCAAAAATTCACAGGACCGTATCGAGGCCTCCATCTGTGCATCTAGATTGTAAGCTCGCTCACAGGCATGGTTCCCCTCATGGTGAGCCATGGCTGAAGACCCTTGTGCTGAGCTTTACGCCGTCGGCATCTGGAAAATGCGGGGAAGACGCCGTTCTTAGTTCCGTTCCCCTCTTCCATACTTTCCCAGCATGTTCCCTTCAGAATCCAGGATGACTCTTGCACGCTCACTTGCTCGCCTGCCATTGATAGGCAGACCTGTTCCTCGGCCACTTTCTCGGTCCCTTGCCACTCTTTCCTCCACGCCCTCCTCTCCCTCCTCTTCAGACTTCATCCCAGGTCCCCTCTCGGGTGTAAGAGTCCTGGAGCTCGGCCAACTAATAGCCGGTCCCTTCTGTGGCCAGCTCCTTGCGCACTTTGGCGCCGAAGTCATCAAGATTGAGCCTCCCACCACTGGAGATCCCTTGCGGGTTTGGAGGGAATTGGACGAGGACGGAGTGTCTCCTTGGTTCCGGAGTTTGGCACGCAATAAGAAGAGCGTGACGTTGGATTTGAGGAAGGAGAAGGGGAGGGAGATCGTTGAGAAGCTGGCGCTGAAGAGTGATGTGCTGATTGAGAAGTGAGTTTGATACAAGACTCTCGAACATTTCCGATCTGAGCCCTCATCTGGCATACACTTCTCCATTTGATTTGGCTGCCAAGCTTCAAGCCAGGCACCATCGAGAAATGGGGCATCGGCCCCTCCGATCTCTCTCCCCTGAATCCCTCTCTAATCTTTACACGGATCTCAGGCTACGGTCAAACAGGTCCTCTCCGTTCCGAGCCAGGCTTCGCAGCAGTTTGCGAAGGGTTCAGTGGGTTCCGCTTCGTGAATGGCAATGTAGACTCCAACGGCAAGCTAGCCGGGGCACCTGTACGCCCAAATATTTCGCTGGGCGATTCGCTTGCTGGACTGCACGCTGCCTTTGGTACTGTCATGGCTCTTCTGGCGAGGGGAAAGCTGGGTGGAAAAGGTCAGACGGTGGATGTGGCCATCTACGAAGCTGTCTTCAATATGATGGAGGGGATCTTGCCTGCCTATTCCCGCACTGGGGCAGTACGAGGACCTAGTGGACCTGGGGTGACAGGCATTGTCCCCACGAGTGCTTTCCCCACGAGCAAAGACGAAGAGTATGTTATTATCGGTGGCAACGGCGATTCTATATACCAGCGACTCATGCAGCGTATTGGGAGAGAAGACCTCACCGGGGAGGCGTACGCCAACAATGCGAAGCGAGTCGAGAGACAAGGCGAAATTGAAGATGCTATAACGGCCTGGACTAGCAAACATACAATGGACGAAGTCCTCAAGGCTATGAAGGAAGCTAGAGTACCCGCTGGACCTATCAATTCAATTGCAAATCTCGCCGAGGACGAGCATCTCGTTGCAAGGGGAATGGTGGAGAGTGTGCCAGTGCACTCCAAGAAGCTCGACAAGACCTGGGAGGTCAAGGTGCCTGGCGTATCGCCTATTCTCGATCGAGGCGGAACTGGGACACGTTGGGCCGGCAGAGATTTGGGAGAGGACAATGAGGAAGTGTACAGAGGAGAATTGGGGATGAGCGAGGCAGAGGTGGCTGCGCTGATCAAGGAGGGCGTCATTTGATGTGCGGTCGGTGAGGCAGACAAGATACCATTCCTGTGCAAAGAGCAAATAAACAGATGACAGCAATGCTAAGGCTAATGATACAGCTATTCGGCTCGACGTCAGTCCATCGGTATCCGCAGAACAGCACAAACAGGTAGGTGATCGCTGGCTACACCTCCGCCCTCCAGTACCGCATTATACATCTCCAATCCGATCCTCTGCTTCCCTTGGCCCCCCTCAAACCAGAGGACCCGATCCGTCCACGAAGGGACTCTCTGCTTCTCAGAGGTATCATACGTGTTGGTACCAGGGTCAAGTTTGTACGTAGGCACAAATTCGCTGACGTCTCCCTCCCTCCAGCCCCGCCAGAGCTCCCGGATGAGTAGGTTGACCTCTTCGCTTGCAAGAGAGGCCAAGTCGGTCTTCTCACCGGTAGGGCTAGTAAGAGGTGTAGAACCGTCCTCATTGGCGATGGCTAAGTGGCCGGAGAGCTCGTCGTAGGAGCGCAATAGACGACGGCCGGTGCCACCTTTGCGGATAAGACGTTGAACAGAGGCAGAAGAGAGGGAGAGGGGAAGACGGGAGTTGAGGTCACCAAGCAGAATTGTTGTGCTGCGAATGGGTAAAGAGGTCAGTCTCGCCGTTGCGCCCCTAACGCGCTGATCTCCCACGCTGCTCATACTCACTCGTGGTCTAAGACACCCCACTCCTCGTAACGCTCCGCTTCCTCCAGAGTCGCTGTCGCTGAGTCGCTCAGCGCAACCTTGAACCGCAAGCGCTTTCCCACCTCTGCCCAGTCCCACACCCTCCTCTCCATGGCGATCCTTCCCACGCCTGCAGAGAGGTGCGCAGCGATAATGCAGATGGTCTTCGAGACCCCTGTAGGCAGTGTTACTCGGAAGCGAGCCGCTACGGCGCCCTTGTTGGCCATGAAGCCGCCCAGGCCAACGCCTACCGTAGTTACGAGCAGCTCGCTGAGCTGAATACTTCCTGCTACGGAAGAACGCTCATTCAACACTGTTGCTTCGTCCTGCCGCAGTATGCGCTGAAAGACAAAGAGAAGGATGGTGACATGTTGCTTCACGACTTGAAGATTCCATTCGTACTCGTCGTGCCTTCCCTGATTGAGACCCTCGAGCAGGACATGGGTCCAGGCTTCCTGCTTCTGCGGGTCGAAGAAGAGATAGGCAGCGGAAGAAGTGTCGACTTCCTGGAGACCGACGATGGCAAGGTCCGCATGTTGCAGAGCTGAATCCGTCAAGAAAGGCAATGGGGTTGAGGGCGGCGGCGGGGCACACCCGGCTACATTGTATGTGAATGCAGCAATCCGAATCCCGCCTGAGGCAGAAGTGGACATGGCGGATGAGGCAGGCAGCTGGCCTCCTGCTGACGCTGACGAAGTTGAGGACGATGTTGAGACTGTAGAAAGGCTCAGAATGCAGATTCCGTCAGACCGTGGCTGCCAAAGTAACACGGCTGCTTCTGAACTCACACTTTGCCCATACGGGGCTCTTGGTGCTCTCCCTCTGTGTCGCAAGCAACTTCCTAATACTGGCAAATTGTTCCTGGGTGGTATACTTCTTGAGCCACATCCATCTCGTCTGGCTGAGCTGCGAAGATGTGCTTGAGCTGATCTGTGACAAGATGAGGCGGAAGTCCTGGATCAGGACGCTATCGGGGCGGAGGAAGTAGATCAGCTCTGTTCTTCGCTGGGACCTGCTATGTAATTTGCGTAGACTCACTCCTGCGATGACCATCCTTGCAAAAGCTCCCTCTCCTGACCCTTCATCTTCTGCCCCGATGCCTTCAGGACAAGTTGTACGTGCTTGGGCTGGCGGCTCTGCACCTCGAGTAAGCCAGGTAAGACAGGCACCACCGCAAGTGTATTCCACTGCTTTGTATCCAGCAGAAGCAACGCGCTGAGCTCAGCGTCGTCTGCATTGTCTACGTTGGATACGAGCACTAGCATTTCGTCCTCTGCTGGCGCTTTGGAGGACGAGGCTTGGGATGTGCTCTGCTCTGGGTGTGCAGCATGCTGTGAGGGTGCTTGGTCCGAAAGGGGGAGGATGAACTTGATGTGTTCGCGCTCGCCGATGACGTCCAGCAGAGCCGGCGGCACTGGCGGCACGGTCGCTGCTTGTTCTTCCATTGTCGTCATTGTCCGCAGCTCAGCAGATCATCGTGGGCTGGGCGAAGGCGGGCAAGGCGGTAAGCTGTGGGCAACGAAAGGGGCAATGGTAGGGATGAGTGGTTCCTCCTCCACTTTGGCGGAAAGGGTGCACCCAGAAATCTGCTCGGGCGCGTGCAACGCGACGTCGGGCATTCTTCCTCTTCCCCCCCTTGCTTAACACAACTTCCCTCTGTACTTCATCGTCTCGGAGAGACCACAATGGTCTCATTAGCCGTACTCATATCGCCGTAGCAAAGGTCGCGCTCATCATATTTGCTCAATCAACCACGTCATGGTATCTCAGCCTCTGGCGGCAGCTAGGCCGTCCTACGCTGACGCAAAGGTTCTCTTCGTATCCAACAACTTCGGAACTTCACTCACAAGGATCAATGCAGTGTCTATCGTCTCAATCGCCAGCTATGCGCTCTTCGCTTCCCTAGTGAGGTACTCGGCAGCTCTGGCTGCGAATACGAGCGACCACTCGGCAGGCAATTCACTCGAGCATTGGATCCTCGAGGTGCGGACACAGTACCAAAGATGTCTCTCGGGCAGCAAGACGCAGGTGTCAATGCTGGTCGCAATCGAGGCAGTCATCTTCATCCTGCCTCTTTTGCTGAGTTTGACAGTTTTCAGCAGCACTGGGACTGCCACAGCCTTGTCCCTGTTCCTCTTCGCTCTAGCCGCCGGCTTCTATCAACAATCGCAGCAACTTCAATCCACTAGGTCAAAGAAGAGACGCTCTTCCGACGACGAAGACTCTGCGGACGACACGACAACATTACACTCGCAGTCAGATCTGCATGATGGGCGAGACCAATTGCGAAACCGAAGGGCGCCGGCCAAGGCGGCTCATCGTAGAGCGCCCTCGCGGTCTACCAAGACCTACTCCGAATCAGACGACGACGAGCTCGAGGCCGAGCTGGTGGAGAAGAGGAGCATACAGCATAGGAGGCTCGCCAGCGAGTCGAATGAGATGCGCGTTTCGGTAGAAAGTGCAGCAGATCAGGCATGGAACGCAGCAAATCCGCCGCAGAGCTGGACCGAGCCAGAGGCAGCAGGGAAAAGCGATGCATCGCTGTCGGGCAGTGACTTCCGGGGGCGAAGGAGAGACCCAATAGACCGCGGCAGTGGCATCAAAGACGCCTCACAGGATCACGATCCATTCCTGACGATCTATCGGTCACATATGATGCTCATCACAATAGCCTGCATCTTGGCAGTCGACTTTCCAATCTTCCCGAGGGAGCTGGGCAAGTGCGAGACGTGGGGAGCTAGCCTAATGGACCTCGGAGTAGGCTCCTTCGTCTTCTCTCTCGGCGTAGTGTCCGCTGGACCATACCTCAAGCCGACGAGACCGTCCTTGCTGTCTATCCTCCGGAGGGACATGACCAAGTCTTTGCCCTTGTTCGCTTTGGGCATGATCAGAGTCATCTCGGTCAAGATGACTTCCTACCCAGAGCATGTGACAGAGTATGGCGTGCATTGGAACTTCTTTCTCACTCTGGCCGCATTGCCCATTCTCAAGACAGGGATAGAAGCCATGCGGAGAGTCGTGGGAGGGAGATGGAGTACGTGGGGCTTGATGATTGGGTTCTGTGAGTAGCCACCTCGAAATTCTATACAGGGCTTTTGCTGCCCCACCTTACACCTCTCTGTTCCCCCTCTTGCTCCTTCCAATCCAGTCCATCAGATCTTGCTCTCATTTACCCCACTTCAGGCGTACGTCCTCTCCTCGACACCGCGAACGGTCTCCCTCTTGGCCGCCAATAGGGAGGGCATCTGCTCCGTTCCAGGCTACCTTTCCATCCTCCTTCTCTCAGTAGACCTAGGCCTCTACATTCTCCCACGGACAGATCCGTACCAAGCCTTTCGACGGGTCTCCTTGGAGGAGGTGGAGGAACGCAAGAGACACAACAGGGTAGGTAGTGATGGGAGAGTAGATCTCAAGGCGATTCAGAGCCAAGGCGTGAAGAAGGAGGGCAAACGTCTCGCAAGTCTCACGGCCATTCTAGGCTCTTGGGCTATCATTTACTGGTCGCTCCACCTCTTGGTCGCCTTCTGCCTCTCCCTCTCCTTCCCAACTCTCGCTTCGGATCTGGCGCTGGGAGAGCGAGCAGATGGGCTGCAGATGAAGACGTCCATCAACTTGGCCATATCCCGGCGATTGGCAAACATGCCCTACGTGCTGTGGGTAGCAGCATTCAACGTCTCCTTCCTCGCAGCATACACGAGCGTCTACTGGCTCTTCCTACTACCAGTAAAGTGGTCCTCCCTCTCCGCTCAAGAGCACGACAGCAGGCACGGGCATGGACACGGGTACGGATCTCCGCCCCTCCCATCTCTCCCACTCACCCCACACCTCTTCAACCTAATCAACGATCATGCCTTCCCCATCTTCCTGCTGAGCAACATCCTCACCGGTCTAGTCAATCTCTCACTCTCGACAATGTACACCTCGCACCTCGTCGCCTTTGTCGTACTCGTGGCGTACATGCTCGCCGTGTGCATCGGCGGACCAGTGTGGATCTTGCCGCTTGTTGGGTTGGGCGGGGTGGGGGAGGAGGAGGAGGGAGGGAGAGGAAGAGGGAGAGGGGTGAGAAGATGGGTGGAGTGGCTTGTTGGGAGGAGGTGAAGACGACGGGGAGCAAATGAAGACGACGGGGAGCAAATGTCGGAGAGATGGCTGTAAACAGTGGGTATGACTTGAGTAGACAAATGTGGCGAGTCAGAAGACAATAAGAACAAAAGGTCGAATGCAATTTCCCAAGGCACTTATAGACAGGTATGAACAGTACAGATCCATAGTATGATACAGAAAGCAGGAAGAGGATACGGTATGCAAATGCAAATGCGAATGCGAATGCGCGAGCAACAGAGTGAACGTAGAAGCCCTGAAGGAGAAGAGAACGGTCATCTGGTCCGGTCCATCTAAGTTGCGCCAGAGGGCGCATCGATCCAAGTCCCATTAAAGTACGCCACGGCCGCCCTGGTGAAATCGGCGGCATCGCCTTCGCTAGTGTAAGCCAGACGGAGGTAATGGGGCTGACTAGCAATCGTCTCCCTCACGTCCGCCGCTGGATAGTAGGTGAAGTTATTCAGTGCACTCGTTGCGTCGAAATCCGTCCAGAGGGTGGCTAGGTCGAAGTAGGTCTCGCTGGAGTCGGAAAGGCGGAGCACATCGTCTATCATTAGTGAGAAGCCCGTGTACCCGCTCACATCGTCCCCCTCTGCCGCCGCGTCCGCCAGGGAAGTCCAATGTACCAGTCCAGACCCGTTCTGAACGCCGGTCCAATTCGAACCGGGAAGGAAAGAAGGCAGGGCAGACCCGGTCGTGGAATCGCCCGTGATAGTCGAGATGTCCTGGATTAGACCGTCCCAGCCCCAGCGACCGATACCGTTGATGAGCATTCCGAGGAGGAACCAGGCGGCTAGGAGGGAGATGCGAGTCTCGAAGGCGAGGAAGGGGAGGAGGATTAGAGCAATGATGTAGTGATGGAGGCGGAGGCCGGTGGTCGGGACTGGTAAGATGAAGAGAGCATGGAAAGATTCAGAGGAGAGCACTTGTGTGAGACTTGGGTCAGAAGTACTCACCTGCTGCTAAAAGGCCTATGATGATCGCGCCTACGATGGCCAAGGTGAGATACTTGGGCAGATAGCCCGTCTTGCGAACCACCCGGACTTGATTGATGGCGACGATGACGACGACTACGATGATGACGATCAGCTTTTGATACAAAGATCAAGAAACGTATCAGGTCAGCAACAAGTTTTATCTCTTATCTCCACCCTTTCCTGAATACTCACCGAGGTCAATGCCCCAGGCTGCGACGTGATATCCGACAGTACCAACCTCTGCAGTGGCACATTCGCAAAGACGACATCCAGCATGACTCCAATCCAAAAGAGTGCCAGTGTGCCGATTGTTCTCTCTACGGGGAACCTCGCGAAAGCCGGGAACAAGAAGCGGAATGTGAGTCGGTAGACAACGTAGCAAGCAAAGAGAAGCGGGAGGAAGTCCCCTGCTGGATCGCCAACCGTGGGTGGGAAGGCGCGAGGTTCACTGGCGAAGTTGAGGTGCCAGAATCCGACGCAGATGAGGATGTAGTACCAGACTAAGGAGGCAGGCTGTAGCACCAGTCCTGTAAAGGCCGAGAGGACAGCGTCAAGGATGTAAATCCGCTCGCGCGTGTCCGTACAGTGACTCGAAGTCGTCTGCTGTTCAAAGAAGTAAGAGATGGGAAAGGAGGAATTGAAGTCTTCGCTGGTGAGACCATTGGCGGTGGAGCCAATGTAGTCTGTGTAGCTTCCTGCGAGCCACAATTGACCACAGCCGCCGGATTCACTTGTGAACAGGCCGGCGTGGATGGCAGCGGCGCAAACCCAGCTGTCTCCTCGATACACGCCCAGCTCGTCACCTCCGCCTACGATGAGGGGCACCCAATTTGGCACTTCACTCCCTACCGCACGTGCAGCACCCAGCGTCGTACCAGCGCAGAGGGCAGGGCATCTGAAAGCAATGGAAGTGTTTTGGTAGAAGGGCTCACAGTCCTGTCCATCCAAACCACACTGGGTATTCTGAAGCCAGTACGTGGATGTGCAGGAATAAAAGGAGGGAGAAGTCGAATCCTCAGATCCGACGGTGCGGACCGATGCATTGAACCAAAGGTCATTGGCGAGAGCGATGAAGCCTGCTAGCCAGGCGACGCAGGTGAGGAAGAGGAGCAGCCAATGGACTCTATTGGTGCGCCACTCCTTGAGGAAACCTCTCTTCCAGGCTGTAGCAGGATGCAGTGGTGGAGACATTCTGCGAGGGTAGTGAGCTTGCCGCTGTTCGTGTCGCTCAGAGGGCGGAGGCGATAGGTCTTCCAGATCCATGGTCTGGCTATGACCCCGCTGCAGCCAAGCCGGTCTCCTCGGCCACGTCAACGGCCGATCACGGTCCGCCAGCTCCCTCCGCACTGCATCTTTGTCCTCATCAGGATCACGCCAGGCTACCGAGCGAGTCAAACTGAGCCAGCCTTCCTCGACTCTTTGGAAGGGCCACCAGGGATAGTGGCGGATGCGCAGCTGGACAGGAGGATTAGGACCTGCAGCCCAGCCTACGAGCCTTCGAAAGCGAGATCGAGGGGCAACGACAGCGCCTCGACCATGGCCATAGCTGACGCCGTCCTCATCGTTGGTTTCCTCGATGTTGTAGCGAGGCGAGAATACGGCGGGCAATTGAGGGAGTGTATCGTGAATATGTTCTCCGTCTCCCGATGACCACTGTTTGCTGTCGATGCCTTTGCTTGAGTCAGAAGAGGGATAGGAGCGATTTCTGGATGGCATTGCATGAGAGGAAGCATCGGTAGATGAAAGGAGCGTCGAGGCGATGACAATTTGATCTTGCGAGCCCTTCTCAGACAGTGGATGGTCCATTGACGGGCCTGGTTCGACTTTCATCTTCTCTGCCAGACTCCTGGGATTGGTCACCACCATGAGAGCGCTCTCGTATTGCCCGTTGAACACTTTTTCCCCTCGGATGTGACTGTCGCCCATACGCCTCGCCACTTCCTTGACCAGCCACCTGACACTGAGCATATTAGTGGTCAAGGTCGTCATGCCTCGATCGATGCCCAGCAACAGTGTGTTGAGAGTATGTGCCGTCTGTCGAGGATTTGCAGAGGTAGATGTAGAGTGCGTCTTGTCTGATAGGTCGGACAGACCGTCGAGGATCACCTGTCGGCAACGAAGGCTGAAAGGCGGCAGATCGCGAGGTGCCAATGTCGGAGAGGCTGCGACAGACACGACGTTGATAGGAAGCTCAAAGGCTGAGCCCGAGCCCTGTGAGGCCTTCCACCTTGAGCCTTGCCAGAACATCTCTGACAATTTAGCGCTTTCTTTTGCATCGCCACCTAGCAAGGCGTTGGCCCTCCTCTGCTCATCCGGTCCAGCCACCAGCCTCATGATCTCGCAGAACTTCTCCCTGGCCTCAGATGACGTGTAGAAGCGCAGAGGCCGTCCACCGCTAGACTTTGACAACTGGAAGACGTAGCTCAGGAACGACAGGCCCTTCTTCTCGAGGGCGAGCTGCATAGCAAGTGCTCGGCCATGGAGGAACCTCGCTTTGGCGTCCTTGCGAGATTCACCCGCTTCCTCACCCTCCTCTTCTTCACCACGCTGGGCCTCGATAGACTTGATGCCCATAGTGTGGAAGAGAGACTCAAGGTCGACTTCGTCCTCCGGCAGAGACATGTGGGAAATGTCACTGACCAGCGCAACGAGTGCCGAGACGTCGAGGTTCACGTCGTGAGTACAGGGCAAGCTGGACAGCTTCTCCTCGGATGGAGGCGTCGGCACAGCAGGCAGAGAGAGCAAGGACGTATCGAAGTCCGCGAGTTCGGCAGGGATGGGATGAGAATGCAGACCCGAGGCTAGAAGAGAGGGAAGGAGCTTGCCGGGCGGCGCAGCAAGAACGCCTTCCTGTGTCTTGACAGTTGCATTTGGCAGCCGTGCCACGAGATTGGCAATAGACTGCAGCCGACTGTTGTATCTTTCCTCCTCTGACGAAGAAGTGAGGTAGTCCAAGGTCAGGTCCGAAGAGTGGTCTGTGTTCGGGGTCGGCAGCTCGATCCGACTGAAGACGAGGTCGAGGGTAATGGCATCGTGATGCTTCGAGGCCGCCCTACAGGCCAAGAGCTCTTCAAGATTTCGAACCACGGAGCAATTGGCGGTCGCTTGGTCCAGCTGAGCAAAGAGGCCTTGCGACTCGCCCAACCGCTTTGCCCTACCTTCGCTAATGCCAGATCCAGAGAGCTCGCCTTCGCCCTCACCCACTTCGCCCTCGTCTGAGGAGCTTCCACCAGCTCCCATGTAGCTCTCTGCCTCTCTAAATTCGGCCAGTAAACTGCTTTTCTTGATGGTGAACATCCTTGTCCAGCTCCTTCCTCCATCGGCAATCACATCGACCTTGGCCAGTCTGCTCTTCCCGCCACCCTTGACCTTTAGGCGACGTTGGCGTGCGGAATTTGAGGCGGCAGAAGGGAGCTGACCCTCTGCTGGGATCGGTAGAGAGGCATTGACTTCCATCACGGGCCCATGAGTCAGAGCTACACGAAGGACTTGTTGCCATAGCTGGCAGAGGAAAGGTCCATTGGAGGAAGGTGGGCAGGGATCTGAAGCGGAGGAAGAAGCAACAAGCTGCGATTGCCGGAAGGCATGAGAGGGAGAGGGGCGAAATCAGCCTGAGACTCCACTCTACTTTACGACATCTGAGGACCCACTCACCTTGTCTAGATGCTCCTTCTCCCTCGCTACAGTGGTCTTGAAGGATCTCAGACCCTTGACCGCCTCGGCATTCCTGCCCAAAGCTTCCTTATACTCATCCCACGCCTCCCCCTGAACGGGAATTCTCAATGCCTCCACCTCCTCCTTCCTAGGTTGAATGGCAGATCCACTAGCATGACCATCGTCCAGGCCAAAAGAAGGGATACCATGCAAAGTATTGGAGGAGAGGGCAGCCCAGCGTAAGTGAGCATCGGAGAACTGCTGCACGGAGATGAGAATGGCTTGTAGGGCTAATTGGACGGCCCAGATTGGCGTTGCATGTGAAGGTGAAGAAGAGGATGACATGTTTGTGGATGTGAGCCGAATGGCCAGAGGTAGAAGAATGCAAGAGGAGCAGGATGGAGGAAAGGAAGGATGAGGTAAGGGAAAGAGGAAGAGTGCCAGATGAGAGGAGAGGAAGGAAAGCCGGGACGGGGCGCAGGATGAACGGGAGGTGTGACAAGACTGAAGACTTGTTCTCTGTGTCCACAACTGGATGCCAAGGAGAGACAGGAAAGAACAGGCGGTGGTTACCGTGCCAACCTCGAGGTATGGTGGTGGTGGTGGGATCGGAAGCAGCAGCGGTGGCTGGACTTCGGCACCTCGGCACAGGCCGCTCCTTCCCGCGAGGCGAAATCCCAAGTCGTGTGCCTGAAAGGGCGCATGGGCCAAGCGTGAACATGAGAGTTTATCCTGCCGCAACCTTCTTACTGCAAGAACCACAAAACGCCAAGAAAGTGTTCTATGGGATACAAATGCGAATAGAATGACGTGCACAATCTCTACATCTCTGACTGCTGCCTGGGGTCGTCGAACCCCAATCCACACCCACGCGCCAGCAGGTGTCTCTCCACCTCGATTCCCCCTCCAATCCTTCCCTCACAAACAGCCCTCACATCCTCCACCTCTCGCACCGCCTCTGCACTGAGCACAATTGCACCTTCTGTCTCCCTCTCACCAACAGCAATGTCGTCTTCTAGTCGAAGACCGATGCCACGAAATTCCTTGGGAATGAAGGAGGAGAGACGATGCAGGTTCGAGTGCTCGGGAGGGATGTACAGACCTGGTTCGATTGTGATCGTTTGTGCCTTTTTCAGTGGGGTGGAGCGGGGCACAGAAGGTGTGTCGTGAAGGTCAAGACCGAGATTGTGCTGTGCGAGGGGTACGCCCGAAAGCAAGGTCAGCAATATACTTCTTTGACTTTTCCTAGCTGCCTGCAACTCACGCCCAAGTAATGAGGATAGATGACCCTCTCGAGCTCGCCTGCTCTCACGTCCCATCCCAGATCCTTCAGTTCCACTCTCAGCATCTCCACAGATCTCCTATGCACGCCACCAAGCGAGTAGCCCAGGTCAGCCGTGCAGAGCTTGATGCACCCCTTGAGCACCCGTAGCAGAGCTTCGTAGAGGTGCAGCTGAGGCGTAGTAAAATTGATCCTCTTGTCCCCCGAAGAAGCCGAGGAGGATGAAGCAACTGGCCATGCTCGAGTGATGTCGCTTGTGTAGCCCGCATACTCAATGCCGGCGTCCATGGTCAGGAGGTGTCCTACCATCTCTCCCTCCTCGTTCCGCCTCTCCTGACCAGGCAGGCTCTTTCCAAGCGTATGGTCGTTCTCCGTGTAGTGTATCGTGCAGCCCCTGTCCCCCGTGGCTACTACTGGGACGTAAGCAGCTCGTGTGGCTCCCAGTAGTGAAGCCGTGTACTCGAAGTGAGCCTGCAGGGACCACTCACTCGTAGCCAGAGCGGTATTGGAAAAGGCCATTGTAGAATTGTGAGCCAGGGCTGCAATCTGCCCTGCTCTCCTCATCAGTCGCAGCTCGCTCGGCGATTTGATCAAACGCTGCTTGTCTAGTATGGGTGTGAGGGGGACCGCTTTCTTCGGATCTGCTAGAAATTTGAGCACAGAGTCGAAGTCGGATCTCCGGGAGAAGAGATCAAAGGGCGACGATTCTGGAGCGAGGTAATTCAGCAGCGAGCTCGATGCGCCGCCTGTCGTACTACGAGAGGACTTGCGTGGTATTGTCGGAGGTAAGGCAGGATCGTGATAGATCTTCGACGCCTGTGGGAGGACCTTCTTCAGGTAGGTGAGCAGACTCCTCCCTTCACTGTCCATGTCAATCCCCTCATCAGCGCCAAAGATGCGAGTGGCTCCATCACTCCCGCAACGCGGGCCATTCCAGACTTCATGTCCCTCGTCGTGAGGCGGTAAGAACAAGGTCATTTTGAAGCCTCGTGGTGTAGAAGACTGCTTTTCTAGAACTAGCGCTGCATCTGCTTCGAGGAAGCCGGTGAGGTAGAAGAAGGGCGAGGCTTGGCGAAAGCGATAGCTGCGAGAAGACAAATGCTACATCAGAACCCCCGCTGTCTCTGTACTTTGATAACCTTCGCTTTCGACTTACAATATTTGACCACTCATATACTTGATCCGTCCCCCCATGACAATCACCACTGCCCCCTCCTCCAATCCCTCCATCAACGCCCTCCTCCTCTCCTCATACTCCCCCCTCGTGATCCCCACACTCAACTCCTCCGCCGCTCCACCATCTCTTAGACTTTCATGATAGTCCCTCGAGACGAGATGAGAGGAGCGCGGTTGTGGAAAGAGAGAGGGAAAAGGCGTCCGCTTGTCGAAGCTGGGAAAGAGGTGAGGATGAGAGGATGGGAGTGGTTGACCGATTTGCTTCTGCGGCGAGGCCGAGGAAGAGGGGAGACGCACTCGATGTAAAGGTGAAGAGGATGAAGAAGCAGAGGGAGAAGGAGAGTCGAGGGGTTGAGCAGAGGAAGAAGAGTAAGGACGATGTGCAATTCGTCTTGAAGAAGAGCGGGTCGAGGAGGAGGAGGAGGAGGCGGCAGTGGATCCTGATGAGACGAGTCTGCTTGGCACCGCTTGTACCCGAGACGCCATGATAAGATTGACGTGGCGCTATCGCTTCAAAAGCTGTACCTGTGAAGCTTGTAGGCCGAGTGAGATGCCTCAGAAAGCGATATGGCCGGTAAGATGTGCGGAATGGAATGCTTGACTGATCAAGATCATCAGCCGCTCCCTCGGCCAAAAGATTCTCAAAAGCGCGGGGGTGGAGCGAGTCGAGTTCGGAACGGAGCTTGGCGGAGCCCAGTCCAGTCCAGACCAGTCCAGTCGACAATGAGCACCCCAAGACAAAAGAACCTTCAACTAGTCTTTTGTCGACGCTGAGTATTCCTCGCAAAACGAGACAAATGCTCAGGACGGTGATAAAGGACGGTGATAAGGGGCCGAAGTGACTAGCGCTGTTGGATTCATGTCACAGGTATAGCAATGTTTCAAGGAGGCGAAGATCCGCTACTCCATCTCCCAGTCCACTTCCTCCTCCTCCTCATTCCCCATACGAGTCGGCTGCACCTGCTTCTCCACCTCTGACGCCGGCAGTAGAGAGTCCCGACCAGCTGCTTCACCAGTGACAGCAGCAGCAGTAGAAGTAGTCGGCGGCGGGATCATTCCTAGCATCCGAGCTATACCCGCTAGCCCACCGGCTCCCCTGCCCTCGACTTCTTCCTCTTCGCCTTCATCTGCCTCCTCGTCTTCTTCTGCTTCGGCATCCAGGCGAGCCTGCCGATGAGTGCTGCTACTGTGGCCGTCAAGAAGCTCGGCTTGAGCGAGCGTCTTCGCCGGTTCTGACCGGTGAGAGAGAGCGAGAGGAGCAGGAGCTGCTGTGCTTAGCCGAGCTGCCTTTGGTGGCACTGCCTCCTCCTCTTCCTGCCCCTCTCCCGAGTCAGAGCCGGAGTCAGAATCGGAGTCGTACCCGACCAAGGAGAGTACGGGTCTCGAGGCTGGGGTCGAGCTTGAAGCGGGAGCAGAGGCAGCCGCAGGAGCAGGGCTCGAGGTGGCGGGCTGCTGCGTCTTCTGCTCTAGCGTCCGGTCTGCTGCCAATGGCGCTGCCACGTCCTTCCGGTCATTCTCCTGAATGGACCTTTTCTCATGCTGAACATTCTCCCCCTCTCCTTCCTCCTCTTCCTCCCCCTCTTCCTCTTCCTCTTCCTGCCCTTCATGTCTCACAACCCCAACCACTCCCATTCTTTCCGCCTCCTTAAACTCCTTCTTGTTCCACACTTCAACCCTCGCATACTCAACGACGGCGTGCTCCCTAGGTATAGACCTCAGTAGAGCTTCCAGGCCGAGGAAGCGCTTAGGCAGCGGGTAGAGGAGGGGTTTGGGTCTTCTCTTCTGAGGAGGAGAGGTAGAGGGAGACGCGGCAGGTGCGGGGGTTGAAGCGGGGGCGATGTTCGACACGTTTTCCGTGATAGGTGCTGGCGCAAGGATCTCGGCCTTTGGAGGGGGAGGAGGACGAGTTGCCCCTAATCTTGCTGATAAGCTGGAGAGGAGCGAATGGGAGAGGAGCGGCGCTGATGCCGGAGCGACGCTGGTGATTTCGGGAACAGGGCTCTCCTGAACAGTCTCCTGCGCCAACTCCAGAGGTTGCTGAGCGATACGCTGGCTTCGAGGGCCCGTCGGTGGCGCTTGTTGACTCCTGGGTCCAGAGGGAGGTACATCGACCACCGCTTGCCCCGGTTGAGCAATTTGCGTATTTCGCTCCCTCTTGGGCCAACCTCCATCCTGCGTCTGCCCACGTACCGACGGCATCAGAGCTCGCGGTCCAGCCGGAGGACCCTGAGGTCTGTCTTCCCACTCAACTGCAGGTTCATCTTCGTCGCCCTCGCCTTCTTGCATGTCTTTCCCCTTTCGCGCCCACCACTCGAGGTACTTTGCCGAGCTCTCGTTGCGCAATCGTACCTCGTGCACCTGTACGGCTAGGAGGACCAAAGGCGGTAGAGTGGTGTATGGCTTGGGTGTCTGGAACTCCTTGAGCTCGTCGTCGGAGAGCGCTTCGGTTGAACGGCTTGAAAGAAGGAGACCATACAGGGAGAGTACGTAGTCCGAGATGTGGAATGTCTTTGGCTGGTGCTGATGAGGGGTTGCAGCTTCAGGATCGGCAACAGCCTCCTCGTTAGACCCCACTTCGGTCTTGTCGGTGATCTGAGGCTCGCCATTGGCAGGGACATTGTGAGGAAAGGCCTCATGTTGTGCGCCGCCACCTCTTCCCCTCTTTCTCTTTCGTCCCCTCTTTGACGAAGGTCCAGCTGCCGAATGACCATTGCCATTTGGGCGAGATCCTTCGGCATTCTCGGGTAGATCTGCCTGCTTTGCCTCGTGCTCCTCCTTCCACTCTTTGCTAGCCCACTTCCAGCTCTCACGCTCCCACTCGCTCATAAGCTTGACCTGGAGGGGAAGCATCCCCGGCAAATCGTGGTAGAGCTTCCTCTTCTTCTGGCCCTCTGCACTGTCACCGTCCACCACTGCAGGAGGCAATGATGACGACGCAGAGGGAGAGGGAGAGGTGAAGTAGGCGACTTCAAGGCTGAACTTGACTTTCTTCCCCCTCTCGTCCCACTTTGTCCTATTCTCCTTCTCCCTGCCCATACCCTCGGGCAGCCACATGACCTTGCATCTCCTCTTCTTCATCTCCTCCTTGAGAGCCTCGCGATGTCTCAAGCGCTTCACCGTCTCAAAGTCGGGTCTGAAGGCCGGCCCAGCTGGCTTCTCGCCATTTTGACGAGCTTGTGAAGAGCTACCGGGATGGACGGCGGAGAGGTTGGCTTCTATTTGCTGGGGCAGAAGCCCCTGAGAGAGGAGGGCGGAGCCGACCGAGGAGACTTTGCGGCCGATGGAGCTGAGGAAGTGGTAGTCGTGGAGGAACTGATTCTCGTCGTAGGAATTGAGGGGGACGTATGTGTTGGTCTTGAGGCGATCAACTGCAGTGGAAGAAGCGCTTGCGTGAGCTTTCTGCAGAGGTGGAGCGGCGGCTGCTGCTGCTGAGGATGAGTACGAGGAAGACGAGGAGGCGTTGGGCGCAGCTGGTGTAGTGTGAGTCTGGCGATGCTCCTTGGAACAGGCCAGTGAGCAGGTCGGGTCGTAGCATGTGGGGCATTTGTACTTTGAGACTGACCCGCAGGCCACACAAGGGCCCATCGCACCTGCCATGGAGTGGGCAGTGAGGGACAATGGGCAGCGGCAGGGGAGGTAGTCTGGGTAGGAAGCTTTCCATCCAACGGAAAGGCGCCTGGCCGACTTTTTGGGCGGCGTCTAGGAAATCTGTCTGCAGCCATTCTCGCTTGGCCATGGCGCGTGGGTCCGAGTGTGGAGCTGCCCCGCGTCCAAGGTCGGTTGGGCAGCCCAGGCGAGCTTCTTCTGGGCCGAGGCCACTTCACTCGCCCACTCCTTCGCCCACTCACTTCACTCACCCTCACCTCTTGACCTCCCCGTCTCCAATCCTCACCATCGACATCCGCGCTTGATCCTCCTGCTCCCTTGGAGATGTCCTTCTCTCCCCTGGCTCTACCGACGGCGCTGACGGACCGGTATGTCGCCTCCCCTGGCACTGCCTCCTGGACGGTTCCGCACCGCTGCATGAGCACCTCTCGCGGCACAACCTCTCCCTTTCCTCATTCCTCACCTCTAGCCATGGCCAAGGACATCAGATCCTTGTCGCCGCTCTCAGCAAGCTCTCAAGCTAGCACAACCTCTTCCTCTCTCTCACCCCTACTCGTAGCCAACCACTACATGCGCAATCGTTCCAGCCTCATTTCTGCCATCTCCACCCCCCGCCTCTTCTCCACTGCTCCTCCCACCGGTCCTACTCCACCCCCTCCCAACCCCGCACCACCAGGAGCCAGTACTGCCGGTCCAGCAGCACCTGGAACAGCGAGTGCAGCCCGTCTTCCCGTCTCCTTCAAGAATTACCCAGCTCGGTATGCCCTAGCATTTGTCGCTATCCACCCAACGATTGCCTGGGGTTTGATGACGCCCATGTATCTCCTTTGTCACTATACTTCTCTCTCTACCCTTCTCCTTGCCGGACCGGGAGGAGGAGCAGTACTCAACACACGCATCCCATCCTTTCTCCCCGCTAGCGCAATCTACGCTCTCAGAGAGACACGCGCTAGACACCAACTACACAATCCTGGTGGGAGCGACCCCACTGTGGAGGAATGGATGGAGATGGCCATTCGGAAGTTCGCTTCTTCCTCTTGGCAGGTAGCAAAAGGCATTCGCAATTTAGTGACAAATGTGAAGGGATCCGTCGATGGAGATTTCTCTCCACCGGGGTTCGATTTGAAGACGATGAAGAGGGTGCAAAAAGTGGCTGCTGATGTTCAGGCGCAAGGGTTGGATGGATACAAGGGAGATGCTAATGAGAAGAAGAGTTGGTGGCATGGATATGTCAAGAATAGGGCAGAAGAGATTAGGTTCAGGGAAGTAGCTGATGGGGTAGCTGCGTACATCTTGATCAAGGTGAGTTCAGAGAGACGACCTATCATGGACTGGCAGGAGAGGGGCAGAGTCGTCTAATGAAGAGCAAAGGCACTGACTCTCTTCCCTTCTTCTCAATGCCCCTTTTTCTCTACAGGCCCTGCTGCCTCTTCGAATCCCGCTGTCTCTCTGGCTGACGCCCAAAGTGGTCAAGAGGTTCATCTAACAATTTGTCCACCGCCCTGGCGCGCTGAACGCTTTCATGTCTTTCGTCTGCGTCACTTGAGATCCCCCTGACAATTTAGCTTTTACCTACGAAGATGGTTTTCCGTCCAACGTGCACGTCTCATTTGAAATCACTTCAGCTGAAGCATCTTTGCGAGCATGATTCGTCAATAGGGCGAGCGATATGTGTAGTCAAGTGCTAGCCAGAACTGATATTGAATTTTCGATGATGATGATAAGACCAGCTAGTGGTGGCTATGTCCATGGTCCAGCTCGAATCTAAGTCCACTGTGGAGGGAAGGATGGGCGACGAAGAGTGTCAGATGCTGGTAGAAGGGTAATCTGCAGCCATGATAGCATAGACTCACCAGTACGGGCAAGCCTTTGGTCCGGGCTTGTCCTAATATTGGCGAGTGCGGGGAAGAAATACATCAGCTCTGAATCAGCTTGAAACACTCGACCCGCTTTGCTACGTACTAGGTTGATGAAGACCCTGGGGTGGCCGAGAGCGCCGCTGCCTGTGATCCAGTGAGGGGAGACGCCGCTATGTGAGCTCAAGCCCTTTATCTCTGCTTTCAATCCCCTACTATCTCTCCTCACCTCCATCACAGCTGGTGATCCTCTTGTGACTCAGCCTAATCGGCTCCCTCTGCACCATCTCCATAGCACTCAGCGGCTGAGGCTGGAACTCCATGTTCATTTGCTCGAACCTAGGTCCCCTCATGGCCATTTCCCTCGGGTTCTGCGTCTCTGACCAGGTCGTCGGGTAGTTTGGGCTCTGCTTCTCTGGAACATTCGGAGGGGTGTGAGGCATAGCTACGGGAGGAGAACGAGTGGTGCCTTCTGTCACTGCAGTGTTGTTGGCTACAGGCTGGGTGACCTGGGTGGGACGTTGGAAGAAGCCAAAGGAGGGGAGGAGATGGCGGGTGCTGCTGGAGAGGTGACGGCGGGGGGAGATGGTCGAAGTGGACGTGGATGCCTTTGTGGCTGCCCTGGAGAGGGACGAGATGTGCTTTAGTACCGCCATGCTGGGACAAGTTGGACAGTAGGGCGGACGATGTCTGGTGGATACGAAGGATGATCAATCCCGCCTATGGGGATCTGGAACTCGGAGCGGGTGGGTGAGTGCATGCGCCGGGCGCGGGGTGATTGCCGCGCACTGTGTGTCGTCTGCCCGACGCTGGCCATGGCTCGCGCTCCACGCCGCCCGCCCTGCCACGCTCCGACGCTGCCACGCTGGTCACAGCAACACCAGATGCGACACGCACTCGACTTCGCCCCCACCCCCTCTTCTTCCTACTCACGACCCACCCTCACCTCGAGCGACGTCCTCACCTCCCATACACAACTAGAGCGCTCGAGCGAGCGAGAGAGAGAGAGAGGCAGAGCTCATCCACACACACGCGCGCCTCATCCAAAGACCAGAAGGCGCCCAACCCACCTATTGCGCCCTCTCGCGCCCACGACGATGAAGGCCTCCATCCCGCGGACGGCCAACTTCTCCTGGTCACCAGCCTCTTTGCAGGTAGCTGAGCCATACATCGCCACGGGAACAGCAGCTGGCGCACTTGATGAAAGCTTCAGCAATGAGAGTGTCATCGAGATCTGGCAGCCGAAATATCGTGGAGGCAACAACGACGAAGAGATCAAGCCACTCGGAAGCGTAGCCACCAGTGCAAAGCTCAACCGCTTGGCTTGGGGCTATGTTCACCCAAGCTATCCAAAGGGCTTGCTGGCTGCTGGTCTTGAGAATGGAGAGCTCGGCGTTTGGGATGCTCAGAAGATCATCGATGGCAGTAGCGAGTGAGTTCGAGGATGCGCGGGCAAGCACCAACCCGGCAACAATACGGACTGGCTAACTCCTTCTGCCTCCTTTCCCCGATCCCTACAGCTCGCAAATTCTCCGGAACACAACTCACACTGGCCCTGTCCGAGGTCTCGACTTCAACCTCAACCAGACCAACCTTCTCGCCAGTGGAGCCGTGAACGGAGAAATCTACATTTGGGATCTGACCAACCCAACAAAGCCATACTCGCCAGGAGCTCGATCTACCAAGCTCGATGAGATCACCGCCCTCAGCTGGAACGCCCAGGTACCGCACATTTTGGCTACCTCGTCCTCCTCTGGCTACACAGTCGTTTGGGATCTCAAGAACAAGCGAGAGGTCTGCGCTCTCGCCTACGGAGGGGGGGCCGGGACAGCAGCAGGCGGACCTGGAGGAGTGGCCAACGGCGCTCTTGCTGCTGGCGCACGGAGAGGAATGGGCGCAGTGGCATGGCATCCCGACATCTCCACTCGACTGGCTACAGCATCCGAAGACGACTCGTCTCCTATCATTATGCTCTGGGACCTGCGCATGGTTCGTGCTCCGGAGAAGATCATGACTGGGCACGACAAGGGCGTCCTATCCCTCTCGTGGTGCAAGCATGACTCGGATCTGCTCCTTTCCTGCGGCAAGGACAACCGCACAATTGCTTGGAACCCACAGACTTGCGAGGTCGTCGGAGAGCTCCCGCCGTCGAGCAATTGGTCTTTCGACGTGCAATGGTGCCCTCGCAACCCTGAACTACTTGCCACTGCTAGCTTCGACGGCAGGGTAGGTATCCACAGCATGCAAGCTACCAACCAGGCCGACGAGTCAGGAGCGGCTGCTGCTGCCCCAGCTCCAGCAGCTGACGGCTCGGACATCTTCAATCTGCCTCCTACTGTTGAGACCGCTTCACAAGGTCTGACCCTCAAGCAGCCTCCAAAGTGGCTTCGGCGCCCAGTGGCTGCTAGCTTTGGGTTTGGTGGACAGCTCGTCTCCGTCCCAAAGCAGACTCCAGGTGCCGGCAGCTCCCGATCGGTCAATCTTCGCAACGTGGTCACTGAGCCCGCCATCGTCACTCGAGCTACACGGCTACAAGAGGCCATCGAATCTCAGACTCTCGCGCAATTTTGTGACGAGCGCTCGAAGGAGGCGGTCAACTCCAAGCCAGAGGAGGTTGCAAACTGGAAGGCGCTCCAGACCCTCTTCCAGGCAGACTCTCGTGATGAGCTCGTCTCCCTCCTCGGCTTCAACAAGGAGGACGTGGCGGCAAAAGTCGCAAATGCAATTTCTGCCTACAAGCGTGGCGGCCCGTCTTCCCTTTCAGGTCTGAGCTCTACGCCTGGTACCCCTTCCGCCAAGCCAGCCAGCGCTGATCCGGTCACCTCTACCCTATCGGAGCTCGGCGAACCCGCCACACCTCACGAGCCAGTCGTGTCATTCGCAGAGCAGACCTCTGTTAGCACAGCAGAGGGCAGTGGTCTCGAAGCTACCCCGAGTGAGATCTCAACCCTCTCCTCTGACAACAAGGGCACTACAGAAGGCGGTGAGAGCGAGGCAACGGAGCCCAGTCTGTTCTCTGAAGATGCAGGTGCAAATGGCTCCTCTGCGACGGATCAAGCCGGACTTGAGTTCTTCAACACTATTTCCGGAGAAAGTGGAGCTGGTGTCCGATCGGCTGTACCTGAGCGGGTTCTCGTCCCTCACATGACCTTCCCACCAGCTTCTTCCGTAGCGGCAACTGCTGGCTCGCCTGGTCCAAGCTCAGTAGCATCGGCAGATCTTCGACCGACGACGTTCCGAATCTATCCCTCCGACGAGTCGGATGCAGACAAGCTGATCACCAGAGCGCTGGTCTTGGGAGACTTTGAGAGCGCCGTCAGCCTCTGTGTATCCACAGATCGCTTTGCTGATGCTCTGTTGCTGGCTGTTCGTGGTGGACCAGACCTTCTCGCTCGCACCCAGAAGACTTACTTCGAGAGGAGGACAACCTCGCTGCCTTACCTGCGACTCTTCCAGAGCATCGTCTCCGATGACCTGACAGATGTTGTGCAAAACGCAGACCTGAATGAATGGCAGGAGATCTTCGTCGTCCTATGCACCTTTGCCAAGGCAGAAGACTTCTCGAATCTGGCAGAGCAGCTAGGTCAGCGCCTTGAATTCCAGTATGTCAAGACTTCGGGACAGGCTGGTGCGGGCGCTGACTCTACAAAGCTAACCAAGGCAAAGCAGCACCGCAAGAACGCCATCTTGTGCTACCTTGCTGCCGGCAAGCTCGAGAAGGTCGCTGGCATGTGGATCGATGAGATGAAGGAAGAGGAAGCTGCGATTGCTGCTGCTCGCAAGGCAGCTGGAGCTGCTGATGGAAGCAAGGCCAATGGTACCTCGACCGAGCATGCGGCTTCATCACTATACTCTGCCCACGCAGAGGCGCTTCAGACTTTCATCGAGAAGATCACTGTCTTCCAGAATGCTGTTGGATACGTTGACGCAGACCTACAGCAGCCTACGACTAGCGAGGCAGTTGCTGCCAGTGGAGCACGTACCTACAAGCTTGCTGCTCTTTACGACCGCATTCACGAGTACGTTGAGCTGCTGGCGGATCAAGGTCTCCTGACTCCTGCTTTGAAGTACGTGAACCAGACGCCAAGCGACTACGCTGCTCCCTCGGCCAGCAGCGACACGACTTCATCTTCCGCAGCAGTTGGCCTTCATCCAGCTCGGGAGAGGCTTCTCCAGGCTGATTCTGCTCGATCTGGCGGAAAGGGAGCTGCTCAGGCCGCTGCTGCTCCAGCTACCCAGGCGTACGCGCAACCATCGGTCAGCGCACCTGCACCTGTACAACAGCAGCAGCAGCAACAGCTCTACTCGTCATCGTCGTCTACTGCTGCACCAAGCTATGGGCAAATGTATGACCCTTACGCGGCCGCCAACCCTGGAGCCATCAGCAACCAGATCAACCCTTACAGTGTTCCGGCTCCTCAGCAGCAGCAGCAGCAACCGGTGCAGCAAGTGCAGCGACAACAGTCTTACGGAGGCTATGCTCCTCCGGTATCTCAGTACTCGAGTGGCTACGAGGCGCCCACTCAAGCTCCCCCGCTGCAGCGCCAGCCCTCCATGGTTCCTGCTCCTCCTCCGATGCTGGACTCGACCCCTACGCCTTACGGTATGCCATCGCACCAGCAACAGGCACCAGAGATGGCGGCTCCTCCACCGCCTCCCCCAAAGAGAGCGGACGGTGGCTGGAACGATATTCCAGACTTGCCATCTGCCGCTAATCGTCGGGCAGCCTCGGCAATGGGACAGAAAGCTGCGCCGATCATGTCTCCCTTCCCGAATTCACCAGTGCCGACTCCAGGACCATACGGTCAACAGTCTCCCGCTGCCCCACCTCCGCGCGGTGGCACGCCCGGTGCTCGCAGTTTCGCCAGCCCGCCGCCTCCCCAGGGAAGTGGCTTCCAGCAACAGCAACAACGCGGCCCTCCTCCGCCTCGACCACCGCCTCAGGGGCCATCTAGGAGCGCAAGCGGTGCTGGGATGAGGCCTCAACAGGGCGCTGGAGTCCCCCCTGTGCCTTCGGTCCCTCAGATTCCAGCTTTGGGCGGAGGACCCGGTCCTTACGCTCCTCCTCCCGGCCAGCAGCAGCAGCAGCAGGCAAGGCCGTCTGGACCCTACGCGCCTCCCCCGGGACAACAAGGTGGTCCTCCACAGCAATTGTCTCAGGGTCCTCCAGGCCCACCGGGCATGCCCTTCGGCCCGCCTGGTCAAGTCCGTCCCCCGCCTGGTAGCGTCGCACCTCTGAACCGCTCTCAGACGCCCGGAGCCGGTGCTGGTCCGCCTCGCTCGCACACTCCCGCAGGTGCCAGACCGGGAGCACCCCAGTTCAAGTACCCACCTGGAGACCGAGCCCACATCCCCGAGGCCCAACGCGGCATCTTTGCCACCCTCTCTCGAGAGCTAAGCCGAGTGAAAGCAACTGCTCCCCCTGCCCAGAAGCGGGTAGTGGACGACTCGGAGCGTCGCTTGAACTCGCTGTTTGACTACCTCAACAATGGAATGATCCCGGAGAAGGTGCTGGGCGGTCTGCAGGAGCTGGTGAGGGCCATTGAGGCTAGGAATCAACAGGCGGCACTCCAGCTGCATGTGCAGGTCGCCAGCTCCGCTTCGGGTGAGGTGGCAGCGATGCTTGTTGGTGTCAAGTTCCTGATCACAAGGCTGACTGCCTGAGGGAAGAGAAGATATGTGGGAAATGGGGTTGCAGGAACATCGTCGGATGGGTAGATGGTAGATGCCATGCTCGAGACAGATGGGTCGGTGGGTAAAGGAGCGGGCGCGGTCTATCTAATCTTTGTGAAACAATGAATGAATGAACGAGCCAAAAGATGCCTTCTTCTATATATTCGTCTGAATGTGAAAGTGTGCGATGCCTGCCTGATGTACAGATGGTGGCGTTGCGGCTGATTTCCGCTGACCACCGTGACCGATCTTTGGGCTCTTTCCCCACAGTACCCCTTTTCTCGGAGTGATTCAGGCCTTGCCTGCCTTGCCTACCAGCTTGGGTCCGCCTCTATTTGCGTGCAAGCCAAGAGAGGCGAACAATCCCCATGCGTTGCTCCTACCTCTCAGCAGATGGGTGGACTCCCCTTACTTGGCCTCGGAGAGGTTCCTGGGATAGGTCAAGTCAAAGGGACCTCTGGCTCTTTGCAAGGCAGAGAGCACTCATGCTCTATGGCGAGCGTGGGCGCAATGAAGCTCCCGAAAGCGGCCATTGTGCTTCTCTCCGTTCATGAGAGGTATATCTCAAACGTACTGCTTGCTGCTTGAGTCAAAGTGTGCTTCACAAGAGGAGCGGTCCTACCACTTGCGACCAAGCTGCGAGCGAGCGAGCGAGTGACCACCAACAAAGCAAGATGTTCAGCCCTGATCTCCTCCTCTCTGACCCCCTCCTCCTCCTCTCCCCTCCCACAACTCACCTTGCTCTGTACACAATTTTTGAACTCTCCAAACTCCCTCTCGCACATGCCTCTCTCGACGGTCTCGTACTGTGCAAGAATACAGGCCCCGTAAACCCTTGCCTGCTGGTGGCAGGCGGCGGCAGCTTTGCCAAAGGTGAGGACGGGCTGCAGATCCCGCTGCTTGTTGCTCGATAATGAGGAGGCGGTGGGCGCGAGCCGGGCTGCAGCGGTGGGGAGCATGACCGGTTGGGGTTAGAGGAGGGGAACGTTGAGGGGTGGGTGGTATTGCTCGTGTTTCGGTGGTGAGGTAGCGTAATGTGGGCTTCGCTTCCGGGAGTGGAGTCGAGGGGAGGCGGGAGGCGGTGGCTTACGTAAGACGCGAAGGAAGAAGAAATTCTACCCGTGGCTGGGCTCTTTGGTCCGTCGTATCCAACCACTTTTACCATCCTAACGCTCAGCATCCCATCTTCGTTTGACGTGAGTGAGATTTGTACAGGTTTACAAGGATAGTTCTGAGCTCTTTGCTGACGGCGCACTCTCTCCTCCTCCCCCTCCTTCTGCACAGCCGTGATCCTAGTCGTGAGGTCTACCTTTTCAGAAAAAGACCAGCCCACCAACCACCTTGCATCCAGCCTCGCATCTCGTCAAGCACAATGTCCGCTCCCAACCCGAAGGCCTTTCCCCTCGCCGATGCTGCGCTCACCAACCAGATCTTGGACCTGGTGCAGCAGGCTAGCCACTACAAGCAGTTGAAGAAGGGAGCTAACGAGGCTACCAAGGTAAGTCAGAGGAAGCGCAGAGGTGATGGGGGTTCAATCGCGGGGACAATGTTGCTCACGCCTACCCTCTCCCTTCTCTCCTCCCCTCAGACTCTCAACCGAGGAATCTGCGAGTTCATCATCATGACCGCCGATGTCGAGCCCATTGAGATCGTGCTTCATCTCCCTCTGCTCTGCGAGGACAAGAATGTACCCTACGTCTTTGTCCCCTCAAAGACGGCTCTGGGTCGTGCTTGTGGAGTCTCTCGACCAGTGGTCGCAGCTAGCGTCACGACGAATGAGGCGAGGGAACTGCAGAGCCAGATTCAGACGATCAAGAATGCCATCGAGAGGCTGTTGATCTGAGCTCAGTCGGGCCGCTGGACTGGAGGTGGGAGATGGATGGGAGTGATGTGGGGTGGGTCAGGAATGGGAATGAAGGGGATGGGCTGACCAGGAGTGATTCAATGCATGGACAAGAGCAATGTCTTGATCATCAACGAATCAACGAACCATGGTGAAGCGCTACCCAGCCGCCTTGAAGGCGCCTTTGCTGGACCTCCTACAAGGCCGGCCTTGGTGGTGGTGTTGAGCCGGACGCAATCTGTCTCAACACCATGCCCCTCCTCCTCTACCTCTCTTGTCCCCTCGTTCCCATGTCATCCTTCTTGACGCTGGTCACCTCAATTGTAACAACACATGTCTCCTTTTATCCGCTTGCGTCATTGCAGTCGTCGATGAGGAGCTCGGGAGATGCGTGGCGCTGCGTGCAATGCTCTGTCTGATCTAGCTTGCGATCCTTTGCCATGCCGCCCCTGTAGCGCCGCGAAGGGCTATCCTCATGGTCTCTGTGTTCCCTTTCGCCTTCTGCCACCATACCTCGATACCTCTCCTGTCCAGAAAGCACGCTGTGCTGCAGCAAAGGGTGTGTGTGTGTGTGCCTTGGGTGTGCGCCTGCGGAGGTGCAAAGTCAAGCGAGGCCCGGCGCCGGAGATAAAAACCTCTGGAAGCGCTGGCCCTCCTTCTTTGCTTCAGAACCACTTCTTCCAGAATCATCGCCATCAAAGTACTGCCACTGCCAAACCCCCTTTTTTGCCTCTCCTACCTTGGTCAAGTAGCGCAGAGGTGGTGTCGTAGTCATCGTCACTTCACTCGACAGTGACGCCAACGAACCACGGCGGGTTCAATCTTTGAGCTTGACCCGACGCTCCTTTCCATCATGGCTTCACCTGTCGCGTCGACATCGGCGACGAAGCTCCCCTCCTGGCCTCCCTCTTTGACCTCCTCACAACTCTCCTCTCTCACGGCACAAGCAACCGACTATGCCCTCAGCCACGGACTGGTCTACCGCCCTATCGGCAACCCACCACCTTCCACCCACGTGCACCACGCACCCATCTCCCTCCTCCCTTCACCCTTTCCTCGCTCTGCCTTTCAGCAGGCACTCCAGATTCAGGGCGTACTGAATGAGTTGTACGCTAGGGTGGCAGTGGACGATGTTTTCCTCGAGAGGGTAATTGGCAAGATGGTCGCGCCTGTTGATGATTTCACTAGGGGATTGTGGGAGGTGTATAGCAAAGCTAAACAGCAAGGAGTTGCACCGGTGAGTCTTTCCAGTCCACATTCGCTGCGTATACGAGGAGGATGTGGAAAGATGCTGGAAACGCCAAGGATTACGACTAAGAACCGCTACACGTACCGGCACCTCAAAGAAGGTAAACCGACTGACGATTTTCTAAGAGTGAACAATCTCTGAGGCTATAGACGCAGAGGAGGGTGACATCAGAAATGCAGATTGCCACACATACTTTGGCCATATACTGACATGCTCTTGCATTTACTCTCGTTGCCGTTGATACAGACCTACCACCTCGGTCTCTTCCGCTCCGACTATCTTCTTCACGACTCCCCCTCCGCGCCTCCCACCATTCGTCAAGTAGAGTTCAACACAATCTCTTCCTCCTTTGGACCTCTGTGTCAAAAGGTGTCAGAGCTGCATCGTTCATTGCTCATGCAGACCGACTACTACTCGTCGGCACTTGATCAACTCCAGCTAGATAATCTGCCCAAGAACACTGCCTTGACCTTGCTGAGCGATGGGCTGGCTCAAGCTCACAAGGCTTACCTGGCCGAGTCTGGCTGGAGTGGCAAGAAGGAGGATACGCCTCGAGTCCTTTTCGTCGTGCAAGAAAAGGAGAGGAACGCCTTCGATCAGAGGTGGCTCGAATTCGAGCTACTAGAGAAGCACGGCATTCGCTCAACGCGTCGCACCTTCAGCTCCCTCATCACCTCTGCATCTCGAGACTCCTCGTCAGGAGCCCTCCTCCTATCTTCAGAGACGAGCACCACTCCTGTGGAAGTCTCTGTAGTCTACTACCGTTCCGGATATACCCCTACCGATTATACCACTCCCGACCACTGGGATCTGCGCTTTCGTTTAGAAAGCACCACGGCAATCAAGTGCCCCACTGTGGCTCTGCAGCTCGCAGGAGCCAAAAAGGTGCAACAAGTGCTCGCCGAGGAAGGTGTGCTGGAGCACTTTCTCTCTCAACGCTACCCAGCCGAGGCACTCCACTCTCTACGTCAGACCTGGGCCGAACTCTACCCCCTCGACTCTTCCCCTCTAGGCGAGCAAGGTCAGAAGCTAGCGCGAGAAGAGCCAGAGCGATTTGTGATGAAGCCGCAGCGCGAGGGTGGGGGGAACAACATCTACCGCGAGGAGATTCCCCGCGCTCTGGCCGCCATGGAGGAGCGTGATGCCAAGCGTCCACAGGGTACACCAAAGGAGCGCGAGGGATACATCCTCATGGAGCTCATCCTCCCGCCGCAGGGCCTGGGCAACTACCTCATCAGGCCACCCGCCGTTGGTGCTGGTGCTGCCGCCGCTGCAGACTCAAGCAGCACTGGACAAGCGCAGGAGCAGCCCACGCGCCATGCTGAAGGTCTTCAGGCAGCCGAGTGTCGTCTTTCCCCCGACGTCGTCTCCGAGCTAGGCATCTACGGTGTAGCCCTCTTCCGTAGCAGCAACAGCAACAGCGCAAGCAGCAACAGCGCTTCCGGCACTGCAGGAGCATTGGATGAGAAGACTTACTGGAGTCTGCCGACTTCGGAAGTCGCTGCGACTTCTTCTTCTTCTTCTTCTTCGACGACGACCACTGCTACGAGGGGTGTCGAGGCGGCTTACCTCCTTAGGACAAAGGGTAGGGAGAGCGATGAAGGCGGTGTGGCCGTGGGGTTCAGTGTGCTCGACAGTCTTGTGCTCGTCTAGAAGGGTGGCGTAGTCGCCGGTGACCTACCTGTGGTTCTTTGAGCGGCTCTGTCATTCTTCTTGTAGATAAATTCGAACTCACGATATATAGAAAGATGCTTTTCATGATTCACCAATAACAGCCGCTACAGTGTGCCCTTTTCTTGTGCTTCCTTTTTTTTTGATCAGACTGTGCAGTCGCAGACATTCAGGCAGTGCAATCAACCGATGCGTGAGAAGAAGATTTCCTCGTATTCATACCGACCTCTACATCAGGCACAAGGGCGAGCCTTCTACCTCTTCCTTTCCCCTTTCACGCACGGCCATCATGCCCGACTGCTCCTCCCTCACTGCGTGTTCCAAAAGGCGAATCCAGGGCTTCCAGGCTCAGCGAGTTCCACCTGCCTAAGTTCAAATCCATCTTTTCCAACATACTCGTCCTGCTTGCCAAGTGCCTCTTCTGCCGAATCGACGTACAGGGCAGAGAATCCAAGGGTGCGCTTGAGGTAAGACTCTGCATCCTTGAGTGCCTCTTCTTCTGAAAAGGGGAGGATACGATTGAAAGAGTCGGGTCCAAATTCGGCAAGACGCTTCTTGAAGCCAATGACAAAGGGCATGGCTCGCTTGTCCTTGAGCAGACCCTGTGCTCCTAGCTCCTCTCTCACCTTTACATCATTCACCTCGCCCGTGCTGGCATTGAAATTGTTCTTGATTGCCGCAACGCACGAGTCTTGGATTGCCGGGAAGGACTTGGCGATGAAGATGCGAACGGCCTTGGGAGCGCGCTCGTCGTACGCTCGGACGTCCTTGCCCTTGGACTTCTTCTTGACAATCGACAACTCTGCATCTCGAATCGTCTTGACCAATCCACGCACATACTGAGCCGAATCGCTGATTGCCTTTGAGACGGGGGCGGAGGGCTTGGGGAATAGGGCCGTCTGCACCGAGCCGCTCTCGCCGAGAGTCTGGCGGTAGATGTGCTCGGAGAAGTGTGGGGCAATGGGAGCGATCAAGAGCGCCTGGGTTCGGATCCAGAGCTTCACCAGATCTACGTGCATCCCCTGCTCCACAGTCGCATCTCGGTACAGATCACGAGCGGACTGCATCTCGTAGAAGCCAAACTTGCATACGTCCTTGTACAGTGCCTTTTCGTATAGAGACTCGGTCTGCTGGATCAGACCATTCACGTCATTTTCGAAGACCCGATCCCAGAAAGTGTAAGACTCTCGCGGACCTGTGCGCAGCTTAGAGATGTTCTCCTTCGAGAGTACCTCATCACACCACAGGAGCAGTGTGTGCAGTCGCAGGATGTTCGCGTTGGCCGTCTTCTCCTCAAAGTTCGCGTCCTCAATGGAATCTCCAGCGTCAGCCAGGGACAGACGTGTGGCATCGGCTCCGAACTTCTGTACTGACTGGCGCAGAGTGAGCGAGTTACCAGTGGACTTGCTCATCTTCTTTCCATTCAGCATCAAGTGGCCATTGACGCGAATAGCCTTTGGCCAGTGCTCCTCTGGGAAGATTGAAGCGTGATTGTAGATGCAGAAGGTGAGATGGTTCGGGATCAGATCCTTGCCTGACGAACGCAGGTCAAAGGGGTAAAAGTAGCGGAATTCGCGACGCAGAGTCTCGAGTTTGGCTGGGTCGATGCTAGATGAGGTGGGAAGGGCAGCGTCCTGCAGGATGTATGACCACACGTCATCGGTCAGCTCCTCTGCCTTGATGCCCAGAGGTCCGACGACGCTTCCGTCTTCCACGCCTCCCTGGAGTAGGTGAGCGATGGTGTAGTAGCTCATGTAGATGGTACTGTCGGAAAGCGACTCCACAAGGAATTGGGTGTCCCAAGGCAGCTTCGATCCAAGACCGTATGAACGGGCGCATGCCCACTGATGCAGCCAGTCCAGAACACCCTCAAAGGCTTTCCTGGTCTCGGGCTGGAAGAGGTTCATCCGGTCGACGAGCTTCTTGGCAATCTGCTTCCAGCTCTCCTCTCCATAGTCAATGTACCACTGGTCAATCAGGGCCACGACACACTCGTCGTTGCTGCGAGAGATGATCTGACCCTCTGGCTCGGCATAGGCAAAGGCCAGCCCGTCTGCGATCATCTGGTCCCGCACTTTGGGCTTGGCGTCCTGGACACTCTGGCCCTTGTACGGTCCGAAGACCATGGTACCCGAGTAGAAACCTTCCTTGTACGCCAGGTCCTTTGCCTCTGCAAGAGGGACGGCGTCCTTGGGGCTCTGAATCCGAAGCTTCTTGACGAGGAACTCTGCAGTCATATCACCGTACGAGGGAGTGGAGAGAACGGGGAAGGGGTCGAGAGAGGCCCACTCCGGCTCGATTTTGTAGTAAGCAGCTTTCTTGCGAAGCTCCATGAGGTTAATGTAGTCATCTGGCGAGTCAGATGGGACGGAGGTGACTACTCCAGTTCCCTTTGTTGCCAGAACAGATTGCATTGGTAGGATGTACACCTCTGGATGGTAACCGTTGGGTGCCTTGATCTTGGTGCCGAGCAGCTCTTCACCCTTGACAGACACAATCTTCGACACCTGGCCCCTCTCCTTGGTGATGCCTTGGAAAGCCATGTTCCTCGCGGCCCGCTCTGTGCAGAGGTAGACCTCGCTGTCGTTGATCTGAAAGAGGCCGTACTCTATCGAGGGGCCTACGAAGCAGTTGGTTTGACCATACATGGTCTCGGGACGAAGGGTAGCAGCAATGAAGAAGACCTTCTTTCCTGCGACCTTTGAAGCAATGTCTCCCGCTCGCTCGCCCCATTGGCTGACCTCCATCTTCAGAGCAGTGTACTCCTGAGGGCCCAGCGCCTCTCCGCTAGATCGGTCGTGGTCCATACAAGGCTGACCATCCTTAGGTGAGTAGATAGTGTACCTCTCACCGAAGGCGACCCGCTGCTGTGCGCGGAGGAGGTTCATCTGCCATCTCACAAATGAGTCGTAGTAGGGGTTGATGTCTGTGGTGAGGAAAGCTCTTCGCCAGTCCAGTCGGGCTCCTAGCAAAGCTGTATCAGCCTTGGCGATGGGAGGGAAGTACCTCAGCCAGTGAACTGGGTCGGCAAATTGGCTGATCTCCTCTCGAGGAACACCCATGTTCTCCAGAATCTGGAATTGGTACTTGACTCCTCCAGTCTTAGCAAGGATCTTGGCCTTGGGAGCCTTGGCCACGTTTGACTGGGTGAGAGAGGAGGTATCGAGGGCTGCATCTGGCTGCAGCTTGGCCTCTGCTTCCTCCTCGTCCTGGTACTTGTCAAAGTTGGGTCCGAACTTCTCGATCTCATTGATGAGCTTGTCGGAAGCGGACTTGATGGGCATACCAGTGCAGTGGAAGGCCCAAGGGAAGAGAGCTCGGCGGCCCTTCATCCTCTCGTATCCAACTGCGAACTCGACCTTGGAGAGAGAAAAGGCATGACCCAAGTGGAGAGATCCATTCATGTAGGCGTACGGGAAGGTACCGAACCATTTCGGGTACTTCTCACGAATCTCCTCGGGAGTCATGTTCTCCAGACCGGGCTCGCCGCTCTGCATGGGAGAGTCGACCTCAAAGAACTTGGACTCGGCCCAGAACTGCTGGTACTTCTTCTCTAGATCGGTCAGATAGTCTCTCTTGGCCGTCTGTCAGAGGATTGCGCAAAGACAATAGGAGAGGCGGAGCTTTCAGCGTGAGCCCTTTGAACGCTGCTTCCTTGCGCGACACATACTCACGTTCTCCAGCTGAATGGGCCCACCATTAGCATCGACGGCACCTCCCTTTGCGCCCGTAGGAGCGGAGGCGGCGGAGCTGGCAGCCTCTTTTGGCGCCATGACTGTAGAGTGCAGGCTTCTGCTGCTCAAGGAAAGGGGGACAGGAGCGGGGCGAGGGAAAGCTCGACTTCGCACTGCTCGAACGGTGAAAGGTGTGAGCAGACGTGCGTTCGCCAAGGCGCCTAGCGTAGACGTCGTGACGAAGGGAGTGGGGAGGATGGGGGGATAGTGGGATGTGGCAGATGGCGTGGTAGATGGACAGGATGTGACCAAGGCTATCGAGGGAGGCCAGTCGAGGAAGAAGTGCAGTAGCGGGCGAGACAAAAATCGGAAAGGCGCGCGCCACGTGAGCCGGAAGGCACAGGCACCCTCGTAGCAGGCTGGGCAGGGCCGGCCGGTATACAAGGCCCTTGACACTTGATAGGAGAATGCCTCGCAGCCAATGATGTTCCACTCGGCGAGTCACTTTCTCCGCTGAGTATCTCCGAAAATGGCAGAGCCCCGTCCTCCTGCCCTTGGCATACCAGCTGACGCCTGGATCTCAAGAGAGACATAATGATACGAGTACATTCATTGCCTCTCCTTATGTCCGCCATCTGTTGAGCCTCACCGCAAGGTCATCCATCGCTCTCCTCTGTGCAAGTCCGAGTAGGCTCTTGTACAGCGAAAAGATGGGAAGCCTCTGCAAGCCCCGTCATCGTCTTTGGCTCCAGTCTCTCATCGGACCAGATCACACTCGAGTCGCATCAAAGAACGCATCCACTGCTGCACGACGTAGCGAGCGTTGCTACTTGCGATTATATTTGGTCAAATGTCAGCCCGAGGAGGACGTGGATGATGTACATCCGCCCTTCCGAGTTGGCATCGATGCTTTGGCTGAACAGCTAAACGGTCTTCCGCTTACTGGACCGCTTACTGCTTCATCGCCGTGTCCGCGCTCCCCTGCTTACCCCCTCCCACCATCCTCCCCACTTTACCCCGCTGCACATGCAGCCCGCATTTCACTGATCGCCCCACCCTATGCCAATGCTGCCTTCCGCTGACTGACATTCCTCCGCCTCAGGCTTTCAGCTGCTTCTGCCCCGCACTTTTGTCCTAGCCTTCCTAATCCAGCATGTCGCCCATGTTCATGCCAGGCATGCCCTCCTTAGCTGCGCTCTCGAGCAGGGAGTAGATGGTGGTGACGGCAAGGAGAATGCTGGTACCTCCGGAAAGGCATCCGGTCAGCTCGGCAACAACACTGAGCAGTCCCAGGCAGGCTCCACCAATGGCGGCAGCCGAGGGAACCACCCTCTTGAGCTCCTTGTACATGGAGCCCTCTCGGTGACCGCTCATGACCAGTCCATTGTCCTTGAGTTGCTTGGCAATTTCCCTGGGTCCACTGCCAGACACCTCAATCCAGGTCTTGGAGAAGATGGCGCACACAGACACGGTGAAGGCAATGTAGATAGCGGTGTGAATAGGGTCCAGCGCAACCTCCTTCCAGGTGTGGGGAGGAGACATGTAGTAGGAGATACCAGACACAGCATGCAGCTGAGGAGAGTCCTCAAGGGGCTCCCAGACACCGAGAATTTTGACGAGGAGGTTCGATGGGAAGCGAGAAGCCAGCATCTGGGAGATGATGAAGACGTTGGAGGTCAGGGCACTCTCGAGCATGATGGGCATGTTGGAAGTGTAGAAGAGCTTGACAGGGTAGGTTCCACGCTGTCCACGGAATCGGTTCGACTTGACGGGGATCTCAATTCGGAAGCCCTGCAGGTAGATGACGAGGAGGAAGATCGCCAATGTTGCGACAAGGTTCATGACATTGGGCAGCCTGTCGCGGTAGAGGGCCTCCTTGAGAGCTCGGGTCTTGTCGTTCCAGGTGAAAAGCAGGTGGAAGAGGGCAACGAGAGCTCCCTCGAACTCTGGTCCACGTCCAGTGTTGATGGTAGTGGGAGAGAATGCCTTCCAGACGATCGACTCGCAGATGTTAGTCGCAATGAAGAGCGAAATACCAGATGAGAGACCGTAGCCCTTTTGCAGTAGCTCGTCCAAAAGGATGACGATGAGACCAGCGACGACGAGCTGCAGTACCAGGAGGAGACAGACACCTGCTCCGAGGTCCTTTGGCTGACCGTAGAGACCCGTCATGACGTATACGGTAGCCTGACCGAGGGAGATGATGAGAGCGAAGAGCTTCTGAGCTCCTCCGAACAAGGCCCTGTCCTCCTTGAGGTTGAAGTCTACCTCGATGAGGTTGGCTCCGGCAAGCAGCTGCATGATCATACCCGAGGTGACGATGGGCGAGATACCCAGCTCCATCAATGTACCCCTGTTGGAGGCGAGAATAACACGCATCCAGTAGAGGGGATCCGAAGAGTCCGAGGACATAATTCCGTAGAGGGGGATCTGCGAGGAGACAAGGAAGATGGCGAGTACGATTGCGGTCCATGCCATTCGCTGGTTGAATGGTACTGTGGAAGCAAGGACAGCGATAGAGGCAGACGAGGAGATGGTCAGCAGCGGCCTATATGCGGTCGTACAGCGAAGGTCCTTGTCGTAGGGTGGTACTCACCCTTCCTCTCGGGAGCTGTGACCTCTGGCAGGACCGACATGAAAGGCCGGACCAGGTTGAGGAATCGGAATCCACCTCCGCTCATGATGGGCAAGCAAGGGGAGGGGTGCGGGCTTGAGTAGGAGGTATTGTATGGAGATGGTCAAGGAGGGACTCGTGGAAGGAAGGTCGATGGCCTGGGGGCTGCCATGGCGCCTGCGAGCGCAAAGCGGACGAAGCCTCGCTGGAAGCCACCACCGAGCCACGCCCCGCCAAAGCACAAGCACAAGGCCCCACCGCGCGACGACGTCCCCCGCCCGCCACGCCACGGCCTGCATTCGACTCCCAGCCCCGACGCTCCGTCCGGCCTTCTGTGGCGGGACAGGCTCAAAATTTTGGCAGAGGCAGGGCCGGGAGAGATACCTACCTGCCTTGCCTGGTAGATCTAGCATCCTCATCCTCATCCTCCCTCCCACCCACCAATTCCACTGACATTCCATAATGCCTCAGAACGAGTACATCGAGGAGTCCATCCGCAGACATGGTCGGCGTATGGACCATGAGGAGCGCTTGTGAGTAACAGCGAGCAGAGACATGGGTACTGCCTCGCAGGGTCTGATCATCTCTACTCCCCCCATGTCTCTTCAGGCGCAAGAGGGAAGCTCGATCCTCGCACAAGGCTTCGGCCATTGCCCAGAAGTCCATTGGACTCAAGGCCAAGATGCTGAACAAGAAGAGGCGAGCTGAGAAGATTCAGATGAAGAAGACGCTCAAGGCTCACGAGGAGCGGGATGTCAAGCAGGCATCGACCTCGTCCAACCCAGACCAGGCCTTGCCTACATACCTGCTCGACCGAGAGGGTCAAAAGGACGCAAAGGCTCTTTCGTCTGCTGTCAAGGAGAGGAGGAAGGACAAGGCCGCCAAGTACGCTGTTCCCCTGCCGCAGGTCAGGGGTATCGCAGAAGACGAGGCGTTCAAGGTGATGAAGTCTGGAAAGAGGAAGGACAAGGGATGGAAGAGAATGGTGACAAAGGCGACCTTTGTGGGAGAGAGCTTCACAAGGAAACCTCCCAAGCTGGAGAGGTTCGTGAGGCCAATGGCAATGAGGTACAAGAAGGCCCACGTCACACACCCAGACCTCAAGGCCACATTCTCGCTACCTATTCTTGGTGTCAAGAAGAATCCTCAGGGCCCGCTTATGACTCAATTGGGAGTCTTGACAAAGGGAGCAGTCATCGAGGTCAACGTCAGCGAGCTGGTGAGTAGTGATTCTTGAGTACAAGGCGTCATATTGGGACCATCTCGCTAATGCTTTTCGTTCATCTCATCTCCTTGTGTAGGGTCTTGTGACAACGGGTGGAAAGGTAGCTTGGGGAAAGTACGCACAGGTCACAAACAACCCAGAGAACGATGGTGAGTTCCCTCGTAGTCGCATTGTGTCTTGATTGTTGCAAGAGCAACAAGGGTTGTGTACTGACGCTTCTCCTCGCCTGTCTTCGTCCACTTTTACAGGCTGCGTCAATGCCGTCCTCCTCGTCAGCTCCTAGTCACCTCAACATTCACACGGTCACAACTGTTCCTGATCCTTTGCTCACTCAAATTGTAATACTATTCCGTCCCGCACTGCCTCCTGCTAGCAATCACTCTGCGGACATTGGGAAGAAGCGTTCCTTGACAGGCGTTGGAGCAAAGATCGCCAGCGAATCGAGGCGGATGTAGGATCGTCGAGGCACGCTAGGAACGAGTATTATATGGAGACTCCACGATGAGCGCACTGATCACTCACTCTTGCCCACAACCAACACCAAACTGCGTGTCTCCCCTCTATTCCCCACTCTGCAGTGTACCCCTCACCCAGACACATCGTCATACGCGTTCACAGCAAGACACAAGATCAGCTCACCGATGCCGCCCAAGAAAGGACAGGTGAAGGGGGAACCAGCCTGCGAGGAGCTCGCAGCTGAGGAGGTCAAAGAAGAGGAGAACGCTTCTGTCGACGACGAGAACGAGGCTGCTGAAGCCTGCAGTGCAAAATCCGAGCGAAGAGCTTCTTCACCACTCTCTTCTGCAGGAGATGCCTCCGAAGCCGAGGGCAAGGTCAAGGAGGAGATACCAGTGACTCCAAAGAGAAAGCGACAAGAGAAAGAAGAGCCTTCGACCCCCTCGCCAACGAAGAAAGCTCGAGCACCTAAATCGCCCGGAACTCCAAAGGCTTCCTGGCTCACCAAGTTGCCTCAGCCCTCTGAACCTCCTGCTCTCACGACGGCCTCGCGCCAGATCAATCAGGAAGACCACCTTGCACTATGGTTCGCCATCATCTCCCGCTTCAACGAGTTCAAACCGTCCTCTGATGAAGGAATGAACAAGTATCACTGGCTGGAGCGCAAGATGGGTCGTGCAGCAGACGACAGACACAAGTACGGATGGGGCGAATACCTTCGAGGTCCCTTTATGATCTTTGCCAAGAGTCTGCTCAGCTGGATCCAGTCAGGCTGCCCACCCTCTGGTCTTTCTGTACCCAAAGGAAAAGCCGAAGAAGGCTGGATGGATTGGAAGTTGGTGGCCTCGACGATCTATGAGGAGTTTAGACCTGCTTGGGCTGATCTGCAGAAGGAGAGGCAGCTGGGAAAGGATGGGAACGAGAGACTGAGGATGGCTAGTGGTGGGATGCTCAAGAAGATACTCTCTGCGCTTGATGGATAGGAAGGTGTCAGATAGGGCATGTGTACTCTCTTCTCTTCTCTAGAAACTGTATCGCCGCAACGAAGCTACATCCACTCTGTCGTATGCAAACAGTCACGAAGAGGGTGTGCGTGTCTCCAGCGTGAGCTTCTTGCTGCAACACGCGATCGGAGTCTGCAAGCGTAAAGGGCACGACGCGGACGGAAGGACAGACGCACGGGAGAGACGCGCAAAATGGCATGGACCCGGGAGCACTTCTTCGATGCGAATACATCTTCGTCCATCACCACAACCAACTTGACCAATCCCCTGACGCATCCCGTTCCACACTCTCTAAGTCATGTCGGTCCCCGTAGCAGCCCTCACTGGCGGTGCAGGCGGATCTGAGCTCGACGCCCCCGGCACCACACCGCCTCCTCAGAGTGTTACTGCTCCTCTAGACGATACCGCCGGCGGTGGAGGGGGCGTTGCAGGTGATCGAGGCCGGCCCTCAGGCGGCTCAGCTCCGATCCCTTTCCCTGGAGAAGAAGCTGTAGAGGACGAGCTAGTGGGAAGCGGTAGCGAGGCACTCATTGAGGATGGAGAGAATGATGCAGCCGAGGGAAGTGCATCCATGTCTCTTTCGAGGGGAGGAGGAGCTGCTACTACTAGGGGTGGAAGTGGAAGGGGACGGGGTAGGGGGAGGGGAGGTGGAAGGGGAGGGAACAACGTCGCTCAAGCAAAGGCTGCAAGAGCTGTCACAGCGGGGAAGAAGGCGGCTAATCTGCCAGGTACCAGTCAACTGCCCACGGCTAGGGTCAAGAAGATCATCATGGTGAGTGAAGCAATGCCGAAGCGGAGCCGGAGCGAGGCTGCGAAGGAGTACAGCTCAGCAGAGCAGGGAAATAGAGCGGCACAGATGAAGAGGCTGACCATTACGATTCGTTGATCATGGCTCGCCGTATCCAGACCGATCCTGATGTAGCTGGCTGTGGAAAGGAGGCTACCTTCGTCATCGGGAAAGCATGCGTGAGTAAGAGGCGGCCGAGAGCAGGGCCCGAAAAGCCGATTGAAGGTCGAGCTGACTGTTCTTGTACACGGCTTGGCATGCGATGCCCTCCTTGCAGGAGCTCTACATCCACCACCTGGTTGATGAAGCATACACACAGGCAAGGCTTAGCCAACGCAAGGCTGTGTACTACAAAGACATAGGTGAGTTGGAGCGATGCAGTTCCGTAGAGCTCGTATGGATCTGAACAATACTTGCCTCTCATGTTCGCCTTAGCCCAAGCGGTCAAGACAAATACGCATCTCGACTTCTTGTGCGGTAAGTTTGCCGCTCCGGAGCTCCTGCCGCGACCATGCGCCCGTGTCTGACTCTAGAACCTCTTCCAACCTCCCTGACGTAGATGTCATGCCTCAGACAATACCGCTCTCGGTAGCCCTGGCTGAGCGTCAACGCCATTCGGAATACGAAGCTGCTCTCGACACAGGATCCTTGGTAGCTTCTCAAGGTCCCGTAGGCAACAATGGCAACGTTGCCGAAAACGCGTCGCTCGCAGGTGCAGAGGCGGAGGATTCAATTGCTGGCACAGGATTTGACAGCGATGCCGAGAGGGTCAGGACACATTCGCAGCTGACTGCAGGCGGCAAAAAGGTGAACAAGAAGAGTCGCAACATTCGGGCCAACAAGCATGCTGCAAAGGGCGGCACTCTCGGGGCAGCAGAGGAATTGGCAGGGTCCAGCGACGTGGAGGAAGCAGACGTTGTGCGCGGAGTAGAGGAAGAAGATGAGGAGGATGCTGAGCGAGATCTGCTGAGGGCAGCAGCAGACGATGCAGACTCGAACGACGAGGGCAATGAGCACTCCACGGCCATGGAATTGGACCGGTGAGCCCATGACAATGACACACTCTATTCTTGGCACACAAAGACCATCTCGCGTTCTGTCCTTCATGGTGCATACGGCCTTGCAGCGGGTGTGCCTGGAAGTAGGCGCGGGTTCTTCGGCACCTCTGCGCCGCTTGCTGTTTCGCGACCCTCATCATCAGATTTGTGACTGGAAGTTCCGGCGCAGGAAGAGTCAGACTGTCTGCATCCATCTTCTTCTTCTTCCTGTATGGCTGAAGATACACTTGACTTGGCACTCTTCGGGTAAAGTCTAGATACAGGTATTGCTCTGCTTGAGAAGGACAGGGATCGAAAGGGATCTGATCTGCATTGGACATGATGTTGCTTGCAGCGGGGCAACACTAACATCAAAAGTGGCTTACTTTTTCCCCTCTGCCTTTTGCCGACCGGCTACTTTTCCGACCAAGAGACTGCCGAGTGAGTGAGTGCCTTGGTGATTTGCGGGTGGTGGTGAGTGTGTGTGTGATGTTCGGAGAATTGAAGCGGGGAGTAGAAGTCGGAGCGAAAGCGCTGTGCCAATTTCGCGTCGAATGCTTGTGGACCCGAGCCCTGAGCCCGCATTTGGGTGCATTCAAGCTGCGCGTCAGCTGCCGCTCCTGCCGGCCAACGCGTCGTCGGTGATCAGCTCAAGAGAGAGAGAGAAAAGAGGCAAACCGGCGTCGAAGATCATGCTCAAATCAGCAAAGGTACTTTGCCGACGGCTACCACTCGCAAAGGATCACAGCAAGGTTTGGCAGTCTATGACATCGTTGATAGACGTCGTCTTGCTCAATGCGACGCGCTGCCGAGGCTCGCTTCTGAGCGTGGTGGCGAGCTACCACAGCTTTGGCTTCCCTTTGACAGCTCAGAATACTCGACTCTACGGAGCAACACGCCTTTCTCATCTTTTGTAGCCGGCGGGCACATTTTTTTGTGGGTGATGTGGGAGCTTCCGTAGGCCCTTTTATGCTTTGTGACTGGCATGCCCGGTGGCACTGCGCAGCAGAGCGTGTCAGGTGTGTGTGTGTGGGGTGGGGGCCTGGGCAGACAGAGCCAGGCGTGGGGATGGAAGGTCCCGGTCAAATGGGCCGGGCGGAGGAGGAGGAGAAGGAGGACTGCAAAGCCCGCCGATTAAGCTCGCACCGATCGTCGGTGCTTGTGGCCTCGGGAGCAGTGTAGGTCTGCAATAGGACTTACGGGCTGGCCTTGCCTCTGTGCGCCACGCCATTTTCTATACTCGGGAACAAGGAGAGGCGGGCAGAGGAGAAGAAGAAAGCAGACAGACAGGCAGACAGACAGACAGTCGAGCGGTTAAGCAGGCAGGCAGACGAGCGGACAGTGACCGGCGGACAGGAAGACAGATAGACGAGAGAGACAGGCGGGCACCGGAGCTGCGTACTGCAGCTGGATGAGGAGGTGCAAGCAACACACGCACCGACCCCGACTCACGCCGAGGCGGGGATGAACCAAAGGACGCCCCCGCCCCTTCTTTCGAAAACCTCCTACGCGGGACTGACACCTTTACCGCCCTGCCATACCCTCCCTCTGCGCCAATCTCCGACCTCTGTTGCAGGGCAGAGCAGAGCAGAGCAGTCCACTGCAGCTCCGACGCTACCACACTTAACCCCCTTGGTCCTCTTCATCGTCTCTCGATTTGGGACTGATCCCGCTAGAGCCTCGTCCCCGCATCATAGCAAACTCGTCCATGCCCTCAACTTCCCATCCTCTATACACATCACATCACGTTTCAGGCAAAGTTTCACCTTCCTATACCACCTATTAAGCCTCGGTCTACTAGCGTCTTCATCATCTTCTTACGCTTCACGCCCTTCGAGATGCATCTTCAAGACTAGTAGCTGGCCTCTTTCGTCTCTGTCTCGTCGGTCCTTTACACGTCCACAATGGCCTCCCTCGCCACTTCTACCTCCACGGGGCTGCCGTCCGGCCTGTCAACCAATGTTCTGCCGTCTCCTACTGGCGCCCTCGATGACCCTGCTTACCTCGAAGCCTTGGCCTACTACTACACTAGCCACGCGGTGCCTCAAAGTTACCACGTTGGCCTGGTCATCGCATCCATCGTAGTCGCCTACTATGGAGCATGGTGTACCATCTTCCTCCTCGCCCGCCGCACCACCACAAAGGGCTATCGCAACATCATCCTCCTCGTTCTCGCCGCTACAGTGATGTCCACCCTGGGTGTATGGGGAATGCACTTCGTAGGCATTCACATGGCCGTAAGACCAGTGGAAGGCATCTTGTGGTTCGTCACCTTCGATCCAGGCTACACGGCCTTGTCCCTCCTGGTCACCATCTTCGGGAGCGTCGTCGCCTTTCTCTTCATCGATGCCGTCCGCTTCACCCTCTGGCGCGTAATCGCCTCGGGAGTACTACTCGGAGGCGTCATCGGCCTGATGCACTTCTCTGCCACCTTCCAGGCAAACTTCTTCGCCACATACCAACCCCTCGAGACGGTAATTTCCATTCTCTTGGCAATGGCAGCATCTACCGTCGCCCTCACCATCTTCTTCCATCCACGCTTGCAATCCGGCAAGCGATGGTGGCGGCGACTCATTGCCTCTGCTCTCCTTTCGACATCTGTGGCGGGAATGCATTACATCGGAATGGCCGGTACATCCTTCTTTGTGCGAATCGAGGACATTCAGCGGACACAGACCAGATACGCCTCCCATCAGGATGACCTCGTCATTGCACTACCATTGCCCATCATCAGTGCTCTCGTAGCTCTTCTCTGTGTCGGTATTCACCTTGTGGACCTTCGTGAGGCCAAGACACAGAGTGAAGCCGCCAGGAGTGTCGTCGTCTGCTCAGCTACCTTTAACAACAAGGGCCAACTCTTGGTAAAGGAACAGGGTGGACTGCCCATCGTCGTCATCAAGACACCTATGCGGCAAGCTGAGGTTCGAGCCCTCCTCGACAGTCGACAACCAACCTTCCAGTGGCTCTTTGCAGTCTCATGGGAGTGGGACTTGGTTGTAGACTGGCTAAGAGGCATCGGGCAAAGATTCCTGCGCCTCGAGAGCAACAGCAGAAAGGGCTCCAAGGATGAAGCGAACGCTAACCGCAACGACGACTACCGGGGCAACTTGTTCGAACGCTTGGGACAGAGGGGTCGTCCCACACACACGCTAGAGTTTGATGACCCTATCACGACGGAATTCAGAGACAAGGTGATTGATGCAGCTCGTCAACTTGCCGTCGAGCTAGACATTGCTTTCCAAGAAGTGGGTGTACTCTACGATCGAGCCATCCTCACGGGAACGCGCAAGCGAAAGTCACCCGCAAAGATCGACGCAGCACGGGAGAAGGCTGCGAGCAGACTGCCGGACATGGATGTGGAGGAAGGTATGACCGTTCACACGGTCAGCACGAGATCTAGCATGTCTGACGAACAGCGACCTGCCGCTCCTACCTTCTGGGACACACTACTCAGGCGTAAGCCGCAAGAGGAAGAAAAGGAAGGAGAAGGCCTCATCTTGTTCCTCGTCCGAAAATTGGAAGGATCCATAGACAAACCCGGAGCAATGAGCGCCTCGGAGGAGCAGTACCTCGAACGTGGCTTCCGCATGATGGATATCCGCTTCCTGACTGCTGCCTTTGCGGACCGTCTAGAAGTATCAAAGCAAGATGCGAGCAGTATGCTCAAGGCACTTCAGACTTATGCCAAGCGCGGTACGGTACCCCTCGTGCAGGCAGGAGGAGTGTATGCTGGTCTCTTTGGTGTCCGAGCTTCCACTTCGCGATTTGGTGGTCTCGAGACTCTCGTGTACGGCTTTGCCCGGCACCAGATTCCAGCGTTCCGATTGCCAAAGGTGGAAAAGATTACCCCTGCAAATCGACGCTTCATCAAGCGACTCGATCAGATCACACTCGACGAGGCAATGGCAATGTGCAACACCGAATCGTTGCGTATCAGGGAGCGATCTGAGCTAGTCGCCCAGAAGCAGGGCGAGGGAAACAACAACGACGAGGATGAAGACTTGGCTGCCGAGGTTCAAGCACTTGCGGACCGAGAGCAATTCGTTGCATCTTTGTACTCGGCGTTCGAAGCGCTCGTTGCATCAGTCGCCGTCTATCCCAACCTTGCGGCTTCTGCTCGTGTCTCCTCTGAGCTGCTGCAAATGCCGTCGAGCTTGGACGACTCGTCTGAGCCAGCTGAGATGGTAATTGTCCACGCCGTGCTTCCCGAAGAGTCCTCGGATCAGATTGACCCGTCCCAAGTCCTGCCGGCGTACCGGACGCAAGAGGGGACGCCCTACGTCTTCACGCCATACTCCCTCTTCCACAAAGCGCAGATGATGCTGATGCAGGGCAAGGAGGCCAGGGACTTTGAGCACGAGGTGCGGTGGGAGATGAAGCGACGATACCATACCTGGGGCACAGGGGCAGCACCGGACGATCCTTCCACTGCCAAGCCTAACGACATGACCGCGACCGCACCCGATGCCCCAGCTTACGCTATGGACGGCACGTCTCTATCGAAGATTCTCAGCGCGCGAAGGTCGTCGGCTACCCCTTCTTCAGTGGCTGAGATGCCACCCCCTACTTTGGGGGAGCGTGTGTGGGCGGCAGTAACCTTTGGGCTAGGTGCGGGTTCCAGACATCGAGCACAACAGATGCCACTCATGAAGTCGCAACAGCGAGCTACAGATCTACCGGACGTTGCTACTCTGGCGAGAGACCCCAGCTCAAGCGCACCTGTATCACCCGTATCACCCGGATTCCCAAAGAACGCATCGCAGCAAGAGTCGGGTACGTCTACGTCTACATCGGCGAGCGTTGCTAGACCGCTCACCACTATCAACGAGTCGCCCAGGTGGTCCACCGGACCAAGTCCTCAAACCAGCACTAGAGCATCGATGGGCAACGTCATCCTTCCTGCGATGTTGTCCACACCTCGGGTCAGGCTGACGCCGCATAACTTTGGTCCTGTACCAAGGTCGCCAAAGAAAGGCACGCTTTTGCCCACGCCTCCACCTTTGGGACCTGGTTTCGGATCTAGTATGGGTGCTGGTCTCGGTGGCTCGAGGGCAGGATTGAACTTACGAGGTCTGTCCTGGACGGAGGACAAGGCGGGCAGTAAACAACAGCAGCAAAGGGAATCGCAGGTAGGAGATGAGGCCATTGAAATGGTCGCCAGCACCAGCTCCCGCGGCCGCAGTGGAAGTGCAGGTCGACGTCCCTCTATGCCTGCCGAAGGGACTCCCGCTGGTCTGAGCGGCAATGAGTCTATGCTCGGTCTGCAATCCGTGCCGGCTTCGCCGACGCAGGGCCACAGTCCAAGCAACCACCCCTCGGGTTCTTCGCTCTTTGCTGCCGGATCGCCCTTTGACTCTCCCTCGATGGGAGGCCTAGCACAGCCTGCAGCGGCAGCTCTGGTTCCCTCGCCTCCGCAGAGCACAGGAGCACATTCAGGCAATGCTTCTACAGGTGGTAGTGCTGGTACACCGCAATTGCAAGCCCAGGCTCAGGCGCAGGCGCAGAGTCAAAGCCCAGCACCAGCAGTGATGCCTGCCCCTGTACGCAATCTCGCCTCTCTGGAAGCGAGGGTGAGGAGTGATGGATGGACCACGAGGCATCTGAGGGAGATTGAGAGGAGTCCTGCGGGTCCTTCTTTGCTCGGAGTAGATTATTGATGGTACGCCTAACAAAGTGAAGCGAAATGAAGGTGGGCGGGGAGGGGGGCTTAGAGTTTGAGAGGGAGAGGAGCAGGGTAGCCGAAGACTGGAGTCGCATTGCACCTAGACCTCCTACTCGTTTCATAAGCAGTCACTCATTCCCCCACGTCCCCCGAAATACACGACACAACCGTGATCACACCTTGCCTTTTACACTGTATCCGTACTCTTTCTCCTTCTTGGATACCTAGACTCAAATTTTTTGTTTTCTGACAATTCCTGAGTGACGCCCCTCGTACTTGTGGGCAGACGGTCCAGGGTCGTGAGGTTGCATCTGCCTGCCTGTCTGTCTCCATCTGCCTCGCTCCGCGTCTTCTCGTCTCCGCCCACTGTTGGCTTTCAGATGCACCGCGCGCAGGGAGGCTGAGGGCGGAGGCGCCAAGGGACTAGTCTAATCAGATCAGATAACCCGGAACAAGAAACTGGCCGACGGGCGCAGGGCAGGGCAGCAGTGGCGAGGGGCATTGCTCGGAGGAATTGAGTTGAATTCGTTCGTTCGAGGAAAGGCAAGGGAGAGGAGAGGACCTCTTCGTCCTCTTTGACTCCTTTACAACACAACACAACACAACACACTCTCCGTAGACGTGATCACGTCGTGCCCTCCTTCCGTTGCGTTATACCACTCCGCATTGCTTACATCACATCATTGTCACGCTAGACTAGCAAGCCCTCTCGCCTCCCCTTGTGACACAAGATGACAGTACCGAATCCGATCCAGCCTCATGCCCACGAGGGGGTGAAGTTGGATTACAGGCCCACAAAGACTGTACTCGTCCTGGGTGCTAGCGTGAGTGGATGTTGAGAAGGCTGTAGAGGGACAGAATAGTCTGACATTGACATTGTGTGGATGATCCTCAACGACAGTATGCAGGTCACACAGCTGTACAGAGTCTAGTACAAGGTCTGCCCCAAGGCTGGAGGGTAGTGGTGCTGGAGAGGAATACACATGCCAATCGTGAGTTGTCACGCTCAAGGAGCGTCGCCCATTGCAACTTAAGGCGAGTGGTCTTCCACTCACCCACTCTCCCCCTTCTGCTTACTTGCTCTCTGCGCAGACCTATATGCCTTTCCGCGCGTGGCAGTGCTGCCTTCACACGAGAAGAAGGTTTTTATCCCTTACACCAACATCTTCAAGCCGGTGAGCGGCGTCCCCTCTTATGCCGCCTCTGCCGGGCACGTGCTCATCCACGGCTGTCTCACCAGTCTCGACCTGGCCCCTCAGGCCAAAGGTGGCAAGCTCCCCTTCGGTCGAGGAGTAGCCACTTATCGTCCACTGCACGAAGGAGCTTCCTGCTGTCGGGACCCGCGAGCAGCAGAAGAAGAGACGATGCAGATCCGGTATGACTACCTTGTGTATGCGCTCGGATGTCATCTGCCTCCGCCCATCAACTTGTGGAGTAGTCCTAGCGCCAAGAAGGATACAGTGGAAGATGTCACGCTCGCTTCCAACAGCACTGCCGCCCCGGGTACATGCTGCATGTCCAGCGTCTCCTCCAAGCTCGAGCGAGGTCTCAACCTTCGCGAAGATGGGCAGAGCGAAGCAGACGGGCAGTCCTCTGCTGAGGCCGTCCCTCCTCGTCTCCCACCCTGCCGCGGCTCGAAGCAAGAAGGAGTGTCCTGGCTGCAAGAAGCTCAGTCTCGCGTCCGACAGGCAAAGAGCGTAATCGTCATCGGTGGTGGAGCTCTCGGAGTACAATTCGCCAGCGATATAGCCGCCTACTACGGTACGGGCGTCAGTCCCCCTTCCCCGGAGCATCTCGAAGCCACCCGCGGCGTGCCAGTGAAAAAAGTGACGCTGCTCTGCTCTTCGAAACAGCTACTACCTCGATTCGATAAGTGGATGCACGACCAGTCTCTCGAGGCACTACAGAAGCTCGGAGTGGAAGTGTTGCTAAGTGCGAGGGCTGACTTGAGTCAAGATGCTATGCAGGGGGGTCAGAGCGCTTCGGGAGAGGAGAGGATCATTAGGACACTTGACGGGCGGGAAGTCCGTGGGGAGCTAGTGGTAAGTTGCAGCGAGCAGTAGCGGAGGAGAGATGTGAGGTGTGAGGCTTGATCATTGACATAGCTGTCCTCCTGAACGTGTTCATCTCAACAGCTCTTCTGCACTGGCCAAAAGCCCTGCACGAATTACCTCTTCGACGCCCTGTCACCATCAGATCGAGGCTCCATCGACTCAAAAGGCATGTGCAAGATCAATCGGCACCTACAGCTCGCCGTATCCCCTGCTGCGAAGTCTAGTGCCACCTCAATCTCGGCCGAATCTCAAGCAGAGGCAGAGGGAGAGGCAGAGGTAGAGCCTCAAACACGCAAGAGCATCGACAACATCTTTGTCATTGGCGACGTAGCTGATGCTTTTGGTGCCCTCAATGCAGGACATACCGCTTGGGCACAGGCAAAGCTGGCTGCAGCCAACATTTGCCACTTGATTCACCTCAATGACCCTTCTCTAGGCATTGCCAGTGCGAGTACAAGCGCAAGCGCGAGCGCGAGGGAGATAGAGGTGACCTCCTCTTCTAGCTCCTCCTCCTCCTCCTCCTCTTCTTCTTCTTCCTCAACAGCAAGCGACACTCCCTCCTGGCCCAGCACTCCTCCCTCCTCTCTAGAGCGGTACACTCCTCCTCTACCAGGAATCAAAGTCTCCCTTGGTCTCACCTTGGCAATCCAACAGAGTAATGGTAAACATGCTGTCAAGCGTGGGAGAGAGGATGGGTTGAGGGACGATTTGAATACGGGAGTGATGTGGAGCTCGAGGGGGTTGAGTGAGGAGGGGGGATACGTTGAGTAAAGAAAAGAAAGAGGTTGGTGGGTTTGGGTTGGGACGAAACGGGGGGGAGCAGGAGAGGAATTAGAGCCGAGAGAGGCGCTACTGTACATACGATACAAACTACTAGAACACGACGTTAGATTACAAGACCTTGACGGTCACCGTCAATCTCTCAGCACATTTCTTCGTCTCTCATCACGGCTTCCACACACACCAGACCACAACGCCTCGACTTGTCTTCACGTAGCGAACAGCACTCTCCACTACATCTCGACGAGACGTAGCGTCTTGAAAGTAGCTCTCGAACAAAGCAAAGCAAAGGCCAGCCTAGATGAGATCAGGTATGAACAAGGATGACAATTGCAGATGAGGAAAGTTTTTTTCCAGACGAAACTAGATCAGACTAGACGAGATAAGACAGTTGTGCGTAGAGTGGACAGAGCGATAAGCCCTTAGTCACTACGTCCACGTCCTACGTCCCCTGCACCCCACTCTTCTCTCCAAGTAAGGCAGCAGTACCAGAGACCGCCTCTTCACCGTCCCTATCCCTATCCCCGTCCTCGTCCTTGCTTGTATCCACCTCTTCCAACGAGCCAGACGCAGAAGATGCAGATATGCGCTTCGTCGCCTCTGAGGATAGACCGAGGGAAATGCGCTTCCCACCACTGCCACCGTTGCTTCCACTGCTGGTCATCTTCGAGGGCTGCACAGATGCAGGTGCAGATACAGGTGCAGATGCTGACGCTGACGCTGACGCAAGTGCGGGTGTGAGAGGTTGTGCCTCTGCTTCTGCTTCTTCCTTTTGCTCCTCGTCTTCAAGGATGAAGCCACCACCGCTTCCGACAGACGAAGATCTTGTGAGATTCATAGATTTGGGAGCGGAAGCGCCTTCTGATCCCTCTTGTGCGTCAGCATGGGTGCGTTTCGCCAATCTCTCCAATCCAAAGTCATCCTCCTCGGCTTCTTCTCTCCGACGCTTCTCGCTCACGCGACTGTGCAGGGCTAAGAGAGGTGCGTCTGCGTCTGCATCTGCATCTGCGCTTACGTTTGTATTTGCGACGCTGACGCTTCCACTGCTACTGCTATTGCTGATGTCGCTACCGCTACTGCCATTGGAGAGGATGACCTTGTCTTGAGTCTCGAAATCTCCTTCGACGTCTTCATCGTCATCGTCGTCGTCTGCGTACATGCCGATCCCCGCCAGACCGCCCGATGAGGAGGACTGGGAAGGGACAGAGGACGGGGTGGGAATTACAGACGCAGAGGCGACTGAGCTCTTCAAGCGCGGTGCTGAGCTGGACATAGCAGCAGCAGTGGTCTTGTTGCGGGCAGCAGAAGCGGGACCAGCAAGAGCGAGGGTAGGTTCTTCTTCGTCGTCCGAGTCATCAAAGTAGGCATTCTCGTCTGCTTCTTCTTCTCCTTCTTGGGCTGGACGAATGAAGCCTCCCCTGACTCCTGCTCCAGTGGTAGTCCGGCGGGATGCATCAGTGCCACTGTTCCTCACGCCGAGCCTCTTGCGCGTGGTGAGACCAGAGGTGTTGAACGTGGTAGTGCTGTTGCCAACTCGGCTTCTACTGCTCTGCCGAGATTTGCCCTCACCACCATCAGCTCCGCGCTCGCCCTCGTTGGTACCTCCAGCAGTGCCCTTCTGAGGGGCATTCGGCTTGCGAGCAGACTCAAAGATGGCCGAGAAGCATTGCCCAGCAAAGCGATTCTGACTTAGCACTTCCAAGTCCTGGTAGTGTCGATCGACTAGGTGATCCATGACGATCTTGCTCTTCTCCTTTTTGAGATGCTCGAAGAACTCGATGCAGGCCGAGAGGATTAGGTTGTCCCGTTGGCACTCCCTCCTGGCGAGAACGAGGATGGCTCCGAAGATGTCATGTTTCAGAAAGTGACGATTGATGAACTGGTTGTTCGACGCGAGACAGGCGCGGAAAAGCTTGATGGCCGCCAGCTTCATGTGCTTTTCCTTGGCAAAGAGGAGCGTAGCGACGTGCACTGCAATCTCCGAAGTGATGACGTAATACTGTGACCGAAAGCCATGCTGAAGTACGCAGTTGCACAGCAGCTCACATAGGTGAGCCAAGAGCGCAGAGTGTTCCCGGGGTCCGACTGAATACCGTACCGTGGCAACTTCCAGTGTCTTGTAATCCGGCAAACGTTTCAGAGGACCAAACAGACGGTCAATGTCTGCTTCATATAGATGGGCGAAGAACCGGTCGGGATCGACTTTGTTGCGATTAGCGGCTGCCGCCGTTGCATTGAGGCTCTGCGGTGCACTGTCCGGAGAGGGATAATCAAACATCGTACGCATTACCTCGGACATCTGCGCTTTGAAGCCAAGGTCCTTTGCTGCATGCAAAACGTCGGAGAGCCGAGAGACAAACGTCGTCTGGCCTTTTTCCTCTTGCTCCAGAGTATGGGTGCGTATGATGCTCGGGTCAAACTCGACGAGCACCATGAGCATCTCAGCTGCTGCATTCTGTACTCTTTGATGTCCAGACTCGAACAGGCCATACTCGAGCAAGGACAAGACGCCGTGATCCGTCAAAGATCTGTAGAGACCCACCCGCACCGGCATCTGAACTTGCTTGCCCATTGCACAGAGTGACTGCAGAAAGAAGACGGCATCGTGCTTCTTCTCTTCCGTTTCTCCACTGTCGGGCTCGCAGACTGCAAAGATCCGTTGCAGGAAGGGAATACTGCCTGAGCAGTAATTGACGATGTCTACCTGGTGGAAGAAGATCCAAGAATTCAAGACAGAGAACATGGCATCGTCCAATATCCGGGCCAGTATCACGTCCTTGAGGTACTGCAACCGATAGACTTGGTGAATCTTGGTCACGATCTTGATGTCGTCGATGTCTATCACTGACTTGAATCTCGCCGTGTTGCGAAGGTAGTCTCTATACGAAGCTTTGAGAGTTGGAAATTCGGGATCATACTCGAACATGCCTGCAATGTCGATGAAGAGGTCGTCTTGAATGATCGTCTCCACGATGGCGCTGTCATTGAGCATCACTGTAGGTTGGAGAAGGTGGCGCAGGGGTTAGTGAGAGGCAACATTGTTCGTGTACCGGACGAGATACATACCAATAGTCTGCATGATTGTACATAGACACTGCAAGTCCTCTACGTTCTCTAGATCTTCTGCGTCTTGAAAGACGGGCACGAGCTTACGAAGGTAGTCCGCTCTCACCAGCCACTCGGCGACCTTTTCCCGCGCCAAAGGTCCTTTGCTCGCGGTCTCTTTGAGCACTTGCTCGATTTCTTCCAGCTTGCCCAGCGAGGGTTCTGGTGGATTAAAGGCGGTACTGTCAATGAGCATCACCATACCCATGCCCCAATTGGATTGGCTGAGATCACCTCCAGAGGTCGGGGAGCCTGCGTCGGGCGTCGGCGAGTCGGAGAGGGCGGCAGCAGAAGCGGCAGCTTGATTGGCGTGAAAGTGCCTCTGGACCTCGGTGATAAATTCCCACACCTCTTGACAGCCATCTGCCTCCTGGAACGAAAGCGCCATGTCTGTTCCGTCGCTCTCAGTCCAGACCACCAGAGTATCTGAGCAATTGCAAAGGAGCCTGTAAGTTCCAGCGCTTCTCTCAGCCTCATCACGCTCATCCTTCGACTCCGACTCACCTTGTTGTTTCTGATATACATCCTCCTTTACGACTTGCGTATTCAGCATGATGTGTTCATCTACATCCATATCTTCACTGACGATTAAGTAGTAAGGTTGTATGCTCGGTGGGGGTGGAGGATCGAGAGCAGCTGCATCTCTGGGCAGCTCGCCGTTGGGCAGCAGCTCGGGTGGCCCATCCAGTACGGCCTGCTTCCGAGGGTCGGGAGCTGCTCCATCGATCATGATACAGCTGTCTTCCACACGCGCGACAAGCAAGGCCTCATCGTGGACCTCGTCGTAGACACCTGCGCAATAGCCTGTGCCATTATCAATCCAAGACTCCCCTTCGAGACGATACACCTTGACTCTTCTTGCGGTACCGCATTGATGGAATGGTCCTCTGGCTATTGTGCTCGTGAGGAGCAGCGGTTGTGGTATCTTTACGCTGACTTGCTGTCCGCCATGTGTGAGGATGACATCCACCTCCTCGCCCTCTTCGGTCTCCGAGTCCATCGATGAATTGCCAGGACCGGCACTCAACTCGCCCACTAGCTCCGGAGGATCTACATCATGATCCTCGTCTAGCTGTCCTGTCAGGTCAGCGACGGACAGGGGACCTGCTGAGCCAATCGGTGGCTTCTTTTGCTGTTGTTCAGTGGAGCGCTCGCCGGGCGAGGTGGGAGCCATTGCCGCTCCTCCAACAGTGCGGACAGGACTACCCTCATTGGAGTTACGCCGAATGACCTGACTGAGTCTCTTGGCTGTCGGCGATTGGGGTGATTGGGGGGCATTGACCGTAAGCAGCCATGGCGAACGGGCTGTCTCAGCTGAGGAGAAGCCAGCACCGGGCAAATCGCTACCCTCGGGCGACTTGGCGCTGGGCGATGATCCAGATAGGCTCTTTTCGCGTCCTGCTTCGGTATACGACGACGAAGACGCTTCTTGCCTGTCATGTACGGGTGAACGATTATAGCTACGTGAAGCAAGCGACGATGGGGATGAAGAGGTTGACGGTGACGGGGGCGCTGACGATGAGGATGAGGACGGGGAAGAGGATGCTGCTATTGCTGTTGTCGGATCCTGAGCAGCAGAAGAATCACCATCCTCTGCCGTCTTCGTGGCAGTGGAAGATGATTTTGCCGATGCAGACTGTGAGGTGGACCGCTTGGCTTCTTTGCGTGAAGGAGAAGCCCCAGCTTCGCCCGTCGCCGATCTCTTCCCACTGGGAGGAGTAGCTGGGCGCGTGGCCTTGGGGTCTGATGACTGCTTCTCTTTTCCCTTTCCCTTGTTGGAAGGCGGCGTCGTTGTGCCAGTCTTGTTTGCTTCGGACGCGCGAAGATGTGAGGTCGCGGTGGCACCTTGTACTGTGGAGGTGGATGGCGCTGGGGAGGCTGATGATGATGACGACGATGGGGAGGTCGATGTATGCGTCGCGCCTAGGTCCCTTTGCTGATGCGGGGATGACGATGGCGAGGACGGCGGCGAGGGAGATGATCGAGCCCTCTTGTTTGGCCTCATCCTCGACGACGAAGGGTCCAAGAAGTGGGATGGTATAGAAGCCCGGGATGTGGTATTACCGAGGGACGGAAGGAAGCCAGGAGGGAAGCAGTGAGATGAGCTGAGTTCAATCGCCCACCATCGGAAAAGACAGACGCGGGCGCACAGGGCCACGGAAGCCCAGCCACGTCTGCCTGCATACACTCGGCCCGCGCATGTGTCACTCTTGCTTCTATCAGGCACAATCCACCCAAGACTCACACCCGTCAACAGGGGGCTCAAGCGACAGTGGAGGTGGGCCGACGTCAAGCACGGTTTCGCTGAAGTGAAACACCCGCGGGCAGGACACAATTCTCAAATGGCACCTCTGTGACATCTGGCATTGGACAACGATCTCGGCATTCTGACTTTGCTCGACAATATGAAGCAAGACATGGATTGTCTAGTCACTCGAGGGCAAGAGATGTCTGATACGGCTATAAGCACCGCGCACTTCTTCTGAGGTATGCCCACCTTTTGCTCCTGTTGGGCCGGGAAGCTCTGTTCACCTCTCGTGCGGCCTCTACCTAGCTAGCCAGTCTCCCAGTAAGTGGACGGGGGCTGCGCGGAGCACTCACGAGCGAGCGAGCTCCCTTTGAGCGTCGCTTGGCTTCTGTGCTCGGTCTTCTGTCCAACATACAATTCTCAAAAGGGTGCCCCGTCTCCCATAAATGTACGCTACGCAGGAGGGCAGGCATTCCTAAGACGCACCGGCTGCTGCTGCTGCTGCTGCTGCTGCTGCTGCTACCGGGCCCAAGTGCGCCTCAATGCTCTGTGCAGTCATGAACCTGCTCACTTGCAGAGGTGGAGAACCCCAGTCATTCGAGTACCGGTTCTACGAAAGTGGCTCACGTGCTGACGTACCGATGGGTACGCTGACGCCAGGACATGGCATTCTGTTGAGTAAATAGTGCGCATTATGAGCTTACCCTGTCTCAGAAAGCTCGGCCCTGAATCAGAGATTGATGCAATAAGACCCGATGCAGGCAAGTAGACCCACCGACACCCATGGGTGCGGGTTCACAGGAAAGTAGTACGCGGAGGAGGTCTCACGGTCGACGCTGTCCAATGGGGATAAGCTGCCGAAGCGATCAAGGTCACCAGCTAAGGGACAGCCAGGCTGCAAGTGGGAGGAGGGAAACAAAAGGGCCGTGGAGGAAATTGATAGTGCAGTGCAATCAGTAGCGAGAAGAGTCGCGACGAGAGGGCTTTGTGGACTGGTAAGGGTTATTGCGTAGACTAGAATGGCCCCTGCGCATCTCTCGCCCACCTTGCGGATCTCGCTTGGAAGGACTGTGAGTCCTATTTGGCTGTGGGAGCCAAGGGGTGATCGACTCCACTTCCCGATTGGCCTGATCTGGCCTATGCCCTGGGTGGCTGCCGCCCAGTCAACATCGGCAACGCCTACGGTTGCTTTTCTCCTTCCCACACCATTCGCCGTTGATCGGCTGCTCAACGAGTCAGTCACACGCTTTGATCTCTCTTCGCACGAAGAAGGCGAGTCTGCATGTTTCGGCGGACTTGATTGTGCCTCTGCTTCTCGCTTGTTTTGATAGAGATAGTAGAGAAGGTATCTGGAATCTGTATCACTGAATCAGCTGCAATGAATGTGAGCGTGCCTGCCTGCCGTACCTGTGGAGGGAGTGTAGCTTGGTTCGCTTCGAGGTCACGGTGAGCGTGACATGTACGTCACTGATCCAGTCGGTAGCAGGGAGGCAGGCAGGCCAGTAGCAGCTATCTAGGTGCTAGGGCGGGGTATGGCAGTTCCGGTGCCGATTGGCAGGCTGGCTTGGGTGGGCGGCCCAGGAACCCGGCTTGGAAATAGAGATAACAGCGGAGCCTCTTTAGGGAGCAATCCATGGCCCTCTAGGCACCAGAGCAGTCTTTGCGCCCTTTGCCCTTTGCTCTCTGGCCCCATCCGGTCGGGCGAGGCAGGTGGGCGCTGGGGCAGCAGCCTTTTGTCCTCCTCCCTTGCTGCCCTGCCCTGCCCTGCCCGCGTCTCCCGAGCCCCGCCTGCCCCCAGCCCAGCCCAGCCGAGGCCAGCCACCCGCGCAGACGCACTGGCACAGACCTTGCAATTGCAATCACACAGCAACCAGACTAGAGCTCATCGCCCACCCCGCTCGACTTCAGACTTCTTCCTCCTCCCTTTCCTTCCAAACCAGTACTCACCTTTACCCCTCTCACTCAACAACGACCCAACAAACAACACCCACATTCACAATGGCTGTTCCCTTCACCAACAACCCAGGTCAGTATACACAGCCGTCACTCTGCCCCACCCACGGCCAATTCGGACACCGCACCCGCACCTTCCGTTGGAAGATAGCCGCACAAGGATTCCCGATTAGTACGCCAGCACTCTCACCGGGGGGATCCCAGGCAACTGTACGACGTCCGAGTATGCTATCCTGCTAGCACATGTGCATTGCACACCATTAGCACCACTCTCGCACTGCACCCTTCCTCTCCACGCTGGATGTGTAGACATAGGACTGACATTGCCTCCACCTACCTTCCTTGACCCCCAACCCCAATCCGCTTACAGGCCTCGCCGCCTCTTACATGAGTCTGGACCAGGGAGGTGAGAATCTGCACTGCCTATAGAGAGGGCACCCATTGCAATTGAGAAGTACGAATGCTCACCCCCTCCGCCCACCTTTTCTCCGCTGCACTGCTTCACAGGACGAGTCCAGGCCGAGTACATCTGGATCGACGGTGATGGTGAGTACGAGCAAAGGTAGAAGATCTGGGGCAGAAAATGTGCTCGTGGAGCTGTATGACGTTGGTGCGACTCTGCGCGTGCTGCTTCAGTACATGCAGAGCTTATAGCAGCCCCGAAGCAGCTTCATGGGCGCAAATGAGGTGATCTGCCGAGGGATGGTGGTCTGACTTGCAGCCCTGCTCTCTTTGCCTCTCTCCACTGACTCTAGGTGAGATTCGCGGAAAGACTACTGTGAGTTCAGAGTGCTTTGCCCCTTGTGCGCCTTGTGCCGTTGTCATGAGCCCGAACTCACACCCACTTCCACTTGCTCCTCCTCGAATTCATAGACCGTGGACAAGAAGGTGACTTCGCTCAAGGACCTGAAGGAGTGGAACTTTGACGGTTCCTCGACCAGTGAGTCTCAAACGCTGCTTCGCTCGCCGCTTTGATGAAAGAGGGGGGTTTGTACGATTTTCGGCGAGCTGCTGTCCTGACACCTGCCTCCACTGCACTGCTCGCCCTTGACCCGCTCAGACCAGGCTCCCGGCCACGACTCCGACGTCTGGCTCCGCCCCGTTGCCTACTACAGGGACCCCATCCGTCGTGGAGACAACATCATCGTTCTGTGCGAGTGCTACAACAACGATGGCAGCCCCAACAAGTCCAACCACCGTGCCTACGCCAACACTGTCATGGAGAAGGCCAAGGCCGAGAAGCCTTGGTTCGGTCTTGAGCAGGAGTACACCCTCTTCGACATCGATGACAAGCCCTACGGCTGGCCCAAGGGAGGTTTCCCCGCTCCCCAGGGACCTTACTACTGTGGTGTCGGTGCCGGCAAGGTCTTTGCCCGTGACATCGTCGAGTGCCACTACCGAGCCTGCCTGTACGCTGGCCTGACCATCTCTGGTATCAATGCCGAGGTGATGCCCGCTCAGTGGGAGTTCCAGGTCGGACCCTGTGAGGGCATTGCCATGGGTGACCACTTTGTCGTAGCCCGCTACCTGCTGATCAGGATTGCCGAGGAGTGGGGAGTCAAGGTCTCCTTCCACCCCAAGGCCGTGCCAGGAGACTGGAACGGAGCTGGATGCCACACCAACTACTCTACCGAGTCGATGCGAAAGGAGGGTGGTATGAAGGCCATCGAGGCTGCCATTGAGAAGCTGAGCAAGAAGCACGCCGAGCACATCAAGGTCTACGGAGAGGACAATGACCTCCGACTTACCGGTCGTCACGAGACTGGCCACATTGGCAAGTTCTCCTCTGGTGTTGCCAACCGTGGTGCCTCGATTCGTATCCCACGACACGTGGCTGCTCAGGGCTACGGTTACCTCGAGGACAGGCGACCCGCCTCGAATATCGACCCTTACCTGGTCACCGGCATCATCGTCGACACCACCATCGTCTCCGAGGACTAAAGTGGGGGGGAGCGCAAGGGAGGGCAGTGGGAACTTGTCGCGGTGTGAGAAGGTAGTGGAGGGAGGAAGGGTGCAGTGCGGGGAAGAGCGGAAGTGGAAAGCGGGAGCGGGAAGAGCCAAGCTGCCTTTCGGGTCTCACTCTCCAGCGGCAGCTTAGAACAGGACCTTTCCGAGCAGCAGCAGCAGCAGCGCTGGCGGGTCTTTCTCCTCCTACTTGCCTCTCTCTCTCTCCCTCTTCGTCTCGCACTCTGTCTCCTTGCTTCTCACTTTCACTTGTCTTGACGCGCATGACCCCGCCCAGTCCGGTTCAATGGATGGAAGAATTTCTCGGTACCCTGCAAAGGTCTGATGTGATGTGGGCTGTGACTTGAAATGTGAACGAATCTTGCTTAATTTCTAACGGAGCAGAGAAGAGGGGACCAGCGAGCCTGCGAGCGAGCAAGCGAGGGAGGGAGTGATTGAGTCGAGCCGGTCGAATTTGACTGCTCTGCTCTGAGCTGATCACAGACTAGTCCTCGTGATCGCTCAAGCGCGTCTTTATTGCTATCTCTATGAACAAGTACTAGTACAGTACAATACGATGACGATGACGATTACGATTGGGAAGAGGGGAAGAAGGAAGAACGTGGAACGTGGCTAGGGCGGAGAGCGTGATGCTAGCATTTCAAGGATTCAAGTCGTTGTGGTGTACGTCTATCTCTACCTCTATGCTCCTTCACCTCCTGCAGCAGCCGTTGCAGAAGCAGGAGTAGGACGGCCAGCGGTAGAAGTAGAGGTAGAGGTAGAGGTAGAGGTGGTACGAGCTCCTTCTGCTCGAAGGTCAGTGATTACTTGCTTTTAGCATACCAAAGGGAAGAGTGGGGGGTGCAAATCAGGTACTCTACTCTGAGGTCAACTTGACGCTCTCTGCCTGCAACGTTGGCTTGTTCATCACCTCTGCGGTGCTACTCACCGCGAGCGCAGTTGGATGAACACCCTGCCCTAGTAGGGTCATGCTGGCTTTCAAGTCTGAGCGGGTCAGACCTGTTTGGAGGAGGGTGGAGAGAGAGTGGAGGACTAGTGATTGGAGGGGAAGAAAAGTAGTAGGAAGAGGGAAGGATAGGGTAGAGGTAGACTTGTCAGTGTTCACCCAGACGGGGAGAGAAAGGGCCGCACGATCTACGCGCTATCACTCACGATCCACTGCGTCCCGCTCGGCATTCAATGCGGCTGTGGCTGCGGAGCTGCGGGAAGTGGTAGTAGCAGAGGAAGAAGTGGACACTTGACGACGGGCGTCTGCCATGATCGCTGCTCGCTTTCGATTACGTTGTGTTGTAGATAGCAGTGAGTGAGTGAGTGTGTATGCGTGTGTATGTGTTGCACTCCAGCCGAGTGCTTGGTGTTTGTAGCGCCTGCTCCTCCTCTTTCCGCCTCTCCACCCTTTCCCCCAAGGTCGGAACGGAACGAGCACCCTCGTGGCCCCTCTCGGCGGTGGCCGGCCAAGGTGTTGCGCGCGCCAGCCTGACGCTGTCCCTGCTGCCTGCCTGGCTGGGTGGGTGCCCGCCTGCCCGCCCGCCTGCCTGGCGTGGGCTGCTGCTCGCACGTCTACGATCTTCGCCCCCGCCTTGGAGCGACTTGGATCTCCATCATCACCATCTACCACCACTCTTTCTCTGACAAGTCAAGTCGTACAGGTGCGTAATCCCCTCTGCGGAGTCAAGGATAGAAGAGACTATCCATCAAGAGATACAGCCAGACCACCATACTGATTCTGCCTTTCGCGCCCGCATCTCTCCATGTGCCTATCTTCGCAGGATGATCGCCCCCCGTCTTGCCCGCTCCACCCGCACCCTCGGACAACAGGTTCGCCTGAACTCCACCGCCTCCTCTTCCTCTTCAGGCGCCTCCTTGCCCATCCCACCCAAGATTGCCACTCCTAAATCCCTGCAGGGTCCCGGAGGCAACTCGGCTCGAATGGACGAAGTTGTTGGATTCTACAAGAGTCTGCCCAAGGGATCTACCACGCTCAAGAAGGGACCTTTTGCTAACCCTGGAAATGGAAAGCCACTCGTGGTTGCCATGGCTAGCTTGTTCTTGATTGGATACACGATGGATTATAACATGCACTTGAGTGAGTAGAGCGCGATTCAGGAGGAGAAAGTGGGAGAGGGAGGGTTAAGAGAAGAAGAAGGTAGGCCTGGGAAATCGGATGAGATTGGTAGACAGCATCTGGGGCAGGACGAGGATGGATAAAAGGCTAGGACTCGGGCTCCCGTCAATCAAGACACACATCAGGCGGGAGGTGGTATCTGCATTGGAGACCACCTTCAATCCCATCCGACCTCGCGGGGAAGTGACTCTCAGAAGCAAGAGGAAGCGAAACCGATACGGGAGGCGTGCATAGACGATGTACCACCACTATCACGAACAGGAGCAAGACGACTGACTCCATCTCTACTCCTTCGTATCTCCTATCAGAGTACCACAAGAACCGAGCCCACTAAACGCCTCATATCACGAGTGCGTTGCGGAAGGGCCTCCTTGTTGCTCTTGTAGTGACTGTAGATGGCCGGTAGAGGGGGAGAGGGTAATACCGGCGAGGAGAGACAGAGCAAGCTGCATACCAAATGGAAGATTCTTGCAAAGACATTTGGTTTGTGCTGAGTGATTGGGATCGGACGATGCGTTCACAGGAGAGACTACGAGCCTTGCCTCAGGCCAAGCTATGAGTTGGGGTTGCTCCGGTGGAGTAGAGAAGCAAGCGCCTCGAATGACGCACAAAAGAGGAGCATTGCGATTGAAACATTCTAGGGCTTGACAATTGGCCACATACGCTTTCAGAAAAGCAAAACCTCTTGCCCTTTCCACCTCTCCTTTACTCCTTCACTCCACTCCCCCCTTCACCTTCTTCACTCTACACCCTCCTTCACCTTCTTCACTCTACTCCCTCCTTCACCTTCTTCTCTCCCCCTCCCCCACGCCTTCGATAGATTGCGTCCGCCATGCTCACTACATCCCTCATCTCCGGTACATCGTGCACCCTGAGTATATCCACTCCACCAGCAACGGCCGCTACGCACGCGGCGGCAGTACCAAAGACGCGATCCTTTGGTTCTTCTTTCCCTGTGAGAGAACCAATGAAGCGCTTGCGCGAGGGACCGAGTAAGAGGGGAAAGGCGTGAAGGGAGGAAGAGGGAAGGTGGGAGGGATCCTCGTCGTCTTCGTCATTGAAGTCCGAGGAGGGGACCACCTCGCTGCTGCTGCCGTTCACCTTGACAGCGATGGCGCCATTGCTCGAGGTGGGGAGATCGATGGTGGAGACTTTGGGAGAGACGACGCGAGAGGTTGCAGGCTCCGGTGTAATGAGTCCCGGGATCGCTCCTCTCATGCCTGCTCCCGCTCCTGCTCCTGCTCCTCCTCCTAGACCAGCGCCTCCTCCCCCACCAGTCATGCGAGCAAGGCCACGAATGAGGTCCAAGTTGCCCTCTGCATCCTTTGCGAAACCCACGCCTGGATCCAGTACTAGGTTCCACCTGCGCACACCTCGACGCAGTGCTCTCTGTACCCTCGTTGCCAGCTCGGAGCAGACACCCTCGACTACGCCTCCTGGATACGAGGCAAGACGACCCATTGTCTTACTGTCGCCTCGGGTGTGCATGAGGATGTAAGGCACTCCTGCCTCGCGGGCCACGTCGAGGATACGAACATCACGCTCCCCGCCCGTAACATCGTTGATCACATCTGCGCCTGCATCTAGAGCAGCCTGTGCTACACCCGCACGGAAAGTGTCGATGGAGATGGGTGTGCTGATCCCTGCGGCGCGGATCGCCTTGATCACCGGTACGACACGGGCGGTTTCCTCTTTCTCGTCCACCTCGACCGCATTAGGTGCGGTGCTCATACCACCTACATCGAGGATATCCACGCCTTGAGAGACCATACTGGTAGCCGTCTTGATCGCTGCTTCGACGTAGAGATTGTCGCCTCCGTCCGAAAAGGAGTCGGGAGTGGCATTGATGATGCCCATTAGGTAGGTACGCTCGCCCCACGTCCAGAAGGCAGCAGCAGAAGCAGATCCATCTTGCTCGCCCACACTTGCTGATGCTGCCGACGCCCTGTTCCTGCCGAGCGGCATGACCCGCTTGACGTCTGCAGGCTCGTACTCTTCAGAATTGACAAGGAGGTTGAGCAGCTGTTGCACGCTCCTCCTGGACGTCGGGTGCGCATACTGAGGTAAAATGTCCGCCAGTGGCCTCAACACAAATTCTCGCTCCTTGACTCCAGGATGTGGGATGGTGAGTCGCTCCGTGCTCATCTCTAGGCGGTCGTAGAAGACGATGTCGAGATCTACCCTACGCGGGCCCTTGATGGGTACACCACGCTTATCTCTTCCCAGCTGCACTTCAATGGACTGCGTCAAATCCAGGAGCCTCTCGGGGGAGAGACGCGTAGCGATCCGGCAGGCGCCATTCAGGAAGGAAGGCTGATCGGTGTAGTACATGGGAGATGTGTCGTAGAGGAAGGAGGTGTCGATCAATTTGCAGTCTGGAGAAGAGCTAAGGGCTTGCACGGCTCGCTCAATGTTGAGGGCTCGATCGCCTAAGTTGGAGCCGAGGGCAATGGCTGCTACGTGCCACTCGGACGTGGAGGTGGGCGAAGAAGGCCTTGTCGTTGCTGCTACAGTCGGCAGAGGAGCAGTTGTGGGCTTTGCAAATCCAGAGGCCGCTGGCAGAGCTTCACCTCTGCCCAAGTCTTCATTCTCGAAGAAGCGCCAGTCCCTCTCCACCTCGCAGCCAGCAGCATCTGCGAACATGATGGCACTGGGCTTGTCTACCCTCACCCGAATTTTGGGTACCCGATTGCGCACAACGGCCACTCTTGCGATGCTCAGGGCGAGCGACTCGACGGTCTTGTAGTTGGTACTCTCTATATGCTCTGTGATGGCTCGCACAATAGTACGGTAGTTCTGTGGACTGGTAACGGTGTCCACCGTCGAAGGGACCTTGTGAGATCGCTCTAACCCACTGAAGACGGTGAGATTGACCTTGACTACCTGCTTGTCTACGCGCTCCCAGGGGTTCACTCCCAGGATCGTAGTAATGAGAAGGTCCTTGACCACCACCTTGTCCTCGATGGCCGAAACGGAGTCAGGCGCAAGACTGAGAGTATGCAAGTCTGCTACATCCTCGCCATGCTTAGCTGGAGTCCCGTCGGAATGCTCAAAGTCTTCTGCTACTCGGAAGATTTCAACTCCTGCGGAGCGGGCGTGCAGCAGAGAGCGGGGCTTCTGGACCTTGAGTGTTACCTTGGGCGCTTTGCACACGAAGAGGCAGACCTTGGCGATGCCGTCCTGTGGATCGAGGAGGGAGTCTTCGTCAGCAGATGACTTTGTGGTTCAAAAGACTCTGTGATGTACTCACAGCCAAGCCCTCCAAGCTCCTGTATCTCCTCCCGCCCTCTCTCCCCGCCTCTTCACAATGCTTCTCCACCTCCTTGACCAAGATGCCATAATGAATACTATAAGGCAAATGATCGCTCCTCCCCGCTTTACTGACATCCGTGTGGACCTGTATGTCTAAGGTGACAGGCTGATGCGGGGTGAGACGCTCCCATGAGTCGACGCCGAGGGGAATGCGCACGGAGAGTTGAGAGATGTGTAGCGAGTCAGGCAGTAGGGGTTGTGGAGCAGACGAGCTCGAGGCGCTGGATGTCATCCTGACTGCTGGAAGCTGGCTTGTGAGATGTCTAGAGGCTCTCTGTCTAGTGTGAGAGAGATAAAGACGAGTCAAAGTAGAAAAGGATGCCAGCGAATGTCTGGAAGAAGAGAAGAAGCCGCTACTGCTGCTAGCGTGTGCAGATGAGCCAAGAAGATGTGTCCGCAACGCACGAGATAGAGGTCGAAGGAGTGTAGGAGCTGCGGAGTGCCGTAGCATTGCCTCAGCGAGAGTATGTAGCAGAGCAGTATCGGGAGACCATGCTGATGAGAAGATAGTAAGGCGGACTCGTAGGCAGTGTGCAAGGTGAAAGGTAGAGGCAGGGCGAGGGTCCTATCCACCCGCCCTTTATTTCTACGCAGCCGCTTCCGAATGCTTGGTCTGCCCCGCCCAAAATTCTTCTGGGCCAAGCCAGGCGAGGTGGAGACGCGCCCAGGCGGGACAGACGACGGCAGACGGGAGAAGAGCATGAGTGTACACTCCCTCTCTGAGCACTCGGGCAAAAGCAAAGAGCAGAAGAAATGCTATTTTGGGTCTGACCCCATGAACAAGACTAGTAGTACATGGGCTCACATCGCCGAAGCAAGTGAGAGACAGAAAGAACAGAGCGGGGGAGAGAAAAGACTTCGGTGTGGGTTGTGAAGAATTGTAGACAAATTGGAGAAACTCGCAGCGCATGACCATCGGGGTACGAGGGGGGAGGATAGCCATTCAACCATTTCATTTGACACTTCCTAGGTGGAATCCCAGCATTGACTGTGCGAGAGACCGCCTGAAAGAGACCAACTCTTCGACCAAGCAGAAATGGAGCCGAACGTGCGAGCTGTCTAGACGACGTTTTGTGAGGGCCACGAAGAGGAAGAGGAGGAGCAGAGATTGCGGACCTTGCCTCTACGTAGCACCACCACCACTAACTTCCTACTACCACGGACACCGGAAGCTTAGTCCCAGGAAGAAGAGGGCTGCTGAGCGCTGCCAGCAACACCCTCGGCGGGGGCACCGGCCTCGCTCTGAGGTCCGGCATCGGCAGCCCAGTTCTGCACATTGTCCTCGGCGGCCCAGTCGACGTTCTCGTTGACGTTGGGGATGTTGGCAGCCAGAGTGGGGTTCAGGGTACCAGCAGCGGAAGCGTCGTAGTCGAGGTTGTCAGCAGCACCGACCTCGGCACCACCCTCCTGACCAGCGATGCCAGAGGCAGCGGCAGCCTTGGCGGCAATGGCCTCCTGCTGCTCACGCTCAACCTCTTCGGGGTCACGGTAGAAGAACATGTCCACCATGACGTTCCAGCCGTCGGGTCCGTAGCCGGCCTGGCCTCGCAGACGGAGGACCTGTCGGCAGAGGAGCCACCAGAGGAGACCAACAGACTTGACGGACTTGTTGTTTCCGGGGATGGCTACGTCAACGTGGCGCAGGGGAGCGTCAGTGTCGCAGAGGGCAATGACGGGGATGTTGACGTACGAGGCCTCACGAATGGCCTGGTGGTCCACACGGGGGTCGGTGACGACAATGACTCGGGGCTCCTTGAAGGACTTGGTGATGTAGTTGGTGAAGGAACCGGGGGTGAATCGGCCGGCGATGGGGGTAGCACCGGTGTTGGCGGCGTACTTGAGCACGGCACGGTGAGAGAAGACTCGGCCACCAACGATGACGACGTCGGCGGGGTTCTCGACAGCGGCGATGATTCGGGCAGCGAGGACGAGCTTCTCCCAGGTCTTTCCGAGGTTGATGAGGTGGATACCGTCAGCACGCCTCTTGTAGACGTAGGGCTCCATGGACTTCATGACATTCTTGGAACCGATGTGGGTCTGGGCGCTGAGGAGGAGCTCAATGTCCTCCTGGGTAGCGTTCAAGATCGATGGGAGCTTCGACATATTGAATGTATGTATATGTGGGAGGATGTGGGAGTGTTTGAATGGATGAGACGAAGTGTGGTCGCAATGATCTTCTCTTCACAAAAGATGATTGCAAAACGTGTAAGGGAAAAAAGGATAGGTACGAAGGACTGGCGGTAGCGGCACAAGTAAATCGTCCGCCGCCCCTGCGCCTGCGCCTCTGCCCGCGTCCGTCTCACGCCTAGCGCCGACTGCGACCGTAGTTGCCGCGCAATGTCCTGACGCGGAGTTTGAACACGACGCGGAAGTAGGACCTAGAGGCTTCAGCCGCACCGTTCCGCAACGGATACCACCTCCTACGCGGCAGGCTGAACAGCAGGGAAATGTCGACAATGTGAGACAGAGATGATATGGTATTGAAATGCTAATTGCAGAGGGTATGTCAACATGGCACGACGAACAATAGCATAGTACAATTTTTCCCCGCCTGTACCCTCTCTAGCTCAGAACAAGTCGGCCAGACCCTTGCGCTTCTTCTTTGCCTCCACCGCTGCACTCGCCCTCTTGCTAGCAGGTACAATGTTCTTTGCTCCGCCAGCGTTACCCTTCTTCTGTGCCAGCGTCTTCTTACTGCTGGTCTTGCCATCGTCAGAGTCAGATGATGAATCCGAAGAAGAGGAAGAGGCAGACTCGCTGCCGGACTCGTCATTGTCTGCATCGTCTGGCCCTTCGTCGTCATCGCCATTTGCCGCAACAGGAGCAGCCAGATTCTGACCCCTTGTAGCCACGACAGGAGTACTGGCCTGAGAGGATGCTGCACTTTCATTGGGCTGTTGACGCCGCCTCAGGAGCACCGAAGCGTCCAATTCGCTCAGGCGAGGCATGGACAATTTCGGCCTTCGACCCGAAGCAGGCTGTGAGGCGCTGTGATTTGCCCCATTGACGCTCCTGCCACCGATGCCGTTGGGCTGCGTCATTGCCGCCTTGGTGCCATTGACGTCCTGCGAATTCCGATTAGACTGAAAAAAGTTGAAGGATGAGAAGATGCCAGACGATCGAGGAGCTTGAACCGGCTCAACGGGAGCGCGTGCAGGAGAAGCAGGCTTCATGCTGAACGTGCTGATTGGATCAGCTTCCTCTTCCCGATCTGAAAGCATGGCAGTCGATGATGACGCTGATGTCGAAGCGACGTCTTCTTCCTCATCGTCCAAAGCCTTGTCATCCTTTGAAGCGGCAGAGTTGATCGAAGAAGCGGCAGAGTTTGAACGAGAGCGTGTGTGAGAAGAGGCCGATGAGGAAGAGTCAGCCTCCTGCGCAGCGCCGGAACCATTTGCAGCTCCATTCACAACCTGCGTAGCCTCGGTCTCGTCTTCTTCCCCGCTTTCAGACTGATCCGCGCCACCCGCGTCGTCTTCTTCGCTCGCCTCCTCTTCGTCGCTATCTGACTTTGCCTCCTGATCTTCTCCAGCATCATCCTCGGCTGCCGCTTCTCCACCCTGCATCTCCTCATCTGAGTCGTCTGAGTCGTCAGAAGTTTCCGAGCCTGAGCTTGAGGAGCTGGGCAAACGCATTGCCGCCTGGCGAGTGATACGCCGTGAAGGCGCCTGAGAAGGATCCGGTAGCGTCAAAGCAGAAGAAGGAGGAGCCGTCGATACCTGTGAGAGTTGAGCATCGCCGTTCTTAGCGATAGCTTCGCCGTTTGCTGAGGTCAGATTAGCAGTTGTCTTGCTAGTAGGACTTCCCGCCTGACCACCTCGCTTCACAGGCGATCGTGGAGTAGGCCTTGGACCTTCTGCGGCCGACTCAAGCTCGTCGTCAGCATCGTTTTCAGTCTCCGTCACGGTCGGCTGAAGTGTTTGTGACCGACGCCGAGTGATCCGGGGCGAGGTAGTAATCATAGGAGGTGGCAAGGGCTGCTCATCAATTTTTTCCGTTGCTTGCTCAATGGGTACGCTGCGCAGGATTGGGCTCGTCTCGACGTCGTCCTCTGAGTGCTCGGAGAGCGGTGTCCTCAACCCAACGCGAGCTTTGTGACTGCCCACAGTAGGGCTTGCAGTCTTGGTGGCGCTGGTGTCGATGGTCTGTGCAATGTCAGAAAGACTCTTCCGACCTTTGGTATTTGGGGGAGGGGGATCTTCTCCTTGCGTGTCGCTGCTGACCGCTAACCTCTTCGGACGTCCTCTGGGCTTGCTCGTAAAGACCGGAGGCGGTGCAGTCAAGCGTTCACGCTCGTTTTGAGCTTCGGTGACGTCGCCCTCCCTCTGCTGTGCAGCAGATGGTTCAGCACCGTCGGAAGAAGTCGGAACAGGCGATTTCTGCGAAATCGACACGCGCGGTGATCTCCTGAGCTCTGGTTCCGGAATCATCACATCCAGCTCAGGAGCTCGAGGAGGCCGCTGGAGGTTCATCTTCGTGGCAAAATCAGACAGCTCCGAGTCTAGCTCCTCCAACTCTGCGGTCTTCTGCTTGAGCGTATTTTGATTCCTCGTCAGATGGTATTTTGCTGCGCCATGCAAAGTCTCTCCCCGAGTTTCTCGCGCAAGATACGCCCTGACTTTGTCTTGGGCCGCGGCGCAATCTTTGCGAATCTTGTTCCATTTTGTCTCCCGTTGCTTCAACTGTCGTTGAGCTTGGCGTTCGGCGACCTTCTGACTTCGGGGAGGTTCTCCGTCAGGAGCGTCGGTCGGCGACACATCATCTCTATCAGGTACTTCAGCCATGGGTACCGCATCGCTTGTCTGCGGCCCTGACGGAGCCGTCGGTTCAGCCCCTGCCTCGTCAGTCACGGGTACCACCGGCGTGACATGGGCAGCAGCTGGACCCGGGAGCTGCGATTGCCTCTGCTCCATCTCTTGCGTCGCTGCCAGCTCATCCTGCTCCTCATCAACAGGCTGTTGCATCCCAGCTTGCGCTGTCGTCTCTCCCGAACTTACAGCCTCATCAGCTTCATCGTTGACAGCCGTGTTGACTTCTGGATATGTCGCATTCAAGGCCGGCGGAGGCGAAGACGATGTCGGAGCTGGCGCTGAGGCTCCTGAGGAAATGGCGGTGGAATTTTCTGGGACCATACTGGCAGCAGATGTCACAGGCGCTACTGCTTTTGCTGGAGCTGTCACCTGAACGTCAGCAGGCGGAGCTTTGTCATCCTTGCCGCCCCCAGAGTGATTGTTATTTGGATCTGAAAGCGCCTTGGCGTTCGCAATGACAGCCTCAAGGTCCTTGATTGCTGCCTTCTGCCAAGCCTTCGTTCTCTTCAGTTTCTTGAGATTCTCAAGTTGCTGTTCCGCGTACGGCAGCCCGCCTTCTATCAGGTCTGGACATATGTAACAAGGATGGAAAGTTTTTGCCTTGCAGATACCGCAAGGCGCTTGGGCAGCAATGCATCCCTCTACCCACTTTTTGCTGGCAGATGGCCCCTTTTTGAGTTTTGCTGCCTCAGCTTTGCTCACAGTCGTGGGATCAACCATCGTCAGCGGGGCGGATACTGAGGGCATCGGTTCACGATGCGCAGAGGCTGGTGCTAGCGCAGTAGATGCGGAGGGCGTCGGCTCAGGCTGCAAAGGGGTTGGGGAAATACCTGGTGTCGCAGTGTTTGGCAGCAATGCAGGAGCGATGTTTGGTGATCCTGAAGCAGTAGAAGCAGAACTTGCGGTATACTTGGCTCTGAGTGAGGGCGGGACGTATGGCTCGGATTCGGGTGCTGATTTAGCAGGCGGAGGTGCTGGTCTCTTGACCGGCAAGATGGGGGGCGGCAGTGCTTGCGAGGGCTGCGAGGTAGCCGCCCTATCCGTTGGTCGAGTAATAGTAGCATTGGTGGAAGTGCTCGCCTTCGTGGAAGGCTTTTGCTTTGGCGTCGATGCCATCGGAGGTGCTTTCAGGGCTGCCTGTGCGACAGATTGCTTCACATACGGAGGCAACATCGAATTGTGAGCAGGCGATGGACTGGTCGAGGCCGACAATCGCGCTGCTAGCGGGTGCTGCTCCGCTGGGATGATATCGACGGTGATCACGGTGGATTCTGCCCTGCTCCGCAGGACGCGAAGTTTGAAGGCCCGGAAGTCTTCTTCGTCTTCCAGGACTACACTTCCACCGAGAGGACTCTCGGAGGAAAGGCGGAAGGCTGACGATTTACCAAGGTGGAATTTAGTCCTGACGTGTTCCTGAGCAGTGTCAAGGGATGGTACGCTATCCAGGACTCTCTCGAATTGAGAAGATGAGGATCTCAGCCGAAAGGTTAAAAGCGCCGTCTTCTCTAGATCGTCTTCCAACTTCATCCTCTTCTTTGGCCCTTGAGCGAGTCTGCTCTCTTCGCGACTGTCATCCGAGTCACTCGCGGAGGACTCGTCGGTTTCGGCTCGAGAACGACTCCTATCTGTAGAGCCTTTACCATGGCCGCTCACGGCTGGTCTGTACGGAGAGGCAGACCGGTCTCGGTGACGAGATTGGGAGCGAGCCCTCTTGCGTTGTAGTTGCCGCTCCTCACTTCTTGACGCCACATTATGAGCTGTAGTAGCTGTTTCGTTCCTGACATCTCGTGGTTCTTGTCTAATAAAGGACGCGGAAGGCTCGTCTTCCGTGCGCCGCCCGCTGATGCTCTGATCGCGGTCACGCTGCTTTGCTTGAAGTTTCTTCTGCCTCCTGGCCTGGCGAATCTTGCGCCTCCGCTCTTGCTCTTCGGACGTCCGTGAGGTCTGCAGAGATCGCGAGGAGGCTTCTGCTATCGAAGCATCCGGTGAAGAGCCGAAAGGCGGCATCTTGCGTAGCCGGGCAGCCGAGGGGAATGTAAGCTGAAAAGATGGTCTTGGTTTTGCAGGAGCAAAAGCGGTAGTATCTCCAGCGTCTGTCCAAAGTTCGCGGCGGACAATTAGAGCTGCTAGAGTCTAGCCCTATAGACAGGAGTCTCGAACAATTCGTTACGAGATGTATGAGATGTGATACAGTCTGGGCCGAGACGCTCCTCTCGTAGCCTGACGAATGGCTTGGGAAGAAGGAGCAAGCGGGCCTTGGAGCAGCTCTGACGATTGCTACGAAGGCGTACGGCACAGCTCTTCGCCTACTTCTTATTGTAGGAGTCTGATACGGCTCTACAGCTGCCTGGAGTCATTGATCAAGTGTGAGCCTAGGAGTGTACCACACAGCGGCTGCAATGACGGCGAAGAAAGGCGAGATGGTAGCAATGCACGAATGGATCGATTGTCCCACACGCCCTGGGGGCCAAAAAAATCCGACTGGCGCCTGCGAGGCGACTCCGCCTTTCCGGTCGCGTGAGATTCTCTGCCCAGACCGCTCCTCCACGCAGAGCGGACCGGCGTACAGCATACAGATACGGACAGTGCGCACCACAGACAGGACGAACAATCGCAGTCTCGTGCTAGCAGTTCGTACTTATATACGACAAGTTTGAAGTTGTGTCTGTGATCAGTCACTGCCCGCCTCGTGCATTCCGGAGAGAGGTGGCACTTTGGCTCCCAAACGACCCTATCAGCAAAGGCACCTCGGGCTCACCCTTAGAGGACACCGAGTCGCATCCAAACGACTGCCATTTGTGCTGGGATGTGTGTAGGCGGCAAGCACTTATACTTCGGAGCCGGACCACTTTGAGGAAGGTCGATCCCGTAAAGGTCGCAAAGAGGACCCCTGCAAAAAGCTTGGCATTCTGAACTACTCACGGAATACCATGTCTCGAATTGCTTCATTACGTCGGAGTCGAGGTAAGATTGATCGTGGCGCCGTGCTGCTGGTGTGGAGGATGTGATTAAGAGGCAATCTTCTCCTTGCCAGGCCAGCGTCTCTCGCACAGGACACCACCGCGAGGTTGCTCTCTGCTCAACGGCATGGAGGGAGCCATCGCCAACAGCATGTTTGACCTTGAATGAGACCGTCTCACAGCTTTGTTCAGATGTGTCATACGAGGACCCGAACGCTGCTGAACGGCTCTAGGGCCTCATGGGCGCCAACGGTGTTGACTGATCATGCACTTTCCCACACTGTCGTCGATTCTTCTGGACATCGAACCTTCCACTGTCGCTCGCTGACCTTCCATTCTTTCACATTACACGTACACTCTCACCGCTGTCCACCACGACGCGCTACACTGGTGGCTATCGCTTGCCTTGGTCACAGCCCAGCTTCTCGCTTCACGAACCCCGACTCCTTCGACTACCACCCTCGATTGAACATTGGGGATCGCTTTGCTCCAATCAGACACGGGACGCCGACCTTGTGTGTCCGGCTGCAAAGCGAAGACGAAAGGGGGGTGCAGACGCTTCCATCAATCGACTTCTTCGGAGCACTTTGTTGACTCCTGCTGCAGGGAAGACGGCGGTATCGCTGCATAGCTGGTTCGACAACCGAAATTGCCTTTGCTTTTGCCTTTACTTGGTGCGCCGCCTGCCCCAAACGAGGCTCAGACCAGAAGCCAAGCGAGGTCGGTTGCGCGAATCGCTTCCTGACAAGCGAAAGGTTTGTGATTCGCCATCCTCCTCCGCGGCTCAAGTCATCTAGCAGACTTAATTGACCCTCGAGGTGTACATTGAGATTCAGCACTGGCCTTCAGCATTCACGCCTCGGTTGATCGATCGACGACGACGAGGGAGGCCAAGAGTGCAGAGGTGCTGGGGTGCTTCTTCGAGCAGCCTTCCATTCGATCGTCTCCGAGAGGCGCAGGTCCAAATTTGCATTGACAAGTGTGTGTGCATAGTGCAGACACTGAGACAAGGATCAAAGCCACGCGGCCCCTCCTCCCCCAATTGCAGATTTTTCTCCCGTGCGCCTCACCGACGCCCTCCCGCCCGCCCCCTGATCGAGGTGGTTCGGCTCGGCCGGCTGGTGCAATCAAGGGTTTCACTTTAGACCCCTGGCGTTGCTTCCAGGAGGCCCTCTATCAGCACGGCCCCCTGTCCATCTCTGCATCTCTAATTGGCAGAGATCCTTCTCCGCCTGCCTCATCGGAGACATCCAATTGGGCGCCACGGCGATCCGAAGTATCCCCTGCGCATACCAACGCAACTGCAGTGCAGCTGAGTCTCTCTCTCTGCCCCCAAGACCTCGTTTGTTTGTGGGTAAAAGGCCCTTCTGGCTAGCGGAGGTAAGTGGGATCTTATGCGAGGGACGAGTCGATGGAGACAAAGGGTCAGAGGCACACAGAGAGAGGGGGAGAGGGAGAGAAGCGAGATTTGCAGCAAGTCCCGTTCTCAGCATCCCTCTCCCACGCTTCAGATGCGATAGTAAGCTCGTTGGCTCGCTCTCCCACCCTCTTCGTCACTGCCCGCCTAGACTCGCGTATATCGTAAGCAGGTAGGGCTGAGGGATCGTGGTAGGCTCCGGCGGGAAGCGAGGGCTGAACACTCGTTAATCGTCGGGCGGGTGATCGGCCGGGAGGGAGGGGGAGGGGGGGCTTTATGGCCCGCTGCACGACGCCCGCGGGCTTTGGTGCCGGCGCAGGGCGTACGGGAAAGATCTTCTGGACCTCGAGGCGCAGGAGCCAGCCAGCCAGCCAGCCAGCCAGCTATGCGGGACCCTTGTGCCTCGTTTGGCTAGGTGGTGCCGGGTGCTGATGCTGCACAGCGTAGGCCCGGTTGGCTTTGGGCAGCGGGCCGGAGGGGGGAGGGGGCGGCTGCCGGGGGGTGGGGGGAAGGAGGCGCTTCGCCCTGCAGGCGAGGCTGGGCGGGAGAAGAGGTGTGGGTGCCTTCTGCTGCAGACCCGCTTTTGCAGCTCAGCTGGCTTCGCCTCTTTCCGAAGCGACGCCGCCACTTTCTTGGCCATCTGATGTGCGTCGAAACATATTTGTTTGTAACAAGCGGGAGGCGGAGGGGGGCTTTACGCTCGACAATCGAAACTCCTACGAGGACCGACCACCACCACCGCCGCCGCCGCCGCCGCCGCCTCATCGAGGTAGAGGCTGCCCGTCGTAGTCACCTCCTCCCTTGTCCCTCCTCGTTCCACGACGGTAGCCCTTCGACAGGAGTGCATCCATCGATGGGTCCTCTCATTTCCGTCCTGATTCCATGCACCACTGGCTGACCCAGTCTAAACGGCCGACGCCACCTTTCTGACTCGACCCTTACCATACAGGAGGTCGTGTGCAGAGACGGTGCCAACCAAACGACTGCTAGGCCATACGATCCGCAACATCCTGCTCCTCATCCTTTTCGTACCGCTCCTCCTCACCGTACCTCGTCATCATCCAACCGCTCGAGACCTTACCGTAATCTCGTCATCCTTCTCCTACCAAAGTCCACCTCATCTGCCAGGCAACGCCATAGCGAGGACCTATCCATCAACCCTTCGAGCAGAGCCTCTCGCCATCTCTGCCATACAGACCTATTGCTTTGCAAGCATCTGCTACCCCATTACAAGGTGAGCAGGCAGAGTAAGAGAGCGGAAGGCCATTCTTCCTGCCTATCTTGCCATAGGCGCCCCTGCTTGCCCGCTGCAATCTGGAGGTCTGATCCAGCGGCAAGGTCGAGGACGAAGCGTCCGCACCTTGTCAAGCACGGTCGAGCAAGCATCGAGTGCCTCTAGGCAAAAGACGCCGGAGGATAGAGCAGGCACAAGAAAGGCCGTACGTCTCTCCGCACCCATTACTCACACCCGCATCTCCTCTCATCTCTTGCCGCTCTTAGCCGACAGCAACGACTGGACGACATCGCCTTGGTCGGTCCGAAGCGCTTTCCTTAATCAGAATTTCATCGTCATCTTCCTCTACATTCTTATCTTCCTTTGCTCAGCTGCAGCGCCATCTTTTGCAGGGCCTACTGCTTGCCCTTGCACCTCGTCCTCCTCATCCTTGCTCACGCACGGAACGGCTGTTTCTTTCCGGCGCCCTCTCGATCCTTGAAGTGGAAGCAAATCGTTGGTTGCCAAGGCGGCATTTGAGCTGGTGAGTGCCGTTGCTGGACCCCATTGGCTGGCTGTGCAGCGATCGCCGTGGATGAAGGAATGTTGCGGTGGGCGGTTGGGTTAACACCGTGAGAATCGAAGCTCGGCGAAGCGGCCGGCGGGGAAATGAATGTAAGGGAGGATTGAGCATACTGCTTTGTCGCTCCCTCGCTTGTCTGGCGTTGCTACGTTGCTACCAGGCAACGCATTGCACAGATGAGCGGCCGCGGGGCGCCGATCACGGTAGCAGGGCAGCAGAGGACTGGGTGCACTCAGCGTTACACTCGGTCCCGCGGCTGGAAGACACAGCCACCTCCGTCTTGGGCCACGGATATTGGTTTGCTCTTTGCTGCCATGTTTCCGCAGCCGCCCGGATGATCCCTATCCGGACTCCAAGTCCGAGGTCTTGGCGGGGAGTCGCAGCTCCTTGGCCCTGGACTCCATTGCAGCGGCGACGATGACCATCTCGTCGTTTGCCCCTGCCACACCAGAGCCTCAGCTTCCGGAGCACAAGACGACGACGACTGACCTCCTCCCTCCTTCTCCCCTCTTCTCCTTTCTTCCCATCCCACTCCCTCCTCTCCACCTGGCACTGACATTGCTGACCTCCTCGTGCCAATATCCTCACCTCACCTCAACCAATTTTCCCCATCTCCTCGCGTCATCGTCATCGTTACCCACCATCGCTACTGGCTCCCTCCCGACATGTCCGACCTACAAGTCTCTGCCACTCGTCGCAACTCGGCGACTCCTCACTCCCTCACACGAAGCCTCCGGCCTCGATCGTCAAAGACATCGGCCCGCGACAAAGTCAGCCGCCGCATTTCAGTCCCGAGCAGGCAAACAAGCAGCGACACCCTCGTCATCGAAGACAGACATAGCCAGGAAGATCGAGCTCAGCCTTCTGCTACTCGCCCTTCACCTCCGTCTTCCCCCACCCCTGCTTCATCTACATCGCCTTCGGTCTACGATCAAACGTCGATGGCAACGGCGTCGGCTAAACCACACCTAAGGCCACAACATCATCACCCTCCTGATCTGCCGTACGACTCCGTACCGGCTCACAGGCCTCGAGGAGTCCATCTCGATCTACCTAATACATATCACATCGCACCTCAGCTCAACGAGAGGCATCACACTGCATCTCGTACGCCCGAGTCGCCCTTGTCCTCTTCATCGGCAGCCTCGGGCGCACCGAGTCATCGTTCGTCAAGAACCCCATCACGACCACCGTCCTTCCGCCGAGGACAGTACCACTCGGACGGTCACACTACGCAACTGTTGCGGGAAGAACAGTTAGGACAACATCGGGACCCTGTCCACCCCGCCATCATGGAGGCAGGCGAAAGTCCTCATCGGGAGTCCGAGGACAGTGCTGGTCCTTCCGTAGAAAGATCATCTGCAAGTAAGTCTGAGAGCGACAGAGGTAGTCGCAGAGGTGCCGCGCTCCAGAGCCCAGCTGTCAAGAGGACACATTCAGAGGTGTCAGTCGGAAGCGAAGGAGGCAGGAATGCATCTGGAGGGGAAGAGACTCCTTCCAGAGCATATTCGGATGACCCTCGAGGGGAGGGTATCCGTAAACAAGCAAAGATAGAGGGAGGTGCTGAGCCATCGTTTCCTGGATCGCCAATGCGAGGCTCCTCATATACCCTTGATCAATACCGAGAACCTCGCGAACCAAGGTCCGCCGCTGCGCCAGGAGGCAGCGATCGCAATTACGTTTGGCAACCACCGGGCGCTCAACAAGCTTCGGGCAGCTTGATGAGCATCACAAGTCTCAGCAGTCCGACAAGTCGACAAGGCAAAGTTGAAGGCAGTAGCAGTGGCACCCAGCCTTCCATCTTGCCTTCACCCGGCCAATTGGGTCGGTCCAGGGCAATGCCGTCAATTGAGAGCCGGCTACCTGGAATTGCAAGTCTAAGTCAGCGTCCGACATCTCCTCCACCGCAGGTGTCCAGGATCAACGCATCCAGAAGCTTTGTTGCTGCTCCACCAGGGCAGAGCAACGTCAGCGCAACAGGCATGACTGCGGGACCACCTTCCTCAAGTGCTGGTCGGAGCCTCAGCCACTTCACACCTGGGCACCGTCAACATCTGTCACTCCAGACCTCTGGTATTGGAGGCCCGTCTGGCAGGCCCGGCGGCCATCAGAGCTTTTCATCGCTGAGTCAAGCTCCGGGACCAAGTCAAGGAGGACCCATCAGTCCTGTCTTCTCTCTCGCATCTGCGGGTGCAGGTTGTCCACCTATTCACCCCAGTCTTATTGGTCTACCAGGCTCAGGCACTGGTCCAGGGAATAAGCAACAGCCGTCGTTTGTCGCAAAGCTCTACTCGATGCTGGAAGATGAGACCATCTCGAACATGATCTCGTGGGGCCCAACAGGCGACGTCTTCTCGGTCTCGAATCCTGCTGAATTCTCGCGTCTGGTCTTGCCTACATGGTTCAAGCACGCCAATTGGCAAAGCTTCGTCAGGCAGCTGAACATGTATGGCTTCCACAAAGTCAACCATACCTTTTCTGGTCTTCCAAACGAGGAAGTACAGATTTGGGAGTTCAAGCACACATACTTTCGCAAAGGCGAAGTAGGCCTTTTGAGCGAAATCAAGAGGAAAAGCTCTCGACACAAGCGGGGTGGTAGCCATTCGCAGAGCTTCAGCGGAAGTGTTGCTGGCTTTGACTTCGGCGAGGGCAGCGGAGGAGGTGCTGTCGGTGGCCGAGGCAGGAGCGAGAGTGAAGGGCCCATGGACTACGAGGGCGGCGCTGGGATGACCTCAGGACCTAGCGGAAGCTCACTCGGCCTCAACACCACCTCGGGTAGTAGCAGCGGCGGCCAGTACACCTACTATCAAGGAGCACCATCTGGCGTCACCGGACCCGATCCACGTTATGCCAGGCCTGGAGTCCCTGCTGGTGGCGGTGGTGGATGGGAGAGTGTGGACGCTGCAGACCACCCACCTCCACAGGCGTTGCTTTCGAGCTCGAGAGTGACATCCATCCCGGCTAGATATCGCAGTCTGACCGATGCGGACAAGAGGGCTCTTCAAGCCGAGCGGGCTCTTGAACAGGTGATGAGAGAAGGAGAGGCCATGAGGACTGAAGCATCCCTAGCTCGATCGGCAGCAGAAGGAGGTGCAGTTGCCATGGAAAGAGGAGCGGTGCATGGTCCCTCATCTTCAAGTGCCGGCATGAGCCGCGTGGGCCTACCTGGACCTCACCGCAAGTCAGTCAGTATGCAAGGAGCTCCCAGTCTTGGTCCTCCCGTCGCAGTCGGAGCAGCACCTCCGCCTCCAGGTGCTCAAGAATATCTCGCCGCAAGGGTGGAAGATCTCTCGGATCGCATCGACTCCCTTATCCGTCACTCGGACTACCTCGAAGGTCAAGTCCGGACCCTCTCTCAAGAACTACTCCAGGCCTACGAGCGCGAAGGAGCTAGCAAGCGCTGGACGCTCAGGGTAATGCATCGCTTGGCCACACTAGCCGAGACGGTTGGCACGGGTGCCGAGAGCGAGGAGAGCAGGAGGAGACTCATCGACATCTGTCGCAGCGAAATTGCTCAGCTGGCAGAAGTGAGCAGGATGGACATTCCATCCCCTGTGGATCGGGCGGGAACTCCCCGCGATGCGAGAGACTTGGAGGGTGGAGGAAGACCGGCTCCAGGCAGTGTCACGCCCAGTGCTAGGAGACACTTCAACGCCTATTCTACCTCGGGGACATCCTATGGAGCGGGTCCAGCGGGGCCACCACAGCCGAACACAGGCGCCAGCGCAGGTACGCAGCGCTCAGCAGTCACGCCTTCGTACACGCCACGCAATCCGAACCTACCAGGCTCGGTAGCGATGGTTCGTTCTGGTGGTGCTGGGCTGGGGGGAGGAGGAGGGGAGATGCACTTGGGATCACCATTGAGGGAGAGCCCAACGGGGAGAAGGGGAGTACCTGTCCCGCTCAGCGCTGCAAGTGCTCAGGGAAGTGCGGCAGGAGCGGGGGGAAGTTACCCACCTATACTCGGGCAGGGAGCACGTTCTGCACCCGGTCTTAGTCAAACGAGTCAAGCAGCACAAGGGCAAGCACAAGCACAAGGACTGGGAGGATCAGCTCCTGGAGCTGGGGCTGGGGCTGGGGCTGCTGCTGGACCAGGACCAGGACCCGGGCAAGGGCCAGGGCAAGCACCAGGACAGGGACAGGGAGCCCTTGGAGGAGGCTGGTCTTTCCCTCGACGATAGTGGCTTGCTGTACATACGAGGTGGGGCGAGTAAGGCGCGACACGAGTTTCTGGCCGGTCCATCCTGTCCATACAACCGCTCTCCTCCCTCCCTCCCTCCCTCCCTCCTTCATCTCCTCCTGCCTCTCACACGGTACATATGCCCTGTACACCCTCTGTGCCTCCATCTCTCTGTCTCTCTGCTTTGCTTGTATAGGCTCCCCTCATCTCGCCGTCTCGCCGCCGCTGGCCGTGGCTGTGGCTGTGGCTGTGGCTGTGCCGCCCGTCGATGTGCTATCGTGTCATGTCGCTACCGTGTCCCCTCATCCAATCCAGTCCAATCCAATCCAGCCATTCTTCTCTCCATGTTGCATCATGTCACGTCATATCGTGGCGCTATGGCTATCGCTATGGCTACTGCTACGTCTGTCTTTACCAGTGTAACAAATGTCACGAGATGACTGCAGGAAGGAGCAAGGAGTCAGCGGACGAGCGGATGAGCGCACGAGCGGACTGACGAGTTAGTATAGCGGCCTTCTTCCCTCCCCTCCCCTCCCCTCCCCTCGATCACTACGCGGCGCAACGCAACGCAACGCAACCTCTCGATGAGCTGGTGAGCTGGTGAGCTGGTGAGTGCGTTGGTCGATCGGTCGATCCCACATTTCGGGAGTCGGTGAGTCGCTGAGTCGGTGGGTAAGTGAAATCCGTGAATCGGACTGATCCGATCACTTGGTGGAGGTGGATTGCAACGAACAGACGAAGAGAGGAAGGAAGGAAGGAAGAGAGGAAGGAAGGGACGAGGTGCAGGCGTCTCACTGCTAGGACATCCTGGAAGGACACTGGCTCACCACCACCTCACCACCTCACCACCTCTTCAGCTCCTCAGCTCCATCTCTCATATCATACATGTGGGGGCTGTATATGTATGTATGTATGTCTACATTACCGCTACCGCTACCGCAACCGCCGTCGGTACTGCTACCGGAAGCTCGGCAGCGGCACAGTGGATGAGAGTACAGATGCAAGCCGACTCGGGGACTGGCTGACCGAGCGAGCAAGAGCCAGCAAGCTAGCAAGCAAGCAGTCGCAGCTCCAGTCTATTCTGCGAACCTCCTGCTCCTTTGGCCCCTCTCCCGCTCTCGCTCTCGCTCTCGCTCCAGAGTCCATCTAACGACTGCAGCCTCTCTACTTCTTGGTCCTGGCTTCCAGCATGGCCCTCACGTGTCCAGCGCCGGCGACCATGCACACGCTGTGAGGAGAAAGGAGAAGGGATAACATTAGCATCTGCACCTCCCTCGTCTTCTTTACTTTTCGCCTGTACTCACGTCTGCCACATTCCCAGTGCGATCCTCGGTGCCACACCCCTGTAGAGTCCCTTTACTCCATTCTCCTTGTAAATGTAAGCCAGCGTGTTCATAATCGTCGGCTTGGCGGGTCGGTTGGATCCGGGCTCGGCCTTGGCAAGGGACTGCATCTCCACACGGATCACCTCGATGGGCTGGTTCCAGCATCCCAGGGCTCCACCGATGGAGGAACAGAGGATACGCTCCATGGCTGAGAGAGGGTCGGTAGCCTTTTTGCCCGACATGGCTCGCACGGGCGTCTCGGCCAATTGAGCGAAACCCATCCTGAGCGGGAGGAAGAATGAGAGGACGAGGGTCAGCAGGGAATTGGGAAGCTGTTAGCGTACGCCCTACATGCCTGCTCTCTGCCTCTCTCAACTCACCGGCTACCCCAGTTGGTACACTGCCTGACGGCCACGGCATTGACACCCTTGTTGATTCCCTTGATACCTTCCCTCCTGTAAATGTCCATGAATACGGTAAAGGTTCCGGGCGGCTTGACTCCAGCGGCTGCCTGCTTGTGCCTGGTGATCTCAGCGGTCTTCATGGCAGTGCAGAATCCCATGGTAGCGTAGGCTTGGGCGATTCCTCCTCCCATACCACCAAGGAGACTGGCAGCTCCTGGACCCACGCCAGCTCCCTTTGCGACCTTGTCAATTTCGGCGGCAGTAAAGAGGAGCACACCTCCCTTTGTAGATGCTTCAATCCAGGCCTGCAAGGAGAGGTGGATCCAACATTGTCAGTCCTTGTCGTCCGTTCTGCCCGCCTGCCTGCGCCTGCGCCTGCACTCCTCTCTCTCTCCCCCCCTCCGTCTCTCTTTGGCTGGTCCACGTACCCATGGGATCAGTCCCTGGTAGAATCCATACACCCCACCGCGGGACCATACTGTGGCCAATGCCTGTGCCATGGTCTGTGATCGGTTGGAAGCCATTTGTGTCTTGATGACTTCGAGGGGCTGACCTAGAGTGGACACTTCGAACCTGTGAGCCGCGGAAGGGGTGTGGGGGAGCAGGGTGTGAGCTACTTGTGATCGTCTGACGGCATATATGCGTTCGCTCTGCCTCTCTGAGCCTGCCTCACATGTTCATGATTGCGCCGACGGCAATGTTGGACCAGGAGAAGCCTCCTTTTTGTGGGGGAGCCATTGTTGGTGTGGGAGGGGGAGGTGGTGCAAGGACAGAGGAGGGGTATGAAAGATAAGATGGGTATGTATGTGAGTGAGTGAGTGAGCGGGTGAGTCCTGTCCTTGTCGTCGTCGTCGTCGGGCGAGGTGAGGTGGTGAGGACGATGAGTGAGTGAGTGAGTCGTGCGTCTCTCCGTCTGTGGGGTGAAAGTGGGAAGAAGCAAGGACGCGGTGGGTGCGTGCGTGGTGGTGGCCTTGGCTGAGATGCCTCTGCCTCTGTCTCTGCCCTGCAGCCTTGGGGGCCAAGGGGCGAGGACCCAAGCCCTGCTTCCGCTTCCCAAGGCGCGCCTGGCTACCACTCGCGTCGCCTCTTTCCGCCCCAACGAAGAAGAGCAGACAGACACACCAAGAAAGGAGAGGAACACTCCTCGTCGCATTCATTCATTGCAATTCAAATACCACCGCCGCCATGAAGAAAGAGAGAGGCACAGGCTCCAATGTTCAGCCCTCGCTCGCCGAGTCTCTTCTTCTTACAAGGACCCCAATGACGGTGACACGCGGCGAATCCTCCTTGCGACATGCGCCACGTTTCGCAGCAGAGTGGACGAGTGAATGAATGAATGAATGACTTGCTGCCACTTCCAAGTCCCTCGCCAATGATCAATCAGACTTCATCGTCTGTAGCGGCGCCCTCTTCATCTCCCTTTCCCCCCTCGCCCTGCGTCAGCGTTGATTTAGTGGAGCAGTCCAGTGTGCACTGCCTGCCATGCGCGCCGACGGGAGCAGATTTCCTCGTGGCGCTGAGTTGGTTTTGGACTCACTCTGGCTCAGCCGCCTGCCCGCGCCCGCCCGCCCGCCCGCGCCCCTTCTGCCTCCGCTTCACCGCCTGGAGCCGGGGGGGGGCGCCTTGATCGTCGGTCCATCGTCGTCCCTTCATCATTGTTCACCCTACTCTCACACATTCACACAGCGGCAAATACACAAGGTACCATCTCACCGTACAACTTACATCTCTACCATCTACCATCACCTACTGCACAGACAGTAGTCACGCCACTACACACCGCCACACACCACCGCAGCCACCTTAGCATTCACACCTCATACTGCAAGGAGGCACACCTCACTCAGCCTCGCACTCCACACCTCGCACTCCCTGCCTCCCTTGTCTACCATCGAGCAAGACACAGAGGGATCGCATCTCATCCCTCCTCCTCCTCCTCAGTACATGTCCAACTCGCCAGCCTCCTCTTCAGCATCTGACAAGACCCTCACGCCCAGGTCCAGTCCAGCACCCCCTCTGTCCCGATCCGCCTACAAGCGCGCCACTTCTCCCTCGATTGCAGGTGGAATGGCAACGTCCTTTGCACCTTCCAGTCACCAGCAATCAGTCAACTTTCCTTCCTCTTCTTCTTCTCCTCCTCCTTCCTCAATCCGCTTCCGAGCTCAAAACCAACAGGGCAACTCCTCACCCGGCATGGCTCAATTCTCTACCGATCTGGGCTCCCCCTCTGCCTCCTCTTCCTCTACCTCCAATCGCAACATCCTCAATCCAGCATCCACTTCTACGGCCACCATGACCAATCCAGTCATGGCAGCCATGTCCTCCGGTGGTGCCTCTCTCACCCCACGCAATCCCTCCGGCAGCTCCTCAAAGGTCAATGGCAGCGGCAGTGGAGGTGATAGGCCGAAATCACACCGAAAGAGGAGTTCGAGTATCGTAGTGGTACAGAAGATTGAACAGAGTCAGGAGGAATTGCTGGATCAGGCGGCAGGATTCAATGCCAATGCCGATTGGGTCAATCATAAAGGTGAGCAGTGGCGGAGAGCAATAGCGGGATGGACGTCCTCCTTACAACGGACCATGATCGCTCACCCCTCTTCCCTCCTGCTTCACCCCTCTAGGTGCATGGGTGATTCACGTCGTCCTCATACTCCTCGGCAAGATCCTGCTGGACGTCGTGCCGGGCATGAGACAGGATGCCAGCTGGACCATTGTCAATCTGGGATACATCGCCGTGAGTACACAGGAGGAGGAGAGTCAAGGATATTGGAGCAGAATATGAACGTCAGCTGATCGAACCCATCCTCCTCGTCTTTTCCGGTCACCAGATCTCCTACCTCATGTTCCACCACGTCACCGGCACCCCCTTTGAATCCAATGCAGGCGCCTACGACCAGCTCACCCTCTGGGAGCAAATCGACGAAGGAGCCCAGTACACTCCCGCCAAGAAGTGGCTCACCTCGGTCCCCATTGGCGTCTTTCTGATCAGCACCCACTACACAAAGTACAACTTGGGACTCTTTGCACTCAACTTTGGTGCGACCTTCTTTGTACTCCTGCCCAAGCTACCTTTGCTCCATCGGTTGAGATTTAGGCTCTTTTCCAGTGGTGGACCTCCTGGCGGGATTAGTGGGACGAATTCACCGTACCCGAGCAGGCCGAATACGCCTGCTGTGCCGTATTAAGAAGAGGAAAGGAAAGAGGTGAAAGAAAGAAGAGGGACGTCAGGGTGAGGGGGGAGATTATGGGCGGGACGATAGATAGGGACTGGCACGAGCGGATCATGTGCAGTGGCGAGGGCGATGATGTGACCTCGAAGACTCACACCTGCAAGGAAGAGCCGAGAACGCGAGCGGTCTGCTCCTCTGCCAATTCCCAGTGGGAGTGGAGTTGCCAAAGAGAGATAGAAGAAGTCCGGGCCCCCCTCGTCCCCTCTCTCAATCTCGTGAGGGTTGCGCCCCAGGAGTGGGACCTCAACCTCTCGCAAGTCGACAGCTCCGCGGCAGAGCGCAACAAGTGGACCAACCACAGGGATGGGCCGTTCAGCGAGCGGGATATCGTCTTCTTCTCTTGTCTTGTCTTTGCGACGCGATGCGATGCGATGCGATGGGAAGCGAAGGGATAGGATGGGATAGGATGGGACAGGGTGGGAATCGACCGATGATACGTGCCTCTGTTGTCTGTCTGTCTGTCTGACCTTTCCTTTTCTGTCGACTCGATCCGCCTTTGTTTGGCTTTGGCTACAAGACTCTGGAAACTTTGGTTTTGGTTTTTTCTCCATGTTGAATCTTCACTTCTTGTGCAGGCTTTCTTTCGAATCCATGTTCAAATTCCCATCCCCATGCGATGCAGATGTAGATGCAGATGCTGTGCGATGCTATGTGATGTGAGGTGACGTGAAGCTGTGTCGAGGGCCGTAGGCCTTGGACCTTGAAGAGAGAGAGACAGTGGGCAAGAGAGGGCGAGAGAGAGAATGGTGAAAAGAGCTGAGGCTCCTTTGAGGGCTCAGGGCTTGACGCTTTCATTGACCGTACTGATTGATTGATTGTTCATCCACACTCGCTACTATGATCAATTGCGTACAGATTGGGCGGGTAGACGATTCCTTTCTTTGTGTTCTCTTTTGCTAGTCTCTCACTGCTCATTTCCTTCTCCCTCCCCCTCCCTCTCCCGCTCACTCAACTGAGTTCAACTCAAGGGTTGATCGGTCTCCCCTTGTTCCACCCCTCTGGCTTATTCTTCAAAATCTCCTCAATCTCCTGCACCAACTTTGGGTCTTCCTGCAACTTTGGCAGCACCTCGAGGGCCTTTAAGTTTTCCTCGAGCTGCGCAATCGAGCTCGCACCCAGAATGCAGGTGCTCAGATGCGGGTTGAGCAAAGTCCAGGCAATGGCCAGCGTAGCCATCTTGCACTTGAGCTTCTCCTCTGCTACCTTTGTCAAAGCGCGAACTTTGCCAATCGTCTCTTTGCCTTCGGCACTGGTCAGCCATTCTGCCTTGGAGCCAAAGAAGTTCTTATTGGTATCGAAGCGCGAGCCTTCAGGCACACCTTCATTGTACTTTCCCGTGAGGATTCCAAAGTTGAGTGGACTCCAAATCGTCGTTCCGTAATTAAACTTTTCAAAGACGCTGAGAAGACCGGATTCTAGAGTGGTACGGTGCAACATGCTGTACTGAGGTTGGTCGGCAATGGGCGGGATTAGGTTTAGGCGGTTGGCGATTTGAGTTGCTTCGGAGATGGCTTCGGCGGACCAGGAAGAGGTGCCCCAGTAGTAGCAGCTGGACACAAAAACGGAGGTGGGGATGATGTCAGCACGAAGTATTAGGAAGGCTGTCCTGTGGTGAGTACCCTTCGTCGACTCACCGGTCACTCTCGATGAGGCGGTTAAAGGCCCTCACCACCTCCTCCATGGGCACATTGGGATCAGGCTGATGCGCCAAAATCACGTCCCAGTAGCCCACTCCGGCCCTCTTCAAGCTCTGGTCCGCTGCCTCAATGACGTGCTTTCGACTTAGTCCCGTAGCGTTAGGATCCGTTCCTCCACAGCCGAAGTAGATCTTGGTGATGAGCACCAGCGAGGAGCGTTCCAAATTGAGGTTCGCAATAGCCTTGCCCATTGCTCGCTCGGACTCGCCATTGGAGTAAACTTCAGCAGTGTCGAAAGTGTTGATGCCAGCTTTGTAGGCGGCAGAAATGATCTCCTGGGTCAAATCGTAGCTGACGGATCCACCTAGGGTGAGCCAGCCACCTAGGGAGAGGAGAGAGACGCGCAGACCCGAGGGGCCGAGCTGACGGAAGAGCATGTTCTTGCGGTCGTACTTTGGAGACTCTTTGGATGACATTGTGGATTGTTTGTAGTTGGGGTGAGAAAAAGAAGAAGAAGAATAGGGAGATTGCCGAACAATGGAAGGCAGGAAGGAGTGTGGGTGAACCCTTGGCTGCAACTCTCACCTCAGCAGCAGCAGCAACCAGTCGACCTCCACATCATTTGTCTGTGCGAGAAGGAGCAGCGACACACAGACCACGCCTCGCTGCACCTCCTTCTTTCCGGCGCGGTAGACAAGGAGCAGCCTCACAATATCACTCCGTAGGACACACCGCCGCAGAACAGTGGCGAGGGAGTAAGCTACCAGCCATCACTCATGCAGTGGAAACAAGCGTCAGCATGATGCTACTGCGCATCTTGACCACCTCGCTGGCCATGACCATCCTGGCCGTCGCTCCAGTCCTAGGCAACACAGAGATCATCAACCTTGCCTTTCACCCACTCTGCTCAACCCTCCCCTCTACTGCAAGTCGCGAGGCGCTCGCAGTCTCGCGTGACTGGCCAGTGTTGCGTCCAGGAGCGACGCCCAACTTCTTTGCCATCGAGGCGAACAGTGCAGCTCAGACGGGCGCTGTTCAACGAGAAGGAGGAGAAGGACACTGGTTCCGTCTTGAGCTGCCGGAGCAAGGAGGAGTACTGGAAAAGGGATGGACAGTCAGAGCGTCTTGGCCTGCTAATGTGAGTGAGGGTTGAAACATAGGAGCTCAAAGTCTAACAGGCATTCTAGAGTTCCCTGACCGAAGGCTTTCTCCCTCTTACAGCACCACGTCTCTCTCGGCCTCAACGTCTACACGCCAGAAGAGATGCTCCAGCAGAAGAGGTCTGGCTCACACTTGAGCGCACGCAAGTCTCAACAGCCTCAAGATGATGTTGCGCCCTGCTCGTCGCTCTACCTCTACCTCCTGACCGAGGTGGAAGGAGTGTCCATCCCGCCCTCTTCCCTCCAGAATTCAGCGCAAGCACAGCTACATCCCGCGCTACGGCTGCTGAGTACGCTCGCTTCGTGGTACCTAGATCCGCTCTCTGCAGCGCCTGTCGTTCGGGCGGGCTCTGTCAGCGAAGAGCATCCTGTGGTTGGCCCTGCTACCACCCTCACGCCCATCCACCTTACGCTTGAGCCACTCCTATTCGGCGTCGCGCCTAGGAGCATCACGCTTCATCTCCTGGGAGTATTGGCAGTTATCATGGCAGGGCTTGGGGTGTTTGTGCGTGCTGACGGAATGGATAAGGTGGGGGAATGGGTGCAAGAGGCGGTACAGGATCGAAGGGAAAATGAAGTAGGGAAAGGATTGTGAACGGGGAATCTTTGGAGCTTCTTGCGATAGTGTCACCCGCCTCGTTATTCAATATAGATTCACCATGTCATCCAAGTCTTTTGTGCAGCGAGCTGGGAATACCCTCCTTTGGCCTCAGTGCTCAGTGTGATTCGGCAGCGAGGGCAGATCAGAAGCAAGCAAAGAGCAAAGAGCAAAGCCAGAGTCACGCGCCGACGGTGCCTGGATTTCAGCGCAGTAGCAACAGCGCCTCCATGAGTGGTGTACCTGGTGCGTAGAAAGGCAACAGCAACCAGGCGGACGATGAAGCAGTCCTCTTTTGTCTGTCCGAAAGAGGCGTGGGAGGAGAGGAGAGGAAGAGGACCAGGCCTTTGTCATACCTGCGTGCCCCTCGTGATGCGTTGATCTCTATACCAGCTTGTATCAACGCACCCGTCTCAGTCTTCTCCCTCCTCTTCCCCTCCTTGGTCCAGCGCTCCCACTTGACCATCGTTCTCAGCGCACCTCTCCAATCACCTTCGAGCGCACTGCACATAACCATGTGTCCTTGCGCGAGCACAGTCGCGGCAATGCATGCAATGGAAGCAAAGAAGCGCAGCATCTCCGAAGTTGACACTGCTGGTGAGGAGGAAAGAGAAGAGCAGAAGCCGTCCATCACTACAAGTACTCCTCCTCCACCTGAAAAGAATCTCGAAGCCAACGAAAGAGAAGTGCCCGATCCTCCAGAGGAGTCAAACAACATACAGTCGTCACCCAAGAAAGTCAAGACGATCAAGAGCCCTTCAAAGCCCAAAGCTGCTGGTAGGAGCACTGCGGCCACCAGACACGTCAAGAAGGAGGAAAGCACCCGCAGCACTCCTTCTAGCCCCACCAAGAGTCCCATCAAGAGTGGTGGTAGTGGAGGAGGAGGAGGTGGTAAAATGTTCTGGTCTCAGAACGACAAGTGGGCCGTCTTAGACAAGGTCATCCAGAGTGCTAGTCCTGATTGGGATAGGATTGCAAGGGAGATGGGGAAGACGCGCAGCCAAGTTTATGATCAGGTGAGAGGGTCGTGTAGAGGGGTTGAGGTGGATTAGTGATAGAGGAAGATCAGGGGAGCTGATGAGATGTCTTGATCTCTACTCATCAGTGGCGAAAGTCTCTTTACCCGGAGCTGAAGACCCGCTATGGACAGTAAATCTGCAGGCCTTGCTGTCCAAGGGCAGACAGAAGGAGTCTTCACCTTTGCAGTAGATGTCTCTACACCCTTTCGTCAAACATCCGATTTCATTGTCAAGCTCTGATGTTGATGCTGCTCCACGAGTATTCAGATACTCTCATCCACTTTACTTCACGCTGCAACAATCACTCTGTTCTGTGTTCTGATTTTGAAAGTCTGGGTATCATATAGCTAAGTGGTCGACAGGTGAAAAGAAAGAAGGCAGCACAGCGAGGGCCTACAATAAGGCGCATCCATGCTCACTTGCGAGGAGATCCGTACGTCAACTCGTGCATGGTGAACTCTTCGTCGTCCCCACGTCTCATGCTTGAGCTGTCGTCCCTTTCTTCTTCGTCTGAACTCCAGTCATCCTGCGCCTCGACAGAGCTGTTGGTAGCAGGTGCAGATGGCAACAGAGAAACCCTCGATGGTCGTGCTCGACCCTTCGGCTGCGGGACTGCCGAGCTCTTCTGCACTTGGAGCGGAGCAGGGTGAGAAGAGTAGGCTACCGGCATCAGAGCAGAGCTGCGTCTCCTCTCCTTCTTGCCACCTACACCAGCCGAGACGATCCTCCTGACCCTGCCTCCCTTGCCTCCCTCGAGTCCCTTCATCACCCTCACCTCACTCTCCAGCGTCTTTACCCTCTCCCTCAGCTTGCCCTCCTCATCCTTCAGGAAACCCACCTCGTCTCGACTCTCAGCAAGTCGCCGGCGCAGACCGTCTAGATAGAGGATCTTCTGCGTTGGGTTGGAGTGCGACGCTAACAGCATGTTCTCCTCGGAGAGGGAGTGAAGATCGGCTTCTGAGGCTTGGAGACGGTGGAGGAGGGTGTGGGAGGTGGAGAGGAGGGTAGTGTACATCTGTTGGTAGTGCGCTGTTGAGGCCAAAGATTCGAGAAGTCTGGTCGGTGAGTCATGGAGGAGCATACGATAGGATCAAGTGAGGAATGTCAGCAAGGAACCCATTCAAAGTGTGTATCAGCGCTACTCACTCTGCCTTCTCTTCCTCTTCACCCCGAACCTTCTCCCGCATCATCGCCGCCTCTCTGACAGCCGCCCTCGCATTCTCCTCCATGTTCCTCTTCTCTGTCTCGACGGTCCTGCGTCGCTTCTCCTCCTCGTTTCCTCGCACTTTCTCGTCCTCGAGCGCTGTCGCAAGGCGAGACTGCACGCTTTCAAGCTGCACCTTCTCCTCTGTGACCTTCTCCAGCTGGGTTTGCGAGGAGGCCAGCTGGGCTCGCAGGCGGCAGACGGCGTCCGAGTCTTCCTTTGAGGAGCGCAAGAGTGCGAGATGAGACTCGTGCAGGCTGTCCAAGTCGGTCTGAGTTTGGCACAAGCGACCCGTCAAAAGCTGCACGTCTTCTTCCAGGAAGGTGAGTTGTAGCAAGTCCGAAGAGAGGACGCTCTCACCACTGTCGTCCTTGAGTGTGCAAGAGCATGGAGGAGCAGCCTCGTCCGAGGGCGCCTGAGCAGAGACATCAGCGCGAGTGAGGTCGAGTTGCTGAAGCAGCTGCTGAGAAAATGACTGTGCCTCCTTCAGCTGATCTCCAAGCGAGACTGTCTTCTCGGCAAGCTCGTCGTTCGAGGCCATGAGGTTTGCCGTTTCTGCTCGAGCGGCCTCGCACTCGTCAACAGCAATGTCCCTTTCGGCGAGAGCCATCCTCGAACTCCAGCGCAAGTCTTGTTGTGCACTGCGATCCTGATGCCTTTGGTCTGCCAGGTGTAATGCGGACTTGAGTATGAGCTCAACGTTCTGCTCCAGCTGGTCCACCAGCCCATCATCGTCCTGGTGGCTAGCCAGCTCGTCCTTGGCCTTGGCGAGCGCGAACTGGATGCCTTCCACCTTTGTCCTCTCCTCGGCGAGCTTCTTCTCGAGCTCCTTTGTCTTGTGCGCTTGCTCCTTCTCCACTACTCTGAGCCCCTTGACCTCCTCGAGCGCTACTCCTGCTCTTCTCTGAGCCTTGTCACCGGTCTTCTTCTCCTCTTCTAGCTCTTTGCGCACCTCTGCAATCGAGCTCTTCCACTTCTCTTTGCTATCCTGGTGCATCTTTTGTAGCTCTTCCAGCTTGGCAAGCAGCCCACCCTGTCCGCCAACGCTACCACGCGCCTTCTCCTTGTCCAGCCCAGCTTTGAGCTTCGCCTCTCTCTGCGCAGCGAGCCTCAGCTCCGTGGCCAGATCTTCATTCTTGCGTGAGAGCTGGTGTTTCTCCGCCTCGACTTCCTCGAGACGAGCTTGGGTCCGTGTGAGCTTCTCGTCTAGCTTGCGAGACTGCTTCGCTGCTTCTCCAGCGAATGCGATCTTGCTTGTGATTGTTTGGTCTGCCGAGCTGAGAGTGTTGGCCTGATGCGAGGAGCTGGTGAGGGGCTGCCGCGAGGAAGAGGTTGCTCGAGACCGAAGTGGCCCTGCCGCAGAGGGAGTGCGATTCTCCAGCATTGCTATGATAGTACGGCGTTCTCGGCAGTCAATAGAGTGATGCTATCGAGGGGATGCAGTACCCTACGTAGACCAACACTTGCAGTGGAGCAGCAACCCCGCCTCGGTCTTGGTTGCATGGCCGAGTCGAATCAACACGGCGCGTGGCGTGTCGGAGTTTGTGTTGGTCTCTGGGCGTAGAGTTTCAAAGAGGCGCGACTCCTGTTTCCGCTCGCTCCTTCTCCTCTTTGTCCTCGTCCTCGTCTCGGTCGCCCCTCGTCAAACATCGTGTCATCAAGAATACTCCGGGATACCACTTGGTCTAGCGAGTCTCGATCGCCCACCATGTCGCAGTACAATTCTTGGGGAGTCACGCCCGGTCAAGCATCCTCAGCATCCTACTTTGGCGACTACTCCAATCTGCCGCCTACCTCCTCCGACTACCCTCAGAACGGCCTTCAGGGGTACTCGTACTCCTCCCAATCTCCTCCCAAGAATATGGACTTTACACAGCCATACGATCAGCCCTCACCCTCGTCGTCCAGTCCTTCTCGGGCCAGTCGCATCACGAGCTGGTTCCGTTCCAGATCTGGCTCGCCGGGAGATGCAGGAGAGAAGCGGAGTAGGTCTCGCTCAAGGAGCAAAACGCCTACAGAAGGCTTCGTGGTACGCAGTGTAGTGAAGCAGGCAGGGGGCGTCAATGGCTCCAACGTTCACGGATGGGATGCTATGGGAGCTGCAGACAATGATAGCAGCTATCAGCGTTCCAAGAGCCGACCGCTGACAGGAGGCATGGTCATGTCTCTCGGTGTACCACCAGGAGGTCCGGGAGGAGGCACAGGCTACGGAACAGCCCACAGTTCAAATGATGGTAGACCAGAGCAGCCATCTTACCAGAAGGAGCTGCCTCCTATGCCGATGGCTTCCCCATCCTCTCCATCTCGAGGATCCTTCGATGCATCAAGTATGGGGGGAGGCTTCGCTCCTCCTCTCCGTCCGGCCAGTCCCGGCGTAGCCAAAGCAGGCGTCTTTCGCAAACCGCGTAGGCTGTCTGCCAGCCCCGCACCATCTCCGATCCCCAAATCTCCAGACAGGGCGGCCCTTGATAGACCCACTTCGCCCATAGGCGAACGCTATACTGCGAATGGCTATGGATCAGTTGATAACGGTCAAAACGACCTAGCAGCAAATGATAGCGGTCCGGTTGCCTACTTGCACGACTCGACGCTCAATCCGTCGAACTCTGCACATGACATACCTGGCTTTGACCCCTCGACTTTCCAACAAGGCTCTGAGGGAGAATTAGCCCACATCAGCTTTACTGCATCCCCCCTGCCCGATCATCGCGACTTCTCTGACCCTCGCCCGGCGATGTCTGCCAGTCCTCTCAGGGTGATCACGAACAATCTCAATTCGTTCACAGCACAAAACGCCTCCTCTGCCAGCGCGACGTCGCCAGCTGCTGGGCCTGGGCTGGCGTCTAAGCTGCGAGGCTTCTTCAATAATCGACCTCTGCTCGATGGCGAAGGCGACGAAGACAATACCGGTGCCGTATCCGATGACGAGCAAGGTGCGGCGCCAAGTCGACAAGAAGCAACACCGTATGGAGTCTCCTCTTCAGTGCTGAGCTCTCCACGGAGGGGGAGCATGCAACCCCCCTTCGCCAACTCACCGCACACCCAGCGGAAGATGGACGCAGCGGATTGGGAGGCGGAACAGCTGCGTCGTCAGACCCAGATGGAGGCTGTCAGATTGATCGACGAAGAACGTCGACGGGCCATGGAGGATTCTGCTTCTTCACCTGTTCGCTCCTCCCAAGCTAGCGGCCCAAGGAAGGCAGTCCCTGCCATGTCTCGCAATGATGATGTCCCGAGCTTGCCTAGCTCCATCGCGAGAGAAGTGGCAGACGAGGGCTGGACGAGCGATGCTCTATCGCAGATGTCGGAAAGTGGACGGAGAGACCTGGTCCGACGATTGACTGCAAAGGGCAAAGCTCGTAGCGTGCGGTCGAATCAGACGGTGGTAGAGCACCAGAATGAGTGGGAGTCTGAAGAGGTAGCTCGCGAGGCTGATGAGAGCGAAGTCGAGATTGAGTGGGACAGACTCACACCTGCGCAGAGGTGAGTAATAGAGGACGGGCGACAGCTGGCTCCGAAAGATCATCATATCCTGACACCTGCTCCTAATTCCTTTCAAGGATCATTGCCGAAACCCGAGCTGGCACTCTGGAAATGAGATCCACCGTTCCACAAGCAGATGACCACAACGCTGAGCTAGAGCGATCAAGAGACCCTCGTGCAGTCAGCGAAGAGCCCTTCGAGGTCCCTGTCAGGAGGTCGACGAGGAGTCGTTCTCCTCGCAAGAAAGTTGTTCAGACGGAAGAGGTCGAGCGTCATGATCAGAGCTCCATTGCAGGGACCGTCGCTCCCATGCATTCAGTTCCCACTGCCGTCACAAGCCCGTCTAAAAGGGAATCGCGACCTGAGGCTCCGAGGCTGAACACCCAGCTCACCAGTGCCACTGTCACCTCAAGCAAGATCGGCATCAGCCCCGGTAACGGACCTCTCCCCTCACAACTCGGCCTAATGGAAGGTCTCGAAGAGATGGCAGTACGCTTCTACCGCTTCGAGAGATACGCTGTACCGCTACTTCGCTCTCTCGAGGGTCGAGTAGGCGACATCGAGAAAGACGCCATGATGTCTTCCAATGCTACTACCTCTGTCGCTCGACCTGGAGAGGCAGAGATGGATCGCTGGGTGGGCGAAATGACCCGTCTGATGAAGCATGAGATTGGTCAGCTCAAGGCGGCTGGGAAAGAGTTAAAAGAGGCGAGACAAGTGCTGGGATCGCTTCTAGCGATCGAGAAGGACAAGGTCCAGCCTGGTGCTGCGAATGCTATCGAGCAGGCTCCCACGGCAGGCAGCAGGGCTACCTCTCCTACGAAGAGGGATGCTCATGAGGTCACAGGCGGCATGGGTAATCTCAGTCCACCCAAACAGGAGGCGCAAGGCCTGGCTCAAGAGAGGGCCAGATCTACGAGCCCTTCAGGTGGAAGACCGAAATACACGTCAGCTCTAGGCAGACCAATGGTCGACGGACGTGTTTCAGCGTCTGCCTCTCCCGAAAGACCACGCCCATCATCCATTACGCCTGCGACGTCTACACAACACCTCATTGCTCTGCAACGGGCCAAGAGCACAGCTGCTACTGTCGGTGTTGAGACTCAAGATGGCAGACCTGTGAGCAGACAGGACTTTGTCCCTCCTCCAGGCGATGCTAGCTTCTCGATTGATGCGGCAGAGGGAGATGAAACTGAGGCAGACTCAGAGACTCAGGAATCAAGTGCACATGACGCAAGCTTCTCAATTGAAGCTGCTGAGGAGGAGGAAGACGAGGAAGAAGAGGAGGAGCTACCGACTAGTCAGCTCCAGACCCCTTCGGAAGGCATGTTCCGACCGCAAGGCAACACTCCCGCCTCGCTCAGCCCCAATAAAAGGGACGTAAGCGTCAACGATCGGCTCAAAGGCCTGATGCAGAGCAGCCGACCTGCGCCCTCTCCTCAGACCCAGGCCGAAGCACCCTCACCAGTTCAGAACAACTACTACGCAGACTCTCAATCTCTCCGCTCCAAAGCCCCTTCGGTCTCGAGCACCCACACCGCCACGACGTACCGCGCCAGTCGTCCCGTTCCCGCTGCGACGGCTGTCTCTTCTCCACCGGCGACCTCTCTAGCCCCTCCTAGCAGTAGCTACCAACACCAGCCCATTGTGGGTGGAGGTCTGCTCGGCGCACGCACCTCACCTTCGCCAGGAGGTCTGGTCAGCACCCGCAACCTCGACGGCGGCAGGCAGAGGACATCCCCGGCAGGCACCTCGCCCGCTTCCTTCCCCATGTCCACAGCGGGAGGCTCCTCTCACTCCACTTCCTCGCAGCACGCCACTTGGTCCCCCAATACCAGCCCGCGCCTAATCCCAGACGTGAGAGGTGAGGATATCCGTATCCGCTCCGGCCCCGCTCCCAGCAGCGCCACCTCTGGCACTGCCGGTCCTTTCCGAGGAGGACTTCAGGCCCGCGCTCAGTCGTACCTCCTTTCTGCCTCGGGCGGGGAGAGTCCTCCCCTCGTGCAGCAATCCACTTTGCAATCGCCCCGCAAGGGAGGAGACAATGCGTCGAACTTCTACACGAGGCCTGCAGCCCCGGCAGGAGGAAGGGAGAACATGGGCATGCCATCGACTGCTCCGCTCAACTTTGGCGGTGTAGGCCACAAGTCGACATTCACCACTTCCATTCTACCTGGACCTGGAACTGGATCGAATGCAGGTGTGAACACAAGTGCAAGGCAACCAGGCAGGGGAATGAGCCTAAAGGAGCGCGTGGCCTTCTTTGAGGTCAGTGCAAACCGTATGTGAGAGTACCTGAGGGCGGGTGCAGCCTGCCGAGGATGAGACAGATGCTGCTAGTGACGGCAGATAAAATCGTGATTCGTGTGCGGACTCTTGTACAAATTTTGGGGCTGCGTAGGTCAGAAGAGGAGAGGAGAGGAGAGGACAGGGCAGAGCTCCAGCTCGCCGTCTGTCTCTCCCCCCTTTTTACCTTCCTCTTCTCTTTCTTCTCTCCTCACCTCTTCCCATTTCTTTCTTTCGCTATTTCCCCTTTGCTTTCCTCTGCCCGTCTATTTTCGCTTTATTCTCTGATCGATCCCTTCTTTACTACAGCTTCCTTGCTCGATATACAACATGGATGCCACATATCCCAACTGACCTATTTAGATGCTTCCCCCCTTTCGCCTGCCAATTTCATACAATGTCCGCACCTCACCAACTGATGCGCAGGAGTGCTCAGGCGCTAGACGCTCAGTCTCAATAGACTGCGCTCACAGGTGCAAATCCCATCCTGTCCCCCTTTTGGAAGACGACGAGTCCCTTTGAGTGAAACGTGTATCCCTTGATGTACCCCTGGTCTACGAGCGAGGCAAGGATGCACTCTACGTCCAATTCCGAGTAGGCTAGAGGCGCGGTCGTGGCCATGGCTGCTGGTGTATTCGTCACTTTGCTGAGAGAGGAGGAGGAGGAGGAGGGAGAGAGGAAGAAGGGGAGTGCGCGTTGGATTTGCGATATGGAGAGGGTGGGAGGGGCATTGGAGGATGCAAAGGTCGGGGGGAGGGAGAGAAGCAAGCTAAACAAAGATTGTCGTCGTCGATGAGGAGGAGATTCAGGATAGGCAAGAGTCAGCATGAGAAGTCCACCTGGACCTCATCGCTTGTGCTTTCCTTTGAAAACGTCGACTCACCATCTCCGAACAATCCCCCTCCAGATTCCAATCGTCGCCTTCTCCCTCACAAGCAGCCACACGCCTAGCCTGCGCAGATGCTCCTTCCTCTCCCTCTGCATCAACAGCATGTCAAAATCACCCAAAGAAGGCCTGGCAACGGCCTCGAACAGAGGGCCGTACAGATTTAGTAGGTCAGGATAGTGAGCTGCTAGCAGCTGTGAGAGGGCGGGGGAGGGGCGCAGCCCAAGGCAGAGGACCGTAGGCAGGAGATGCAGGAGAATTCGCCGAACTTGCGGTGGAGGTGATGCAGAAGGGTGAGTAGAGTCCACTGCTCCTGTAAAGGAGGAAGAGGGGCAGTAGCAATTCTCCAGTGCCCATGAGAGGTGCTCGTATGCAACTCGTACCCGTCCTTGGGATAGTCGCACACGGCCGAGATAGTACCGATACCGGACTCGGTCTGATCTCGGGTAGATGGACTCGCCGGCGCCTTCCTGGGAGTTGCGTGAGAGTGCTTCTTGGATCGACTTGATGACCGTTTCGCAGAGCTTGAGGTTGTTGAGCTGAGCGAAAGGTGGGGGGAGGAGAGATATGGGTCAGAATGAACGCATCGGCAAGACGAGTGCCCTTCCCTTTGAGCAGCCTCTCACCTTGAAGTACCCCCTCAGACAGTCGTTCCCCAACCACATCACCGCGGCCCTCTTCGTCTCCCTCCCCTCAGACCCCACACTCCCACTGCGATCCATCCCCGCCGCCCGAACAGGTCCTGCAAGTCTGCTCGTACAGTCTGTCAATCTCTCCCACTTCCCACCTCCGGGACCAGAGTGGCTGAGCAGGTCTGTTCGGATGGAGAGGGTGAGGAAGGAGGAGGAGATGCAGCGGAAAGCTGATTGGAAGGAGGCGGGTGAGGAGGGGTGGACGAAGAGCGTTGAGCAGCGAGAGAAGAGGTGCGCATAGGAGGTGTACGCTGAGATCCACGTCTGCAGCGGAAGGCTCCCACGTGTATTGCGAGGTGTAGCGAAGACTTGTATCGGGGGATGTCGAGATACATAGCTGAAGAAGGCCTCGATGACTTGGGCGATCCGGTTCCGCAGGGTCTCATCACTCAGTACGCCCGTGGAGCTCCTCAGTCTCTTGACGATCGTCTCGCTGACCCAGTCCGATTCCCGTCGACGCTTGAGATCATTCTGCAGCGTGGTATGAGTATTCTCGCTCAGTACGAGGAGCTCTGAGAAGCTGCGAGAGGAGGAGTGGACTGAGTCGGGTGAGGAGAGGAGGTTGTGGGCGTGCGATAGGTACGAGTCCATCTTGAGCCGCCAAGACGCTGAGCCTCAGGCGGCGATAGGGCGAGGCCTGCCCACGTCAAGTCCTCTCGCAGGGGTCTGAGAATCACGAGCACCAGCTTGATCTACGCTCGACTTGAAGCGGCGCAACAGAAGATGGGGAGGCAGTGTAGACCAGAGGACGAGGAATAAAGACAAGGTCATCTGGTGCATCGATTGCCATGGCGCCGGAAACAGAGCGGAAGCGGAAGCAGCACTTCTCCACTTCGTCTGTCGCTTTCGCGCAAAAGCGACAATGGGGAACAGAGGGCAACTGGTACGCAGCTCATACTACATGGATGAAAAGGTGGATGGGAGGATGCTAGATTGCGATAGATATACGGCTTCGGGCACAAAGTTGTGATCGGAGGCGCGGGATGTCTGAAGAGCAGGGGCCCATGGCAAGGTCCATCGACGTGTTCACCGGGGCAGGCAATGGTCGCCTTGAAGAGTCTCCTTGTCCATCGTTAGCTTCCCTGCTATCCTCCTCTGCTCCCTGTATTGGCACATTTGCTTAACCTCGCTGCTTCATTCATGGCGTCTGATCTCACAATGCCCCCCGCAACCTCTCCATGAACACCCTCGCGCTGCCATTATCCAACCGCAGTCCCATTTCCCGATTGTACTTCTCCGGCAACTTCCCACTTGCACTGCTCAAGCCATTCAGAGAAGCCGAAGCAGAAGCGGTCGCAGAGGTAGGCTTAGGCTTGAAGCGCAATTTGGGCTCTGAAAGCTCCAGCGATGTCTGCAGGTAGAAGGTGACTGGCTCACTCTTCGGTCCAGGAGTTGGAGCGGGTGAGGTACCGGGGAGTGCAGGAGGGGAGAGGGCGACTTGGAATTCGACTTGTTGATCTGTTCCTGTTGACGTGGATGAGTCTCTGGGGTCTTGAATGGAGAGTCCGGAGAGGTTCTCGAGAATGTACAGCCTCCGTCTCAGCGAGGCAATCTCGCGCTGTAGAGCTTCACTGTCCCCTTCCGATCCAGTAGCTGGTCTTGTGGTTGTAGAGGTCAGAGCCGGCACAGGCTGCTGCACCGAAGGAGCCTCAGCCGCTGATGCTGCCACTGCCAGTCCGCCCTTCTCTTCGCTCTTCTCCTCATCTGGACTAGGACTGAGGACATTCTCGTCTATCCTCAACTTGCGCATTTTCCCTCCCTCTCCCATCCCTACTGGCGTCCCACTGCGACCTCTACCCAGCTCTCCTCCCGCTCCAGCCGCTGCATCTCCTCCTCTCCTGTTGTGCGAGACGAGTAGCGCAGCCGGGTCACTCCTATCCTGTGCTCGAATCTGCTCCCAAATGGCCGCTTTGTCAAAAGACTTTGCCGAGGCTTCAAAGTCAAAGTCTTCTGAGAGGGAGGAGGAAGCTCGAGTGTGGCCGTGGTCGTGTTCGCGTCCTTCCTCGCTCGTAAGAAGTCCTTGCGCTGCTCCTCCACTGCCATTGCCGGCCTTCTTGCCACCCTTCTTCTTGCGGCGAGAGGAAGCGCTACTGCTGCCGTTCACGCCATTTGCTTCGTTGCTTTGTCCAGCACCGGCGCGACCACCCCGACTGGGCTTGGGCAGCTTGGTTGCTTCTGGAGCTCGGAAGTCTGTTGCGCCTGCTCCGTTGCTATTGCTGCTGCTGCTGCTTGCGCCGGTGCTGGTGCTGGAGGTCTGTGCAGGTGCCGTAGACTGAGACTCAGCAGTAGCAGGAACGACGGAGATGCCTCTGATGCGAGCCTTGTCCACCTGTACCGGCTCTCCGCCGCCTTGGCGGGTAAGTACGAGTAGGTTGCGTTCTACGTCAATCTGTGTGATTGTGCCCACGAGTGGCTGAGGGGCGTCATTGAGTGCGAGGGATACATGCAGGCCAATGTAGGATGAGGCCATGGCTGAGATGGATAATGGTGATGGTGGGTGGAGAGGGGAGAGGGAGAGGATGAGGTTGCGGAAGTGTCCCTGGAATGACCATCGCTGCTTCTGTACGACTCTTTGGCCGCGCGAGGAGTCCGGGGCGGAAGCACAGGCCAACAGGCACACGAGGCAAAGTGTTGCTTGCAGGGCCACAAGAGGGGCAAAGGGAAGGCACGCAAGGCACACACTGGACAGGACAAGGACCACCTCTACCAGCCCACGACGTCCTTCGTGGTACAGCGTCTGCGGCATCGATACCAGCAGCAGCAAAGGGGATCCACCCTCTCCCCTCGCTCTTCCAGCATGGCTCCCAACCAAACCACTCTCGCCCGTCTGCAGACCATCTCAGGTCTAGCCCTCACCACGCTCCTAGTCCTCACAAGCGCCCTCGCCTTTCTCACCTACCCATCCCCCTCGGTCCTCTCCAACCCAAACCCACACGCAGCCTTGAATGTTTCTGGAGTAGAGGTGCTACTAGGGAGAAATCGATGGCATATGGATCGGAGGCAGCAGGAGTTCCTCGAGGTTAGATTTGAAGGAGGGGTGGACCTTACGGGCAAGACGGACTTGGCTTCTTTCCTTCCTGAAAGCTTGTCGGGGGGCCACCAGGATGCGACTAGGGACCAGACCCAGGGCAAATCGGCGGGTCGCTCCCTCTGGAATTGGAATACCAAGCAGGTCTTCCTCTGGCTCGAGGTAGAGTGGAGGGATTACCCAAAGGAAGTGGAACAGGGGCAGGGAGTGGGCGAGGGTAGACTGAATAGGGCAGTAGTGTGGGATCGCATCGTACGCCGGAGAGAAGATGCCAGAGTGGTGTTGAATGGCAGGAACAAGTACGGCGTTAGGGCAGAGGGAGGTAAATGGAGGTGAGTTTGCAGTGTACAAGAGATATCAGCTAGACCAGGCGAGCTCGGTCAATCTGATCCATACCCTTTGCTACCGCCCCCACTCACCCACCTACCAGCAAGATTCCCTCTGCCACTTTTACACTCCGGTGGAACATTATGCCTCACGTAGGACTTTTAGCCTATGGCCATGAAGCTTCCACTGGCTCAGTCCAAATTCCAGCACGAGTGGTGGAGTTGGACGAGGAGGAGATGGAGAATAGGGAGACGGTCTGGGATATGCCTTACTAGATGGCGAGACACACAGGGAGAGAGAGAACACCCCCTCCTCAAGAAATATCCATATGCACACTCCAAACACCACGTCGTGCGAGAGCCCGTCAAAGTGAAACCGAAAGCAGGGTAGATTGGGAGAGCAGACTGGAAGAGGAACAGGTACCACGTACCAGGGAGACCAATGCCAACCCTACTCGAACCTCTTATAGGCATGCGTCTCATACTCCTTTTTCCTCTCACCTCCGTACTTCCTCCCACTCCTACCCTGCTTAGCCACAGGCAATCTCGGCTCCACCCTTCCCTTGATCATGAGTCCATCCCACTGATCCCTGAAGAGGTTTCCCTCCGTCTTGACTCCCCTCAATCCTTCACTGAGCTCCTCTCCCAATTGCACCTCCTCTCCAGCCCGAGTAGAGGCGGAAGAGGGTACCTTGAACTTGCCCGAGCGCTGCCCTGCTAGACCTTTCGAGGCTCGCTCGTTGAGCTTGGCAAGTCGACGGGACTCGAGGAGCGCAGCGCGTGCCGCCTGCTCCTTCTTGATCGTCTTTTGCAATGTAGGCAGGGAAGCGAGCGACTGCGAAAGAGCTTTGGAGCGCTTCTTTGCCTCGGCTTGCTCCAGGAGCTGCTTAGCCCTAGCCTCCTTTTGCCGTTGCGCTTTCGTCTTTCTCAGACCAGAGACTCGCGCAGCCTTCTCCTCGTCGGCGGCATCGGCGTCGGCGTCGTTTTCGAGCAACTCTTCGACCCGCTCCTCCTCGTGCTCGTCGGTAGAGGGAATCTCGCCAACGATCATCCCTCGGAAGACTCGCCCGGCCTCTTCATCGCCGCGCAGCTCCTCCATGTCCCGCTGAGCCTTTGCAGCCTCGGTCCAACGAAGCTTGAAGGCCTTCTCTTCCTCTTCGCTCTTCATCTTGGCCAGCTCGGCCTGGTAGGCCTTTTGCAAGAGGGTTGCATGCGAGGTAAAGGTGGGGTTGTAAGATTGGCCCGTAGAGGGGAGGGAGAGGAATGAGGCTAATGTTGGGACGGGGCCAACGGCGCTCGCCTTGGCTTTACCCTTGCCTTTGCCCTTCTTGCCAACCGTTACACTCGACGCGGCTACGACAGTGGCCGGTCCGGCTGCTGTGAGATGGGCGGGCGTCTTGATCTCCTTCTTGCGAGCTTCCTCGATCCAGTCCTCGTCTGCCTTTGCCTTTTCGACTGCCGTCTTCGATGGTCCTTCTCCCCCGTTCCATACATCTTCCTCGGGTGTTCTGAGGATAGCACCTTTGATGCCTTCGAGGGCATTGCCCTGCTCGCTCTCTACGATAGCTCCAAAAGGTCCCTTGACGGGCCGACGAGCAATGCGTCTAAGTCGATCCTGCTCAATCTTGCTCATCTTGCCCGTCTTTGAACCCTTGAATGTGGCAGCTCCAGCAGGCGTCACACCTTTGCGAGCCACAGCGGGTACTGCACTCTCATTTTGCAGCGAGGCGAGGAAGCGCATAGGCTTCTTCTCTTTACGTTTGCGGAGAGTGGTACCGAGAGCTTCATCTCCCTTTGTGTCTACCTCGAAGAGGCCCGCATCTGCCACTCCCAATGCGCCATCCTCTCCCGTCGAAGTCTTGAGTGCTCCTGGCCTCTCAAGACCAAGACGTTCGGCGACTCGGGCGGACTCGAGGTGCTCATCTACTTCGGAGAGGTCGATGTTGCGTCTCCAACTCGCCTTGTTCTTGCGGGAAGGCTGAGAAGACGATGCGGTCTTCTTCTTAGCGGCGGGTCCAGCAGCTGCAGCAGCAGAAGTCGCTGCGGCTGTGCCCGATGAGCGCGATGAGGATGCTCTGGACGTCGATGGAGCCATGGTCGAAGTCGCGGTCGTGGATAGGATGATGATCGTGGTGAAGCTGCAAAGGGTTGCTTGGCCTGAGCGGAAACAGGGCGAGGCAAGAAATTTTGGCGTCGGCCGAGACGAGTGTGACCGGAACGGAGGTGGGGCCCTTCCTTCCTTCCTTCCTTGGCAGCCGACTTTTTGGTCAAAAGCCCCGAAATTGCCAAAGTGAGGCCCAAGAATATGAACGTCGTACCGTTGGCGGTGAAGCTCAACTAAGGCAGACAGACACAGCATCGTCTGCACCCTCCCAGTCACTGCACCTGGCAATGGCAGACTCAACACCATCATCCTCGACCACCAAGATGGCCGTCGATGATACTGCTCACACTCAAGTGGCTACTCCAATCACAAGCGCCGATGCACAAGCTTCCACCTCGACGTCCAACAGCGCAACTCTTCCCGCACAGACGGCGCCTTTGCCCTCACCTCCTACCGCCGTCGCTGAAACTGGCAAAGCTCAGACCAATGGCTCCACGCAGCAATCGCAGTTGAAACGGAAGATGGTAGATGAGGCAGAGGAGGAAGAGGACACTTCACAACGTCCAAAGCTCGCTGCTGATGGTCCCGGTCCTTCGCGTGCAGCTCAGATGAAGCAGCGAAGGAGGGAGAGCAAATACATCAAGGCAGGTGATCTGGTCATCATATTCATCGTGAGTATATCATCAGCGTGTGTAAGCGCTTCTGTCGCTCCTCGCCGCTGATCACCTTCACCTTTTCCCCCCTTTCTCACATAGTCTCGCGATCGTCCCTTCTCGCCGCTGACAGTAACGCCGGACCAAGTCTTCACAAACGCCTTTGGCTCTTTCCCCCACAACAACATCATCGGTCGACCCTTTGGCTCTCAAATCCGTTCAGAGAACAACAAGGGTTTCCTCACTCTGCTCCGACCCTCTCCAGAGCTGTGGACTCTCAGCCTACCGCATCGGACGCAGATCCTGTATGGACCCGATATGAGCTTCATTAGTATGAAGATGGGCCTCGGCCCGGGTGGCAGGATTGTCGAGGCCGGCACGGGGAGCGGAAGCTTCACCCATTTCCTAGCGAGGTGTGTTGGGCTGCCAGAGGGAGGTCACGGAGAGGGTAGCGAGACCATGGGGAGGGAGTGGAAGGGACAGGAAGGATGGGGCGTCAGCGCCGGTAGGGGCAGAGGCGTCCAGACTCGTCCACCAAAGGAGAAGAGTGAGAGTGCCGAAGGGACTCCGGGACCTACGGCACCTTTCAAGGATACAGCGGCTACAACGCCGGCTGAAGGGGAGACCGGTGCGTCCAGCACGTCGAATCGCGTTCAGCACTTCAAGTCACTGGCTTCGCCTACGCCAGATCATGACGGAGAGCTGTCTCCCAACAACGGCAAAGTCTGGACTTTCGAATTCCACGCCTCGAGGGCTGCCATGGCCCGCAGAGAATTCGTAGACCACGCCCTCACCCCACTCGTCTCCGCATCGCACCGCAACGTCTGTCTCAACGGCTTTCCCTCTTCCCTAGACGGCCTCGCAGACGCCGTCTTCCTCGATTTGCCCGCGCCCTGGGAAGCGATCCTTTTTGCCCCCTCGGTTCTCAATCCGAAGACTCAAGGCGTCATCTGCTGCTTCTCCCCTTGTATCGAGCAGGTCCTGCGTACGGTCAAAGCACTTGGCGAAGCTGGATTCAGGGACGTGGAGACCTTTGAGTCCTTGGTGCGGACGCACGAGAGTATCAAGAGCGGCTTTGCCGGTGCTGGAAGTGCTGGAGGACTCTATGAAATGCCACTGAAGGAAATTGGAGAGGTGAAGGAGATGTTGAGGGATAGAGTCAGGAAAAGGGAGAAGATGAGTGAGAATCAGAGGAGGAAGGCGAGGGAGAAGAAGGAGGGAGGGAAGGTGGAGGGAGAGGGAGAGGGTGAGGGTGGCGATGATGAAGCCGAGGCCGAGCAGGAAGAGGAGGAGAAGAAGACAGGTGAAGAGAAGGACAAAGTCGAGAACGGCGTCGAAGAGGAGAAGCCGCAAGAGAATGGCGATCGCACCTCGCCTGCACCGATTTCAGCAAGCACCGAGGCCGAATCGGCAGACCCAGCATCAGCATCAGCATCAGCACCAGCAACAGCATCAGCATCAACAGAAGGTCCCGCACCAGCCCCTCTCACCACCCCTACCTCTACAAGCACTTCCCGCCCAGCGCCCAAGCTCAGCTTCCCCGCCCCTGCCCCTTCCACCCACCCTCTCCCCTCGCACTTTGGTGGAGGTAAAGAGTACAAGCAACAAGTTGTGCGGAGCAACACCTATTCGCGCTTGCATGCGAGCATGAGAGGTCATACGAGCTACTTGACGTTTGGAAGGTTGCCGCCGAGGGCTTGAGAGAGAGGAGAGTGGGACAAAGGGGATGAGAGGGTGGATGGCTCTCTTGTAATATTACAAAGTGATGACAGACAGATAGACATTGCACTCGCAGCGAGTATAGAGCAGGTCTGAAGAGTGGCGATACTCACTTCTGTATCGCATTGCATCGCTCTGCATTGCATTGCCACCAGCTCACACAACGCTGCTAATCCTGAGCTCCTGTCGGTTGGTAGCGCCCCCGCTCAATACACCCTGACCATCCCTTCTGCTCCCGCAAGCAAGATCCTCTCCCCCTCCATCCCAGCATTGATCACGCCAATCCCATGAACTGGCTCGCCCGCCTCCCAGCCCGTGTATTCCTCCTTTACACTGGGCTCGAGGCGCTCCTCCTGCTCCCCATGTGATACAGTGCCAGACGAGGTGGACTTAAAGGTTAGACGGAAGGGCGTGCCGTCCCCTGTCGCTACTACCGCGTCTGGTGGACTGGAGGCACGGCCCTCGGAAGTCAGGAAGCGCAGAGCGTGGATACTGGCTGTGTTCCGCCTGAAGTTGAGCACTTCGCGCGATGCAAGTGAGAGAGGAGCTCCAGAGTCTTCTTCTCCTTCTTGCGCATCGCCGTTCGAAATGTCACTTGCTGTGGCTCTTGATCCGAGCTCAAGTCGGAAGAGTCGCACAATACCAGTCTTGCTCCCTGTCACAAGGTCAAGACTGCTCCTCGCGCTGTGTGCTGCATCACCACTTTCTGGAGCGGCGACGGCGGAGGAAGAGGACGGCGGCGACGACCGTTCGACGATGTCCAGACTCCATACGGCGCCGGTACTGGGCTCCACTTTCCAGAAATCGCTCGCCCCTGGCTGAGATTGACCTTCCGGCAGGGTCGGCCAGCTCCTGGGCGCAATTTCCAGCAGAGGCCAGTCTGTCACCGTGACTGGCTTGACCGAAGCTTCGTCGTCCTCTTCCTGACTGTTCTGAGCAGGCGTTTGTGTTGTTGTATCTTGTGTGATCCTGAGCAAAAATACCTGCACATAGCCCGACGAAAGGCCGGCGATGGCAAGGTAGTCTCCGAGCCCTTCTTCTTCTTGAGCTTCGGACGATGTCGCTGCGCCATTCAGCTTGAGTACCCTGAGACATTCTACTCCACTCCAGCCACGACATCCGATCATACGGACACTTTTGCCTGCCCTGACGTCCCAGACTCGGATCGTACCGTCCAGACTGGCACTGACAATTCGCTTGCCCCGTCCGAGGATGGCGGTGGATGTCACAGCACGCTTGTGGCCCTTGAATACCCGTGGGCAGATGCCGTCTTGCGCTGAGTAGAGCCGCAGGGTGAGGTCGGAGGAGGCGGTGAGAAGGACCAGGGAGGATGGGAGAAAGGATGCCGCTTGCACGTCGCCTACGTGCCCTGTGAGGGGGAGCCGCAAGGAGGCGAGCCGCTTCTTCTCCAGCGCTCTTATCCTCCGTTGCGCCTTCTCTTCGACGGCGAGTTCAATGCCCACCGAATGAGTGTTCTCGCCATCTTCGCCTGCTTCGCCCCTGATCCATCCGGGAAGGCCAGCCACCACGCACTCCCCGTCCTCTCCGCCTGCTACGAGCTTGGTGCCATCGGGACTAACATCAAAGGCCGAGATCTGGCCACCGCCGCCCGATTCGATGGCTCTCTGGGATCGGCGACCCTTGAGCAAGGTCGCCGGGGTATGAACGGGCAGGCGTAGGCGTACGGATGTAGGCAGCGAGGGCGAGTTCTGCGCCACTGTGGGTGAGGTGGCGACCATGGAGGACGAGGATGTCGAGATGGACAAGTCTGGCACAGCGTGGCCTTCCTGTAAAGACGCGGAATGTGGGACCGGAAACGTCAGATCCTGCTCTCACCGCCTTCGCGATGGGCGTATGTGCCTACTCACTCTTCCGCTCAGCGCCCTTGCCTTTTCTTCCTTGATCAAGAGGTTACGCTGCCCCCTGATATTCTCTAATTGCACCTCATCTTGCGCGCTGGGATCGTTCTTCTCCTTTGCTGCAAGTGTGAGAGTAGCATGTATGCTCTTCTGTGGAGCATTGTCTGCATACACGGACAGCCATACATTCTCTGCTGCTACTTTGCTCTCGAGGATGTCAGCATAGACCTGGTGGTATGTGGGCTGGAGTGTGGCATAAGGGAGGAGGTAAGATGGTGGTGCATCTGTCTTTGTCAACGAGGATGACGGTGAGGATGAAGATGCTGCTGCTGCTGCTGCGGCCGTCATGGTTGGTAGCGACGAGACAGTGAAGGGTAGAATGAATCGATCACGATGAAGCTGAGGGAGGAGGAATGCTTCTCTACTTGTTACTTTGGCGGAAGCAGGCAGGTGGTTGCCTGTGTGCTTGGACCACCCCCCGCACCGCCAGGACGGCGGAGGAAATCTGCCGCGCGACGGCACAGGCGGCACTCACTCACCCCCGCGCCTAGACTAGTCTACCCTCACCCATCGTCCGCACGCCGCCATCGAGCTTCATCGTCTTCGGTCCATCCCAAAGCCACGACGGGTGAGCTCACAGGACGCTGCAACAGACGACGGATCGATCGCACATCCCACCACCTCGATACTTCTATCCGCAGAAGCGAGCGCATCCCATCCGCCCAATTGCCCAGAGACGCTTTCAGGAAGGCCCCGACGCAAGTCCAAGGGAAGCGCAGGAGTCTCGTCGTCCGCAATCCATGCCGGCAACGCCCCGAAGAGTTGAAGAACAAAGCGGAGCATCACATACCTCCGATCTGCTCTCGGCTAGCTCAATACCAGGTACATCCAACCATTACAAGGCTCAACCTGTTGCGTATCCTGGTGACTCTGCCGTGAAGGCGGAGTCATCCAGGGCGGGAAGAGGCAACGGGGTGGAGGGCTTGAGCAATGGCAATGGCGGTAGCGGCAGCTCCAATGGCGAGGCCAATGGTATCGCTGGCCCGAATGTACAGAGCAGCGAACCTGCGGATCGCAAGCCCATGACTTCATCTTCTGCATCTGCAAATGGCAGCCTCATGCCCTTGAATGCTTCTTCCCCGTCTAAATCTAACGGCCACTTGTCTCCTCCCGCTTCCGATCCAACGTTTATGCGACCTCCTCTCTCTCTCAAGGCCCAAGGCAAGGTCAAAGCGGTAGAAGCTCCTGCTGTGGTCACAAAGACAAGCAGGTCTACCAGTCCACCGATCCCTGGTAGCGGGGTGAAGCTGTCTCACTCTCAGATGTTCAGAGCTTCCTCTCCACCGCGGACAGGACATGACAAGAGAGGCGGAATATTGTTGGACGGTTTGAAATCAGAGCTGAATCAAGAGGATGGAGGTCTCATACCTTTGGCAGCAGTGATAGATCGGGTCGCGAGCGATGCATACGAGACACTGCAGAACCTTGGTGAAACGTGAGTCGTGCGACAGGGGAGGTCTCCATTTCAGCCTACTTACCCTCACTGTCTTTCGAAACGTGATCACAGAATGACTTCTTTGCCCTCTGGCGCTCGACGAGTACGCATCTTCAACACCGCCCTTGACCTACGGAGGCAATTGATCAAGCTATACGTTCTCACGAAATGGGCAAAGGGAGCAAAACATCTCCAGCATATCACCAATGTACTCGGGCTGACCCACGAGCAGTCATTCCAGACAGTTGATGCTAGGGACCACATCAAAGAGACCAGGAGCTTGCTACCCAATGCTCGTGGTAGGAATCATGACATTGTCACTGCAATTGATGTCCTATCTGCTGGAGAGCCTCAAAGGTTGCCAAAGTCCATTGCCACGGAGGCAATCCCTCCAGAGCCTCTCTCTGATAGCGAAGCGCGGACCATTGTCAAGGAGCTCGACACAACCTTACACAAGCGCTTGACAGGCTACGAGATTCTACCGCTAGCGTTACAGCCGGCGCTTGAGGCCTCCTTCAAGATCTCCAATGGTCGGGTCGAACTTGCTGCACCGAACCTCTTCTCGATGTCATTGACGCTTTCAGGGGAGCAGCAGGATGATCGGTGGTATTTGCTCTCGATCAGGTTCGATTATGATGTCACAGGGGAAGGGAAAGAAAGGTTTCCGAATGATCTGTGGGAGTCCCAAAGGGAGGCCTTCATTGCCCAAGCGAACGCGGTCCTGGAGCCCAGGAACAATCTTGAGCAGGAGGCGATAGCAGACACCCCTCCAGATCTGCAAGCACGAGCACAAGAGGCGCCTATAATTAGGCTGTACAACTTCCTTCGGTCACAAGCTCTCGAATATCAGCTCGATATCCTTGCCTATCAATTCTCGGAGCTCGCGCGACTGAAGTGGAGAGGCAGCATCACATGGCAATGGGAGCAACGCGTTCTCATCGTCAAGTATTGGACACCTACGTTGCCTGTCGCGGGCGGCAAGAGTGACCATGCCAACAAATGGAATCCTTTGAGAGGGGGTATCATCAGGCTTCGCGTCCAGGACGAGGCGCTGCATTCCGCCAGCGACGGCGTTCTGGCCTCACTGTCCATGAGAGAAGACAGTGCCATCGATGAAGTAGATGGCAAGGATGCTGAACTGCACAGCGATGACAGAGAAAAACAGCTTAGGCTTACCTTGAGCTGGGAGCTCGACAAGAAACTTGCCACCCAGACGAACTTCCGTAGTGATGTACGAGCGGAAGTCAATGCTCAGGCCCTAGATGCCAATGCCTTGTTGGATGATGTGACCGCAAAGCATGCAGCGTTGTCCATCAAGGCTATCAAGGAACGGCTCAGCAACAGCAAGGCCCTGAACAAGACGATGATGTCTTCCCCAGGCGCAATTGTCGAGGAGAGCGACGCGAGCGGTGCTGCGCTCGTCGTCAGACTCCACGAGACGATCTCCATCCGCATCAGATTGGAAGCGAAGTCCGGACAAATTTCCCTGACCCAGCTGAACAGCTCACGCAAGCACGTTGGGTCGTCCTCAACGACTCAAAGCGTCGGGAGTCTTCTGGCCTCCTTTTCCGGTTCACCCTCAATCGCCCGTCTGAAAGACGCCACGAGACTACTCAATGTAGCTCCAGAGGCAATCGTCGAAGTTCTCCTGCGTCTTCGAACAGCGGCAGTCTGCGATGACCTGGAAGCAAAAGCAGGGAGAGTGGGATTGGGATGCCTTCGCCGGCTCAATCTGGGCCAAGAAGAATATGGCAAATTCGGCATCAGCCAGCCTAGCAGTCTGCTCTTCCTACCTTTGCCACAGTGCCCTACATTCTACCTGGTCAGCGTCGTCAGGGAAGAGGGTGTCCGCGTAGCGCTCACCAGTGCTATGCCGGTGATGTACGGGGATGGTACTTTCGGCTCTTCGCTGTCTGTTCAGAGTCTCCAGTGGCTGGATGCGTCAAGGCTCACAGACAGAGCGACTTCATCCACGCAAAATTTCCTCGGCAAGAGGAGAAGAGGTCAGCATACATCAGGCTCTCTGTCAGGGCTGGGAACGCATAGCACTTCTGCTGCTTCCGTGACCAACCTGGATAGCTCGGATCTTGCCCGCTTGCATTCGTATGCGACGGCTCTTACGCTTTCTCTACAGATCGAATCGCAGCTGCAAATGAGGAGTATTCCTTTCGCCTACATACCTCCAAACAGACAACGAAGTAGTCCAGAATCTCTCGAGCTCACAAAGTCTGACGACGAGTATCAGCGAGGGCAAGCCCTTGTGCCCGCGATCACGCTTCGAGCGGCGGACCTATTCGGCTCCTCTGCTTCGCCTCTGCTCAGACGAAGTGTTGTTCTCAAGATCCGCGACTATTGGAACCCCAAACGCAGCAGCCTCGGTCTCGTGACAAAGTTGAAGTTTAATGCGAGCCTCGGCACCAATCAAATCTCAGGGAGCGAATCGGCAGCGCAGTCAGGTCTTCAAGGTGCTCCTCCTACCGCTGTGCTCAACACTCGGACGTCGACAATATCGTTCCAGGCGCAAAATCTTTCCCAGGCCATCGACATCTTCCGCTTCGAGTGGAATCGCATTGCCAGGATCGTCTCGCTCGCTGCCTACCTCTCAAAAGCGCCCTCCCTTGCAAGCTTGAAGACATTCACTTTATCGCAAGTCAAATTTACCTACACCGGGCAGGACGGCCAGGAGTTGATGGGCGAGGTGACTTGGGAAAGCGAGCAAGCCGTACCGGGCCATTGCCTTGCCTTTAGCTCTTCCCCAATCACTGCACAAGGCAATCCGCACGCGCTCATCTCGCGACACCTTGAAAGGCTGCTCAATGCCTCTAGCACGCCTCCGGACTGGTCAGCCTTCTTCACACTGTTGAGACAAACACTGCCGATCCTGACTCTGGTACAAGGATACCTTGTCGAGGACGAGGCTGCTATGGAGGACGAAGGCAAACCCGATATGGAATTGATCAACGCCACGAGGTACCAGGTCATCTTGGTGGAGAAGTACACGCTGGACGTACGGCTCGCAAAGGACGGAAGAGCCTGCATCAGTGATGGCGTAGAGTCCAGCTCCTCTGAGGCCCCTCGAGCTGGCGAAGCTGAAAGTGGGACCGGAATTGGACCTCGAGAAGGATCCTGGACGCACCCGATCCCACAATTGGCGCAGATCATGGGTCGGTTCGCGGAAGAAGGCGCTCTTGTCTTTGGGAGTACGATGCTCCTACCTGCGGACAAGACTAGTCTGCTCTCCGCGTTGATAGAGCAGGTCAATGAGGCCGTCTTGGTAGAAGAGGGCCTGAAGTGAAGTGAAGAGGCAGCTTTGGAGGACCGCAAAGCCTTCTCTTCTTGTACGATCGATCGCCGTTTTTGCTTTCTTGTACGAGGGCTGATGACAGCCTTGTCACCCCCTCGGATGCCTCGCGCTCGATGGAGGGCAAAAGTCATAGTAGATGCCTGTTTAAGTCACACTTTCAATCGTCCTTGTGGCTACCATACGTGAATGCTGGAGAAGCGAGTGATCTGAGCAGTGGCAGGCAGAGCAAAGTGGTGGAGAGCAGTCTGACTACACTCCGTCGGTGGGCGGACGGGTACGAGGGTCGTGAGCGGTGTGCATTGTGGCAATAATACATAATGATGGGACCGAAGTCCACTCCTCTACTGTCAGGGGCACTCCCCCTGCTTGAACAAGACAGACATCGCAGCAGGCATCAAGAGCCCGCCTCTTGCTAATCTTCTTCCTCCTCCTCTTCTCGCTTCTGTGCCGCTGCAAACCACCAACACAAGCCCGTTATTGCCTGCACGAGTGCCAGCACCACCAATGGCCAAAATTGGAGCGAATTGGAGCTCCCACCTTCGGTATTGTCCGAGCCCCCCTCACCGGTGGGGAGTGTGGCGGACTGCAGCTCAATGAGGATGGATCCCACGGCAGCGCCTGCCATGAGGAGGACAATGGAGAGACACTGGTGTCTGGATTGGGAAATGGAGGTGCGCCGTGCTTTTTCGTCTTCTGAACTTGCGATTCGGGAATGATGGGGTGAGGTCAAGGAAACCGGGAAGAGAAAGGCAGGGAAGACGGCGGCTCCTACCAGCTGCGCGAGCGTGGAGGTGAAGACGACGGTAGTGCTGTAGGCTTTTGATCCAAGGGAGAGGGCCTGAATTGCCTGTGAGCCCATGGCGAGGGAGAGGAGGCCCAGTAGGATCGGGTCCTTTTCGAGGGAGAGGCGAGTGTTGGAAAAGACGAGGAGGAGGATGACAATGGTGGTGGCGAGCGACTGCAGGAAGGAGAGGAGGACGTAGCGACCCCGTGTACTGCTCTGGACCGTAAAGGGAGCCTTGATGTGGGATGCGAGGTAGCCTCCAAGGGAAAAGAAGACGACCGTCGTCACAGACAGGACGATGCGGTTGGAGGCCTCGTCTCTGTGCTTGGCTGACTTCTGATCCTGCTCCCACGATCCAGGCGATGGTTCTGTCAACCAGTCACGGACGACGAAGCGGAACCAGGCCATCCCCGAGATGGCCAGCTGTGTCAAGCCGCCAGTCATGAAGGCTACCCACGTCTTGCTGATGGTGGCAGGATGAGTCAGGAGGCAAAAAGTGTCAGACAATTTGCAGACAAGTGCAGCGACTGCAACATCTCGCCTTCTCACCTGGATGTGAAGGAGATGCAGTCTACCAGTCCAGAGACAAAGCATTGAAGTGCAAGAGGCAAAGCACACGACGAGGGGTCGAGGTGTTCGTCAAGCCTGCCAGGTGCGTAGCAAAGTCTGTGTCAGTACTTCTGGATGGAGCTAGGCGGCAAAGTCTAATGTTCTCCTCACCGTGATGTCAGCGTCCTCTTCGACCGCGAGGATGGTGGCTCATGGCTGCCATTGCCTCCTAGGAGGGGCGTACGTTCGTCTCGGGGCATCTCGGATGTGTTGATGGTAAGAGAAGGAAGGGGAAGGGAGTCGTACAATTGTGAGGAAGAGGAAGAGCAATCAATGGACGTGACCCTTGGTTGGTACCTTGCCATGTCTTGCCGAGCAACCCGCGGCCACTCCGACGTCCGATGCCAGGGCCAAGCCACGCAAATTTCTCCTCGTTCCGAACCAACGGAAAGGAGAAAAGAGACGGTTCACCCGGAAGCAGAGGAAGCAGAGGCCGCGCTTGCTCCACTTGACTGCCAAGGCGCAATACAGAGATGCTACTTATTCTTGTGCTGCCAGTCATTCCTCACGACAATACTACTCATCTACACCAGCAACCAAGCTCGGTGGATTCCCTCCTCGCTATGACACGCTACGCCTCTTCACGCAAGAGGTCGCTGATGTCGCTCTCCTGGTCTCAGCTCGCTTGCCTTGCCTTCCTGCGTCTACCCCGCATCGTCCCCCGAGTCTTGCTTCCTTACACCACCTCCCCCAATACTCCCTACCCGCACGTCATCCGGCTGCCATCACGGGAACCAGGTCGTAGCATCTACTGCTGGATTTTCTTGCCCTCTGAGCACGAGCTGGCCCAGTCGACCTTGGCGACAAGCGGTACTGGGCGGATACCCATCCACGTCGACTTTCATGGTGGGGGCTTCATCATGGGTCAGCTGTCCGAGCAAGCGCCTTTCTGCAGCATGCTTGCCCGTCGTCTCGGTGCGGCAGTCATCACTGTGGACTACAGACTCGGACCTCTAGATACACACCCTGCCGCGTTGCACGATGCAGAAGACGTAGTGCGGTGCTGTGTTGACGAGACCTTTTCAGTTGGGTACACTGCCTTACGATCCCACATTGCCGCCTTTTACTCCAAAACGGGATCGAGGAACGTGCAACTCGACTCTACTCGCTTGTCGCTTTCCGGCTTCTCGTCGGGAGGCAATATTGCCCTTAATATGCTAGTCTCGTGCCCCGACTGGCCCTCGCCGCTCCATCCTTCTCGCCACCCATACGACATTCCCGCTCTGCTCTTCTTTCCCAGCGTGGACGCGCGACAGCTGTCACACGAACGTCCTAGACCAGAGGGAATGCCAGCGTCAGATCCCAGTAGCTGGATGAGCTGGCTGTCAAGACACATGGAGGATGCCTACCTGGAGAGGTGGCAGCGTGGCGAGACGCGAGCTAGTCCTGGTCTGGCCCAACTCTCGAGCGATGTGGAAAGGAAGCAGGCGGTGGACAGGCTGATCGAAGTCGAGCACGACGAAGAAGCAGAGGGGGGATCACGGTCAATGGCAGCTAGACGAGCACAGGCTTCAGATGTTATCATCGACTTGACCGAAGACAGTCAGTCCCAAGGTAGTGGAAGTGCTGGCAACGAGCTCCACTCGTTGTCGCACTGCCTCCTCGTCCTGCCTACGTACGATACCCTGGCCCATCAGTCGGGTCTTTGGCTCGAAGCCCTGGAAAGGGCTGGTAGGCTGGCAGCTCCTCGCGACTGGGACGGAGAAGACGGGTCTGGGTCGAGGACGCACGGCGTGACACCTGTCTATGCTCGGGACATGCCTCATGGATGGACTCAATTCCCTGACTTTGCGCTCAGCGAGGAACAGAAGCGGTCAAAGTACGACGTCTTTGACAGAAGCGTGGAATTCGTGACGACGGTGTGGGGCGGGCGGCAGGAGTCCTGATACCCATCGACTGTTTGTACATACACTGTATATCATCTAGCATTGTCCTTCAGGACTTGACAGCTGTGGTGCCGACTTGTGGACTGCCTTGATACCCTTGACGCTGCTGTTGTGCTTCCTGTGCTGATCCTCCACAACTGTAGACTACCGCCCCGCGTCCCCTTCCGTCCCGGCGTCTTCTTGTCTTGGGTGGTTCTGCCTCCGCCTCACGCGAGCGGGGTTTGAAGCTGGGGAACGCGACTCCAGGCGTGCAGACAACACTTTGGGCCAATTTAGAAGGCGAGGCGAGGCATCGCTTTCCACTCACCACCAGCCATTGCACTCGACTCGTCGTACCACGGCAGGAAGAAGAAGAAGACAAGGCTCACACTCGTAGCCTTTACGATCCATCGATCACATCAACGTCCATCTCACCAACCACACCGCCCCCACTCGATCCACTCCAACCACACCAGCATCAGCATATCTTCCTCTCCCCCTCGCGCTCACCCCTGGTCCTCCTCAGTCCACACGGCGCACACCCCTTCCTTGGCTCACACACCCCTAGACTCCTCTGTCACCTTCAACATCGCGTTCCCATATCCTCTTACACTACCGCTGCCTCAGCGCCAGTGCCCTTGACGGCCGAGTGCTTCCTGGCCTCGACTTAGAGTGCGCCATCGCCGGCGTCGTCTCCTCAAAGACAAGATGTCGGCGAATCAACAGGCCACTCGACCAGCGCCGGGTCCCCCTCTCAAGGGGCGCACACCCTTGGGCATCAAGAACGTCCAGTCAAAGTCCCAACAGCAAGCTCATGATCGACGACAGCACGACGCAATCCTTGTTGAAGGCCCCGACGGCACCATGTCTGCCTCTACCAATGAGTCGCTCAAGCCCCAGCCGGCGACTGCCTACAATGCGAGCAAGCCAGTCGGCGGGCAGTACAAGGTCGACAAGAGCTCGCCCAAGTCCCACCGGATGTCGTTTCTCCACAACATTCAACGGAGCAAGGTCTTCAACAATCTCGTCGGCGGTGAGAGACTCTTGGCACCTCCTTCTCCACGAGACGAAGGGGGCTCCCTAGGCACCGGCAACGGCCTTGGCCTCATCGTCGACGGCGCACCGAGCAGCGCTACTTCTTCGGCTCACAACCTCCTCGGCAGCCTTCGCACACCCAAGAAGAGGGCAATCCCTCGCGAAGATATTCACCCCAGGAACGTCGTTGATCCCGACGATGGGAGCCCTCCTCACAAGAAGTCCCGCTCTTCCAAGGACAGCGGCAGCGGATCCACCGGCATCGCTGCCACTGCCACTCAAGTCAGTAGTACTGGTGGAGCAATTGCCTCTGCGGTAGACAAGATGCAGGTCGACACTTCAGTAGGCAAGGGTACACTGTCTGCCCCACCAGGGCTGACCAATACGGAACAAGCCTTTGAACGACCTCGCCATTTGCATACCCAGAGCATTCAACCTGGCCCTCGCGATACCCTCGCCCCACCGACTCGGTACCCTCGCCAAGATCACAGCAACATACGTGATTCTCATGCCGCCAATGTGGCCAAGAACTCCACTACTCAACGAATCGATAAGATCAGTAGGATGTCGGCAACCGAGCGAGCAGCCCGTGACGAGCAGAAGAAACGCCAAGCTGAGAATTGGAAGAGAAAGTATACCGCCGAGTTTCCCAAGATGACTTTTTACCTGGACGGCTTCGATGAGAAGACCAAAAGCCAGCTCACTCGTACCATTAGCGGTCTCGGCGGAGTGAGTTGCCCGAGTCTTCCAGACATCCTTTACAGCGCTGTTACTGACACCATACGCCTGTACTTCACCCTGCACTTGACTTACAGTCTATTGAGCCCTTCTTTAGCAAGAGTTGTACGCATTTGCTCAGCAAGCACATCGGAAACCCATCAGATATCTCGGGAGACTCGACAAGTGCCTCAACATCAGCTGCCGTTGCGCCTTCGCATCACGCTCCAGTCAAGAGCGCTGTAGTGAGCAAGTCTACCAAACACTTTTCTCCGAGCAAGAAAGGAGTCGCCAAGAAAAACAAAGAGTAAGTCACATCCTAAGGGAACCGGTGACGAGACCCGCGTTGCTGATCGCAGTCGTTGCGCCTTGCGTGTCGTTGCCCAACAGTCTCCCTCTTCATTCCGATCGCAATCCTTTTGACGACGTTGGCATGGCTGCTCCGACGGTACCTTCCAATAGCGTGGTAGCAAAGGCCTACGCTATGGGATTGCATGTCTGGCCTCTAGACAGTGAGTGACCGAACAGTGGCCACCACTGAAATGACATCCGGTTCGTTCGGCTGACCGCCCGTTGCCCCCACTTTCTCGTGACAGAATTCTGGCAGATCGCCAACCTACTTGTTGGTCAGGACGTCACGCAGCAGTCCCGCCACTCTAAAGCGGATCTGGCGCAGCTGCTTCGTCACGAGCAGCTCCACGGTACCTCAGAGCGTGATCTCAACGCCCCTCGCGAAGGTTGGAAGTACTTTGACAAGGACTCGTTCTTCATCTTCATCGAGGATGCTACGAGAGAGCATCGCGCCATCATGGCGCACCAATTCGAGAAGCCTACGGATCCTCAAGCTGAGCCACCTTGGCCAAAACTCTATGGCGAAGCAGAGAATCGATGTCCATTCAGCAAGACTTCGGCTCGGGCTAGAGATCGAGATCGCACTCTGGTGGGACCTCGTCGAATTGACACCTACCGTGCTGACATTGTCCGCAGATTTGACTCGCCAATGCCCCCGACCGCAAGCCGGGATCAGCGCGGTGCTTCGCCTTTCCAGCAACTTGCGTCAGGCAATAGCGTCAGCGTGGCCAGCCACATGACGACGTCCGCTATAGGCACTCCTAGCACTACTGGTTTCCCTGGCGGGTACCATGGTCTCGTAGGTCCTCAGGACAAGCGTGTCGCTCAGCTCAACCGCCGCATGGTATCCGCTGGCTCCGTCGATCTCAACAACTCTACGGGAAGTGACGCTCGACACCGGGAAGGACCATCTGGACCTCACGCTCGGGGAGCCTTCGTTAGGAGCTTGCTCGGCATGCGAGACGATCGCGCACTTCATTCCCCTGGAACGCCTGGAACGCCCGGAGGTCTACCACAGCATCTTCAGCATTCCTACCACACACCCCAGCCTCAGCATTACCACCCTCTTTCAAACCGTTCAGTGTCGCTTCAGCGACCTGGTCCTCCACAAGCACTGCCTCACACGCCAAGCTCGCACCCAGGTATGACACGCTCTATCAGTCTCGGTACGGGCACGTCCCTCGCATCTCGGAACCCTAACGCATCAAGCCGTCAGACCTTGCACGACGTCAAGAACTTTGTTCCCTGCAACGAGCGAGTACCTGCTCCAGGGTCAGTCGAAGCGATGGTCATCCAGCTTCGCCAGGAACAGCTCGAGAATCCTTGTCCCGCGCCACAGGATCCTAACGCTGAGAAGAAGCGAGACGACGCGAACAACGACCGAAGACCTTACTGCGAGAATTGCCGCGTGTACTTCGATGAGCTGGAGGAACATACACTCTCCAATCGTCATCGTAAGTTCGCTCTGAACGACGCAAACTTCGTACAGATCGATGCATTGATCAGACGTGTTGAGCGTCCTCAAGCACCCTGGGTGCCTTTCATCGCTGAGTGGCTTTCCAAGAATGGCTCAGACGCCGTACAGTCAGGATACCCTATCGGCGTAGGCCATGACGCCGAGAGTCGCTCTGCTGCCAGCCGTTCTGGCTCGGAGGACCCTCCTTTGTCTGCCTGCCATCAACCGGACCTCTCCTTCGGCGATGAAGGGGACGCGTTTGTGGAGGTGAGCAGAGACGGTGACTCGAGCTTGAATGAGACCAGTCTTGTGACCCTCGAGCAAGACGGCAATTGGCATGAAGGCGATGGAGCAGAAGACAGTGTTGACTACAACACCAGCTTCGTCGAGACCGAGGGCCATCTGACTCCACACACTTCCCCCGAGGCAAGCGCCCGACCGTCCGTCTTTGTCGTCAAGCATGAGGAAGGCGACGATGATGAGACAAGTCTGGAGGATGCTTACGAGCAGGGCGAGCATGCCCCACATGGCACTGCAGCTTAGGCCATCTCGCACCTTGGCATCCAGAGCGGTTACGGAATTCAAGACCAACATCCTCATTCGGCATCGGAGTGGCATTTCTTATACCTGCATACCTTCCGATAGAATATGATCGACACTAGGCACGGAAGTAGCGAAAGGTCATCTAGATCTCTCCGCAAGCTCCCTTCATTGACCCATCTACCCACGGCGAGCGCAAATAGGACAGGCGTCCAGGCCAAGACTTCAATTCCGCTCTCGCTCGGAAAGCGGATTTGCTGCTTCGAAAAGCCATCTCCTGATCTTCATATCCCCTGAGCCCAAAAACGCATCCGCGGCATAAGCTGACCTGCCCCTCTGGATCTCGCGTTCGGACTTAAACAAGCTATGCCATGAGACACCTTCAAGCACAAGTATGGTGTACGCGACCATCAGAACATCTAGACCATCATCGGAGACCAAAAGATCTTCCCTACAGCGGCAAGCTGGCTGCATCGGCCAGGACATCCGCGGGAAGGATTGACATGTCTCGTCTGCCACGAATGGCTCAAGTCCTCAATGGCAAGTAAAGTCTTTTCGTCCCTTCTTCCTGCATCTCCCGATGGACACGGCAGGTCTAATCGCTACGCTACTCCTTACTCCCCATTTTAGCTCAACTCCGATGAACGCCCCATGATTCTGCATACTTTCACCCCTTTCTTGTCTGTCCACGGCAGCAATGCCAATGTTCTCGGTACAACCTAACTTCATCTGTATAAACTCGTCTGTCGCACCGCATCCGAAGCAATTTCATTAGCACTTTTTTCACTATCGAATATCAGTAGGCGTGTTCACGTGTTGTGCTCGACTTGCCCAGCTAGGACGGAATGGGCAACGTGTGATTGGAGGAGTGATGACGTCGCGAGTACAGAACACGGCCGCAAGGTGCCTCTTCGTCTTCCTCTCTCTCTCCCACTCCCACACTGACGACTTGTCCTGACCGACGACGACCGATGCGGAAAAAAAAAGAAGACGTGAGGGGCGCTCGGACGTCGACGCCACGCGTAAAGTGCATGCATGCACGCACGCACGGCCTGCCGTGTGATTCTAGAAGCGCCCCTTTCCCCGCTACCCCGACTTGTGACTCCGCTGCTCAGCGTGGACCCAAAGCGAGCGAGAGAACAGCTTGAACTCGATGCGTTTGAGGTGGGGCTGACAAGTGAAAAGGGCACAGGGGAAGAGGATGTCTAAGAGGAACTGATTGGGGTGGAGAGGACAGCGGGGGGGAAACCTCCAGGCTACGGTCACGCTCGAGCTGGTAATCCTCGCAGAGGATTGGGGTTTTTATTATGATTAGTTTAATTTTCAGCTAAAAAAGATGGGTGGGTGAAGTATTACGGATGATGATGACGATGACAATGACGATGACGATGATGAGTGAGGTGCAGGAGAAAGAGAGGAAAAAGGAACTGCTCTGCAGTGAGAAGTATAAAGTTCATTATTGCCGTCGATAGTATGTAAGGGTATCAAATGAATGTGGTGGGTCAATGACTGCCTCGTGAAGATGGAAGCCTCCCTAGCCTCTAGAGGGTTCGGGGCTCTGGCCAATCGTCGAAAGTGAGGAACAGCTTGGGGTCCCGAGGTCTTGCTCTTGAGTAACAGAGGCAAGATCATGTACTTCTAATAGTGGGTGAACGATCGTCTGGCCTGAGAGCGACCGCTCGTAAGAAGGTGATGGCGTCGAAGAGCCGATTAAGAGAGTGGATGTGACATTAGAGAGACCGGAAGTTGGGGACCGAAAATGGATCTTGAGGCGGAAACGGGAACGAGAAGTTTGTAGAGGGTCTTAAGTATAGCTAGAGTAATGATTAGGTTGTGGATGTGCCTCGATCGTTTGTTTAGTTCCGATCGTGGTGGCCACGGTGATTGTTACCAAAAGCTGTCCTACTTTCCCAAGACTGACCCTTCATCGATGCTACCGCATCCTCTTGAGCTCTCACGGTTCTTTTGCAAGCACTGCTGTCGCTTTTCAGGGCGATAGCCGAAGAGAAGTGACAGCGGCTGCATAATTACCAAGCATCAGAGATGGGGATAGCAGACTCGACGTAGGCTGCAGCCTTGGCCGAGGCGGAAGACGAGGAGGCCTTGGCAGAGGAAGTGGAAGAAGCCTTGGTAGAGGTCGAAGACGACTTGGTAGAGGACTTGGTGGACGACTTGGTGGACGACTTGACAGAGGTCGAGGTAGCCTTGGAGGACGACGACGACTTGGTAGACGCCTTAGTAGAGGTCGACGCAGCCTTGGTAGAAGATGCCGACGACGACGACTTGGCAGAGGTGGAAGACGACTTAGCAGAGGTCGATGACGCCTTGGCCGACGAAGAGGACGAGGACGAAGTTGCCATGGCGTCACCCGCCTTGATCTGACCTCCATATGCCACAACGCTGGCGGCGGCAGAAGAGGAGGAAGCCGAGGCACTCGAGCTTGAGCCACTTCCCATAATGTCGCTAGCGGCGATCAGGCTTCCGTATGCTACAACGTTTCCGGAGGCGGCGGCAGCATGGGACGAGGTGGTCGAGGTTGCGGCACTTCCCATAATGTCGTTAGCGCTGATCATAGTGGCAGCATCTGCCATGACAGTGGTGGAGGCAGTCTTGCTGGCGGCCGCGGCAGCGACAGCAGTAGCGTCTTGAGCGGCGCTCTGAGTCTTGGTTCCGTCAGTGGGGGTGACGGACAGGTAGGTGGCCAAGACTGCAGATGTGACGCTCTTCGATCCACACTTGCAAGAGATCGAGCCGAGCTTGGTGCTGGAAAGAGAGCAAGTGGAGACGGCAGTAGAGCCAGAAGAGGAGGAGGCACAGTATGTTGTGCAGGTAGAGGACCAGGTGGGGCAGATATCGGCCATGTCCAGCGAAGCTCGCTCCATAGCAGGAGCAGCAACAGCTGTCTGTGCCAGGATGGCAGCAGCCAGGAAGAGTACGGCAGAGGTGGATCGCATAGTGATCCCTTGTATAGGCGTGGGTGTGTAAAGATTTCGCAATGGTTTGAATGGGAGTGAGGATACTGCAGGAGTTATCGAAATGTTTATTGCGGTAAGAGTGCAAATGAAGAGACACTGGGGCCGGGATGGGGGGTAGTAAGGAAGGGGGAAATGGGGGGTGGGAGTGGGTACGGAGGGATGATGGAGAGATGGTCCTCGTGGGGCATCGTCATAGCTGAAAGGGCTTTATACAGGGGTGGCTCTGCTGCCTGCCGTCTGCCTAGTGGGCGATGATGAAGGTCGGCTGCGACGAAAGCGTCAGAAGCGGCGCACGATGCAGCCGCCACGGATGGCCTTGGCGGCCTTCGCCGGCCTCTGAATCGCAAGCATCTCTTCTGCGCACGGAGGATTACCCCGTGGCCGTGGGAGTGGCTCTACTTTTGGCTCACGGCCGCTGCTGCTGCTCTGGGCCTTTTGGTGCACGAAGGTCGTGGCTGAAGGCAACGTCTGGATGCGGATTGGGCTCAAGGCCAGTGTCCAGGAGCATGACGAGGTGACAGGTGGCGTCTGAGATTGAAACAGATTCTACGCCGCGTTCCGCATGCGATAGAAGCGCGGCGTTTGCCATGAGGAAACGCGGGGCGTCGCGTGCCGCGCGGCGGGAAGATGGCCCGCCGCGCCCCATTCCCGATCCCGATCTGACAGGTGACCTTAGCCGAGGACGCTTTGACAGCTCTGCAGGCCGATCGGCTGAGGACTATCGACGATAGCATATTCTGGTCCTCACATGGAAGATCTCACTTTGCGCAACTCCGCCAGTCATATAGAAGCAGGGCGTCTGGCCATCGTTACACAAAGGGCGGGAGGTATATGGAAACATCTCGGGCTGATGCACGCCCAAGCGAATAATGTATAGCCAGAGCCTTAACAACAGCAGCAGCATCGCGTGCCTGGCCACCCAGTCGTCCATTTGCGTCTCGCCAAACTCTACGGGCAGCCGGACTGGCCGCGTGCAAACCTCATGCCAAGGAGTCGCCAAGTTTCTTGCCCTTGCTCTCTTTCAATCTTCGCATTCTCTCCCTCCTCTCCTCCCTCTGCCTCTCCATCTGAGCCCGCTTCTCTTCTTTGTTCATTGGTATTTGCGACCCATTACCGGTATCTGCGCTCAGAGAAGCAGCCTCGGTGTCTTCATCTGGGAACGTCGACCAGTCCGAAGCCTCCTTGTCAGTTGTCCCTGAACTCTTCCGAGGCTTGGTCGACAGAGTGGGCGGATGTGCAGATCCTGGTGCGGTCCAGGAGGGCACAGGCGTACTGAACGCAGCTGCAGCAGACTTGCTGACTCCATTGTCAGAGCCATTGACCTCCACCTTCGACTGCTCGCCCACTTCCCACGAGTCTTGTCCTTCCCAAGCATCCAGCCCCAGGGAATCCTCACGGATTTTGAGTTTTTCTTGTGCCAAGCTGCTCATCCCCTTCTTGCTTGTAGTGGCAGGACGGCTACTGAGTGGGGACGGGGCCAGCGAAGACTTCGCCCCTCTCACCCCTGTATTTCCAGGCAGACCTCTCCGAAGAGGCTTCTTAGCCGGTGCTGTTTCGAAGGACGACCAGTCGCTTGTGTCATCGTTGATGTCGATTAGGTCTTGCGCAAGATGATTGGAGGGAGATGCTGAGCCCATGCCACTACTGCTTGTCAACTGTGCCTCATTCGAATGATCTGGCAAGGGAGAATTGCTTCTGGAAAGGTCGTCGGACCTTGGGCTCAATGCACCAGAGGACTGATTAGTCAAGAGAGGGGGCCTTTGGGTATCCAAGCTGCCAGCGGAGGGCGTTGCAGCTGGCCTGAGCCCAGTGGCATCGCTGGAGAGGTACGTCATGGCGCCACTCATGGCCCAACCTGCCAGGGCCGTAGCTGCTCCCCCAGCAGTAGAGGCCAAGCCGCCAGGTGCGCCGCCTTTACTCCCTCCATTACCAATAGTGATGGACGAGGACGAGAAACTGGTAAGTCTGTTGGGATCGACACCAGCCTCCGTCTCGACTTCAGTCGGAAGAATCGTCTCCGGCATCAGCTTGACTTCCTCCCTGATCTTGGACCAGAAGACCTCCAAGGCCTTCTCGGCTTGATCCCTCACCAGCTTCTCCTTATCAACTAGATTCGGGCTGATAGCAGGAAGAACGGACCGAGCCAAGTCGTCCTTGTCGTAGGAGTCCGAGGTTGCCATGAGAGCCATGAGGCCAGCAACGCGGGCATGTACGAAGGGGTCCTTGAGTGACCTTGAGAATGCTGGGATCAAGACGCTCTTTCGTGTACCGATATTCAGTGTCGGAGCCAGTCGACCTAGAAGAATCGTCGTATTAGTTCGAATGCCGGCTTCAACATCGACTTGAGTCTTCGCCAACTGGCGGAGCAGATCATTGTTCCGAATCCTGTCTGTCAACTTTGGACTGAGGGGCAGGACAGACCTCAGAGTAGCCTCACGGATAGCAGCACTAGAGTCTGCGAATCCTGTGATAAGATTTGGCCAGATGTTCTCCGAGGCTTTCCGCGGCGGCACACGCTCGACGTAGGAGGGCAACAATTCGAGTAACATCATTCGCACAGAGCGATCCGGCGACGTGTATGCTTTGAGAATGGGAACCAGCACAGAGGCTTCCCACTTCGCCTCTGAAAGCGCAGATCCCAGCTGCAAGACGAGAGGAAGAATCGATGTTGCATGAATAGACTGAGGGAGCGCCAGACCCTGTGGGTTGGTGGATTGCTGCGAGGCTAAGTTGAGAGCATTGACGAGGGAAGGGAGCACCCGATGTGTAAGGAAGTCAGCAGGCAAACTGTCAGTCGAGCCTTGTAGAGAGCTGCAGTGGATGCAGGGCGGATGGAAGTGTGGGTGAGCCGGACACTTGCGAGTCTACTGCTACAAGTTCTTCTCACCGAATTAATTCCGTCCTTTCTCTCTCAGACGCCAGCATGAAGTGTTCGCAGCCTTCGCTCAGCTTTTGCAGTCGATTCTCCTTCCACATCCCTCCCGAAGCATTTGCAGTATCGAGAAGCTGGGCGACGGACATGCGTGTCTTCGCGTTGGGGCCAATCATGCGGCGCAAGGCTGCGAACAAAGTGGCCGGAACTGACCCTTGAGGAGGCAGACCGACATGAGCAGACGGAACGATTCCGTTGTAAACGTGAAATGCCAGCAGAGCAAACGAGTACGAGTCGGACATGTATGGCTCTTGACTTTGTGCCCCAGTACCACAGCCAGAGTGAGCTTGTCAGTCATTTTGACGCTGAGGAAAGGTATGCGCTGCTACTTCGCTCCATCTACTCACTCCCTCAGACTGGTCCACCCCCCTTGTCTGATCTCTGGGGCAGCGTAAATGGTTGCTTCCGGCAAGAGTCCTCCGTAGTTCTGGCGAGACAGTGAGGCAGATGTCAGCTCGTAATGAGCAAAGCGGACACTGGAGTGTTTCGTTGCTACCTCACCCATATGACGCCTTCGTAGTCTGTCTTGGCGGTGAGGACCTCAAAGCCGCCCAGCTTCCACTCGCCGCCCTGGGACACGAAGATAGATTCTGGCCTGATGTTGCCATGTATCGAAGCTGCATCGGCATTTATGAACTTGAGAGCATTCTGACGGGGTGGGCAAGTTGCAGAGCGGATAGGAGCACTTTCAATACAAGCCTGTCCTGCGCTCCTTGTGCAACCGTGTCTTTGGGCTCACCGCGACTTTGGAGAGACCCCAGGCAATCCATTCTTTCTTGCTCTCATCTGCTCCAGCACCAGTGTGCTTCCAATCCGCAAGCACCGTCTGCAATAGTCTCACAGCCTCTACTGCGATGTATACACCTGTTGGGGTCTCGTTGGAATCAATGAGCTTCAGCACATCTGGGTGCCGTAGTGTGCGTAGTTTCCGGAGAGCGTTCTTGGCGAGGACGAGCTGAGCTCTGGAATTGGCATTGTTGGTGCCCTCGAAGACGAAGATCGTACAAGGGGAGCCGTCGTCCCGCTTTGTGCCTTCATAGATGGACCAGATTGTTGGTCCGAAGGACGCCTCGGAGATGGGGGCTCCAATGGTGAAGTTGGGAAAGGGCCCCGACGACTTGGACAGCACAGCCGAAGCAGCGCTGCGGAGGTAGTCCATGTCGGACCAAGGTGGGCGAGGTGTGTGCCTATGTCCGAGGCAGAAGGAACGGCGTAGGTACCAATGGCGGCGGAGAGCAACAGGCAGAGGGAGGCAAGCACTCACACCCCGCTCGTCCGTCGCGTGGGAGACGCGAGCGGAGCTGGAAGGCGTGCCAGAAGTCCTCGCCTCTAGTCAATTGGCCCATCGTCCGGGACATTTTCAGCACACATCAAGCGACGCAACAGGGGAGCGAAGTCATGTCATCTCTCGAATGCAATGCATTCGATTGTCGACGTCTCTCGTGTGCAATGGGCGGGGACTGATCGTATTTCTACACATATGCATTGCGAAAGACGGATGACAGAATCTCAAGTAGGGCGAGGGGGGATCAGAAGATCTATGATCGTCCGAGACGGATCCATAGGGCAGCAAGCAGTGTATGAGAAAGCGAAAGAATGAAAACGGGAGAAGATGCATAAAGTGATCAGAAGGAGTTTTAACGAGCGCAGCTCTCAGTGTCTGAAGCAAGACAGCGACGTACTCACCTGATCCAGGAGTGGGCAATTATCCAGCGTGTGATCCCGAGACCCGCAATCGTCGCAAACCTCTTCCGTCTCTGCTTCACTGTCATTTGTCCTGGCCGGCGACTCGGCGACAGATGCTTTGTTCGCCATTTCTGCGTTGGTACTAGCAGCGCGCTCTTCAGGTTTTCTGACGCCGATCGCCTCTGCCTCTGCCGTTGTTCTCGCTGCCGCTATCTTTTCCTTTGCCCGCTGCAGTTTCTTCTCTAGATCAGCGATTTTCGCCTCGAGTTCCTCGCGTTGCCACATGCCTGCTTCTATCAAGGCCTCCAGCTCCGCCACCTCCCTTACTGAATGAGCTGCAGCCTCTTTCTTTTCGACTTCTGTCCTCTGCAGTCTGCTCTCAAGGTCGTGAGTATGTTCCTTGGCTTCCTGCAGAGCAGTCTCCAGCTCGGCGACACGTGTCGAGAGATCGTTGCCCACCCTCGCAGACGCAGTCGAGGTGCCAACAGAGCTCGCCTTGTCCGAGTCTGCCCTCGAATTTGGTGCAAGCTCGGTATCCGCAGCCACAGGCTGGGTGCTGGCCTGCTGTTCGAAAGTTTCGAGCTTGTCAAGGGCCTCTTGTAGAGCTGACCTTTCCTTCTCGAGCAGCAAAGTAAAACGCATCACCTCTGCCGCAGGTGCCAAGGCAAGGTGTTTGCTGTCGCCGTTCGTCTCGCGCCCGTGGCCATTCGCATCTTGGCTTGCTTCAGCTCTCAGAGCCTCCAGCTCGAACCTCTCTGCTTCTTGAGCAGTGGACCTCTGCTCAAGGGCATGATGCAACTCTTCGACTTTGTCTTTCGCTTCTCTTGCCTGAGTCTCAGCAATTCCAAGCTCGCTCTTGAGCTTCTTTATCTCCGTTTTGAGCTTGCTCTCTGCCTCCAGATACTTGTCCTTCCGCTTTCTCGCCAAATCTGTCTCGGCACGCAAGGCAGACCGAGCTTCCTGCAGTTGGTCCTCGATGGCAAGCAGCTGGTCTCGAGCGTGATCCAATTGCGCTTGCAGACTCTCATTGTCTATGATAGCAGCGGTAGGCGTCGCGCCAGTCGCGCTGAGTTGCGAAAGCGCTTCATCCCTTTGAGCTTCAGCAGCCGCAATGGCTTCCTGAGCGCGGGTTTGTAGCTGACGTAATCGATCCTCTGCATCATCCAATTGCTGGCGGCCTTCCTCATGGGCCTCTTCGACCCGCAGCTCATACAGTCTGGGCATGATAGCAGTGAATGACATCAGCAGCAGGAAAACCAACTTTCCACGTCGATCGTACTCACGCAATGGTCTCTTGCCCGGCCTCTTTCAATTCTTCAATTTCTCGAACGAGTTCTCCCCTCTCGCTCTCCATTTGTGACTCTAGTCGAGTAAGTCGCCCTTTCAGTTGCTCTATCTCCGCATCCTTTGCTGCGAGTACTGCAGATTGCCCGTCACTGGCACGATCCGGCGCTGCGAGGGCTAGCTTGAGGTCCTTGACCAAGGATTCGGACTCTACCACGCGGGCTTCGAGCTCCTGTACCTTGGCCATGGCATCTGAATCCTTACGCGCTGCCTCTTCGATGCTTTGCTTATTCTGTCGTTTCAGTGCTTCAACTTCAGCTAAAGCTTGCTTGACCTTTCCCTCGCTCTCTGCTCGCCTGCGCTTTTCGTCATTTCGTTCGAGCTCTTGCTCTTCCTCCAACGATCTTATCTGTATTGCAGCGTCTTCCTTGAGGCGTCTCCGTTCCTTATCCAGGTCTGCAATGTACAAGTTGCGTTCCTTACGGAGCGCAGACAATTCGGCATCCTTCTTCAGCAAGTCCGCGTTGACTGCTTCGTACAGGCTCAGAGGCACGACGCCCTCGGCTATACCGTCGACACTTCTATCGCTGGCTGCCGAGATACTGGGCGAACGTCCCATTGTCGTCGCTCGCAACTCAACATTGCTACGACGAGGCGTAGCGTCGAGGTCCATCTGTTCAAGCAGGGCCAGGGAGCGAGCCCTTTTGATGTTGTGTAGCTGTATGTCGTCGCTAATGTCTGCAAGGTCGCCTCTTTGTGACATAGAGCTAGCTGCCCGGTCCTGCGAGCGAGTACTCGCAGCCTCTTCTTGGGCAGAAAGACGAGACTCGGAGCGGAGGTGTGCCCCGGCTGTCGCAGATCCGCGAGGTAGAGGGGGCACGGGAGGTAGCATGCCCCTACCCGCCTCGCTGCTTGCCTTGTCCATCCGGACCGGCGTAGCAGGACGTGGTCGAAAGATGGCCGAGCTATCACCTCCAGCGCCCGTAGAAGCCGTCTTAAGAGGTCCTTCGGAATGCGAGGAACCGAGACTCGCCCTGCCAGCCCGGCGTCGGTCCGTTAAGGCGTCTTTGAGTGGACTGTGGGCATTAGCTGGGCGAATGGGAGTGCCATGACCCTGCCTTGCCAACGCAGCTGCTTCCTTCTTGGCTGCGATGTCTCTCGCAGTCATCTTCATCAGTTCAGCAGCCCGAGAGCCAGCTGTGATCCGACCTTGTGCGGCGGCGATGTTCTCTGCACTTGCCTGAGCTCTTCTTTGTGCTTCACTATCTTCTCTCAACTCCTCGAACATGCTTTTGCGCGGTGCTGTACGCATCGGGGTCTTGGCGGGAGTCGATGATCCCAGAGACGAATCGGGACGAGGAGCAAGGGAAAGTCGTGAAGAGGGGCGTATGCTGGCGACACTGGCTGGTCTGCTGCTCGTTGATGGAGCCACGCTGCTTCGCCTCCTCGCCGGTGTGATGGATGCCGGGCGATCGAAGACGTCCGAATCGGATGGCCGCGACTCCGAAGCACGAGATGAGCGCCCGGAAAGGGCAGATTGCGGGCGAGCTACGGCGTCGGTAGGAGCTTGAGAGTTGACCCTGCGGAGGCGACTTGGGAGAAGGAAGATTCCGTTGTTGGACGAAGTCGCAAAGTATTGCATACTGCGAGATGGAGATGCAAATGGCATGAGTATGCTACACTCGTATCGTCACCGAGGCTCCGCGCGACTTACGACCCTACAGTCCCATCATTCTTCCCGAGACCTTGCCATTCCTCGACGAGCTCGAGGCCAGCAAATACCACGGTCCCCTTGCCTTGTATCTCTCCCAAGAAGCGTAAAATGCCCCTGTAGCCGTCCTCTTTCCCCTCTCTGATCTGCATGAGCGCCCCGAGGTCGTCCAGTGTCAATTTGAGCCCTTCCTTTGCTGACGTGTCCTTAATCTGACGCATATATCGAGCGTCCAGCGAAGGGACCGGAGGGGCGGCACCGGGAGCAGCCGGAGGCTCAAATCGGCTCGAAGTTCTGCCGGATCGAGCTGCCGGAGTCGGGGTATGGACCCGGTGGCTCGAGGACAGGGATGAGCTCAGCTGCGAAGAAGCTAGGGGTGTCTTTGAGAGGGACATCGAGGTTCGAGAAGATGAAGGCGTAGATGGTCCTGGCAGCGAAGCCCGCAAATTGAGACCATCGGGAGTTGCTGATCGAGTCGTCTGCGCGGAGGAAGATGGAGGACCCAGAGAGGCCCGTAGGTTGGAAATTGACTTGCGTGCGCCTAGAGACGGCCTGGGCAAGGTAGAACGGGCGGAGGTGGGAGTGGCAGACGTTCTGGTATCGTTGCTAGCGTCGGAGTGGTTGGGAGGCACAGGTGAAGAGGTCGGCTTTCGCAATGCTCCAGGCGTTGGTGTGTGCATCCCTGCGCCGGGACGAGCCAAGGAGCGACGGGGCGTGTGAGAGGAGGCAGAGGCCGAGGCCGCAGGGGTGGTCATGATGGGTGGACAATGGTATTGGGCCGTCGGAAGAGCAACCTCTACCAGTCCCTACGACGCCGATGTGATGAGGTGGCGTGATGTGATGCGAGAAGGATGAGGTGATATGCAGCCGGACGTCGGCGATGGTGATGGTGGTGGTATTGATCTTTCCCGCCGGCGCTGCGCGTCCAACACCGTCCGCCGTGCATCTCCAGTGTTGATTTCTGCAGGCGGCGCACCCAGACCAGAGCCGTGCGCATCTCGGCAACCATCAGGGCGTGGCTGCTCGTGGACTCCGCTCCTCAGCTTCCCCCCGTACCATCATCACCAATCAAGACTCGACGTCGAGGGACATCTGATCAGGTAGCGGTGAGACGACACCATGTCTGAAGATGAAGAAGAGGCAGTCCCGTGAGTACAGGAATCAGGCGTGCGAAGCGCAGACAGAGCTCTGCGCCGGCACGTCGCTGACGAGGTGCGCCTTTACCATTCATTTCAACGAACACCCCTTGCGCCCCCTTACGGCTGATATGAACATCGCAATTACACATCCCCTCTTGCGACGACGCGCCAGGTCCTTCGATGACGATGCGCAAGAGGTCGCCTTTTGGAAGAGCAAGGCTCAAGCATTGCGGGAGCTGCTGGATGAAGCCCATGTAAGCCTGAGGGACTTTGAGATGAGCTCCAAGGAACTTGAGGAGGAGATGGACAAGGAGCTCGCGCAGTCAAACAAGCAGCTGGAGGAGGCAATCAGAAACAATGAAAAGCTCAGCCAGGACAGAGAAGAGTGGAAGGTAAGTCTTCACCATGTATGCGGCCGGATAAATCAGGACCGTAGTGGCTAGATCTTCCCATTCACACCGACCAATGATGCTGCTGCCCCTCAGAGTAAATACCAGTCTTCTCTACATCAGAGAAATAAAGAAATCGCAGAGGCGACAAAGGAGCTTACCCAGCTCCGAGAGACGTCCAACATCTACAGAAAGAAGCTTAGGGATATGGAGCTTGACAACGATGGATTGGAGAATGCTGAAAGGTAAGAGTAGCTGCAGAAGCGTCGTTCGCGCGCAATGGCTGAGGCCGAACATACCGCCCCACTACGCTCATCAATGTCTTCGAAGGATGATACGATCCACCCTCGAGGATGTCGAAAACCGATACAATCAGCAGATGGAGCGGACGACTTTGATGGAGCAGGAAATCATTGAGAAGCTGCAACTAGAGGAGACAAATCAGAGATTGAGAGACGAGATCAGGGGTGAGTTGTGAGAGACATATGGCGAGGCGGTGGGTGCCGGTATGCGCCAATAGATCGCAATCCTCACTGACCTGCTGTCCTATTTGGGTCTGGTGGTAGAGATGAGTGAAGAGCTCAATGTCTTGCGAGCGCGGGAACAACAGAAGCAAGGAACACCCAACAGCAGTAAATCGCAGGATATGACCATTGGCGAGCTAGTGGGCAATGGGCCGAAGCCCTCTCGACGTACCGACTCTACGCGTACTTCAGTGGCTATATCCGAGCTGCCATCGTCTAGTCGAGCGGGCGCTGCAACTCCTTCAAGACCGCGTACTTCCCTTGCACCCCGTGCGTCTGTCGTCCATCGCCGCGCACCGAGCCGTGATGTTGACAGTCCCAGTCTTGCTACTCGTCAAGCCAAATTGGCAGCATCTCGGAGCACTGTGCCATCGGGCCGTGTACCTCCGTCCGATCAAGTGCGAGCCTCAACCAAGATGGCCCGCGATTTGCACGATAGAATCGGTAGTCTACAGACAAAGATCGGAACCTCCCTCCAACAAAAGTCTCGGATACCCCGCCCCAGTCTTAATCCCGGAGGCAGTATGAGCACTCCGCTGCGGGCCAGCACCATCTCCGGCGCAGCTGGAAAGGCTTCCGCCTCTTCTCCAGATGCAGAAAGACATAGCCAGATCCCTCTACCCACGTCAAGCCTGCGCAAATCCATCGGAAGACCCAGTGCAAGACTGAGCATGTCCCACGCCGCTGGAACACGAGAATCGTCCATGTCATCCCTTCCTGCTGATGGGCGGGCTTCTGGGGATGCAAACCTCCCTCGCTCCATGACGCCTACGTTCAATTCAGCCCGTGCCAGACGGGCTACCTCAGAATGGACGTCCGACACATTGCAGCCCGGGAGGCGAGAAGGAGAGTTTCGGCCAGCCTCAGCTGCAAGCGCTTCTCTCTCACAGCGCTCAGCCTCGCCGCTGCACTTTTTGAATACAGAACCACTGCTGCATCACTCGCGACCACAATCGCGGCCAAGTCTCGCTAAAGACTCGGTACGAATAGCAAAGGCTACGCCTGACCCCACCAAGAGCACAGCATCAGAAGAACGAAGCTCACAGCGGTCAATAGCCGCAGGGGCGCGATTCACACCTCGTCAGACTGTGAGCGGCGCGCGCTCTACTACCACGAGCAGAAGCTCTGTCGAGATCGGCTCAGCCGACACTGTGGCGCAACGCAGGTCTGGACACGTTGACGATCCTGTCAGCGGCCACCGTCCTGCCTCATCATTGTCGGGCTCGCTCGCCACGTCATCAGAGCGTTCCTCCGTTTCGGCATTTCGTCAAGAGAGACTACATCGTAATGGCCTCAGTGCTACTGCTGGACCACCTCCAGTGGCTCACACTGGGCTCAAGAAGATGATTGCTGCTCCAGTCGCAGCAGGAAGTGGAGCGCGGAGAAATTCGGGAACTTTCAGCGGGCCGGTAAGCCGGCGTTCCAGCATTGGTGGTTAGTGTCAACAGGTCTGGCCAGGCTACTGTCGTCTTATTTTTGTCATATATCCCACGACCTCTGTCACGAAAGCGACGCTTTTGCGCCTCACGCCCGTCTTGCGACTCCTAGCATTAGGCCTTGTTGGTCTTGGCGCAAGTGCCAATACGTGATTTGATCTGACCAGCATAGTGTGCCAAGGTCTCTGCTGGAGGTGAGAAGCGTCGTCGTGCGGAAGGCGCTGTTCCTTTTCATCGCATCGTGTCGCGCTTGGTACAAATTCAGTCGAAGCGGCGTGCTGCCGCTGTTCCCAATCAGATATGCCTTTCCCGATCTGGCTTCGAGGGCTTTCGTCTCGCTCACTTTACGGTTTGGCGGCGTAGCCCCATTGAACGAGGCATCGGAACAACGCGCTTTTGGCCGGGGGCATCACATGCACACCGCGGTGTGGCGACAAGCTCGATGACTTTCCGCCTAGAGTGCCGGGCAGGGAATGTCGCGGCCAAGGCTATCCACACTACTGTCTGATGCCTTTGCGCCGGAGGTCAGCCTCGCACTTCAATGCTATTGTCACCATGCTCCGCACTCGCCGTAGAGCTATGATACAGCTTGAAGCACGCCGTCGTCCGACCCATCCCTCTGACCAGTACGCCTCAGCTACTCCACATTCTCTTCGTGTACGTCGGCGAAGAAGTCTACCGTAGCCGCACACAGCAGTGAGTAAGCTCGATCTTCGTGCACGACCCTCAGTCTGCTCGATGGACTCAGAAGCATTGTCCCTTCTCTGTGGCATCAGGCGATTGGCGGGAAGCCCTGCTTCACTTAGGCTCAGCCTTGCGAGCTGACTGGGAGAGTCGTTAAACCTACCGATAGATACCGCCAAGCAGAGCCCAGTACTCGCCTCTGATGCGTCAACGCGGAGTAACAGAAACTGGAAGACAATCGAAGAGGCGAAGACGGTGCGTGCTCCCTCGTCATTCGTACTTGATGCGCCCTTCCGGGTACAGATATCGGCCAGATGTCTTTCGTTTGGGCGACCACTGACCGGGTTGCTCGCACGCTGTGCAGTAATCTGCACAGGTGCTGGAGAAGGTTCAACCCCCTCTGTCGCCTGTCATTCTTGACATTGACACTTAGCAAGTACGCAGTCTTGAGGTGCAGGGATCCGGTCATGGTCGGACGATGTCGAGGACTTTTGCACCATCTTCGCTGTTGCCTGCATCGCCAGTGTCATTATGGTCGAGGACACACTTTCGCTCCATCTCGATGGACTGTCTCCGGGTGTCCCGGTGCGTGAAACTTCAGATACAGGCGGTGTTGTCGATACAGTACTGTACCTTAGCCGTTCTCCTTGGGCTACTTTATGGCGCCGTAAAGCCCTGTTGACGCGCATCTTGTCGAGTAACATGTTGTTGACTACCACGCTAACAACGGCGGCGCTGAGCACTTTCATCTGGCTAGTGATGACAAAACGACGGCTCGCCAAGTAGCTACTGGACGCAAGCACAATGCTCGATCTTGCCATACACAGATCCCTCATGCAGGGAGGTGAAGGTGTCCAACGACGTCAAGAAGGGCCAAGACACGAGCTCTGCCTCATTCTCCCGCATTCCTCTCGTCCACAAGTGCAGATTTGCCTTTCTATATGCTAAAATCTCGAGCCGTAAAGGCGACTCGAGCACCGACGCAAACGGGTGTGCCGATCTCGCCAAAGAATCGCACTTCCCGCGGCTCGTGGCTCGAGACCTACAACATGTACACCTTGTCATGCCATGATGTCCTCCTGTGAGTTATCTTCGGGGTCACTGCAGGTCTCCCCAAGGACATCGACAAGCTATAAAGAAAGCGTCGAATCTGATGAAGACCGGACTCGGGGTGCAGATCTGCATGCCATGTCTACTCACTACCCCAACCAAGTTGAGCATGTTCACTCTATCCTCAAGGTCTTGACCGTCTGCACAATCTCATCCGCACACGAGGCCCACGACACTGCGGTCCTATCGGGACGCTCACTGTCGTCTACTCAGATCTGGGGTGAGCCAGGAGCTGCCTCGGCACAAGTGAATCCACTCCCGTTGGGTTCTAGTCTCCTGAGGCGCTGGTATAATTTATGACTTCTCCAACGGCCTCGCGCTGTGGGATTGGCGCCTCGGGGCGGTTCTCGGGAACTGCTTTACTCTGCGTTCCTCTCACGAGGCTTCTCTGTGGAGCTCTTATCATCACACCGTGTTGCACGCCTCCTACCTCGGAAGTTCGTCCCACCATCCCAGTCCAGCATTGGTGTCGCCCTCGACATCGGCATACAATGGCGACCGGAGGACCATGAAATTGAAGAGCTCTGTTGAACTTGGAGGTCTATACTGCTGACGCTACCGTACGTGTCACTTACGGCTGTCCAATAGGGACGAGAGACGCTGTGCAATAGCAGACGTCACTGGACAGCCAGAAGGGAGAACAACCCGAGTGTTCGTGCCACGCGTCCACGCCTTTCCCTTGACAACATCTTCTCTCTGAAGACAACGGCACCGCCTGGGCTTTAGCAAGCGCGGCCACCACCGTGCGCTTACTGTATATCTTGACCCGCTGCGCAGCTGGTTGAAGGCCAGAAAAGCGACGCCCTGATTCGCGAAGCTGCTACAAGGAATTTTTCACCGTCCATTGTTGCCATTCATGCAGAAACCTCCGAAGATACTGTCCGCGACAGCATTACACAGCTCTGCCGAGTGAAGGATCGACGTACAGTGCAACAAAAAGCAGATCCCGTACGGTAAAGTGCAGTCTCACATATCGACCGCTTCCGTGAGACACTGAGCACTGCTTTCATGCCGCCTGCCATCGCAACCATCCTCACATAGCTCGCCGGGGCAATTTATTATGAGCCAACGTCTTTCCATTTCCTGTGGGGGCGCATCTACTGTACTTACCCTACACATGCATCTGACTTGTGACAGAGTCTTCTTTGATGTGGCACAAGACAGTGACGCACAGCATGATCTTCCAATCACAAAGATAGATTTGGCTGAAACTGTGTAAGAAGGGCAGCTTTCACCGCTACTCCTTTTGTCACTCAATTCTAGCCAAATGCGCGTTGGATTAGCCGCTGCACCAGAATTGTAGCCAGACCAAACATATTTGGGCAGCATGTATGTTTGAAAGTAGCTGCATGACACTGCTCTAGTGCTTGGCCTTCGCTAATGCGTGGCTTGTTTTCTGGCTCAGATTGCCAAACGCAAGGCAGACTGCCAGACCTCAAGCCAGCCTGCCAATCGAGGGAGTTGGAAAAGCTTTGGCAAAGCCACGCGGGGACCCCCCGCTAAAATATTCCGCGCCGATTCCGATTGCTATCGCACTTCCGTACCATTCCATCCTTGCTTGCCACCAGCCTTGACTCGAATTGCTCCGCAGTCTACTTATAAACATCAGTATCGTCTTTCCCTGGCGGTAGTAGTCGTCCCTGGCTATCGGCTCCGACTTTCCTCGCAGCAATCGACCCAATATTGGCAATTTCAGGCGTGAGCCCCTTACCACCACCTCGTACATTGCCCTGGCACACGTCCTCTCGATAAAAGTCATTCAATCTTGCTTCTCCTGCCCTACCAAGACACTCATTACCATGCCTAATCGTCATATAGCCCCTCAGCTGAAGCAGTTTACTATGCGAGCTGTGGATGAAGAGCTATTGTCCCTGGGACAGTGCGTCTACCTTGGTGCTTATTCCTGGCCAACCGCCCAGAGGCTCAGATTCCAATGGCTTGGTCATGACAGATCCCTAGCCCCAAGGAAGACAGGTGGCGACTTGGGAAGGCCTCGTAGGATGAATAAAGCTGCGGCCTACCAATTGCTATCGCTCATTAAGGAGCAACCGGACGCCCAACTGTCTGAACTCAGTAAAGCCCTCTTTGACCTTGGGTATGGATATTTCAGCACTCCTTACCTGTGCAAGGCTACCAGACGCCTCAACGTATCATACAAGGTTGCGAACTGCTATGCCACTGCCCGTAGTGACCTACAGAGGCTTGAGTACCGACATATGATCAAATATTACGACCCTGAGCAGCTTGTCTTTATCGACGAATCCGCCTTTGACTATCGCGTCTGCAATCGCAAGAGGGCTAGGTCTACTAAAGGCAGGCTAGCCTATCTACGGCAGCCTTTTCAACGAGGGAACAGACTGAGCTTCATGCCAGCATGTTCGCTGACCAAGGGGTGCTTTGCCTACTATACAAAGACTGGCAGCGTCAATGGAGAGGTCTTCCTCCACTACTTGCGAGAAGTGCTGCTGCCACAGATGAGTGAGGTTCCTTTGGCTAATAGTGTCATTGTATGCGACAACGCAAGCATTCATAAGGTGCCTGGGGTCTTGGACCTTGTGCATAGCCAGAGTGAGTGTCAGGAGGCAGCTGCAGGGCAACACACAACGTGAGACGGTACCGCCTGGCGCGGGAGGTAGTAGTGCTCACGCAATGATACACCACCTTGGCACCCACTCAAACAGACCGTGAGATTGTATTTCTGCCTCCCTATAGCCCAGACTTCAACCCAATAGAGAAGTGCTTCAACAAGATCAAGACAAGAATGCGCAAGATGGGTGCTTTACCCAATTTGGCCATCGAGGACCAAATTGCCTTGGCTGCCAACTCTATAACCAGAAAAGACATACAGGGCTGGTTTAGGTTCGCAGGGTTGCTTTAGTGGGTAGCTATTCAACTTCAAATACACCCCCAAGGACTGCCGAAGGGGCAGTAGACCAGATTACTTCAGGTGAGGAGCTCATATGATGGCGAGGAGAAGGAGTGCGTTGCGGCAGTCCTGCTAACTTCTTCATCTTTCGAATATCCTCAGCGATCTTGCCGACGGGCTGAACGTGCTTCTCTGGTTCCTTTATTGCAGCCCATGTGTCCACCATCTGCTGGAGCTTGATAAGGTCGACTGGCCCAAAACCAAGGCGTCGTAAATCACGTGCGGGGATCTCTGCCAGAATACTCATCTCATACAGGCGATGTTTAGCCAGCAATGCCAGCAGATCATCGTCTACGTAGCTGTGGCCTTCACTGCAGAGATGCAAGCACGTCATTGCCGGTCCTTCTTTGCGTACTCGAGGCTCGGCAGGCTCAGGAGGAGGGGTGCCATGGCTCACTATGCGACGCTTGCTGCTACTGGCATTGCTCACATTGGTGACGTCGGCAAACGCTCGGTGGAGATTGGAGGGTAAAGAGCTGCCTGCAAAGGACGAGCGCTGGCTAGCAGAGTCGCTAGGGCCTACATATGAGCTCCCTGAAGTTGTGGGCGTCGCCGGCAACTGCACTGCCTCAGGAGATGAGGAGTGCTCAGATGAGTGTCTGCCTCTGGTAATGCCTCTTGGTGGCGAGCGTCCGTCTAGCAGATGATCTGGAGGGTTATCAACGCCCCAGAGATGGCCCTCCGCCTGCATAGCTTTAGCCCACCTCCTTGTTGTGGGCAGATCTAGTATCCTGTGGCGGTTTAGGGCATCAATATAGCAATGTTCTCTTGCTCTAGCACCGGCACATGTGTAGTCATTGCAGACCGGCCATTTAGCGAGAATCTGCTGCTTGAATGGCTCGAGAACGTCTGAATCTACCAGAGGCTTGCGCTGTTGACTTAGAACAGACGGCGTGGGCTTGGCAGGCTGTGCAGTCGCCTTATTTGGTGAGGGAGTGCGGGGAGGCGGCATCAGATCTGCAGCCTCGGTAGCGGCTGGCTCTTCCTTGTTTATGATGAAACGGCAGCTGGCACCTTTCCAAGAGTGCTCAGAGAGAGCCTCTTTGAAAGCCCCTAGGTCTTCCTTGGTCTTGATGGCAATTCCCTGGTCAAAGTAAGGAGCCTTTGGAATGTAAAATTGAGCCTCGCTGGCAGCGTAGTCTTCTGCAGGTGTGCTGGTGTCAGGAAGCGCTGCCTTGGCCATCAAAGTGGCAAATTCGTCGAAGGGGATGAGTGGCTTGAAGTAGACAAAGCGTCTGGGAGTGCTGGTCTTCGACACGTGGGGTTTTCCTTTACTACTAATCCCCTTCACCCTCGTTTTGGTAGTGAAAGCCAACATGACGATATCTGGTCTTCCTGTGATCAGAAAGGCCCAAATGAGATATCTCTGTCAAGCTGAATGTGCCTACAATCACTCACCTTTGGCTGCCAAAGCCTCCTCCGCTGCCCGCCTAGAGTTGTTGGATGAACGTACGGGTATATCGTCCTCTTCGATCTACAGGAGCAAGGCGCAAAAGTTGCTCAGTATCGAACTCGCTCAATTCTTAGCCTTACAGGCTGAAACTTCACACACCATTTGTACAGCGGCAGACATTTGAGCAGCTGTCTTCTTTTTGCCCTTAGGGTCTTGGCCTGGGGTCCTTTTGGGTGGTGCTGTGTAGTTGGGGGGGTAGAGGTACACCATCCAGTCGCTTAGTATCTAGGTACGCGATTTTTAGTATTAAGAGGTGCCAAAAACGCACCCATGGAGAGTCTGGACCTTGTTGCACGTAAAGATGATGTTATGAAGACGTGTTGTTTAGTAGAAATGAGGTCTGGCAAGGGAGTGAAGTATGGAGATTGTGGGTAGAAGGTGGAGATAGCCAACCCTGCAGCCGACGGAAGTGGCGATTTTAGGGGGGGGGGGGGGTGGCTCGGCTCCGACAATAGTTACGCAAGTCCCTCTCTCACCTGCAGCCGGCTAGAATTGAGTGACGAAAGGAGTATTTCCTGTGCTGTAAGGTAAAAACGACTCTACTGTGTTCCAGCAGCAAGAAGACTGGACAAATTATGACACCCATAGCACCGACGTCGAGTTAAGCAAACGTCTTTCTTGGGAAGCGCAATCAGACACCGTCCAAACTCGAAAGCGCACTCAATGAGGGTCACAGTGTGAGCGGTATTACATGACAGGTGACAGAATCGACTGCCAATGTTATTTTCACGTATCGATTGCCAGCCGTTTGCTTCTTCAGGGACTGGCACATCATCTCGCTAATGAGACAACAAGACATTGTCTCGCGTGACAGCAAATAGTACTGTCTGCTGTGGTCTTGAGGTGCATCACAGTTTACTGTATGCCTGCGATCGCAGGGTCGGTTCTTGGCAACAGCTGCGCAGTATCTACTCATTTCTTTAAATGAACAGAACAAAGTAACAGTGTGAGATGCGTGATGATGCCCAACTTGCGAGATGAGACTACATTGACATTGGACTTGTTTTGTCGCTGCTGGATGAGATGTGTTTGTTGACACAATTGAAATCATCTGAAAGGAGATTGCCCCGGCAGCGATACTGTACTCGGTGCATTCTTATCCTCAAATAAGCAGCTGATTTTGGCTCTACCGTTTATGGTACAAGATGGCAGCATGTACTTTACAGTCAAATGGCCAGCCGCACCACATCGATATTCTGTCTAAGCTCGGTTATTGTAAGCACTGAATAGGGTCAATTGTGAACTTTGCAGCACTCTACAGCAGGTATGCGTGACAAATCCACTGAAAGTTATGCAGTCTCATTTTCTCGCAATCTTGCTCGTGTGCGACGAGAACACATTATCTGCCTCATGAACAATGTCTGTAGCTACTTTGTATATTCAAGCACTGTATGCAAATTTCAAGCATTGAGCGCAGCAAGCTTTTACTGTACTGTACAGTCTATGCTGAGGAAAATTGCATCCCAAGCAAATACTGTACGACCTCTCAACAACATGATACAGTAGCGCGTGCTGTGTCATACTGTAATGCTGTATTACGGTCAGTGAAGTAGAAATCGTCAGTATATGTGAAAGGCAATGCTGTGACATTCGTAAAAGCAGCCGCCCGCGCATCATCTGCTTACTCTTTCCGTCACTCAATTCTAGGCAAATGGGCGTCAGTTTAGTCAGTTTGTCCAGATCCTAGCCAAACAAAGAATATCTTGGCAGGATGCACGTTCAAATGTAGCTGTATGACATTGCTCTAATGCTTGAGATCTGCTCAAGTGCGGCTCAAGTCCAAGCTCATCTAGCTCAAATTCGAAACAGGTTGCCAGACTTCCGATCGGGCTGCTACTTTGAGTCTCAATTTGGTAGTATCGTGTGATGAAAGGGGTTTTGTTGGCATTTATTCAGCCGAGCACTTTGCAACAGTGCAAGCGGCTACGCACTTATCCTGTGATTCAATCTAGGCCATGCTGGTACAGTACCGTATCAGGATTCCACATCTAAAGTCCTGGCTGTGAGCGCCGTCGGGATTGACCTCACTGTATTGCAGAGTCTGCCGGAACATTCTGATGCTGAGCTGTTGCGAGCATCGTCAACCTTGACGCTACTGTGGAAGGTCAAGAGTAAGCGAAAAGAGGAACGAGATCCAGTACTGTATCACCAGTCACAAAGGCTTGAAGGATCGCGCTTTCACCCGCAATCACTTCTATGCTGCTGTACTGTACAGTACTGGACTGTAACAATTTGCCACTGCTCCTACTAGTATCGTCGCACTGGTGTGCCTACCGTATTCCGACTTGCAGTCGATTGCTTCTGTCTGCGCAATCTGTATAGCTTCTCATTGGCCATGTCACGCTAGAGTTATTGTTGATTTCAGACAGGAATTGAGCATCTGTCAGCCCACTTGAGATTGTAAGAGAGAAGCACAGCGTGCCTCTCAGGCAGCGAAGATACCTGCTGTGAGGTCACACAAAGGGATGTACTTTGAATCGTCTTTTGATTCTGCAGCAGTCACCCAGTGAGGTGCTACATGTACTCATTGACGCAGCAGTTTTGCAACGTCTGCTCTTCCAAATGTGAAGGGGAAAGTCCCTCCGCTGTGTCAACAGCCGCGTTAGGGGTATTCTGTTTGTCACGCGATTTCAGGCAAAACAAAAACGCAAAGTAGCGGTGTGTCAGTAAGTCTAGGAGTCTGTCTTGCAATACAGCAATCTGAGCCCAACTCCCAGCCACAACCCAGTCAAATCAACCAGAAATTTTCTTTTCATGGCTCGATTTCCGAGCAGATGGCAAAGATTCACTGCAGCCCGCTGGAATTGAATGACAGAAGGAGTACCACTCAATGCGTTGCGAAGTATACAGCCCGGCCGATGGCAGAGTATGACGGACCAATGTCGAAACCGTATGTTGCCAAATGGTACATGTACTGTACAATCCTCTACAGGCTGTCAGGTATCAGGCTTGCCCTTCGGCGCAGCCCACTAGATTTCAGTACTGTACAGTACGGTATGGTGAGAATAGAAGTAAGCCCTTTGGAAATTTTCATGAGCTGTCTAGACTGTCACTGCCATGGATCAGTAGCAGTCACCGAATCTGTGCAGTATTGGTGGCCTGCCTTCTTACGGTACGTTTTCACTACAGTACAGCTTACTTTACTACCCTGATAGGCCACATGAGGCCGAAAGGTCACTCAGATGAGAGGTGGTGTGTATGACAATCGTAGGATGCCGTAAATGTGTCGGCTGTTTCGGCACGCCCTTCCGGAATAGCGCTCTTGTGATACTGTTTGCTGCGAAAACAACGACAGTCGCAAAGCTCCTCGAAGCTGAAGAACAGCTGTTGTTCGACAGCCTGCAATACTACTGCCGCACCTGCTGTATTGAGGCGCCCCTGGCGAACGAAAGTTTGCTCATTCACAAACATGTATGTATACTGTGTACTACAGTGACCGAAGTGTGCCCAGATCGGTGGCCTGACAGGCAGCGTGGCAGCGTGTCTTGCTCCGCGACAGTCTAAGCCTGGAGTCAAGCCAGACTCGAGCCAGCCTTCAGCCATCCTGAGACACGAGAGCAGCGTCATGGTGCTGAAGCGGCGCGGCCAAGACATTTCCGCTTTCTGAACTCCAAAGATGCCTCATATATTGCTGTATAGTAGCTAGCCGGAGCCCATTCCTATCATTGTACGGTGCTCTACCTTTGCTTCAGTCATCACAAGCTACTTTGCCCACTGTGTATAGGCGGGCAATTCGTCCATTTGCCACGCTTGTGAAAGTATCCCACTGTTGCTGTTGCCACGTAGCTCAGTACATGGCTACAGGATCTCCTTCTATCTGTTATGCAATACTGGTCAGACTTCTGAGACACGAGTAGCCAGACTACAGCCCTGACGGCTTGCATGGCACTCTGGGGGTTCGCAGTCACGTCAAGCCGTGCTCCGGCGCTGTCCTGTACAGTACACTGCACGCGTCCTGCCGCTGATCGCAGTCCAGGTCCCGTGTCATCATACTGTGTATGATGACACAAGCCCTTGTTCGTCCGGTGTGACCTTCAAATTATACACTCTACTCCCATGCGACTACAGTCAAATCACGCTGGAAATGGCACACCGACGTGAACTTTTCCAGTATGACTCACTGGTCCAACAACATGAACTGTGTATCTGTGGGATCCGTTTCTTACCGTACTACGAGTAGCCAAAGTCAGGCCTCAGAGGAGCATTATGACGCAACATCGACTCTGCAGGATAAGGCAGTGCTGGGCCGAGACCAGAATCATTCTCAAGTTCAGTTGCAGTTCGACAGGCTTAGCTGACGGAAGGATCAGCTGATTGCAGCTGAGAAGTACTGTGTCGAAGTCGAAGTACCTGTCTGTCTCCTACTCGAGGACTTACCCTGCACTCCAGGCCAACGCTTGCTCTCTATTCTTTTCAACTCATGCGCAAGTCTTGTCCACTCCGGTACCCAAGCGCGTGTGCGAACATTCCATCTGGTAGCACTAGACCTCAGTCTACCAAGTGCACTCAGTTCAGACCTACCGCAAGTTTTCTGTCGTTCCCGTTGAGTCATCTCAACGTCGAAAAGGAAAAAGAAAGGCAAGTGAGGCCTTTGCGGAGGCCGCCAGGCTATTGGACGTCCGCTGTGACACATTCGATGTGTAACGAGATCATGGATGCGTAATGTCGTGGCTAGAACCTGGCCAGAATCCTCGGGAGGAAGTGTACGGACGAAGTACAGTGTCAAATGAATGTCACGGAGGACAGTGCCTGGAGACAACGATCAGTGCAAGTATACGGCCTCGGTCTAAGGCAGGTCCGGAGTCACATGTACGCTTAGACGACATTTCACGGACGTTCATATGTCCAAGTCTGCTTGAGATACATACCTCTCGAGGTCATTGCTGAGATGCCTCTGGTGGGTCACAAACGTAAGGACGTGCTGATGTGTCTTGGGAATCGCGTGCTCAAGCGTTCCTGGATATCGCTTTGCCAGCCAAGTTGCCTTCAATTGTTGCAATCTTGAACGCTTGCTTCACAATGCAAGCCGTGCTCAGAAACAGGATCAGAGTACAATCTCCCAGCAACCCAACAAGACCAATGTCGTGCAAAAGGGTAGGCTCAAGCGTTCTAGTGGGGCGAAGATTGAGGTCACGTTCGCCGCGCAAAACGACTGTTGACAGGGCTCGCAGAATAGACATTCGTACTCAGTACTTCCCTTAGGCCCATCGAACGACTTGGCGCGTCCCAACGAAGAATTGAGCCTTTTCTTGGACCCTCGTACCCCACAGAGACCGCTCCCCGCTGCGGTGACATGATGTCTCTCCACCTATTGCGTTATTGCTCTGGAGCAGACCCTGCATAATATGGTGCAGCGCTTCTGCGGCACCGAAGAAGACGCAATGCGTCAGTCCGAGGAATTGAGGGCTGCATTATCGATCTCGCAGTCAGCAAGATCATGGCGACGCGGAGACCGAAGAGAAGGCGCATTCGATAGAACACGAGCTTGCGGAGATGTGCTGCGTCCTCACGCCCCTCTCGATCCTCACGCCCCTCTCGATTGACGACCTCTGTGTCGTCTGCAATCACCTCAGTAACATTGTCTTCCGTCTTTGGCTCCAAAGATACTCGCTGAGAGCCCACCCCGTTTTCAACCGAGCTCGACAGTACTATTTGATCCCTTCTGAACGCAGCAAAGCTCCGTTGAGCTTTAATCAGTCGATCAATGTACGGCAACGCGCAGGGTCAGCCTACCTTTGTCGGACACCTGGACACACAGCTTCGTTATCAGAGCTGGCAGTTGGTGCGATCTCTCAGCCGTTCTCGGCAGGTCGTCCCCGTGATGCATCTTCACGGTTCGGTGCCAGAAGTGGCCTGAGGGAGGACGAACGAAGCTGAAAGGAGCAAAAGGGAAGCAGTGCGGATAACTGTCCCACGCCAGGTCTGAACACCACGGCTTTCACTTCACAATTCACCAGTCTCAAGTGGCACTGCCGAGAAGGCGCTGACGCTTGTGGATGCTTGTGACAAGCCCAGAAACTTTGCAGCCCTATTGGTGATCTACTGAGGCGTACTGATCCCAAGGTCTGTGCCACAGCTTTGATGAGAGGGCTGAAGAGAGTGATCTTTTGACCACATCAATAGCAGCTGATCCGAAAGGTGTCCTGTAAAGTGCAAATGGACTAAGGGCTCTTCGAGAACACACATTGACACCGCGGGCCTGTTTCACAAGAGTTCGCCCGAGTTTCATGTCTGCGAACCTGAAGGTGACTTCGACTGCTGAAGAGAGGTAAGTTTTTCGGGCAAGGGTGGTGTAGGTGGCTCGCATGTGCCAGCTCAAGCGACAGACTTTCCCAGCAGCGCGGATCAGATTGCGGGTGGAAGCGAGAGTGTCGTCACTCCAAGCGCGTAAGCGCCCACGCTGAGCAGAGTTTTCCCGCTTCGGCAGTGTCCTGAGCCCGGCACCACCTGAGTACAACTACAAGTCGCGCCCAACATGCTGGGTCTTCGTGCATTCTCTGCCACGCATGTTGGTCGGACTTGAGAGTCGTCTCATCGGCCTTTGGGCTGGGCAGGTGAGCCCACAGCACAACACATGATGCCTCAGGCAAAGGCGTTCAGAAGAGGGCGATTCTTGTCTAGGGACATTCAAATTGGTGACATTTGTGGTCGCAGTCTCTGATATGCTCGTCAGGAAGACCTGCTTGCTTTCCACTTCCATCTTCCCTTGAGATCTATCTGCTTTGCCGTTATGATTCAATGTCAGTTTCCCCGCCAGCATCCTTGTGACACCCCGTGTCCGCTTATAGGCACGCTTGGTCACTTGTCGCTTGCCGGCCACCTGCGCCCCCGAGCGTCAGAAGCCCTCTGCAACTTGCATAGTTCACCGGGCGGCGATGGCTCTGATCCAATGTGTTCGCAATGGGACAGCAGAGGGCGCCACGTCTGCTATGAGTCTACGTCTGACAGCGCACGTGGTAGCCGAAGCCCTGGAATGTCAGCTTGGGGTGGCATCCGTCCGTGAAGGTGCGCTCTGTCTGCCTTAGTGAAGGATGGTTTACGCGCATGTGGGTCGCGGGTTGTTGCAGGCGGAGAACAAGTCGGATCGGAAGGGGCGCCGTCCCCGCGTGCCCACCCTCTGCGCGTGGGCTTGTGCGGGGGCGGTGGGCACAGGGTTGATTGCGCCAGCCAGGATCTGGCATGTTCGCAAATAGCTCGCTCGCGGCTTTGAATGACCACTATAGCTTTGAATGAGTACACTCAGCAGCAACCCCTCGGAATGGGGGCGTCAGACTCCGGCCGGCCGATATGAGGGCAAGAGGGCAACGGGGCGTCACTGGCCTGGCTTCACCTGAACAGCATAGCCGCCGATGATCTGGGCAGCAGGGCATGTACCTGCGTGTGTTTGGTGCGGTCAGACACTACCAAAGGGGGCACAGGGCAACACCGCCCGTGCTGCGCTGGCTAGCAATGGACAACAGCTCGGACGACCATGGCTGGACCATCGAGCCCTAGCGCGACTACAAAAGCGAGTCTCTCTTACGTCCTTTCTCTTTCGTCGTCTCACTTAAACCTTGTTCCTCATCGTCCCTCTGCCTCGACGACGGTACCCACGGTAGCCACCATCCCACACCTCGACTACTTACCCAGTCGTTGGCAACCAATTCCCTTCTGAACTCAAGCCTATCTCTTCGCCGCCGCTCTTGAGCGCAATGATTGGCGCCCACAAGGACCCCTCGTCCACCTCGCTGGCAGATGACGACAAGAGCACCGGCGATGTGACTGACGTGGAGAAGCAATCAGCCATGCCCTCCGCCTTTGCATCCACTGGCCAAAGAGTAGCCTCTTCCGGAGCTATTCCCGCTAGGTCGGCGACATTCAGGCTCCCCAACCCAGCGACTTTTGGCATAGACGAGTCAGGCCGCAGGACCATCGGTGGCGGTTACTCGCAAGACATACAGCGAGAGCGGACGCTGGAAGCGACACAATCCATCGGTGGCCTTTCACTCGCTCGAGCTACGGCAAGGCAGAACATCGATCCGAGAGCCCGAGTCGCAGCTGACTTCAGGACTATGTCCATTCAGATGAGCCAAGGCGGTGTCGCAGCCCCAGCAACGCCAAACAAGAAGAGCAGCAAATTTGCTTGGATCCCTGCCCTCCCTTTTGTCTCTAAGAAAAGTCAACACATCGCGGTAGCCGATCAGGCCATCACTGACCTCGAATGGCATCTCATCTCGATCGATGAGGTCTTTCAACGCCTCAGCAGTAGTCCCAAACTTGGACTCGAAGCTGCTCAAATCGAGCGCAAGAGAGCCCAGGACGGTCTCAATAAGCTCAGCAAGCCCCCCAGTCAGTGGCCGAGGAAAATTTTCAATTACTGGTTTGGCGGCTTCGGATCTTTGCTTCTCGTGGCCGCCATTCTGGTCATGATCTCATGGAAGCCACTTGGAGCTGCTGATCCACAAGTCTCGGTACTGGCGTTGTCTATTGTGTTATTCGCTGTCCTCGCGCTTCAAGCTCTATTCAACGCCTGGCAAGACTTCACCACCTCCCGAACTATGGCTTCCATAAGCGGCATGCTCCCCTCTTCCGTCCTGGTCATCCGAGGCGGGGAGAGGACGTCTATCCCTCCTGAGGAGGTTGTCAGGGGAGACATCGTCGTGATTGGTATTGGCCAACGAATCGCAGCCGATGTGAGATTCTTCCATCTGGACAGTCAGGTCAAGATTGATCGATCTATGCTTACAGGAGAGTCAGACGCCATCAAGGCATCGGTTGACAGTACCGACAACAATTACCTCGAGACTCGCAACATGGCATTCATGGGGACGATGTGCGTGTCCGGCAGCGGGGGTCTCGCTGTAGTGACTGCCATCGGTGACGACACCGTCTTCGGTCGATTGGCAAAGGATGCCTCAAAGCCACGAGTCGGGAAGACTACGTTGGAAAAGGAAATATTCTACTTTGTGTTTACGATCAGCACGATCGCTATCTCTCTGGCCGTCATCTGCATCATCGTTTGGGCAGCTTACCTGCGCCCGCAGCATCCCGAATTCATGAGCGTGCCTCAGCTCATCGTCAACGTCGTCTCGATCGTCGTCGCCTTCATTCCAGAAGGTCTTCCCATCGCTGTCACCCTCAGTCTGACTGCAATCGCCAGTAGAATGCGAAAAGCACGGGTGTTGGCCAAGACACTTTCTGTAGTCGAGACCCTGGGTGCTGTCAACTGCATACTGTCAGATAAGACAGGCACGCTTACAACGAATGAAATGCGAGTCACCTCATTGGCCGTGTTTGGACACAACGATACGTGCTCCCCGACGGATTCGCTGAAGCACATCACGTTGAGTGCTCCACTTGGGCATGCCTTGCGATCGCTTGCCTGGCTGGCTGGCGTCTGCAATGCTGCATCATTCCAGGTCTCGGAAGACAAGAAGATTGCCGCTCTGTCAATCGCAGACCGACCGATCAATGGTGACGCTACGGACTCTGCCTGTCTCAGACTCTGCGAGGAGCTCGGGGGTGTTGATGAAGCAAAGACTGGCTGGAACATCATCGGAAGCCTGGCCTTCAACTCCAAGAACAAGTTTGCTGTTCGCATTCTTCAACTCTCTGAAGATTCCGCTGCTCGCCTCAACATTGCTCTTTGCGAGAGCGAGTCTCTAGACTTTTCCCGTACCGATCATGCCGTGTTGATTGTGAAAGGTGCTCCAGATATCCTCTTGAAGAGATGTGCCTCGATCTTGGATGCTGGCGGCAAGATTTTGCCGCTCGACTCGGAACGTCTTGCCTGGATATCAAGAGTGCAGAGCGAGTGGGCTGATCAGGGCCAGCGGGTTCTCGTTCTCGCTCGCAAGGTCATTAGCCGCGAGGGTTTGCCCAGTATCATCGACGACGATGTCATCCTTGGTCTTACCGAAGACCTTACCGTCGTTGGTCTCGTCGGTATCGTCGATCCTCCTCGTCCTGAGATTCCGGGGGTCGTGGCTACCTGCAGAGGAGCGGGAGCAAGATTCTTCATGGTCACTGGAGATTTCCAAAAGACTGCCGTCGCGATCGCCCGTCAATGTGGCATCATAAGTGCTCGCACTGTGTATCAATTCAAGGACCTCTCTGACGAGACTCTGGTCCTGCCAGAATACCACTTCCTCAACGACAATGCCTCACGACCACAGCTGGCTTTGAGTCTCTCAGGAGCAGACCTCGAGCAGATGAATGCAGAACAGTGGGAGCGCGCTTGCCGCTTCGACGAGATTGTCTTCGCTAGGACTACGCCGGAGCAAAAGCTCCGCATCGTTACCGAATTCCAAGCTCGAGACGGAATCGTCTCAATGACAGGTGATGGCGCCAACGATGCTCCAGCGCTGCGACAGGCCGATGTTGGAGTTGCTATAGCCGGCGGCTCCGACATTGCCGTTGAGTCAGCCGATCTGGTCCTGCTCGACGGCTTCTCTGGTTTCGTGGATGCCCTGATGCTCGGACGTCTCTGCTTCGACAACTTAAAGAAGACGGTTGCGTATTTGCTACCAGCCGGAACGTTCGCAGAGCTCTGGGCCGTCCTGGTGGCCTTCTTCTTTGGCCTGCCTCAAGCCATTTCGAACCTGCAGATGATCTTCATTTGCGTGTGTACCGACATGGCTCCCTCGTTATCGCTCATTAACGAATCGCCAGAGTCTGATATTCTCAAGCGAAAGCCGCGCAATGTTAGGACGGACCGCTTGGCCGACTGGAAGCTCCTTTGCCAGTCTTACCTATTCCTTGGCCTGCCCTTGACAGTATTTGCGATGACGATGGCCTTCTGGTTCATGCAACGTTCGGGTCTACCCTTTTCGTCCCTCTGGCTTAATTACGGCGGCGCACCGCTCGCCACTCAAGATCTTGAGAGGTACAACGAAATCCTTTACGGCGGTCAGTCGGTCTACTTCTTCACTCTTGTCTTGTCTCAATGGGGGACTCTGCTCATCGTCCGCACCCGCAAGTTATCCATCTTCCAACAGCCGCCCTATTTCAAGCCGTCCACCGCCAATTGGTTTATTCTGCCGGCCATGATCACTGCCCTTGCTCTAGCAATCTTCTTCTCCTACATACCCGGTCTGCAGAAGGTCTTGAACACGCGCGGAGTTCCAGCTGAGAACTACGGGCTGCCGTTGGCGTACGCTCTGTTCATGCTGTGCGTCGATGAGACAAGGAAATACCTCGTCAGGAAGTATCCCAAATCTTTCCTGGCGAAGGCTGCCTGGTAAAGTCGAGGCCGGGTGGGTGTAGCGAGGTCAGTCTTTGTTCTGTAGATATTCCCGTTGCGAATGTATTCGTCCTGTGCCATTGAGTCTTGCTAATCAGGTTCCTTCGGTACCTGTGGTACGAGAACAATGATCACACTTCTTAGCAAAGGAGGAAACCAAAACAAACCTAGTCTGTCAATTGAAGTGAGGAGCGACAATAGTGGACACCGCCCAGCTAGGGTGGAAAGAGCACTGAGGCAATCAGGGCCGAGTCGGCTGCTGAGGAGGGCTCAGCGCCCACTCCGGCTCCAGGGAATTGCATGCGGGAAGGTGAATACAAAGGGCGTCTGGCTTCGCTGGTTCTGTCTCTGGTCCGTGATCCTTTGGGTCTTGTGCGAGATATTTCTTCCTTGTGTGGCTGTCCGTCTCCTCCAGCGTGGCTCTTCCTTTGCGAGGGGAGGGCAAGCCCTGGTCTTTCTTCCTTGTGTGGCCCTCCGTCTCCTCCAGCGTGGCTCT